TCTTGTCCGCATGAACAAGATCTGCGACGACGAGTACAGCCTGGTCTTCCTCGACATCAAGGCCGCCTACGACACTGTCTGGCGGGAGCGCCTCTGGGACAAGATCGCCGCCCGAGGTGCTGGTCCGGTCGCCGTCGGGGTCCTCAGGGCCATGTTCGACCGCACTCTTGTCCGCGTCGCCAGCAAGGGCCGCACGTCACAGCCTGTGTGGCTGCAGAAGGGTCTCATCCAAGGCTCGGTCCTGAGTCCCCTTCTGTTCAGTGCCCACATTGACGACCTGCCTGGACTGCTCCGAGCCGAGGACGGACTTGTGCTTGCCTCCAGTCGCCACCACCGTCTCCGGGTCAACTCGCTCTGGTTTGCCGACGATGGTGTCCTCATCTGTCCGGCTGGCCGCACCCAGGCCATGCTGGACATCTGTGAGCGTCACAGTGTCGACAATCGCTACCGCTTCTCGCCTCCCAAGTGCGAGGTGCTGTACTCGGCCTGCAACGTCGACCAGCTCCATCCCGCCAAGCTGTACGGCACCGAGCTGCCCAAGGTCCTCCAGTTCCGCTACCTCGGTGTCATGGTCGACATTGACGGATTCCGCCCGGACCTCCAGTTCGACAAGCTCCTCCGCAAGGTCCACATGGTCACCGACACCGTGGTTGGACTTGGCATCACCCTCGGCAAGGTCTCGGCCAAGACCATCACCCAGGTCTACAAGACCTTTGTGCGGCCGACCCTCGAATACGGGATGGCCATGGACATCCCGGACCCGGCTCTGCGCGACCGCCTCGACGACGCCCAGATGACGGCCCTCCGCACCATGTTCCGCGTCGGCCCCGGCACTCCCGTCGGTGCCATGCACCTCAACTGCGGCCTCCCCAAGATGTCCGTCCGTGTCAAGATGCTGGCCCTGCAGAACTGGGCCCGCTGGGACGACCAAGTCTCTGACGGCGACAAGATGCTGTCGATGATCCTGCGCAACAAGATCATTGCGCCCTACCACCCCGACCAGTTCCTCGGCCAAGGAGTCCGAGCCGATCCGCACTGGGCCATGGTGGTCCGCCGACAAGAGGCCGACCACTCCCTCACGGCCACGGAGATCTACCGAGGCAAGACCCGACACCAGCCGCCGCCGCCCGGACCGCCCCGACCCCAGCCCGTCCCGATCAAGACCCTCATCTTCGAGGACCACATGAAGAACGGCTTCGACCGCTCCAAGCAGCTCACCGCCGCCTGCACCCCGTCGACCAAGATGTCGGGACTCTGGGAGGCTCGCGGGTACCAAGGATCCATGGTCATGCTCATGTTCATGGTCCGATGGCGACTCGGTGCTCTCCCAGGCCACTTCAGGTTCGGATACCGCAAGTGCAAGAACCTGGCTCGACACGGATCCGGGATCGACTTGACCAGGACCCACGCACAGCAATGTGTGGATCCGCATCAAGTCCTGGTCCGCAAGGTCGCAGCCCTCAAGACGGCCCACCCGACTTGGGTGGAAAGTGGTATAGCCGGAGTGGGACCAGTGGACAAGCTGCTGGACCTGCTCTCTTTCGATCGCACTCCCCCTCGCACTCGCACCCCTCCCGCACTTGGATCGCTTGCTGCTCATGTACCCGCTCCCCGCACTGCCTTCCGAGCATTCGCACTTGGTGCACACCCAGTACCAGCACCCACTCCCACAACCAGTGTAGTCCCACCCTTGCAGTCTCTCCCTGCACCCTCATCACAGCGTAGTATAGTGCCAGCACTTGTCACTCCACCACCCCGACCTCCCGTCGATCCTGCTATTCCCTTGTGGGAACTGCTTGAAAATGTGTTCACCCGCTTGGTCTCAGACCTTGTGGGCAGCTGAGGCAGCACTAGGCTGCAACAGGAGTAAATAGGCTTGCCTGTGTACTCAACGTGCCGGGGTACCAACCTGTTGGACCTGATGGCTTGTCTTCTTAAATAAAGTTGACTATAGTAACAAAAAAAAAAAAGAGGACCACATGAAGAACGGCTTCGACCGCTCCAAGCAGCTCACCGCCGCCTGCACCCCGTCGACCAAGATGTCGGGACTCTGGGAGGCTCGCGGGTACCAAGGATCCATGGTCATGCTCATGTTCATGGTCCGATGGCGACTCGGTGCTCTCCCAGGCCACTTCAGGTTCGGATACCGCAAGTGCAAGAACCTGGCTCGACACGGATCCGGGATCGACTTGACCAGGACCCACGCACAGCAATGTGTGGATCCGCATCAAGTCCTGGTCCGCAAGGTCGCAGCCCTCAAGACGGCCCACCCGACTTGGGTGGAAAGTGGTATAGCCGGAGTGGGACCAGTGGACAAGCTGCTGGACCTGCTCTCTTTCGATCGCACTCCCCCTCGCACTCGCACCCCTCCCGCACTTGGATCGCTTGCTGCTCATGTACCCGCTCCCCGCACTGCCTTCCGAGCATTCGCACTTGGTGCACACCCAGTACCAGCACCCACTCCCACAACCAGTGTAGTCCCACCCTTGCAGTCTCTCCCTGCACCCTCATCACAGCGTAGTATAGTGCCAGCACTTGTCACTCCACCACCCCGACCTCCCGTCGATCCTGCTATTCCCTTGTGGGAACTGCTTGAAAATGTGTTCACCCGCTTGGTCTCAGACCTTGTGGGCAGCTGAGGCAGCACTAGGCTGCAACAGGAGTAAATAGGCTTGCCTGTGTACTCAACGTGCCGGGGTACCAACCTGTTGGACCTGATGGCTTGTCTTCTTAAATAAAGTTGACTATAGTAACAAAAAAAAAAAAATAGTGGAAGACACTACTGCTGGGACACTGACCAGAGTTTGGACTTAGTATCCCACTCCGATCATAGTGGGGACCTAGTGCCTCACTCTGACCTTGGTGGGGACTTAGTACCTCACTCCGACCAGAGTGTGGACTTAGAGCCCCACCACCCCGAACCGAGCTCAGACCTTGCCTCGGGGTCGAACTGGGGAGGAACCTCAGAGTCAGTCTCAGAGTCTGGCTCAGAGTACTCCCCTGATGGCAACCAAGACTCCCTCCCGAACCGAGACCGAAACCGGGCCAGGGAGACGAATAGACATCCAGTCCCCGGCCCTGAACCGAGAGTGGTTCCCACGCCCTCCCAAGGACGAAGTACTGACCCGATCCCAGAGTCCGACGATGACTTGGGACTAGGTCAGACCCCAGGATACGAGATAAATCCCGAGTACCCCTCCCACAGACAAACTCACACTCCCTTGAGGGCAAGTCAAGACCCAACACCGCACAGCAAACCCTGGAGTGGGTTCGAGTTGATACTAGAGGGAGACTTGGATAAACCAACCCCCGACATCCCTGAGAGGGACCTGGAAACGTGCGACTCCCTCTGGGAGTTATTAGAGGGAGTGTTCACCCGCATGGCTCGCCGTGTGGGCTGGAGAGTCGGCGAAGGCCGCAACAGGGGTGTATGAGCGAGCTTGGCCACCCACTGCCGGGTATCCTGCGATACTGATGGCATGTTGAATATTCCTGAATATACAACTATCAAAACAAAAAAAAAAAACCCGTATTGGGTCAAACTAATGCGCAGACTAGACTCGGACCAAAGCCTAACCGCAACCGAGGCCTTCCTGGGGAAGGAAGGAGCGCAACGGAAACCGACCAGCCCAGTCCCACGATCAACACCAGAACAGATCGAGATCGTCACAGGACTCATCATGGTCCCACTATCCACCTCGCAACGACGCAGACGGCTGCTCGGGAACGGGCTCTCCGGGATCACGAGTAGTGAGGAAGGATCTCACAACCGAACAAACCGACAGAGTACCACCACGATGAATGAGGACGCTGTCACCACACCCATCAAGGAGCTCATGCTCACTGAGCATATGAGAACAGCGTTTCGAGGGAATCAACAGCTGACGGCGGCATGCACACCGTCAACCCAGATGTCAGGTCTCTGGATGGCGGAGGGGTACCAAGGATCCAAACCCATCCTCGAGCTCATGGTTCGGTGGAGACTCGGAGCCTTCCCGGGCCATCACACAGGCCGGCTTCAAATATGCCGACAATGTTCGACAAACGGAGCCACCGTGGAGTTCAACCGCACCCACGCACAGCGGTGCATCGACCCAAGAGGGATCCTCCCGAGGAAGGTGCGCCAACTTCAACGATCACACCCAGCATGGGTGGAGCCTCAGACCATCGGAGTGGGACCAGTCGACAAGCTGCTGGACCTGATCACCTTTGAGCAACAGAAGGCAAGACAGAAGAACCACGAGGACACTGACGGTGGAGCGGATTGCAGGCCACCACCAATCGTGTCCGACACCACGTCGGATGGGGAGACCAGCATTGACGAAGCAGTCTCGGATGACGACGGGGAGTCGCTCTGGTACCCACATCGAGAGGTGCTGGCACGACTGGTGCGACTCCGGCTGACCGACGACGACTCAACAGACCTGAGCTCCGAAATGAGCTCGGTGCCAGACTGGGAATTGAATCTGGAGAGAGATCTGGACTTTTCCTTCCTCACCAACATCGACGACGACCTGCCCAGCCACGGATGGGATTGGCAGAGCGACCAGAGTGTCGACTTGCTCTCGAACACAACACCAAGCATCGATCTGATCGACGATGCCGATCTGAGCCCGGACCTGGTCTCGGACGACGACCTCGGACTCGGAGACACACCGTTCCCAACGACCAGCAGGAGAGGCAGCCCTCCCCCCACACGGAGCAATGACAGAGTGACTGGAGTGCTGAGAGGCATGAGGCCACGACAGCGAACCCAACGAACAAAGCCGTGGATGGGCTTTGAGGAGATCCCGGAGAGGAGCTCCCATGGCCAGAGAGAAAGGGTCCCCGAGCGGGACCTGGAGACATGCGAGTCCCTGTGGGACCTCTTGGAGGAAGTGTTCACCCGCATGGCTCGCCGTGTGGGCTGGAGAGTCGGCGAGAGCCGCAACAGGGGCGTGTGAGCCTGCTTGTACGCCCACTGCCGGGTACCGCATGGTACTGATGGCTTGTTGAATATTCCTGAATATACAACTATTGTAAACAAAAAAAAAAAAGCAAGCCATCCACCAGCAAATCCTCCGCCATCTGGAGAGTGCAACCTACGCAAACCACACGATGGCACAGCTCTACCTGGCCCAGTGTTATCGTAACGGAATTGGAGTCAATGAGGAACACACTAAGGCCATCGAGCTATACCTCAGCCTTGCAGATCGTGGGATTCCTCAGGCCCAAGTCGCTCTCGGCGGTTGCTATGAGAGCGGCGAAGGTGTCGATCAAGACTACGGCACAGCCATCGAGTGGTATTCCAAGGCCGCAGATCAGGGCAGTGAAGATGGTCGACTCCACATCGTGTTTCTCCAGGCCTGGTTCTCGCTCATCGGCCACGGTGTCGACCAGAGCGACGCTGATGCCTTCAATCACTGGCAGGAAGTCAGCACCCATTCCTCGGATCCAGTCATCAAACCCATCGCCACCCACATGGTCGGCTGGATGCACTATCTCGGCCGGGGTACCATGCGCGACGAACAGAGGGGAATCACGACCATCCGAGATAACAGATCGGATGGTTTCAAGCTGGGTGAAGCGGCATGTTGGGCGAGTAGTTGGGCTCCATCGGACTCACCCGCATCCCGCAAGTTCTTCGAGCTGTGCCAGCTTGGGTCGAATCGTGACTGGCTCTGCAGACATCTCATGGCTGTGTGTCTAGTCGGAGGATTCGGAACTCCGGCGAACAAAAAGAAGGCGGCAGCGGGAATATTTGAGCAACTCGCCAACGATGGCCACAGTGACAGCCAGTTTTGGATCGGATGGTGCCATCGATGGAGCTGGGGGGTATCAAAGGACACCGAGAAGGCATTCGAGTGGCTCAGCAAGTCGGCCAAGCAAGACAACTCATATGGGCAGTGGATGGTTGGTGAATGCTACTCTCGTGGGTGTGGAGTCACCAAGGACTGGACCAAGGCAGCCGAATGGTTCCGAAAATCAGCCGAGCAGGGCAATCAATACGGACAGTGCTGGCTCGGTATCTGCTACGAAAATGGGTTTGGTGCCCCCATGAACATCGACACCGCCGTCTTCTGGTATCGCAAATCCGCCGACCAAGGTCATCGAGGTGCCACCAACAGCCTCAAGGAACTCGGCCAGTGGCCGTGATGCCCGGTCCCTCCCGACAACACTTCCAAAGAGCCATATCACAACGATGAATTCCAGTCTAAGTAACCAGACGACTTGGTCGCCCATTCCCATTCAGACATCATGATGAAGCAGCCTACTTGCAAAGTGAATCAAGGAATCGGCGATGGTCGAGATATTCAGGAATTGACATTCAATATATCCAGTATTCGAATGAGTGTTGTCCCATAACAATCACCGCTATTGATTGGCTGAAAAAAGCCTTGGATGAGTCGACGGCCACAAACATGTCTGACAACCATAGACAGTGGAGAGACCTTGTGTCATCCAGACCACTATTGCCACATGGCACCAGAGAATGCGGCCAGCAAGTCAAATAGCCTCTCCAACACCGAGACCTTCATTATAGTCTTGCTGATCGGTCAAGTGATCTCCACTTGTCCGAGATTCCAGAGAGCATAATTCCACATTGCCCCCCCCCCAATGTCGACTTCAGTGACTAACCAATGGATTGACAGATCCAGAATTTCACACACAAGGCCAAAGGCACCGAAGAAAAGTTGGAGAAGCACGGAATGATCATGAGTCGATTTTCGGCCAAGTTGTTGACGAGGACATTCAAGACGTTCATCCGACCGATGATAGAGTATTGACTGACCCCGTGGACCTCAGCAAGGAGGTCATTTCCTGTGTAGGATCTGTCGAAGTGATCCAATCCAACAACTGACCGCCTCGTTGACAACTCCAAACTCTGATTCTCCGGGAGCAACACAGTTTGCCATCGTTGAGTCAAGGGCGTCGACAAACCGCTCGATCTGACGATCATGGTCGGTAACTTCACCAACAGGGCATGGATGGATGTCATTGAGCTGGATAGGATGGTTGGATCGATGTACCCCGGTCAACAATTGGCTGTGATGAGCCAATAGACAAGTCGCTGTGATAGTGATTGACCAGCAAGTTCTACAAGCTCTTGTCCGCTCCGACATGCTTGATTGCAATCACGGGTGCTTGGTATCTTCCACGAGGGCGTGAACATGTGCGGATTAAATTGATGATGACGATCGTGCCATTGGTATAGTGGTATCATTCTCTTGATCAGGCACTCAAGTAAGGCAATCATGCTTGTTGTATGAATTTCGGAGATGCTCTGCGGGGCTTTCGATCGAGTGGTGCTGCATGCGTCGACTCTGCTTTGCGATTTGAAGGACGCATCGGCATCGTTCCTTACAATAACCCTCGACCGTCAGTCTTGGAATCGGGCTTGGCGAGACACTGGTCCTTGGGGCTGAGGAACCACAGCTGTCTGTTTCTCAGTGCAATCTCAGGCTCCGGCACCCAGTCAGCGTGGATGATCGAGTAGCCGGCTGTGTCGTGGACTTGGTTGGCAGTCGGCGGCGATCCAGATGCCAAGCTCTTGTCGCCCTTGCGTGCGTTGGCTTCGCTGCCAAAGAGCAGATAGCCGTTCACAAACTCCTCCTGGGCCAAGAACGTGAACCTCGTCCGGTCAGCGAGGCTCTTCAAGGGCGGAAGCGTTGCGGGAGTCAGCAGAAGCGACGCCTCGGTGCTCTCCTGTTCAGGAGATGCGTCGCGCTCCTTGAAGTCGTTGCCGGCCGGCGGGAGGGTGGTGCCGTTGCGGAGGGTCAGGCGATCGTCGACCCAGACCACCTCGTTCTCCATGCCCAAGACCTTGGTGAAGCCCTGCAGATCCGGTGCCGCACCATCGTCCTTGAGGGCGTTCCAGGCCTGCAGCAGGAAGCGATAGGTCCGTGCGTTGCCTCTCAAGAACATGGTGCCGACGTTGAGAACAGGCAGTTTGTGAGAGAGCCCCGAGGACATCTTGACGTGGCCCACGTTCTTCTTCTCGCCCAGGGCAATGTAGACATCCGCCGTCGGGTTGGCAGTGGTATGGAGGGCGGTCAGGTCCCGGAGCACAACCGAGTCGCCGTCGAGGAACCAGACGTCGAATCCCGCGCCCACCAGCTTGGCCAGGACCTTGGGCTTGTTGCGCATCATCCGGACCAGGTCGTAGTCCTGGCGATAGACGCGCCGCTTGGTGGCATAGTCCGGAAAGTCAAAGAGGCTGACGTAGCCCTTGTCCAGCAGCGTGTCATGCGCCTGAATGTCGAGCGACCAGAACACGATATTGTATAGCCCTTGGCGGGCGAGGGAGCATGCCAGGTTCAGAGCGATCTTGACGAACGCCTTGTTGGTGGGTATCACAATCACCTGGTTGTTCACGGCAATCTTGGAGAGCGCCTGCAGCAGACAGTGGCGGCGGAAGCTGATCTGATCGGGCTCGCAGGGCGAGTTGTTGCTGGGGTCAAACAGGTTCGAGTCGATCCAGCTTTGCAATTTGCTAATCCGCTGACTTGGCTCCACATCGCCCGACTTAACACATAGCAGTGGTCTGAAGCCAGAAATTTTCGAGTAAAAGTAGCGGAACCGCGAGCCAAGTCCTGGAGAGCCTGATTCGCTTTGGTAAACTGGAGAGGCATGGCAGTCGCCAAAATCCAGATAACGGTTCATGTCCTTGATGATGGTGCTGTTGAATTCGATGGCATTGACCATTGCTGTCGGATTGGGGTAGGAGTGATGGGCAATGGCAGCGGACGTCAGAGATACTGACAGGTGATGCTGAGGCACTACAAAGCTCTAATCAACGCCAGTGCTCGGACGGTGAATGCTGCGCACATCCAGAGTCGCTGATGAAGGCAGCAGAGCCAACAACGCAGCCAGACAAGTGGCAAACAGTCTCATGGCTCGCCGTGATGGAGATATCGCCAGTACAGCAGAAGGGCTGTAGCACCGTCCCATCCAGCATCGGAGTGTCGTTCTACACAGCATCGAACAGCTCTGGATCGCCAACGCAGCACGCATACTTACTCGTGGCGAAATAGGACTCGTCGGGGATGTACGAGTGCTCCATGTATGCCAGGAGGTTGAAGGCATCCAGATTGGTGCGGAAGTGGCGGACCGTGTGTGGGTTCAAGATCATCCACTGGTGGTGTTTGTACGCCTTCCAGTGGGAGAACGGCCACGAGACGATGCCAAACTCCTTGGGGTGACCGATGTAGGCCCAGTTGTCGTCTCCAAAGGCAACGTGCGGGCGGAACAAGCGCTCGGCCAGATCATCTGTTTGAAGGGCAGTGCGGCGCCGGTGATGATCAACGTGGATCGATGTATGCACCGAGGATTCGAATGGAGGATGCAGTAGAACATTGGGAGAAGCGTGAGCCGGTGTAGCAGTAGGAACACGATCGTCGAGTTGGCCACGGCTGTCGTTCTCACTAAATGACAGACGCCGCAGAGCTGGGCGATTGTGACACCGGACCAGTCGTACTAGGACTTGCGATTCACGCATTCGCCGACTCTGAAGTCAACGAGGTCCTCCCTCCAAACCGAGGCCACACCGGTGTTTGGAACTCGCAAGTGCCTGCTGCATCACTGTGCTCACGAGCCGTATAGGAGACCAGTACCAAGAACAGCACCAGCACTCCTGCCGCACCATTGACAGAGCAGTGTGGCGGTCTACGGTGCAACGTACCTGTCTCGGGCCAGTACTCGATCCAGTTGGCATCCTTGATGCGGTGCTTCATAGCATCGTCCCTCAGCGTCTTGTGGATAACTTCGTTGCGGGCCAGGGGCCAGTCGTAGTTGCTGAGGTTGATGACATAGTCCCAGTCGGCCAGGTCCAGGAGCTCGTAGAAACCAGAGAGCTGCGTAAACACCAGGGAGATGTGTCCCCAGACGTTCTTGAAGGAGTACTGGGCGATAAAGACGTTTCCCTCCTTCAGACCCCCGGGGCGGCTCGCCAGCCACGCCTGGACCTTGGACCGGAGCTCCTTGGAGCGGGCATCGATGTGGATGAGCGTGATCGAGTCGCCGTCGTCGAGCTTGTCGATCAGCGACTTGAGCTGGATGAATCCCGAGATCTCGTGAACCATCAGCAAGTACGCAATCTTGTACTTTCGGCGCGGTCCGGGGATGACCGACTCGTGCGGGACGAGAGCCGGGATCACGGGCTTGAAATAGTGGATCGGGTTGATGGAGAGCAGCAGCGGCTTCTGGCTGAAGTTGACGATGGTGTTGGAGCCCTCGGCGGCCGAGTAGCACGCAAGACGCTTGCCATCCTGGGATCGGACATGGACGAGGGAGGATGGGGCGGCGGGAATGGCGGTAAATCAGGACAATCGCTGGCGAATCGAGCGATGTGGCAGCCGGGTGCATGTCGAAGGAGGGCGGTTCAAGAGGGGCCGACAGAGTCGGGTGGATGTCCCAACGATCGAGGGCATCATACATCATGCAGACGATCTGTGCTGTGCTCTCCGCTGCACAAAGGCCGACGAGGGACTGCCGGGTCGGACACGATCCTTACCGACGGAAAGACGTTGTGGTAGTGAGCGCGGACGTAGTTGTAGAGCTCCTGGGCCTTGGTGTCGATGAGATTGCAAAACTCCTTCATGGTCGGGGTAGTGTCGGCAACAGAGCCGTTGAAGGGACGCAGATAGGCCATGCCGTCGAAGCTTGCGCCGTCGAGCATGGAGCAGAACTTGAACCCTCGAGCGACGAAAATGTGTCGGCGCTCGGCCTCACGCAGCACGCGAGCAGTGTCCTCGTCAAAGATGGGCTGGAGCTCGGCCGAGCCGGGCGATTTGTGCACGAGTTCCTCGGGTCGGGAGCCATCATTGCTGCTGTCGGGAGCAGGCCGGGAAGACGATGGCAGAGGTGGGAAGAGCGGAACAGGCTGCTCTTGGATGCGGTCGTGGCCACTCTCTTGGGAGGGCCAGCAATCGCCGCCGGTGCAGCCCTTGTGGAAGTCGCTGCTGGATCGGTCGAGCGAGGACGCCCGGATCAGAAAGACTGCCCAGATGATCAGGACGAGTGCTCCAATCGAGAGGACCCGCTGGCCCAGGGGCGTCAGTCTCGTCCGCATGGTTGCAAGAATGCTGGCAGAAACCGATGCACATCGGCAGTCGTTAGCGGGAGGCAAGGGATGGGCGAGCGGGCTTGGGCAAGCACAGATGGGAGACGCAGGGCCCAATGCACATGGATGCATTGGCGGTGGAGCCCATCGTGCCGATGGAACCTGTGCGTGCCTATGAAATCCATCCCTGTCGACGGAAACGGGCCCCGTCGATGCACGCAATGCCTACCGATGCAGTTGGTGCAAGCCGAGATGAGAGCGACGGAAGGATGCCGACAAGCCAAAACGGCCGATCGACGAAACAAAAATCAGGGCAGCGGGGGGGGTGCACGTGGCCACGGCGCCTGCTGTTGTGTTTGCTTGCAGTGGCTGCTGTGCTTGAGGTGGTCGATGTACTTGCGGTTGGGTGAAATTAATACATTGATATGCTTGCCGATCGTACGTGGGCATTATCTGGATTATCACAGGAGCTGTCCAGAAGGTTGAGGCACCCACCACACTCACACATCGAGATATCAATACCAGTCGATCGTCGCCACAGGAAATGGACCAAGACTGTGTCCCAAGCCAACCAAACCGCTGGATTTCCAACAACGACAGGAGTGCCATCCCGAGGCTTCCGATGCCAGAGAAAACGAGTGCTGTCCTTCTCCATATGTTCCATATGTATTCGGATGCCAGATTAGGCCAAACAAGCACATAGAATGACACCACATAAGACCAGGCCCTCAACTAACACTATTTCTTCCAGCGATGCCAAGTGTCTGGTCGCCGAGAATGCTTTCACTTTGTTGAGCAACGACCCAGGCATTATCTCTGGTCTTAGCATCCGTTGCAGCTGCTCGAGATGCATGCCTGGCATCGGAGCTGGACCGCAGTAGAGGACGAGGCTCCCTGCCATCCACAGCTAATATAACAATCGTCCATGCAGGCATTGGCGTTCCCACCGATGCATTGGCGCGGAGGAGGAGGAGGCGGAGGAGAAGGGGAGGGAGGAGGAGGAGCCGGGGCGTTCGTGGTGCAAGTGCCGCAGTTGGTCCAGATGCAGTTCTGGCAGCGCATCTGAACAGCGGGAGGTGATGCCGCACCCTGCCATCCACACGAGATGTAGCAGTCCGAGATACAGGCGTTGCCGCCAACGCAGTTGGCATTCTGCAACAAATAGCAGTCGAATTAGTATTCAGTACCCCATATATTTGGTTTCAAAGCGGCGAATTTCAAGGAAGCTGGACAGCCAACGAACAATCTCGGCAGACATTGGCACGATGTCGACTGGGGCGGCAGTGTCAACGATGTGCTCATGACCTACCACCAGGGCAACGGAGGCAACGGCAGCCAAGGCAATGCTGAGAAACCTCATCTTGAAGTAGATCTTGAGACGGAGGCAAGGTTGGGTGGTGCTGTGCTGCCGACCGACCGATGGGGGCCTTTTATACTCCTGCCCAAGGACCTGCTCCATGACCATGCTCGAAGCCAGATCCCTGCGATATCGTTCGTGTCGGCTGACCTGTCCACGACTTTGGGCTGCAGACAGTCTGGACTGCCGGTCATGCGATGATTCCGGATCGTGCTGACCCCACACGCAGTCTGGCTTTCGTTCTTGGAATCTAACCAGGCCAGTGCGGTGGCGCTGGCCAGTCAAATTTGAGGTTTAGGCTTATTGGTTATGTCGATGCATGTGCGGTGCGTATGAACACCTCGAGGCGCACAAGCATGTCCGCTCCAGACCCCGTGAGGCCGCGCAGCATATATCCCATGGAACAACCCATTCGAGTGGTCAGCATGGTCCTGTCCCTCTTCATCGCAACCTGGATGCCGAGATGAAGAGGGACATGACCAGATCACAATCTGCCAGGCCTCCGTGGCTGCCACGACCGGCTGCGCTGCTATCGACCCACGAACTTGATCGTCCTTGGCAAGCTGCCAGGAAACTGGTTGAAGCAGCATCGATGGCTGTGGTCGATTGCTCTGTCGCCACCCAGGATTGAGAATCCACCCACCCGTCGTCAGGCATCGTCCCATCCTGTTGCATGCGTCGAGGGAGGCCAACTCCTCGCGAGGGCCAGTGATCTGCGGCTTCTGGCCCGGTGGACTGCTCCTGTCGACTTGATGCCTGGCAAACCAAGCCATCCGCTGATGACGTTCGAGGCTGTCGAGGCCAACAGTGTTGTCATGGCCTCTCGCTGGTCTGATTGGATTGTGCAAGTGGCTGTGGCATCGTTCTCTGGCACACCGAGGGCCACAATCTGGGCGACGCCAGCACTCCTGATTCTTTGGGCCGTCCTGGCTGGCACGCATCATCTATCGTTTTGGCCACTACGGCTCTCTCTATGGCAAAGTCTTATCGAGCAAGACTTGGCGTGCTGATCCCAGGACAATCAGAGAGATCTAGTTTGGTTTGTCGGAGCATCATTCTGTCCGAGTCCATGACACATCGTTGTCAAAATGCTGGCCGAGACATCGACCCGTGTCTTGTTCAACTCACTCGCCGTTTGCCAGGGATGCACTTCCCATCAAGAATCAGCAGCTATCGTCATCCCACCGGCGATCAGCGGTCGTCACTCGCCACAACAACAATGTTCGCGGAAGGCTGACATGGCGTCAACTCCAATCATCGCTGAATCCGGAGACTCCTCGATCGGCACCAAGCAGTTTCAGGGTCCAGAGATGTGATCCCAGCCCGTCAGTCCAAGCTGTCCAGCTCAGCCAGTCCGGGGTCATCGAAGCATGATTGATACGAGGGCACCACCTTCCCCTCACGAAGGCGAGCACCCGCCCGCCATTCATCAAGATCTCCAGTCGGAGCATTTGGAGCATCTCCGTCGACCCGCCCTATAAATGAACCACAGGGACTCGTCCCACAGACCCCACCAACTGATATGGCCCAAGGTCGCTTCAGGACATTCGTGCCAGATCGCTCGCAGCATATCATCCCTCATCCATCGCTCTGGCCCATCCGCCAGCCGTTGCTCAATGCTGTTCTCGGCTTCATTCCCTCATGCCAATTGCATTCCATCTCGAACGCGAATCATTATGTGGTGGTGCTTTGTGCTAACCATTGCGCTCGGATGCTCAGGTAGATATCTATTGTAGCGGACATCGCCATGCACTATACTCGAGTGCTCGTTGCTTGTGCTGTCCCTGAAGCCCCTCATGCACGAAGAATCACACTGCCCATGTCTATTCTGATCCCTTCAGGCGCCGCTGGCCAGCAGGCAAAGCTCATACTCGATGGCGCTGGTCCCGATCCCCCGTTTTCGCTCTTTCAGCAACTGGCATCCATCTATTCGGTCTATGATCCTCTGTGGGACTATTCCTATAGCGATGTCGGGACTGGCGCTGGGCGCGCTGCGCTCATCGCCAGCAACTCCAACTTGACATGGGCCTCCTCAGACTATGTTCCGTCCAATGTCTCGTATACTGGCCCTGGGAACACCTTGGGCAACTTTGTTCCTGTTCCGGCAATCATGAGGTGAGCCAGCTTGAATCTAGGCGTGCAGTACATTGTGTATGCGGGGCTACTTGCACCTGTGCTGATATTGCCCTCAGACATCGCCCAGGGTCAACACACCCTCCCCCCATAACCGCCTCAGCACCTCCGTTGGTAGCTCTGGCTAACTCGCGGCCATTTTATATTGTCTCACCTCGGTTGTTCATGCCATTGTGGCATGTCTTGTGGCGATGCGTTCGATTCCGGCTGCGTCATTCGCTTCGGACTCTTCAGCTGCATAGCGATCGTGTACCATCTCAACGTCACCAACCTCACGCTCACCCGACAGAACCTTGCGGATATATTCTCTGGCAAGATCGCCTACTGGAACGACCCTAGGCTCGTCCAGAATAACCCAGCCCTGACCACCATCACGGCTCGGGTCCAAACCATCGTGAATGCCGGCACTGTCGGGATGACGGTCAATTTCCTCTACGCGCTCAACCGCATCGATCCCTCGTTGAATCTGTCGTATCCATCCAGCTACCCGCTTCCAACCTGGGGGCCGGCCAACCCTCCGCTTTACGGAAAGGACAACACGGTCATGTCCGACGGGATCCAGGTCACTCCAAACTCTATCGGATACATCGCCTTCCCATTCGCCAACCTAACTCTGGCGTCTCTACTGCCCTCCGGATTCAATCTCTATGCTTTTGCCAGCATTATCAACAAAAACGGCGACATTGTGCAGCCTTCCGTAACAGGCATGTCGGTGAGTTAGCATGCAGTTGCGTCAGACTATCTTTCCTTGATTTCAGCCTGAGCTGGAGGAGATTGGATGAGCGCTGCACCCCCAAGGTGTTTCTTGCACATTCGAGATTCATTCTCGGAGTGTATCTCGCCCACAAGCGCATCTCTCCCATCTCACAACATTGTACTCTCCACGCCACAATCTCTTTCAAGGCCGCTCTCTCGGTTCCAGTCGCATCCAACATGTCGGCTCTGCGCCATTTGTCAAGTGACATTGGCAATGCCATTCAGTCGGCCTACATCGATTCGGCCACGCCAAATGCCTACCCGTTTATGGAGCCCACGCTCTTTATGCTGCGACAAGACTCGCAACTCTATGGACTCACCGCCCCCGAGATCCAGGCAACCCTGCGATTCCTGTTCTGGATCATATTTGGCGGAACAGAGACGGTGAGTTGTTCTGCGACAGGATCCCTTCCTCAGACCCCGTGTCGAAGCCTGTACTGCGGCTTGCACGACGGAGCATACTATGTGCTGACATTCCCTTTCACAACCACCGCACTTGCTGTGCTATGAAGGTGGCTCCAGCCGAGCCCGTGATGCAGCCTTCGGCGAGCACATACTTCCACCGCTACAACTTTATACACTTCCGAGACATCAATATACGCCAGTTCGTCTACGATGCCCTCAAGCTTGTCACGCACAATGGACAGCCGCTCTTTGATCCAGCCTCTCCGTGTAATCCGGTCTTTGACACCAACCTTACTTACATCAGCTCCAATTCATGCAAACACGGCTACTGCATCGTTGACGGGCCGTTCCAGTCGTCTAGCCAAGTCCAGTGCATCTGCAATGTCGGATACTATAACAACCTGCGTCTGGATTGCTCTGAGCCCGCGTCCCCGTTCATGTTGCTCTTTGGCGGGATCGACTCGTACAACATCGTTGTCATCGCTTTTCTGGCCATCGCTGTCCTCATCAACATTGGCATATGGATTCTCATTTTCCTCTGGAGGAAAAAACCGGACGTCCAAGCCATCTCTCCAAGCTGCTGCCATGTGATCATGATGGGCGCTCGTAAGTCGTGCATCCATCGCGCAGTTGAGTGCACCGTTGCTCGATTCCCACATGCCCCACGATTGGCTTAAAGCACCTTCAACGCACTAACAGATCGTCGTCGCTCGCAGTCATCGGACAGGTTGCCGCCCTCTTCTTCTCTGCCAATCCGAGCCCCCTCGTCTGCGGAGGACGGATCTTGCTGCCTGTGATTGCCTTCTCCTCCGTCTTCAGGTAAGATCGCATCGCCGAGTACATCCAGGCACTTTTGCTCCAGTTACCTGTGAATTGATCGTATCTCATCCACACATCAGCATGTTGCTGATGAAGTCGATTCGGATCTACATCATCTTTGGATACAAGCGCATCCGCACGATCAAGACCCCAGACTGGAAGCTGATCCTGGCCACGGGGATCATTGTTGTCCTGGAAGTCATTTACTGCGCCGTGTGGATCGGCATCGACTACCCAACGCCTTCAATCGAAGGAAGCGTCTACGCCATGGTGTGCTCCACTGAAAAGGGATCAATAACGACCCCTTCCATACTCTTGTACCTCCTCAACGGATTTATCCTCATCGGATGCGTAGTGTTTGCCTACCTCACCCGCGGTGCTCACGAGCGCTTCCAAGAGTCCAAAGTCATCGGAATGTGCAGCTATTTTGTCTCCATGACGATGCTCCTGTGCCTTCCAATGATCTATGCCCTCTCGGATCAAGTCAACTCGCAGGACTTGTTTTCGCTCGGACAAGTGATGATGTCATGCTTGGTGATCGTGGTGTCGTCGCTGGTACCCGTCATCCTCTTTGCCGCAAGGCTCATCAGGACTTTCAAGAGCAGAAACGATGCACCCGACAGCGAGAAACAAACCCAAAAGTCTTCTCCGACCACCACAAATCGCTCTGCCATCACCAGTCAGGGAATGACCAAGGCCGCCATCGTCGCCTATGCATACGACTGTGGACTGCAGGGACTCAAATTTGGAGGAGCGTGGGTGTCCTCGACGGTGCTTGTTCTCACGACCTTGGACCTGATCGAATTTCGAGAAGCGGATGTTCATGGCTCCATCCAAGCCAGCTTCAGATTCTCTTCGTGCGAGTGCGAATTGTGTGATCCGAACAGCGACCCCAATGCCGATAAGATTTTGGCCCGGAGCGTCAAGTTGCGCCAGGGCAAGGTCACCTACACTCTCGAGTTTGGTGCCAAGGAGACAGCTTTCACGTTCTTGGAAAACTATGCCGAAGCCAAGGCCAAGACCGGTGGCACATTGGGCAGAGGCGTAGGCGGAATCGGCGGAGTCGGCGGCGCTTTGAGGCGAGACAGCAGCATTTACGGAATGCTCAGCAAACTCGATCCAGAACCTGACAAGAGTACCAATCTGAAGGATCAAAAGGCCACCAGCACCGAAACAGTGTGAGTTGATGCCGCCGGCGAGCCCTCATGCCGCTCTCGTTTTCAGCACGTTAGGCCCTTTGGTTTTAAGGAATCGAGCGGACCAGCATATTCGGCAACGAGAATCACAATCAATAGATCAATAGACGTTAACATCGCCCTTTGAGTTTGCTGCCACTGTCTGGACAGGGCAGGACATTGACAGTGGTGGTATATGTGCTCTTGGCATTTCGAATGCGTTGTTGGTGAACTTTTAGCTTTAGTTACATAATACAACCATCTCAGAATAAGGCGTATAGAAACCGACACTCGGGTTGCTTGGCCAAGCAAAGCTGTGAAATAGTTCCGTGGTCTCGTAGCTTCTCGACTCGATCAAGTTATCTTGTTATCGAGAGTCCACATTTGTACGGAGCTGTCCAGAGGATCGAATACACTCGCCACACTGATGCATCACAATATCAACGCAGCTTGTAGTTTCGTCTGACATTTGCCAACAGAGATTGATCGCAGACTCATAGAAAGGATCCGCCCGACGGGCTCACAAACACATGGTCGAGGACCGACCGCTCAAAGGCAGCCAACCCAGCCGCCGTTGATCGCGCACTTGGTCGGGCTGGGGCAAGTGTTGGAATAGGCCCAGTGAAGGGTGCCGTCGCAAGTGAGAATCATCGTGGGGGTATTCGCATCGCAGCCATAGGAAGCGACCTTGGTGCATGGACCGCCAAGGACAATGGAAGTGGAGGTGCTGCTGGGAGAGGCCGAGGTGGTGGTAGTGGTGGTGGCGGCAGGGTTGACGACGGTGATGACGGTCGAGTCGGTGACTACCAGGTTGTTCTGGGCAGCAGCGTCGCCGATGCGAACAGCAGAGCCCGCAAGCGTAGCAGTCACTTGGTAGGTTCCGACAGGAACGCCATTGGGGATCTTGAACGAGTATCCGAGGCGACCGAGACGGAAGACCGAGATGCCGGTATCGACACCATAGGTTGACACGGACTGGGTCGAGCGCAGAGCGATACTGCATGCGAACGAGATTCAGAATGTCATGTCAGCATGGATGTGCAACACCGAGAGCCCATGCACCCAAAGCACCATCGTGTCAGAGGCGACCAGCACGGCTGAAGAGTCACTCACGTAAAGTTCAGGTTAACACCGTTGAAGCTTTCGGGCAGGTCGGTGGTCATGCCGACGGTGACAAAATGGCTGGGGCTAGTTTCGCCAAGCTGGTAGGTATCACCGTTGGCGCCATATCCGCTGTGGGCAGTGTTGATGGAAATCGACGAATAAACCGGGTTGGTGGGCTGCTTGGCAACAGTGAGGCCGGTAGCGGTGGCGTTGGTGTAGATGACGGTGCCGTTCGAGAGAGTTGCGGTGGCCCAGAACAAACTCTGTGTTGTACGAATGAGGGAGTGAGGAGAGTTGAGTCGATGAGTTGACATTGACACAGCGATCCAAAACTCACCCAGATCTGTCGACGCCAACGATCCATCACAGTGATCCCACGCATCGGACGAAACCAAGTAGCGACTTCAATCGGCCATTCTCCCCTTCAGCAACACTTACAACAGAGGAGCTAACGGGGACGCTAGGATGGAAGCCGATCCACGAAAAGACGCCAAAGGGACTGTCGAGATTGGTGTTCGATGGCTGAGGTCCGCCGAGGCTGAAGATCTGGCTGGAGGAAAACTGACCATCCTTGTCGAGGTATCGCAGCTCGGCGCTTGTGATGTTTGGAACGTTGCTCTTGGCGGGGAAGAAGATCTTGACACGTCCATTGAAACCCTGCGACGTTGTGCTGGTGGCTTCGACTGTGAGATCGCTGAAGCGAATGGCTCGGAAGTTGAGAATCGGGCCAAGATTGACATTGCTGGGAACACGCTCAGTGAGCTTCTGGAAGACGGCGGCACATGTGTTCATAAAGTTTGAGGGGTTGTTTGCGAATCTTGGGGGATGCGACATCGAGAGTCAGAGTCAGCGATTGCGAACCCATGATGGCGCATGGCATGGCCTCAAGATCAGCGGCGATATCGAAGGAGAGCAGCAATGCAGCTTCCAGTGATAAAACTCATGCAACCGTCGCACAACTGGCCAGCAACCAGGCAGATTGCAAATCCGGTAGTCGCGGCATGAAGGCCATCCTCGGCTCCCGTTCTCAGAGCGGAAACATCTAATCCCTCGGACAACCTACCCGATCATGGTGGCGTTTCCATCCGAGTTGAAGATGTCAAAGTCGGATCGCTGGGCAGCAGTGGGTCCGTTGACAAGGGCGTTGGGAGTGGTGCCGTTCAGATAGCTGACAGCAACATCCGTGTCGAAAACAAAGGGTGTGTGGTCGAAAGGAACGGAGTCTTGGCCATTGACAAGCGCAGGCTTGTCAACGCCGTGGACACGCCCCACAGTGTGCCCACAAGCAATCAGGCTGATCATCTGGTCGCCGATAGAGATAGGGCCCACAGATTCGAGTCAGCCGATGTGTTGGACATTCAAAGCACGATAGAGGGCATAATGGTGGGAATGCTCACCTCCTGCTTGGTAAAGCCCATGCGCGAGAACTGGTTGGTGTGGGTGGTGATGTTCTCGGTCTCGAGAGGGACGTTGAAGGCCGGGTTGTCGGCAGCGGTAGCATCGATGCGGCCGAAACGAACGGGCACAATGGGACCACCGCAGACCTTGATGGACGAAACCGCAGCGGCGACGAGGACGTCGGCGACTGATTGTACAGCCAGAGAGGCGAGTGAGATAATGCACACCGGGCGGGAGGTGGTTCAAGGGTTGTCATGGCAGCTCGGTCGCCGATTCATGCAGTCGAGTCAATCAAGTGGTCATGGAGTCATAGGAACCAGACATACATGAAATACCCGCAGGCTTGGGCAAGATGGCGATGGTATCGTGGATAGCAGAGCCGAGGTTCTCGACACGGGAGAGCTCAAACTGAACAGAGGCGTCGCAGCCGCCGGTACCAGTGCTAGCATCGTAGCTGGCGCAGTCGTGGAAGAGGGTACGGATCTAGGGTGTGGAGCAAGGTCGGCATTGAATCAGTCGAGCGGCATCCACGAACATGGCTGTACTTCAAACGTATGGTGCTTAGGAACAGGTAAACGAGTTGTCGATGCTTACCCATTCTGGGGCGTTGGCGCGGACATCGGTAGAATTGCCACCACCGGGACCAAGGCCGCCGGGGTTGCTGATTCCGAAATTGTCATCGCAGCTCCTGGACAATCAAGGAGAATGGTTAGCGCAAGCTGCGGCCACGCCTGTGAAGAAAGCGTGGACAGCTGCCGGGATACCAGCTCGCCCCTGTGCATACTGACTTGATGAAAATACCAAATGCGCCGTACACGGAGCGAGGATCTGTCCGATAGTGCGCGTTAGCAAAAGCACATCATCATCACGATCGCGACTATGCATGACCTCTCCGACTCGGCTGTGTGAATCTGATTCGACAAGCCGTACCAATCATCATGTCCTGTGCGATGGCGAAATGAAGGAAGAGTCAACACACCGACAGCGGTAAAGACGGTGCATGTACAAAGAGCGCCCAAATTGCAGCCAACTTGCACAGCGCAGGAATTACCTCCATGATGTCGTAGTAGGTCGCCGGGGTCACAGCGCTGTTGGCAACGGCAGCCAGGGCGCCGAGGGCCAAGACGGTCGGGAGAGTACGCCACATCATCCTGTTGGTTCCAAGCGGATCTTGCTGGTGTGGAGGTTGGAAGGGTCGTGCGGATGAGCCAACAATTTATATGCCAAGCCGACATCAAATTTGCATATCCGTTATCGGGCCAGAACGCACGCACGCACGCGAGCAATACCCCAGGGTCCGCAGTCGCCCTTGGCGAGTGCTGATGCCATCGCCCCTTCTTTCCAGCTGCTTATCTTGTGCGAGTGAACGAGCCTGTCCCTCCCCATCCAGCCGCACCAATCGTCAGATTCGTCCTTGCAGTGCCCCAATGGCGAGCCAGCCACACGACAGCCGTACCCCGGCATACGGCTGTCCTCTGACACAAGCCCTGTACATCTTGTATCGACATCTCGGAATCTCGGGCGAAAATTTGCTCGATTTGTGGCTTCGTTGTGCCAAGCGCACCGTGGGGATTGTGCTCCCGATGTGCCTGTCTCGGCCTGTGCTCCAAGGGCCCGGTCCCCACAAGAAACCACGCATTTTTGACCGCTCTGCTGGGTCGCTGCGGGACATGGACGGACGCCGTCCCGTATACACAGCCGGGCGGTAAAGGCTGTGCACCCGAGGCAAATTTGATGGGTGGTGGCTCGGGTGGCTCTCTGTGCTGTTTCGTGCCCAGGTGGCGCTGCGGCCTCACCAGCCTCGTTTGTCGCACCTCTCATCGCCGGTGCAGGCCTCGATCCTGCTGGCCGAACAATCGCCATGCACGTTGGAGCTTCATGGACGGTCGATGCAGAAGTGTCGGCGTCCCGTTCTGCAGGGAAACAGCGCCGGCACCACGCCATGAAACATGATCGTGCTCAATAGAGAAACGGATGGATGATTGACGATTTCGACACATGGCATTGGCGTGAAGCTGCCATACATTTTGTCCTCCTTGACCATCGAGATGAGCCCGACCTCGCTGATCTGGAGGTGCCCGTCCTCGGCATACCGTAGAGCCCTCTTCCCGATCGCCCGAATCTCTCCCGCTGCGACCACGTCATTCTTGAGTGACCAAGAATCGATATTGTCTGACGTCGCCCATCGCCCTCTGTGCCGACTGATTCGTGACCACCGACGGCTTCGTCGTCTCTGCTTGAGCCCTCACACCAATATGCCATACCATGTCTGTGCAGCTTCGCAGAGGCTCGCCCCTGGCACCCAGAGCACAGACACGATGTGAATCCATCTGGGTGTTTGTCCATGCGAGTTTCACCACGATCCCCATGGATCTCGGCGAGAGCGGCCGAGACCGGAGCGAGAGCGGCCCTTCCTGAGCTGGCCAAAGAGTCGTTTCGATTCCGTTTCCCCCTGTGCCCCCATCCGAAATCCGCCCGTCCATGAACACCCAAGACAACTGCGGTCTATATCGCCGGTCTAGGGGTCTGTGGGTCTGCGGACTGACCGCCGATCTGCCGGTCGAAACCCTCGAGGGAAAGGCCCAACTCAACTGGCGCACAGATGCCTACTGCTGGAGAAGCGAAACCGACGTCTGGCCGCAGCCATGGTCGACATTGGAGCAGGTTGGCCATCACTATGCGCCGTAGCCATCCTGTTTGCTGCCTCGCCATCGCCTCGCCCGCTGCCATGGTATCGGCCGACTGCTCATCCATCTCACGGTTGTAGTCATACGCCCCCACAACGAACCGGAGACAAATCCCCATCCGCGAGCTCGGCAACCAGGTTCACGCATTCACTGAATATGTGCCAAAGACAGACGTCTTTATCATCGTTCGAGCACCCAAGCCCGGAGAAACATCAATCGTCGTGAACAACAATCGGCTGAATGTCGATTGTGAGGAAGATCTCATTGCCCAGCGATTGGATGGCACCGGTGCGCCTGTTGGCGAGGAGTATCCCATCAAACAGACCATCCTGGCCGTCAATTTCCAACCTGCTTAGGTCCTCAAGCTCGATAACTGAGTAGCGCCGACACCGAGGTGTCTGAAACCAGCTTCTCATGCACGCCCTATGCTGTGCCCCAACTATTGCTCTGGTCAATCATCCTGCTCAATCTCTGGCGTCATCCCTGCTCTTGCTGCTACTCTGAGTGTCCGTGCTATCCCAATCAGCCTACCAGTTCAGCGAGCCAGCATGCCAATGTACTTGCCGTTTTTCATTGAAGAATGCGCCATTTGCGATGGAATGAATGGGTCCGGAATGGGTCCGGAATGGGCCAGCTCCCGCACCTGCATCTGGCTCGCATAGTGGATCTCGAATGCGATGCTGGCCAACAAACTCTCCGAGATGAGCCGATGTCAAATCTCTGCATCTCGCCTTCCTGTTTGCTGACTTGCTCCTGCCACGAACCACACCATGCGGCCGTACGAGCCCATCCTCATCCTGGTCGTTGTTGCTCATCTCCTGGCCAGGCAGGCCTGTGCCGAGGTCCAGACTCTCGACGGCTCGATGAATAACCCCAGCAATCCGCTCTGGGGCGCTGTCAATACAACGATGCTCCGGCTCATGGCTCCTGCCTTCGAGGGCTTGGCTGGTACGCTTCCGGGAGTATCTCGGGCCGCCCGAGCCCCCGAAAGTCATTAGGCGACTGTCCGTGTGCATCCAAGTTGCTGGATTGCACACACCAGCTTGCAGTGGGTTCTCGTTCGAGCCGAGTATGAGGGATTGCCAAACGCGAACCATTGAGAGCTCACCAACCCATCCCATCACATTGCATGTTTCGCGGCAACCAGGCCAGCCTGCAGGAAGCGACAGAGCCAACGCAAGAAATATCTCCAACCAGCTGTTCGTCTCCAACCACGCAAGCCTCCTGTCGGCATGGTCGACACCGTGGCTCTCCGCCTGGGGCATGTTTGTCGCCCAGGATATCGGCGGGATCTATCCGAGCTCCAGCTTCTTCAACATCACGGTTCCCACAGGCGATGCGTACTTTGACCGTTACGCCTCTGGCACCCAAGTCATTCCGATGCGCCGAGCCGTCCTTGGTGCCGCTGACCCTCGCCAGCAGGGCGCTGCCACGCCGCTGAACAGCCGATCGTCCTTTCTGGACGGCTCGTCGCTCTATGGGCAGACCACGGCAGAACTGAGCGCCATTCGAGCCGGAACCGGCGGCCTACTCATCACAGACAATCACCCTGTGGCCGGGATCATCCCACCGATTGTAAGGGCGCATCTGGACCCGGAAGGGACTTGGTGGGCTCGGAAACGATGTCCTCCCTCGACGATCGGACATGCATCAAACTGCGGGCTGACTCATTGATCTCATCTGTCTGCCCAGAACGCAACCTCGGGGTTGCTCCAGTTCTCTCGAGCAGCCCTAAATGTTGCCCCACACTCGGTCCTGGTTCATCTAGCACTCTGGCGTGAGCACAACCGCTTTGCGCGCACTCTCAACCAGAGCTGGTCGGATGAAGAGCTCTTTCAGTATACCCGACGCTATATAATCGCCCTGATCCAGGTTTGTCCATCACGACTTGTCCCATTCAGCGCCCGAGCACCAAAAGCATCAACTCGCAGCCTGTAATGCTCACCCCGCTCATATAATTACCCGGCTACAACAGCAAATCACCTATTCGCAGTATCTCCCTCCGCTCCTCGGCTACGGCCTTCCAGCCTACTCCGGATACAACAGCTCGGTCAATCCCAACGTCGATGTATATTTCATCGCGGCCGCGTTTCGCTATGGTCACTCGCTGATCAATGACGCGCTGCTGAATGTGAATGCTGATAACCAAATAGTCGGTCTGCTGGAGGTGAGTAGATGGCACTATCACTGCATGCTCACCGAATGTGCTTCTTGACTGTAGCCGAAAACCAACCCCAACTACATGATCCCTGCATACCAACAGATTAGCAGCACATTCTTCAGCATCCAGTGGTTACTGGATTCCGGACCCGAGGGATACATTCGGGGAATGATCACCCAGTCCGAGAAGCTTGCCAATGCCAAGTATGCCAATGCCCTGCGCAACAGCTTGCCACTCAGCGGCAACCAAGGCTACGATCTCGCTGCTATTGACATCCAACGGTGGGTCAGAGACGTTTTAATAACGGATGTTGTAGGGGATACTTCACCCAGATGATTCGCAATGCGCGGTTATCGGTCGATGCCGAGCAATATCAGCTAACGAGTACCCCTTACGGTGCATGTAGGGGCAGGGAATTCGGGCTGCCCGACTACAATACCGCGAGACAGTACTTTGATCTGGCACCAGCGAGCTCGTTTGAGAGCATGGGCAACAACAACTCGGCCACCGCCGCGTTACTGGCATCACTCTTTCCGAGCGTGAACAGCGTTGATGCGGTTGTTGGTGGGCTGCTCGAAGCAACGTATGATGGCGGTGCCATTGGCGCTCTCTCCAAGGCATCCATCCTGGACCAGTTCACAAGACTCAGATCAGGCGATCGCTTCTTCTACTTGAACCCCGGTGTTCTCGATGCCTTCCAAGCCTCGCAGGTTCAAGGAATGAGTCTTGGGACGCTGCTCCAACTCAACTTCAATCTAACAAACGTGCCATACAATCCATGTGTTCTTTCCCCGAGCTCAATCGATGCGGTTATGGACCTTGACAGCACGAAAAAAAGCACGATATACCTGACCCCGCAGTTTGCTTTGCAGTGGATCGTCATGAACAATGAATCCATCACGTTCACGATGAATTATTCTGGAGGCGGATGGTTTGCCTTTGGTCTTGGGAGCACCATGAGCGGAGCCGACATATATTATGCCACCTATCTAAATGGATCTCTCACGGTCGTCGATGCCGTCGCCAAGGACTTTGGCATGCCTGTTCCGGATACGCAAGTCGGTGGATACAACAACATCTACAACGTCACTACAGCGATAGGAGGCTCGATGGCGTCTGTGACATTTACACGACCTCTCCTCACCAACGATACACTCAACGACGTGAACATCACATCCAGAAACATGCCAGTCATCTTTGCATATTCGAGTGCCACGGCTCCCTCCTAGTACGTACGCATTAACGGGGCTTGTCTTCTGGTGGCTTTGCGTGCTACGTCTCGATACACAGCCGACATCCCAGAAGCAGTAATTGGTGTTATGAAACGCACGCACTAATATCTGTCGCACGTTTTCAGCCATGGACCCAACAGGGGATATGCCCTCATCAACTTTTTGAACACCTCGCTCGATATCGATGTGTGCGATAGCGAGGATGATGATGATTCAACTTCCAAGTCGCTTCTCATCATTCATGGAGCCGTCATGGCTGTGGCCTTTGGATTTATGTGTGAGTGCCTTGACCGCATTGCAAACCATGTCCGGGACCTATCTAACGCGCGCTTGCACTCAGATCCCATTGGAATTATCATTGTCAAATATGACCCAAACATTAGCCGAGGCATCAGGGTTCATAGAGAAACTATGGAGCTCGTCTCTTCATTTGTACGTACGTCGACGCGCTCGGGATTGTTGGCGAATGACTGGCACTCGTACCAGCCCATATTCCGATGCGATAAACTCGCACAATCGGGAAGACCCCATCGATAGCAGCCGTTTCTTCTGGGCAAATTTCCGCAGTTTGAGACAACTGACATCATTCGCGTATTATACCAGACCCTCCACACCGCGATCATAGCCATCGCCGGCTCATTCTCAGGAGGAGACATGAACACCCATGTAATCTTGGGCTTCACTATTGCGGGACTTATCGTCGTTGTCCAAGTTTTGGGCGCCTTTGTTGTTCATACCAAAAAGTATGCCGCCATGATCAAATACTCGGCCTGGATTCGGTTGATCCACCGATACTCTGGCGCAATCACATACACGATGGGAGCGGTCAACTGCGTGTTTGGAATTCAGCTACTATGGGAAGACCTAGGCATCCCACATCTTGGCTTTGTTGCGTGGATATTCGTTGGATGGATGATTCTTGTGACTCTTGGTAAGCTCGAGCCGGAATCCACACTCACTTGCTGCACTGGTTAGCTATGCCAAGCGCTCGAAAGCCTGAGCAAGCGTTACGAATCTGACTTCACTTTACAGTCATCATTGGTGGCTCGCGCTTGTTTAGATTCCACAATCGCGGAGGCTGCCCCCCGTCATTTGATCCTAACAAATGGAGTGCTCTTCCGGTGTTGACCTGGAACGAGTTCCATCAAAAAATCGGAAAGGGTGAGAAGTGGCTCGTGGTCGAGGACATCATATACGACATCAAGGCTATCGAAACAACACATCCTGGTGGACAACAAGTATTGTACTTTTACCTCGGAATGGATGCCACCGATCCTTACTCTGGAAAGAAGACGCACCCCGACATCCCTGCCCTTCCTGCACATAATCACTCCAAGCTGGCGAAGGTGGTGCTGTACGAGGCCGCCGTCGGACGTATCGTGGCGAAAAAGGAGCCCGCAAGCTCGAGATCATTATCGACAACCAAGACCGATCTTGAAAAGGACTTTGGAAAACCGGGGTTGGGCCTATCGATATGGCAGTACAACCATTTTTCCATCACCGGCAACGAGCTTGTCACGGGAGAAGGCGCAAAGAACCCCGTCTACCGCATTACGGTGGCGCTGGAATCTTCGAACGAGGAAGCTCGGTTCCTACCCTATCAGTACGTCTGGCTCCAATTCGTTACGGACCAGGGCCAGGTTGTGACGCGGGCATACACGCCAGTGAAGGTTGTCAACACAGGCCGGATTTCATTCTACATCAAGTTTTATTCGGACGGAAAGGTAGCGATATGACTGCATCAGGAGAGATCAGCCCATTGCACCGGTCTTTGGGCAAACATGCAGCATGATCAACCTGATACCCGCCATCGACGATCACCACCCCTTACCGTCAGAGTGTCACTTTGCTGCACACATTCTCCCTGTGCGACTGTTGATATTGACGCACCAAACCGTGGCTCTCGCACCAGATGTCCAACTATCTGAGCACCGCAAAATATGTTCGTATGCGTGGCCCCATCGACGATCTCAAGCTTGTTCGGTTAATGTGCCCCGGGGCGGCCCATGGCTGTTTCGAGCAGCTTGCCTTGATTGCTGGCGGATCTGGGTTGACACCCATGCTGCTGCTGGCCGACTACTACTTTCACACGGCGCCACGGCGTCCAGATGGAAAGTTTGTGGTTCCCATCAAGCTCTTCCACATCAACTCCTCCCAAGCAGACGCCTTTGCCGACGAAGAACTCAATCATCTCGAGCGAGTCTCCAACGGCATGATCCAATGCTTTCGTCTGTATCGCTCTTCGAGCAGCGCCACACACGCCGAGCATGTGTCACACGTTATGGCGGAGGTTCTTCGCCACCTTCCTCCTCCCCCAAAGGAAAGCGAGCAAAAAGTGATTCGCAAGCTCGAAAAGACCAAGAGGGTGATAATTCCAAGGGAGAAGAAAAGCCCATCTCGAACCGCCATGGATCTCGCCCAGAGTGTCAAGAAGCTATGGATCCAGGCCGAGCCAAAGGACATGTCCCGCTCACCGAGTACAGAGCCGCCGACTGAAACTGGCCTTGAACCAAGACAGGCCCACATTGTCGGAACAAGGATTGTTGTGTGCGGGTAAGTATATGTGCTGGTACAGAATGTTCGGCCTGGAACGTCCAAGGCGCACAACAGCGTCGGGTTGGCGAGAAGGACACGGCGACGACGGCAAAGTATTGACTGAATGACGCATGTGCCATAGAAGCTGGTCCCGTACATTGCTAGCGATGATCACTAATGTTATGCTGTGATCTACTGGAAATAGTCCACCATCGATGAACGAGTCTATCGCCACGGAGCTGGAGGAAGCCGGGTACATTGATGAAATGGTGATTGTGCTCTGACCGTGTCTAGAAGCGCTTGGCTGTGACATCCTGTCTCCTTGGACGCGCAATATAGTCCTTCTGTTGCTTCCAGCTCGATGGCGGGGCGCCCACCACGTCTCCAGCCGGGAAGGCCACGATTTCGGCATCAAATTCCCTTCTCTTGTATGCACTTTTTCGGACTGGGACAGTGCTCATTGCGGTGCTCCACATCGGCCGCTGTCTGATATTGGTTTCAGTTGGTGGGCTGGACTCACTGTGGCGCAGTGTTGTGCTCACGTGATTGGCCACCGATGCCCTCTCGCCCCTGCTCCAACGACCACCGACTCAAACGGACACCCCATCACAGCCAATACACCACCACCACCACCGCCGCCGCCATCACCCAGCAGACTGCACCATGGCATCGCTGTCGCCCTCAAGGTCGGACGAGTACAAACCGGTCCGTCCCAACCCCGAGGACACCGAGAAGGCGATCTTTGGTGACTCGGAGGATGAAAGCGATCTTGCCGAGAACTTTGGTTCCTCGGACGAGGGTATGGTGGTTCGCCACACATCAACATCCGCAGCTTACGTTTCTCAAGCCAACCGGAGGCTTTGAATAAGGCGGCTTTTCCAGTACATAACCCACAATCCATTATTTCCTCTCCTCAATATTCTCTCGTGAATCCCAGATTCAGATCCAAATGCCACAATTGAACCTCCTCCCGCTCCTGCTGACTCCAAGGAGCTTGACGATCTCGATGACGCCGAGTACCAAATCAAGAAGGCACCGCTGCCAAAGTTCAAGAAGAGAGATCCAAGCGAGCTCCCAAAGACAGAAAAGGCGTACGTCGCAGTGGCTGCCATGGCTGGAGGCTGCGAGGCTGGCTGGATATTCACAGCCGATTCTAGGGGTTGACTCACGCCCACTCTCGCCTTTGTAGCGCACGACGACGAAGCAAGTCGCAGAAAACTCGACACCACGACGAGAATGAGAAGGAAGAGGAAGAAAGAGACCCGAGCAATCCGTCATCGATCCGAGCTCGGGTGGACCGCGAGGTTGAAGAGATTCTGTCCAAAAGCAAGTCGAAGCGAGCCAAAAAGGACGACGATAGCGAAGACACCGTAAGTAGCTTGCCTGGGCCGTTGCTTCCTGCAGTATATCTAGCGCGCTCTGTTGGAGCCCGGCTGTCGCATATCACTCTAATGGGCCCCACCCAAAGGCCAAAGACGAGCTGGCCGTAAAGCTTGTGGACCAAATGAGGGACACGGCCTTCCAGGATGTCGAATTCAATAGCAAGCGCCAGCCAGCCATCGCCAAGCTCAAACTGTTGCCAACAGTAAAGGCGTTTCTAGCAAGGTAGGTGCCTAAGCCCAGTGACAGAGAGCTTGGACCTACTCCTGATCCAAACCCACGGCGCCCAGCCACATTCGAGAGCGTATGATCGATCTGGCAACACGAACGCCTGTCAGTGGCTGTATCTGATGGAGTCGCACCTGCCCTTTGCGAGACTTGCTACAGATCCCACTATATAAGTGATTTGTCCGACAACGGGCTCCTCTCGAGTATGAAGTATTGGTGAGATAAACATCGCTGCTGTGATCCATCGCTCGGTCGAACAGCTGTTCGCTCAGTCAATCAGCTACTCGTTTTTCGATTCGGAAGCGCCAGATCAGCACGTTGGAATCGTTTCATGGTCAACAGTATCAGCGTCTAATGACCGCCATTGCTTCGCCAGGCTGGAGCCGCTTCCGGATGGGTCGTTGCCAAGCTTGGACATCCAACGCACGCTACTTGTTTTCCTTGAAACCGTGAGTGGTGCATCTCCGAGAACTTGAGCAATCACGGCGAATCTGCGTTTGAGTGGACAGCCTCCTGAGCACGCCATTTGCCTCCAAAACAACGATTCTCCTCCAAAACATCATCCCTCTCTCAGCACGACTTTGATAGGGGATCGTAAGTACCGACTGTCGCTCGTTCCACGGCACACAGCGAACAAAAACTCCGCCCTCGTCTTCGCATAACACCTCTTCCGGCACTTGCCCACCACGCAGGCTCGTAAGCAGCGGCATCGGCAAGATCGTCCTCTTTTACACCAAGTGCAGTCGGGTCATACCCGAGCTGCAAAGAGTGGCGAACCGGATCGTGGGTGAGTGTCGAAACCGCCCGTGATGACTGCCGTGCCCTCAGAGCCTACTTGCTAATGCGTGCTACTATGCCACCTGCAATACCACCCGACCGCACGAATGGCTCCCAGACAAGTGGATGAGATTAATCATTGGCTGTACCAATGACTACCGAGACATAGCCAAGACATCGGTGCCTTACGATGCGAAGGCGTATGTACCACAGCCGCTATATATCGCCCGCAAGCACCCACTATTTCGTGGCCAAATCCGATGACCAATGTTTCTTTCTCAGTCATAGCTATTACGAAAGAGTGGAGGTAGAAGCCGGCGACGGTCCGAAAGGAAGGTGCGTATATTCAGAAGCGCGCAGTTTGTTGAATCGAGTGCAATGCTCCCAGCGACTTCTATTCTTTTCTTCAAGAGTCGTAAAGCACGTCGGATGTGCGCCCCTCTGCAGCATCTGAAGGCTGGGCATTAACCTCTGTTCATCGATCTTCCCACAGCACATCGACGGCCATCACGAATCGGGCCAGAATACCGATGCCAATCACCCCCAATTTCGAGTTTGTTCCCGAGTCCAAGCTCGGCGCTCCATCGGAGAAGAGCAAGGTTTGTTGGTGCCTGGAAAATGAGCTTGTCGTTGAGCCGTCTCGGTGTCTACTTCAACAACCCTGACTGGCAATGTCCTCATCCGCCGTATCGTTTCGCAGGCTCCGGATCGTATGAAGCGTATCCTCAACCGTGTGATGAACAGCAAGCGACAGGGGAAAACTCCAGGATCCAAGCTCTCCATCGAGGGGCGGAAAATGTAATGGCCCACACCCGCAAAAGATTCAAGCTTGACCGAGATCCCGGAGTGGCACAGCGATGCGAGACTCGGTGGGATGTCACATTTGTATCGGTGATCCAAAACACCCGATTCCGTTTCAAAGATAGCCCTCCTTGGACACTGGCATGGCTCGGAACATGCGTCTGCATCAACCTGGATGGCGTCCAGTACTTCAGCAACGGGATTTGTGCTTCGTGAAACAGGTGGGGAGCGAGCCCGATCGACAAACGGGACCCGGAGCAGTTGGTTGAATAGAAGCGGCATGGAATATCGATAGATTATGGCACGAGAGTATGATGCCTTGCGGAGATGAGTCGACGATGAGGGAGGAGTGGATAGAGAACTTAACGGCCATGAATTGCCAGCGTATCGAGAAGTCCCTCGAGCTCCTCAACGACATCGACGGCTTCCTGAGTCGTCTGGATATGAGAAAGTTTGGCATAGAGGGCCTGCGAATCCAATCCCGATGACGAGGTAGTGGGGCGGCTCAATCCATGCTGGACATTGACTCGACTGGCAGTTCTGGCTTGATCGGAGTAGAAACCGAGAACCTCGGCAATCTGTGGATCAACCAAGAGCATCGCCGATTGGAAGAGTGCGTGAGGCAGCGCACAGGAAAGTCCATGAGGGAGGCAGTGAACCATGCGACGGACTCCATGCAGCGAGCCAGTGAAGCGACGATGCGATATACGGCAAAGGTCGAGCAGCCTCTGGCTTAAGCCGTCGACAGCGCCCGAGCGCGACGGGCCAAGGCCAACCAACGCACCTGTCTGAGTTCATCAAAGAGCCTCGAGTTGCTCTGGACCATGTCTGAGCGGTTGGCATCCGCCAATCTGGCTTTGACAATCTGCAGGCGAGCGTCGATCAGCTTGAGAGGTGTCCGGTCAAACTTGTCGAGGATATTGACATTCCCACCTGCAGCCGGAGGGGTGATCTCAGTATTGGAAGGGGTTGCCAGTAGCACCCAGGGACATTTCCTTTCCGCACGGGGCACAGTCAAGCGAGAGGGGCACTGAACCCACCAGCACGAAGCAGCACAATGACACAGTCAAGGTGGCTCGAGAGGACAGCCAGATGGAGGGGTGTGTTTCCGTTCATATCCTGGGCATGCACATTTGCTCCCCAGTCGACCAGCAGCTGGAGAATGGGGGCGTGCCCTGATTGGAGAGGTAATGAGATTCTGAGCACGACCGCAGAGCAAATGGACAGTCGAAGCACTCGGGCTCGCCTCTGACCGGCTTCACACAAGATATTCAGAGTCTGGCGAGCCAACACCAGCAGACACCACAAAGCGACCGGCATCGGCCAGACCAAGGAAGCGACAGATATGTGATCGGCGCACCTACCTCCAACACTAGCATAGTGAACAGCAGCTCTCCCACGGTCATCGCAGCCATTGACATCGAAGCTGCCAAAGCATTCGTCTACAACCGAGTTGACTCCGTGCAGCCCGCGTCCCGCCGGAATGTCATCGCTCTCCCAGATCATGCCGTCGGCAAAGTCGATTGCTTGGGCCGATCGTCCGCTCTGCTCTTCGAGTAAGAACGGCGGTCCATCGCCGTCACCGTCATCGTTGCCATTGCCATCGCTCCCGGCCTCGCTTGCACTTGTCCGGGAGGGGAAGGACATTTCGTCAGACGGGTGGATGGGTGATCCTGAGATGATTGGTAGCCAGGCTTGCTCGGGGCCATCGACACCGACTGGCTGCAGCAGCTCGGAATCCGACGGCGAAGACATTGGAGGGATGAACACCTGCCCGCGCTGGTGCTCAAGAAATGCTCGGACGTCGGCGATCCGGCCGCTGCGGACAATTTCATGGAATCGCTGCAGCACGGCACCAACATCAGCGCCCGAGTCGGGGTGGGAGCTGTCGGCGACGGCTGCAAACCCGGGTAGCCGGTTCAGCGAGCTCGAGGAAGATTGGCCCGGAGGATGATGAGCGCCATCGGACGAGTGGAGCGAGCCGCCAGACTGTCCTGTTCGAATCATTTGCACCACTGCATTTCGTAGCTGCTGGTCGATGTCAAGCGAGGGATTGGACGAGGCCGAGGTCCGTGATGAAGCCGAGGAAGCGACCCCCGACCGGTGGATTCGCTTCTTTTCCACTCTGCTTCCTGTGTGTCGGACGAGTAGAAAGGTTGGCGTCGGTTGGTTGTTGGGTGAGTTGGCAGGGGTGTCGGGGCAGTGATGGCAGGGCCGGGGAATGGAATAGACTGGTGGGCCCAAACCGGGCTGCAGGCTGGGAGCGGGTGACGACAGGGATGAATCCAGCAGCGACGTCGCATCCTGCCCGGCCGATGCCGAGCCATAATCAGGCTGGAGATGCGACATGATCAGAGGCGGACGCTGGGGCAGGGGGGAATGCCGGGCTGGAGGTGCCTTGGCGCAACTGGGAGGATGAACGAGATGGACAGATCGACAAACGGGCTGATGGATGGATCCAAGTCGACGGGTTGTTCCTGGAGACGACAGTCGCTTGCGGGCTGAACGGCGACTTCAGAGACGAGCCGGACGGCCAGGATGGCAAGATCGATTCGAGAAAAGCGATGCTGTCGGATCGGATGGAGCGACACAATCAGCATCGCCCCGCCTTCACATGGAGGCGGGGGGGACCTTTGCATTTGCTCCGGGCCAGCCGAGCGCTCAGCGACGCCCACCCCCCAGACCAAGACCGGCGGGGCACAACGACACAGACATCGATTCGATCAACAGGAGTTACAGCGTGCCGCGGCGATGAGGACATAGGTCCATCGAAGCTGCTATGAGCTGGAAACAACACCCAAACATTGCATCCGGTGAGCAACCTTTTATTGCGATTGCCCCGTATGGCAGCTTGGCCAATGCACCGGATCCGCGAACATCAGCCCGCATCTGTGGGGCTCTGCTTGGTGGGTGCATGCGTCCCATAATGTCCGAGAGATGCAATGGAGCTGGATGTGCGGGCTTTCTTGAAGGGAATTGCTCTTGGACAGACCGATCACAGTCGAACTCTTTCTCTCGGGCGCGATGGGTGGCTCAATGGGGGTGGCTGGAAGGTGTTGTTTCAAGAAGAGACCGACGCCTCTCTAGAGCTGCATTGCGCCGGCACGCTTCTTGGTCTCATTCCTGGGGAAGAATGCGCGGGTAAGGATTGGATAAGCATTGTAGATCACAGTCGGGGAGGGAATTTACGCCCTCATCGCGCAAGACTCTCGGTCGGATGGAGAACATCATGATCCGCTTAGCCAATGTCAAGATGAACTGCCGTGGATCGGCTCCGACAAACCAACAGACACCTACTGGAGCTGAACGTAAAAGTCCTCGACTTCCTCGTCATCTTCCCACGTTGCGGCCCATGAATTGGGGTTGGGCTGGTCATCCTCGATACCTGTCCGGACGGAAAAGCAAAATTTTGCCCTTGAGTGCGGTGGTGGGGGTGCAGATTGTATCATTGGAGGCAGAAACGGCAAATCCAGACCGCGCAGTGATCGACCACAATCCAGTCCAACCCAGCCCGGGCAATAAATCAGTAAAGACGCACATTCCGCAACAAAGTCCTCGAACTGGTCGTCGTCCTCGAGCGTCGACTTTGGCTTTTGATCCTGGACGGCCTTGGCCTCCTCCTTCTGTGTCGGCTTCTCCTCTTTGGCCATGGTGCGCTGGTTGGTCGTGGATGCAAGAGCGGCGATGATGTGCTGGAGCGAAGGTTGGTCCCGGACGACGATTTGAATGAGGCCGCCGAGCGATTGGTGCGCACCAACCAGGGTGCACACCCTGGAGCGAGCCATTCGAGCCAGGCTCCAGCCGGATCCATATGGCTGGTTGAGGTCGATTTTTTTTTTTTTTTTTATATTTCACTTTAAAGCTATCAAGGCCTGGTCGGCCCTAGCAGTACTTGGGGGAAAGAAAAAGAAAAAGAAGGAGAAAAATAACAAGGGATGGAATACTCATAGGCCTAATGGGCAGTTTGCGTTCGATGAAAGCTATATGCCCTCATCTCTCGCTCTGCTTCGACCATGCCGCCTATCGCCTGGGGGGTTTCCACCCCGCCTTGGCGATGATCAGCGTCTTGAACACTCTTCGGAGTGTTCGCCACAGGAGATGGACATCCGGGTCTTGCCAGTTGAACCTTCTCATGCCATCCAGCTCGTAGTAACCCACTACGTTCGTCAGGTCCAGGAGCTTATCGATCGGACCGACCTTTTCGTGGCCGCTTTCTTGCCACTCGGGGTGCCGCAGCTTGAGTTCGTCCACTATCCGTTGCCACGAGCCGCCTCTTCCGACGCAGCTCTGGGTGTGGGTCCGGCACATCGCGACGAACTCTCCTCGGCTCTTTGTGCAGGAGACACACAGCCGATAGTGGCCATACGGGTGTCCAGGAAAGGCACCGAGGGTCCATCTTACCATCATGTTGTGATAGTATCGATCTCTCTTGGGCCCTCGCTCGGCCCACAGTCCCGACATGGTCGTCGTCACGGTGCGGGCCGAGGTCAGTTCCTTTGACCTGTCGAAGCCTTGCGCGTCCTCGATGTGAATCTGCAGCTTGACTGGTGGCCCTGGGAGCTGGTAGTAGCCATTCCTGAACAGCTCCTTCATCGGGTAGTCCGGCTGGCACTGCTCTTTCAGCACGATCAGCTGCCGCCAGTACTCGTCGAGGTAGAACTGGGAGCCGAGGGATGCATCCATCAGGCTGGGCTGGATGCGGGAATATCTCAACACCATCGAGACCATCTTGTCGTTGTGGTCCAGACGGTCTTCCCAGACGGCTCGGTTCTGGAGGGCCAGCTGTTTGAGGCGGTTGGGCAGGGTGATGAGTCCGCATCCGAGATGCATCGCTCCGTAGGATGTGTTCCGCACCACTCTGAAGAGTCGGGTCAGACAGTGCATCTGTGCTCGTCTGAGTATCACGGCTTGCTGCTTCGTGAGCACTTCGAGGGTCAGTCCATACTCGAGCATGGGCCGAACGAAGGTCTTGAACACCCTCGTCACTGTCTTGGCCGAGTATCGGCCCAGACTCATTCCGTGCTTCACCAGCTTGTCGGCGGCACCTCTAGCCTTGTGGGTGAGGTTCTGGATCTGGCGGTCCATCCTGAAGCCGTTGATGTCGACGATGGCTCCGAGGTACCGGAACTCCTTGGCGACTGGCAGCTCCTTGCCGTACAGGTACACCTTGGCATCCTTCTCTGGGTGCTGTTCGGTGAACATCACCTCGCACTTTGGGGGCGAGAACTGGTATCGATTCTCGATGCTGTGGGCCTCGCAGATGTCGAGGAGGCGCTGGGTCTGGTTGGGGCGGCAGATGAGCACCCCATCGTCGGCAAACCACAGTGAGTTGACCTGGACGGCTCGTCCTCGGGTGGTGGTTAGGGTTGTTCCACCGTCTGCCCGGAGTTTCCCAGGGAGGTCGTCGATGAACACGCTGAACATCAGCGGGCTCAGGACCGATCCTTGGATCAGTCCCTTCTGCAGCCAGACCGGATTGGACCGACGGCTCTTGCTAACGACTTGAATCTTCACATCGTCGAACATGGCCTTCAAGAGCCTGAGGGTGATCGTACATGGGGTGCGCTCTTCAATCTTGTCCCAGAGCTTCTCCCTCCAGACAGTGTCGTAGGCCGCCTTGATGTCGAGGAACACCAGGGAGTACTCCTCGCCCGCCAGCTGGCGGTCCTTGATGAGCGTGTCCAGGCCAAAGATCTGGTCGAGGGTGCCTCGCTCGGCCCGGAATCCACCTTGGGCAATGTCCATCAGTCCGAGCTTTCGGTTGAGCAACGGCAGCAGTGCTCGCTCGACAACCTTTCGGCAGACCTGGGTCAGTCCAATCGGCCTGTACATTGCGGGGTCGAGGGGCGATCCCTTGTTCTTGTAGACGGGATGGATCAGCACTGTACTCCACTCAGTTGGGACCACGGACGCCTTGATGGCTGCTCCCATGAGGAAGTAGAGCCATATCGAGACTCTATGTGCGTTGGGCTGGAGCAGTTCGATCTTGATCCTGTCCGACCCTGGGGCCTTCCTTCGTGGTGTTGTAATGATCGCCTCCTTGATTGCCCGTGGGCTGATTATGGGGAGCTCGTAGCTGGGGGGGAGTCGTCTACGCTCTTGGCTCGGTGTAGGGGGCTCGAGTGTTCGATCGAACCCGTTCGCCGTGGCCGTTGAGTCCGCCGAGACTCTGCCGAAGTGGCAGACGAGTCTCTCCAGCGCTTCGTCAGAGTTGTCGAATCGGTGGGCACCTTCCCGGGCCTTTCGCTTCTGCATGGCCCCGAGCGTCTTGGAAAGCTCAGTGCTGTTCATGCGGTTGATTTTCTCGGCCAGTTTCTCGTTGCTCGCTTTTCGGCACTTTCGGATGGCCCGGTTGAGGTTTCGTCTGACCACCCTGATTTTGTCTCGAAGGTTCTCCTTCATGACAGGGTCCGTGTGGTGCCTCTTGAGCTGCTTCTGGAGCTTCTTCCTCTCCTTGGTCAGATGACGGATCTCGACGGTGAGCTCCGGGGTCTTCCAGATCAATTTGACCTGTGTTTTGCCCAGGACGCTATCTGCCACCGTGTTGATTGCATTCTTGATGACTTCCCATGCTTGGTCCATGGCCAGCTGTGCGTCTGCCTGGCTGATGGGTATCTCGGTGCCGTCGTGGATGGGCTGGAGGAGCCTCTCTATCTCGTTTAAGACTAGGCCGCTGACTCGCTCAATGGCGCACTTGTACGTTTCCCAGACCTCCGGGTTCTCGAGGAGTCTGAGGTTCCACTGCCAGTTGTCGGCTTTTGGGTACACACTCCTCGTGAGTTTCACAGTGGTCCAGATCAGGCGGTGGTCGGATATGAGGTATTGTCCCTCCATGTCCACCTTGAGGAGCGGGTCGTTGTTGGCTTCCGCTTCCGACACAAAGATATAGTCGATGGTCGATCTTCGGTTACCCCGGATCCGAGTTGGGGTCGGGATCGCTGCCGGTGGGATGATTTTCATCCTGGCTCTCCGCAGGGTGGTCGTGAGGGCGGTCTCCTTGGCTCTGTTTATCACCCTTCCGCCGTTGAGGTCGCTCAGCGACAGGTTGAAGTCTCCCATCACGATGACTTGGGCATTGGGCATCCGCGCATACTTTTCAATCGACTGTACTGCTTGCGCAAACTCTTCGGTCTTCACCGGGTGGGGGATATAAAAGTTTCCGATGTATGTTCTGGTGCCGTACCTGGTCCACGTGTACAGCTTTCCCTCGTCGGTCTCTTCGATGTTCAGGTCGTCGGGATCGATTGTCTCGGGGTTGAACACCAGCGCCAGTCCACCGCCCAGGCTGTCTGTTCGACGGGCCTCATGGGCTGTGACCTTGGCCAAGGGGTTCCGCGCTTCCGGTGCCAGTTTCGTTTCCTGAATTGCGATGAAGTCTACTCCTTCGTTCTTCAGGATCTCTCGGATGGTGTGCTCCGTGGAGACACCATCCTCGGTGCTTTGACCATTTACGTTAAAGGATGCGACGGTGAGGTTGGTCTTGACCTCCGCGTCTCCTTCGTCGTGGGGCTGATTCATAATCGCTCTGCGGCCCCCGCCGCTTCGGTCTCAGTATGAATCTGGTATGACCTTTCGATCACCCCCTCGACCAGGTCTGACGAGCTCCGAAGCGCTTCGGGTACCGTCTCGGCCGGTAGGTCTGTCTGTTGCTGCGTCTCAGGCTCCGCTTCCACTTCTATAGCTCGTCGGCTTGGGGTGGTCTGTGCTTCTTCGCGCTGGCGGGGATTGTTGCGGATGTTCTCCGCCACGGGGTATTCCCGTGGGTCGACCCTGACGCTGTCCTTGTCGATCGTCAGTCCTCGTCGGACCAGCGCCAGAAGCCGATCGAACTCGGGCCGATGTTCTCTGGGCACTCGCATCTGGATGTCTCGGACGACCGTCATTCCGCGTGCACGGGCTGCTTGGGTCACCGAGGCATACAGGAACCTGCGCATATGGTTGCGCTTGTCTTGGGGCGATGTCATTTTGACCGGTGGAGCTGCAGGGTTGAAGTTCGGGAGGTGGGTCACCACCGGCCGCCGTCCTGGGGGTTTGCAGAGGGACTTGATGATTGCGTCTGCGTCTCGGCTGTCCCAGAGGAGGAGATCGATAATGTCTCGTCCGTGGAATGAGATGTCGGCGATCTTTCTGTCGTCAATGCCGCATCCCTTGAGGGCCGTTCGGATGAGCTTCAGGCTCATGGCCTGGATTCCCTTGAAGTACAACCGTTTGGTTCTTGAGAACTTATCTCTCAGCATTGGGCTTTCGAGGTCAGCATTCTCGATGCTACCACTGATGGCCGCGGGTCTCGTTTTCTGGCGCGCACCTTGGAGCATGCCTATCCACAGCTTTGGCTGCTTGATCTGGGGCTGCAGGGCGATGCGTGTGGCAATTTCTTGCGGCTTTGGTTTGGCCGCGGGTACATGTCCCATCGGCTTAGGCTTGGTGTCCTGTGATGTGCGGGAAGGGGGAGTGGAGGCTTTCTCTCTGGTTTTCTCAGCCTCCCGTTGTTGCTCTCGGGCCGCCTTGAAGATGACTTTGCTCGAGTTCGAGAGCTCCAGTCCTTCTTTGATGAGGGCGTTGAGCGCACCCTCCGTGTGTCTGGTTTCTTCTGCCGTGGGAGGGTTGTGCTTCTCGGCCAGGGCCACATTCAGGGCGTTTTGGAGCTGGGCCACGAACTTGCCCATGATGTTCTCCAGGAGGGCGATGTGGTTTTGCTTGGCTAGCTTTTCTGGGGGGTCTGGGCGTGCATCCTCGTCTCGCCGAGCGGCTGGCTCGGCGTTGTTTGCCTTGCCCGCCACCGCCTGGGCATAGGAGATCTTCCCTATCCCGTTGATAGCTGCTGGTCTGTGCTGGGCTTCGATCCTCGCCTGTGTATGCTCTTGGATCTTCAGGCCACAGCGTTGGTAGAAGGTGGCTTTTTTCGATCCTAGAACCGACTCGGCTGCCACGAGGTATCTCGCTCTATCTTGGTTGGATGAGCGGGTCATTCTGCCCCAGAACACCAGGGCTGGCATCTGTCCGCGGCAGGGAGTGCCGTCGAGGACGTTGGGGCACCGGAGCTGGACCTCTTGGCCATTCTTGATGGGCGTCCAGGTCGAGGTGGCGTTGGACTTGCACACTTGGCATTCCACAGTGTGCTGGAGCTCGGGGAACACTGTCCTCCAGAGCTCGGGGGACATCTTCTCAACCGGGATGTGTTGAGCGGCATATCTAAGTTCGCCAACGGTGCTGGCCAGTCGCCATGCTGCGTTGAAGAGCTCCCTCGCGGTCTTGGCCTGATCGCGGGGGGATTCTCGAGATTCCGCCAAGATCTCGGCAGCAAGGTAGTTGAGGCTGTTTCGCATGGACAGCCCACTTCGGTCCCCAGCCGCTTCACGCCTTCTCTCTACGAGGGTTGGAGTGGTCAGGGCGGATGGACGGGCGACGGTCTGTTCAAGGCCGGGAGGCTCGGCCATGTCTTCGAAGTCGGCGGTTTCGTCTTCGGCTGGAGGCTGGTCAGCCACTTCAGGAGCGGTGTGATCTTGGGCCGGATCGGCCCCTTGGCTCAACCTCAATTGGTTGAGGCGGTTCTCCCGGTCTTTCTTGGACCCAGTGACAGCGAGACCTCGTTCCTTGCAGGCCTGTTTGAGGGCCTTGTCGGTGAGGGTTTCGAGGTCAGGGGGCAGAAAGATGGCGAGCTGGCCCTCTATAGGGACCGCGCCTCTGGGGGGTTGGGACGCCGCAGGAGTCGCCACTGGCATGGCTCTTCGGCGAGCTGGTTGAATGGGGGGGGGTCTAGGACCAGTCCCTCTCGGGGAGGGGGCGGTCGTTGGGGGTAGTGTGAGGTTTACTATCACGTCTCGCTCTCTCAAGATTCCCGAAAAATCGAGATCAGGTGAAAGCTTGGTTGAGGTCGATCTGCGACAGCAACAGACACCCCGCAATCCGGATTGCAACGGCGAGTGCGATATGGCACACACAAGTGAAGCCCATTACTCTCTGCCCTCGCCCTTCCGAATGATACTATATTTTGCCAGATGTACAAAGTATGTACAGAGAGATCCTGGGTCTGGGTCTGGTCTCCAGTTCTTTGACAGAATATTGTATTTCCAGAGACGCCGAGGTCTGCAAAGATGCGCGCTTCCATGGCGGGTCGGATCGACGTCATGGTGCGTTTGCGGTGGAAATGTGCTCACGGTTTCTTGATGTCTTTGGAGAGATCCCAGACCTCGGTCTTCAGTTCGAGATGAGCGACATTGGCATTGTCCTACGAACGGTGCAAACATGAGCACAATCATGGGCGGCAGCGACGACAGGCGCGGCATCGATCTGAGGCGCCACTTGGGCCCATAACTCACGATCAGCTTCAGCAGCTCGTTGCGGAGAGCCTCGACTTCAGACTTGGTGGCGGCCTGAGCAACGTGCTCTTTAAGACGGCCCTCGACGATTTCGATCTTCTTGGAATAGCCACTGATCTGCAGTATTTGACCAGGTGGCGGTCAGCAAAAGTCTCCGACCCGAGTAATCCGGCGCGGTCCACGGGTTGACCCCAACGGGATAACATGGTGAAAGGCCCGATGTTTCATCCAGCCATCAGATGATATCCAAGCACATGCGCCATGTGGTCGAGTGTCATCCGTTTGGGGGCCGGGAGGCGTGCAAGCGACTGGGCTGAGATGGCTGGAGATGAATGGGTGGATCGTGATTCACTCAGTCGATTCCATCATACCTTGCTGGTGGACTTTTGCAGATCCTCGACTGAGGACAGCAGCGAAAGCGAAGACTTGTTGTAGTCGTCAACGAGGTAGACATAGGCCGTGCTCTGGCGAAGGGGACAAATGCGATCGCAGGTCAGCCACGAATAGCTCGGCCCTCCGTTGCATCCGATCACTATCCGACTATTTACCCCGGCCAAAGTCAGTCCAAGGAGGAATCCGATGATGCTATCCGATATCGTCAGAGTCGGTGGGTTTCGAAATGGCACACGGCGGATTGTGAGCGAGCGGCATCGTGGAGATCGTTAGAGCTGGTGCGCGACAGATATGCTTGCAAGACCAGGACCTTCCGGACAGATGACGCTGCCGAAAAAGCGCGGAGGATTGGAGACAGCGAGGGTAGCTGCCAGCTAGGGGCAACTTCTCAGAGTCCACAGCGCTGCGAACGGGCCAAGACGAACACCTGGACAGTACCTGCCACGAACGAAGCCTCCCTCACGCCGGGCTGGGGCGGGTGCCGCGGAAGACATCCAGCGGGCGCCGTGGTGATAGAGCGAGCGGGAAGCTGGGCGAACGAGACCGATCATATCGTGCTGTTGCTATTGCTATTGCTGTTGCTGCGTGCAGGCTGGATGAAGGAAACGGGCAGGCGCTGGGCGACATCACAACCAAATCCCAAACGAGCAAACCTCGAGCGACCGGAGCCAGACCCGTGACCGGCGTGGCGCTGGCTTGGACATGTCGGCCTGGGTGCCCGGCAAAGTATACAGAGAGCTCGATTGCCATGCCGCTTCAAGAGCTGCAATTCAATTCTCGTCTCGGACATGCAGCCAGTAGCCCGATTGGATGGTAGATCTAGCCACAATAAGTCGGTCTGAGTTGCGGAAACAGAGAGGGGCAAGCGCCCTCGTCTGCTTTCTGGAAGGCCACTAGAAGTATATCGCCAATCACGATGACGACGCAGCCGATCCTCCGATACTGGCAACCACCGTTCTGAACAAGGGCAGCAGCAATGTTGACGAAAATGCCGAGAATGCCGTCGTCCGACTCCAGCCATCACCAGTCCGAGCATCGACGGACAGGTCGCCTCTCGAACACGGCGGCTCTTCTGACCAGATCCCGTCTGGATTCCCACACTGCCAAACATCCAGACCTGCATCATCCACAACCGTTCGACAAGCCTTCTGAAAGCACGTCAATAGAGCCTCATTTCGGTTGTCGAAGAGCTTTCCAAGATTTGATACCCACGCGCGATTCGATTCGCTTCGCTTTGCGACAGCCAAACATCGCAACAAGCATCCAAAGTCTCACCGCGCGATATTCCTTTGCCTGTGACTCCGCACCAACGTTGGTCAAGGGAACTGAGCGACCATTAATATCGCTCCTCATCATCAAACACACACTTTCCCTGATTTGAATAGCGAGTCTTCCATCTTGCGATCCTGTCCGGATTGGTCAGGAGTATTTTGAAACCAGAAGACACGACGACGACGACGCTTCAGCCATCCGTGTGCAGCTGTCAGCTTGCATCGAGCCCACTCGAATATGAGCTCCACTCTTGTTCCTCGGATAGTCACCAAAGACGCCAGCGGCGATCGGTCGTCCCCGAGCGGTCTTGTCCAGCTCGAGTATGAGCGGTCGCTGCTGCTCGACGAGTCCGAAGAGCACCCCTCGATTGAGCTGTTTTCTCCATCCACTTTACAAGCCCCATCCGGCCCCAATGGCCGCTCCAGACCAATGGAGCGGCGATATTCGGCAGACGAGTCATCACGGACGAAGGGGCCTAAACACTCGCCGAGGTCTCGGAGACAAACTCTGGCCACACCTACCCTCACCAAAGTCGAACCCGAAGGTACTTCGAGGAGCACCAAGCGACGATTTTCGCTCGATGGCAACCTCGTCTTTGTTCCGCGGAATCCCACCTCGAGCAGCCTCACTGGCAGCTTCGATCGATCCCTGGGGACGCGACCGACATCGATCCTGCGCAAGACGTATTCGAGCTCCTCTGAAGACCGCTCTGGATCGCTGTCGCTCAAGAAGAAGGGTGTCGAGTTTGACCTCAAGCACGGACGACGCACCCGGCGCATCTGGGCCGATGGGACCGTCATTCAGTTGTACTTCAAGGCGCGAACGGAAGAGTCCATCTTCATCAAAGGACTGTACTTGAGCCGGCCCCAGGTGAACTTTGTGGTTACCTTCCATGGACTGATAACGGCTCAGCAGAAGCGCTCGAGCAGGTCGCAACTGGATCTGACCGAGGCCCCCAAGGTCGGTCTCTTTGTATCGGATCTCGATGTCTCGTATCGCCGAGGAGGCATCCGGGGCGTTCTGAGAGGCAAGAGACCAAAGAAAGACAGCTGGGGCGAGGCCAAGGTGCTGTGGACGATCGATGGCGGCCGCACCGTCTTTGAGCTGCTGGCGCATTCGCATCGGGCAAGCCTATCTTCAAGCCCCCAGAGCAGCCCGGAAACAGGTGCCCCGACCGCGGCCGATATCGAGGAATTTGAGTTTTTTCTGGACATCAAATCCAAGCTCATTCCTGTGATCGAGAACCTGTTGGCGGAAGACGACGAAGATGAGGACGACGTAGAAGCCAGTGTCAAGCCCTACTCGGCTGAGGGCGTCTTGCAGCTGGCCGGCGTTGCGGTTCCTCGGACCAAGGGTGGCGTGAGAAGGGTCGAGCGAACTCCAGCTCGGCTGTCGTTTCGGGTGATCCGGGCGTTGACACCTGCTGGAGGAAACGACCTGGACGAGAACTTGCGGCGCACCCTGGACGAGATTGAAGAGACATGCACGACCGGAAAGACCACCGATGTAGAGAAGAAACAGGGCAAGATCCGCCAGAGCATGAGTCCGACTGAATCAGCCGGCAGACTCGTCGACAGCGGCTCCCGGAGTGACCCGAGCCCGGCTTGGGCTGGGCCCGACTCTGATGAAGACCCAACCCCGCAGTTCCAGAATCGCTTCGCAATGTTCCATGGGGCCGTCGCGGACCAGGGCCACAGAAGCAAACCGCCGGTCTTGGTCATCCGCAACAGCGCCGACGAAAGCGACGACAGCGACAGCAGCGATGAGGACGAGCGGCCCGGTCGCCGGTCCGTTCAAGCAGCGAGTCCGCGCAGATCATCGAGGAGCCCTTCTCCGATCGAGAGCAGGTCGATGCGATCGCCAAAGCTATCGATTGCCAATCCCGATGCATCATCAGCGGCGCAACATCAGCCGCCGGAAGGCTTGCTTGGTGTCCATGCCCAAGGATCTTGGCTGACCACCCGCAAACAATCTTCCGACAGCAACCGGAGCTCGGTTAGCTCCACTGTCACGGATTCGGCAGAGTCCGACGGCAGTGGAAGTGCAACTTCGAGAACCTCGGACATCATCCGATGGTCATGCAAGGGACGCCGGCGAAGCTCTGGACCCAAATGGAACTATTCCCGGGGCCCGACCATTACCTCGATCGAGCTCTCCGAGGAGCTCAAGCGGTCAGTGTGGAGCTCTGGGACGTCACCTCGTTCAGAGTCGGGCAGCACTGACCAGAGCCAAAGCTCCATATCAACATCGTCATCGACGCCAACTCCCTCCCAACAATCTAGTTGCTCGGAAGACACCTCGAGTCGCGAAAGCGGGCAAGTCGACCAAGAGCACATTCGGCCGGCTGAGCTGCCATTTCTTGGACACATCTGCCCAACCCATATCGCCCTCGATACAAGCGGACTGATGGTGCCGTTCCTTCTCATGGACCAGCGATCTCTGTCCCTGACCTTTGAGAACAGCGGTTCTTCACCTGAGAGAGACAGCCCGCTGCTCTCGCCAATCGTGGGAAGTACCCCGAGTTCGCGCCAGATCTCGATTATTGATACAGAGGACCAAAACGCAGAGCACCAGGATGTGCCGTTATTCTCGTTCGTTGAAACGACCAACCAACGTAGTTGCTGCGACATCGTCCGGCCGACAATCGAGGAAGTCATAGTCATCACCGACGACACGGACCCGCAAGGAAGCATATTGACGCCGCAAGAGCCACACAAGGTCAAGCCAGCATCGAAAGAACTGCACGCAAGTGGAGAGCATGGCCCTCCAACTCGACGACGATCAAGCGATTAGGGTCTCAAGTTGCAGTGAAACTGCCCACACCACACCACACCACACCACACCACACCACACCACACCACACCACACCACACCACACCACACCACACCACACCACACCACACCACACCACACCACACCACACCACACCACACCACACCACACCACACCACACCACACCACACCACACCACACCACACCACACCACACCACACCACACCACACCACACCACACCACACCACACCACACCACACCGTATACCGTCATCCTTAGGCCGCTTAACAGTTTCGCAGGTCGTCTCTGTCGCTGCTAGCTTCGCGGAGGGACATACGCACTTGGTCAGAGAGATGCTGAGAACGAGGATGCCACATCCGATCTCTGTGGAATTGTACACAAAGGAAGTATATGGAACATGGAGCATAGCACGAACGGTGATATCCTACACACCCCTGTCCAAACAGAGGCAAGTGCATGTAGTGGCCTGTCCAAAGGCGGACATCAGAATTAAGCGACGAGCACGGTGGCGTTCTGCGATAGCAACCAGGGACCAACGAGCACCAGATACAGTGTAGAGTGCGTGGAGGAATACGATGAAGGCGGTGAAGTTGGACAAGTGCAAAAATAACGATAGCGGGTGGAAGATGAGCCGGGGTGTACAAGTACGACCGATAGGATGGAGGCACAAAGGTGAATCAACAGAAGTAGAAAGGGAGCGGTGTCGATACTAGTTACATGAACGGTCACTTGAGGACCATCGGCAGCCAAGAAAACAAGGGAAGGGCAAGCCTCAAATCTAAAGAAACCCACTATCCGGAGAGTCTGTCACATCACGGCATTTGCAGAGACATCTAGCTTGGCAAAGGAATCTTCGAAGACGGCGACAGACAGTGCCAGAGAGAGACGTCCGTCAACGGCGGGTCAAATATCCTGTCGGTGGTCGACCAGCGCCTGGTTGGCATCGGCTTCGGTAAAGTCATCGACCTGTGCGTGGTCGGTGTGGACCGAATTTGCGACAGTCACAGTGCTTTCGTCGGCGTTGAACTCTTGTTGCTGGGCAGCAACAGCGGCGGCAGCCTGGCGGTGGCGAGAGAGCATGTTAAATGATGGCCGAGGTCTGCGCCCGTGCTGCAGAGGCTCGGTCTGCCGGCATGGTTCATTGAGGCCATTTTTAGCCAGCCAGCCAGCCAGCCATTCAGCCGCGCTCGGCAATGGCTAAACCTGTCACTCTCCAGCAAGTGGATCGTCTTCACCCAATCAAGCCCGGACCAGGCAGGCCCTCGCTGCAGGCTCGCTGCTCTTCCACGAGCAAGCACTGCTTGTGCAAACATACCATAGCCGCGGCAGCAGAGACAGCCGCTGTTCCATCGGCAAAGTGTGCCTGTCGGCTGTTGAGGGCGTGAGTGTGCTTGATGGTCTTGAGGTGAGTACCGACATTCGAGAGCTGTGGCTGGCGACCGCCGTTTCGCAGCGAGATCGTGACGGGGCGTGAGCTGCAGATCAGGCACTTCCAGATGCCCTCCGGCCCACGATCAAGGCGAGCTTGCTCGATGCCGACGTGGTAGTCAATGTCTTTGCGCAGATGGCGCGTGACGGGAGATTCATTGAGATGGCGCTCGAGATCAAGGAGAAGTGTGTTGAGGTCGTAGCTCTGGAGGACCTGCTGCGAGCTGTCATCGGAGCCGACATCAGTCTCGGTGCGTCTGCGCTTGCGCGACGGCGATGAGCCCGGGGGCGACAGACCAAGCAGCTGCTGGGCATGGTCAAAGACCAGCGAGTGGTAGTGCGGGTTGTGGTTGGCGACGAACTGGATGATTTGCTTGCGGTAGCCAGGCTTGAGGGTTCGCTTGGTGTAGATCTCGGCTGCGCTGATGTCGTTGTGGGGGTCGTTCAGGTTGATGTTGAGGGAGCGAACGGACTCGATGGTCTCGTACCCGGCATCGAACAGAAAGGAGACGGCCTCGGTGTTGACGTGGGGAGCCATCTGGCTGATGAGCAGCTGGCGGGCATGCTCGGCTGTGATGGCCTCGAGCAGGAGCGAGGGCGGTGGCGTTGTAGGCAGAGCCTGAGAATCGACAGGGACCTCGGGCGCAGGCGAATCGGCCGAGGGCTGCGAGTCCGGCTGCTGGCTGAGGTGCGAGAGGTTGATGAGAGCCTGGGAAGCCGAGCTTTCCATGATGATCATGAAGGAACCGGTGGAGCAGGACGGGGGCTTGGTTTGGTTTGGCTTGGAAAGGCCTGGCGGGAGGCTGGAATGCGAGAGGGTGGATGGAGTGAATGCACGATGGATGGAGTGAGAGAGAGTCGAATCCGCGCTGGTTCGAGGGCGCAAAAACGCAAACGCGAGCGGCGGGGGCGAGAGGCGGGGGCGAGGAGCGAGAGCAGCCAAAGGCTGCGCCGAGACGCCACCGAGACGCCACCGAGAAGCGGCTGCGCCTTCGTCGCTGCGCACGGCACGTGTTTGGGAGCGTGTGGCTTGGCATGTATTACATCAGCAGCACGTGGACATGCCAGGCAAGGGGGCTTGCCGACCCTGGTGCAAGGCACAATCCGCAACGATGCGCCATGATGTGCCATGATGTGCCATGATATGCCATGATGCACCGGCGCCGTCAGATTTTGCTGAGAAGCTCGTGCAGGTCGTTGTTTTCGTAGATCTGGACAACCGTGGGGCTGTGTTTGCTTGCGATCCAGTCCTCGGCCACCTTCCTCATCGCCGCCGCGACATTGCCGGTGGAGATGCCCAGGGTTTTCCTCATCGTCTCTGTCAAGAGATTGGTGTAGACCATGTGTCCCAGGTGCTCCAGCGGGCGAGATGATGGGCGCCTGTCCTGGCCAATATCCAGGAGACCGGGCCGCAAGATCGTCAGTCGGTCGAACCCGAGATTGGCACAGTTGAACTCGAGGAGGCCCTTGGTCCGTGGGTAAAGGAAGTAGGAGCATTTGTTGGATCCAGCCGACGTCAGCAGCACAAAATGGCTGGGCTTGCCAGGCTCGGTCTCGGCATGGTATAGCTGCGCCGACTTCAAGACGTAGTCGTGGTCGATCTTGACAAAGTTCTCGGCCGATCCAGCATCCGCCCTCGTTGTTCCGAGACAGCAGAAGCCAACATCGTGTCCGCGAAAGTATTCTCGATCTGGGGGAAGAGCGCTGTTAATTTGAGCGAGCAGCGCTAGGTCCCGGCGCTGGCTCAGATAATCGGAAAGACTACGGCGCTGTGCGATACACCGGCATTGGTAGCAGCGTCCAGAGGCCTCCATCGGAGCAGACGACACTCTTGTCACCCAGCCATGCAAGAACAGCGCATGCCCTTCCAGAGACAGCGCGCATCGCTTACGTTCCTCGAGCTTGTCGAAATCGACGATCTTTTCAACAAGCTTCGAGTTGGTCTTGGGAAAGTCCGCCTTTTCGTCGTCTTTGAAGGCCCGGCGATGGATTGTCGTCACTTTGCTGAACCTGGGTGAATGCAGCAACTCGGATACCAGCTGGACCCAGGTTGCCCGACAGCAATGGGCGATGTGAGTCAGCAAGTCTGAGAGTAAAACGGGATAGTGCAGTATCTGGCCTGATCCGACGGGCAGCAACGGCACTTTCTTGGGATTCAGTGCGGGCGGATGCCCCCAACCGAAACAACAGCAACAGGCTTGTCCTGCGACTGCCATGCCAGCATCAAGCGGATACGCACTTTCTTGCCGACCATGCCGGTGGGGCCAAGAACAAACGCTGAGAGATCGCCGCTTGCCATTTCGTGAGCAGTGGAAGCAGGCCGCTGATGGTGGAGATGCAGTCCAAGTCGTTGGCGGGCCTGGACCGGGCAGGCCGGCAGCTGAAAGGCGGGACCTCGCACATTGATCCAGGCAACAACCGCAGAACCGCCCTTTTCCTTTCTCTCCTCTCGCTGCGGCCGCCAACATTATCGCTGTGCACCAAGATCACCATGGACGAAAAGGACAAGCTCATTGAGCGTCTCCGTGCCGAAAACGAGGGCCTCCGAAGGCAGATCCAACTGCTGTCGAATCCATTGGGGCAGAGCCCAGCGGCATCTCACCCAACTTCAGCAGCCTCAATAGCCACAGCAGCTGCCAACCCAGACAAACTCGATACACAGCGCAGTCCCTCGACCAAACTGACGAATGCCGAGATTAGCCGGTTCAGCCGGCAGCTGCTCGTGCAGGATATCGGAGTAAAAGGTGCCTCCTTTGCCCTCGGCGCTGGATGGAGTGGCCTGGATGAGGTGGCCAGTGGTCGCTATGGCATTCATGGGCAGATCGGCAGACTTATGCGGCCCGCGATTTCGTTCGCAAACACAGGCCAGCTCGGCATCAAGAACGCATCCGTACTTGTCGTTGGGGCCGGCGGCCTCGGCTCCCCGGTTATCCTCTATCTCGCTGCCGCAGGCATAGGTTCGTTGTTGGCTCTGTCCTCGGTGCCATCGTCAGCCATCGCTGCCGCCGTGCCCAGGAACCTGCGATTCGAAAGTGGCTGACCACGGCGTTCCGGCAATTGTGCCGCAGGGCGCATCGGCATCGTTGACTACGACAGGGTGGAAGAGAGCAACCTCCAGCGCCAGGTTATCCACGATGAAGCCAAGATCGGCATGTCCAAGTCTCAGTCAGCCAAGGAGGCTGTCCATCGGTACGAGGATCGGTGGTTGATACAGATACGAGGTGCTCAGTATCCTGCTGAACGCCCGACGAGGCCGGCTGCTTTGCTCATCATCGCTTGTCTTGTGGTCGTTCCAGGCTTTCGTCCTTTTGCGACTGTATCGCGTACGATATCCTTCTGACCAGCACCAATGCCACCGAGATCCTGCGCGATTATGAGATCGTGGTGGATGCCACCGACAACGTCGCAACCCGGTATCTGCTAAATGACGCCTGCGTCTTGGGTAACAAGATCCTGGTCTCTGGGTCGGCCCTGAGGATGGACGGACAGGCAGGTGTCTGCAATCGCACGACGCCATCTTGGATCGCATGTGGATTCATATCAGCCTCAAGTACTCTGAATCGACCGGGGCCGGATCATCACTGGCCATCATGGCTCATGAATTTCGCGCAGAGGGGAGATTCAAGTGAACGCCCTGGGTCGACGGGGCCGATTCTAGCTGATTCCTGCTGATTCCGGCTGCTTCTTGTTACTCCAGCTCACGACCTACAACTACAAAGGCGGGCCGTGCTATCGATGCATCTTCCCGACCCCTCCGCCGCCTGAAACGGTGACAAACTGCAGCGATGGGGGTGTCGTCGGCGTTGGTAGGCCCAGGTTTCCAGCAAGAGTCGGGGATTGCACCACATTTGCTGCACTGCTGCCTTGCCTACTCAAACTTGCATGTGAGCTTCCGAGGTCGACTGACACCGACCGATACAGCGCCTTACGTCTCATGTATTTTTCGTCTATTCTGGTTTATTCGCGACTACAGTCACGGGCATTATTGGATGTATCCAGGCACTTGAGACCATCAAGATTGCATCGGGACTGGGAGGTCTGTATCGACTGTGTGGACGGCGCGATAGTGCTCCATCGAGTGCCCTTTGCCTCTGCAGCATCCGAGCATTATCATGGATGAAGGACTGACACACCCTCCACTTCTTGCCGCGTAGCTTCCTTCTCTCAGAAGATGCTCCTCTTCGACGCAACCCTGTCAACATTCCGAACAGTCAAGTTGCGGGGTCGACGGAGTGATTGTGCTGTCTGTGGAGATCGACCAGAGATCCGCGCGCTGATCGACTATGTGCAGTTCTGTGGAGCTTCGCCGACCGACAAGGTGGGTGACTGCACCATCTGGTGGGCGCATCAGCAGTTTGGCGAGTCAATGAGAGGCGGGTGGGTCGGAGCAATCGAAAAGGGGTCAAGGGGCCATTGAGCGATGACAGATCTGCGATAAGTGTGCTCTGTTGCTGTATGTTCGCCACCATATCCCAACTCGATCGCCAGCGGTTCGGGTGTATCGCCCTGATTGACCTATGCCTTCGTTATCTGGCTGGTGGGCCGACGGTCACTCCGTATTTGGAAACCCTCTCTGCAGACACACTCGGAGAAGGTTTTGAGTCTGGACGAGCGCATCTCATGTCTGGTAAGTACCCTGGCTGAGCGGATCAACAAGCACCACGTTCGAGCTGTCTTGCCCCAGCACTGACCCGACGTATATTCGCCGCTGGCTTCCCATGCAGGAGTATTCCCAAAGTGTCCGACAGCATGTCAAGCACATCTTGCTGGATGTCCGAGAGCCCGTCCAGTTTGATATTTGCGCTCTTCCAGAGTCGCTGAGTAAGTCGCATTGCCCCTGTGTCCATCGCAGGCAGCCGGCAGATGACAGGATCGTGACGGCGTCAAAGTCTGTCTGCCACAGATCAGAGCTGCTGATCCGTTCGGCAGTTCCTCTGAATCAAAAGCGGCGCTGATCTGTAGCCGAACCATTACTTCAGATATTCCATGGAAGCACATCGACAGGCGTTTTGGCGAAATCGCCGAACTGGCCAGGCAGATCCAACCATCCAGTCCCGAGGAAACGCCGAGTAAGTGCTCAAATGCTTATGCACGGAGTCAGGGTGGCTGAATCAAGCACGTTGTACCGGCTTGAAGCCGGCGCATGCATCCAGTCGTCAACTCACGACGAACGCAATCCCCGCGCGCTAGTCTATGTCGTCTGTCGGCTCGGAAACGACTCCCAGCTTGCTGTTCGCTATCTGAGGGACCATGGATACAAAAACTGCTGGGATCTCAAGGATGGACTGCTCAAGTGGGCCCACGAGGTCGATGTCGAATTTCCGATCTACTAGCCCAATCCGCCGGCGGGCGGGGAAAATGACATGCACACTGGCGCATGCGCCATCCGCACGGACTATGTTATCGCCCAGTAGGCACGGCCACATACGTGCTGGATACGCCGATATGCCCGCCTTACTTGCAGGTAATATATCACCATCCAAGAGCAGCCTCCAATAGTAGTACGTATATTCGGGGAGGAGGGCACGCAAATTATTGATTGGGTCTCGGCTCAGCAGAGATTTTTAGCTTAGACATTCGTCATTCGTAAGAGGAAGGGAACATAGAGACATGAGCCGCTCAGGCGCAGTAGTAGGCGTTCTCAACACAGTGGGTGCCGGAGGGGCAAGTGCCAATAGCGACCCAGCTGTTGGTGGAGTCGCAAACGAGGATAGTGGCGCCGCTGCCGCACGAGTAAGCGCCGAAGGTGCTGCAGCTGCTGCCGGGGGCAGGGTCAACCGAGGATGAAGGAGAGGGACTGGAGGCCGATGTAGTGGTGGTAGAGGACTTGGCGGGGGTGGTAGTGGTGGTGGTGGTAGTAGTAGTAGTGGTGGTGGTGGGAATGGTGGTGGTCTTGGACTTTTTAGTGGTGGTCGTCTTGGGGGGGGCAGTGGTGGTGGTGGTGGTGGTAGTAGTAGTAGTAGTCGTGGTGGAGGTGGTAGTGGTAGTGGTGGTTGGGGTGGCAGAGGCAGCGCTGGTGGTGGTGATCGGCGGGAGAGGAGTGGGTCTCAGCTGCTCGGGCCAAATGATTTCGATGGCGATCTTGGCATCCAGAGTCTGGCCGTGCAGGGTGGTCCAGGTGGCACCACCGTAGATATCGACGTTGTAGGGCAGCTCGTCCTCGCTCCAGGTACATCCCTGAGTCGGGCAGTAGTCGACGATTTGAGCCTCGACAACATCATTAGGGAAGGCGGGGTTTCGGATCCAGATGGACTATCAAGGGGATCGAGAGGTTGCGGGTTGTAAGTTGAACGATGCCGTCAGCGACAGCCATAACTCCGCGCCCAAATGTACCATATCGCAGAAAGGCGGTATGCGGAGGGCGAATGCAGTGGTGCCCGGAAGATCGATCGAGTCAACAGTGTTGAGGGAACCGGCAAGGAGCTGCTTGTAACTTACGTTCCAGCAGATGGGCGCGCGGTAGGTCTGGCCGGTGTAGTTGCTAGCCCAGTACTTTTGCGAAACGGCCACGGTAGCGACGATGGGCCAGACGGTCTGGGTGCCGGCAGGAGAAGGGTAGGTTCCGTTGGACAGGATGGCGTCCCAGTTGGGATCGCCTCCGGGCTGGCCGTTCGAGCAACCAACGCCGATATCACCGGGGAGATAGCCAACCTCAGACCAGGCAGGGTACTGTGGGTAAGGGCCTGGGCAGGGGGGAGGAAGCTCGGGAGGTCAGAGCGATGCAGAGCTTGCACGTCCAACGATGCGAGGACGAGACCAGAGGAGCAGAGCGTACCATAGTGGGTGGCGTGGCCGGGAACCCAGACGCCGTTGGCAGGGGGGGCAGCGTTGTAGGGAGCGTAGGCCCATGTGCCAAGGGCGAGGCTGAGGGTGGTGAGGGCACTGACAAGTCTCATGGCTGGAAAACAGGCGAGGGTGCTGGGGACGAACGAGGTGGGCCCAACAGGGACGCAGCCGAGGCAGGCGGCTATATAGCCGACGGGCACCAGGAGCGGATCGAGGCGGCGTGTGTCGCTTGCTGAGCAGGACTGTTCCATGGGCCATGGCAACCGTGCCCGGCGCCTGACCAGTGGGGACGCTTCCACTGCGACGGCTCAGTGAGCCGAGCCTGGCAGAACGCATGAGCAAAGTGCAAACAAGCGTCACAGTCGCTGCGCAATTGGGACAAGGCGATCGGCTTGTGCACTGCCCAGTCGATTCAATTGAATTCGAGTACCAACATCGACGGGCCTGGCGCTGCTTCTGAGCCAGATTGCTGCTGTCTCCGTCTTTGTCGTCGGCCACGTCCCCGAGCCGGCCCTGGCGCGGACTCTTGGGGACGCCGCGCACAGCCAATCGCATGCGCGGTCACGCGGCGGCACGCGCGGTCACATGGGCGCACGGTCACGCGCAAAAGAAAGACCTTGGTCGCGTGCGGGGCGCCCCGCAGCTCCGTGAGCCACCGACACAAGAGCCCGGGTCCTCTGCGCGGCGTGGCCCGTGTTCGGCGCGCGCACCTGACTGATCCTCCCTGTGTGTGCCCGGCCTGGCCCGATCGATGCGGGCTGGCAAACCAAGCCAAATCGCAGCATGACCCGTCCGATATGAAATGCAACACGGCCAATCCGATATGAATCGCAGCATGTTCCATTCGATATGAATCGCAGCATGTTCCATTCGATACGAATCGCAGCATGATCCGTCCGATGCTCTCCGCGTGTCCGTTTTTCTTTCTTCGGGTCCTGCCCAGCCAGCCCGAGCCTTGTAGCAGACTCCCCCTCCCCACGCTCGACCACAAGAGGCACAAGCACGACCCCGCCCTGCTGCCCTTCTCCCTGGCTGGGCTCTCCATCGCCCAGTCTCTAGGCAAGCTTGATGTCGGCCGTTGACTCTGTGACCTGTCCGTCCATCATGGCGAGGAGCTCGACCTTCTTGGCCAGCTTCTTGGTTTCCTCCTCGATCTGGCTTTCGTCTGCCGTTGCCGTCGTCATCTTGAGGATTCGGTCGATTTCCTTCTGGTCGCTGTCAATCTCGGACACATCGATGCCCGCCAGCCCGCGGCGCACCTTCTTGTCGCCTCCCTCGCCCTCAAAGTCCGGGGCAATTAGGGCCTGTGGCACCCAGTTGTTGGTGTAGCAGTTGTAGAGCGAGCAGTAGGATGCGCTCGACGCCAGTCTCTCCAGCGGGACAGTATCTTCGCGGGTGTCGATCTCGGCGAGCCGGTAACGCATCTGCTTGATCTTGGCGGGGACGGCCGGCAGAAGCTGTCCGAGTCCCTCGTCAAAGTCCTCCCAGGGCAGACAGCCCAGCTCCTGATAGTCGTACTTCTTAAGCGTTCTCAGGAACTGGTTGGACGACAGGTAGTCGCGGTCAGTTGCCATCGTCACGGTGTGCCCACCCTCGCGACCACTCCCATTCTCTAACAACCACCCGAGCTCGTCTGCATCTTACATATTTGTAGTTGGGCTCCAGCCCATGCATAATCATGTGCAGTAGGTGCTCCTCGACGGCCTCTTTGCTGACCCGGTTTTTGCAGAAGCTGATGAGCTCCAGCTCCATATGATCGTAAATCTCTCTCTGCTTGCCCAGGCACATTCGTTATCGCCGTGGTTAGTTTGGGCGGCTCCCGTCAGCGACGCCGTGCACATGCGGGCTTATCAGTGGGTCGCGAGGGCTCACCGTCCGGCTGGGGTAGAAAGTTTGGATAACCTGTCGATACTTGGGCAGATCAATGTTGTCGTATCGAGCCAAGAACTTTCTGGCCAGCAAGAAATACTTCCAGGTGACATCGTCTTCGCCACTGAGCTGATGTAGGAAGAGCATGACATGCTGGTAGAATTCAAATACTTTTAGCTCTGTGCTCGGCGAGCTTTACCCAGATCAAATCGCGACGACAAAGCAGAGGACTGAAGCCATTGAGCGTGGCTAGGCTCTCGCTTACATTGTTTGATTCATGGGCCTGCACCGACGTGAAAAAGTCGTGCAGCACTTTGGTTGCGATCGCCGAAACCTGGTACTTGTTCAGCATGTACTCGTAAAAGAATTGCTGGAAGAGTCGCGACAGCGTCAGCTTTGGCCCGCAGTCTTGTCGGCTTGCCACCGCCAGTTTCATTTTGGAAGCGCTTGCAGCTAAAACCCCACCCAGCATGAACACTCCTGGTGCTCCCTGGCTTACCGCAAACGAAGCAAGCTTGATGTCGTCAATTTTGACTTGTCGCTCGATATACTCCTCGTAACGCCATCGCTCATCGTAGAGCTCCTGGATGACACTCATGATCTTCTGCAGCGGGAAGATGCGAGGAGCTTTGCATTGTGCTCCCTCCCAGGCATCGTAATAGTCCTTCCAAACCTTTCTCAGTGTTGGTGTAATCTAATGCAAGAGTATGGCATGAAAGGCGTTTGGGGTTCGCGAGCCCGTGTCAGCATTTGGCCATACAAGAGAAACTAACTGGTCCAATCGCCTGGGCGAGCGTCGCAACAAGCCAACCGACCGAGAAATTCTCATCCTCGGTCTCGACCAGGTTTCTGTCGGTCTCCTCTTCTTCTTGGTCAAACTCGGCCTTGTCGATCTTTGTTCTGAGGCGAAGCAGTGGTGTCTTGAACCGGATGTGCGTGGTTCGGTTTGGCAGTTTGATGATGTTGGTGAAGAGGGTCTTGTGTGGACAAATGACGACCTAGTATTGTGAGACTGTCGCGATGAGATATGGATGCGTCGTGACAACGCTACGCCAAAGGGCTCCGGCAGAGTGAGTTTCGACAGTGAGCAAAACTCCAGCATCGTGACAAACAGTAAGAATCGCAGACTGTGCTTGCCTTATCCCCGCACTTTGAGCAATATGCCACGTTCTTGTAGTTGCTGAAAGACTGGCCATCTTCTGAATACTGCATCTGGAAATGTTTGCAAGGACTCATCTGAGCTTGCGAGCCCAAGTGAATCGAAAGCAAGACCAATACCGCACAGCAAGTATAGAAGCGGTGCTTGAGCAAGCCGGACCGCTGAGGGGACATACCACGGCAGAATACTTTCGGAGCGCCTCATCGCCCTGTCGCTTGACGGTTTTGTTTCGGTTTTCGTCGAAATAGGTTGGAAGAGCGTGTTTAAGGGACTTGATGTGCTTTTGAAGCAGGGTCTGCTCTTCGATCAGGTCCGTCATGCGCCTTTTGAAGCCGTTGTGTATCTCGGCCATCTGTACAAGCGGCATTTACCAAGCAAGCCAGCGGTCTTGTTTGAGACTGGGGATGGCTCCTATCCCGCGAAACATGGCCATTTCGTACCTCGAGTTTGTATGCATTTTCCCTCTCCTCAACTGTCCCGACTCCCTGGAGGATCTCTTGCTTCTTTCGCAGCTGGGCAAGAGAATGCTCGTAGTCGTCCAGTTGCAGGTTCAAAATCTCAGAGAACTGCTCGTTGATTTGCTCGGCCTGGAAGATGTTGTATTCGGCCATGCCCTGCAATGACAAAATCGTCAGCCGGGCTTTCCAAAGGCCGGGCCCTCAAGTAGCCTAGTGCCATATACATTTTCACTGCTGCACAACAAAGCTCACCCTCGAGTCAATTACGATCTCGGCTTTCTTGTCGTTTCTGATGCTGTTGTCTTCCATCTCTATGGTCACCACAACAGCATCGAGTTCAAGCATCAGCGACAAATCACTATTGCCAACTTCCCCAACACCATGATCGCCCAGGCGCATGGATCTTCATCAACCCCGAATCCCCTGTCCCTGCGCTTCACCTTGGGTCTCGTCGTCTTGGTTCGAGGACGAAAACGATGTCAATTTCTCAATGATTTCATTGGCTTGCTGGAGCGATGCCTGCAGTACAGAGATGCCCACCCCGCCACCGCAGCATGGCGATGTCAGCGAGGGCTCTTGGCATCGCGCACCATCGCTCGTAGCCCGCACTCTGCCGATAATTGCAAACCTTGGTGTCTTCAATATCGCGCTGCATGCTCTCCACCGATCGCACGTGCTCCCGCTTGAAGATTTCGAGAGTATGCTCCAGATTCTGGTTGGCCTTCTCCAGAGCCTCTACCCTTTGCTGCGACTTGCCCTCCTTTCCGTCCTTTTCAAGCAGCTCCTGCCTGTCAAGGTCGTAAGCTCAGCTCAGCTCAGCTCAGCGACCACCGCCGCTCAGCACATGATCACACACGCACTCATGATTTGCATGCATGGTTCGGAACGCCATGAGCACTGCCAGGAGCCGCTCCACGTGCATATTCCCTGGCTTACTTGAGAGCAAGGTTCTTCTTGTATAGAATCTGGAGATCGTGGTCGCGAAACCGCAGTTTTTGATAGCATTCGTTGAGCGCCTGGTTGGCCTTCTCGGACTCCTCGACCCTGTTGCGGATCCCGTCGGGCGAAAGGTCATTCGCCAAAATCCACTGATGCAAATGCACGCCGCAACCAGACAGTGATAGCAACCGACGGGCATTTCGCTCCGTATTTGCATCTCCAAGCCACGACGGCCGGCCCACCTGAGCTTGTTCATCTTGGCTACGAGCAGAAAGTACGGAATCCGCTCCACAAAGGGCACGTCCTCGCACGAAGTCATGTCCTTGGAGTATATCGATCGGTACAACTCATCCTTAAGGATCTGTAATATAGACCCGAACGCACCGACAAGCGGTATCATCTGATCAAGCACATGAAAGCAGGTTGCAGTGCGGTCCTTGCAGGGGCTCTTAGGATGGGCTTCAAAGGCTTCTCTAAGTTGCACTTCAAGCACCAGCACTGGCCGCAGGCCAACCACGAATGGATACGTCAGTCGTGACTCAGATGGGGCAGTATGCCGATTTGGGATCGAGGCCGTTGCGATTTACTGCTCCTGTTTCGATCGCGTGGGAGTCGATAGGGCCGTGTGCCGGCAAGCCTACCCTGGGATCTGGGTGTGATTCTTGTTCTCTCTGCCGCATTGACCGGGGCTTGACCCCTGGCGGCCTTTGTTGTCTCGCCGCTATGCAGCCCGACCGATGCCATGACCGTTTCTGATCAGAGTTCGAAGGCGAGCGGCGTGTCGTGATGCGAGATGCGGGATGCGGGATGCGAATCGGTTTGGCCAAGCGCATCGACGAGGCAGCCGAGCCGAACCGGGCCAGGTGATTGGCGGCATGCCGGCCCTGGTGCGAAACAGCGCTGTTCGAATGGGACACTTCAGCATCTCTGTGGTCAATATCTCATCGGCCGAGTATGATGTGCATATGTATATTCAAGTTCCAGAGAAGCGGCGACTACCGGCCCAAGCAACAGGCTCTCTCGATCCATCCTCATCATCTCTGGGGAGGGACCCTGTCATTTATCGGAACGAGCCGTGCGTGAGATTCTTGGTGATCCTGTGTGCGAGGCTCTTGGAGAGGCCATGCGCGACAACTTGGGCGAATCGGTTGCGAGCTGGGAGCTGGACTTTTTCGGATCTAAAGACGATTGGTTTCGAGAGAGTTTGCGGACCAGTTGGCGCAGATTCTCAACGTCTTCCTTCAGGAAGTTGCTCTCCTCCTCCGTGGCGGCGTGGTCGACAATGGCCTGCTCGAGCTCTTTCAAGAACAAGGTCTCAAAATCGAGGGTTTCGCCAAAGATACGACGTAGCTTCTTGACCTTGCGCTGGCGGCTGCCCTTGACCTCCGCGACAGTATGGGCGGCGGGCGATCCGGCCAGCGACGAACGGCTGCTTGTGTTGCCTCGGAGCCGATCGGTAGAGCCATCAGTGTCGGCGTCGCTGTTATATGGCGAGCGGTCTTCGTCTGCTGCGTCGTCGAGCTGGCTGAAGAGTGCGCTGATATCACTGGACCCTTGGAGAGCTAATGAAATTCGCACGATTTGCTGCCGCAGCTTCAGCCCACTCTCGGTCAGCGGACTCTGCGAGGGCCTCGACAGTGTCGACGACACTGGAGCCGCATCCTTGGAAAGCATGTCGACAGGCGGCAGCGCCCCGAGGATCCGTTCCAGCTTGCTCGACTTTTTCTGATACTGCTTCTTTTCCTGGTGCGTCAAAGGTCGGAGAATGGTGCTTTTTGGGATGCTGGCGGCGCTGGCCTGAGCCTCTTCGATGCGGTTCGTGTCGATGCGCTCTCCGAGGAAGGCCGAGAGCTTGTCGAGCCGCTTCTTCTTGATCTCTTTTGTTTCCAGAGAGAGGTTTTCGGTTGATACGGAGTGGGTGGCGCTGATGGCGGCTGCTCCGACTGTTGCTATCGAGTCGGTGCTGATGGTTCGCCCCCCTTGGCCAAGGCCAGGGACCATCAGTCGCAGAGGACTCGAAACCGGGCTCTGATCGGTCACTGCAGGGGAGGTGGTCGTGGGAGAAGGAGCAGTCTCGATGTATACTTTGCTCCGCTGGTCAATTACGGGCTGGGTGATGGCTTCCTGCACGGTAGTCTCCTTGAGGGACTCGCCAAACATGTTCTTGATCTTCTTAGCCCTCTTGGTCAGGATCCTGCGCTGCGATGCATCGAGCTCGTTTAGAGTTGGGCCGGCGGGCAGAGCCATCTCGCACTCGCTGCTGTCGGATGACTCGTCCGAGCCGCGGTTATCGTCCGAGACACCCTCGCTCGAGCCGCCATCGCCATCCTCGCTTTGGGCATCGACGCTTCCATCGCCGACGTCCTTGACAATCTTTTGGACCCTTTTCTGGTTGCGCGGGAGCTTGTTGCCGAAAAAGGTTTCGAGCTTCTCCTTCTTCTTTCGTCGGATGTGGGAGTCGTTTTCGGGCGCCAGTGCCGGCGGGGAGGACATCTCGGGAGACTCCATGATGCTGTCGCGCTTCTCGTACTTGAGCCGGCTCTCGACCGCCTTCTTTGGGGTTTGATGGTGCAGCTGGTCGTTGGATGGCCGCATGCCAAAGAACCGCGAGAGCTTCTTCTCCTTCATCATCTTGACCTGTTTCTGAGCCCACGAGAGACGGTGGATCTCGTTGAAGTAGTCCTCGGCGACTTGAACAGAGTTCTGGAAGCGCATGTGAAGGATCCGGTTCATGATGCTTTCTCGTTGCTGCGGTCCAGACGAGCCAAGGTCGATTTTGGAGACGCCTTCCTCGGACAGGCCGACCATGTTCGCAGCAAACTCGATGTTGGGTATGTAGTACTTGCCGTAGAAGCCCTTGATCTTGCCAGAGTTGTAGGCGGCTCGGTCTGGGGTTGTGGGAATGGCAGAGGCAATGAGCCGACACAGCGCAGAAACGAGTAATATCGGCATGCCATTGATGATACGCAGCGAGAGATTGCAACCCATGTTGATGAGGCAAATGGTTCGACAGATGACCACCCAGGCGACCACATTTGCGACAGTACAGGCAACCACATTGGCCACCCGGCGACCGCATTGGCGACAACACAGGTGGCAGCACGGGTTACGAAACAAATGGAGATAGCCCAACTCACCGCACCCCCCCCCGTTACACTTACCTATGTTGCGGGCATCCAACATCTGGATGTACTTTTGACTGGCTTCGAATCGAACAAAAGAGTGCGCTTTGAGCATGGCGTACACCTGTTCCTGCGCTTCGTCGAAAATGCTCAGGTCCACAGTGTCGGGCGGGGTCGGCAGTGGCCACTGCACGTCCTTCTGGATCTCTGACGAGATGTTGACTTTCAGTGGGGCGTCGAGGGCAATGAAGGTGTGGTAGATGAACTTGGCATAGGTGTGTATGTTCTCGACCGACTCGCACGACTGGAAAATCTCCACCTCGAGCCAGAAGAGGAGATTCTCGATGGCATATTGCTCGGCACAGAACTCGGCAAAGTACTGCAGGAAGAGCTTGCTGTGGAGCACCGCCTGGAAGCGGTCGTCGAGAGTTGGATTGGGAATGAGCGAAAAGTTGCGCACGCGGTTGCTGCTCCGCGGGGCGCTCAGGCTCTGGTTCGAGGTCTTGTGCGGGGTCGATGCGTTCGAGAGACCGAGGTTGCTGGAGCTTTCGGTGCTGGACTTTTGCATGCTCTCCCTGGATTTTTGCATACTCTCGGTGGATCTCTGGGACCTATGCTGCTTATCGACGGGCCGGGTGAGCAAGTTCGGCTGGGACTTGGCGGCGTTGGTGTCCTTTTGGGAGCGTGTGATGCGTCTTCGCGGAGAGAATGCTGGGGGTGGGATGGACAAACAGAATCAGCGAAGCACCGCGGATCCATATCGCAACTGGCCCATGTGCCATTGGTGGCAAGGAGCCAATCCACAATGCCTCTGACAAAGACATCGGAGTAGACGGTCTTGAATCGCTGCACGACGGCTCTTTGGACAATCTCCGTGTCTCGGCCTCTTACTCTTTGGTTTCGCATGTACCAGCCTCCACCTCGCTCCCTCCGCTATGCTTAGTTCTAGCGCACCCCGATTCTTACCCTCGAACGTATTGATGATCGAGACCGTGTCATTGAAGCAGAGGACTTCCCCGATCTTATCGGTGAATCGGAGCGCCAGCATTCCAGAGTCAACATAAACTTGGCTGATCTCCAGCGGGGTCGAGGCTCTCGAGCTATGGTCGAGTGGCCTTTGACTCAGCAAATCGTCGTGGCTGATGTCTGCGGGCTTTGATTGGATGAGTTTTGCCTCGCTGTGTCTGGAGCCCAGGTCGTTGGCGACGGGTGTGCTGCCGCTGCTGTCGCGCGGCGATGAGATCTCGAGTTTGGGCATAGATCGATGGAATGGCTGCGACAAGGGGGCAAAGTTCGAGTGCTTGGGATCCGTTGCCTCGATGTCGGGAGCGGGCTGGGGGTCATCGGAGGAAGTAATGGGGTTCTCTTTGGAGGACGGCAGCAGCGGGAGCTGTGGGAGCTGCGAATAGGATCTGTACTCGGGCGAGAACCGAAAAGCGTACTCGGCTTCAATCTGCTTGGCCAGGTACTCGATGGTCTGGTCCTTGTCGACGGTGATCATGAAGGGCTCCTGGTCAGGCAGGGCGACGTTGATGCGGAAGAACTGGTGGATGTGATTGTAGACTCGCGAGTGTCGCTTGTTCAGGACCCTGGCGAGCCGGAGATGGCGCTCCTTGTCGGTGAGTGCGATGAGCTCGAGATCGACGATGAGGCCCATCTTGAGCGCGGAGGCACCGTTCGGCGTCGAGTCGGATTTCAGGGAGGACTGTTGCTGGCCACCGGCGTCATGGTCCTGCTCCCCGCTGCCGCCATCACCGTCCTCGTCATCGTCACATCCAAGGGCAGCCCCGTCGTCCAGGCCACCGTCGCCGGCCGAGTCACGATCCAAGGAGCCTTCCGCCTCATACGAGATCGTGTCGCTATGAAACCTGGAGATTGAATCGCCGCTCACCACAGAGCTGCTGTGGAGATCTGACTGAAGCTCGAGGCCGAGTCCTTGGCCAGAGCGCTCGGCGCTCTCGGACGCCGTCAGCAATGGTTGCCTGAAGAGCGTGGCTGGCGAGGCAGCTTCGGATGAGCCCTCGACGCTGATGTGAGGCGAGTTCCCCGACATGAGTGGATGATAATCTCCCTTGCAGAGTCGCGGAGCCGGAATGGGTGGGGAGGGCAGGGGAAAGCTGTGTGAGCCCGATGTTGATGTTGATTTAAATGTCGGAATGCAATCGAAGACACCAAGAGTGATGTCTAGGAGCTGGGAACCAGCTGCTGGGCGCAGATTCTGCGGTGCGTGTGGGAAACGGCGAGACAGCGGCCAGAGAGGAAGTGTGTGAGTATCAACGATGCTGTCGCTGCCGAGAGAATGCAACAGGCAGAACAAAAGCCTCAAAAAATGGATAGAGCAGCAGAACAGCGAGAGATAGAGCAGCAGAACAGCAAGAGATAGAGCAGCAGAACAGCGAGAGATAGAGCAGCAGAACAGCGAGAGATAGAGCAGCAGAACAGCGAGAGATAGAGTAGCAGAACAGCGAGAGATAGAGCAGCACAGCCAGCGACTCTGTCGGTTGGACGCCGTGCAATTGTCAAGTTCATTCGCCCATCCGCTCGACCAATGGACACAACCCGGAGCCATTGGTGTTTGCGACGGACAACAAACGCACGCACTGAAAAGCAAGCAAACTTGGCCGAGACGGACGGACAGGCGGACGGACCGATGGATGGACAAACAGGCAGGCAGACAGAGAGAGGTGCCGGAGATGAAAATGAAGGCAAATTATGGGTGAACGATCCGAGTGTTGTTCAAAAATACATGCGATACTTTTTCTTTTCTTTTCGCGCTGCTTCGATAGCCGTGAGCCCAGCCCGACCGAGTTGGAGATATCAGAGCTCGCGAATGGGAAGACGACGAGCTTGGCGGCAGCAACGGTTGATATTGTCCTCCTTTCCCTCCTCTCCTTTCTCATTTTCAGCAAAAGGAAGCTTTGTCCCGGAGTCTGCCCGACAATGGCCGAGCGGAACACAACAACCAGAGCCCTGGATCAACCAATCGAGGGATGCGAGGATCCTCGGCCGTGTGAGCAACCCTTGGGCTGTCAATCGGGAGACTGGCGCTGTATGATGACTCTGGGCCGGAGCCGAGACGTGCGAATGGCTGTGTGTTTGCAGTGTGGATGCATTATGTCTTCTCCCCCCCCCTTCCTCATTTTCATTCTCCTCCTTCTCACAACTTGTACTTTCTCAGGAGTGGGTGATATTTCTTCAGCAACGATCGATTGTGATGATTTGAAACACTGGATGGACATGAACGCATCCACGATCCAACGAGAGAAGCAAGCGCTTATGCACCCTCGACAACGGCGATTTCCGTTCGACTTTTGTGGGCACTACCAATGCAGGGCGGCTCATTTTGCATAGTCGGCAAAGATTTCAAAAGGTCTCAGACTTTGACTCCCCGCCATCCTCAGGTCCCTTCTTCCCTTCTATGAATACAAATGATCAAAAGTCCCTGAAGATGTCGCCCAGATCACCTTCGAGCATATTATCGGCACTGGAGCGGCCGAACATGCTTGTGCTGCCGCTAATCGAGCTGTTGAATGCACTGGTGCTACCAATGATCGAGTGGGTGAGGCTCGAGCTTGATTTTTTGGAGAGATCCACTCCCGACGTGTGGCGGGGCTTGTCTGAGGCGGCCGGGTTCAGCGACGAGGTGGAGGCGGTCTTCTTGCTTGACCGCGGCGGGATAGAGGCACGATCGACAGCAGCAGAGGCTGTGGCTTTGCGTTCACCATTGTCATCCGGCTTGTGCTCGACAATCTCGACTCGACGGACGCCCGGCAAACCGGAGCGGCGATTGCGCTTGGCGAGGCTGGAGGAGTACTTGCTTCGGGAAGCCTCGACGATGGTGTCGTCGTCATCGTCGCTCCAGATTGGCACGTACGGAGGCACAAGCTGGCCCTCCTCGACGACCCTCCAGCTGCGTACGCTGCGGAACCACATGTGGAGCTTGAGATCGAGGGCCCCGCGCTGTGAGCCCATGCGCTTCTTTGGATTGGGATCGCACAGTTTCGAGATGAGGTCGCGGCACCGCTCCGAGAACAGCCCGTCGCGGAACGATATGGTGCCGGAGACGAGGTTGCGGTAGTCGTCCAGCTTGGAGTCGGACGGACGGTGTGGGATCGATCCGCTCACGAGCTCATAAAGGACAATCCCGAGCGAGTACCAGTCCACTGACATGCCGTGCTCAGAATGGATCAGGATCTCTGGGGCCGTGTAGCCGCTGCTGCCGCAAAAGGACCGCGACGTTTCCGTGGGGTCGAGAAACCGAGAATAGCCAAAGTCGCCCAGCCTGATGTGTCCCTGGGCGTCCAGGAGGATATTGCGGGGTTGGATGTCTCGATGGACAATGTTGCGGGAGTGGAGGTAGTCGATGGCGACGACCAGCTCGCAGGCGTAGAAGCGGGCTTCGTCTTCGTTGAGGGTCTTTGTTTGCGGGGAGGATGGTGGCAGGGAGCGATGGAGAAGATTAGCTGGTGTGACCACAATGGGCCAAGTACCTCATGGCGGCGAAGGAAACTGATGTGCATCGCACGACGGTAGATAGCCACCCGCCGTGGCTGTACCAATGCCTGAGCACGCACGCGAGAGCCATTCGCTCGCCCTCTTGGTCGCCCTCTTGATCGCTCTCTTGGTCCCTCTCTTGGTCGAAATACATGCCTTTCTGTTCCGAAGGACATCGTCAAGCTCACCGTAGGCCCACTCCATCGCAATGTACAGGCGTGCTTCGTCCTGGAAGCTGCACAAAAAGTTGACACAGAAACGACAGCTCAGGGAGCTCATGACGTCCCGCTCGCGGATGACGGTGCGCTCCTGGCCGTACTCGATCACGTTCTGCTTGAGCAGGATCTTGAGGGCATACGGCACCCTGCGGATCTTGGGCAAGGCCCCGATAAAGGCCTTTTTGATCTCGCTCAACCCGCCATGGCCGGCGATCTTGACGATGACAAAGTCCTGGATGACGTATGGAGACATGGTGATGGGATTGATGTTGGAGCGTTTCAGGGAGGTGGCGCAGCGCGAGATGCTGGCTGGCGATGCGATGGTGCTGTCGCTCTCGATGGACATCAAGGGTTTGGATGGGGTCGAGGGCTTGATGATGCTGGCCGGGCGCAGGGGCTTGGTTTCCAGGCGGGATTGAGAGGCCTTTGGAGTGGACAGCGAAGATTTGAGGCTTACTGTGGAGGTGTTTTGGCGAGAGTTATCCTTCAGAGGCTTGAGAGTAGAGCTGCGCCTGGGACAATGAAGCGACAGTGACGCCAGTGCGACAGCCGAGACATGGTGCGAAATATAGGGGGGGGGTGTGGTCAGTACATTTTGGATACGAGTGTCGGAAGAGATGCAGCAGAGGCGATGGACACGGCAAGTGCAGGTATTGTCGAGATGGATTATGCAGCCTCCAGCCGATACCCAGTGTGGGATGTACAGAGTGCCGAGCGGAAAATGACAAGCCACAATTGCTGCAGGATATGCAAACGGATATGTAGCAGCAATGAAAGTTGCTGTGCCCAGGGGGAGGCAGCGCCAGAATCGACAGGGGTCGATGCCGCAGAGATGTTGCAGAGATGTCGCAGAGATGTCGCAGCCAGCCGAGCCTGGCAGCAACACAGCTCCCACCTCGTGCCAGCAGCGTGGCGCTTGTTCTTGGAAAGCATTTTTTGCAGATGCTGGAGATAGGTTGTTGGATCCGGCTGACCCGAGCCTCGGCGGGAAGCCAGCGACGATGATGATTTGTTGAGGTTGCTTGTGGACGGAGCGGCGGTGCTGGTGAGCGACGCCCTACCCTGGAGCTGGCCGCCGACAAGTGCAGGCGGGGCAATCGACATGATCCTGGAGCGGCTGGGCGAAGCTTGATTGTGCAGCGAGGTGCGGGAAGAGCACAGTGAGGGCAGGTAGTTGTCCGAGTCCTGGGAACGGCGAGCGGCCTCGATCTGCGAGATGAGATGGATCGACAGCCGCTTGCGCAGGTTGATGGCGGCGGGGATGGGCGGCAGCGTCGGGAAGATGAGTTTCTTGAGACCCCGCCCAATGGATTTGCCCGAGGGAGCCGCCGCTGCCGTGGGTGGAGCCGAGATGGAGCTGGAGCGCGGGCCAGACTGAGGTTCTGGAGTGTGGGAACTGCGGCGGGAGGAAGCGGCAGGGGCTATCGAGGCCGTGGACGGGACAGCCGAGAGATCGCGCTGATGGATGCCCAGGAGATCATTGTCGAGAACAAGACTGGGACGGTGAGACGATGGTGGAGCATTTGCAGACTCGATGGGTCGAAGGGGTTGGCCGTGCCTGGAGGGGCGCTGGGGATGCTGGAGATGCGGATGCTGCTGGGATTGAGCCGCAGGAGGCTGTGGCGACGATGGTGGCTGTGAATGCTTGGCAAAGATGCCTTTCTTTTGGAGGGGATGCAGTAGAGAGGACATACTTCCGACCCAGTGCGTGCATCATCGAGAGCGGGACCAAAGCGAAGCGAATGCGAGCGCAAAGAGGGCTGGTTCAGGATACAGAGCTCGATGGAGCAGCGATTGGGGGGGGGTGGCCGCTAAGAAGCATCGAGCAGCCGGCATTGCGTTTCCAAAGACGGTGGTCGAAGGTTTGTTGACAAGAACAGCCGATCATTCTGCCGATGGGGAAGAGAAAAGCACCGGGGTGGCGCTGCCAGAGTCGCATATTGTCGGAGCGCACTGGACCAGACATGTCAACTGCAGCGCGATGGTGGGAATTTGGCGTGATGGCGTGATGGCGTGATGTTGGAGGGGGTGTGGTGGCTGCGATGGGGATGGGGATGGGGATGGCGATGGACGGGATGGCCTGAGATGGGTGCGGTGATAGCGGGGATTGCGTCAAGACACGCATGATGCTCATTGCTGCTCGCGGATACTTGGGATTGCGCACTGTTCACGATTGCTCACGGCTCATGGTCACCGCTGCTCACTGCTGCTCAGCGCTGCTCAGTGACACCCATGGATGTGGATTGCTGCGGAGAGAGAAGCTGGCGGGAGAGAAGCTGGAGGGAGCCATCAGACAGCGAGCCAGAGAGTGGGTCAGATAGTGGGCCAGATAGTGGGCCAGACACCGGACCGATACGGCAGCAATATGCAAAAGGACAAGAGCACGCGGCGCGAGATGGATCGAGATCAACTGATCGACCTGCAGAGCGAGATGGATCGGCAGATCTCGGTGTGCCGATGCCGATGCCACGAAAGGCAAGGCCAAGCAACGGCCAAGCAACGGCCAAGCAGTGGGTGGCAGTGCGGCGGAAACGGGCGGATCGCTGCGGCGACGGCGATTGGCGGGCGGGGAGTGCGGCCGGCCACAGGCTGGCTGTGCTCGGAAGGTATCGCGCGCAGTCGCTGCGGGTGGGTGTGGCGGCAGACGGCGATTGGCTGGCGCACAAGGGACCGCCGGCGCGGGGAACGACGGCGATTGGACAGAGAAGCAGATGCGCAGCAGTGATTCACTGGGTCAAGTGAGCCGACAAATGGCATCAGGTGCTGGGGCGATTGCGCTTTGGGCTGTGGCGCGGCGAGAGGGCGAGAAGGCTGGAGAACAGGGCGAGAGCGGGACGGGCGATAGGCGCAGGCACGCGGCGATACGGAGCGGCGAGCGATACCGGCAGCGACAGCGACGGCGACGACGAGGCCGATGGCGACGAAGCCGATGGCGACGATGGCGACGATGGCGACTGCGCTACCGAAGGCAATGGCGAGTGAGTCGCTGGAGTCGAAGGCTGCGATGGCGGTCTCATCGGCGTCAGGCCAGCGTCGGTGTCGCTGTCGGTGTCGGTGTCGGTGCCGCTGTCGGTGTCGCTGTCGGTGTCGCTGTCGGTGTCGCTGTCGGTGTGTGTGTGGTGTCTGTGCCTCCTCTTTGTCGCCCTCTCGCTGCGGCTCTCTCTGGGATCTCGCTTGGGGAGAGGCGCCCCTCGCACTGCCGAGAGCGCTCTCGCCCATCTCTCGCCCATCTCTCGCTGCGTCTCGCCCCGTCTCGCCCCATCTCTCGCCCCGTCTCTCGCCCTCTCGCCCTCCCCCCGCACCCATTTTATAAATAGCCTGCCGCTCCCGCCCGGCCGCCCCCGCCCGTGTTCCTGCACTCTTGGGACTTGTTGCTCCGACCCGCTCTCGTTTTTCAGCTCCGACCCGGCCAACCCGCCTCAGCTCTCCTCCACTCTCTCCCAGCCACGGCTTTCTAACTCGCGCTTCCTCTCCTAGCCCCCCATGCCCATCCTTCTTTCCTCGATCCTATGCTCGCCTTCCTCCGTCACCAAATCCCCGATTCGACATGGCTCGCTCGCTCTCGGCAAGAGGAACGAATGGCTCTTGGTTCATGCGGCGGCTTCGTACATTGAGCGCTCCTGGCCGCTCTCTCTCTCCAAGGATGCCGTTCCCATCCGAACCTTCATCCAGCATCTCCTTTCCCACTCCCGCTCGTCCTTCTCGGTCTTGCGGATCGCCCTGATTTATGTCCTCAGACTCAACAAACACATCCCGACCCTTCTCAAGACGTTTTTGAAGGAAAAAGTATGCACTCGTTGTCGTCTTGGGTCAGGACAAGGACGAGGGCCACAGGAGCGACGAGAGAGAACCAACCACTCCACTGTCTCGACTTGGCCCAGTACTAACTAACCCATCGCATCTGCACCCCCAACCGCCGCTGTCGGCTTGCAGTCTGTTGCCTCGGCCAACCCCCTCAAAGCCTGCTCGGCCATGCTGCAGTCCAAGGCCCCCGAGTGGCTCTGCGGCCGTCGCATGTTCCTCGCGGCTCTCATCACCGCCTCAAAGTTCCTCAACGACACCAACTACTCCAACAAGGCCTGGGCCAAAATCACCGGCCTCTCGGTCTCGGAAATCAACGTGCTCGAGCGCAGCTTCCTCCAGGTCCTGGACTACAACATTTATGTCGACGCCAAGACCTTCGATGCCTTTTCGGCCGAGTTCAGCCGCAAAGTCAAGTCTCTGGCCAGCAGCCTGATTTGTACGTTTCTCTCTCTCTATCTCACTCTCCTCTCTGTCGGATCCGTCATCCCCGCGTGTGTGTCCGGACTCGTCTCGGCAGTGCGAAATACCAGTCCGCGTTTCTGGGTACTTTTGGACACTTTTGGACACTTGTGGACACTTGGGTACTTGCGGACACTTCTGGACACCACCGATCAAAAGGCTCCATCGAGAACTCCATCGCTAACTCGCACTCGCTTCTCTTCCTCATCCACCCCCCCCATCGATCTGTCTCCTCCCTCATGCAGCCTCCAGCGCCACCGCTCCGGCCTCGGATTCCTCGGTCACCGGCCTCCCTGCTGCCGCCCACTCGGGTCTCCATGGCTCCAAGCGCCACCGAGAGTCTGGCTCTCCCGCGGGTTACGCCTCGCATATCCCCCACGACTCGGTCGTTCCCTCCCAGTCTCCCACTTTCGACCCCTCCTCGCCGGCTTCGGTGGCTTCTCTCGCCTCCCCTGCCTCCGTCTCGCCCTACTCGGCCCAGGCCATCTCCCACCTCGGCCAGAGCCCTCTTGCTCCCTATACCTTTGCTGGAACTCCCGCTTTTGCCAGCACTCCCTCGATCGTTGGCTCGTCCAAGCCCTTCGGGGCCGTTCCCAGCTCGATTTGCACTCTCTCAGACCCGGTTCCCAAGAGCATCCTTCCCACGATCCAGAACATTTGCTCCTTCGATCACCTCACTCCCAGTTCGGCTCCAAGTATCGATATCCCCGCTGCCCATGCCCTCGCCTTTGTGGCACCCTCGATCATGAACTCGTTCCAAGACCTGCCCATGCCTGTTGCGAAGCGCGTTCGCTGCTGCTAGACAACGACAACGATCCCGCGTCTGCTCGACGGCCAAGGCTTCTGCAAGTCTTGCGCCGCCCGACAGACCTTCTGGAAACCAAGGGGGCCCTATCGCACATTCCCATGTGTGTCCTTGATCTTGTTGCATGCCGGTGGGCGGACTGTATGCTTGCTTTTCCAACAAACCACCATCTTCCACCAAAGATGCGGTTGCCTGGGAAGGAAGGCTACAACTCCTGCTCTCACCTGCTTGCTTCTTCCCTGTTCCCTTTATCCCGTTTCTCTCTTTGCGTTTTCGTTTCTTCTTGAACCGCAGCAGGAAAAAAAAAGCCCCTCGGAACGCACCCTCGCAAGCACCTCTCTAATACTCGCAATGCTCCCGATGGTGCTTCCGGGCCGGGTGGTCGTCGAGTTCGTATTGCTACGCATTGTATCTATTTTGCACGCCATCGCTCCTCCTCCTCCTCCGTTTGCTTCCCCCCCCCCACCTTATCTTTTGCTCTCTCTTACCACGCATTGTCGTTCCTCTCTATCCATACGCATCCATCCCCGTCGCAAATCCTCGCTACCTTTACCCCCCGCCTCCTCCTGCCGTTTTTATTTCCCTTTTTTTGGTTATCCGTCCCCCCCCCCTCAACTCCTTCTTGAGTTACCTTTCTCAAGCTGCTGGTAAGATGGAGTGAGAGAGGTCGGCGGGCGGTGGTTTGGATGGATTTCATGACCGATATGCTCGCTATGCAGATTGGGCTTCAGCTCTTCATCTGGCGAGTACGCCATGAACATCTCCTGCCGCCTGTCTCCTGTCCTTGATTTCTCTTCTCTTCTCTTCTCCCCCCCCCACATCCTGCTGCTCACTCCCCCTCCCCTTGATAACTCGCTTGCAAATCCCGCTCTCTCTTTTTTATTTTTGATGTGCGATTTGCATTCTCCTTTCTTTTTATTTATTACCTCGATGAGAGTGCCCCCCCCCTCTTGCTTTCTGCCTGCTGCATCGCTTCTGGCTAAGCAAAACATATAGGGGCATTCTAGAATATGGAGACAAGTGAAAATACACACACACGCCAGTTTGCTGGTTCGGCCCCTTCAACAACAGCGACAAATTGGATCCAGCTCGGTCTGGATGCGAGACAACAACGCTACTCTGGATGTGCGAGAACAACGCTGCTCTGGATGTGGGATGACGACAATGCTCTGGGGTCGCAATGATTGTCCATTCGGGGGAAGCTCGCCCAATGCTCCACACTTGGTGACGCAGCCTTTTCCATCTTTGTGTGCACAGCTTGCTCTTGTATTTTCATTTTTTTTCATGATTCGGCAGAGCAGAGACCGGCAAAATACCAATCAAGCAATGGACCAGTCCATCAAGTGAACAAACAGACGAACGAATGAACGAATCACCCGAGAGACAAGTCAACCCAAGCCAGCCCAAAAATGCAGTCAAGAGCACACACACACACACAAATGCACACCAAATGCACACACACAATCCACACCAACGACACATCAAATACCTATGAGGAGCGAGCCGTGATCATAAAGCCAAATTTCATGGCCAGCCCTGGATCCAACGACGAGTGCGTCCGGCACAAAGGACAACTGGAAGCAGACCAAGTACCACGAGAAAGAGGAAGCGAGCAGAGGGGAGAAATCTTCAAGATCGAATACAGCGGTCGCGATTCCACAGCACTCTGGTCACTTCATTAATTGAGAGAGGTGGGGGAGTGAAGGAGGGGAGGGAGAAGGAAAGGTTCTACACTATTTTTGGGCAGTCCACTACATGACAGAATCTGAAACAGACACAAGAAAAGAAAGGAAAAGAATACAAGCGAGGTGGGCTTGGAGGAGGAGCGAGGACGACGGAGGCAACGACGACCTTGGCCACTGTGGAGACGTGGATTGCAAAGGCCGTGGCAAGCCGAGGTCGCCGTGGAAGCCGCAGACCAGAGCGGGAGTCGTGGTGGTGATCGTGGGAAGCAGCCGAGGCAAGAAGGCAGGTTGGCATGGGCGGCGCCGCAGCCTCCCCTTTCCCTCGGCATGCTGCCGCTGCTGCTTCCCTTGGGTTCTGAGGCTGGCCGCACCTGCCCACAAATCCACCAATGCATTGGCCATATGCACACCCGTTGGGCGCTTCCTGTCGATAACCACATGTCCACGGCCATTCAACCCATGCCAGCTTGGCTGCGGCAAGCGGCCCCGGGCTGCGCCGCCTCCTTTGGTTCCACCCGGCTTTGGCTCAGCGGTCTGCCTCGCTGGGGGCCGAAGACGTCCCCGAGTACCTTCGGCGGGGCTCGGTCCGGTTGATCTTGGGACTCGCCGTCTCCTTGAAGGTCAGCTTCTCGTCAAAGATGACAATGTCTCCGCCTCCGGGCACATGGTCGATCAGATCCAGCGACCCAACCTTGGACTGCGCCGTCTGTTCAAACTCCAGCTTTTCGTTGAAGATGACGACGTTGCCTCCGCCGGGCGTGTGTGTGGCATTGTCCAAGGACCCGATCTTGGATCGGGCATTCTCTTTGAAGGTAAGCCGCTCGCTAAGGATGCGGACGTTGCCGCCATTGGGGACATGGCGGATGTTGTCCTTGGAGCCGACCTTGGACTGGACGCTGGCAAAGTTGGGCTTTTCATCCAGAATGCGGACGTTGCCGCCGCCGGGAACGTGTGCGATCTTGTCCTTGGAACCGACCTTGGACTGCACGCTCGAGTAGTCGGGCTTGTCGTTGAAGATCCGGACGTTGCCGCCGTTGGGTGAGTGATGGGCATTCTCCTTGGAGCCGACCCGCGACCTGACGCTGGAGTAGTCGATCCTGTCGTCGACAATGCGCACGTTGCCGCCGGAGCGCACGTAGCCGTCATTGCGAGCCTCGATCCGCGGCTGGATGTGGTCGAGGTGGACCGGGATGTGCAGGGTTGGGTTTCGGGTTGGAGTCTTCGAGGGCGAGCGCTTTCCGGCCGTGCCATTGCCAGCGGCAGTGGTGGTGCTGCTGCTGCTGTTACCGCTGTTGGGAGTGCTTGGGGTGCCAGGAGTGCCCGAGCCAGCAGAGGTGCTCGAAGGAGTCGCCCTGCTGACCGCTCGGCCCGCTCGGCTTGGCGTGCGGATCGAAGGAGGTGTGGCCTGCGATCGTTCGGCTCGAGATCGGCTGGCGGAGCGGCCTCGGCTGGTCGAAGGCGAGCGGGCCGATGGCCGGCGAGGGGCGGACGATGCCGGCACCGCTGCCGACGAGCCCTCCGAGGTCTGCGACGGTGTCGTAGACGGTCGACGTCTGGACGGCACCGGGATCGCCGACTTTGTCGGAGTCGAGGCAGGGCCTGGGGCTCGGGCCGAAGTCGAGGCCGAGGACGAGGTCGAGGCAGCAGGGGTGCTCATGGCGGTTGGGTTTGGGTTTGGGTTTGGGATCGGGGGCGAGAAAGGGGTGTGGACGAAAGCAGTGCAGGCGACAGGCAGCGCCGATGGATAGATGGATGGGTGGGATGCCGGTGGAAGCAGGACCACGCAGAGCGATGGCAGGGAGACCTAGGTTGCTGCACGGCGATTGGCGAACGGGAGGCTATAAATAGCGCCGACAAGCGAGCGAAGGAAACAACGAGCGAGCCAACGAACGAACGAACGAGCGAATGAACGAACGGATGGACAGGCAGTTGGACGAATATGCGAACGAGCGAGCAGCCGGGTGTCGATGGCAGGACCCGAGGATGGAAAGGGACGGAGGAACGGATGGATGGATGGATGGATGGATGGATGGATGGATGGATGGATGGATGGGCGGGTGGAGTGGCGGGCGCCATGCAGCCAGTGGGCGTTGCAGGCGGGAACACGGGCGGCGGTGGTGCGACAGGGCCGTTGTCGATGGCGGGCTGTGGTGAGGATCTGTCGATCATGGCGACGGTCATGGCGACGGTGGTCATGGCGACGGCGAGTGCATCGACTCCGGTGATAACAGATTTGCCTGTGATACCAGATTTGCTGTATTGCAGTCGTGGCCACTGTCGCTCGGCTCGGCCGGATGGTCTCTTCCATTTGCTCCACAAAAGCCCTCTCGACCGGCAGGCTCATCCGCTTGCCGTAAACTTCCACTGCACCCGGCACACCTGGAAAAAGAGCGTGCGCGAGACCAGCAGTCCGTTTTCGATCCACAGCATCTGGCTCAGATCCGCGAGGCGTGCCACGAGCTCGCCCGTCGTGAGGTCGCGGATCTCCAGCTCGTCCTGTGCATCGTCGTCGGTCCTTTTCAGCCCGATCTTGAATCTGCCGACAGGAGGAAACCAATGGGCGCGGGCAGCCGGTTAGCGATCAGAGACAGTGCCGATGTTGCTCATGCACAGGCATACGTGACTCGTATCCATCGCCACACAGCAACGCGGACACCCACCGGTGCTTCGATGCGACCTCGATCACATAGTCGTATTTCCGGATCCGCCACTTCCAAAAGGCCTCCTTCATCAGCGCAATCATCTGCTCTCGTCGCTGCTGGGTGTAGTCGTCGTGTCCGTCGAGTTCCATGTCCGTGGTTTTGAAATCCTGTGTCAGCTCGTTGATTCCACTTGGAAGCCACTCGACCATGAGCTGCGGCGAGTATTTGAAGCTGGATCAAGGCCGCCATGCCGTACCGATGGTCATCGACAGAGGCGTTAGCGCTTGGTCCACGCAGGCCATTCTACGCAACCTCCAGTCCGACATCGTTCCAGCACGGGGAATCACCGGCACCCAACCCCCGGTCAACGTGTCCAGGAGGGAGAGGAGAGCGGGAGGCGTCTACATATCCACCAGCGACTTACCAGAATCCCCCGCCAAAGTCAGAGTATACGATCGGGTCCTTTCCGTTGGAGCGGCGACCCATATCCAGCGACGCCGGGCCTTGCCCTTCAGACGCCTCTCCTGGCCCCTCTTTCGGCTTGTTGCCGTCGCGGTCGATCCAGCTGAGCAAGAGCGGAAGGTGATTCGTCGAGCCCGGCATCGGATCCGGGTTGGAGCTCAGCTCGTAGTACCCGGTCCGCAAGTGGGCGTACAGCCGTGGGGAGCACCCAAACGTGCAGAGGGCTTCGTCAAGGATCTCCTGTGGCAGCCCGTTGGATTCAGCATCGCTTGCGCTGGCGACCGGTGCGACTACTACCGGAGCCGTGGTCGCTAGTTCTGTTGCGGCTCCCGTTGTGATATCCATCGCTGTCGCAATGACTGGTTCAGCTTCAGCTGACCGCTCTGCAGGGACAGCCGTTTCGACAACCTCAGTAGCAGTTTCGACAACCTCAGTAGCCGCTGCTGCTGGCTCAGTTGCTGCTGCTGGCTCAGTTGCTGCTGCTGGCTCAGTTGCTGCTGCTGGCTCAGTTGCTGCTGCTTGCTCGGTTGCTGTTGCTGACTCGGTTGCTGGTCGCTGGGACGGCGGTAGTGGCTCTGGGACCCGGCGTGCAGCCAGCAAGCCGATTTTCCGGCACCAGTCGCTGCCTTCGCCGACATGCACGAGCTGGCCAGCGCCGTTCAGAGCCGTGATCTTGGCTAGGCTGGCATCGCTGCTGTCGAAGATGTACACGCTTCGGATCTGCGTCTCGGACTCCCACATCTTGATTTGCTCGCGGTAGATCTGCACGTCGCTCGTGGGCGGCCGACAGCCGCTCTTGAGCATCAGCGGCTCGCTGCTGAAGGCTTGCGGCGGATGGCTGAGGCTGCTGGGCGGAGTGTTCTTGCGCCCGCGCCGCGAGACGCTTCCCTTGGGAACGCTCCAGACCCGCTCGATCTTGATACTCTCGCCGTCGTGCACGGAGCCCCAGCCCCGAGATGCAATCCCGTGGCGGACCGACCCTGTGTATCGAACCAGGCGCGGCAGCACACGCAGCAGGACATGCAAATCGTGGCTGGGAACATGGTCGATCGGGTCGATGGCTCCGACGATCGCAACAATGTCGCCGCTGGGGGTGATCGTGGACTCTTCGATCGAGTCCGCGCCGTTTCGCGACTTGGACGCTTCGCCGTGTCCGTCGATCGCCATGGCACTGGACTTGGTCCCGTTGGCTGTGCCGGAGCCAGATTGAGGCTCGTCCGCCAGCTTGTAATAGCCAGCATGGACAATCACTGACGAGGTGTTGCAGAATGGGAGGCGGATGGATGAGGATCAGTATTATCGTGACCGATGCTCCGTTCTGGCTCCTACGCTCCAGACCCAAGGCACTGCCGTTGGACCGAACAAGATTTTCGGCCCACCAGAACCGTGCAATCGACGCCATACTTACTCGCGACCACATCCGAATCGTCCGTGTAGACATCGGTGCCCCAAAGGGCAGCCCGACGCACGCCCAAATTGCTCTTGAGCAGCAGGTGCTCGGCCGGGATCCGAACCTCGATGGTGGCATACCAGTCCGCCTCGGTAAACGGCGGAAGGAGGAACAGCTCCGTGTCGTCCTGGGAGGCCGAGTAATGCGGCGTGCCACACTGCCACTTCCACAAGACCTCGCTCTGTTGATGGATGCGTTCGTGTTGCTTGTGAATGAACTCCGAGTTGTAGCGGAAGCTGGAGTTGTGGTAGAAGGGCACGGCGCTCCGACCGTTGTAGTTCTTTGCATTGGCTTGGATCAAGCGGGCCTGCGCTTCGAGCTCGCCGCCGTAGGGTGCGTTGGGATTGTGCGATCGCTGGTGGGCACCGGTGTAGACGACGTGGCCGAGGAACTTTTCTTCGTATCCAGCGGGCAGGCGGATCAGCCGCTCGTCGTTGACAACGGCGACGTCCCCAGGCTTGCGGCGCTTCTTGGCCTCCTCCTTCGCCTTGTTCATACGACTGGCATACTCTGAGTTTGTTTTGCCGGCCGCGGACTGGCTGTTGGACGAGTTGGCTGGAGCCGAAGCTGAGGCAGCGACCGACGAGTCCTTCTGAGCGGCGACTGTGCGAGTGTCGGTAGACTGGGCTTGGTCCTTTCGGCTCTCCTCGGCGTCCCCAGCCGCGGTTGCATCATCTTCGGCCTTGCGCTTTTTGAGGGTCGCAGCGCTGTCGATCGAGGCTGCAGGAGCCACGGGGAGGACATCGAGCCGGGGTTCAAGGTCTTTGCCCGTGGACGGACTCGAATCTGGCGGATGCGCCGCCGTTTGGGCAGCTGGATAGCTCTGCGACATGGGCAGCGGCGAGCTGCGGTGAGCGATCGATCCAGACGCTGGCGGCCGCGAAGCCAGCGGGTACTCCATCCTCGGTCGCTCATAGCCTTGCTCGGAGATGTGGACGAGTGGCAGGATAGGCACCTTGGCCTTTGGGGGTTCGGCCAAACCCGCTGGCTTCAGCGCGACCAGCGGAGAGGCAGACGCCGGCTGTGAGGGACTCGGGGCAATGGGCCGGTTCTTGGACTGGACATACGGATATGTCTCGGGCGGCGGCGGAGGAGGGGCGGGAGGGAAGGTCAGCGCGCTATGGACCTTTGGCGAGTGCTGCACCGCCGAAGGCGGGTGAAGCGCTTGTGTGTTCTCGGACTTGACCTCGACCATGTCGACAGAGGCAGGCCGCGACGAGCCCGAAGCAGGCGCGAGCAGGGATGGCGGAGGGGGCGGAGAGCCAGCTTTGACTGCAGCAACAGGCGAGAGCGCCTCAGACGACAGCGGGTAGAGCATCGAGAACGGGGACGCTGTCGAGCTGTTGAATGGGCCAGGTGTGCCCGAAGCAACAGCAGGGGTAGATGACGGCATCGCGCTGGAGAAGGCCGGCGCGGATGCTGGGGGCGGATTCGCATGAGCCACAGAAACGGGGACCGGAGCAGAGGACGGATGTGGCTTGGTTCCCTGGGCGGCCAATGCAGCAGCCCGATCGCCGGCGAGAGCAGCGTCGGGGAGCCGCTGGGCATCTGTCCAGGACGCAATATGGGGGAGGGTGAGTGAGAGGGAGTCGAGACGAGTCGGCGGAAAGAGAGCAACGGATTGCCTCTGGATGCGCAAGAATCGAAGCAGTAGACGACGCATCGAGAATCTCGTTGCAAACAGACCAACGCAGCGCCGGCAGGCCGAGCGCATCTCCCACGATATGGCTGCCCAATGACCGGAGCAGAGGCGAGACCAAAGCGGGCTTACCAGAGGCTGCAGGCGACAGCGAGGGAGGTGACGACGATGCTGCCTGGTTGTTGCTCGGCAGCGAGGCCGGACTCTTGACCCGGATGATGATGGGGGGATTCGCCGACGGCGGTGATGGCGATCCCGATCCCGATCCCGATGCCGACGAATTGGTCTTGCCAAGCGACGACTTGAGCGCCGTCGAGAGGTTTCTCAGGGACGAATCCATGCCCTTGGACGGGGACGATACCGCCGAGGACGAGGATGAGGACGATATCTTGAGGGTGGTGCGTGTTGGAGGCTCTGTTGGCCCAGCAGCGCCGTGGCGACCGGGTGGTGGTGGTTGGGCAGCGGAGGTTGTGGAAACAGCCGTGTCGGATGGAGGAACCAGCGAGATGCGAGTGAGTCGAAAGGCGAGCCGGACAAACAGCAAGATGGCAGAGGACGGAATCGCAGTGAGATGGCAGCATCGCCAGCCACGCAGGCGAGATCAGCAGAGGGTTGCCGTCGATTGAGAGGGTGTCAGGAACGACAGGAAATGCAGGAAATACAACATGGGCATCAGACAATCGGGGAATAACGATGGGGTGGAGCAAACTCGCGGCAGGAATGCCAATGGAGCAGAAGCAGGGGTGCCACTCGTGGGGCAAGATCGCAAGATGCAAACAGGAGATCAGCGACCCTACCGCCATCTGGTGAATCGGATGCAGGCGGCAGAGGCACGGGAGTCTTTGTGATGGTGATGATGTTGTTCCGGGCCGAGATGTTGATGCTCTGGTGGTGATCTAGCGAGGCCGCCGACGACGGACGCGGGTGGTTGTCGGGGGGCATTGTGCAGCGATCGAGCGAGGGAAGAGCCAGGCAGTAATCCGGATCGAGGGAATGCAACCGCGGGATGGAGAGAAGGACAAAGGCCAAGGCTGCCGGGGAGGGATCGGGGGGAGAGCCAGAAGAAGAATTGGATGACTCGCCGGCGGAGAAGGCCAAAGAGAAGGACGGGCTGGGGGGGAGGGAGTTGCGGTGACAGCGGCGCCTCGAAGCCGCGAATGCAGTCGCCGGAGGTGGGGCCAGAGCCGGTGCCGACGCTGCCGATGAGGTTGTTGATGAGATTATCTGATAAGATGGATATGCAGTGCCGCTCGACAGACCGCAGATGGCCGAGTCGGCGCTCTCGCCGCCCTGAGCGTTGTTGTTTGGGAATGTGGAGTTCCAACGCCGCGACCAAACGATCAAACGATCAAACGATCAAACGATCAAACAACCAAACGATTAAACGATTAAACAACCAAACGAGCTAGCACATGGACTCGCACCCGCACGCACGGTCTTGGACCTCCCAGCGTCGCTCCGTGAAGCCGCTGGATCTAGCCGCCCGTCCGTTCGCTGTCGTCGCCTCGGCGGTATCGATACGTTTGTCAACGCTTCGCCGACACGATCTTGCGCCTTGCTGTCCTTGCGTCTTGCCCTTCGTGCGTCTTCCCTCTTCCAGCCCTTGCGCCTTGTGATCCCGTGACCTCATTTCCTTGATTTGGCAATCCTGATTTTGCCAAACGAAATCGGGCGTTCGCCGTCGCAGCCCACATCCCAGCCCGCATCCAGCGCACCGCCATCGCCAGCACGCTCGGCATGTCCGGGAGCACAGCGCCCCGCAGCCCTGTCAAGTACACTTATGGCAGAAAGCGACCGAGGGACGACTCGAGGTGGGAGACCCGTCTCATCGCCAACCAGCCCGATATCCTGTGTGCGGTCGCTTGATCCAAGTGTCCAGTATTTCGCTCACCCACCCATTCATCATCGATAGCCCATGGTCTGTGCATACACCTGGCTCGCCGCTCTCGCCGTCCAGAGTGAGATCACCGTCTCGGCCTCCGTCACCGCTACCGCTTCGGTCGCAGTCGCCCCCGCCATCGCAGCCGTCTCCTCCCGGCCCTCTGAGCACCGGCACCGATACCACCGGGGATCTCCCGGACTTGGCCATCAAGGATTCCCTTCAAGATCTGCCACCCGAGCTGCCACCCGCCAAGCGACCAAGCGGCACTGGTCGGCTGACGGATTACTTCAAGCCCGCCTCAGCACAAACACGATTGGCTTCAGCTGCAGCCTCTCCAGATCCTTCCAAGCCAGCCAAGGCAACCATGGACCAGCTCCTGTACAATTCGAACACCGAGTCGCTGCGGCCAGGCACATACAAGTCGCCGCGCACCCCGGGTACTCTGCTCTCGCCAAAATCAAAGAGATCCGCCAAGGACTCGTTCCAGCAGCTCTTTCTGGATCTCGGACAGAAGCAGTCGGGAATACGAAAATGCCGTGTCTGTGAGATGGAATACAGCGTCGGTCACCCTGACGACGAGAAGATGCATGAGCTGTATCACAAGGCTGTTGTCAAGGGGATCGAGTTTCATGTAAGCAGCGGCGTGCATCAAGATGCCGATGCACATAGAGGAGGTCGCGACTCAGAAATCCGCCTCAGCAGCGGTGTAGTGCTGCATGTTGCGTGTTGCCTCCGCAGATTGCCCATTGGGTCGCTGTGTCGATCTTCTGCCAGCGGTTCGTCATAGCCAGTCGTTGGGATGTGCGGACGAGCTGTTCTGATCCTGTGTCAATGCTACTACCCACCGCGGAACGAATCGCTCGCCATGCCTGTTTGCTCGGTGCACGGGAGCATAGAATATCTCGGCGGACTGCATCGTGCGGACATTCACTGATGACGGCGCTCGGATCGCTCAAGTCACCAACGATTGCAAGGCAAATGAGCGGAAAAAGGTCAGTCGAAGGTCCTTTGCGGCCACTGACGGCGATTTACATCCAAGGATCGGATTGCTGGGCTCTCACATCCATTCACACAGATTTCCTGGGATCTGCAAAAGTGTCGCCGCGCTCTGGTGTGGGCTGCAGTCGGCGTGTGTCCTGGGTCTCCGAGTGTTGGTGAAGAGAATGGCATGTGCTGACCCGCCACTCTCCTGCAAACTTGTTGCTCGATGCGATCCTGGTCGAGGGCTTCAGGCCAGAGAGGTTATGTCGTTTGTCAACCAGGAGCTGGGCTCCTTTGCCTTTACCGAGGAAGATTTCGCCGAGTGCAAGGTAGGGCGCTGTCGCAGCGCCGTGCTCAGTATGATAGAACAGAAGCGATTCGCTGTCCGAAGAGTCTCGGCCATCATTCGGGTCACTTCTCGCGTGATGGTTTAATCAAGGAGTACTATGACCACGCATGCAGCTAGCCATAAAATGCCCACGCATCTGCCACCGCTCTCGCTCACACTGTCGATACGAATCGCGGCCGCTGTTTTGGCACCCAGATCTTTATCTATGTCACGCGCCGGGATCAGGTTGTCGGATGTGTTGCCGCCAAGCAAATCACCACGGCGTTCCGGACCAGCACCAGTACCGGCACCGGCGCTTCCACAGACGATACCGCTCTGGGTAGCGTGCTTTCTCGAAGGTGGGGTCTGCAGCGAACCGGCTGCTTGGCGTGATGCACATGCAGGAACAGACATGCTCGCCGAAACAGTGCTGGCGATACGGCGCTACTGTCGATTCAACACCACTCACCCATGTTGCAATGCATGTTCAGCGACGAGCCCGTGGACTGTGTCTGCGGGATATCTCGCATCTGGGTCGCCCGATCAGAGCGACGCAAGGGCATTGCCTCCCGGCTCCTTGACACAGTCTGGTGGGTGGACGGCGCCAGCTCTGACCCCGGTGGAAGAAGCAACTCGAGCGATGTTTAGCAGCGTCCGATCGCAATGCCGCTCGTGAGATCACATTGCGCGTTGCCTGCATTGATATCCAGCAATTGCTGATGCACGGCTGGATCTGTCTGCTAACGACCATTTCTCTGCCGCCCGATCGGGCTCGACTGGACCGAAAACGCGCAACTTGGGTTAACGCATCTGCATGTCATGCAGTCGGAGGTTTGTCTTTGGGACGACCCTGGATCGCGCACAGCTGGCGTTCTCCCAGCCGACGCTTGAGGGCCAGATGCTCGCTCGCTCGTTCACGGCGCAGGCCGACTTTTTGATATTTGGGTGACCGGACAGACAGGGCCTTGTTTAGATGCACTGCCGCCATGGGGCGGGGCGCTTGTTGGCAGCCACACGAGCGCGCCCTTGTTTGGTGGGAGACAAGCCGAAATATATGCTGTATAATGTTCTGGCGAGTTACTTGCTGGTCTGCTTGGTGTTCACTTGATGCTATATCGAAGATCAGCATCGAGCATCAGCATCGAGCGAGCATCATCGAGCGAGCATCATCGATTGTGCCAAGGGGCGTATCGAGTACATCCTCGTTGGCCTGTGGCTGGATAGCGCCGCTTGTGGGAACGAGCGGCTCTTATTATGTCATCCATTGTTGTGGCTGGCGGTCATCGGAAATCGCATTTGCATTGCCCCCACGGACACACAGCCCCACCATTGGCGGCGATCATTTGTGGTCAGCGCGGCGCCCAGCAAACGACCCCGAGTCCGCATGTGCTCGTCCGGGGGGGGGAGGCAGATCTGCTGTCACTTCAACTCCCACTTCGGCTTCTTCGTCTTCTTCGTCTTCTTCGTCTTCGTCCTCGCCATCAGCACTCTACACCAAGCACCCACGAGTCCAGCGACATGAAACTCCCCTCGCACCGTCTGTGGGCCCTGCTGCCCCTTGTCAGCACCGTCGTCCGTGCCCAGGAAGGTGGTCTTCCCGCAGGCAACGTCACCAACAACGCAAACTACCAGTGTCCCCAGGACACCTGCGTCCCGCCGGCCTGCCTCTGTGCCTCGCAGTCGCCGCCGGGCGGTCTCCAGCCCAAGCAAGTCCCGCAGTTCATTACCTTGAGTAGGTCACTGATCGCGATCAGCGCCGGAGCCACCCTGCGGCATCGGTGCCAGAGAAACCCGCGCGACGGAACGACTCGTCTCGCCATTGGCTTCCTCGCTCACCACCTTCCTCGCTAACCACCACCTTCTTCGCTCACCACCTGCTTCCTGCCGCACCTCGCAGCTTTCGACGATTCGGTCAACGACGGCGTCATCGACGTGATCAACAACATCACCGCTGCCCTCAATACAAAGCCCAATCCCAACGGATGCAACCCGGCCGCGACCTTCTTTATCTCGACCCAGTGGACAGACTACTGGTCGGTCCAGAGACTCTTTGGCAGCGGGCATGAAATCGCCGTCCACACCATGACCCACGTCGGTAAGTCCTCTCCGAGCCGGATCATGTTGCTCGAGCTCGCCAACATAGTCGATAGGTGCTGTCCCATGGTCGCCTCTGTAAACAGCCAAGGCAAAAGCTCACACCTGCTATCTCCTCGTCTCGACTGGCTTCTTGGCCTGTTCACCCTCCCACAGCCACGCCGCCCCTCAGCGAGATTCAGGGCTCGTTCAAGGCCGTCAATGCGTTTGCCGGCGTCCCTGCCAAAAACATTGTCGGCTTCCGCACCCCCTTCTTGGCCTACGACAGCAGCACCTTTCAGAACCTCAAGACAGCCGGCACCTTCCTGTACGACTCGTCCATGGAGATGAATCCCATCAACGGCTACTGGCCGTACACTCTCGACTATGGCGCGGCCACCACCTGCACAACAGGGCCCTGTGCCGGCTCCTTCAAGGGCCTGTGGGAGATTCCGCTCTATTCCCTCATGAATCCCGACGGCACCGAAAACGCCGCCATGGATCCCAATCCGGCCCCGGGCGCCGTCACCCTCACCCAGAGCGACATTGTGGCCCTGCTCAAGTACAATTTCCTCAACCACTACAACGGCACGCGTCTGCCCTTTGGCATGTACCTCCATGCCGCTGTTGCCCTCCCGACGATAGAGGCCGTGCGGCTGCCTGCCTACATCGAGTTCATCCAGTGGACGCAGCAGTTTGACGACGTCTATTGGGTCAGCAACCAGCAGCTCTTGTCTTGGATGCTCAACCCGACGGACATTGAGCACAGTCTCGTGAGCCACTCGCTCGGCTGCTTTGCTCCCGCCACGGACCCGTCCAATGTCGAGATCTGTGATGGTAGGGCTCCATCGCGGTACATGTGAGGCGGGTGTGAGGTGGGAAAATGCGTGCGGTGTGTTGTTCAGGCAAGCGTCCCAAGGTTGATTGCGCTTCCACGACTTGCTTGTGCATTGTTGATCCGACTGACGAGAGACTAACTTGCAACCTGACTCCCTGTATGTTGCCACGGCTCTGTGACCCACCAAAGGCATCGACAACACTGGCAACGGCATCGTCGATGCCGGCCTCGTCAGCGACTGCTACTTTCCCAGCACCCAGTCCTCCTTCCGAACTTGCTTCGGCTGCCCCACCAGCGACCCATCGACGTCAAACCCAGTCCCTGGCTTCCAGAGTCCATCGACCGCCGGCAAGTTTGTTCCCGACACCGGATGTTTCAACCAGACCTGGGATCCCAAGACCGGCACCTGTGTCAGCCTGAAGCGATCCAAGCAGGGCGACGCTCCCGTACCGTTCCAGTCCCCGTTCACGAACGTCCATGTCGAGCCGTCGCCCAGCTTGCGCCCCAAACCCACCACAACCTCGGGTACCTCGGGATCCTTGACGTCGTCACAGCAGGGAGGTGTTGGATCTGCCCTGGGTGGTGGTGCCATTGCCGGGATTGTTGTTGGTGTTGTGGTTGCTGTTGCCGTCGTTGCGGCGGCTGTGGTCTTCTCAACCCGCCGAAAGCGTCACAGCGCCTCTACAGAAACCTCGATCTGATGGAAGCACTTGAGCCACGAGGCCTGCCACGACGCACTCTTGGCGCAACAAAGTGGAGACGATTGCATCTGTATTGGGCACCAAGCCAACGCCAGGATTATCCAATACTGCAGTCCACCCCCCCCGCCTTGCTCTTCTATACACCCGAACTATATATTTATGAATGCTTTACAATGTGGTCATGAGCTGGCGACACCGAGCCGTGGATGCAATGACCGGATCATCTTTGTGCCCCAGCATGCTCCCGCATTCTAAACAGGCCGCTATTTCCTCGCCTCATTTGAGTTGTAATAGACTATTGAGTATATTCCATAGAGCAACAAAAGCAAGACCAAAACAAACTACAAAGACAGCTTGAGCGAGGCAGATCGGGCCCTGCTGCTGCTGTCGCTGCTGCTACCGCCGCTGCTGCTCATGTCCAGTATGGGCGGTCGGCTTCGCCTTCGAGCTCAAGCGACATCTTGACCACGGGTCCGCGGAGCTCGTGAAATCTCTTCACAAAGCCGGCATCGATCATCAGGCTGCCGCTCTCAACGTCAGCATACATGTCTGTCACAATCGAGTCTCGCTCGTAGGAGTCGCGCAAGAGCCGCAGCCGCTGAAGGTTCGGAATCTTGAAGCCCAGGTTCCAGATGATGTTGTTCGGGGTCTCGGCGCTGATGCCGGAGAATGTCAGGGAGCGCAGACGAGAGAGCGCCTGGAAGAGATCCAGGACATCGGGCTTCCACTGGCGAACGGCGTCGATCCAGACATAGTCCATCGAGAGCTCCTCGATCGCCGGGAGCGAGTGCAGCAGTTCGGCCAGTCGCTCAAAGGTCATAGGGGCATTCTTGCGATTGCACTGGATGCCTCGCAGGTTCAACCTCCGCAGGGAAGTGCCCTTGGATTTGACCAGGCGGATCAGGGCATCGAACGAAGCGTTTCGGCAGTCCCACAGGACAAGCGACTGCAGCTGCAGCGACGACAAGGCCAGGATATCCAGCGACGAGTCGCTGATACGCAGGCACCGGGACAGGTCGATGCAGGCCAGCTGCGGGCATCTTGAAATCAGGACCTGGACTGAGGCGTCCGTCGTGGAGGTGGATCCGACAGCAACCGAGACGAGGCGGGGACAGTGGGCCGCAATGATCGCGAGGGCAGCATCGTTGAGGTGCGTTGAGCTCAGGTTGAGCGACTCGAGGCTGGTAAAGCGGCGACACAGCGATTGCAGCGACTCCGGGGTGAGGTTGACCGCTCCCGAGAGATCGATGGTTCGGAGCGAGACATGGGTGGCGACGGCGGTGCTGCGACGGGCCTGGTCGGTTGCAAACTCGGCAGAGGCAAGGTTCAGCGAGACGAGGCCAGGACAACCCTGCAGAATCACAGACAGAAAGTCGGCCGGCACGGAGCTGTAGAGGGACTCTTTGACGACGGAGAGGTCCAAGATCCGGACAAACGAGCCGACAGGAGGTCGGTCGTCGAATGGGTCGATAGAGTGATTCTTGGCCAGCAGAGCAGGCAGGGAGGACTGGTGCTGCAGGGTGCGCAGAAACTTGAGGAGCGCTGCCAGCGGGTTGGAGTATCGGCTCTGGAAGCGAGGAGCCCGATAGAGGGCGGCGACGCTGGCTTGATGCCAGCGGAAGCTGAGGAGGGCGAGCGAGGCCAGCTCGGACTGGGGTGTGAATGCCAACAGCCGAGCAGCGACGCCGGGGTTGTCGAGGACGACGGGGGAGAGCCGGTCGGTGCCCATGGGAGAGTGTCGATATCGATGTTGATATTGATATTGATATTGATGTTGATATTGATATTGATATCGAGATGAATGCGCTGGAGAGATGAATGCAAAGGATGGGCTGGCTGGTGGCTGTGGCCGATGCCGATTTGTTGGCGAACAACAGCGAATCGACAGCCGAGCAAGGTTGCCGACGAGAACGGGGGCGAGAAAGACATCCAGCAGGTCGGCCGGCCGGATATTTGCTGCCGTGGGCGACTGGCGGCCAAGCCGGGTTGTTGCCGATGGAGTTGTTACTTTGAAGCAAAGTACAACAAGCCAAGTAATACCTCGCACTCTGGCATTCGTTTCATCCCATTCGCTTCGTTTCGCTCAGTGCTCATCGACATCCGCAGACAGCCCCAGGATTGCCAGTCCGCTGCCCCTTCGACGTTATTGGACATCACACTTGATATCATATTTGATATCAAATGTGATGTCACTCCTGATACGACAATCGATATCACTCCTGACACCACTCCTGACACCACCCCTGGCATTACCCCGTCACCACTTCCCAACGCCGCTCGTCAATGCGCCGAACGACCTGTTCGCTCGCCCCTCCGCGCCGTCTGATCGGCGCTGCGTCGGCCCCGTGCTGATCCGATGCACCAGCCCCGGCGGCTTCTCGTTTGATCAGCAGGTCGCTCGCCCGGGTTGCTTTTGCGCATCACGCCTCGTCACCCTTGCGCTTGCCGCTGGTCCATCCTCCCGTCTGCGGCTTTGGTTGCCCTCGTCGCTGTCGTTGCATCCGGGCCGGCGCTCTCCTGCCTCTCGACCTCCACCGCCGCCTCAGCCGCCAACTCCCGTTTCGCCTCTGCTGTCCATCTGGCTGCAAGTCCCATCCCCGTTTCCACAACCCGGCCGAAACATCCCGCCTCGGAACCCTTGTCGCGTCAGCTTTTCCCATAGCTCCACCCTTGTCTGCTCGGAATCATGGCCCAGAAGCTGCTCAGCCTCCAGCACGAAGCTCTGAGTCTCTCCGAATCCAAGCGCGAGCTCATCGCCATCGAGCCCACGTCCACGATTCGCAATGCTCTCGCCACCATGGCCGCCAATAGCATCCTCTCGCTACCCATCTACTCCCACGTCGGCAAGAAAATCGTTTACATCATCTCGACCTTTGACATCCTCAACTTTGTCGTCGCAAAACTCGGCAATACGTCGCTGGAGGATGCTCAGTCCAAGCTGGACGTCAGCATCGAAGCCGCCATGACCCTGGACTCGGAGTCTGAGAGTTACCGCATCCTCGAGAGCGACTACCAGGACAAGCTCCACGACGTAAGCTCCTGTCGGGGGAGGGGATGCGTCGCGCAGCATTTGAAGCGGCTTGTATCTCATCCACAATCGCTCCGCTGAGCGGGAACGGCCTGCGTTTCGCCCCGGACGTGCCCACATATCTCCTTCTCTGGCTCTGAATGCATATTCTGTCTTGGCCCCTCGCCAGGTTTTGCATGACTTTGCCCAGGGCGCCCATCGCGCCCTCATCACAGATGCAACCCACCGCCGCAAGAGCTACGTTTTCACCCAAACAGATATCATCCGCTATGTCTACGACCACCCGGCGATTGTCTCCCCAGAGATTTCTCTGGACAAGACGCTGCAGCAACTCGGGCTTATCCGCTCCGAGAGGCCAGTGACGCTGATCTCCGATCGCGAGTCCGCCTATGATGGCTTCAAGCGCATGGCCGTCCAGAAGCTGCTGGCCCTTCCCATCGTCGACTCGGCCAACCATGTGGTAGGCACCCTCAGCGCCAGCGACCTCCGGGGCCTCACCGACAAGACGCTCTCGCACTTGAAGTCTCCTGTGGCGGAATTTTTGCAGGTCAGGATGGAAGAGGGCTTAGATGAGGCGTGGGGGATCTGCAGCACGCAGGATCGTAGCGTATCGTATCGAGCTGTTGCTTCGACAGTCGTTGGTCCGCATTTCTTGTCATTGAGCACACCCATTCGACTCACTCCTCGCTGCGACGATCTCGGCGCACCTCCGGCCCCAACCAGGCTGCCGCTCGCCCCATCCCCAAGGTGGAAAATCTGGTCTGTTCGCCAGAAGATACACTACTCAAGGTCATCCAGACCCTCACCCAGAACCGCATCCACAGAGTCTGGGTCACTGACGAGCACATGAAGCCCATCGGCGTGGTGTCCCAGACGGACGTCATTGCCGTCCTGGTTGGTTTGCCTGTTGGAAGTCCCACTCGCATCCGCAGCGAGTGATCTCACTAGTTATGATACTGCAGAGTGCTTCTTCCCGCCACGAAGAAAGCGAGAGTACTACAGCCAATCCAATAAAAAGCAGGTTTAGGTCGTTGAACAAGTAATTTGTTGCCTCAACACATCGGCGCTGGCCATGGCCGTTCAGTGATGTGTTTCTGGATCTGAATCAAGGACGCTTTCTCGCACAGATGGCTCCCTGCAAGCGAAAGGCACCACCCAGACGACGGCGATTCAAGCGACTCGATCTCCAGGTGTGCTCACAGTGCCGGGGAGCCAAGCGACTCGAGAACACAGAGTATCTTGATATCGATACACCATGGAGCTGTCCGGAGGGTCGAGCGAATGCACCACACAGAGTGATTGCCAACCAGGACGGGAAACAATCGCATGGCTTGCTCACTGGAGCCGATGGATTGCTCGCTGGAGCCTGCAATATGTCGGAAATCTGATGCCAGCAAGTGACTGCCTCGTTTCTTTCTGGACCGACTGTATTGAGTTCGGTTTGCCCCGCAATCAGCTCAAGGGCCGCTGCTCGATACTCTGCCGTCTTCAATGTTCTTCGAGTTGTCATTTGATGGGAATTGCTGGTGCTGATGGCGGATTGGAGCAGCGGGCAGCCATCCCGACTGACTCTCGCCGACCGAGACGACACCGAGAGCGATCTCTGTGCGTTTTCAGTTCCAGGCTCGATCGTTTCGGCTGTTCTGCCTCTGGTCTGTGCATCTCCGAACCGCATTCCAATATCTCGGCCGCCTCGACTCAGTCCCATGGCCACACCGCTGACGAACGAACCTTCGCACAGCGGAGCCACGGCTTTGACCCAGTGCAAAGACTTTCTGGACGTCTTTCCCGACACTTTCGATCTCGAAGACTTGCGGCCTGCCGAGCTCGATTCTCTGCCGTCGGCCTTTCGGGTCCTGGCCGATCCGTTCCCGTTCGAGGACTCACGGGAGGGCCAGGAAGAAGCTCAGCTGGCACCGTTTTTGCCCTCGACCAAGAAGACCTGTCTAGACGCCTGTCTGCTCGCCGGTATCGGCCCCGACGACGTCGTTCTCGACATTGGCTGCGGCGACGGACGGGTGTGTATCTGCGCTACCCAGCGCTTCGGAGCCCGTCTGGCGATCGGCATCGACTACGACCGGGAGCTGGTGGAGATGGCCGTCCGGGTCTCTGGCGAGTGCGGCGTTGCCGACCGCACCGAGTTCCTGACCCAGGATCTGGACTCGGCCGAGGCCGTCGATGGGCTGCGGGAGCTGGTCCTCTCGCGGGGCATCACCGCCGTATTCATGGTCCTTTGCGGTGAGATGGAACGCCGGCCGTACTGGCAAGGCTTTCTGCGAGAGTTTTGTGTTGGACAGGGATTGAAGATTGTGGCCATGATCATCGACAAGAACGAGCTCATGGGCGCACCCAAGGCAACCTGTCCAGGCGCCTGGCTCTACTGATTCGCCGAGACTTCCCCCCCCCGCAATAAAGGCAAGCCCGACTCCTCGGGCATATCCGTGCCATCCTGGCGGCGTCGAAGCTTTGGGCGATACCAGAGGATCCGATCGGGAATGTGGTTGTGTATTGTCTGCCGCAGATGCAGGACTGCTCGCTGCATAGGAACCCGAAGGTAGGGGCACAGCACCAGAGCGGATTGAAGGTGATTGAAGGGAGGTTGAAGCGGGCCAGCAATCCATTGCGGGCAGATCCGGTCTGGAGGTGATTTGGTGACCCTATTGGATCGGGCCGATGAGCAGGTACAGACGAGGGCAGGCGAGGGAAATTGGATGCAACTTGGACAGAGACGCATTTGACATCAATCGTCTGCCGTGGACGAAGGAAACGGAGCAGGAATTCAGGACTGTAAACGACGCAACGCCCTCTGGTCGGGCTTGGGGCTCCGCAGATAGATGTCTTACCGTCCCCGTGGTCCGAGTCGTCGCCGTAGGCATCGTAGTGGTCCATGTCCCAGACTAGCTCGCCGTAATCGCCGCCCTCCTCCTCTGAGTCGTCGTATTCCTCCGGGTTGTTCCATTCGTCGTCCTCGTCGTTCTACCAAAGTCAGAGTGTGTGGCGACATCAGGGTTTACGGAGTTTACATCTGTCGTTGCCGATCCCAATGTGCTCCATCGAGTTGGGGGCGCTGTACTTACTTCCCGAGAAAGACCAAGCTTGTCCAGCTCCTGGGCTCTCCTGGTAATGGCTTCCAGGTCAATGTTCTTTTCGAGCAGGCGTTGTCCTATGAATGTGTTTGGAGGAACCGAGTACATATGCGTGGAGAGACAGAGGGATGTTGGCTCCAAATCAGTGACGAGGCCTGAGTCGATCACCAGCATCCCCAGTAGATATATGCAGTCTGGCGAGAGGAGATGGTTCGCACCAAGTTTGGATTTCGAAAAGTCCTTGACGCCGTGCAGCTCCTCGGGAAAGAACGACAGATCTGGCCATCGCAAGAACCGGCGTGTTAGGGCAGAGTCAATGTACTCGGATTGGCACTTGGCTGCCTCAGAAAGGACACTGATATCAGGCTTTCCGAGCTGATATGAGCGCTGCCGCGCTCGCTTGATTCCTTGGTGGTTCGGCCAAACATCGACACCGCACAGCGACAGTTGTGGCTGGACTCTGCATCGTGCCCCGGTGCCGAACCGTTGGAGTCTGATTCGCCGGCCATGCAAAGCGTCTCGATCTTACCCTGGCGGGTCGGCGTCTCTGTCAGTGCTCGTGAGCTGCGGACCTTCTTGTAAATGTCCGAGAAACGCTCGATATCTGTCACGGAACGGCGCTGCGGATGAGGATCTCGTTGGCTGTCGGGCATGTTCGCAGAAGACACGTCCAGCCAGCGACCCGGCGATGGCAACTCTTCCTACCGGGCTTTGGGGGAGGAGGTCCGATATAGTATGGCGTCTGCTTCAAATCCTCGGCAATCTGCTGGTCGATCTCGACGATGATAGCCTCCTGGGGGCCGAGGACTTTGGGAATGGGCAGCACAAAGTCCTGTGGACAAGCATCCCATCCGAGTCAGCAAGAAAGCATCGCATCGGGCCGAGGAGGGGCCCAAGGCGGTTGGTCGTGAGCGCGGTTACGATAGAGGTCGGTATGAGCCGCTCCATAGGAATTGGATCCATAGGGATCGGTCGTTGAGTTGGGTATCGCAATCCCGGCAAATTGGAGCAGCAATGGCTGAAGGCTCACCGGATAGAGCGGAATCTCATGGAAGGAAACAATCATGCCGTCGGGAATCTCTGGCCCATGTGCTGGTGCCCGGCCGAACGATCCGCCTCCGCGGCCGCCTCCACGAAATCCGCCTCTGCTCATGGCCGCTGCGAGTGGTTGGGTATGCAGTGCCGGTGCTGGCGGTGGACAGCGATCGCTTGGATGTGTGGGTTGCAAGGGCGGTCGACGATGATCAGAAAGGAGGGAGGTTGGACATGGGCAAGCGGCTGCGCGTGGCGTCTCGGTCATGTGAGCGGCGAGCACTGCGCCACGTGCGGCGGATGATCCTGGGTGGCAGTGCCTGTGGCCGTGTGGTGATATTGAATCCAGCCAGGAAACCATCGGATCGAGCCAGGCTTGTGTGTGTGCTCGATGGCCAGTGTTTGGCTTGCCAGTGTTTGGCTTGCTTCGCCACTTGCCTCGTTGTCTCCTGTTCATCTCCATCACCCACTTGTCCTCCTCCTGTCTCCGTCAACATGGCCAGCATCAACGAGCTTGCTTCAACCACAGCATCATTTGCCACTCACCAAAGCCAAGCTGAAGCCAGCACAACCTCGTCGATGCCCGATATCACCCAGCACTCATTCAACCACAATCCAGACATCCTCACCACCATTTGTTGCAACGACGGTTTCCGGCTTGCCCTCGACTTTGACACCATCAAGACCCTGCTCCGAGTGTGCAAACGAGCCCAGCCTCTCCTGAGCTCCAAGCTGGCTCGCTTCCACAACTGGTGCCAGAAGGCAGGACTGTGTCGTCCAGATGGACAGATTCAGATTGGCCTCACACCAAGCGACCAGATTGCCATATCGCTGCACTGCAAGGATCCAGACACAGCCGACCGATCCTGGCTTGAAGATCAAGCCGACCAAGGAAACCCATCAGTCTCGTATTTTTTGGCACGGATCCTTCAAGTCGAACTCACTATCGATCAGTCTGCAGACAAATCAGAGGCCATCCGCCAGCAGATCATCCACCATTTGGAGAGTGCCGCCGAGTTCCAACATCCGATGGCACAGTTTCGCCTGGCTGGATGTTATCGCAACGGACTCGGAATCGACCCGGACCACACCAAGGCTATCGAGCTGTACCGCAGTCTGGCCGAACGTGGGATGCCTCAGGCTCAAGTTTCCCTCGGCCAATACTTTGAGAATGGCGAGGGTGTCGAACAAGATTATAACAACGCGATCGAGTGGTACTCCAAGGCTGCCGACCAGGGCAGCGACGATGGCCGACTCCACATCGTGTTCCTTCGTGGGTGGTTCTCGTTCATCGGTCATGGTGTCGAACAGAGTGATGTCGGCGCCTTGAACCAATGGCAGGAAGTCAGCACCAGGTCCACCAACACAATGCACAAACACATCGCCACCCACATGGTCGGATGGATGCACTATCTTGGCCGGGGTACTCGACAAGACCAGCAAAAGGGCATCAAGATCATCCGAGAGAACAGATCGGATGGGTTTGAGCTCGGGGAGGATGAGTGCCTGGCCGGATACCGTGGTGTCGACTCCAACTCGCCCGCAGCCCGCAAGTTCTTCAAGTTGTGCCAGTTGGGATCGGATCGTGACTGGCTGTGCAGACATCTTATGGCTGTATGTCTGGCCAATAGATTCGGAACCACCGAGGACCGAGAGAAAGCAGCTGGCATATTCGTGCAGCTTGCCAATGAGGGCCACAGCGACAGCCAGTTGTGGATCGGAATGTGCCGCTTTTGTGGCGAGGGAATATCAGAGGACAGCAATAAGGCATTCGAGTGGTTTAGCAAGTCGGCCGAGGAGGGCAACTCATATGGGCAGCGGTGGGTTGGAGTGTGCTACTACTGGGGATACGGAGTAACCCAGGACTACACCAAGGCAGCCGAGTGGTATCGCAAGTCGGCCGACCAGGACAATCGATACGGACAACTTCAGCTGGGCTGGTGCTTCGAGAATGGCCGGGGTGTTGGTGAGGACGTCGACACCGCCATCTTCTGGTACCGCAAGTCCGCCGACCAGGGCGACGAAGACTCTATCGGCAGACTCAAGGAAATCGGAAAGTGGCCCTAATCCCCGAGTCTCTCCCAAGTTCCACTCCCAAAGTAATAAGCTACAACACCCTACATCCAACCAAATTTCACCGCCACCATCAATCCAAATCACCATGATACCAAAGAGTGGACTTGCAAAGTGGTTCTGATGAAGCGGCAATGGCCGAGCAGTGTTGTAGTTGACATTCAATACATTCAATACATCCAATTCATCCAATTCATTCAATACATCCAATACATTCAATACATTCAATACACGGAGCGGCAACGAGCACGTTCTGACAACCATAGGTGATGGAAAGACCTTGAACCATCCAGACCACCATCGCCCCATGGAACCGGAGAAAGCAGCCAGCAAGTCAACCAGCCTCTCAGGCACCAAGACGTCCAGTAAGGTCTTGTTGGCTGTTTCCGTCCATCTCCATTTGTCCGAGCCGCTTCTCAGCCAAGATGGTGACGAGGATCTTCAAGACATTCATCCAACCCATGCTGGAGTACGGATTGAACTGGACCTCGAGATACTCAGCAGGTGATAACATTGTGGGGCCGAACGAGGATCTAAGACGAAGATGGATTGCCCAAAGCATGATGTTTAGATGGACACTAGGTACCTTCCTTGGATACCCATACGGAAGTTGCAGACTCTGCAAGCAGTGCACCGGACGATGGCATCGCCGTTTGAATGACTCTCGTCCATGCACAAAAGGGCATCGACAAGAGAGGGGTGTTCGGGCGTCTTGCCAAAGACCCCCAAGCTCCGATATCTCGGCTTGAACGAGATCAACCACGAGAATGAAGGAACAGCCGATAGAGGGAGAGAAATAGATCTGCCGGCTTCCATTTCTTTCGTTCATTTTTCCATCTATTCCTGGGATCCTGGACTACTTGTTATGCCCTATGTCCAGGAGAGAAAACAAAAATAGACAAGTCCATTGAAGACAATCGATCACTTGGCAAGGCGACAGTTGGAACGCCGAGCTCTCTCGTTTCGTAGTGACTTTGGTGTATTGTTTCACTTTGGCCGAAATCAAGATCAGAAAGAAAGAGCAATAGCGACGACGATAACCAGTGCGTTCAGGTTCGACCAAGCGTGGACCATTCATGAACCAAACCCACATGGAGAGTCAATGAGGACGAAGCGAACGGAGCGAACGCGAGTAGTGAGGGAGAGAGGGAAAGGCTCATGGCCGGCTGTGGTTCGGGCGAGGCAAGAGCAGGGAAGAGTAGAAATTGAAGAGAAGAGAGTGGGAGCCATGAGAAGAGAGGCTGGGCTCAAGAAACAGAGGTTCTGAGGCTCTGCAGCTTGAGAGCCAGCTCATGTGATGCTGAGATGAGTTGGTTCGGTAGGAAGGCAAAGAGGACTTGGGTGTGAAAGCAGAGCCATTGGGAGCGAAAGCATGTTTGCGAGAATGCACGAAGCGACGGTGCATCAAAGTGACAAGGATGGGGATGGGAGAGGAAGTGTACGAGTGGAAGGCGCTGCTACGGGCTGCTGTGTGGATGGGTGGAAAATGGCGGTGACAGGGTCGTTGAGCCCTTGATTATGGATGGGGGGGGGAGGAAGTGTCGGGTGAGAAAGTCGAAGCAAGCGAAAAATGACTGTGAGACTTGCTTTGCGCGGTCCTGGCTATCGGCTGTGCCAAGCCGAGCCGATGGTGAGCGTAGCGCCGACTGGCCAGGTCGATCCCAGTACCCTCTCGGCAGTTCATGCATCTGTATTAAACGTTGGTGTCGTCGGGCTTGGCAGCTTCGACCGCGGTATTGTCGAGCGACTGCGAAGGCGAGGCATCCTTCTTGGTATTGCTGGACTTGCTCCAGTCCACAGACTTCATAAACAGGGCCACGATAAATCCGAAGCCAACCACAGCCGCGGTCACGATCCAGACCGAGTGGAAGCCGTCCACAAAGGCGGCAATGACGGTGCCTTGGACGGAGGGAGGAAGACTGGCGATACTCGTGGGATCGAACTGTGGGTGAAAAGTAAAGCGATAGGTAAGCGACGGGCCTGGTGCAATCGGGATCGAGACAGACTCAATTGGGCTCAAGGCACGGGGACTCGATCGTGCACCGGACGAGGATGGCAGGCTATCAAATGCCGTACGCCTCTCTCTGCGTGTCGACGGGACGTGTAGTCTGTGCAATGAAACGGGCCGAGAAGAGCGGACTCACCGATGTCGAGCTTCCAGAGAGAGCCTTGGGGCCAAGGCGCTGGACGAGAGAGGACTCGAAGCGAGTCGTCAGGATGGTCTGGAAGAGGGCCACACCAAAGACACCGCCAAAGGTTCTAAAGAAGGTGTTGGTGGCCGTGGCAGCGGCCAGGCGCGGGACTGGCAGCGAGCCCTGGACAACGACGGTGACAGTCTGCATGCACAGACCCGCAGCAAAGCCCATCATGCCCAAGAAGGTGCTCTCGAGAGCCCGGCTGGATCCGGCGTCGAGGATGATGAACAAACCAACCGAGATGGTCAGCAGAGCCATGCCGGGGATGACCAGGGCCTTGGTGAAGCCAAATCGTGATGTCAAGATGCCCGAGAGGATCGAGGCCAGGGTCAGGGTCAGGACGAGAGGCAGCAAGCCCAAGCCGGCTTGAGTCGCATTGGAGCCGTGAACAACTTGAAAGTACAGGGGGATGAAGAAGATGCAGCCTGGGGCAGCAGAGTCACGGAGGGGTCGTGGGTTAGTTTGATGCGCCGAGGATCCCGAGTCAATCAACCCAAAGCACCAGCAGTGGCCGAGGGCGAGTTGAGGTCGGCGCCACTCTGCCCAGGACACCGGCTCAACAAGGTCACCAGCCAAGGCCAATCCAACGATTGCGTCTTGCCCCGAAGGACTTTGTTACCATAGAGCTGGAATCCAATCGTGAAGGCAATAATGTTGGAGGTGTTAAAGTTGCGGTACTTGAACAGATCGAGGGGCATGATGGGGACGCGAGGGATCTTGGCTTCGACGACAAAGAAGACGGCTATGAGGACCACACCGCCAACGAGAAGGCCGATGATGATGCCCGAGTCCCAGCTGTAGTTGGTTCCACCCCAGGTGAGGGCGAGCAGGAACAGCACCACGGAGAAGCAAATGGCCAGGGTGCCCCAGACATCCAGGCGGCCGATCTTGTCCCGGAGCGAGCCCGATGGCTTGGGGAACTTCATGAAGATGACGATGGCAATCAGGGAGATGGCGGCGAGCGGAATGATGACATAGAAGCACCAACGCCAGCCGGCCGAGCTGTCGGTGAAATAGCCGCCGATGATGGGACCAATGACGGTGGCGATCGAAAAGATGCCGCCGATCATGCCCTGGTAGATGCCGCGCTTCTTTGGGATGACAATGTCGGCGATGATCACATAGACGACAGAAAAGATGATTCCGCCGCCAATGCCCATGATGCCACGGGCGACGATCAGCATGATCATGTTGACACTGACGGCCGAGACGATGGTGGCGACCAGGAAGACGGCGGAGGCAAAGACAATGCAGGCCTACATGGCACCCACAGAGCGAGGGGGGAGGAGAAGGACACGGAGCCGATACCGTTAGTTGGGTCGGAGACGACGCAAAGCCAAGATGGCTCGGTGTGCGATCAACGGACAGGCCCCGAGTTTCACGGTGGGGAATGGGCGAGTCGAAGACAATCGCCTGGCGGGCGGCACAAGCCAGGCCCGACGCAGCACCAATGCAACCACAAGCAAAGGCCCTCGGCGACTGCAGCCAGCAGAGGATAGCCAGCCGAGGGAAGCAAGCCAAGAAGCAGAGCAAACCGAGGGGTCGGATGCGAGGCGGAGTGGAGAAAGGAGGGGGGGCCGTTGATGTGCGGTAGAGAAAAGACAGTGCCAATACAATCCTTCACAGCCGGACGAGCAGGGGCCCACCTTGCGACCAAAGATATCGCTGAGCACGCCGCTGAGGGGCTGGATCGTGGTCGAAGTCAGGAGATAGGCCGTAGCGACCCAGGCATAGTCGGCGAGATCGTTGAGATCGTGGGCGATCGACGGCAGGGCGGTCGCTACGATGGTGGCCAGCAACGAAGCGGCAAAGAGCAGGAGCGAGAGCGAGGCCATGATGCCGACAAACTGCAGACGAGAGCGGTTGATGGGAGGTTGCGGAATTCGTTAGCAACGCATTTGCATGGCATGGGTTTCTTCCGAGGAAAGCGGTCAGGGACAACCGGGCTCGAGGGTGGACATACCTCGACTCGGGTGACCACGACGTTGGGCTGCTCCACGGGGGCCGGAGCATCGAGCTCGGCGGTCTTGACGACCTCGACGGTGTTGTCGGCGTCGGTGATGGTGATTTCGGCGTTGCTCATTGGAAGCGGGCCTTGACGGGAAGAAACAGATGGGCAGATGGACAGGCAGACAGACGGACAGACGCAGGTGGGGCGCTACCACAAAGCTGTATCAGAGCAGCCGATGGGCGGATGGCAGGTGCGGGTGCGATGCAGAGCGACGAGATGGCGAGAGCCGGAAGGAAGGCCGGAGGAGCAGCAGAAAAAAGGGAGTTGGTGCAGCAGAACGGAGCGAGGCCGAGCTTGCCGGAAGACAAACGGCGGAATGGAAGCGATGGATATGTGCTTGGGCGGCAAGGGGAGGCGACCGGGCTGTGCGGCGTGATGCGAGTGCATGGAATGGGCGACCGATTTGAAATGGACAGCAGCAACGGCGACGGCAACAGCGACGGCAACAGCCCATGGCAGGCCGGACCAGCGATGCAAGCGGTCGGCAAAGGGTGGGGGTCACAGCGACGCACGGCAGGCAGTACAGACGCGGCCGACGGGGCGGGAACAAACGACAGGACGGTGCAAGTTGCAACGATGGCATTGGTAGCTTTGATGTAGAAGTTGCAACGGCGGCATTGGTAGCTTTGATGTTAACGGTAACTCTGATACCATTGGCAGCACTAATACCATTGGCAGCACTGATACCATTGGCAGCAATGCATTGTCGGCTGCGCTGCCCGTGGGATTCAGCCGATGCGCATGCAGTGCATTTCCCGGGCATTCTGGAACCGCAGCAGGGACGGAACAGCCGCGACACAGGCGCCGCGTGTGTGCCGCGCGCGCGCACAAGTGTGCGCCACCGGTGGCTTCCCCCGCGCGGCTGCACTGTCTCTGTGGCCCTGCTCAGAGTGTGTCTGTGCGACATTGGGGCGCATCTGTGCCACAGGGCTGTTGTACTTGTTGCGCAGCATGTGTGCTCACGTGGAGTCCACGCGGCGGCGTCGTGTTCAGCCATTCCGACAATCTGACAACCAATTCGACACCATTCGACGTTCGACACCTCGCTCGACACCATTCGACACCTCGTTCGACACCTCGTTCGACACCATTCGACACCTCGTTCGACACCTTGTTCGACAGCTGCGGCTCGCTCCCGGCTCAGAGCTGGGCGTCCTGCTGGTTGTCCGGGTGCGCGGCCTTGAATGCCTCAAGCTCGCCCAGGCTGGCGCTGATGCGCGAAATGATGGGGAACCGGCTCATATCGACGCCCCAGCGGACGGCATTGAACGCTTGGGGAACAAGCACCACATCCGCCAGAGTGACTGAATCTGCGATCCAAACAGCGCCATGGAGTCAGCGGCGTCGAGCTTCAACCGCAGCAGACACGGCTGTCTCTGCCGCAACATGCAACCTCGGTGGGAATGGCCGCAGGGGGGGGGGCCGGCCGCTCCGCCGTACCCATGGCCAGGGCAGTTGTGACTTACCGCCATAGGAGTAAGTGCCCGAGGTTGTGGCGAGCACCTTCTCGAGGGCTGATGCGTTTCGCCGAGGCGAACATGGCGTGGGGAAAAGGAGGGGGTTGCATTTGCCGTGGGGGCCGCAGTGTCAGGGCGATCGCCAACGAGCCCGCACTCGCTCTCCCCCCTGTCGTGGTGGCTCGCCACATCGCTCATGCCCACGTTCGTTTCTAACGGGCTTCCAGCGAGGCCCAGCAGCACATGACACAGCAGCATGACTGCAGCGGCTTGGGTGCATCTGATCAATGCGCTCGGCCGATCGAGATCCTCGGCGCATCAACGAGCCCTGCCCAGCCTTACCTTCGAATCCGAGGGTGATAAAGTGCTTGGCCCACTCGGCCTTGCGCTCGCTTCCAGCATAGTTCAGGACACGCAGGTTCTGGACGGGGTGGATGTCGCAAGTCACCGTGTTGACGATTCCTCGCACCTGCCAAGAGAATAGGGGCCATCAGCAATGTCAAGAGCAATTCCGAAGCAGCTCCATCTGCCGCCAACACCCCAGTGTGTCCTGCTCCATCACTGGCCCATCCACTCTTTGCTCATACCACGGCCCTCTCATAGGGGTCCTTGGGCAGCAGGGGTGTCTCGGGATACAGCTCCTCCAGCAGCTCGATGATGGCCGGCGACTGGATGATGGTCTTGCCATCAATCTCCAGAGTAGGGATAACGCCGCCGGGGTTGAGGGCCTTGTATTCGTCCGTGGTCTAGCCGCAGGTAAGATGGAGTCAGCGGATGAATGGCTCGTGGTCTGGAAAGGGGATCTGCCGGTGCCTGGGCAGCCGATGTGCAGCTCTTTGGAAGCACTTGATGCACAAACGCAGAAAGTGCAGCAAATGCCAGGGCCTGGGACTCATGATGATCGATCTGAGACCCCCTCGCCCAGCCACAGCAATCGCCGTGCATTCACCACCAAACACCACCATCGCTGCGAATACGGCCAAATCAGCAAGTGTCGCACGCCAGCGGTACCTGCTCGCCCTTGAGGAGGTTCACAAACTTGGACTCGTACTCGACGTTCTTGAGGGCCAGGACGATTCTGTCGAGATTTGCGGCGCGAGTCAGTCGAGAGCGCAACACCGGCTGTTCCGTCATGGGCCTCTTGGCGCATACCTGACTCGCCAGCTGGCAGACGATCGCCAGTAGGTGTAGAGCACGGGCTTGGAGGACATGGTTGCTGCTGGAACTGGAACTGGTGCTGGAACTGGGGCTGTGGGTGCTGGTCAGCGAGGGAGGGCCAGAGCGGCCTTGATATATCCTTGCAGGCCGGAGTTTGCCCACGCCACAGATCGGAAGGCGGCCGGGTGGTCGCCGTTGCTTCTGCACCCCATCGTCGTCGTTTGTCGCTATCGCTTGGCATTCTGTCGGCGGTATTCTTTCAGCACCCCGTCGCTGTTATCGCTTGGCATTCCGCCGTCGCCTCCCTTTCCGACTTGCAACTGCATCTCACCGCTCTCCGTGCTCTGTTTCAGAATAGGCCCACCGCCGCCTCCTGCAATCGATACAGCGATCCCCACAGTCCCCACCGCAGCCCATTTGTCATCCGAGGCCCCCATTCATACAATCGGATTCTGCATCCATGTTCTGCGCACATGCTCGTTGCTCATGACAAATCCCGGTATCCGCCGGCAAACAACCCCCACACTCCCCACCGTCCAGCGGCTCAAGCTATCCGCGGGAGCGCATTACAGACCCGCTCGCGGACATCCAGATCGCGCTTCTCGACCAGCTCCGAGATCACCCCGGCCTTGTGCAGCTTCCAGCGGCGGGCGTTGATGTACTCGTGCTGGAGCTTCTGCGGATGCCAAACCTCGAGCGAGTCGTCGAGGTGCTTGGCCCCGATGGTCTCGGCCATCTCGGCTGTGGCCACCCGCGCAAACTCGCCACGGTTGATGAGCAGGATCTTGACCCGGCCGTTGGAGAGGATCGAAAACGGCGCCCGCTTGGCCTGGCGCTCTTGCCGCATCGTCATGTTGAGGTGCCGGACAATGTTGGGCGTGCCCAGCTGGACGACGGCCGAGACTGCAAAGAGCGTCTCGCCAACGCTGCAGTCCTTGATCTTGAGTACCCGGTTGACGATCGGCGGCTGGACCACGGGCTCCACAAACTGCGTCGCCGTGAGGAAGGTGACGTTCCCAGGCCGGAGCTGGGTGCGCTCCGCCTGCCGGGTCGGCTTGGGCTTCTCGCCAAAGCCTTCTGGGCACGGCACAAGCTTGAAGCGATCCGGGTAAGCTTTAGACCAGGGCACTCGCAGGAACCGCACGGCCTTGACCAGGCGACAGTACCCCTCCCTGCATCGGCGAGAACCAAAGTCAACAAACCATGGAACGAGGCACACCTGGAACCCGAAGAGCGGGGATAAAGTCGCCAGCACCACTCTGGCCTCGAATCATGCAACATGTTCATGCCGACATCCGCCGTATCGCATCCATGAGCGGAACTACATTGTTCCGCAGGACCACTCAGTCCACCGTTCATCCTCGGTCCACCGTTCATGCTCGGTCCACCGTTCATGCTCAGTCCACCGTTCATGCTCAGTCCATCGCCAGCACTCGCCCAGTCTCAGATTCTCACACCCTGCCGTGTGCATCACATCCTTTGCTCGGCCACTTACTTGATGACGACAATGCTCTGCGGAACTTCCCCCTCGGTCGTAATCACTTGGTCTGCGACATAGTCTCGCGACTGGCTGGTGGCTGCCAAGTGGATGATGGCTGCCCGTGAGAGCATCTGGAACAGCGGAATGGACTGCAGCAGTTCGACCTTCTCGTGCAGATCCTTCTCCGACTCGGTCCTGAGGACCTCCAAAAAGTCGTCCTTGTTGACCCTCAGAAGCTCCGTGTCCATCAGGGTAATGACGGTGGCAGACCGCCGCACATTCTGCAGCAAGGCAAGCTCTCCGAAGCTGTCGCCCCTGTGCAAGTCCGTGAACAGTCAGCCAGTCATTCAGCCAGCCGGACAGCGAGCAGAGACGCCGTGTGAGCAAGGCTATGCCCAGCACCCATCGGGGCGCTACCGAGTGCTGCTCGACAGGACTCACGTCTTCAGAACATTGAGCAGGATCGACTGGCCTTCGATCTGCTTCCGGATCTCGACCTGGCCGCTTGCGATAAAGTAAAAGTTTTGCGCTTCGTGGCCCTGCAACGCTGGTCGCTGTCAGTATCGCGACCGACATGACCGACATGACCGACATGACCGACATGACCGGCTTGATCCGAGTTCATTCAGGGCCGGTCACTGCTTTGCGGTAGCCCACCACCAGAAGCGCTCGTCTGCGGGCCACACCTCTTTGACAATCACTCGTCCCTGCTTGAAAGCTTCAAACTTGGTGACCCGACAGAGGGCCTTGCGCACGGCCGTGTTGTACTTTGAAAACGCCGGCAGAGACGAGGTCAGGTGAAAGAGTAAATCAACGTCTCGCTGGGAGTAGTCCTTTGGGTCCTTCTTCAGCGCCTGTCGGGTGTCTCGCGATAGCCCACAGTCGAACCGGTTTCGCTGGGCTCGATAGTCTTCGAGGGAGAAGCCGATCTTGTTGGCGATCTGCCGTCCGGGATTTACAGTGCGGATCGAGGTGGTATATCAACACGATAGCAGAGGCTGAGTGATTAGACGGTCGCAAGATAGAGAGCCGACAGAAAGCATCGATGCGAGTGATCGCCGCTGATGTAGTGGCTGATAGCAGCATGGTCGTCGCATCCCAAGACTGCAGCAGAAGGTCTCGGAACCTGTCGATCCAAGCAGAGGTCACTTACAAAGGTCGAATCAATCACACCCTGGGAAGGGGTTGCCTTCTCTTCGATCTCCCGGTTTCGGAATGCACGCACGGCCTTGACACCAGACAGCGTCGTCTCCAGGGCATACTTCCAACTGCGAATGGAGATGGGGGCAGGCACCGTATCAGAGAAATAGAGCCCAAGCGCGAGTGCCCGTCGTTACAGCGTCACAGTCTTTGAATGTCGATCCAGCGCGACGCAGATGCATCGCATTGCCAGCAGACTGAGGGTACATCTGCATGAGATTTGAGCCAATGTGCCGAGTGCTCCACCGTCGTAAACCTATTCGAGTCGATGGCAGGATGTTCTGTGGTGCAGATGGCAGCATTGTGTCTGGATGCACATGCACATATCATGGCCAGGGCCACTTACCGCTCCGCGGCAGTCCGCTGCTCGCCGCGCTGCTCGACCATCTTCTCGACAGCACCGGCCATATCGATGTGCTCGAGGCCCTCCAGCCTGTTCTGCAGGCGAGCAGCTGCCTGGCTGATGACCTGGGCATGCTTCTGGTCGACGGCATTCAGCTCGACCGAGTCCACGAGGACCTCGGTGACCGTGGTGGGGTGTCCGGCTATATGGTCGATGGGATGGATGAAGCCCCGGATGCTGGGCCGGGTGACGCTTGATCGCAGCGGCGGGGCACGGACCTTGACCGAGTTCCGAGAAACCCGAGCGACAGAGCTGCCCTGGGATATGGAGCTTTGGCTGCTGCAGGAGAGCCGGTGCTGGTACCGCAGCAGTTGGAAGGGCACAGCCGGGAGCACAATGGGCTCAGGTGCCGATGGCTGGGTGCTTGGAGCTGCTGTCGAAGGATCAGCGGCCAGAGGATGGATCGGAGGATGGATCGGAGGCAGAGACGGCATTTCTTGGATGTTCTTGGGCGGTAGAACCGCGGGGGTAATGGGGCACGGAGGAAAGTCGAGATGGTGTGGGAAGCCGTGCTGCTGACGAAGATGGACCACAGATGCATCTCGGGCAAGGCTGCATCAATCGGACGTGGGAGCCGCCATTGTGGACGAACAAACGGAGGAGAAGGAGGAGGAGGATCAATGGGCAGTGCCGCTGGGGGTGCTACTGCTGGGTGTGAGTGCGTTGTGTGAGCAGAACCAACTCTCGCGTCGGAGACCATTGTTGGCAAGACCGATATGTTCAATCAGGAGACCTCGGGGTGATCTGGATCAGACAACGGAAGGGTGGATCGGCGGGGAGCCGCCAGTGCGGCCGTGGGAATGGCACTGGCGCGAACGGACCTCATGAACCAGAGATGCGACCGCTGTTCCTGGATGATATCGAGCAACTGCACTTGTTTATCCAAGACGCGAGGCCGTTCATTGGTCGGGTCGTCCGTGTGCTGCTGGTCAAGCGAGTGGTCCGATGGATCCGTGTTGCTCTGATGGAGTCATCCTGAAGCCGAGCCGTGATATTTCGATGTCGTGTTGGCATTACATTTCGATATCGTGATGGCACGGCGTTGTCCGTGTCGCTGCGATATCATCTCGACACCATCTCGTCACCATCCCGACACCATCTCGACACCATCTCGACACCATCTCGAAACCATCTCGACATCGTGCTGCTGTCTGCCTCCTCCCGCCAGGCCCACTCGCTCGGCGCACCCGATCCACAAGGCCGTTTGTTGACAAGCCCGTGCCCGCGGCAAAGCATTTTTTCCTGGGCCCTTGGCCGACCCCGTTTGGCCGACCCCACTCGGCCGTTGTCTCCATCGCTCCCGCTCGGCCAGTCCCTCTCCAGTCCCTCTCCAGTCCCTTTCCAGTCCCTCCGCCTCGTCTCTGCCTCGATCCGAATCCATCGTCGAGCCCGCCAGCCCGTGTCTGTCGGTCTGGTTTCCTGCTCCCCACCCCTGAACACTCCTGCCATGGAGCATCCAGCGCCGGGCCCTCTGCCTCGGCTGCCATCGCCCGAGGTTAAAGCCGAGCAGGAGCAGCCCGATCGTTCACAGCCAGCCCAGCCCCTCGCTGTCTTCTTCGACAGCATCGACTGCAGCGGCAGCTACAACGCCCTCCAGCCCGATGGCCTCCCTGCAATGTCGGCTCTCCTCTCCGACTCCTCCTCCTTCCCGTCCGAGTCGTTCTCGGCCCGAGATGCCTTCGGCTCTCTGTCGCATCCCACTGGAATCTCCGAGTCCGAGCTGCCCTATCATCTGGCATCGGCCTACACCATCCCGCCAGCACCGACAGCGCCGCCGTTCGTGATGGAGCATCCACCGCAGTACCAGCCAACCCCGGCCCAGACGGCGTTCGCATCTCCGAGCAGCCAGCAGCCCTACCAGGCCTTCACCGATACCTTCTTCCCCGATGGCTTTGAGTTTTCCGCTGCAATTCCCCTCTGGGCCGTCCATCCGTTTATGAGCTCGTTCCGACCTGCCGATACGACGCAACCCGCACAGAACTTTGACTTCGCAGCCATCCACCCGTCGCCGCTCTCGCGGCCGCCCTATGCCCTCATCGATGGCTCTGCGAGCCCATTCGACCACCCGCTGCAGCCACATGTTGGCTCGGCTCAGTCCAGCCTTCCCAGCTCTCTCCAAGATCCGTCGCGCCTGTTTGCGGCGGGTGCCAATTCCCACTTCCCCCAAAACCCATGCGATTTGTTTCCTGTCCTTGATCCTGCGTCCAGCGTTTCCGCAGAGTATGGTAAGTCTGGCGGTCTCGCTGGTGAAGGGCGTGGGCGGTACGGTAAATGGCCATGAGGTTGCAGAGCGGCCTCGGCTGTGTGGGTGCCTCCGAGAGCATGCACCAGCTGTGCAGCAAGCTACAGGCCTCTCGGTGCCATGCATGGCAGGGCAGTGGGATCGGCCAGCTCGTGTGTTCATCGGATCGAAAGTCTCGACCTACGGCTGCCCGACCGAGATCAGTGATGCCCCTGACTCCAGCATCCCGCACCACGGCCACAGGACTCGACACACACGCCGGATCAAGTCTATCGATCGATATGGTTGGACAGGATAGCGATATCGCCCCGATCGACTCGCAGGACTCAGCAGCCCCAGCCGCATCCGGGTCCCAGCCTCGCTGTCAGTGGGCTACTTGTACGGCGCGCTTCAATTCCTCGGACGAGCTCCTGCCGCACATCAGCAAGCTGCATCTGAGCGCCAACCACCTCTCAACCCTCTGGACCAAGAAAGAGATTGAGCAGATTCAAGAGACAGAAGCGAATATGAGCGAGGCTGGACCATCTGCTCAGACCATCGATCCGCTGGTGGACAGCCTAGAGACGGAGGAGCAAGGCCTGGTGCCCTATGGCCCGATCGAAAACCCCAGCCGCTCCTTCTATCACGTCTGCCGCTGGGCGCTGTGCACCCTGCGGTCGTTCTTTTCGATCGACGAACTGGTGCGCCATCTGTGCAACGACCATCTGCCTTCCGGAACCTCCAACTCGAAACCCCACGGCTGTTTGTGGGATGCCTGCAGTAAGTTATTGCAGTTGCAGTTGCAGTTGCAGTTGCGCTTGAATGGCACTGGCGCCCTCGTCTTGCAGAGGTCCCCGTACTGACCCAGCGCCTCGGCCGCCTATCGCTGCGCAGGCGAGCGTTTCAATACCTTTGACGAACTGACCGACCATTTGTCGGAGCATCACATCGGAAACGGCAGCAGCGTCTATGTCTGCAAGTGGAAGGATTGCGAGCGCCATGGAAAGCCATTTGCTCAACGCCAAAAGATCATGCGACACATTCAGACCCGTGCGTATTGTACCGCCCCCCCCTTATTGCCCTGCAGGCGTAGCGCAACGCCTTCTTGAACATGGCGTAGTTTCAGATGCCGTGACTATCTGGAAGCCATGTCGACTGGGCCGAGTGACAGTGCTGGTCCGACTCGGATCGCAGGCGCATCCGGTCAAAATCGACGCACCTGGTTAACAACCTGTGTTCCGTACTCCCTGGCACGTGCAGATACGGGCGACAAGCCATACCAATGCACTCAGTGCAACCAGCGATTTTCGGAGCTGGCCATCATGACGCAGCACATACGAACACACACTGGTATGTCTCGAGGGTGGAGGGGGGCGAGTTGATTTCCGTTGCGACAGTACAAACGGCCCTGTCTTTCCGCCACAGATGTATGTTCTGATGATCTAACTTTGAGGCGGCACTCCAACCCACGTATTCTGCCAACAGGCGAGCGCCCGTACAAGTGTCCGGAGAACAGCTGCGGCAAGCAGTTTGCTATTCCAGGTGCACTGACGATTCATATTCGCAAGCACACGGGCGAGCGGCCGTTCAAGTGCAAGGTCAACGGGTGCGAGAAGCGCTTTGCAGAAAGCAGCAATCTCACCAAACATGTAAGAGCGTGGGCGCCGCATGTCTCTGGCACTCATCGTCCCCGCAAGGGCGATAGTAGTTTGCCTTGCTATGATGGATACTACCCCCCCCCGTGAGCCGAGCCAGGCACATCAGTGGTGCACTTTGCGAGCTCACACGCGCAACTGCACTGGCTCCATGACTTCAGGTTCGAGTGCACACAGGCGAGAAGCCGTTCCAGTGTCCGCTCCGCAACTGTGGAAAGCAGTTTGCCCGACCCGACCAAGTTACGCGGCATCAAAAGACCCATGCCGACAAGAAGAAACAGGCGCCGATATGACAGGTCGTCTCCCCCCCCCTTCCATATTTTGGCTGCCAACTCTACATACTCATCAAATACACACTTTCATCTCCCTCGGCGGCCAACGCGGCGTGCTCGTGCGGCATTGGGTGAAGTGGGTGCATCACAATCCAACATCGCTCATGTGCATCAGTGGCTTGCACTGATACATAATGCGGCTCGCTCTCACAGCATGGGCTCTAGCATCGAGATTCATCATACGGTCCCCAAGGGCCAAGACGGACCGTGTGTTTCGCTTCGTGATGCTCCACCCTCAAATATTGTTGTATTGCTTCATCGATCAATCCGAATGTCCCCGCCAAAGACTGTACGGTTGGAATGGGCTACTGCGATGGCGGGCATTCTCTCTGTGCCAGGTTCAATATGGCTCCCGCTCTGGGCTCTGTGCCCGGATGGCCCTCTCCCCTCCTCGATATCGAAGCCCTTGCGCCCGACCATTCTCGCAAGCTGGACAAAAGGGATCTTATTCCTGCACCGCACATCCCGCCACTCCTTCCCACGCCATCATCGGTGAGTCGCCACAGCCGAAGCTCTTCCACGACGCGTCTGGGTTTTGCTTCGGGCGCTGCACGTCCCAGCGGCGATGATGACCAAGCTCACCCGCCGATCTCTTGTTATTGACACCGTCAATTTTCTCAACCCGCATGGCGTCCACCGGATAACGCCTCGGCATCATTTTCCACGCAGCTATGGCGACCAAATACAGTATCAAAGTCTGGCTCAATGATGACTGTCGCCGGTTCATCATGGATTCCCAGCAACTGAGCATGGAGGCGTTACGATCCAAGGTCGGGATGCCAGGGATTGGCGGCGCTTTCTTATCTCTCGGTGCCTGCTCGCGGTGAGCGAGTATATGTGGCTGGATTAAGCCGCATCCCGGCGCGGAGACAGTGGATGCCTTTGCTCCTTCCCTTCCGCTAGCCGCCGCAAGTGCGTTCGATCGGCTGAGCTTCTTTCGATATAACCTCCTCGTCGCGTAGATCTACTCGGTTTATGGACTCAAGTCTGACGAGCCGTATGTGATCAAGTTCAAAGACTCGGAAGGCGATCTCGTGACGCTCTCGACCATGGATGAACTCGAGGACCTTTGTAAGTCTGGCACCGGCGACGATGCTGTTGGCGACAACAAGGTGCCGATGAACTGCAACCGTGGTGACTGACGATCTGGGAATCGCTCTATCCCCGCAGTGACCCACGATCTCAGGGACTCGGACCGCACCATCAAGCTGCACATGCTCGCTGCACCCTCGACAAATCGCTCTCCCAGCTCCACGACTGTCCCGACCTCGCCGTCGGCCTCCATCTCGGCCTCCATCTCGACCAACCCGTTCCTGGATTCGGGATTTGCCGACGATCTCTGGGCGATCAGCGATGATACAGGTTCGAGGGAGCAGACGCATTCCAACCGAGGCGAAGAAAGAAGAGGGGTGGCTGTCGATTGGACGTTGGTTGTTTTGAGAGGAGGGGGGAAAGAAAGTCACTTCCGTCAAATCGTGGCCACTGAGCCCCGTTCGTTTGGCTCTCGGCACTCTGATGCGATGTAGAGCACTCAAGCACTCCCGCCGACCGTATTCGACCCGATGTCAGCAAGGAGATGATGGACATCCTACGCGACCTGAGCTACTACATCTGTGCCCGAGGCAAGTGGATGAGATCTGCATGCAGGTTTCTGTTTGGACCAGGCTTTCGAAACTCGCAAAAGAGCGTGGGCGGAACTTGGCTCCTTCCGTTCACACACGAGATTGATTCCCGATGTGCGAACTATACGGCGATTATCTTTCGTTGCGAATACCGCAGACTTGACTCCGTTTCACTCGCGCGTTACTTCTGAAAAAAGCTTGATCAGTAAGTAGCATTGGCTTGCCATTGGTTGCTGCTGTGATGCGATCGCAGAGGCGAGGTGAATAGCTGGCGGGGCTTGCTGAATTCAGAGAGTCACTCACTCACTCACTCACTCACTCACTCACTCACTCACTCACTCACTCACTCACTCACTCACTCACTCACTCACTCACTCACTCACTCACTCACTCACTCACTCACTCACTCGATTTGATAGCTCCCAACTCCATCACCCAAAAGATCGGCGCCGCCGCCCGCAAATTCGACTCAAAGATCCCCATGATGAAATCCATCGCCCGCTCAGGCAAGGAATGCTCTCTGACGTGTCACCCGTCCTCCGCAACAGGCGACTTCGCCATAAATCATCACGTCTCGCTAACAAATCACTCGGCTGCTTCCTGGCTACGCCTCCTCGCGCTTGATTCTGCCCACTTTCTTTGAACTCCATCGCAGGCCTGTGGATGTCTCAGTCGAGCATGATGGATTTTAGAGACTGGTCTGTCACCGAGGTGTCGCAGTGGCTCTCGGCCACAGGGTTGGAGGATCTCTCGCAGTCCTTTCGCGACCATGACATCAACGGTGAAGTCCTCTCGGAGCTGAGCCACGACATCCTCAAAGACATGGTGAGCCCTGTCGACGGATTCGCGTGTATGGGAGGAGCAGGTGGAATGGATTGGCACCGCCTCTGGGACATACTTCTGGACTTGCGATCAACACTCTTTGTCCACAGGGTATCTCGTCGAGTGGGAAGCGTCTCAAGATTCTCAAGCTCGTTAACGACATGAAGGATTCTATTGCTGCCTGAGCAAGTGAGTGTCCGCAAGTCGCCAGAAGATGAGCTGCAGCGGTATGCGGGGTTGATTCTCGTGCCTCGGTGACGGAGCTTTGGGAAGGGGGGAGAAGAATGCCTCTCCAGGTCCTTTTGCTGGTCGACTGTCATACTTACGCTCTCCGATCGCCGCAGCATGTCGTTTGTTTTTGACCCAAACACATAATGCAATAGATGATGATGTATTGGACAATCGGATCATAGTATCGCCGAACGGTGCCCGAACATGGTGTCGAGGTGGCACCGGCATCACATAGATTGCTGAAAAGCAGCGGGGATCAGAGTGCGGGCAGAGTGGATGATATATAGATAGAGAGCTGGATAGCGAGATGGATAGAAAGAGGGGGGGGAGAAAGGGGATCTGCACTGCTGAAAGCGATCGACGCAGCGACATGGCCCAGATTGACATGACGGAGAATGCATGATGGATGTGTGTACGAGCTGAGGTGAGAGTAGTGGCCTGTAGAGACAGAGTCGGGCAACCGAGCCAGCAGACCAACTTTGGTCAAGAGGCACCATGAGGAGCTGGGAACAAGAAGGGAGGGAGACTTTGCAAATGTGCCTGCTGGCCACAGTGTCTCTAGCTAGAAGGATGACACAATCATGCGAATGCAAACATGCAGGAGAGACTTGTGATGGTCAAGTAACCATATATCGCCGAGAGGCGAGGAGGAGGAGGAGGATCAGGTGTGCCTTATGGAGACTGGGTGCGGTTACTTGGATTCGATGTCCTTGACGCTCGTGGCCGTCTTGGTATCCTTTTTGGCATCCCAGGTCAAGGGTCGCAGGATAAGTGAGAACAGGAAGCCGAAGCCCATGAGGCAGCAGCCGACGAGCCAAACCATATGGAAGGCATCGATGAAGGACTCGATGACGGGGGTGCGGATGGCAACGGGGAGCGTCCAAATCGCCTTGGGGTCCAGCTGGATAGAACAGAGTCGGGCAAGGAAGGAGCAGTGACGTATTAGAACCAGAGCCGAGTGCGACGGATCTTGCAGAGGGCAGACAGAAGAGCAGCATGGAAGCACGAACGTGCACGAATCAATATGAGTTTGAGGGGAGGGGAGAAATAGAGAGGCTTACCGATCCACCGGCCTGCAGCGCTGCAGGACCAAGACGACCGACGAGTGCCGACTGGAAGCGAGTTGTCAGAATGGTCTCGAAGAGAGTGACGCCAAAGACACCGCCGAGAGTGCGGAAGAAGGTGTTGACGGCCGTGGCAGATGCAAGTCGGTGCGGCGGAACCGAGCCCTGAACAAGAAGGGTGATGGTCTGCATGGTGGGGCCCATGGCAAGACCCATCAAGCCGAGGTAGACGTACTCGACAACGATGCTGGAGTTCTCGTCGAGGAGCATGAGGAGACCGATGGAGATGGTGAGGAGGGCCATGCCGCCAATGGCGAAGGGGCGGGTGGTGCCGAAGCGGGAAGTAATCACGCCTGCAACGATGGAGGCGATCGACAGCGTCAGAACCATGGGCAGCAGCGAGAGGCCGGCCTGGGTGGCGTTGTAGTTGTGGATGATTTGATAGTACAGTGGAATGAAGTAGATGAAGCCATAGAGCTGGAAGCCGACCACAAAGGCAATGACACTGCTGGCGTTGAAGTTGAGGACGGTGAACAAGTCCATGGGCATCATGGGCTCGCGGGGCACCTTGGCTTCGACCACGACAAAGACGATGAGCATCAGGAAGCCAAAGATGAGCAGGCACAGGACCGTGGCCGAGGTCCAGGGATAGGTGTTTCCGCCCCAGGTCAGACCGAGGAGCATCAGCACCACGGCAGCGGACACCGTCAGTGTTCCCCAGCCATCGAGACGGTGGATCTTGTCGCGGAGCGAGCCAGGGCTGGACGGAATTTTCATCAGGAAGATAACACAAATCAGGGCAATGAGGGCAAAAGGCGCGACAATGAAGAAGCACCAGCGCCAGCCGGCCGAGCTGTCGGTAAAGTATCCGCCGATGACGGGGCCGATGACGGTGGCGACGGAAAAGACGGCACCGATCATGCCTTGGTAGGGGCCGCGTAGCTTGGGGGCGACAATGTCACCGATGACGATGTAGACGATGGCAGTGATCACACCGCCGCCCAGACCCTGGACGGCACGGGCGACGATGAGCATGATCATGGACTGGCTGAAGCCGGAGACGATGGTCGAGGCGAGGAAGATGAAGGCGGCAACGACGACGACGGCCTGTGAGAGAGCGATCGATAGTGAATGAGTGAACATGCGAGATGAGGAGTGGCAAGCACTGTTTGCCTGATCCATCATGGCACTCGGGCATCCATGCTGCTGGTCCAGCCGACCCAGCCGATCCTGCGGCTGCTGCTACCAGTGGGCCATGCAATCCTCAGCGATCCAAGGCAACTCAAGACCATGTGGTTACCTTGCGACCGAAAATGTCACTGAGAACACCGGTAACGGGCTGAACAGCAGTCGAGGTGAGCAGGAAGGCCGTGGCGACCCAGGAATAGTCGTTCATGTCGTTGAGCTGGTTGGCGATCGAGGGCAGGGCCGTGGCGATGATGGTACCGAGGAGCGATGCCGAGAAGATGAGCATCATCAGGGCAAAGAGCGTGCCGATGAACTGTGGGCGGAGACGAGGCGGCGCAGAGGTTGATGGAGGATATGTCAGTGTCAGGGGTACGTGTGACTTGGGCAGGGCACATGTCTTGCTACCGTCCAATGCACACAACAGCCAGGGCCAGGCGGAGACGTACCTCGACACGGGTAACAGGCACCCGGGGCTTGTCGGGGTCGACGGCGGCAGCCGAGTCGAGATTGACATCGACAGACTCGACGGTCTTGTCGGCATCTGTGATTTCGATTTTGGAGGCGGACATGGCTGACGGCTTGCTTGCTTGCTTGCTTGCTGTCGGCAGAAAGGACAGGACGGACCGGACCGGACCGACAGGGGGGGGTTGTGGGCAGAGGGGTGCCTGGAGGCAGAGACCAGGAAGATGTGCAGGCGAGCGTCGGCTTGGGTTGGGTGTGGACAGCCGGTCAACGACGGCGGTGCGTGGAATTTATATCTGGCCGGCCGGCCGGAGATCCTGCGTGTCGAGAGCAGCCCAGGGCTGAAAAATTACTCGCGGATGAACCAGATCCTTCAACAGTCGCTGGTCAGTGGGGGTGAAGGCCGACGGACAGCCTCGCTTTTGTTGACGCGCCCGTGGGAAAGCGGGACGATATTCGGGGTAAACCTTTCTTCCGTCGAAGGAATCGTCCGGGGCTTGTCCCACGAGGCCGGCAGGACACGGCGATGGCGAAAGGTCCACACTGGTCCCGGACCAACAAGCAGATCCACCACGGGCCGCGGCGGTGGTTACAAAGCATCGAAGGCCGGCACACTGCCGATGCGCACTTGCTGACAGAGGGCGATGTACGCCGCTTGTTGGCAGCGTCCGGGTGGAGATGTGCTCCGTGGCCGGCATGGCAGTGGCAATGAGAGCGATCTGCCTGGAAGCGGCGGCGAGACGGATCACGCAACGAGCCGGTGGGACTGGCCTGTGTGCGATGCGATTGCAGACCGGAATGCCTCACAGCTCCGGCAGCGATGAGCCCAGCGAAGCGTCATGTACAATCGAGAGGCGGCAGAATTGCGGCCAATCACACCACCCAAATGCCAAGGCAACATGGATCACAACAGCCGCCGCCGTTCCCGCAGAATGTCGGCATCAGGGATCTCGTCCCCACAGGCAGGCGGTGGATGTCGTCGCGAGAACCGACGCGGTAATACGGCTCATCCATTTTGAACTGGCATGCCCGCAGTGCCGGGAAGCCAAGCGATTCGAGAATGTCGAGTACCTTGATATCGAGAGCCGATGGAGCGGCAGTCTAGAGGGTCGGGCGCAGGCACCACACTCCCGCATCGACCAGGACTGGAGACAATGGCACGGCCCGTCCGCTGGAGTCTGCGGATCAGCACTTGCATTGCTGTTCGGTATTCCTGGAATGGCTGCAGCCGCCGACTGCACCGGCTGCTCACAGGTCCCCAACACAGACACTCAACTCGAGACCGCTGCATCGCATCGCCTGTGGCTGTTGACGACATTGGCCTGGCCGGTTTGTCATGAACAGGCAGAACGGGTGATGTGTGGGCATTCGACAGCAGGACCGGAACAAAGGCAGAGATTTGGCTGGACAATCCCAGCCCTAACACCACCAAACCCAGCCCCAGCCCCAGCCCCAGCCCCAGCCCCAGCGGCACCGCTCGCTGGGACAGCCCTTGCCGCACGCCCTCCCGCACCGCGCGGTCGCGCCCACGATCGGCAGGAGCAGTCGGCGGCAGCGCTGTGCGACATTTCGGCGCGATTTGCGCGGCGCCGTCCCACACACCCCTTGTCGTCCGGTTGCATCGACTGTACCCCAGCGCGCCCCCTGTGCGACATCGGCATCGCTCCAGCACCACAACCGGCCGCGACAGTCTCTGTGCAGTCCGTCTCGCTGCCTGCCACTCTCGGTCTCCTCTCTCCGTTCTCGCCCGACTCGCTGCACTATCCGTGCTGCTGTCCGTTCTCGCCGAGAGCACTCCCCCACCGAGCCGCTCTCCCCCTCGTCTCTTCCGGCCGCCACTTTCCGTCGACCTTTGGGCTTCCCTCTTGGCTTTGAGTCTTCTTCCTGTCCTGCTCCATTGCCTGCCGCTGCTGGGCTGAAATTCCCATCCCATCCCATCCCATCCCATCCCGGCCTTGTCCTGTCCTGCCTCTCCCCCGCCAGGCCATCTCCACTCCCGTCGTTGCCCATCGTCGTTCTCTCGACCCGGACAATCCTCTGGAAAGGCAAGCCCTCGATAAAAATACGCTGTGTTTACCTGGTGCATCGCTTCCGCACATCCCTCTTGTTCCTCGTTCTCTCCTGGCCCTCTCCTGGCTTCTGTTGTGACTTCCTCGCTGACCCTCGCCCGCCCGTCTCGGCCTCGACTCTCCCTGCTTCCTGCGCCCTGCAGCAGAGCTGCCGCCTCTCCTTTTTTAGCCAATGTCCCAAGAGGCCCCACAACAGGCCATCCAAAAGAAGCGATCGTTTCTGAGATTCATCGACAAGTTCTCCAACCCTCTGCAGTCCAGCTCTCAAGGTAGGCAGCGGCAAACCGGGACTTGGTGGACACGGGACAACGGCAGGACTCGCACCGGTCGTGTTCCTGGCGAGGTTTTCTGTCGGCATGCTCTGCTGTCAACCCTCGCTGCTATCCCCATCGTCCTGCCAGCACTCGCCAGCAGTCGTCAGCAGTCGTCAGCAGTCGTCAGCAGTCGTCAGAACTCGCCAGCACTCGCCGGTCGCTCATCTGCCACCGCTGCTCTCGCCACTGCCGATCCGGTCGAGTCTGTCGTCTTGGTTTTGGGATTCCACCGCACCGTCCGTCCCAGTCCGAGCCTTCCCCTCGTGCTGGCCCTCCTTCCCCCTCGTATCGATCGACGAGCCCTGATCCAGCCGCATCGCTGACATCCAACGCACCCGCCTTGCCCATCTCTCTTTCTCTATCCCGTCGCCACGCATCTGGCTCTATCTTTCTCTTCCTGGGCACCAACCTCCCCTGCTCGACAAGTCCCCCCGCTTCCTACACCGTCAATACAGACCTCACCCGCCCCCAGCCAGCCCGACCTACATTTCGATAAGCCTCTCCCTCAGCCAGACGCCATGTCACACCATCTGACGTTTCAAGACAGCCCAATCTCCTCCGGAACCGAGTTCCTCGACGGCCCTCAGTCGTCCAGCCACAATACGGCAGGCGTCTTGGGTGGCCTGGTGGGCACCCTGGACTCCAGTCCCAGCCCCAGTCCCTCGGGGTTCAAACAGCGCAGCTACTCGATGAACTCCATCAAGGTCACCAGCGCCGAGGTCACCGCCGCGAGCTTCAGAAAGATCAAGCTGGTCGGCAAGGGCGATGTCGGCAAGGTCTTCCTGGTGCAGAAGAAGGATGACAGCGCTCTCTATGCCATGAAAGGTAGGTGTCGCTGCAAGTTGGGCGGGGCGTGTCAGTGTGTTGGTCCTGGCTTCGTGGCGTTTCGTGTCGGCTTCGTGTCTGTTCTCCAACTAACCGATCATGCTCGACCGCAGTCCTGTCAAAGTCCGAGATGCTCAAGCGCAACAAGGTCAAGAGAGTGCTTGCCGAGCAAGAGATTCTGGTAAGTCCATCTGCATCTCGCTCTGTCTTTCGTGTCAGTTCGTCTGTCTATCGTGTCGGCCCGGCCACGATGCACGTGTGGTTCATTGTAGCGGGAGGAAATGACGATCGCCTGTCAAACTAGTGCGCTGCTCCTAGTGCTTGCGCATTCTCACGCTCGCGCCTAACCGTCCGGCTGCCCTTTCTCCAGGCCATGTCCAACCACCCGTTCATCGTGACTCTCCACCACAGCTTCCAATCTGATACCAACCTCTACTTCATCATGGAGTACTGCAGTGGCGGCGAGTTCTTTAGGTACGAAGCGACGCCTCCCCTGATGCATCCTGCGCGTTGTCACAGCATTCTTGTGCCTGGTTCTGTTCCGCTGGCGCTGTCGCGTGCCATGTCGTGCATACCGCAGTCTCGCTGCTTTGCATCCCTCAGTCTTGACGGTGCTTGTCTACTCGATCGCTCCACTCATATCCTCGATTGCACCTATTCAGGGCTCTGCAAAACCTGCCAAAGAGATGTCTTCCGGAGCTGGACGCCCGATTCTATGCCGCCGAGGTCGTTGCCGCCCTCGAGTATCTGCACCTGCAAGGCTTTATCTACCGAGACCTGAAGCCCGAGAGTGCGTATATCTCGCGTACCTGGCTCTTGGCTGCGCCAGTGTCGCCACACATCAGATGCTACGGTGTCTGCCTTTCTCTGACCCTTTGCTCTCTTGCCCGCACAGACATTCTCTTGCACCACACCGGCCACATCATGCTTACGGACTTTGATCTCTCGAAGCCCACGCAAACGCCCGGCAAGCCCACGTTCATTGGCAGCACAAACCCCTTTTTGAATGTAAGGATCGCAGACTTTTGCGTGGGTGTGCTTGCAGTCCGTGTGTTTGTTGGCGTAGGCGCCGTGGGGCTTCCGGAGTTGCGAGTGTTATTGGGCTGGTCCGGATGTCGCATGTGCCATGCCTCAGTCTCGGCCTGCGCGTCCGCACGCCTCTTTTCGGCCCGTGCCGTCCTACACCGTGTGATTCATTACTGACTCTGAACGCCTTGGTCTCTCGTGCAGCTGATTCACTCCAAGGACTCGCTGAAAAACTCGGTCGTCGATACGCGCTCTGTCCTGGCCAACACCCGAACCAACTCGTTCGTCGGCACGGAGGAGTACATTGCTCCCGAAGTCATCAAGGGCTGCGGGCACACCAGCGCCGTCGACTGGTGGACCCTTGGCATTCTAATCTATGAGATGATTGTGAGTATCTGTGAGCCGCGGCGGGGGGGGGGGCTTGTCTGTCATGGGGTCTGTTTCTCAACGGTTACTGACGTTGCTCTGGGGCGGGCTCCATGGCACGTCTTTAGTACAGCACCACCCCCTTCAAGGGCGCCAACCGACACGGCACCTTCAACAACATCTTGCACCTCGAGGTCTTTTTCCCTGACACCGCCGAGGTCTCGAACATGGGCAAGTCGATCATCAAAAAGCTCCTCCACAAGGACGAGACCAAGCGACTAGGCAGCAAGTCTGGAGGCTCGGAAGTCAAGAACCACCCCTGGTTCAAGGACATCCACTGGGCCCTGCTCCGCAACTGCTCGCCTCCGATCCGCCCCAGCCTGACGGATCCTCTCTCGCTCAACCTGCGACACCTGGTCGACAACAGCAGTCTGGACTTTGACAACGAGCACCGGACGCAGCGAGATCCAAACTCGACCGAGCGGGATCCCTTCGAGGACTTTGACTCTGGTAAGAACCAAATCTTTGCGCTCCCGACAGAGGGGGGACGGCTAGGGCTCAGAGGTCGATACTGCCGGCAATTCGTTTGCAGGCACAGTCATGTGGTGCCCTTGATCAGTGCTGTTGTGCGGGACTGTGGGTCCGCCACCCGAGGGCCGGTGCCTCTACTCTCATTGATCGAATCTAACGTGTCCTCCTCCGTTCCGTACATCGGCCTGTTGCAGTTACCATCCACCACCAAACTGACCAGTTCAACATCCGCGACTTGCGGCCTAATTAATCCCGCTCGAGTGCACCCTTCACTCCCACCGTCCACGGCCCATCGACCACGTCCTTTCCCATCCTCCCTCTCACTCTGTTCTTTCGGGTAGATCAACAGACTGCGCCATCCAAACCCCCCCCCGCTCATCCAGACGCAAGGCAGGCTTGGAGTTGTTCTCGTGTGAGCTCGAAACAAAGCATTCCAACCACACAAAGACAAATGGCTGGCATAGTCAGATAACGGCTATCAAAATGCTGCAGCGAGCCAGTTTGGTTGTCCTTTCGATCCTGGCTCCATCACTGGTTACGCTCCTTTATTTTTTCTTCCACTCCCCCTTCTCGATCTTTTCCTTTCCTTTGTCTCACTTTCCCCCCCCCTTCTCTATCCCTCTATCTTCTCTTTTTTCTTGCCCTCCGTTCACCCGATCAAAGCTCGCCCTGTCCCGATCATCTAACGCAGAAGCGACGATGCAGATCGTTTGCCCCCCCCCACTTTCCCTCCTGCGTCCCCCATTCTCGCCACCTGTCGCTTTCGCATTGCCCACCCGGCCTTCTCCCGATCTGTTGGCTTGCTCGTTTCCGCTCACTCCCTCTTTCCACCAGCCGCCTCTTCTCACCCTGACCGCCGCCTCGCATTCCTCTCGCTCTCGTCTAATCTGTACTGGAGGAAAAAAAAAGTTACTCAAAGAAAAAGCAGCGTTTGAACATCATTTGTGCTATACTTTCATCCTCCTTTCTATTTTGCTATCCAAGCTATTTCGTCATTTCTTCTCTCCCTTGCTTTCTCCCTCGTTCTCTATCGCCCACGCTCCTCCCCATCAAGGCCATCACCTCCATCTCGCCGCGCTGCCTGTGTTGATCCTATCTGCATCGTGTTGCTTGTCCATCATGCCCGAATGGCCGTCGTTCTGTTCCCTTTTATCGGTCTGAAGTCGGGCCATCTCTCTATGCACAAGCACTACTTTGCGGATCATCGACTCTCAGATCGTGGCCCCCTCTCAACAAGTTGCTGATTGACCCGTCTCCATGATGCCCTCCCCCATTATCTGTGCGCCTGTGTCTGTGTGTCTGTGTCTGTCCATGTTGCATTCGCTTCATGTTGTTTGCTCGCTCTCCGCCCCCCCCCGTCTCTGTTCGAGTTACTTTGTCGACATGTTTCCTTCGTTACTGATCGTACGGGCTCTGGCCATTCTTATTTCCTCTTAGACCTGCATCGGAGTCGAATGAAATGATGCAGGGTTGTGCACGCTCAGCAAAATACATGAATCATGGGCCACCACGACGTCGTTTCCCACAGCATCGCGTGTTGAACGATCGGCAGGGCACTTGGCAAGCTTGTCGATCTGGTGCAACGGGTCTGTGCTTACGCGAAACAAAAGGTTCCCTCGGCTGGTTGGGATGGGCCTTGTGGAAGCAATCCAGCCCGGTGCTGTTTGTGCCCGTTCCTGACACCAATTCCTTGCACCAGTTGTTGTTGCAATTTGTGGCTGATCTATTTTGAGAGACACAGTGTGTGTGTAAACGACGTAAAACATGCACCGGAGCGGCCGTGTGTGATCGAATTGCTGTCACCCGACAAAAGTCTCAAAATAGCGGGTCCTGTTCCTGGCGAACAGTGCATCAGTCGCATTCCCTGGCTCGCATATATAGTACATCGCACATGCCCCCCTCCCTGCCTCTGCATCCGATTCCCACGATCCCTCGATCCGATCCCCACAACCGCTGCCCATGTTTGACGCTTTTCCGGCCGAGCTTGTCTACCGGGTGCTCGCCCTGCTCCCTCGCCGGGAGCTGGACCAGCTGCGGCTGGTCTGCCGTGGCTGGAATCAACAGATCCGCACAGTCATCCGCGACCGCAACCGATACTTCAACCGAACCATCGGCACCGCCACGGCCAAGATTCCATCCGGCATCGACGTCCTTGGCAAGCCTGAACAGCCGGATATGCGTCTCCAAGCGCTCGCAGGGCTGATGATGGACTCGTCGTCACCCTTTTCCGACCGGACCAAGGCTGCCATGGACCTGCGATTTTACGATGTGGCAGAGTACTCGGATTCGCTCAGCGTCTTTGAGTTCCGTCCCATGGGCCTGCAGCCAACGCTGCCGCTTCCCCACGGCTTCGGGCCGAGCCACACCATTGCCATCGAGTGGGTCCCATCCAAGCCCGAGTCCCCGGATGTACCGAAAACTGGTTCGAGCACGTCCCTCGGCTCGGTCACTCCAGCTGCTGCCTCAGATCCGCCAGTCCCAACACAAGCTCCGTCCTGTCGATGGCTGATCCACGGCCGAGACCGCAAGAGCGACGGAATCTTTGTGCACACCGAGAACAGCCAGGCGATCCTTTGGTACCGCATCCAAACTCATGCCGATGGTCAGCGGTCTTTCCGACTCCTCAAGACCCATGTATCAGGGGCGCTGTTGCAGTCCAAGTCTGGCTCGACCACGAGACGGGCTGCTGCGGTCGCTGCTACTTCTGCCACTACCACTATTACTACTACTACTACTACTGCTGCTGGTGCTGCTCCTGATTCAGGACACCGTCTCTTGGACCTGCAACTGACAGAAATCCTCGGGTCTGGCCAGTTGGGCTTGCTTGGAAACCCCAGCCGGGTGGAGGCACTTGCTCGCGAGCTCCAAGCCCGCCATGTGCCCTTGAACCTTGTCGATTGGAGCCACCCATCCATCCGAACGTCGCTGCTGGTCGACCGGCTTGCGACCCCTGTTTTGGACCAGAGCACTGGCGCACTGTCTGCCGGAGCCCGCACTGCCGCAGACAGGGTACCGCATCTGACACTGTATCTCAAGCAGCTGATGGACAGCTCGATTCGAGAGCTCATGCACTGGAAACACCAGCACGGCCGAGACCTGAACCTCATCGGACTGTCGCTGCGGATGAAGATGATCGAGCCCTCGAAGCGACAGGAGATTGAGGAGCGGGGCCTGCAGCTGGTTGACCGGTTTCTGAATCTGCCCACGGCCCCGCTGCTGCTCCTGGCCATTTCATTTGCCGACACTGGCTCGGGCAAGACGGCCTCGAGGACCGACAGAAGCCATCAAGGAGATCTGGTTCAGTCCATGGGCAACGGCTCCGGCAACAACAATGCTTCTGCGAACGATGACACTGGTGCCGATTCCAACGACGACGATGCCGCCACACTTGTGGACAGCAGCGAGGACCTATCGCTGGATCACTCCCAAGGCCTGCACACCCGCGAGGACAAGATGACGATCCTGAGCGAGCTCATTCGCAGCCATGTCCTGGGAAACTTTTGGGAGCTGAGCGAGCGACTCTGCTTGAGAGTGGGGCTGGACGAGGGCTCACTCTTCAAGATGGGCGAGGGCGTGGTGGTCCGGCCGTTGTCGACGCTCGAGACGCCGTATTACTTTTGGTAAAACCAATAAAAAACGGGACACCCGTGATTTTGACGATTGATCAAATATTTTGTTACCCAATACACTCGCGCGCTGGCCATGACCATTCTGTGAGTTGAATCAAGGACGCCATTGTGGGAACCGCTTCCAGCCCAAAATGCGCTGGATGAGCACCACACCGAGTCCCAAGATCCCCGGGTTGGATCCCTTCTTGCAATACATTCACCATGTGTTCGATGGAGACATGCTGGACAAACAGCTGTACTTCAGCCTGACCCGGCGACGGCGATTCAAGCGACTCGATCTCCACAGCAAGCGACAGCGCACCGTCCACGAGATGTGCAAGCAAGTCATCGACCAGGCACCAAGGGAGACCGAAGTGGTGATTGCCTTTGGGAATGCCTTGTGGAAACAAGGGAAGGGATACGCATCCAGTCCCAGGAGGCTCAGGTTTGCCAAGTACTTTGAGCAGTTCATACACCACCAGAGACGACCACCAGACCGATCCGTCTCCAAGATCCATGTGTGCTCGGTGAACGAGTTCAACACATCCCAGGTGTGCTCACACTGCCGGGATGCCAAGCGACTCGAGAAGGCCGAGCATCTTGATATCGAGAAACCATGAAGCTGTGCAGAGGGTCGAATGCATCCACCACACTCCCACATCGAGATATCAATGCCTCAAGGAACATGATCTCGGTATGCCAGTCGATCATCGCCACAGGAGATCGACCGAGTGTATTCAAGACTGTGCTCCCGAAACCAACCAAAACCACTCGATTGCCAACGAAGACAGGAGTGCAATGCCATGGCCTGCCCGCTGGGCCTACAGTCAGTCAGCGGGTTTCAGACATCTGAAGCCAGAAAGGAACTGCCCCGTTTCTCTCTGGACCGACTGTACTTTTGGTAAAGAGCATTCGCGGTGGTTCTGCCTCTGACACAATCATAGCAAAGATGTAATATAGATATAATTTGCGATGAAACCGCCGATGGCGCGAGTGCTTAAACCGCCGATGGAGCAAGGGATGGAGCGAGCCATGCCCTCCAATGGACATCCATCCCAGTGCATGACCTCTGCAACACACTACATCCAACCCAGTGCATGACCTCTGTAGCGCACTACGTCCAACCCAGTGGATCACCTCTGCAACGCACTACATCCAATCCATCTGGGCTGTGTGCCAGACAGCAAATCGATTTGGCCAAAAATAGCTCGTGTTACTCTGCGGGGTGCAAAACCCGCAGGGCGACTGTTTCGAATCGACAGCGCCTTGGTTTCGTCCTGCGACTCTGCCCTGCGACATTGTCCTTTACTGCGACGACGGTGCGCTGCAGGTGTTATTGGAAAGCCGCCGCCTCGGCTGCCGCATCCCTCGGACTCGTCTTCTTTGCATCCAGGTCGTTAAAACTTGATCCCCCAGTCGTTAAAATCCGATCCCCAGTCGTTAAAATCCGATCCCCAGTCGTTAAAACTCGGCTGCACATCCTCCGTATCGCTCTGCAACGCTTCTCATCGCTCGTTTTTGCTGCGTCTCCGTCGGTCGTCCTCTGCGGCATTCTCTTCCATCCCCCGCCGGTTGCCACCATCGCCCCGCCTCGCTCGTCTGCGAGCCATCCCTCCCTCCCTTGCCCCTCCCCCCCCGCTCGCCATCGTCCTCCCCCGGCCACCCTTATTACCGGCGCTTTCCTCTCGGCCCTCCCGCACACCCTGCCATCTTGTTCACCGCCCTGCCGTTCGCCCGGCCGGCCTTCCACCCTGCCGCTCGTTCGCCGTCCGCCCGTCCAGCCGATCCGCACCGCTTGTTGCGCGAGCCGGTCTCTGACTGTGGCTTTCTCCTCCGGCCCAGCCCGCACAGTCCGCCGATCCCTTCGCCTGACTTTCATAGCTGTCCGGGCCCTCGACCAGCCCCGGGGCGCCTATCCCATTCCATAGCCGCCGCCACCGTCACCATCACCACTTACACCTTCGACCGCCATGTCGACAGCAACCATGTATCCATCCTCGCTGGCTGGGCTCCTCAACTCGGTCAACTACGACCTCGCCGTCCTCGGCTACACCTCCATCCCATCCGAGTCGTTGCTGGCCCCGAGCACGACCATGACCGAGACCGCTCTACTCATCATCCGCGACCTGATCCAGACCTTGCGCGCGGCCGTGCACTCTGCCGAAGAAATCGAGGACCGCACCGTGCGGCTGCAGAACGACTACTCGGTTCTGCAGAAGCGGCTCGAGCGATTCAAGCGGGACGCCGAGCACAACCTGCAAAAGACCCGTGCTCTCGAACTCGCCATCGAAAAGGCCGAGACCAAGGCCAAGCAAGAGACTGAGCGCTCCAAATATCTCGAGTCCGAGCTGAAGCGAGCTCGCCGCAACGAAGTCTCGACCGGTCTCCGGGCTGCATCCATGACCACCCCGCTCAAATCCAGGTCGTCTCATGCCAGCCCGCCGCCGCCGCCGCCGTCCTTGGACACCATCCAGGGCCTCTGCTCGAGATGCGTTGCTCTTGCAAAGAAATCCGGCATGCCGTCGCCCGTCACCCCCTCGGCCTGGGCTGCTCCGCCGTCTGTCTCTCACCGTCGGGCTGACACCTCGCCCAGGCGCTCGCCTCCGGCCCGCCAGAGCCATTCCCAGAAGCCCCGGAGCACCCCGCACCACCACGACGACTGGACCCACTCAGAGTCGATCGAGACTAGCGACAATGATTCGTCCTCCTCCAGCTCCGAATCGTCCGACGACGACGGCCGGCACCGACTCATTCGTTTCGCCGACACCCACGAACCGCCAGTGCGACGGGACATGGGCTACCGGCCTCCCAAGGAGCCCCGTCGCTCGTCGCTGAAGAAGCCGACCCTGCTGGAACGGCAGTCGAGTCGAGAGTCTGACCCCATGCAGCTCGACCACGCCGGCGCTCGGTCGACCCGACCGCTATCATCACCTCGCTCGCCCTCGTCGCCTTCGCTGCCTGGCTCTGTGATTGTATCCTCCAACCTGGCACAGCCGCATCTGGCTCCAGCACAGCCTCACCCGGATCATGCACCTGCTGCAGCTGCTGCAGCTGCTGCAGCTGTCGACTCTCATCAGGCCCACCACCAGCTCGCCAATATCGACACAAACCATCGCGATGCGGCTGCCAGTCCCGTGCCGCTTCAAATGCTTCCAACCCAAGTCACCTCGCCCAGTCCGCTGGACTTTGGTGCAGCCTCGGGTGTGGCGGTTTCTGCTAGTGACAGCACTGCCGGGCCCATCTTGCAGCCCGAGTCGATTCCATCCGATAACTTTGCATCGACCAACGCATTCCGCCCGACCGAGCCTTGTGCATCTGTCCGCCCGCCCCCGCCACTCGACGAAACTGAAATGGCCGAGACACACGCCCTGCCCAATGCCAATTCATCGGCCAAATTGCGCCCTCTCAGCTGGCAGGAGCCGCCCAGCCAAGAGCCCGACTCGGCGTCCTCGGGCTACCCCCTTCGTCGTCGCTCCTTCCCTTCCCGAACTCTGCAGCGCTCGAAATCCGAGCCGCTGTTGAAGGTCATCCCGGAGTCAGCCGAGCTGCGCGAGTCGGTCATCGAGGAAATCTCGCTGACCTCGGCGCCTTGGACAGAGCTCTTTGGCCAGAAGGTGGTTTTGCGCAAGACGGGCATCAATCTCCTCGACAGCCGGACCGACAACGAATCCTATCGGAGGGTATCATCGCCGCCACTTTTACTGCCGGCCGCCAGTCCGCTTGACCAATCACCCGAAACATCGGCACGCGCCCGGAGGAGCAGTAGTCCCGCGCCGTTTCAGGAAGAGCACTCGTCGTCGATGATTGACTTCAACAGCTTTGACGATGGCCCCGATGTCTTTGAGAAGCTGATCGAGAGCCCCGGTAGCCGAGACATCCTCGCCGATCTCTCGCAGGCGGACGACGCCTCCGCCTCTGCCTCCGCCACGCTGTCCATGCACGCGGACCAGACCATGAGCCTGGATATGGACGAGCCGCCAGTGGCTTTATCCAAGAATGAGGTGCACTATGCACACAGCGAATACGGAATTCCCTCGCCGCCGCTCTCGCAGACACACGACCAATCCTTTGTCGATGCGGCGTCTTTCAACCCCAGCTACCTGACCGGCGACGATGAAGTAGATCGCGAGTATATCGGCAACATGCTCTCCAAGCTCGAGCTGACGACCGAGGAGCGAGAAGCCATGATCGAAGCTGTCCTGCTCAATCCGAGTCTACTGGAAAAGCTGATGTGAATGCGCCCTCGCGTGTGTCCGCTTTGGCCGACTGGGGGCCAGTGATCCTGATGGATTCTTTGACAATGCTGCTCTCGAGAATGCCGTCTCGCGGTAATCAGCGTCATCAGCATCATCAGCATCAGCCAAAAACACCATCGTGGCTTCAGAAGCAGACCTATCTTCTCCCATAACTTTCGTTGAACGTTTTTGTGCCTTCACGGCTCTCTATTTTGACGACACGGCAATACAGCCACTTCATTTCACTTCATCTCATTTCATCTCATCTCATCTCATTTCATCTCATCTCATCTCATCTCATCTCATCTCATCTCATTACATTCTGTGAAAGTCGGTTAGATTGTGTTGGGGGGGGTATCGACGTGAATTGCAGTGGAATGCGTAACCGACTCACGCCGCTGGCGTGCGTATCTGCGGAAACTGACGATCCTGCTCGGATGCCTGACTCGGGACAGGTATCTGGCTCCTGAGCCTTTCAGGCGCCGTCGCCGCTCGCTGTGCGGCCACATAAACATGGGGTTCCCAGCCGACATGACCGATATCTTGCTCACATGCCCCAGGCATCAGTGCCGAGTCGGGTGAATGCCGAGCGGTGGCGACTCATACGATCCGTTTCCTCGCGAGATCGAGCAGCAGGGAAGGAAGCGATTCCTACCGACAATCCGGGCTGTTTCCTGGTACCTGAACGCATACATACGACAACACTCTCCGCTCGCAGTCACAGCGGCAAGCAACTTTGCAATCGCCCTCGCCGCGGCTGTGCGAGTTGTATTTGTCCATTCGCCAGTCGCTTGGCGCTTGGCATCAAGGACTGCATCCTCATACAAGACCTCTTCCCTTCGTGTCACGGCTTGGACACCTTGGAACCTCGGTGCTCGATCATCTTGAGCAGCTGTTCGCCCGAAAGTCGCAAGGTCTGGTCCACTGGCGGCTTCCGCCGTCTGTTCTCGATCTCGCGGGTCTTCTCGTCGAGCTCCAGGTCGCCCGTTGGAATGAACATGCCGCTGATTTGGCGCTGGGCAAACCCGGTGGCATGAGCAATCTTGGCACCGCCCTTTTGTTTCTTGAGGGCCACGGCGGCTGCCTCCGAAGCCACCACCGACTGGAGGTTGGTCGAGGGCGAGAGCGGGAACTTTGCGAGATACGGCGACTTGAGCTGCCGAAGCAGTTTCCCACAGGCCCCGGTCCCTGGCGAGCCGTTCGGCCCAATTCCGAGCTCGGAACGGGCGTCAAAGCCCGGATCGTCGAACTCCTTCTTGCCCGTCGCCGTCGCCGCCGCCTTCTTCTTCTTGCGTCCGGACACAGGCTTCTTGGCCTTGGGGACCTTTCCAGTCCCGCTTCGCTCGGCCTTCTCGATTACCGAGAGCACCGCTATGGGTGTCCGCAGCGTCTTCTTTGCGCTAAAGATCCGAACCACCTGCCGCCCGACCGGCACATGCTTCATCTCATCGAGGTAGGTCGAGTATGGTGACGGCGCGACGTCGGCGTTGATCGGGATCATCGGGTGATAGTGATGGCTGACCGGCAATGATGAGGAGGGCGGAGTCGGTGGACGATTCCTTATCCGCCGGGTTTTGTCGATAGACTGGAGGAGTAGAACTCGCAGATCATGGATGGTTGAGTAGTTTGGCCCAAAGAGCTTGCGGATGACGGACGCTGGGACGTCGCTGTTGGTAGACGCAAGAATGTCAGTCCACAGGTGAAGGTCGCATGGTGGGAATCAAGTCGGCCAGGGCACCCCCACGAGTTCGTTGTCGTTGGCTGTCTACAAAGAGCACCAACCTTTGGTCGACGAGCTCGATGATGGAGAGGTGGTCGGGCTCAGCCTCGTTGTTTTCGATCACAAACCTCAGTCGCCGAAGCGCAACCTGCAATCGTGGCCGGTGGTCAGGACGCCGGTTGTATCAATGCCAGCGACGATGCCACTCGATACCAAATCTGATCACGGCGATTGCCAGTGTCGCAGTGCGCATGTGTTGTCATTCGGCCATCAACAGCATCGCCTTGTGCTTGACGATCCAAGGCCATCCACAGTGACGCACTCAAGTCCCACCTGCTCGATGCGGAACTTGTCCAAGTTGGTTCTCACGCTCTGGCCTTTCAGCATCGACGATGCCACAGGCGTGACCGGGCGGGAAAGGCCGATTCCGTGAAGTCGCGGGTCGTGAGAAGCAAATGCTCGCGCACTTGAGGGACGCTGGCGGACTGGGGCTTCGTCGTGGATACTCGAAATGGATGTGCGCAAGTGGGGCGCAGACGAAGGTCTGGTTGCGAACCAAGCAAGCCAACTCCCTCATGAGCACTCGCATCCATCCAACTCTCCATCCAACCAACAAGTCCCCATCATATCGCAGTACTTGCCTGGGTCTGGTCTGGCGTACTTCAAGATGGCTTGCAGCTGAATTGGCTGGCTCGGTCTTGATCATCACCGACGGGTTCTCGTCAAGGTGGCGGTAATAGTCTGAGTGCGAGGACGCAGGTCTCGAAGGCTGACTGCGGGGGCGAGTACTGCTCGGCCGTCGATCACGAGGGCCATCTTCGGGCTGTGTCGCTGTGAATGTGGATGCGGCAGCGATGTGTGCGTGTGAGTATATGCCAAGTTCCCGGGGCCGCACGAGTTTCACGGAGTACGAGCGCCTATGCCACCGACCATTATCGACTGGGTCTGCGGGCCTTTCGTCGCTGCTGGTGTCCTGGGGAATCTGTATCTTGATTCAAAGACATGACATGATGGTGAGCTCGCAGCAGAACGGCAGAGTCGCCACAGGGCCAGCAGCGCCGCCTTCCACTAACCAGACGATCCATCCACACACCGGCAGAGCCATTACCTGCTCCTCGTGCTTGGGCTTATCTTTGGGAACTTTCGGTGTCCGATTATCAAAGATCGTTACTTGCGCTCGAGCAAGCGGCATGGCTGTAGCGTCGCGAAGCACACGGACATCCGCCACAGTGATGGTCAGCCATTTATGCAAGCTCCGGCGCTCTCCCACTTCGACAATCAAGGCGATTCGTTCGTGGTGTCTTCGCTCTTGTATCCGCAGTCCTCTGTGGACGGACTCCTTACCACGCTTCGCCCCGGCCTTCTTTCTCTTGTCTGCAGCCACATATGCATTCGAGCTTGTCGAAGGAACTGTAAACGAGACCCGACTGTGGGCTGGTTTGAGGCCGCTGCGCTTGGAGGCATCGGACATGGCATGGTCGCGACTGCGACCATCGTCAGCCTCCGCTGGCCGGAGAGAAATGAGGTGGTCGAAGGCCGAGAGCGGTGACAGGATCGTCACATTTTCGGGGGGCTGCGGCGATGTACTGACGGCGACGTTGTCCATGGGCGGGATCGTGGGAAATGGCCGGGGATCGACTTGCTACCGAAGGAGATGCGGAAAGAGTTCAAGCGACGGAGGTGGTTCGAGCTCAAATAACAGCAAGGTCGGGCAGCGAAGAGTGATGGTCGCTGCGGAGGTCGGAGTGGGTGAGACCAGGGGCATCGGAGATAATCCTCCCTGTGAATGGCGACGGGGCTGCAGTCGGACTGCCAGGGAGAGCCATGATTGGGAGAATATTCCGAGTCGCCTGCGGCCTGATCAGCAGCGCACGACCTTTGTCTTGAATGAACAGCCTCATGGGATACGACTCTCCCCCCTTGACACACGCCCAAGAAGCGATGCACCAGAGAGCAACCCGATACTCTGTCCGCCATGGCCGGCCACCCTGCTCGATTGCGGCGCAAGATATTCCTACAGGGGTGTTTGTATTCAGGGCTGGCATCTGCGCCGTTTCAAGCTCAACCGTTGCATCGGGTCGCCAGCAGATTTACTCTGTCCTAGTGGCTCGCTCTGTGCAAGGCTCTGTTCATGCACTTGCTCCCCAACCGAGAATCGTCCACCAGAACATGCCGACGGTGAAGTAGACTCCGAGGTGAACGAGGCCCACGCCCCCGCCAACCAGGAACCAGGTCTTGCGGTCGACAAAGCCCTGGCCTGACGAAACCATAGTCATGCGGGTGAGAAAGCCAATGCAGTGGCCATAGATCGGACAAGTACCACAAGACACCACCCAATTCGCACGTAGACGAGTGCATGTCGTCAGGATCACCACAAATCAGAGAAAATGCGCGCCTATCTGGGTAGCGACCGGGTCAGCTCGACTCACCAAAGTATATGGCAGACGATCCGGAGGAGTAGTTTGTCTATCAGAAACGAGGCCGTGTGTTAGTCAACCACCAGTTATAATATAGCCCTGGAGACCCTCAACGGGAAGCCAAGGCGGTGATTGCCGCCAAACCATTCCATTGCAATCGGTTGCCATCTATGCCACATTCGTGCACGCCACCCCGAAATCATTACCAGACTCCCGGCAAGACTGGAAAAGTAGGCCAGACAGGCTGTGAGTATGCGCGAATGGCAGCCCAGCTGCTTCCCCGCCTCCATCAGGGGCGACACCAGGGCGACGATGTGTCCAGTTAAGCTCGAAAACATCAGCATCGAAAGGAAGTAAATCGTCGAGATGGAAATGGTCGAGGTCAACGGCGAAAGATGCGCGCTCTCCAGGAAGCCGACGCAGAAATTGCCGAACCAGCGGGCCAGTCCGAGCTTGGAGATCTGATCGGCGATGAGAACCATTCCCGAAAGCCAAAAGTACGAATCCCACGCTGCATGGAGCCACGTGCGTCAAGGTCCAGAGTTCAGATCAAAAAGCGGTGCGTTAGCGAGATACCAAGCAACAGTGCCCGATGAGCAGCTCGTCTTGATGAGACCCTGATGAGACCCTGGCGAGGCCCTCGCGAGATCAGGAACGCAGTCGTCGAGTCGAAATGGCACCGAGCCGCTTACCCTTTGAATTCTCGATCACTTCATTCCAGCTGATTGTACCCATCATCAGGAGAAGCGAAATGCCCAGCAGCGCCACATAAGCTTCTGGCATGTCCAGAGACGAGCCAGAGACCCACAAGGCAAGACACAGGATCAGGACACTCAGAACTTGGATTTCTTTCGATGACAGAGGCCCCATGCGGCTCAGCTCCTGCTTGGCCAGGGAACGAACAGCGCAGGCGTTGTAGCTTGTCCGCACGAACTTGGACAGAATCAGTGGAATGAGGGCTGCCACGACGAGCCCTGGGACGACTGCGCCGACGAACCACCGGACAAAGCCGAACTCGAGATTGAATACCGCTGCGGCTTGTCCGACGATTAGAGGATTTCCAACTGTGCCGGTGACGAACATTGACGAGGCTATGAAGTTGGCGTGGTTGCCGCAGAGGACCAGAAACGACCCTGTTTCGGGGTTCTCGCTCGGCGTCGAGCCAAGTACCTGGGCGAGCGACATGGTGATGGGCATGAGAATGCCGCCCCCGCGGGCAGTGTTGCTGGGGATGAACGGACCCAGAAGGAGCTCTGGAACCAGGAAGCCGGGCGAGGTCAGAGAGGCTCAGGGCTGCCACCACCGAGGGTAACGAGATGCACGATGCTGCTGCTGGCAACATCGCAGTCGAGCACAGAACTAACCCGAGGCCGTCAGCGCATATCCAAGACCAAGAAGCGACCCGCCCATGTACTTGACGAGCAGCAGTGAGACCCTTCGGCCCAGACCAGTGGCGTCGACGGCGTGGCCGATGTGGAAGGCGGCAAGGACCAGGAATGACAGCGGCATCGAGAAGCTGGATGGCCGGCGACCCAGAAGCGTGAGTGAGCAGACTCAAACGAAGGCTCAAACGAAGGCTCGAACGAAGGCTCAAACGAAGGCTCCTTCCTCTCTCGAGATTCGAGTTGAGTCCGCAGCGCTTTAGGCAGCAGCGATACCATTCACCATTACACCCAGACCCAGACCCAGACCCAGAGTCCCGACGCTGGAGCATGGAATCAGCTTACCCTGAGAGTGCCACCTTGAGTGAGCCTTGGCGGCCATCGCACTTGTAGCTGATGTGCGTGCCGCCGCCGATGCGATCCTCGGTGTCGCAGAGCCGGCACTCGATAACCTTGCCGTCCTCGGTTGTGCACATGAAGCTGTCTGCAAGGATCAGCACCAGCAGCCCATTGAGGACCACGATGGAGATGGTGATCTCGGTGCACAGCAGGGTCAAAATGACACTGGAGATACAATGTCTGGTTAGCACGCCGCGACTGAAGCAGAGAGGAGGGGGTTGATGCTGATGGGCTTGGTTGGTTTGCAAGCTGTCCAGCATTTCCTGCATTTTGGGATGGCTCTGCCCGCACCAAGCGATGCCATGATGCTGCGACCCGACTGCACGCCTCCAGATTGTTCGTTCGACAGACGGACAGTCAAACACACGGCCCGCAGACCCACCAACAGCAACTGGATGCTCCAGCTTGCCGACAGCCACCAGACAGGACAACCAGACCCCGGTCGCCCCGGCTATCCGGCCCCGTCGCTGCGGCATGCCGTTTACCTGACGAATACGCCGAGAAGCTGCATCGCAGTCCTTGTCAGCCCCTCCGGCGGCGGAATGTGGGCGATGATGAATCCGATTAGGATCGACACGGCGGCGTTCAGGACGTTGGGATCACGCAGGAAGCGCTTCAGCCGAGCTGCCGAATCGGACCCGTTGCGTGATTGTGCAAGAGGTTTGTGAGCAAGCAGTCCGACGGGCGAGTAGGTGCGGCTACGGCGGCGGTGGACGAGCAGCGACAACGTGCTGAAGCGAGCAGATATGCTGGAGCATGGCTGCTGCAATTCACCTCGGAATGACTTGGGCCGGCCATCGACGGGTTGGGGTGGATGAGCCCCATGCTGCACTGATCCGGACAACAGCGGCGTGGCATCGGTTGGCAAGTCCATGGAGCTGTGGATGATGGCAGAGATGCCGGAGAACGCAGTCGCTGGGTCAGTGACCCGATGCGCATGCGCGGGAGCCAGACGATGGGGCCAGGACATCTACCTGAGCGTAGGGCAGTGCTTGGATGCAGGTCTGGAGAGGAAGCTGGGACTGCCAAGAGAACGCAGCGGGAAGGCGCCATTTTTCTGCCGCGATCCGATGGCGATGCGGAAGCACTTTGCCGTGGGACAAGAGGACAAGAGGACAAGAGGACAAGAGGACAAGGGGGGCGTGTCGTGCTGCGCATGCATCGTGTCTCTGGATTTGGTCAATCGTGATGGTCTGGTGGGTCGGGTGTATCGATCTGGTGGATCGGGTGGATCATCCGGGCAGGCGTGGTGCATGCAGTGGGCCGTGGGGGCGGGGTTGCTCGATCCGCACAGAGGACGCATGTCTGTCCCGTTTCTTTCTGGATTGACTGTACAGGTGTTCAAAATACAACTGGGACACCCCGTTTTGCTCGACACATGCTCGCCAACGATCCCATGTCTCCTGCCTTCGGTCACTCCTGCTCGTCCTGATCAGCCGTCGTCGTGATCTCTTCGATTCGACTCAGCGTCGATTGCATCATATTCAGCAGCAAGCTCTTGGTTGGATCCGCCTGCAGGTGGAGCGGATCCCGTCAGTTGCGCCAACGGACCGCCATGGGCGGTTCTGGAATGCATGGCCGAGGGTTTACTTACAGCGCATGCGTGGTCGACTCCATCGTCGTGGTCTGTCTCCTCGGCGTGCTGCTGGCAGTGCTGGTTTTCCTGTTCTTGAGCAAGCCGCTCGACGTGTCGAGCGAGTGGATCCAGAAAGGCTCTTCTCGTAGCATCGAGGTGGCTCTTATCCCACAAGCCCAGCTGAAGGGTGATGCATGTCATCGGACCGAAATAATATCTCAGCTCATCATCGCTCGAGTTGGCTACATTGGTCAGGTGCAAGGCATGCGCGGTAGACTCGCCCAGACGACTCAAAGGCGAGCCCGGCGCTCGTGCTGCAGGCGTTACCTTGCGACTGGGTAGATCTCGGATCAGAAGGTAGAGGTACAGGTTCAAGACGTGCATGACCACGTCCGACGACCTCAGCAGCGTTTGTCGATCGTTCAGCACAGTCCGTGACGGCACAACAGGGTCCAGATAGAAAGACTGCTTTGGATCCAACAAGAGCTTCAGCAGAGTCTCGGTCAGCACGGGTGATGCGAAAGTATTCGGCTTGGGGCTTTGGTGGCGCTGCGGGATATTGTGGACCAGAAAACTCTCAGCGTTCGAGCAGTTTCGCGGCTGTCTGATTCGGGTTCTCACGCCATTCCACGATTGCATCACTGGCAGAGTTGATCGACGCATGCCTCCAAAATCAAGGCTCCACCACTGTTACCAGTGCCACCAGTGCCCTCATACAAGTCAGTTGTGCTTAAATGCATACACGGCTCACCCCAGAATCATGCGGTCGATTCCAGAATTCGTGGACAAACTCCTTCAGGATAGCAAGCGCTGCAACTTCAAGGATGGGCTGTCCGCTTTTCGTCATAATCTCGGCAATGATGTGCAAGATCACGGTGTGGTCAAACACACGCAAAAACGTCTTGAACTTTGCAAACGCAACCGACCGAAGTCCCGGGGCGTGGCATCCTGCCATAAATTGGAGAGAATTCTGACGAGACGACAGCGTCAGTGCTGTCCACAAGCATCGTCGCCGCGAGTCGAAAGTCAGAGATAGCATGTCCAGTTTGCATTGGATGCAGAGTGAACCCAAAGTCAGCCAACCTGGATCAGCTCATTCATGGAGTAGCCATCATAATCCATTTGGTAGTCTTCCATGTGCAGCGACTCGGTGGCGAGGTGTTGCGAGAGGTACTGTAGATAAACCAGTGCCTTGTCGGCGATAAAGACGTCATCGGGATTCCCTGTCGAGCTGAATTCAGCCAGATGTCAGCCAAGAGCCTGAGTTTCTATGATCCACACGAATGCATCGCCTTCAGTCGTTTGCAATCCACTTTGTAGCCTTTGTCGCTCGGTTGGAGCATATCGCGGACCACACCTCTGCCCAAACAGGACGACACCCAGCGGGATGGCCGTGGCCAGCTTCCATGGCCGCCCGACCACTTTTGGAAGCATGTGGGTCCCGAGGAAACGGGCCGAGCCTTCGCGACTGTCTCGCTCAAGAACCAAGGCGATGAACACAGCAATGTCTCCGAATGATTGGAATGATGCAGTATGATCTGGTGGCATATTTTCGCATGCGTTGATCAAGTTAGGAACAGGTGGCGCCGAGTAACTATTGCCGAGGTGGGACGCATGTTTTACCTTCGAGAATATTGAAGGCTCCGATTCCAAGTCCCTGGGCGCTCGCCTGTGACAGGTGTCAAAAGTAGCATCAGCGGACTGTGATGTGTCCACCATCCAAGACCGGGCAAACACACGCTGCATGATATGCAGCAAAGTGCAGAGACATACCAACAGCTTATCTTGAATCGGAGCGGTCCAGAGGCGGGGCTTTGACTGGTATACCAGGCCCAGAGGCAAGCGACTGAGGCCCATGGAAAATATCTTCATGTAGAATCCCTTGCAAGCAAAGGCCACATGCTCCGCATTCTTGCTGTCGGTCGACTGCGGTTCAGGGTGTCGTCGAAAGATTTGATCAGGGGCGCATCGACTCGGCGTCACCGTTATTGCTGTAATGCATGATACTGTCTGAGACATACCTTTGCCAGCTGCTCACCGAGCAAATTGCAGCATGCCGTGAATTCCGCGATGAGACTTTCGACGGCATGGATGACGACTGCCCTGGCACCATCCAGTCAAAACCACCAATCGTTGTCAGCTCAACTACGGCTCGAGCGCTACCAGGCAGTATACATTCCACTGGTTCGATTGAGCCAACGATTGCCAACCTGCTCTCGTCACCGCCATTCGGGGACTGATCGCTGTTCAGAGACCGGCCCAGCCGATCGAGCACAGAGAAGCTGGGTACAATTGCAGAGAGAGTCTGGTGGATGAACTGGAAGAGCTTGTTCGGTTGGATGCGGCCAAGACCTGCGGTTTCAAACAACGTGGCGAAGAGTCCGGCCATGAGCAGACAGTCCACAGACTTTGGTTCGATATTGTGTGAACACCTGGACACAGTAAAGCGCAAGTGCGCTCGCCGGCGAGAGCAGCCAGGGTCAACCCACAATGGCCCAGTGGATCGGACCTCGATGCTCGGCAGATCAAGCAACGTCGACTCAGTCGGTCACGATCAGCACATCAGATCACCACAATCAAGCAGATTGCAGGCCCCAGCATGTTCACCTTGGATCAAGATCTGCAAGCATGCTACCAGCCTCGGGACTTCCACCAGCAGGCGGGGCAGCTCCTCAGGATCCAGCGTCATCCCGAGCATATATTCTGGCACAAAAACCAGGAGCTCGCGGGCAGCGACGTTGCTTGCAACCCGACCAAGGATCTTGGAGACAGCGGCGTGGGACGAGTTGGCTTCATCCAGTGTGGACCAGTTCAGATGCGGCATCAGTAGAAGCGCCAAGTCCCAGCCGCAGCTCGAGATCTCGGTGTCGTCGATCTCGTCAACGAGACGATGGAGCTGGACCCAGTCTGTCGTCTCGAGGCTGCTCTTGCTCTTGGTGATGGCTCCAACAGCTTCGAGGACTTGAGGCAAGGGGTGATCGGTCGCTGGAGCGTCCATGGCGGTTTGATAGCGATGGCTGTTGCAGGGGTTGGTTTGGCAGGGACTCGCAAAGTAAAGCAGGCAGACAGAATCGACGGAGCACAAACAGATGGATGTGTTGGGCAGGCAGGCAAAGGCCAGTCGGGCAGGCAGGCAACAGGCCAGTCGGGCAGATCAGGAGAGAGTTGGTTGGTGCTGGGCGAGCGGCGCATGGCTTGGATCACGGCGACGAGCCAGAGGGCATAGATCGCCGGCTGCTTGTTCATGGGCACACTATCGAAGCAGCCAGCGTTGGTCTATTGACTGAGAATTGTATTGAGGATTTGCTCCCGCCCACCTCCGCTCCCCGCTGCAGAGACCGCCCCGAATCGCTTGCATTGTATCAGTCGTCAAAGATGGCCAGCTCGTTGTCCTTGGACGACACAGATGAATACGGCCCCCTGCGCGCATGGTGCCCCAGGCTGCCGTTCTTGTACTTGTAGAGGTTGTAGAGAGCGATTCCGCCAATGGTGATGATGATGCCGACGACGTTGATCATGGTGACGTGATCTCCAAAGATAATCATCGACAGCACGATCACGACGACTTCCTTGGACATGCCCTGGCATGAGCCGACACCATATTTTAGACTCTACCTCTGCGTGCAGATCACGGCGGCTCGTAGCATCCTTGTCCCATCCCATCCCATCCTATCCTATCCTATCCTATCCTATCCTATCCTATCCTATCCTATCCTATCCTATCCTATCCTATCCTATCCTATCCTATCCTATCCTATCCTATCCTATCCTATCCTATCCTATCCTATCCTATCCTATCCTATCCTATCCTATCCTATCCTATCCTATCCTATCCTATCCTATCCTATCCTATCCTATCCTATCCTATCCGCAAGCACCAGATGTTCGGGCTAGATCGACTTACCGCAACTGCATTTGGATGGCAAGCCGAGCGGATACGGTGGCAAGCATTATGTTAGATGTACGTCCTCTGTGCCGATCTTGTGGGTGCGGCCTGGCTGGCTCAATACTTGGCGGGTGCTGGCCAGCCTTTCCCCTACGCATCAGCGACACTTGCCACAGCCAGCGACCTACCAGAGAGAGTGACGACGGACGTGCTGGCGATCAAAAAATATTCGGAAATCGTCATCAGGAACGCAAGGACGCCGCCAATGGCCAGCAGCCCAACCAGATCAACGATGGAGCCGACAGAGGCGAATTGAGGGTGATTGGCAGCGTTGCCGTATCCAAACTCGAGGACGAGCGAGAGGATGCCATCGAAGAAGGCCATGACCGGGCTGAGATAGAGAAGCGTCAGCACGGGATGGCCCATGGGCGACGACGGGCCCTGCAGCAGAATCTGGGTCAGCGACCACCTCAGGCCCGAGAAGATGGAGCCGCCGAGGACGAGCACCAGGCCAAGCGTGTCGTATTTGATCTCGCCGGCGATGGTGATGACGACGCCAAAGACGATGATCATGATGATGGCTATCAGCGAGAGCCGAATCTTTTCCAGTCCAAACAGAAAGGCGAACATCAGAACCCAAACGGGCACGCTCGATTTGATCATCGTGTAGAAGGAGAGGCTGATATAGTGGAGCGAGGCATTGCTCATCACAATGTCTGGTCCGGGATGGAAACAGAGCCGTTGGAGATTGAGAAGAAATCCGGGTCAGCCCAAGCAGAACGAGCTTTGCTATTCTGGCGACACTTCTGTGAGGCGCTTGCGGATATGCCCGAAGCGGGCTGGCGCAGGGCATCTGGTGGCTTCTTACCAAGCGCTGTGCAGAGCCCCGTCGGGACGACGTGCGTCAGATAGTGGTAGACAGTGGGCTTTGGCCGCCGCCGCAGGTCCATGCAGAAGAAGTTGTAGAGGAACAGGGACGTCAAGAAGTGGGTCATGGCATGGATCGCGCATAGCAGCAGCGGCAGGTTGAGGTTGTATTGGTGCTTTCCAAGCAGGGCCTTGTTGTATATTGAGAGGGCCGACGAGAAAAAGTACCTGAGAAGGAAGGGGTCGGATCGTCAACGGGATGTGCAATGAGGGAGGGATAGAGATACGCAGCGGCGGGAAGGGATACGAAGAAGCGTGCTGGACATCGGGGGAATCATCCACGCCGAGAACACTACCAAGAGCCGAGATAGAACAGAATCCGTGCAATGGAGGTGCCCTGGGTGGATCCAGCCTTAGAATCCATAGCGGGAGCAAGCGCGAGCGAGGCGGCCGGGTGTGGGGATGGTTGACGGAGGACTGAGGGCGCTGCAGCCGGGCGAGACGGCCGGGCCTGGAAAGGGGCGCTGGGAAGAGGGCGCTGGACCGAAGCGAGGGCCAGCAAGACAGCCCGACCAACGGAATCCGCCAGCGATCTGGGGATTGCCTCGGTCCGCCAGACGCATGCACACGCTGATTCGCCCTCCGCGCGAGTGAAGCCAGAAGCACCAAGGTGCGGCAGAGAGACATGGCCAGGATGCGATGTGGGAGCGACCGTCAAAACGAACGAGGCAGGTATCGACGGTCATAACGGCACTCTGAACTGACTGTATTCACGTTGCATAGCACAGGGACAGACAGGGCGCTCAGCAGCCGAACGTGTACTGGCCAGAGTTCCACCAGAGGTTGCTCTGCCAGTCTTCGAGAATGATAAAGGCGCTGACTTGATCGTTCAAGCACGAGCCGACCCAGGGGACGGAAACCGTCTGGCAGGCCACGAGGTTGACGTACGCGGTGAGATCTTGCGAGTTGTCCGCAGTGCAAAAGTCGCTCCAGTCGTTCCAGGGGCATTGGATATCGGCAGCCAGGACGAGATACATGCCAGTGGGAATATCGCAGCTGGCCGTGATTTTGAAGCTGGACATTTGGTCATTAAAGCATTCATGGATATTATAGCACTTGAGACTGTCATGGACCTGAAAGTCGACAGCTCGTCCGCCATAGTTGATATCTTCGTAGAGAACAACGTCGAGCTGCCAGGCCAAGCACGCTGGCAGAAGAAGGGCGAGAGCCGCAAGCAAGACAATCGGGGTTTTGTAGGCGCCAGACATTTGAAAGGGCTTGTCGGAGGAATCGGCAATGAGGCACCAAAGAACGGACTTGGAAAGGAGCGAGCCGGACTTGGCTTGTTTGGGGTAGGATGAGGCTTTTGCGGCTGGCGAGCGTCATGGCCGAGGGATGGAGCGAGCCTATTTATGTGGTGTGGGAACATATGGCTCGTTGCCGCGACGAAGCATATACACTTGGGCAGCACTGCCAAGACCGCAAAGACAACTGGGGCAGCCAGGCCGGCCGACTTCCAAGGGGTTTGTGGAAGGAAAGAGGAAAGCAAGTCGCTCGTGGGATCCGCACAGCATCTGGTTGCTTTGATCGGCTGTTCTGCTCGGGACTGCACGAGATGCATGACCATCCTGCGAGGGACATGTCTCAGCATCGCATTAGGCTCAGCATACATTGCCATTGCCACCAGGTGTGTCAGTTGTTTTGAAGATGCCAGGCCAGACCGTCAAGACAAGGCATGGGATATTGATCGGCGACCTGTGCAACGACTCGGTATCCCTCGCAGGGGTGTGGCTTGCTTTCTGTCCGGGATTCGGCTCGATGTGGGTCCGAAGTGTCGAGGAGCAATGCCGACCCCTTGTCGAATTGCTGCTGTTTGAATGTCACTGCCTTCCAGTCGCTGCTCTGGGAGCCCGAAGCCATCATACATTGCACCTGAGGCCGCACCAGCCAGTACAATCGACTGAGCAGCAATCGCTGATTCGTCGCGAATCGAGGACCAAGATCCAAGACCCACTCTGCCGATGCCTCTTTGCTGTCGCTGCGTGGGTCAACCGCCTCCTCGGGCTGTCCGCGCCTGGAGCCCCCGAGGACTCTTGAATCGGGAAACATCACCCGCGAGTGCCGATCGACGTCGTTTAGCCAGGCGGGTCAGCATCATTCAGCCAGCACCGATCGACGTCATCCAACCCGCCCAAGTCGTCCGCATGTCCCATTCGAGAATGGGTTCGCTGTAGCCATGCTTTCGATCCAGCACGGCTGGCGTTCCAAGTCTATCGAGACACTCACCCGGCGAGCAAGAGGGGCCATGCCCAAAGGCAGATCCATCGCTTCACTGTATATTGACATGGTCGATGGCGACAGAACACATACATACGAGGACAAGCTGGCCCAATGTAATCGACGCTGAGGGCACAACGACGGCCACCATGTGCCTGGCAGCATTGCGCCTGGTTGAATCGCCGTTCAGGCTCCGCTAAGGGCCCCGGCCTCAAGGGTGGCAGCAACCAACGAAACGAGATCGCGGACGGCAATGTCGAGCTGCTCCTGAGAATAAGGCGCACCAGGAGCCGGGATGTGCAGGAACAGGACAGGGACGGGCGACTCCCGGGTGAGGTAGAGCGATGAGTAGAAGATATACTCGCACAGGTAGCGGCCAGCATCGGTCGAGACGTTGCAAATGTCCCAGCCCTTTGCGCGCATGGCGTCTCGCAGAGCTTCGTTGTCGAGGATGGTGCGAAGAGGAGACGGGAAGGGCGAGCCATCCGCAGGGGGAGGCAGAATGACGGTGCCTTCAGGGGCCATCTGGTTTCTGGAGACATCCGATCCACACCGGACCCAGGCCAATTAGCACGACAGTAGAGCCAAGCAGGCAGCCCGATTCGCACTTACTCGACATCAGGATGGACGTAGCCCTGAGGATGGGCAATCGTCTCGAGGTTGATGGTATTCGGGAGACCCTGGCCGACATGGATGATCGCTGCCGGCTCGAACTCGGCAATCAGGGGAGGCAGGTTCGCTGGGTGGCGGCGAGACCGAGCAGGTTCAGGGCACTATCGGTATCTGTTTGACAGCGAGAACTCAGCTACACGGCGCATTTCTTACCAGAGACAAACTCGTAGGCGACGGTCATGAGCCGAGGGACGATGCGGTATCCGTTGGACTGCAGGCCCTCGAGGGTCTTGACGGCTTCCCATGAGGGGTTCAGCTATTGGCGGGGCCGAGCAGTGAGCGAGTGCGATGCATCGACAGACAGCGCCAGCAGAGTAGGATGCATACTTACCACGGGGGCGCTTTTGAACGCCTGTGGAATTAGGAAGGGGGGGATGGACAGCAGCACCAAATAAGATTCAATCGCCAGCAGAGCGGCGTGCAGAGCAGGCATCAACGTGCGGAACAGGTGTCGGCGAAAGGAGCCACAGCCGGCCGGAGGAGAAACTGGTGGCTGCAAACACTTACACCGTAGCCGGTGACCAGGATGTTGGACTTGCGTTGGGGAGGGACTGGAGCCATGGCGACAGATGTCGACGACGATGATAAAGACAGAGATAGAGACAGAGACAGGAGCGACGGGAGACGAGACTGCGAGAAGCCATGGCAGCTCTGGATCTGGAGGGCTGTTTGGGGGGGCTGATCCGGCGCAGAGCCGGGACCAACGCAAGCCCCCGTCGCACAGAGTCACGCGCGGACGAAGACAGGGACGCTGTGTTCGATCCGGGCCAGCCAGAACCGAAGGACAGCCAAGCGGGCATGTCTTGGATCCACAAGGCATGGGGCTGGGGTCGCCGGCGCAGAGTACCCCGTCCTGTTTCAAGATGGGTGCGCTGTATTGCTTCATTCACGCTTGGGGCGGCGATAGCTGCCCGGCTCCTGCCACTCGTACTTGAGGCGCGGGCTGATGTACTCCTCCGCCAGAGCCGCCACACGGCCGGCCAAGCGCAAGAACATCACCATGACAACGAACCAGATCAAGTAGCTGCCCGCGCGGGACAGGAGGCTCTGGCGGTCAAAGACCTGGTTCAAGCTTGCGCTGATCTGGTGCAGTGCCAGAGGCACCAGGAGGTACGGCACGGTCTTGAAAATAGGCTCGGCCGACGACGGAGCCAGCTTTTGCATCGACAGCTGCCTCGACTGGATGCGATCGATGAGGCTCTGCAGGTTGCTCTGGTGACCGGCGCGTTGCAGCATTCGCCATGGATGTCAGTCGATATGCAGCACAGGGCAGCGCATCCATCCGGGACTGCAGCAAGAATCACCCGACCACCGTGGTGCTGTCGGGTCAGCACGATGCGCTCACATGGTTGATATCTTCTTCAACAACAGCAATGCTCTTGGCACCTGCGTTGATCACCAAAACAAAGGGCTTGGCGGGCCACTGCTCGGGTGGGACCTGCGAGTATTGGCGCACGAGCTGTTGCATTTTGCAATCGTGCTTGCTCGTAAAGAACAGCACTTGCGGCTCTGTCTTGACGATCACGCACATGTCATCTTTGCAGACCATCTTTTCAACATGACGATCGGCCACTTCTTGCAGAGTGCGCTCGATTTCCGCGGCTTGTTTCTGGCGGGCAATAGAAACAGACATCATATCAGCCAGCCTGGCCGTGTTGGCGCCACCGTTGCAGATGTGACAGCGAGAGGGATGTATGTGCTGGATCGAGCACCCACCTCCGAGGCAGACCCAAAGAATGCGATCAAAGAGGTCTTGTGGGTTATGTGGTGACCTGCCGATGTGAATGACTGGAGAAGCGATGGTCGGCATGTTTGGTATCGATATTGTCAGAGTTACCATTGACGAGCAGCCAATTGGCGACCCAACCGCCGACGACAGCCCACCATGGACGCCGTGCAGGAACGAGCACCGCTGCTCGATTGCCTCGATCGCCTCGATAGCCTCGATTGCCTCAATGTCTCGATCGCCTCGCTTGCGCACCTCGGCAATATCGACCACGTTCTTGGGGTGCCAGGGGAACAGCTCGCCTTGGGTGTCGCTGGAAGCGTGCACGAGTGCGTCGTGGTTGATGATGGCTTCGTCTGGCCCGATCACCACCAAATGCGGTGCCCGGTCGATGCCCAGTCGCTCGCTGATAATAGTACGTACGCACAGGTCAGTCTCGTTTCTCATGGGCCTTCTCACTACCGCCGAGGCACAGCCAGGGCGCCTGTCCCTGCTATGGAGCCGGCGGTCGTTGCTCACCAAAACTCGGCTTTGATTCGCCTTGCCTCCTTCGGCCGAGCGGTCAGCCACGGCACGTTCTGGAGATGATCTGACCGATCGCAACAATGAGCCAGAGATGGTAGTTAGTGTCAGTGATGAGGATGCCTCCTCGACACTGGGGTCGTGCGGTCAAATATGCCTGTGCCTCACCGTCTGATAGAGCGATGATCTCAAAGGGCAGATTCCGGTCGAGCGTGCTCTTGTAGGTTTTGGCAAGGTCGTCTTGGAGTGGGTGCGAGGCTTTGGCAATCAAGACACCGACGGTCTTGCCGTCCAGAGCGACCGACGACACCGGCTGTCCGTCAGGGCCAACAAAACTGGTTCCAAGAATCTCCCTGGCGGATTTCGGCGGATACGGAAAGCCAAGTCCCTCGGGATCGCCAAGGACATTGGCACGCCCGTTGGAGGACAGGATCTCGCCCTTTTGATCGAGGAAGATGAGAGTGGGTACGCCTTTGATCTGGAATCGCTGGCCCAACGACTCGGCCGCTGTCCGGTCAAACGGGAAGGCCAGCCTGGAGCACCGGCAAAGGAGCGAATGGTCGTGGGTCAGGTCAGGGTGGGTCGGCCGGGGCAATCCAGTCGCTGGGGATGAGGAGTGGGCAGGGCGCAACTTGCCATGGCATCGATTTGAAATAGTCCTGGAAGGCCTCGGCGTTGTGATCGATGCTGATGAAGACGATCTCGAACGCTTTATCGTTGGCAAGCAGGTTGCGGTAATACTCGACCAGGACGGGGGTGAATGCCCTGCACGGCGGACACCTGAGCGAGACCGCAGATGGAAGCGAGCAGTCAGCACGACCGTCCACCGTCGCCCGATGGGGGCTGCCTCGCCTTTCGACTGGTCCTGGTATGTGCTGCCCTTCAAACAGCCAAAGCTTCCTCATGTGAGGGGAGGAGAAAGTAGGATCGACATTTGTGCGGACCGCTCTCGCCCAGGATCTGCCTTGCACTTCCCCCAACCAGGATCTGCAAATGGCGACCATTACCAGTGGGCACTAAAGTAGAGACCAACGGTCTTGCCCTCGAGGGCCGCGGCGGTCGCTCGAGTGCCTTCGCTTGAAAGCAAGTGCTCGCCGAGGAGGTCTTCAAAGTCCAGTCCCATGTTGCAGCAGCGGCACAGATCGAGGCAAAGAGCAGGGTCGCAGCCCGGTGGCGCGAATCGCCTGTGAGCGCTGGGGATATGGCCGAGCTCGTTCTTGGCCGAAAACGCAGTATGCCCGGTCTGTGCTGAGGCGACCATCGGGTGGTGCTGCCACTTGATGTATTGAAGCTTTCCTCGCACGCCAGGACATGTGTCTACACTCTGGACACCAATGGTCTTGACCAGCGATGGCTGTCGCCGCTGCCCCGAGTGCCGTTGGCAGCACCCTCTTGCCTGATCGAACAGAGTGCGTGCTTTGGCCGCACTTCCCAGAACGCTGTTTCTGTCAGCGGGAGTGTCAGGCAGATCGCCGCTCGTAGGGCATGAACCGGTGCTCCTTTGCAGCATTTCGCTTTCGTCGCTTCTCGAGGACCTTGTCCACCTCTTTTGGCGACATGTTCTTGAATTTGCTGACAAGCTCGAGCTTCTTTGCATCGGCTGGGACGGTAGATGTGTGGTTAGAGCCATGGCGATGACTACCCAGAGACCTCGCTGGGCAGTGCATCATGGGCAGCAACAACATCTACCTTTTTTGAGGAAGAACGGCTTCTTGCCCCGCTTGACCATGTCCAGCTCGCTCTTCTTCCATTCACTCTTAAGCTTCTTGCGATCGTCATCTCGCTCCTTGGATTTCTGCTTCGAGATCTGCCAAGTCGAACGAAGAGCGTGTGTCAATTGTCAGCATCCAGCCTTGAGACCGAGCAAACGCTGTAGTGGCGAGTTGCCGACAATTACCATCTTCTGCAGGGTTCGGTCCATTCTCTCGCGCTCTTGTATGTTTTTGGTCTTTGCGATCTGCTCGCGCAGCTGCTTCATTTCATCCGCTCGATAGTCACTCAAGAATCCGTACGAGCGCTTGAAGAGATCTTCGTTGAATCGCCCCGAGAGCGACTCGAATCTCGGATCACGAATTTGCTGCAGGGGTGAGAGCCAAGACGGGTCGGTCAACTTCATTCTCAAGGCCGGTTGCTGGACTGCACAGGCCAAGCCGAGGATGATGGCCATAAAGACATGCGCGGATAGGAGCAATCATCCGTCGATGTTGCTACCAGGAAACCTACCCGCTTGGGCAGCTCCACAACTGTTCGTGCTCGGGAAACTGGTTTCTTGGACGACACTTCCATCGGCCTGGATATGGCAATCCATGGAGACAGTCCATCAGCAAAGGAGCTTTGTCCGCATCTGCCGCATGGTTCACTCACATGTTCTTATCTTTCCGCCGGGGTATTGCCTTTTTAGCATCCTTTGCGGACGAGCGACGATTCCAGTCGCGGCCCTCGTCCTCTTGGCTCTCCTCATCATCATCCGGGTCCCGGTCGTCGTCGTCGCCGCCATAGATCTCATCGTCTTCATCTTTGGCTTCCCTGCGGCGGGTGCCGGCACCGGGCCTTGATGACCCACGAAGGGCCTCGTGGAACTTTTTCATGCCCATCTTGCTCTGGATCGAGGCCAGTTGCTCAAACGAGACCTCCGCGAGCTCTGAGCCATCAAGACGAACAGGGAGCAGGTCGCAGCGGGCGCATCAGTATCTATGTTTCAGTCGCATTAATTCTGCATGTGCGTTTACCTTGCTTGAGCCTTTCCTGTGTGTCATTGAAGAGCGAGATGGGGTCAGGTCTGCACTCGAACCTCTGCGGAGGACTCGCACGACGGTATCCGTTTTCGTCAGCAAAAGACATACCAGTTGCATGGCTTTGGGATCACGGGCGAGCTTGGTATGCTTTGATTGCCGCTTTGGAGGCTGTTCCTCCTCCTCCTCCTCTTCTTCGTCCTCTTCTTCCTCCTCCTCCTCTTCTTCGTCCTCTTCTTCCTCTTCCTCTTCTTCTTCCTCTTCCTCTTCGTCATCGCTGCTACCGTATTCCTGTTCGTAGTCAAAGCCATCGCCATCATCCATATTGCCGCTGTCTTGGATATCGGAGCCGTCGCTGTCTTCGTCCTCGGGGTTGTGGAAGGCATTCATTCTCCGCTCGATTCTCTCGCGCTCCAGATCTCGCTGGCTGGGCCCTGGCTGCTTGGCCGGCATGGCTCGCGGCCGGATGCCTCTGTGTGCTGATGCTGGTGCTGGTGCTGGCTGTCGGGGCATTGTGCTGGACCAGATCGCGCCAACCCCAAAACCCAGCGATCGCCACCAAAAAGAAAAAAGCGCAGCGGCTTGTCCAGCCAGACGCCGCCGGATCGAATGCGTCCGAGGGCGAGTGGCCGAGCAGCCGCCCTCAGCGCACCTCGAGCCGCATCTGGCCCTGGCTGATCTGCGCATATCAGGTACGGACGGGAGACGCCGGGAGCGCTGCAGCTGGGCCGCCCTGGATCGATGTGCATGTGCATGTGCATGTGCATTAACGAACTCGCTGGTCTCTTGCGCCGCTGATCGCACAGCCGAATAGACCGACAGGCAGCCCGTGAACATCCATATCTGATTTGCAGATCGATCCGCATCTACACCAGACTATGGAGGAAGAAAATAGCATCCTGAAGTTGCTCGGCCGTGTGTCAGAAGACTCATCTTCGCAGCTCTCGGCCGAGTCGTCCGGACCCTTGCAGGGCTCCCTTGGCATTTCGCCGAATGCGAGTGCCGCTGCCAACACAACCCTCAGCAGCTTTCTGGACGTTTCCACCATCAATCCGGCGGCGTCCCTTGCTGGATCGGTTTCATCGACGCCCGTATCGACAACCGATAACTACGACTTTGATTTCGGCGAGATCATCGGTGGCGAAACCTCAAGCGCCGACCACGACGGCGCCACCTGTGAGTCCAGTCCAAGGATGATGCTGCCCCTTGATCGGCCCCTGCATCGACCTCTGCAGCTTCTCCGATACGCTTGGGGAAGCTCGGAGAATGGTACTTGGTACTGATGCTACTGTGGATGCGCATCTCTCTGTGACTGCTTTGAACAAACGCCAGTGCCCCTCGCTGCCTCTGCCGCTCGACCCGCCTCTGCGTCGACAGGGCTGGGATTCACAACCACTTCAAGCCCGACAAGCTTGTCGTCGCTGGTTCAATCTGCTACCATCCAAAGTTTTGCATCCAAGCTGCCAGGCGACCGGAAAACCCGGTTCTCAACACTGCTGACCCGCAGCCAGGTGGGATGGCCGGGTGTTGGCTGAACGACGGGCCTTTCGAGAGCGAGGATCTGCGGAGCAATGAAACGACTCGCCCACTCTGCACTTACCGATCCCGCCGTGAATTTCTCGCTGCTCCACGCATTCCGAATGCCATATTCAACTATACCCGAACAAATTGCTGACAGGATCAGTCGATCACAAGCGAGGACTTCATTGCCCAGGCAAAGGAAGTTCTCACTCAAGCCGAGTTCGCGACTCTCCTGTATTCGCTCTCATCAAGCACGTCGACGGTGCCAATATCAGCAGCATCGGGAGCCGTTTCCGCGCTCTCTGCGCTCACGCCTGGATCGTACTCGGTATGGCCTGCCGGGGTGGTTCTGGGACGGCGCACGGCATGCTCTTGTCCTTTGTGGTGGTCTACCCAAGCCCTGTCCTGTAATATTGGGTTGCATGAGTCCTAAACCAGTGGCTGCCTGTAGCTTGGTTCTGCAGGCGGGCAAGTCAAGTCGGTTGTCGACTCCACCAAGAAACGGGCCGCCGGTCCAGTGGGCGAAGGGTATGTCGCTTGCGGATCCAGTGACCTCGCTCGAGCCAGTGCGTGCATTCTTGCGAATATGTCTGTGCATTTCTTACTTTTGTCTTGCAGAGAGTCGCGGACGCACAGCCGCCAACATCGGCCGGACTCTGATCGTGCCCCTTTGCACTCTCCAGAAGCACGCCGAAAAAATTTCGGACCGAACCGGATGTGGCCAAGAAGATGATCGCCTCGATGAATGCATCCATTTCAACGACTGTAAATGCGGCTGCGGCCGGGGTTGGGGTTGGGTCCTCCGACATGGGTCCTCCCGCACCGCTTGGCCGTCCTGCGATAGGTTTGTAGCATGCGTTTCCTTCCATGATAGCGATCCATTTGACTGCGCCTATTCTCTAAACATGGGTTTCCCTTCTGCAGCCAAAGCTGGCGCTGCCGCGGGACCGTCCAAGGTCAAAGCTGAAGTTGATATCAATCAACTGGATGTTGAAGGCATGATGGATGCCACATCGTACGGAGGCGTGGATATGAAGATGGTGCGTTGTTGACAACGATGCTGAAGTGGCTTGAAACTTCAGACGGGCTGTGATTGCTGTATGAGCCGTTGAGCTGCCTTGTCGGAGCATGTTTACTTGGCTTGCGCAGGGTCTCGCTCTTCAACAGTGTCTCATCGGATCCGCATCGCTCTACGTTCAGGAAGAGGAAGATATCATGCGTGGCATCGAGCAAAAGATGTCCGTGTCCGGAGGGTTGCTGCAGCCTACGGGCTACCGGACCGGTGTCGACCGTGCACGGCAACAGCGTTTCCTGAATATTCACGGCCTCAAACGTGTCGTTGAGGCGATTGGTGAGTTGCAGCGTCCCACTCGGGGCCCACTGGACCAAAACCCATGACTGTGCCGTTTTGATTCTGCTCAAAATGATCGCTGACAGACGGCAGGGTTGAGCCGACAGCAGCTACTGATCCAACAGCATCGCCGCTTTGGTGATCAGTGTTATGCTTTCCAGCAGCTCGACGTTGCTTGCTTCTCTCGGTGCATCGATGCTTCTCTGACGGCGCGTTCTTGTTTCTCTGTGCTCCACTGTAGCCAAGAAGCACTCTATTGCGAAGGTTGATGAGGAGTACCTTGTTTACCTAGCCCTCGCGCTGCAGGAGCGACTCAAGGGCCTGATCGAAAAGACGATTATGGCAGCCAAGCATCGGGTCGGATTTACGTACGAGCAGTTCCTTGAGCTTGATCGCCGAGAGCAAGAGGAGGAGGGCCAATTCCGCGTGGAAGTCAAGAGAGGATCCGACGACATCCGACAGGCCCTCGTCCGCATCGAGCAAGAGGAGCGCCAGCAGGAACAAGACGCTCGAGCCAAATTCTTCCCGGCCTCCAAGGCAAATGGTGACGACTCGTTTGTGCCCGATGGTGACGACGATGCCAAAAGGGCAGGCAAGAAGAAGGGCAGGCGTGAGCGGGACATTCCCGAGAGCGTCAAGGCTCAGAACATTAACATGGCTGCCATGCTGGCCGCTGGAGGATCTCAGAAGAGTTGGATGATGGCAGCGTCATCGATTCCGCCCAAGCCCGCCCTGGCCCCCGACTCGACGCTCCGGATCGTCCCCAAAAAGACCCCTGTCTCAGAACCCACACCGAATGCGACAGCATCAACGCGCAGCGCCACCGACGCCTCCTCGAGCATGCGGTTCGGCCGAAGCATGACGCTGAAGGAGCGTAAGCGGATCATCTTGCGAGATGCGCTGTTTTGTCTCGAAACCGAGCAGACGCTGTGCAAGAGTGAGATCTTTTACAAATGGCTCGCGGATGTCAAGTGATAGGTGAAATACAACACGGCCGATTGTGGAGGCATATTCCTGAGCGGCCACCGGGTGTCTGAACCTTATCGGCGATGAAACCGTGGTTGAGCAAGCGGCTCGTCCCATTTGTGTGTTCGATGATGCCCACAAGATGTGCTGTTGAGGGACGACCCAGTCAGAGTTGGTGTCTTCATACCGAGATCATCATCAACCTCTGTTCAAGAGACCAAATCGAGCCTGTCCCTGGTCTGCGGACAGATTATTCTTCGTCTGGGTGAGGGGGCGATTTGTGCTGTGGTGTGATTTGTGCTGTTGGTGGGTCACAATGAATATCCCCCAGCCAGACACAAACAAAGATATAAGAGTGTCAAACTCACCTGTGTTCCCACCGAGTGAACTGTTCGCTGACCGAACAGTGGATTTGCAAGCAGCTTGCTGGGCGAGGCAACAGCACAGCATCGAGGGGCAGCCAGCCAGACCCACCGCCCGAGCACAGAGCCGGTCACGCTGGCAGACTCAGCAGTCCGAAGGAAGCAAGAGCATTCGCTCAATGCAATCTGGCAAGCAGCCAGACCAAGCCGCCATCTCCTGGCTGCCCAGACCGACAAAAGGCACTCCCCTCGCCCTTTCCCCTCGTCATCGTTGTCTCGTTTCGCCCTTTCGGCTCCCTCCTCGCTCTCCTGCCCTCATCTGGCTTTGGCATCGGCACCTTTGTCGCTTCCATCCCAACCCCGGCATGCTCAGGGCCATCTCCTGTTGTTTTGGAGGGTCCGCAGACCCGGTCGACGACCGAGATGTCTCCTCGCAGACCCCTGTCTCCCAACAACCAACCTTCCCTTCTCAGCCCGATCCCTTTGGCCCCTGGCTCCATCCCGTCGAGTGTCTCGTCAACATTGCCCGCGACGAGCCCGATGCCCTCCTGATCAACACCTACGAGAGCGGCGCCTCGGAGCGACTCAGCTATCTCCGTGTGTGGAAGCAGGCATACTCGGTCGCCCAGGCTCTCAAGGCTCTCCCTGGCTGGAACGACGACGACCACGAGGTCATCGGCACCTTCTGCGAGGCCGAAGCCAGCTGGGTGATCTTCTCGCTTGCTGTGTGGATGCTGGGCAAGTGAGTATCTCTGGCCTGGTCTGGTCTGGTCTGGTCTGGTCTGGTCTGGTCTGCTCTGGTCTGGTCTGCCTGTACATGATATGACCGGTCTTTGTCCCTGCCATGACCAGGATCGAGTCTCATCTGTCCCTTGTTGCCATCCAGGAAAACACTCAACCTCGCTCTCAACTTCCCTGCCGCTGTTCGCAAGACTCTGTGCGAGAGGTTTGTCCTTGTGCTGGTCTCACATGTGTCTCAGGTGATTGACATCCCAGAGACCTCTGTGCTCAACCTGACTCGACCTTGACTCCAATCGAAACAGATACTCCATCAAGTACATCCTCCACCACCACAACAAGCCTGGTCGCACCATTGGAGTGACGATGGTCGATGCCACCACGTTCCCTGTGCTGGACAGCATCCCACCCCCGTCTCTCGAAGTCTGTGAGCCCCTTGATGATTATGTCACCATCCAGTGCACCTCTGGAACAACCGGTATGTGGAGTGGCTGAGCGTGATGGTCCAGCAGCAAAGCAGATGGTGCAGTGGTGAGTAGAGTAAGATGGTGAGTGTGGTGAATGTGGAAAGTGATACGCTGACGATGCACATCCAACCCACAACCCGACTCCTTCGTCCTGCATCCTGGCTCCTCGTCGCTCTCACAGGCATCCCCAAGTCGTGAGTCCCCTGTGGTTTCTGATCCTGTGTCGCACCTGACGCTTGTTCACATTCCCAAAGTGATCACATCACCACTCGTTGACTGAATCCTTCTGTGCTTGATGTTGATTGTTGCAGGTTCAAGTTCCCACACACTGGTGCAATCACAATTCGAACCTCAATCGGAGTGCTGAAGAGCAGCGCCGGGATATTGCAGGTTGGGATACAGGACATCAAATATCCCATTGATCCGAGCCCAAAGGGGTTTACTGACATTTGACTCCTCTCAGACCCCAGCATTCGTGGCAACATTTAGTATTTTGCTCAGTGCACTGAATCTTGGAGGATCCGTGTGGATTCCCGAATTGACGTTCAACACAGTTGAGAAAGCAAAGAACGTTGCCCAAATCCTGGATGACGGCGTCGCCTTTCTGGGTTTAGTGGGTATCAGATCAATAGGCACAACAAACGCCATGTGGTTCACATGCTGATGTCATTCGTCCTCCCACAGACTCCCTCTTTCATGAAGTTGATCATCAACACCGCCGTTTCCCAAGACCCAAACGTCAAATGGATGAAGACAAAGCGGGTTGTCCTCGGATCTGAGCACATTCCAATGAGCGTCATCCACATGACGAGGGAGAGCTTTCCCAATGCCGAGTTCCAGTCGGGTTATGGATCGAGTGAGGTAAAGTACCTTCATTCATTCTAAATGGTCACCGGGTCGAGCGATCGCTAAACACAGCCCCTCACTAGACAGGAGTTATTGGGGCAGTTTCATTTTTGCGGATTCCATCCGACAGCCCCATCCCAGAGAAGTTGGTCTACAAGTTGGCCAAGCCCGGGGTGCGCTGCCTCCTCTTTGACGAGAAAGGCGAGATTATCGATCCACGGTACTCCAGCAGCGGAATCCTGGTCTTTGCCGTCGATCCCGAGCATCCTGCCAAGGACCATCCGAGCTTTGTCAACGCCGATCCCAACGACAAGCTGTCGACTTTCGGCTTCCTCGTGGATGGCTCGCCCCGAGTCTGCACCATGGACTGGGTCGAGATGGTCAGCGACAAGGAGTTCAGTGTTGTTGGAAGGTGAGTCTGGAGACTATTGTGTGCTTGATCCATGAGAACTGCCATCCACACTCTTGGTTCCGATCCATTTGCTCGCTGGATACTGATCACTCTCATTCTCACACCTCACACCTCACACCTCACACCTCACACCTCACACCTCACACCTCACACCTCACACCTCACACCTCACCCTCCAGATTCGACCAGAAGATCAAAGTCAACGGTGTCTATGTCGACCTCAACGGCCTCAGGGAGCTTGTCCACAAGCACCTGTCCCAGGTCATTGCCGACTGCTACTTCATCCACACCTCCGAGAGGAAGATCATCTTGCTCTACGTCCTTCAGAAAGGATCCAATCCCGACTTGATCTCGGCCGATATCATCCGAGTCGTCGAGGACATGTTGTTGCTGCTGAACGTCTCCAAGGTCCCCATCCACAACTGCCTCAGGCTCCACGAGCTCCCCTTCAACGACTCGGGCAAGGTCGATCTCAAGAAGCTTAAGCGCATTGCCGAGAACGTCGAGCAGTACGGCCAGGCAGTCGATTACCCACCCCTCATGGTCACCAGGACGTTCTTGACCAAGATTGCCTTCAAGATCTCCGAGTTCAGCAGCCAGATCCTGGACAACCCCGGTCTCTACGGCCGCAACTTTTACATTGGCGGCGTCGGCTTTGACTCGCTGAGCATCGGCCGCCTGGCCCTCGCCCTCAGGGAGGAGTACGGTGTCGAGATCTCGCCAATGATCCTGCTGTCGAACAGCATGAGTCCCAAGGATGTCGCCCAGCTGGTCGTCGACATTCTCGACGACAAGCTGGTGATTCCGCCGACAATCGATCTGGCTGCCGAGGCTGCCAAGCTCGACGATGCGAGTGTGACGGCCGAGGGTTTCCCTCCGTTTGTCTATCCCAAGGAGGTCCGCGGCATCGTCCTGACGGGTGCAACCAGCTTCCTCGGAGCATTCCTGATCTTTGAGCTGGCACACAAGTTCCCTCGGGCCAAGATCTACTGCCTGGCACGAACCGAGACCGAGAAACTGGCCTTCCTCCGCACCTACTCCAACGCCTCGAGGCTGGTGATTGCATCGCGGAACAAGAACGATCCGTGGTATGACGTGCGAGACCGGTGGGTTGGTCTGCGCGGCGACGTTTCCAAGGAGCGATGGGCACTCTCGGACGAGCGATGGAAGGAGATTTGCGAAGAGACCGACATGATTGTGCACAACGCCGCCGAGGTGCACTGGCTCTACAACTACAACGAGCTCAAGGCAACAAACGTCCTCAGCACGGTGACGGTGCTGCAGCTGGCCACGACGCACCATCTCAAGGTGGTGCACTACATCTCGACCATCGGGACGATTGCCATGGCCAAGGGCTTCGACAAGCCGCTCGAGGAGAAAATGTACTCCAACTGGAACCTGTCGGGCGGCTACTCGCAGACCAAGTGGGTCTCTGAGCAGCTGATCAACAAGGCACGATCGAGGGGAGTGCCTGCAACCATCATTCGGCCAGCGATGATTGCTGGCGACAGCGGATACGGAGGTGAGCCGTGGTGATGTGTGATGTGTGATGTGGTGGAGATTCCCTCCTTCGTTCCCTCGACTTGGCCATGGGTTGATGATCTTGTTTGTCGAGTGGCACCCATCCATCGACTGACACTGTTTCTCACCCTGTTCACTCCATCCTCCAGTGTGCAACACAGACGACTATATCTGGCGATACATCGAGGGATGCATCAAGCTCGGCGTTTGCCCGGCAAACGCCAGTCCCGTCACTTGGACCATGGATCCCGTCGACCATGTTGCCAAGGTGATTGCCGAGATTGTCAGCTCGGAGGAGGCGCTGTCCAAGTTTGTGTTCCACATCAGCGACTCGGAGCACAGGTGAGGAGTGCGTGGAGTGGAGTGTGAGTGTGAGTGGGTGTGGGTGTGGGTGTCAGTCGATGCTGTGCTTGGCATTGAGTGGGTTGCATATTGACATGTTTGATGGCGGACATCGTGGGCCATCGCAATCACCCCTCACTCACTCACTCACTCACTCACTCACTCACTCACTCACAGTGTCATCACCGAGAAGCGTGTCTTCGAGATCGCCAATTCCGTTGGCTGGATCATCATGTTGGATACCCGTGAAAAGTTCAGGACCATCATCTGGCGCAACCCATCGCCCGATAACCACGCCCTGCTTGCGTTCATGCGGATGCTGATGGACCTGTCCTTCAGGGTCGACAACACCAACACTCGCTCGATCTACCCGACGCCGTGTCCCTCGCCCGAGCTGGTCGTCAGGAAGAGTCTCTTCCACTTGGATCGGGTGTCCTATCTCGACCAGCCCACGGCGGCGGAGACCGAGCTCAAGGACGAGGAGTATCCCGATGTCCGTCCCTTCACCCGCACCGGCCGCCACTGATGTTGTGCTGGCTGGGCAGACCGATCGATCAGTGTCGTCTCGCTGCCCTTCCGTTCTGCGGCCGAGTCTTGTTGGACTGCCAGACACTGAACACGATTGATCCAACATTGAGTTGTGTGTGGTGGATGGTGGATTGTGATGAAGATGGTGGTGGATTGCGCTGTCGGCAGTTTTGTTGACGACTTGGTTCCTCAGTGGCCGATGCGTAACTCTTCAGCGATTGTGCTCAGGAACACCCACCCCGTGGATACCCCACGGCCCTCACGCAGGCCAGATGTCAGCCCTGGCCCGAATTGCGCAAGGGCGAGTTGCCTTCCCGCAGCCGCACCCACGGGGCCAGTCCTGTTTGATTGCCCTCGCCCCATGACCACAACATTGGGCATTCGTCCGCCCGTCCGTCCACCACCGTCCATCGCCAAACGCATCCTCACCGCCGTCGTTCCGTCGCATTCCGTTGCTGCTTGGCCCACATCGCTGCATCGATTGGAATCTGCTGCATTCGCCCATCTCGATCACATCGTCCCCGTGCTACGTCCGTCATTCACCGTCATGGCCAAGTGGCTCTTTGCCCTTCTCCGCATCCTTGTCTTGTCGGGTTCGGCCGTCGCTGCCCGTGAGCGTCCGCTGCGAGAGGAGCCTCGAGACTCACCGCAGCCCCAACCTTCGAGCCAGAGACACGACCGCTTCTCGCTCCAGAGTGTGTATCATGCGGGCGTTGCCGGCCAAAGGAGCATCTTTCGTCGCTTGGACGTCCCATCAACACACGCTCACGACTTGAACAGTTCGGATATCCCCACCTTCTTGCTGTCGCATACGCTCCGGCCTGTCCCGCAGTGGACCGACCATGCTTCCCGGGCCAGGATTGCTGGTCCCTTCCATAAACGAGGTCCCCAAGACGTGCTCAATGTCCAGTACGAGGTAGACAACCGTCGAGCAATGCAATCCATGCCGTCGTATGGTGGCGTGTCTAATTGGTGGATCTGACTTTCGTCTTGCTGACCAATGCCAATGCCCTTCGGACGGACGCTGCAGGGTCCGCTTGTCCCCATGCTCTCTGGGTCGGCAAAGGTCATGGCCCGGCCGATGCCTGTGCCCGACCACACCGACCCCGACACCATCTTGACTCTGGGGCAGATGGCCGAGAATGCCTATCGCCGACGTGACGACGACCGCTGGATCGACATTGATGGATGGGAGCCTGTGGGTGATCGCATCTCACGCATGTCTGCTCGTCGCCTGCTTCCACCATCAGTCGCTGGATCAAAGGAATAACCCTTGGCTCTGATTCCAAACTGCTGAATCGCGACTACAGAACGATAGCTTTGGCTGGGAAGAGGACGGCCTCCGCGGCCACGTCTTTCTCAACGACGACGCCAGCATCATCGTCATTTCGTTCAAGGGCACATCAGCAAATGTGTTTGGCATCGGCGGCGGCCCGACAAGCTCCAACGACAAGTACAACGACAACATCATGTTCAGCTGCTGCTGTGCCAAAGTGACGCCGACATGGCACCCTGTCTGCGAATGCGCCCATTTTTCGTCGCACACATGCAGCACCACTTGTCTCGACGTCACGATTCGATACTCCGAGTCGTACTATCGGTTCGCCCAGGTAAGCCAGGTTAGCGGTCCGGCTATATCTCTCTCCACTTGCTGGGCAACTCTTGGACGTTTGTTTTCAAGCACTGAGGCAGCCTTGCATTTTGAACCCATTGCTCACGGGCATCATCATCGGCATCACCATCACCATCGGCATCACCATCGCATCATCATCGCATCACCGTCGGCATCATCATCGGCTGAAACGCTCAGCTTATCTACGAAGAAGTATGGCTGCGTCATCCCCGGGCCGCAATCTGGTTTACGGGCCACTCGCTCGGCGGCTCGCTGGCGTCCCTCATGGGCATAACCTACAATCTTCCTGCGATTCCGTTCCAAGCCCCGGGCGAGAGACTGTATGCCTCGCGTCTGGGACTGCTTCCGACACATGGCGTGGAGGACTTTATTGCCAGCTTGCCGATCTATCACATCGGGAACAACGGTGACCCGGTGTTCTTGGGTCGCTGCAACGGACCGGCGAGCAGCTGCTACTATGGTGGGTATGCGATGGAAAGCAAGTGTCATCTCGGACGCGAGTGCATCTACGACATTGGCGACGCTTTCCTGAAGGTCGATCCAAGCAGTCTCGATGACCAAGATCGTGCCTGGTATGAAGAGACTCGCGGCGAATGGCTCCGCAGCGCTGTGCGCCCTCCCGAACACAAGCTTGACATTCGATATCATAAGATGCAATTGATTATGAAGCTGTTTCTCGACAAGCGTTTCCCGGTCCCCGAGTGCGAGTTTGAGCCGGATTGCGCTGATTGTGAGAACTGGACTATGGTCGATTGAGCATAGTGGATGAACAGTCCGGCCCGACAAGTCCTGCTCGACAAGTCCTGCTCGGCCCGGCGAGTGGCAGGGTGCTGGCCTGTGCGTGCCTTTGCCCTTTGCCCTTTGCCCTTTGCCGAGCGATAGCACGATCCCACAAGAGATCGACCGGACGAAGGGCTTGGGGCCAGTCGAGGGCTATCTCTGTCCAAGAATTGTCTTGGACCACCGCATGAACAAGTCGCTTGTATGGCCGAAGCCTATGGACTGCATCCACTCTCGCCTCCATATGCTCATAAAGCGGCACTGCTGATTTCTATGTATTACATCGTGTTCTGAGCTACACGGAGAGCCATCTTGCATGGCAGGGGAGATGGTGAGTGGTCGGTGCGTGAAAGGCAGCCAGCGATGGAGCTACGATCTGTAGGCGGCGCTAAGGGGCTCGCCGAGACACTCGGCCAGAGTCACGAAGCGGAAGTTGAGGCCTTTGAGATAGTCAATCATCTGCTGGGTGAATGGGGCAACGGTACTACCGGTTGGCAGCAGGTAGTTTGGGTAAGTGTCCCGCCGTGATAAGTCCAAGAGTTTAGGCCAATAACAGTGGAAGGACCGCCGCAATGCTGGCGGCTCATGATGCTTACGTCGAGTAAGTGTCGTGGTTGAGAATGATGTACGAGTCCCTGGCCGGGTTTGAGACGGTGGAGTTGATCCCATAGACGGGGCCGACGTACTGATTGACGGTCACGCTGGAGCCGGTGGTCAACGAGGCCATGTTTGCAGCGACGTCGCCGGCGTGGTCGTAGTCTGTTGATGTGATACGACATAGCATAGCAGCAGTTGACGAGTCAAATTGGAGAGTGGAGTGAGATTATCGACATGCAAGGGCAACAGATAGAAATCCGACCCAACAATCCATGCCTCAAGAGTCCAGGTGCTTGTCTGGGAATCCGGGCCACTGGGCGACAATCAAAAGACGCTCCCCCCACAAAGCAGATGAGCGACTTACCATCAGACTGACAGTTCCAGGTGACAGCATAGCGGAACCCAAGCGAGGTCAGCACATCCAGGACATTGTTGTTGAAGGCTCCGTAGGGAGGTCGCATGTAGGTCGGGCGCACACCGATGATGTTCTTGATGACGACATCGAGGTTGTTCATCTGCGCCTGGATGTCGGCGACGCTCAGGGTGTCGAGCTGGGCATGGTTCATGGTGTGGTGGCCGATCTGGTGGCCCTCGTTGTACATGCGCTGGACGATGCTGCGCTGGGGATCGACAGAGGTGTCGGCCCAGCTGCACAACGACAAACCAATGCGTGAGCGCTGAGGGAAGAGGCAGACGTAGTGCAAGCGTGCGGGACTCATGTCGACTTACTTGAGGCCGTTGATGAAGAAAGTGGCCTTGATGTTGTTTTGCTTGAGAATGTCGAGCAGGCTGGCCGTGTTGGGGACGGGCCCGTCGTCATAGGTAATGGCAATGACACCGGGGGTCACGCACGACTTGATGACGGGAATGCGGGCGCCAGCGGTCGGCGACGACGCCGGGCTGCTGGTGGTGGTAATGGCAGTGGTAGAAATGACTACAGTGGTAGTAGTAGGGGTGGTGGTGGTTTTGGCTGGGGTGGTAGTAGTGGAGGTTGTGGTCGTCTTGGAGCTGGTTGCTGCTGAGCTCGTGGCCGTGCAGTAGCTGGGGCCAGAGCCACACCAACCCCACTGACTGCAGCACAGCGAGGGGTCCTGGCAGATACCGTTGCCGACGGAGCCACCGCCGCAAGTACCGGCAACAGGAACGGCGTGAACTGCTGTCGAGGCCGAGGCCATAGCGGCAGCAAGGGCGAGGAGTACTTTGGGCTGCATGGCTTGTGAAGTGAGAGGGGTGGGAAATGGAGGAAATTAGAGTCGCAGGCTCGGTGGGTCAGGCAATGCTGGTGGGTCAGGCAGTGTTGGTGGGTCAGGCAGTGCTGATGGGTCAAGCAGTGCTGATGGGTCGAATCGCCGGCGTTTTATACGCCATGATTTCGGGGGGGGGATTGCAAATTTGCAGATTGAGCCTTCACACGCCATCCTTTGATGCCCGTATCGAGAAGCGGTGGTGCTACGTCCCGGCTGGAGCAGGCATGGTCGGACGCAAATTTGATCTGGTAGCGCAATACAGCGGGGGATATACCTGATGCTCGTTCATAGATACGGGACGCAGCAGGGACGGCGAGTGGAACGAACCCCGAGGAGTTGCTCTGGCGTCTCGCCATGACGGGCTTTGTCGGTGCCAAATTTGGGCGGTCAAATTTGCTGTCCGTTCGGCCGACAAGGGTGCGGCTGGACAAGCGACCACAGTAACGGGCTCTGAGTGTTATGCCGGGGGGGGGACGGGACGCAATTTTGTCTCCCTCCCCCGTTCATCATCGGCGATGCCAACACAGCCGGCTGCGGTTCGAGCAAAACTCAATCGGAGAGTCCTGGCCGATCCGCAAGCGAGTCTGCCCAACCCACGAGCCCCAGCCGCATCCACATGTGTACAAGGGCTGTGCATCCGGCTTTCTGTCCCCGTCTCCCCAGCCACCTCCAAGAAAACTCTATCGCAGCAGGGGCGATATGCACCCTATACTCGGAAGAGAACGAGACGCCGTCCCATTTCAAATGAACACACCGTCTGCGATAGGCTGAGGCAGCTGGCATAACAACTGATCCACTCGGCGGCCTCCAGGCAATCGGGGCTGTGACGCAGGGTCCTTGTGAGGGTCTTGTTGCAGTGCGTTTCCCATCCAAGAAGCACAACAGCGCCTCGCTATCCCTCCCCACAGTTTGCCGACAAGAGCGCCCGCATCTGTACACGGATCGATATCAGCCATCGCGATGTGACGACATGGCGGCATCACGACCAGGCGCCATGACTGGCAGCGGATGGGGCCTGTGATTCAGCAGGTTTGACTGGAGCCACTGGACGCTCGCAGACGGCGTTTGTCTCGTATTCTGGACGCAGCTTGCTCAAGACGAAACAGGACAAAGACGCTGCTGAATGTACTTGGCACACCCGGGTTTCTGTGGGCTCGATGCGTATCCCTTCCCTCGCCTCCATGATACATTCCCAAAGGCAACCGCACCGCCAGTCTCCATCGAACACACTGGCTGGTCATGGTGGGTGAGGGATGGGTGTGTGTTCAGGATACAGAGAGTAGCGACAGCCCTGACTCAGGGTGTGTAAGCACAGCGAGTGGAAAGCTGAACAGCGAGCAACGACGTCGGACCCAGAAATCAGAGCGGCCGTGTTGGCTTTGACCCGGAGGGAGGGTCTGGTCCTCGCCAGTCGAGGCGAGCAGCAGCAGTAGCAGCAGCAAGAGTCGTTTCATTTTTTCTTCTTGGCGCTGCCTTTCTTGCCGCTCTTCTTGCCCGAGTCGCCCATAGAGTCGTTCAGGTCCCATATCTTTTCATAGAGGTCCAGGGACATGCGCTCCGAGGGATAGAGCACGAGCCCCTCGCACTTCTTGGCCGTCACCAGGGCCTTCTTGAGCTTCATCATCTCGTAGAGCATGCGCCCGCCTCGCTCTCCGACGTGGTTGCCGCGTAGGTCCAGCAGTGTTAGCCCGTTGGACTCGGTCGTGAGAGCCGAGCACAGAATCGAGAGGGCGCTGCTGTTTGGCTTGACAATAAAGGTCGGCGAGAGAGCCGAAGAGGCAGGGTCGGCAGCTGGAGCCACCTGGGCCGCAACGGCGGCAATGGCGGCGGTAGCAGCAGCAGCAGCAGCCGCGCTGTCTGGAGCGGTAATGTCGTCGTTGGGATGTGAGGGCCCGCTGGTGTTTGTGGGCTTGACGATGATGGAGGTGGGCGAGGATCCGTGTATGGCTGCGGGCGAGAGGCTGGTGACAAGCGGAGGCAGGGGTTCCTGGTCGGTGATCAGATTGGATGCGAGACAGAGGGTCTTCAGGGTGTTGTTGGCTGCGAGGGCAACTGCGATCCGGGCAAGTCCAACGTCGCCCAAACTATTGCCCGTCAAGTCGATTTCTCTGAATGGCAGAGGCATGGCGACGTTTCCGTGGGCCGCGACGGTCACCGAGACATGTATCCATCGAGAAATTGGGATGTGTGATGTTGGTGGTTTGTGGGTTTGTGGGTTCGCAAGCCCAATGGACGGGTCCGTAAATGTGACGAGCCGAATCGTTGTGAGAGAGAGACCCAGGTCAACAGAAGGATCAGTCGCCACTGGTATGTATACCCACAGGTGACAGAGGCCCATGCCCGGCTGCGTTGTCTCAGTACCCCTCCCCAGCCAAATGCACTTCTACATCCATTCATCCATGCCTTTGTGAGAGGAGCTTGGTGCTGGATAGACAAGGTGTTCAACATCCGAAGCAAACCCTTGCGTCAGGAGGGAATACACACGCCACGAGACTTACACAATCGACCTGTTCACCGCCAGCACTTCAGCGATGACCTCGGCGCAATCAGGCCCGGCATCGCAGTACTTCAGACTGAGCTTTGCCAGTTGCATCACCGTCGCCGTGGCATCGGTCGAAGGATTAATGTACAAACGGTGTCGCTCGACGATGCCCCGGAAGATGTTGGTGGTGCCGATGGTGCCAAGTGGGTTGTGGTCGGCAATCAGAGTCTTGAGGGACTTGGATTCGCGCATCAGGAGCTGCAGCGGCTTGGTCATTTCCGAGGTGATGTTGCAGTGGATGAGCTGGAGCGTGGATACAGACGGGTGGATGACGAAAAGTTCCGCCTGGTCCGGCGAGGACGTTGGTGGCGTGGGTGATGTGCCGATATGCCGATATGTATGTCCATGTGCCGACATGTCCATGTGCCGATATGTCCATGTGCCGATGCGCCAATTTGAGCCATCACGATCGATGGGTTTGCCGCAAGCAAGAGACGGGTGGGATGAGTGAAGTTGTATGACCACCCCGCACTATCTCCTCGTTCCAGACCGCAGTATCTCTCGCAGCCGCCGGAGACGTACCATTGCCATGAGCCCCTTGATATCGATCTTGGCCGCCCACACGCATATCGATAGCAGTCCGGTGTACTTTTTGAACGTCCGTGTGATGGCATAGAGGTCATTGGGGGTGAGGACCATAGAGTTGAGGATAATCTACCAACCGGAAACGACAGTGGCCCGGTTGAGCTTTGGTGAGGTCGAGTCTGCGGGTGGCCATTTCGATGCACGACTCAAACATGTCGATCGTGCATTTGCCACAGATGTTATACCTTGTCGACCGACTCCAGGGTCGAGACTCCCTTGTCCAGCTTCCGGGACACTGCCGGCAGAGGCTCGGAGACGAATCGCTTGCACTGGTTCCCATAGATTTTCCGTAGCCGCTTGAGCTCCTGCAACTTGATGAGGTTCTGGGCCTCTTGTTCGGCTTCTTTCTTCTTCTTGCCGCCTCCCTTTCCTTTCTTTTCCTTTTTTGGTGGCATGGCCTACAGGGGAAATACAAGGTCGAGGGCGGCGGATGTGGCCGCTGCCGTGGTGGGTGTAGGTGGGCGGGTGTATGGGGAGAGTACAGCCAGATCGCTGTGGTGCTGGATTGGGCTATCTGCGAAATGATGATGATGATGATGATGATGATGATGATGATGATGATGATGATGATGATGATGATGATGATGATGATGATGATGATGGCGCTGATGCGATGGTATATCAGCGTGCTGATGGACTGATGCGCCGGTCGCAAACGCAGAGTTGCGCATCAAACATCAGGATCGAGTCTGGCTGCTGGCGCTCGGAGGTGGTGCGAACACCGATACTGGCTCGCCTCGGTTTGGACCAGATGGTCGGATACGTACGTCGTCTGCGGGTATTTTTCTTCCCTCCCCTCGGCGGTTCAGGCCCGGCTGATGGGAGCTGGCGGCGGCTCGGGAAAGTATATCGATGCCCGTGGGAGAATGCAGGGCTGCGGTGGCAGTCGGCGACTGGAGACGGGCTCGATGACAATTCCAAAGATATGGAGCGGACGGACTGCAAAATGGCGTGGGGAAGAAGCGAGGGCTCTCGGTCAAATCAAAGATAGTGCCGTGAACTGCTGTTGGCACTATGAGGATGGATCGGTGGCAGCGAGGAGGGGGGGAGAATCGAGGCGAATCGCCGTACAATCGAGGTGGTCGCCTGCCATCGCTGTTGTGGGTGCTGACGGACTCGGACCAAGGACAAGCAGTGAGCTGCATTGAGAGTGCAGTTTGCGCCGCTGCCCCACTGCCCCTACACATTGAGCTCAGCGAGTCGAATCGACCCGACTGTCTCTGCTGCCAATCACGCCGTTGGGCGCACGGTGCAAGCTGAACTGTGATCAAGTGAGAGTTGGGCGCACGCATCACCAGCGGGTCTGGAAGGCCCAAAAGGCAGCACCGAGTCATGGATGGTGGGCAGGCAACCCATCGTTCGACATGGGGGTGAACCACAGCATCCGCAAGATCCTGGTTGTTGTGTATCGTTGCATGCATATATTCAACAGGGGGTAGGAAGAAAAAGACGGCGGCCATCGGCGTCATGCGCGGAGGCCCCCGGTTCAGCAAAGTTGCAAATTGATAGATACATGACAAAAGCATCAGAAAGCATGGCCGCGTCCCAGTCCAGCGCCAGAGGGATGCATCCAAACTCCAGCGTCGGAGGGGTGCAGCCATGCTCGTCTCTTCATCGATGGTATTGTATCTCGTCCCTTCATCAGTTGTCCGTGGCTAAGGAAAACAACAAAAAATAAAAATAACAGCACGGCCATCCCATTCATCATCATTGGAAACTATGTGCGGGCAGAAATGCAGCGAGACAGAACACAGCAGAGCAAAGACAAAAATTAGAGAGCACGCGAGGTAGACAGAGGCGGAAGCCCACCGCAACCAAGGAAGATTGAGGGGGGGGGTCGGGCGGGTGGCTGAGAAGTAAGCGCAAGGATTACAACACAGACAAAGTAGATGAGTCTTGTTGCGCTTGATGGTTGATGGTGGCACCTCAGATGTGGTCGTTGGCTTGACGGAGGGTGTGCTTGAGTCGCATGGCGAGAGCCAGTGGCCAGCGATGGATAGTTCGACAAGGGGCGTTCGCGAGGTAAAAGCTTGGATGGTCACAGTCTCATCAAAAAAGTACGAGCCGGGTGCGAGAGAAGCAGGCATCACGGCATCGGAACTGTGGCGCCAGTCGAGCGGGGGGGGGGCGAAGTAATGGGTCTCGGGTCGGATGGGATTCTTGGGCACAAAAACGATGCAGTGGCACCGCTACTGCGAGAACGAGGCGTTGGTGAGCTGCTCCAGGACGTGGCGCAAACCACGGGCGCTCTGATGGTTATCGGATGTTGGACGAGAGCGTCGTCGAGCCAGCAAGGTAGTTTTGAGGATGATCGGGAGCAGTGCGTTGCGAACATACACAGGAGACGAGTTAGGGTCATTTGCCAAACAGGTTCGCATTGACAACATCCAGCACAGAGATCCCGAGATCCGTCATCCTGGTATCTGCCATCCCAGTACTGGCCACCCCGGTATTTGCCACCCCAGCGTCCAGTGCGAGACTAACGCACCTTTAGCGTGTTATCCTTGAACTTGCTGACGCCAAAGCCCTCGATCCTGGTCTTGAGAGAGTCCCAGCCAGTGTTGGAGACGATGCGGGCACTGGAGCTGATGGTTGTGGCGTTTGCCGTTTCGGGATGTGGACGGATAACTTGGGTTTCTTCCACCAGCATGAGTTTGGTGTGGGACAGGTTCTTGGTGACGGTGGTCATGGTCTGGGTGCGGGGATCCACGGTCGAGTGCTCGATGATGAAGGCATCGGAGACCTTGAAAAGCTGTTGGTTGGAAGATGGCGGCGAAAGAGCGGGGTGAGAATGCGGGACCGGGGGGGATGGTCGCGGTGATCTTTGCTGGGATGTGGCTGCAGTTTCCGCAGGCTCACGAACTGCTGCTGGTTGGGAGCTGCCTCAGAACATCGGCACGAGCGGCTATTGGGCCGGAAGGTGATGGCTGCGGAATGCTTACGCTGCGGCCCCACTTGGGCAGAAGGCCCTTCTTCAGAAACAGACGGGTCGTGTAGATGACGCCTGGAGACAACGCAGAGCAGAGCGTGAGGCGGCAATCGGACCGGGGCAGGATGCGCGTGCCATTGAAACAAGCCAGGTCGATGCGCAGATGGGGTGTGGGGATGGCGGTGGTGATTCTGCGAGGGGATAGGTTGGGTGGAACGGCGGGGGTCCAAGGCAAGCCCGAGCAGCAGGGCGCAAGAGAGAGGGTCCGGCCTACCAGTTGCAGGATCGACGACTCGGTCAATGACATCGGAAGCGAGAACGTGTGAGGCAAAGGGATTGGGGTATTTCCGGAAGATGGCGAGGGTGACCTGGGACCACGAATGATCGAAGCTCAACTCTTGCTTGAAGAACTGGACCATGATGCACAAGGGCAGGGGAGGCGCCGATGGAAGCAGAGACAAGGCGGGAGCGACAGGGCGATGGGATTGGCAGAGGATCTGCTGGTGGCAACGGTCGGCCGCGGCGGCGATGGACGACAGCGATGGACGACAGCGATGGGCGACAGCGATGGCCGATGGACGATGGGATCGGCGAAGATGACGGAACGACAGAGAGGATGGGCAGACAAAGACCAAAACCAAATCAATCACGGGAAGGGACGAAGAAAACCAGCGAGGAGCGAGGCGCCAGCGAGGCGGCGGCGAGGCGCGCTGTCTGTGGGTCCTCGCTCGGCGCACGCTCTCGGGGCTGCCGATTGGCTGCATCCACACACACACACAGAGGCACGTGAAAGCGGAGCGACACAGAAACAGTCACACCGATGCGTCACGTGATGCCATGAGTCTGTGGCTGTGCCGGCGAAGAATGCGTTCGGCGAACCTATTCAGAAGGAGCGGGGCAGTACCCTTCGCTCTGGCTTGGGAGGCCTCCAGCTCGCCGAACTTGCGTCGGCTGCGGTGGGCTTGCAGCCATGCGATATCTGTGGGCGATATTCGTGGGCGATATTCGTGGGCGATATTCGTGGGCTATATCCATGGGCGGCGTGGCCCAACAACCCACGGCCGGCTCGAACAAGGAGGCCCGGTTGCGTCGTTTCGGGGAGTGGTGCCCGGCGAATCGGAAGGGCGGGCCGAGGACGCGGGAAATGAGTGCCCGGTCGCCAATGTGCGATGGTGCAGGCAGCGATCGCCGATGAAGTAACTGTTACCCATGCAGCAGTATCAGCAAAAGTAACAGTCGCCAGGCAGGCAGCGACCACACCTGCGGAGGCGGTTGTCGATCGAGCGAGAGCCGTCGATGCGTGTCGGTTGCATGTCCTCCTTCGGCATTTGCAAACATCGACACCGAGCGCCGTGGGCCACCAGGGCGAGTGGTGTGTCTGTCTGCCGTCCCCTGCCGGCCGGGACGCTCTTGGCTCTGGTCTCGTCTGCCCGCTGCCCCTCCCATCAGCGGATCTGCCTCCTGCCCTCCGAATCCCTCATTGCCTGTGAGTCTGCGTGGCTGCTGCGTGGCCGCTGCGTTTGCAAGTGGTTGCTTTGGTTGCTGCGTTTGCAAGTGGTTGCTTTGGTCGCTGCGTCTGCAGCGTTCCCAAGTGTTTGCAAGTGCTTCCGAGTGCTTGCCCTGCTTGAGCCGGCCGTAATATCTTCGGATCCATCGGCCCCATTGGCCAATCTGCTTCGTTCGGTCCACCTCCTCGATCTTCATCGCCATTCGCCTCCGCGCTGGCTGTTCCGGTCCTGCGTCCTGTGTCGGGTGTGGCTGTCCTTCCCTTCCCGCTCCGCTGTGCTCGACCCAGCCCTGTCCATTTACTTACCGCCTCGAACCCCCACCCATCTCGATCATCTGTTCTTCCCTCCATCTCCCAGCAACAAATGGCCTCCTCTGAACACCAGCCCCTCCTGCCCTCACACCAGAGCAGCCAGGGTAAGCCATGCGTCGATGCAGTTTCCCCCAGCACTCGTCGCTGTGGTCGATCGAGCCCCATCCGCCGTCTCACATATCCGCTCTCTTTCTGCTCTCTTCTGCTCTGCTATGCTCTGCTATGCTTTTTGCTGCGGTCGCTTCCGCCCAGGCAACGCCAACACTCCCCGCCAGCGAAGACGAGCACGGCGTTACTCGGACGACGACGATGGACCCAACTACCCTTTTCTGGCTCTCTTTGGCCTTTTGATTCTGACAACTCTCGCCGTCTACCTCCACTTCTGTAAGCCACCCGCTCCGCATCTTCTCCCTATCTTGCTCCCCAGCCAGCCAGATGATCGCTCTTGAATGGCGAGGAGGAAATCGATCGCCCCGCGGAACTGGCCACTCTGACGGATTTGAGGCTCTCAGGCCCTTGGGTTTGCTCGCTCGGGTTGGGGTGCTCCTTTTGCCCAGCGATCTGTTGCTCGTTCCATCCGATCCTTGTCGCTGCACCCTGTATTCGTCCCTCTGACTGCTTTTGCTCTGTCTGTCGCTCATCTCGTCTACTCCTCCCCCCTGCGACGCTGCACCGATTCCACGGCATCCCTCTCTCTGCTGCTTGACCCCCACAGGGAACTATGGCAACCCCTTCCTCAAGCCGTCCCTCGCCAGCACCATCAAAGTCAAACGGATTGTCCATCATCTCGAGAACCTCGACACCATTGCCCGCTCCAACCCTCGCTTCGGAAAGTCTCGTTCGGGTAATCCGCTGGTGGCTTGTGTCGTGACTGTTGTTCATAGCTGGCATGGCTCAGTTTGGATCTTGGCCTCTGTCTCGGCCGTCCCTGGGCGTTTGGATCCATCCTGCTCTCCTCTGACTCATCTTGCTCCCTTCTGATCCACCTTGCTCCCTTCTGGTCCATCTTGCTCTTTCCGGTTCATGTCCATCCTTTACCACCCGGCCTCCCGCTTCCTGCTTCGGATCATCCAGTTCTGCTCGGCTACAATGCCTCGGCCGAGTACTTTTACGACACCCTGGTCAATGAAACGGACTACATTGTCACCAAGCAACCCTTTGAGATTGAGCTGTACGGCTATGCCGAGCCTCCCGTCCTCTCCATCTCCAACGTCTCACTGACCCCCGAGGTCGACTTTGGCATTTTGCCAAAGTCTGGCGCCGCCGATTTGATCGATGTGCCCATCGACGCCGTCCACGGCGGGTGCAGCGCCGCCGACTTTGACGAGCTCACCCCCGGACACGTTGCGCTGCTCGTCAAGGAGGGCCCCTGCTCATACCGGCTCAAACTCAAGCTCGCCGTCCAGGCAAAGGCCGCTGCCATCCTCATGTACTCCAAGTACTCCAACCCTGGTCCCGCCTACGGTCGCTGCGAAGACTGCGACCTGGTCCCTGCCATCGGCATCACTCACCAGCTCGCCCTCGACATCTTCGAGCGCATTGCCATCCACCCGGACCACAAGCTCACGCTCTCGGGCCGGCTCCGCCCCGCCACCCAGGTCGTCACCACCCTCAACATCGTGGCCGAGACCCGCGGGGGCCGCGACGATCGCGTCATTGTTTCGGGATCGCATCTGGACTCGGTCCCCGAGGGCCCTGGCATCAACGACGATGGCTCTGGCGCCTCGGCCACCCTCGAGATCGCCCTGAGCTTCTACCGCAGCGGCCTTGCCAAGAAGACTGTCAACAAAGTCAGGTAAGCTAAGCTGCGATGTGCTGCGATGTGCTGCGATGTGCTGCGATGTGCTGCGATGTGCTGCGATGTGCTGCGATGTGCCGCCTGTGCTGCCTGTGCTGGCCAGTGACCCGAGTCTCGTCTGTATTCCTTCTGTCCGATCGCATGTGCTGTCGCTGTGGATCCATGCCCCAACTTATCCTCACCTCCCCCCCCCGATCTCTCATTCGCTCGCCTTCTGGGTTGTACCGCTCTCAGATTTGCTTTCTGGTCCGCCGAAGAGCTCGGTCTACTGGGCAGCTACTACTACGTCAACCACCTCAATGCCACCAACCCCAAGGAGCTCAAGAAGATTGCCCTCAGTCTGGACAACGACATGCTGGCCAGTCCCAACTACATTCGCGCCATCTATGACGGCAAGAATGCCGAGAAGGAAAAGATGCGCGGTCCCAGTGGCGTCATCCAGAAGGTCTTCCAGAAGTGGTTCGACCAGAACGGGCTCCACCACCAGCCCACCGAGTTTGACGGACGCGTAAGTGGATCAGGATCTGGCAGGCATCGATCGGGGGGGGGTAGTGTGGGGTCGACAACTGCCGGAACTATTTGTCTATCTGTGTCTGTTTGTCTGTGTATCTAATTTTGTCGTCCATGTCCCCATGTCCGTTTCTTGGCGACTTTCTTTGCATCGTTCTCGCAAACTGCTGGTATGTTCCTTACTCCAACTCGACTACCGCCCTTCAATACTGCGACCGCATCGCGCGTGCTGTGCAGAGCGACTATGCTGGCTTCTTGCTCTACGATATTCCCTCTGGAGGTCTCTTCACTGGCGCTGAGAAGATCAAGACCATGGAGGAGGCCCGGCTTTACGGCGGAATGGTTGGCGTTCCTTACGACCCGTGCTACCACCAGCTCTGTGACGACCTGGTCAACATCCAGGGCCCCGGCACCGTTATTCTGGAGGAGATGGCCGTTGCCTTGGCCCACGCCATCGACCGATTTGCCTTCGAGCCCGATCTCAAGGGGCTCCTGGCCGGACGTGTCCCCATCTAGAGAGACAGCTCGATCCGATCCAGCAATACCTTTGTCCCAGATCCAGCTCCCCTTTGCGCTCCTCTGTTCTCTTCCTCGCTCGTCCTCTTGTTTCCGCCTTTGCTCGCACCCTGGTCCCGTTAAAGGGCGAGGTCGCTGGGAGAGGAGACTTGGTGCCGTACACAATCGACGGATATGACATAACGACACAACACACCTCTTCCGCGCCGCTTGATCCTTGGCCGCTTCCCCTTTGCCTTCGTATGCAGTCTGACTCTGTGCGCATTGTGCCTCGGCCGTTGCGTGTATTCTCCGATGTCGACCACTTCTCCTCTCGCCCATCACCCTATAGTACACCGATCCGACTCTTGTTTGTTTCGCTGCCCAGTGTCGGCCACCCACCCAGACAGACATTGTCGCAGTTTATGCACCCGTATTGGGTTTACATGACGAGAGCATCCCGGTTGGTTGATTCATTTGTATCTGCTGGGGCTTTTCTTCTTCCTTCCTTTGGATGTATCCTCTCTCCCTCCTCCTCTCCTGGATTGGGCTGGATTGGGTTGGGTTGGGTTGGGTTGAACACGATGCCTTCCAATAACTGCACATATTGATGGCAGTCTGGATGCCACTGGCACGCATGGCTCAGTGTGAGTTTCGCCCCATCGCAGCCATTCCCACGGATAAAATGGTATCGGGCATGACCTCCGATCTGAAGCTTGGTCAGCGATAGCAATCGGGCGAAAGACCAAGCCATGTCGTTCCGCATATCGTACTTTGGATGCTGGACTGCCGCAAGATTTAACAAGGGTGACGGCGACATGAACGGCGATCGAGACATGACCGTCGATCAAGATGACGCGAATATCAATCGAGACAACAACCAGTATGACTTCCCCCCCCCCTTTGAAAACGACTGGCCCAGGCTTTGAGCAACAGAGTCTCTCCATTGATATTGTTGCGGGAGTTATTTTCTTTTGTATACAAATGCGAATGAAGAGAATCGAAACACTGGCGAATGCAGCTGGGATTGGAGAGAGAGAGAGAGTCATGTGTAAGCAAGCAGAGCAAGAGAGGTGGAGAAAGAAGCGATCACAGAGTGAGAATGCAAAGGCGAGCAAAACAAGAAGTGGATTGTTTCGCTGGTGGAGATGCAGCTTGTGCAATAAATCAAGATATGATGGGCGAGTACGAGTTGCTGAGTGGAGGGAAAGAGAGGGAGGGAAGGACAGCGACCGACCATCGCGATAGTCCAGAGGCAGGGGACGGCGTCAGGACTCGGCAGCCAGCAGGAGGACCAACGACGGATCCATCGCACCAGCCCGAACACACCGAGGCAAACGACAGACGACAGGCGGCAGACGACAGCTAGTGCAAGAGCAGTGTCTGTGTGTCGATGTTGCTCGCGCGTGGGCAAAGTCCTCGCAACGCCGCCCATGCACCTTCCTCCTATCACAGACAGCCCCACTCATCCAAAAGCTCGCACGGCTTTCGGGGAACTGCATTGATAAAGTTGCAACCAAATCCAACTTACAGGCTGATTGAAGGCTCGATCGTCATCTCGACAGACAACTCCTGTGTCCTTTGTGAAAAGGCAGAGGAGACGGCGGACAGATTTCGGCCCAGGCTGGAGCTTACTACGTTGAGCATTCCCAGCCGTTGCTGGCACATGGCTTCGATAGGAATATCCCCGTGCAGAGTCGAAACAGTGCCCGCCATTGATCTTGTAGGGCTTGCATTACGAGCTGTGAGTCGCCAGCTTCAATGTGCTTCGTTTGCTTTTTTTTTTTTCTTTTCTTTGTCATTTTCTTGTTTTTGAGGAAAGATATTTAAATAATTGATAGGTGTGGGCTGGGCCGGGATGGTGCTTGTGGGATCACGGGGGTTTGAAGTCGTTGGTCTGGCACACAATCAGCACTCGGTGCGATTGACTCGGCCCTCCCAGCTCCAATAGCCCGGCCTAAAGGACCCAGCGGAGGGTCATGCAGAAATAATGTTTGAAGGAGAATCAAAACAGAAATCGGAAAGGAAGGGGGGGGAGCGTACGTGCATGCGTGAGGGCAAAAGGGGGGGGGGCCAGATCAAGGTCAGAGGGGGGGCGCTTTCAGATAGTGCCGGCTCAGTAACCCATGTGGACCGAGACGGATTCGGACTCCAGATCGCTGTCGATCTCGCCCAGTTCGTTGCCAAAGACAGCATCGATGTCAACGGCGGCGTCGTTGAGGTCGGCAGAGTTCCTGTCTGGGACTGAGCCTGTAAAGACGCTCGAAGGCGGGTGCGAGGGGGTCTGGTGGCCCCTCATCAGGGTATCGCTCAATAGGATCGAGCCAAGGGTTGACGAGTGCTTGGATGGAACGGACATGTTGGAGCTGGAGAGAGGGCGACTGTCGCGTCTGTAGTAGTGGGGTATCGAGAAGTTGGTGTAGGTGGAGCTTCGCGGGCTCTCAAGCTCCTTGGAGCCGGTTTCATCGTAGTTGGCCAAGGGCGTGATGGTGCGGGGCGGAGTCACAGGCCGAACCAGAGAGTGGTGCCGGGGCGGCTCGATGCCGACCACCTTTGTGGCCTGGATCACAGCGTCGCTTGGCTTTTCGACCTCGGCATCCAGGTGAGCAACAGGCACCGACTGAGCAGCCCCGGGCCGCTTCGAGTTCCGGCCAAACATTTGCATGATCTTCTGTTTGATGGAGACGGCACGGCGAGGAGGCACTGTCGTGGGAGAGACAGAGGGCATAGCGATGGCGATCTCGGCGGGAAGATCGCGGGCCGACTGCTGCTGAGACGTGGGGGTTGGATCCGCATACGGAGCAGGAGGCTGAATGGACGGGATCTTGTCGGCAGCAGACATGGTACTTGTTTCTGAGGTCGGAGACTCGACATACGGCTCTGGCGACGACGACTTTAGGACGGCCATTGGCTCGGCGACGTACTGAGTGGGCTGGTCGGTACGCACCGCGGTAGTTGCGGGTGCGAGCGACGCAAGAATCGGCTGGGTAGACTCGCGACCGGTTCGAGGAGCATTGGATTCTTGGTCGGTCTTGAAGCTGACGACCGAGCCAGTCGAGCGACGCTTTTCGTAGATGGCACTGCCGGACGAAGCAGCGAGCCCCTCGGTAGACGTTTGCGAGAGTCGGGACGAGCCGTGCTCCTTCTTGACCAGGATGCCTTTGAGTGGCGACGGAGGCAGGCTCTGGCCCGAGTTGCGGGATCGAGCGGGGCTGGCCCCATACCCATCGCTGATGACGGGAACGGCGCTGCGATCACGCAACAGAATCTGCCGAAGAGCCTGCTGTGTGTCAGGATGGGACTCGTCCGATTCAGATGAACTGCTGTTTGTGCTCATGTCGGCATCATCAGCATCGGCATCGGCGCCTGAGTTGGCAGAGTCGGCGTCATTGTCGGTATCGTCGCCGTCGCCACTGTCACTTTGGCTGTGGTTGTCGCTGTCGCTGCCGTCGCTGCCGTCGTCGCTAACCTGGACGCGATCCTCGCCATCGTCGCTAGAGCTTCTACCACGGACAACACGGTCCGTATTCCAGGCCATGGGTAGAGATGCTTGGCCCACGGAGCGCTCCGCAGTGCGGTCAAGAGGAGTTGGATGATCCTCACGGAGAACCGTCCAGTTGTTGAGAGAGCTTCTCTCGGAGCCAACAAGGAATGACTGGAAGGACTGGTGGTTGGGCCGCAGGAGCGGGGAGTTTGTGTGGGTCGACGCTTGGTATTCGTAGCCAACAGAGCCGGTGGTAGTTGACAGCGCCTGAGAACTGCGGGCGGAGGCACTCATACCATTGGCGAAGGCCGGGGGCGGCTGGGATGTCATGGTGCCAAAAGGCTGGTATTGACGGCTGACGGTTGCATCGAGATTGGTGACGGCCTCTGCGGAAGACTGACTCTGTGGGCGATGATGGCGGCGACGGAAGCAGGGCCAGCCGGGGCAGCATCCAGAGCGGGACCGGCGTCGGCCAAACCACCCCTGGGTCTGGACACGTTTGAGAGTCTCATGGGCGGTGAGCTTGACCTTCTTTGAGAAGACAATGATACCGACAAAGATGAGGCCGGTGAGACCCAACACGCTCGCGATAACGATGGTGTTGAGATTGGAGTCGCTGCTGCCGCCAACGGGGATGGGGGAGGGAAGCGTCCCGTTGACCAAAGATGTGGCCGAGGAGCTTGGGGCGATGCTGAGGGTGCCATCGGTGCCGGTGATGGTTGAGCGGCGAGGGAAGGGTCGGGTGGTTGTGGGAGCAGGATCGCTCGTGATTGGCCCCACGGAGGGAACAGGGTCGGTGGTTGTTACGACAGGAGGATCCTCGGTCGTCGCAGACGATGCAGGAGGAGGCGGGGGAGGGCGAGCCGAGCGGGTCGTTTGAACGACATCGGTGGTTGTTTGGGGAGGGGCATTGGTGGTTGTGTCGGGCCGCGCGGATGATGCGGGAGGCGGAGGAGGGGCAGCCGACGATGTGCGTTCGACAGCAGAAGACGAAGCAGGAGGACCCTTGGTGCTGGCGAGCGACGAGCCGGCGGGTTTGGGAGCCGGGGATATGGCTGCACGGGCTATAAGGAGATTGGGTTCCTGATGGGGAGTAAGGTGAGATAAGTGAGGCTGAAAACAGGAGGATCGACCAGGAGAGAGTCGGCATGGACTAGGGGAGACAGAAATGCAGAGATGCGATTGACAAACATACAGACTCACTCACCTGGGCGTAGACATGCGGAACGATGATCCAGAGACCCAAAAGCCAAGCAAGAGCCGAGAGAGCGAAGAGTCTTGAGTACATTGGCAATGTCGCTTGGGGCTTCACAAGAAACGGATGCTGTGGGAGAGCAGCATACAATCAAGCAAGAGCCAGGGAAAGTAAGGTGATGAGGGGAGGGCAGAGTCGGGGGGGGGAAGATGATGAGGGTGGTGGACCAGACGAAGCAGAAAGCGATGGACGGGATGGTGGCCGGGGAGGGCGGTGGAAGGCCTTGGAAATGGGGGACCGTGGGCCAAAGACAGGCAGCCGCAAAATAAGAGCTGAAGCACAGGCGGAGAAGTACAAGTGGCGGATGGAGCAGTCCTGGGCAGAGCAGGGATGCCGAGCAAGGACCGAGTAGGCAATTGCAAGAGAATGCGATGGACGAGACCAAGATGGGCGAGATCAAGATGGGCGAGATCAAGATGGACGAGATCAAGATGGACGGGACTATAAACGATTCACGGATTAAAAACGATGGACGGGATCAAGAGCAGCGACCAAACTTGAAATAGCGGCCAATGGTTGTTCAAATAAGCAACCGCAGACATGTCCAGGCGGGCGAATCGCATGCCGGACTGGGCCGGACAGGCGGTGCAGCCAGCGCCTTGGAACAGCCCCGGCTGTGTGGCGTGTCTGTGCTGCAGCACTGTCTGTGTGTGCCACTGTGCTGCCCCTGTGCGGTCCATGTGCTGCGGCCGTGACGCTGCCCGACTCACTGCTGCCTTTGTCCTGTGTGCTGCTGCCAGAGCCGTCGCGCGGCAGAAAAAAAAAGGCGGAGCATCGGATACACATGTGACAAGGAAGTGACGCGTCCGTGCGTGGGTGGCGGAGGGGGCGGTGCGGCAGACAGCAGCGTGTGTGCCTGGGGAAACTTGCCTGCGTTTGCATCGCAGCCGCTGCACACCCATGTGAACGACGATATGCAGGTTCGTGTGAACGGCGATATGCAGGTCCGTGTGAATTGCCCCCCCCCCGCAGGAAATACCATTTCATGCATTGCCGCCGTCTGAGCATCGGGTCGTTATGGAATCGAGAGATGCGGACTGGCGCTGCTTGGCAGAGAATGACTGAGTGCCCGCCCCTGGGCGACAGCATCCCGCACCGCAACCCCCGTCCACATCGTCGCCATATCCGGTTCAGCGTCGCACAGGAAATCAGAAGCCATCCTGCTCGGGAGCGGCAGGAGGAAATTTGAGGAGGATTTGCCTGTTTGTCAGAGTCGATATTCTTTGATTCACCAGTGACGTCAGCATGTCCCAGCAAGCGCAGCAGCCACCAAATCGGGCGATCCCGTGACCAAGCGGGAGCCACATCCACCCCCCTGACCAACCTGCACAAAATGGTCTCCCGAGGTGGCCTGCTCCCAACCTGCTGTCCCCCCTTGCATCGACAGTCCTGCTGCCCGTTGCTCCAGCATCTCCAGTCTCTAAAGCTTGCTTGCGAGTCCTCGCGCTCATTTGGAACTCCTTCTGTGTCACCGATCGCCCAGCGCATCTTTCGTCCCAACGGGCTGCCATGTTGGGCTTCACGTTCGACTGTCTGTCACCCTTCTTGGTGACCAGCTGGGTGGACGCAAGATCCGTCAAGATTGTCGCTCATGCTGAGCTCACAAAGAAATACTCATCCCTGCTCCCAGGTCCAGATATCCGCCTTTCCTTCCCTTCCGAATCTATTGAATCGATCGAGAAGCTGCGACTTGGTCGCATCCGAGCGTTCCTCAACGACCTAGTCCAGGACAGCCTTGTTCACCGCACACCTCCTTTCGGTCATGGGTATTTCCTGTTTGTGAAGGGGAACAAGCCTCTTAACCTTTGGGATGAAAATTCGGTCACCCTCAAGGATGTCATGGGCTTAGACTCGACCGAAATGTGCGGGAGGCTCCTCATTTGCCCACCTCCACTTATCGTGGCGATCCCCAAGATGATTTGGGATACCACATCGACAACCAGCCAGGTTCGTTCAAGTACATGTGCTGATTATTTCCTACGATTCACATCTGATTCGATGGAGCAGGATACCTCCTATGCATCCGTCTACTCCTCTGAAGTCTTGCCATAGGGCGGAGGAGGTCTATTCTAGTCCCGTGATATTAAACTTGACCAATTCTTTTGGCTTCTTGCTCGACTAAATGGTCATATCAAAGATCCCCGTGCTGATCGGCGAATCACGGGTTCTATATATTGAGAATTATATCTCTAAGCCTCCGAAACGACGAACCATGAGCCCCCTCCCGGATGATGACCGTCCCCAGAAAGAGCGCTCCGCTCCCCGTCACGATATTCGGCTCAGCGAAGCCTTCAGCTTGTCAGGATATGCGAGCCAAAGTCTCGTCGTTGGTGGAGCACATTCTGTTCATTTTCGATTGTGGGTATATTTGCATGCCGTGTTCATCTCCCAGCTTTTTCAATGTTGATTTTTTGACAAATTTTCTGATTCCTCACATCCGCTCAAGTATCACCGCTCTCGAAGCATTGAAGGAGGGGGCGATTGTTTCCGCTGACGCACCAACCGAGGCATGTGAAATCAATGGTGCTCCATGCCCTCCTGTTTCATTCCGTAAATTCCTGGAAATCCAGAATGAAGAGAGTCAGCCAAGCTTGCTGCGGATCGAAGAGAGTGAAAACCACTTGCTACCGCTGACCCAAGACACTCCATTGTCAAGGATCAGTGACCTTGTAAGTTACGACAGCAATATTGTCCCCTCACTATGCATCATTCACTTATAAAAATCCTGTATCTAGATCCTCAACCAAATGGTTTTCGCTCAGGATGCTGTCTGCATCTCCCAAACAAAGTCCCGCCCTCGAGTCAACTCATTTCGGTACCTCCTTGATAGTGACGATGTATTCCTTCATGTGGTGAGGAGTAATTCCATATTCCTGGTTTTATCTGCTCGCCAGATCTTGCCTCCGAGCTAATTTGTGTTTATTCAATCAAAGAAACAAGATATATTAGAGAAACCGCCTGTGGACTTTGAGCTCACAATCAAGCACGACACGCTTCATATTGCCCAGAGCAACAGTACACAAGAATCGGCAAACGAGGTTGGTATTCGATTATTCAAAAGTATAATGGCCTGTGAGTGATCATTTCGCTGACGTTGAATATCGATTCAGAAACTAAATTGCTCAGCCTCGAGCATGCCAAATATGAAGATTGGCGAATATATTCAACAAACTTTTGGCAGAGTCACAGATCAGATCATGATTATGAAGTGGACTGCGAACGATATGAGTGATCAATCAAACCATGATGGCTATGGCACCGAGGATTTGGCAAAAATAATTCATCTCGTTCCTGAGATTCTAACATCGACGAACTCCTCAGGTATTCAATGCTACCGATTGCTGTTCCAGCTTCGTTCGGAAAAATGATAATATTGCTAACTCGACCTCTCACCGTAGCATCTCAGTTCCGAACAGCTCTTGAAGACCAGTTTCAAAACCTCGACAAGTTCATTTCTCGCCCGGATAACGAAAACCTCGAGCGAGCCGAAAAACTCGCAGAGTATGTGGATCAAGGGATGGAGTATTACGAAAAGTCATTCGAGTCCATCGACAAGACCAAAGACGCAGTGGAAAAGATCGGAAACGTTCTATCGATGGTCGACCTGACAAGAGTTTCAAAAATTCTCGACACTCTCTCCAATTTTGGAGAAATGGTTCCCTTTGTAAGCACTGCTTTCTCGATCTTGAAGTTCATTACGAAGTGCGCGACTGAGGCGGCAGCCCTTCAAAAGGAAATTACCAGACTTCGAAATACCGCCGAAGATCTCAAGCACGCTATTGAGTCGCGATATTTGGCCTACTTTCACGCCAATTCCCACATGGTCATCGATGACCCTGAACTAGAGAAGCGGCTCATGTCTGCAATGAAGGAGGCCATCGCAGCTGTGCATGCCACGCTTCAAAAGCACGTCGAAATCAAGTCCAGGAGTACTATCCCCAGTATGGTGAGTCCCTGAGGCACTTTGATTTTATGAGTGATCATGAATGATGTATCTCACAGTGATCCCCTTGAACTTTTCCGGTACAATCAAGATCAAATCCGCCCAGGGCGATACCGACACCAGTGATATCGATAAAAATCTCGAACGTGCGACCTTCAAATTGCTCCTCAAAGATCCTATTCATTTTGCGATCGATCTTCGGGTCTATTGTGCTCACTTGAGCAACCAGGAGGCCAAGAACTTTTGGAGGAAAAATCGATTCAAGTTCTTGGTCGATCTCGCTGAATTTGAGCAGGCCCTGGAAGCGCAATTTTCAAATTTGTGTCTCAGCCTTGGCTCATTTGGGAAGCTGGTCTCGAATCTGATCAACGATAATCATGACCAGTATATTTCCGTCGATGAGTTTCAAAAATGGCTGGGGTCTCAGAGCCTTGAGGTTGCCATCTGTAATTCCGTCCACAAGATTGACATCCTTAAGGTCAACGACCAGCCAATCGGTCAGGGCAGCATTGATAGCCTTGTGAGTGCCTTGCGAAACCCTTCCAGCATGAAGACCGATTTGATATTCCATGTCAATTCACGGTTTCCTGGAACAAGGACTTGGATAGTCGATTATATTTTCCGATGGGTATCCAGGGCGGTCAAAGGGACCCTTAGAGAAGATAATCCCAACCAAGCCACTATATTGAAGCCGGATGAAATCGACAACATCCTCATGCTCACCGCCGCACCAGGATACGGAAAGTCGATTATTGCCGCCATCGCAGCAAGTTCGCTCCGAGACATCCAAAAGGATACAGTGCCCCCTGGCTCGTCCGAGACAGTTTCAAGCGCTGCCGAATCTGAGAAGATTCTCTCTGCCGTGTATTTTTTCCGGGCTGATAAGCCGAATCGTGTCGACATGGTCACTTCCTTGGCACTTCAACTGGCTGAGCAGAGTAAAGCCTATCGAACGTATCTTGAGGAAATCACAAAGATTATTGATGAGATCGAACATCTTGAAGATCACGAATTGGATACCAGGCTTGCAACTTTGGCGCGCCTGAACCCCAGTCAAGGTAAATTACCAGAAGTACCTTTTAACGATCAAACCCCCCTCGACAATTCCAGCGCCCCGATGTCCGAGAGACAGCACCCAGACAGAAAGGCCTACGATATTTTGTTGGGGATTGTCAAATACAAAACAAGTGGCGCTGATGGCTTTTACTCAGCCCACAACATCCGCCATCAATTCGAAGTTTTAATTGCTGCTTTCCCAAGAATCAAGGCTCTGTCATGCCCGATCGTAATCACGGTTGACTCGTTGGATGAATGCCCCCAGACAATCCAAGCAAAAGTATTTGGATTCATTCGATCCTTCCGAGAAGTGGCCCCGCCAAATATCCAGCTTATTCTGACTTCCCGAACAAGCGGATATATTTACGAACAGCTGGAATCGAAACAAATCCATTCTACCAGGGCTCACCTGGAATATAACGCAAGCAAAACCATGAGCAAGTTTCAGCTTTCGAATCTTGATCCAGGTTTCATTCAAAAATCGGTTGAGAATGACCTGACCATATATGCTCGCGGATTAGCGGCCAAATTCCAGATGAGAGCTTTCAACAAATCCCAGATCACAGAAATCATCACCAAGTCAGAGGGAAGAATGCTCTGGATTAAACTCGCAATTAACGCTATCAGAGATAAAATGGCACAAGGTACCACTTGGCTGGCCACCGAATCATTCACCCCTGCCGCTGAACTTGATCAAGTCTTCCGGGACCTCCTGCAAGTTACCAGCGCGAGAATGCCGAGCGACCTTGGCGAAATCTTCCCGCAGACGATATCGACCGTCCTCGTTGCCTTTGAGGCAATAGGCGATGAGGACCTGAGAGACTTTTTCTATTACAGCCACTCCATATCGATGACTCAATTCTTGTCCTTTGTATCTTCTCAACTCGCGCAAGCGGCCCAAAATTTTTCAGATCCGATCATCTCACGAAAGCTCATGCCCGAGGATTATGTTCAGCCTGGGGATTTGGATTGGCTGTATTTCAGCGACCATGAGGAAAGTCCTCGCTTGCTTTTGGACAACGAGCGCCACCAGCTCTGTTGCTACCTCGCCTCGAAAGGAATAAGTCGCAGACATATTGTGATGTTCTTGGACCGTCAGCTCCGAACTATCCAGGACATGACTGAGTATCTTGAGAAGAGTGGAACGATCGCGGCTGCGAATCATGAAGTGCCATACATCCTTCTCGACCCGAAAATGCGAGCGGATAATCAGCAGTTTTATGCTTATAAGGCAATTCCTAAGGTGCGCAAATACCAACGAAGTCACAAATCTATCAAAGACGCACTTGATTCCTCTCAAGACTCTCTTGCCAACAGGGGCCAAGCTCCGCTTCGACTTCAGGATTACCACGCGACAATGGCCCTTGCTTGCCTCCGAATTCTCACCGAAGAGAGACCGGCTTATCATTACCAGGGATCGTATGAAGAATACGGCAAATCGAATCGTAACCAAAGCGATAGCAACACCGTCACGCCTCCAAACAAGGCACTCAATATTCATCTTCGCCTCCATTGGATGATGCTCTCAACTGATCGAGATGCTAGTTTCAGATCGATTTTGCCATTTTCGGTTGAATATGCCTGCAAATACTGGGCCGATCATTTGTTTGAAGTCATCGAGTTTTGCTCGAACCACGGAAGTGACGACTCTGTGATCCAGGCCTCTCACAATGATGTGCCCCTCAGCGAGTTTTTCGAAGCCTATCCCAAGCTCCTTCAGCAGTTTGCGACAACGACGATACTCTACTGGATTCAAGTCATGGCTCGCTTGGGTCAACTCTTCAAAGTGCCTGATATCCTTCAAAACGCTCAATACCTCAAAGGCATAACAGAGACCACCCGAACACTACTGAAGGATGTTCAGCGAATGCTTCGAAAATATCAAATCCCCATTCTCGAAGATCCCGCTGATCTCTACAGAACCATTCTGGCACAATGTCCCCTATCGTCTGAGCTCCGCCAGCATCTCCTTCCATCGGAATCACATTGCAAAATTGTAATTGCACTTCAAGGGAGCTGGGGAACTCGTATGGCCACCTTCAAGTCTCAGCTCGAATGTGTGGCAACGGTTGCCTTTTCTCCAGACGAAAACTATCTCGTCTCGTGCTGCGACGATAGTTTGGTGAAGGTTTGGGAACTCTCAACCACAAATTATGTGAGTGCGATGGAAGGTCATGATGAAGGGATATGGAATATTGACGTTTCCCATGATGGGTGCCTGCTGGCATCTTGTGGTGACGACCGCACCATCCGGATCTGGGATTTCAAAACCGGAGAACTGTTGCGTACGCTCGAGGGTCACGCCGATGAGGTCATTGGCGTGTGTATTTCAAAGGATGGCAAGAAGATTGTGTCGTCATCCGGAGACAAAACTGTCAAGATATGGGACAGTGAATCTGGAAAGTGTATCAAAACCCTCAAGGGGCACGAAGCTCCTGTTCGATTTGTGAAGCTCTCGGCTGACGGCAAGACCATCGCTTCAAGCTCCCAGGACGGCTGCGTGATCCTGTGGAACTGGGAAACTGAAACCTCCAAGAAGCTTCGAAGCCCTGATGATAACAAAACTACCAAGTCCATAAATCCCATTGCCTTTATTTCGGATGACAAGTTTCTTGCCATCGGCGTAGCTGATGGATCAGTACAAATATGTTCTATCGAAACAGGGAAGATTGAACAAGTTCTCCACAACGCATTCTCGGTGCGATCTCTGGCATACTGTCCCATCAACAATCGGATTGCCGTCGGCCTTGAAACATCTAATGTTAATATTTGGGATCTCGAAACCAAGGAGTGCATAAGATGTCTCAAAGGCGAAGGCGCTCCCAATTGGTCTGTAAACTTTTCCCCAAGTGGCGAGTTGCTTGCGACAAGTGACGAAGTTGGACATATCACAATCTGGGAACTCTCCAACAAAGAAATTGCAGCCGAAAATGAAAGCGCTAAATCAGATGCTCACTGTCTGGAGCTCTCATCCAAGGGAAATATTTGCGCCGTCGCAAGATATAACGGAACCGTCGAAGTGTGGACTTGCGCTGACCACAGGAGTACTGATGTACCCACCCCACAGCACCTTTTGGCCAACTCCCTTACAATATCTCCGGACGAAAAATTACTCGCGGCTCGTTTAGAGGATGGCACAGCCGTTCTGTGGGATCTTCCATATTTGGAAAATGCTCGGTACATTGAGGGTCTCACGGGAACCATGATGAACATTTTGTTTTCCAAAGACAGCCGTTTCATCATGACTCTGGGAAACAAGTTCGCCAAGGTGTTCGACGTTAATTCTATGGAAGTCCCCGTCGCAGCTGGGGGGAGAAAAACCTTGAAGCTGGCAACACAACTCAGTGCCTACGAAATCAGTCATCTCGATCGAGACTGCTTGATATTCGAAGAGTTTGCGATGGACAAGGAGCTGGAGGATATGATCAAAGAAGATCAAACTGTTCCCGAACTCCAGTTGCAAACCATTGAGCAGGAGCGATGGATTGTCGAAACCAAGACAAAGGACAAACTGCTGTGGATTTCCCAGGAGATCTCGAGCGAGCTCCTCCGTATTGTTGGACGCAGGATCGCCATGGTTTCTGACAATGGAATCATCTCCGTTTACGATTTGAGTTGTGGGCTATCTTAGTACTTTGCGATTCCAATGTTCTCTTGCCTTCTTGCTTCACTCCCTTTATCCCTTCGGCTCCCTCTCTCTTGATCCCTTTGCTTCCCTCCCTTGGGCTATTTTGCCTCTTTGCTTGATCCTGTTTGTTCAAAAAGATTGCTTCGCCCGTTTCTTATTTTTCAATAAAACTTTCAGAGAACAATTTCCAGCATAGATGCAGCCAAGAACAGCCGGCTGGCTCAGTCCACCAGGGCCATTAACTGACAGTCAAAAGCTCCGAAAGCTCACCCAAGAGCTTAGCAGCCTTGCCGGCCTTTTCTCGCTCCGCAGCCAGTGCCCTGGTCTGGGCCTCGCCTCGCTTCTCGGCTTTGAGCTTGTCCAGCGCCGCCGTATCGACGAGAGTGCTGCCCAGCTCAATCAGCGTCGGGGTGCCATATCTCACAATGTGAGCAACGCTAGAGGCAAGACGAATGACTGCAAAAAGCCAGCACAACAAACCGTCAGCATGCCATCCGATGCCGAGCATATCGATTATGGTGACCGCAGTGGCGGGCGATCATTGTTCGAGACACTGATGGAGCGGACACGGTGGATGGCGATCAACCTCGGACAACACTTACGTGCATCGTCGTCTCGGGTGCCAATGAGGGCTTGAAGCGCAGCGGCCAGGACCTCGCAACACCATTCCTCGTGGAGTATCTCATCCTCATCCTCCATCGGGAGGGATGCCGTGCCTGTAGCACCAGCAGATTCCAGGAGCTTTGTGCGGAGCTTGCGCTCCTCGAGTGCGATGTTGAGACACAGGGCAGAGGCGCCTTGCTTCACCTGAATATCGTCCGAGAGCAGGGTTTCGATGAGCACAGCCGTGGTGATGTTCCTGTGGGCAACGTTGTGAGCCGGTAGCTCTTTTTGGGTGTCCAGGACAAAGGCAACGCCTGCAGGAGAGGAGAACAGGTTGCATGCCTGATTGCAGCATGGAGATGGGGCTGTGAGACACAACCTGGAAGCGATGATGCCGAAACTGCACAAGACGCACGCAGATCGAGCACATTATGATCGTATTTGCAAGCAACTGACCACACGGAGCAGCATGAGATGCACGGTGCGAGGCACTGCTGTTCCTTCGCTGCCAATACTCCCGAATCGGTAGAAAAGCTTCATAAGCGTATTGTCTGTCAACCCAGTAGACATCAAAGCGGTGTCAGCGGCACGGCCACATATCGTACGAGTAGTTGCGACATGCTTCAGCTGCGCTGTGAGGGCTTACTCGGATCCTTGTCCACAAAGAACGAGCGCACTTGGTCATCGAGGATGAGGATTCTGACGATATCCAGAAGCGGAAACAGCTTGTCGACAGGGAGAGTCGAAAGGAGATGCTCTGCAGCGCAAGACAGGAGGAGCCACCGTAAGATTCACTCAGACTCGGAACACGCCAGTATCGCTTGTCGAATGCCCGAGAACTCACCGATGGGAATGTGCCAGTCCGGGGGGAGATTGAGCTTTTCTCGCTCGCCGATTCGGCCTCCCTTGTGCTCGCCCAAGGCTCTCTGAAGTCCAAAGAGTTGGGACTCGTGCCGAGCCCAGTCATCCGGCGATACAAACTCCTTGAGCTTCTTGAAGATTGCTTCCACCTGCGATGACTGGACAAACAAGACCGTTGATCTCCCGGCCGCCTCCAGCGTCGGCGTCGCAACTCGGGCGTGTGGATGCGCTATTGAGCATGCAGTAGTGGCGATAATTGGAGTGACCAAGGACGGCGAGATGTCGTGAGTGGACGATGGCCATTGCGATCCCATTTGCAGAACAGTAGGCAGCGGTTTTGCCAGTTGACTCAACATTGCGTCGGGAGCATCGCACTCCGTCACCATAAACGTTTTGCAGCGTCTCGCCACCTACAAGGATATGCAGTATACAAAAGGAGCTCCATGTTGCTCCTCAGCTCGTGGCGGTCGGCGCCTTTGAACTCGGCAAACTGGGTGAGAGGAGAGAGTCAGTTATGACGAATGCGGCCACACACGAGGTGATCCCTGCCAATCCGATATGCGTAGCACGTCGGCCGTTGCGGTTTGCAGCAAAGTGTGGGTGCCTTTGGACTCATGGCTCACCTGCTTTCCATCCAAAAAGTATACAAACGTCGGGGTGGCAGTGATTCCGTATCGGGTGGCAATATCCCGGGCTGTGCCCACCTCTACTTTGACGCCGACAATCATGGGACGGGGCAGCGTAACGCAGCGCACACCAACAGGCTTGTATCTCTGATGCTCTTCCAGCAGCCGCTCAAATTCTGGCGCAATCGCTCGGCATGGAGGGCATGTCATCGAGGTAAAGTCAACCACCACGCACCGGTGCCGTGCAAGAATGGCGTCGAGCTCGGGCAGACTCGAAGCTGTGCAGAGGATAGGTTGCAGGATCGCGGCGGCAGTCGCTGTTGAGACGCTTGCCGGAGCTTGTTGGGCGGTGGTAGACGGCTGGAAGGCGGAGGCGGCCTGTGGGGCTGGCGCTGTGGGCTGGATGTTGGGCCTGAACATGTTCTGGTGGGAGGAAAGTGAAACCGTCCGTTGATCGGTCCGTTGATCCATCAAGAGCAAGCACACAGCCAGTCCTCAGCAGCCATTCGTATGCACATGTCAACCCTGGCCTGGACTGAGCCATCTGCGCTGCTTACATCAATAAAGGGACGAAGTGACTGGCCAAACGGGCTGAAGCGCGAGCAAGGATAGAGCACACCGGGAAGACGAATCGTTAGGCGCCGGACATTCAGCAAGGAGCTCGAATCAGGGCAACGGCGCCAGTGCGGCAAATGGCATAGAGCGACATCGTACGTGCTCAAGAACTGGGCCGGCAGCCCGGTAATGTGTGAAGGAATATCCTTGCCAACCAAAAAGTTGCAGAACTCGTTCGAGAAGCTGTTGCAGTTGTTTTCGAGCAGATGGTATTTGTCTGGACTGCCAAGTAGCAGCGATGGGATGCCGATGCAGGGTTAGCCAGCCAGCTCGGCAATATCGATCGATGGTGAAGGGATGCTGTCTTACGTGTAAATCTCCTTCATTGACTCGACGAAAGCTTCAACAACGTCCTCGGGCAGCATGGTCTCGCCCATGTCGACAATCTCCTGTGGCGGCCCGAGGTGGGTTTGCCCCGGCATAGAAACCTCGATTCCTGAGCCAAAGTAGTATTCGCGGCCATTGACCACGACGGCAGTATGCCTGCCCGATCGATAGACATGAGCACAGGGCAGCAGCGAGGTGGCATTGCAGGCAGCAACAGCACATCTGCCGGTCATCCAGACCCACCAGATGGCATCGATTTGGGTGCCGGTCAGCTGCATCGAGAGCATGCGGGCCATGCCCTTGGACAGGTCGTAGACATAGAGCTGGACTTTGGTGCCCATCACTGCTGGTGGTCGAGGGCGGTGCGATTCAGAGATGCGGGGCAAGCGAACAGCAGGCAGAGAGGAGGGCGACGCCGCCTGGTCAGAAGGGACAGGTGGATCTGGGCTCGAGCCAGGGTTTTGGTCATGCGAGTGTCACACTGCCCTGTCGGCCAGGGTCAGTCGCTTCGGTCCATGTTGGGAAACGCAGACAGGCAGACCGTTTCCCTGGGACGGACTGACTCCACGGAACAGACACCATATGCTTTTTCCGACACGCGGTAAGCACGATAGAAAACATCAGTGTATTCATGGCCCGAAACTGGTGGCCGATGGACTCCAAGCAGAATAACTAGTAGTGGAAGAACGGACCAGGGCTGAGCATCGGTTTGCCGCTGGCGGTCTTCATGTTGGAAGGATACCACGGCATGTTGGACATCCACCATTGCAGCCAGTCTCCTCCATTGTCGTCAAAGGTGGTGTCGGGAAGGGTTGACCAAGTCGTCTGCCAAGCATATGTCGGCAGAGGAACCACGGGGGTTTTGCCGAACTGCACGCATGAGGATTGGAAAAACTCGGTGTTGTGGTATTGGTAGTCTGAGGAAGCCCAAATCAGTGGTGAGTCGATTGCATCGCGAGTCTATGCCATCGTCCCACTCAAGGGCATCACTCCACGAGATTGTCTCACTCGCCATCGACACAACAGGGCACGTCGCTTACCTCCGTGGCTGTTAATGGCAAAGTGCACCGTTCCGCAGACGGGATCAAAGTTGCCGATGGTGTAGTTAGGGCCTGTGGCCACGTTGTTGATGTAGTCGTAGCCCATCTGGAGCGTCGCTGTTGTCGTATTTGTAAACCACTTGGCCTGTCCGTACGTGCTCTCAAAGTCGACATTGTAGCGCAGATCGAGGTTCAGTCCAGCAAAGTCCACAAACCAGTCGCTGAACGACGGAATGTAGTTGCGGCGGCTACCGAGCTCCTCCAGGTTGTGGCCAAATCCGTGGAAACTAGGGCCGCGGAAGGGATTGATGCCCACGAAGCGCAGACTTCGGCCGGTGCTGGCGCAGGTCGGGAACCAGGCAACGGGCGGCTCAAAGCATCCATTGCCGGCACAGGGAGAGAAGGCGCCGGGGATCTTGTTTCCTGTGGGGCTGTACTTTTGGACCCACTGAGCGGACTGCAGAACACAAGAGTAGTCAGCATTGTGGTCACGGCGACGACCCTTCATAGCAGCAGTGCAAATTCGCATCCTCTGCATGGGCCGGAGCGCTCTCAAGGCTGCCCACCTCTCGGCTATATGCATCGTTGGTAACATCGCCACTGAGGATAGTCCAGACTTCGTGCACCAAACCCTTATCAACCAGGGTGCAGAGATCATAGTAGCCACCGTTGCCGTCCGAGTATCCATAGTAGGAGGCATAGGTCGAGTTGTAGAGTGCAGAGTAATCAAAGTTGCTCCAAGTGGGGTGGGTTGGGTCGGTGTAGAAGCGAGGGGTCAGGCCTGAGTTCTCGAAAGTGGTGTTAGGCACAGGGCTGGTTCCGTACATTCCGTCAAAGAGATTCACTGGGAGCGGGAAGACGGTTGGATGCAGATGGTCAGGAAGGCCGTTTCATGGGCTCAGCACTCATTCATGACTCGTTCAGCCCGTCGCATTGGGGCGGCATATCCGCCGTGGTCAGTCTCATGACAGCCGGACTGCGAGTCAAGCACAATTTACCAATGTTAAGGTTGTGCTTGAGATTGGGTGGGTTTTTGGGGTTTTGGAACCATTGGAACTGAGAGGCCTTTTCATAGTTGGCCACAATGTTGTTGAGCAATATGGTCATGTTGTTGTACTTGTTATTGTAGTAAGTCTTGGAGAGCACCGGATCCGTTGGGTTGGCAAAGTTGAGCACCAAGATGTTTCGGGTAATGACTTGAATGTCGGCGTGATGGGCCATCAGCCACGAATCCGAGTTGGCGCCCGAGACGGGGTTGGGCCAGTATGTGAAATTGCCGTCATTGGCGAGGACGCATTTGCCATTGGAAAGCACATAGTCGGTGGCACACGAGCTGCAGTTGGGGCCAGTGTAGCCAAGCCTGGAGCGATAGGGACTTGTGAGCGGGAAGGGCGGGCAGCCAATGATCATACTCTCGCGATGATGACAGTCTCTCAGCGCAACGGTACTCACAGGCACTCGCAGTTGTACGTCGAGGCGAACCACAAGCTGTTCGGGGGGCAACTCGGAGTCAGAGCTACGTGGGCAAGGCGTATGAATGAGTCCGTTTAGTTGAATGGGCCATTGCTTCTGGAGTGCAGGGGGAAGCCACCGAGAAAACATTCACAGAATTGCCATGCGTTCTGATGCCATCTCTCCATGGTGCTTACCACACGGATTGGTCTTGTCGTCGAATATGAGTCCATCCAAAGTGACATCGAAACCCCAGCCAAAAACGTCCCAAGACCAAGCGATGCTCGCAAGGGCCCCATAGTTGAAAGCTGGATCGATTGTCGACTGAGTCATGGCAAAGGGAGGAGAGCGAGCCTGCATTTCGAGGGATACTCAGGTCAGATACTCAGTAGCTTGTAGACGAGTGGGCCAGCCTCGGACGCCTCTCGGCATCGCAGCATCACAACAAGCTCGCTAGCAAAGGCCACAACGTACGCCTGGCTTCAGGTTGATCTCATAGCGCGTGTACTTTTCACCGACGACATATGAGTTCATGTACGTATTCAGGGGGATATAGATATTGCTGTGTCCGGCAGTGTCCGTGAGAGTGACCTGGGGAGTATTGATCTGCCAAAGTGTGTAGCCCCCGTCATAGCTGGGGTCGCGTGGGCCATCGCCTTTCATATAGAACGAGAGACGGAATCCCGAGGACGACGAGAGGTTGTTGACACTGGCGGGCAAGTTGTACTTGATCTTGAAGGCATAACCAACGTTGCTGGAATGGACGTTGAGGGCAAACGAACCAAACGTACTCGTCACCGGAGTAACAGTTACGTTTGCCGTGTGGGAGGGGTCTTCTGTCGGGTCGTAGATGATCGAGAGAGCCGAAGGGGTAAGGAAGGGCGGCTCGAGATAGTCAACGCAGACATTGGTGGGAGTTGGGGTGGTTGTAGTCGTGGTCGTTGTAGTCGACTTGGACGGCGTCATTGTAGTCGACTTGGACGGCGTCGTTGTCGCCGACTTGGATGCCGTCGTTGTCGCCGACTTGGATGCCGTCGTGACAGAGGAGGTCTTGGTTGCTGCTGTAGACGATGCAGCGCTGCTGGACGAAGCAACAGACGGGCAGTAGTACTGCAGCGTACTGGGGTTGAGGGACTTGAGCAAGGTGCACTGGCCCGTCACGTGGTCAGCGCAGTACCCGTTGCCTCCGCCGCTCTGGCCCGTGCAGACACAGACGCAGTTCGCGGAGTCGAAGCTGCCATAGACACAGCCACCGGAAGGTGCGCTGCAGACAGGGACGCCTGCAGCCAAGGGGCAGAGGAGCGCAGGAAGGAGGAGGAGGATTGTGGTCTTCATCGAGGTGAGCGCGGCCTCTCCCATCGACATCGAAAAAGTAGCCGATTTATATCCGCGACCCGCCATCAAATTTGAGCGATCGATCCTGAAGGCTCTTGTTCGTGCTGGGTCATCTGCCGGCCCTGCCAAGCCCCACTCGAGATGTACAGCGCTTCAAAAGCCCTTCTCTCTCGCAGCCTGGGTGGCTGGAAAACAGTCATATTCCGACGCAGCCCACTGCACCCGAGGGGCAGCACCCAAATTTTCCCTTTCCCACACCGGCGCTGCAAATTTTCGGCTGGTGGGGAGCGACCGCGACAAAGCCGGGATTACCCGGGTATTGTCGCCGTCCCACGAGTGCCTGACCGCCGGGACCAACGCCCGGAAGGTTGAGCCATGCAGGGCTCAAATTTTCATCTGGCAGGGATCCTACCGTCGGGCGGCGGCTGTGTGACTCGATACCCACTCGCCACCCAACAAAGACAGGCTCAGGGTGAGCAGTCCTCCATCCGGCAAGTCATCCGCCCCGACCCAAGCATACGCCCGAGTCTGCCTGCTGCCCCCTTGCCGAGCCAGCCCGCGCCGCAACACTCTCGAGCCAAACTTGCAGTGCCCCACCGCTTCTCGACGACACTGTGGATGCAACGAGGGAGTCCTGGAACGGCGCGTCGACGCATGCATACCCAGAGATTCGAGTCACTCTCGTTTATTGCTGATGAGAAACGGGCGCAGAGGATTGTTCGCCGGCACGTCGGAATTAGAGGTATTTCCCTTTGATGTGAATCGTCGATCGCTGGGCTCGAGCGCATACGATTGCCAGCTGGTGCTTGCTTTATCGGTACAGGTGATCGGCGCGCAGGTTGCGAGCAATCTCGGGCTAAAGCAGGACATGAACAAGCCTGAGTCAGAGATCGACGTGGTCACGGCGCCAGATATTCGCCAGACATTCACCAGATACCCGCCAAACACTCGCCAGATATTCTGCAATCGCACGTGTTCGTACCTCCCACTTATCGCCGTTTGCGAGAAGCTTCTCCTTGTTGTAGAGCAGCTCTTCGTGGGTTTCCGTGGCGTACTCAAAGTTGGGGCCTTCGACAATGGCATCGACAGGGCAGGCCTCTTGGCAGAAGCCGCAGTAGATACACTAGCATTCGGATATGCATCGGCACCGCGGGTGAGGAACGACGGCAGGCAGGGGTGGGCGGTCAGGGATGTGCCTGTCCTGGTGTATGCATAGCTCCTCCTGGTGTATACAATGTCTCTGCTGTATCCAGGGGGTGTGAGTGGACTGTCCTACCTTGGTCATGTCGATATCGTAGCGGGTGGTGCGACGGCTGCCGTCTTCACGAGGCTCGGATTCGATGGTGATGGCCTGAGCGGGGCAAATGGCCTCACAGAGCTTGCACGAAATACATCTCTCCTCACCTGCAGGAAAGCAATACGAATGTATGAGCCACAGCACATTCCCAATCGAGGCGCCAAAACGATACAGGACAACCACAGAACGTCGCTCGCCATCAGCTACTGGCGAGTTTGCTATCCAGCCAAAGCCAAGCAGTTTCGTAGTGATGCTCGTTGGCGCATTTGACGTCGCAATACGATGCTGGACCGGCTCCAGAATACCAAGATCATCCGACGCGCATCCCGCATCGCATCGCATTCCAGATCACTCGAGAGCTGGCGCTGATCCAGGAGGGATAGCCCTGCCCTAACGTGGCTTGTTCCAATCCTGCCGCCATGCCAAACGGTCTGCCCCAGCAAGGGTGGGGCATGGCCGACTGGACTTTCTGTCGGCGCAGGTCCAGAGAGTGCCTACGGCGGGCTAGGGGTGCCACTCAAGTATCCATCACCGCAGGCTGAGATCGAGCGCCAAGAGGCTTTACCGGTGGGATATCTTCTGAGAGCGTGCTCGCCGCGGAATCGGGGGGACAGGGGGCCCTTTTCGTTCGGGTACATGATCGTGTAGGGGGGCTTGAACATCTGCTCCATCACAAGCCACATGGTTCGGAAGATCTCGGTCATCATCATTTCCTGGGCCGCTCGGTCAAGGATGGGCTGGGGAAAGTGCTGGTAGGTCGAGGGCTGGTTCGCCTCGTAGGCACGTCGAGAGCGGACGGCCTGCGTGACATCGGGTGTCGAGTAGTGGCGAACAGCGACGAGGTTCTGGCCCCGCTTCAGGGCAGATCGCGAAGTTTGAGCAAGGCGGACAGATCCAAACATGGCAGAGGTCGAAGGGGGCTCGAGGGCTGATGCCGAGGCTGAGTCGTTGCGGAGCGAAAGATGAGGGGCCGGCGGTGTATCTGGCAGCGCGATAGGTTGCCGTTCCGGCGCATTGGGATGGTAGACACGGTTGAATCAGATGGGGCCATGGCCGTCAGCGTGCGCCTGCTCATATGCGATTGAGGGTGCCGGGAAGCACAGCGGCATATTGTCCCGCGATGAAGCCCTCGAGAGGGTGACATGCGGCTGCGAGCAGCGGACACCGCCGGAGCGGCAGCAGCATCCGGCACGACCGCTACCGAGCCAATGTGCACTGGGCCGGTCGGCTCGTCCAGAGCATGCCTTGCCCTGCCCCGCCTCGCCTTGCCTTGCCTTACCTCCGTTTCCGGGCGCCTGTCGTTCCTGAACGTCTTGGACTGTGTCGTCTTGGATGATGCGCTGCGTCTGGGATCCTCAAAAGAGCGAAACGCAAAGACGCGGCGCGGAATTGATTTCATATGCGTGCAAATGAAGCCAATATGTGCACACACACACACGCCCTGGCTCTGTCGCACACGCACCGCCTTTCCCACGCGAGAAACGAGTTGCGGGGCTGACCATGGCCTCTCTGCACCCATGCGGGTGTTGTCTGGCCTCGGCTGGACTCAGAGTCGCTGGGTTACAGGCATATCGCTGCCTCGTCCATCGGGCCAGCAACAGGCCGCACCTGGTGGGCATGTGTGTGTCGACTGCCACTCGCGGTGTGCCTCTCTCGCAATGCGCCTCTCTGGTAATGTGAGTCTCTGGCAATGGCTGCGAATCAGGGCATCCATATGGTGTGATTCATAGTCTTGTGTCCGAGTTCGGAAGGTTTGGGCATATTCTCTGGAGCAAAGGTCTTGGGGATTCAGACCCTTTGTCTTTTCAGTCCGTTCTGTCATCGGCGTCCTCTTGAGGCAGAGCTATTCCTCGAGGCAAAAGCCGGCGTCCGCTTCAGCCTCCTGCCACCGCCACTCATAAGCACACCACGAAAGACATCCACTAGTTGCGCCATGGGATTCGGAATCGATTTGTGGGTAAGGCTCGATAAGCGTCGGCCGTTGCAAGGGCTATTCGACCGATCCCCCAACAACCGCGGTGGAGTTGGCAAGAAATCGGACTCAGCAGTGCTAATGCGGATGTGCCACGAGCTTAGGACCAATGGAAGGAGGTCGAAGAGTACGCCGGCCAGAATGCAGTCTTTATGGACCGCATATACGAATTTATGAAAAAACGGGCCGAGCTGGAGATGGACTACGCAAAGGGGCTGCAGAAGCTCGCAAAGTCGTATCGCGACGATCCCTCCAAGAAGATGACCGGGATACAAAAGATGGTTCAGGCCAGGTACTTGTGCCGGCCTAGCTGTGGAAGTCCCGCTCTAGGGTGGATCATTTATGGCAGTGAGAGACAGAGAATTCAGGTCGATTGATGGTGCGATAGCTCAACCACTTCTTATGCGTGACAGCTCCGTGATGCAGAGTTGGAATCTGCTTCTCAACGAGGTGGAGTCACTCGGAAACTGTCACCAGAGTGTCGCCGATCAAATCGAGACCGACATACGTCGACCCATGAAGCAACAGAGCAAGGATATCGAGCGGTTTACAAAGGAGGTGGGGCAGTGCTTACCGACGTGTCAGGGTCTTGTGCCCATGCTTGATCTCGCTTGACATCCTAACGGAGCACGCCACAGAGCTTTGACGAGATCCGCAAAATGTATTCGGAGCTCAAGAAGCAAGTCGAGCTCATGGAAAAGGTAGGCAGCACCGGTCTGCGTTTGGAGCAAGCTAGTCGTAAGGCGCTCTCAGATCAAACTGTACTTGATCAATGTGATGGCTGTGGTCTCGGCGGCGTGCGTCAACCCGGGAGTGGTTGGCAATTTTGATGCGGTGGCAATGGTTTTGATGGCTCTGCTGGCATCGTCTTCTCTTGGCATGCCATTCTTCCAACACCACCTCCACAGCAACGCGAAAAATACGAAAAATCTGTCAAGGACATGGATTCGGTGCGAGCAAGCTACGAGAAGGCTCAAAAGGATGTGCTTACGACCAAAAACCAGGATAAACTTGTCAAAGAAGTGGAGCGAGTAGGTGGAGGGACCCTCTGGCTCGCATCACACAGATGCATGGTCCAACACCCCCTCCAGTGCAACAGCGCGATGGAGATGACTCCATAGCCGCTCTCTATCCTCACTTCTCGTGAGCGCTGACCAGCCCTCCTCTCCTCTCCCTTGCTCAGCTTCGAGTCGAGGCTGAGCGCAAGGCTGTCTCGGCTCGCGATGCCTTGGAGGCGTACAAGAAGTGCATCGGTATGGGCCAACTCAACCTGCGCTGATATTAAAACCTAGTCCGGTGTTCACACATCCCCAATTGCGCCGCCCCAGCCGAAACCAACCAGAAAAAGAACAGCCATTTCACCGTCGATGTCCCAAAGACTCTCGATGTAAGTGGCGCGGTCTCCCTGACAGGAAAAAATGCCCTCCCAGCACCTCCACGACTCACTCAATATGTGTCGATGCTTGATCCTCGCCAGGCTATGCAGCAATACGACGAGCAGCAGAGAATAGCCTTCACTCGGACCATGTTCCAAAAGCTGAGCGGTCTTGTCCGAGGCAGTCTCCCCTCGATACAGGGAGGACTGGATCTAATGGAGAAGACCTTTGCCACCATCGACCCAAAGTACGACTCGGATCTGGTGATCAAGATGCTCAAGACGACCCAGACCCCGCCTGATGATTTTGTATTCGAAGGAAAGGTGGTGAGTGTCCTCTGCATCAACTGCCAGCCGCAAACATCGATAGAACCAGGCACAGTGGGCCAAACCAACCGAGGTACCGGTGCCGACCCAGTGCTCTCAACTGCCCGCCACTATGCTTCCAGGATGTGGGTACGTGCTTGCAGCCCAAAAACGATGACGCCCTGAAATCACCGACAAAGTCTGGCGACAAGGTGAGAGTTTGCTCATGCGGCGTCGGTCTATGTGCAAATGTTCTTGTCCAGCGGATGCTCAGTGGCTGTGTTCCCGTCTCAGGGCATGGGAGTCTGAACGGCCGAGTCGTCAGCACCATATGTGCACCCGCTCATTATTCTGCTTGTTCTGGTCTGATTCCGTCACTTGTGCACTCGGTTTGGCGATTTGATCTCTGCTCGGATGCCTCCAACAACGTCATATTGGCTCACATGTACCGCCATGGACACTCTTTGTCATATCGCAGTTGGAGGAGACCGAAGATGAGATTGTCGCCCTTCCAACCAAGAAAGGCAAAAAGAAGGCCATCGACCGTCTCAAGTCTCTGGAAAAGGAGATTGCCGACTACGATCGCAAACGAACAGGCGTCGAGTCCCTCATGGGGGCCTGTCGGGTGAGCAGTCCATGACCACCCATAACCAACGAGCATGCTGCCTCCAGAGGTGCAAACACAATGACTAACCCTGTTGATTCGCAGGTCCTTGTCGACGACCACCAGGTTCAGTCGCAAAAGGACCTCGAGGCGCAGCTCAATCTCGTCGAGTCCAAGCTCGACTCGCTGCTTGCCCGGAAGCACAAGATCGAGGTCTATCTCTGCACCGTCGAAGGCATTCCTATTCCTCAGCCTCCGCAGCCCGTGCACGGCCGCTCTCTGACCGGCTCGCCTGTGACCATGAATCGTGCCATGTCTATCGGCACCGAGTCCATGTCCCGTGGCTCCGTCGGATTTGATTCTACGACAGCCAGCATTCCTGTCAGTCCGTCGACAGCGATTCCCGAGGAGGGTGCAGAGTCCACCATCCCTCCGGCGGCACACGCAACTCTTGCAGGATCAGATAGAGTTCTTTCCAAGACCAAGGTTATTTTTGATTTTGATGGCGCCCCCGACTCTGCCGAGCTGTCGGTCAAGGTGGACGAGATTCTCGATGTCTTGGAGAAGCTGGACGACGGGTAAGAGGCTGGTACTGCCGAATCATGGCGCTGCACTTGGGTGAAACATGGCCAAGAAACTGTACATATATGCTCTTCGACCGCCGATGAGCGCTTTGGCGTGGGACTGTGCCTCAATAGCAATCTCACTTTTGCAGGTGGTGGCGCTGCCGCAAATCCGACAATGGAGAACTCAAGGAGGGCTTTGTTCCCGGGTAAGCGATGTGGAGGTTGATGCAATGTGTAGCACTCTTGACTTGAGCCCAGTTTCCGGCGGCACTAACTGTTGATGCTGCTCTCTGTTTGGCTCGGCAATGGCCCACGACATGCTGTCCGGCTCTCGACAAAGTAACTATACGGAGGAGATTCAGAACTAGTCGCCCTGCGCGAGACAGCGGCAACGACCGTTCCTGGCAGAGTAGAGAAGCAAGGCGCCTCGAGTGACTATCTCGGAGGCGACCGACAAAGAGCGAGGCCCTCAGGAAGCTCTGGGTCTGCGCAGCAGTAAATACAGCATGTCCAGCAGAAAATACAGCATGTCCAGCAGTAAACACCGCATGTCCAGCGAGATGCATTCGCCCCATCCCCCGAATGCGCAGGAATCGCTGCCCTTGTCGCAAGCACAGCCACAGGCAGTGCATCACGTGTGCCTTGGCAGCGCCGCCGAGCGCAGAACCGCCCTCCTCGGCGCTCTCCGGCCAGGACATCCTTCGCTCACTCGACTGCGTTATCAAGCCCAACTCCCCAACCACCCCGCATCCGCCTGCCCGCCATGAACATCAACTCGCCTATTCCAAAAGACCTCGGCTCCGAGTGCACAAAGGCCGCGAATATCATGGCCCACTTTGTCAAGGGCAAGGGCGTCGTCGACCAAGTTATCCCTCCGTCGATCATCGCCAACGCCAAGGGCGTGGCCATCCTTTCTGTCGTCAAGGTCGGCTTCGTTTGGTCAGGAAGAGCCGGCTCTGGTATCGTCGTTGCCCGGTAAGTGCTCGGCCACAGCTATTTCTCCCTCCCCCGGCTCTATTCCTTGGGCGATGCCACAAACAAAGTCCGCCACACGCCCGCATCTGTCCGGCTGAGGCTGACCGAGAATGTTGTCCGCCTACTTCCCTTCCCCCCCCCTCTTGCGAATCTCTTCGCGCATGCAGCCTGCCCGATGGCGGTAAGTCAGGATCCTGGGATCTATAGCCCGTGTTTCTGATTCCAGCGCCCGCCTGTTTGACGCATTCATCTAACTGCTTGGGCTGTTCTCCAGGCTGGTCCGCTCCCTCAGCAATCGTAAGTTTGCGGTATCTGGTCCCTCTCTGCCTGATTTTGTGAAGTCGGTCATTTGCGGTGATGCGGTCGGCCTGCTCTTGACATATCCGTGCTAAATCCCTTGCCCCTCGCTCGCTCAACTCAAATATCCGCGACACTGCCTTCAGGGAACCGCCGGAATGGTAATTGCTGCTCCTGCCTGCCTGCCTGCCTGCCTGCTTCCCAGCCGACTGCTTGTGGGCTGTCTTCACTTGCTTTGGCTGTGCACAGAAACGCTGACCATGTCCGCGAATTCTCTCATCGCCCAGGGTGTCGGCGGACAAATCGGTGCCGAGCTCACGGACTTTGTCATGATCCTCAACACAGCCGAGTCTGTGCGGGCGTTCAGCCAGGGCGGCAACGTCACCCTCGGCGGCAATCTCTCTGGTGAGTGACGCTTGGCCGTCCGCTGCTTTCTACTGACGTATCGGTGGCTGCGACGTAAACCGCGACGTTGCTCCGAGACTGCCCGTTTGGCTGTGTGTTTGTCATGACTTGCTGACGCTCATGACTCCATTCGCTTGCTTTCCATCCGTTGCCGCCTCTGCCCAATCAAATCGGGCCGCATTGACTCTCCAGTCGCCGCTGGGCCCATTGGCCGCAACGCCGAGGCCAGTGGAACTTACGGAGGCGGTTTCACGGCCGTCTATTCTTACAGGTACAGCTGGCGCATTGCATGAGCAGACCCTTTGACCAATTGGTTTTCGAGCCATGACCGATACTGACTGGGGCATCGTCCGGCTGTCGATTTGGACTGCGTCTTGGGACTGCAGCAAAACCAAAGGCCTCTTTGCCGGCGTTTCGCTCGAAGGATCCGTCATCATCGAGCGAAAGGAAACCAATGCAAGCTTCTATCATCGCCAGATCTCCGCAAAGGAGATTCTCAGTGGCCGTGTGCCCCCGCCCCGGCAAGCCGAAGAACTGTACCGGTAAGCAACAGAGCTGACCGGTCTGGGTTTGCTGCCGACCCTGCCTCTCGAAGCTGCCGCTACCTTTGGTTGGGTTTCTGGGACATTCGGTTTGCGACCCGCGGCGGTCCCTCGTTCATTTGAAAGGAGCCCCTGCAGCGCGTTGCTCGCCCATGTCTCGGGGCTCTCAGCAGGCTCAGGTTCTGCGCACGGTGCTAAAGCCGTCCGGGTTCGTCCTCAAACGGCAGTGCCTTGAATATCAAATCCGACATCGGCAACATGATCGGCGACCGGAATCGGACCGAGCTCGAGCGAGACGACCTCCCCAACCCCAACCGGGTCGAGCGCGACTCATGGTCGTCCAACCGGGATCGAAACAACTTTGGCCGCGCAGATACCAAGACCGGATACAGCCTGGACCGCAGCCAATTCACTGGCCGGGATAGCGGCAGCTCAAGACCGCCCAACCCTTTTTCAAGCCAGGACGACCCCTTCTCGACCCCATCCGACAGCCCCGCGCCGCGGCGTCCCCCCGCTCGTCCACAGGGCAGAATCACGGCCACGGCCCTCTACGACTTCCAGGGCGAGCGTGATGGTGATCTGTCCTTCCGAAAAGGCGATCTCATCGTTGTTCTGAAGAAGACCGAGAGCCAGGACGACTGGTGGACCGGCCGCCACAATGGCACAGAGGGAGTGGTAAGCTAATCGCTGCAGCCGATCGCTTGTCAACGTGCTCGCAATGGCTGGTTGCAGTTTCTAACCCATACTCGTCCATCCCCTCTGTGGCCATGGCTTCGTTTCCTGGCGCCCGATGCTGTCGGCGTCCAGTTCCCAGCCAACTATGTCGCTCTCGACTGATTGGCTGCCATTTTGTATTGATCTTTTCTTGATGGACCCGATCCATCCGATTTGCCCGATTTGCGCCTCTCTTCCGCGTGTGTTATGAAGAGCCATATCCATTGACTTCTGACTGATGCTGTTGCAGCCGCAAATAGCCAGAGGCAAAGGCCAATATACGTACCGTACCATTCGCACAGCGTCGAGATGTGCGTTTCTCCGGGAGTTGCGGCCTTTTGGACCGGCTTCGGAATCCAATATCCACATACCGCCGATCCTATATCAGAGACAGCCCTAAATGTCCGCTTGCCCGCCGATACTAGCGGGCAAATGGCACCGCCATTGGTCAATCAGTGCCAATCACCCCCGGCCCCATTGTTGTCCGTCAACAAACCATCCGCAGTCGCTGTCGTTAGCATCGGCAATGGATAGAAGGCGCCGGACCGTTCCGGTAGCATCACTTGCCTCATCGACATATCCCAACACAGAAAACCTTCCTCTCCGCAGTCCTGCTCTTGGATGTGCAGTCTCGCCAGACTCGCCCTCTCAACGCACTCTGCCTATCTTCATCAGTGGCCGTTCGCCATTGCATTACCCCCTTCTCTACCGAGCAAGAAATGGATTCTCTCCCTCAAAAGCCCCTCATCGAGATATTCAAGTATCTCGACGACCCGAGCTCGTTCGCACGCCTCTCCCAAAAGTACTACTACTGCAGCCAGGACTCGCGGTTCCGGGCCCAATGGCTTCTGCACCGGCCCAGGGTCCTCGAGTCCTGGGCGACAAAGAAGCTGGAGAAGCGCCCCATGAACTACCCAGAATGGATCGCCCTGCACTCGGGAAAGGCCGAGCTGAGCTTTAGCACGCCTGTCGATGAGCAGTCGACGCAGTTCCCCGGCCGCATCATCACCAAGCTCGTTTGCCAAGAGATCCTGAAGCAGCTCTCTGTCCAGCTCTCGACCGCAAAAGGCGACCAGTCGTTTGGGCTGCGAAACGTTCTGAACGCCGCCGTCAGCAAGGTGTGCGAGGAACTGTGGCTCCCCGTCTGGATCGCCGCTATCAGTCCATCGCCCCATCTGCAGACCCAATTTGACGAGGTGTGCTGGAAGTCGGTTGTATACTTTCTCATCACCGAGTCCACCCGGATTCTGGCCGCCGTGCCGGCGACGGAAGAGGTCGCCAATTCCGAGCTGGACCTTGCCTACAGCGAGATGGAAAAGGTTGTCCTCATCCAAAAGGAGCTCTGGAAGATGGTGCCCGATGCAACCTCGCTCGCCGTCGTCGCAAACAACCTCGACATGCTCGACCTCATGGTCCGCGTCGGTGGGTTCCCGCTCCGATCCAAGGCCGACATTCTCAAGCGAGCCGCCGAGACCGGCGACTGGGAAATCGCCAACTACGTTGTTTCGATGGACGGCTTTACCGAGGAGCAGGTGTCCCTCATCAAGATGTTTCATGACATTTATCTCCTTGAGCAAACCCGCAACGCCGACATGGCCACCAAAGTCGCCGAGGTCCTGGACCACTGGCGAAGCGAGTCCAACAAGGCGTTCCTGATCCGCTGGAAGATTGCCATGGAGCATGCCTGTGAGAAAGGAGAATACAACCTTGTCTACCATCTGCTCAAGGCCTACGCCAACCTCATCAAGGACAGACCCATCATCACCCTCCGCATGGTGGCCATGGCTGTCGAGGCCAAGAGCGACGCCATCTTCGAGCTGTTGCTGGAGTACACCACACGGGACTCCACCATCGGTCCCCGGAACCCGGACGAGGTCGTCATCAATCCTCTCAACAAACTGAACTCAGACCCCAAGATCCGCCGCGAGCAGTTGCTCTGGCGATACTGCCGCATCACCAACCAAGAGCTTGCGCAGCAGCTCGGAGCCTCCTTTGCAGGCATCAACTGCAAGGCCAATGTCAACCTGCACCGCCGACAGGTTGTTGCCCATCTGCTGGATCCTCCCCAACCCGCGACGCAGCCGGGAGTCGACGTCGTTGCCAACAGCAAGCTGGGCCAGGACTGCATCTGGTCCTCTGTCGGCCTCGGTGTTCTCGACATTTCCCGACAGCTCCGCGAAAAGGGCGTCAATTTGGACTGGATGGAGGACGACCATGTCGAGATCCAGCAGGAGGAGCAGCAAAAGGAAGCCAATTCTCTTAACCTCAAGACCGTCCTCGAGCCCGTGGCCGTTGCGCTGTATGCCGCTCTTGGTGGTGCGTGGGAAAGGGGGACCGAGGTTGCCCCTTCTCATGGCCCCGAGCGAAATGAAATCGAAAAGATCATCAACAACACCAGTGCCGTCGTCAAGGCCGCCTCGGTCGGCAACTCCGTTTCGGATCTCCGTGATGACATCCTCGAACTTCAGGGGCGCACCTCCGTGGCTGAGGGCCGGAGCAGCACCCTGCGCCGCCGAGCCACCCTCAGAGCCACAGCACCCAGACACACCGGTCGCATCCTCATCGACCCCTCCGATACCGTCTGGACGGCGTTTCTGTCCGGGAAGCTGGAGGAGGTCTCCAAGCTAATGGACGAACGTGGCAGTACCGATATTGGCTGGATGGAGCCTGCCGCCAAGCTCTCTGCTGCGGAAAACGAGGAAAGGAAGGCGGTGACTTCTAGCGCCGAGAAGCTCTCCAATGACACCAAGGCCACATTCGGCGAAGAGACGCCCGACGATGCCGCCATCTCATTCTTCATGGCCCTAGGAGGGCGGATATAGCTGCTGCAACCGACCGCTGTATGCCGGCTGACATCGCATGGCCTGGGGACTACTTTGTCGAGCTCGCTCAGACATGTTGCTGTTGGCACACGTCCGATATGCTAGCTAGAGGTATGTGTCGTGGGTGAATCTGGCGTCGACAGCGTTAGTGGTCGCATGGTGCGGATCGGCGTTGATGGTGTTGTTGGTGTTGTTGGTGTTGTTGGTGTCAGAGCCTGTGCCTGCATCCAGCGCACAAGTTCGGGGACGGACGTAGATCTTTCGCCTCTTGCGAAGGAACAATGCGGCTTTGGCAAAAGGAGAGCAGCCGCGTCGATTGTTCCTATGTCGAGACCCTTGCTAACTTGGCTTTGCGATCCAACCAGTCTCTGCTACCGTCCTCTGCCAAGTAACTTTGAATATAAGAGCGCATTCCGGACCACTGCCGAGAGAGCGGGGGCATAGAGCTTGGCACTGCGCGGCCATGGCTGCCCCGACTGAGGCTGATGCAGGTTGTCGTGACTGAGCCGCTTATGATTCGACGGGCTGCATGGCTCCCCAAATCCAAATCCAAATCCAAAGCCATCGGTGCTTGGTTTCGGTTCGAGGAGCTCGCAGACGAAAAGGCGGTCGTTTCACAATGCGCAGCTCGAGTTTTTCGGCTGCGCTGCTTGTGCGCTCCCTGAAATGGCGCGGAATGCCAGAGGCAGACCAGCAGCGTCTTCTCCCAGCAAAGCTCACGGGTGCTGGCTGTCCTGGCTGGCCGTCCCCTCTCCAGCGACCCGGACGGTGTCCAGCAACCTCTGTCTCGATCCTCACAGATCTGCCAGATCCAATGGATCTCTTCCCGCAGGGCTTTTTCAGCCAGACCCCACTCAGGGCGAATGAGGGCCCCGGTGCAGGTCTGTCCTCGACCAACCCAAACCGACTGCAATCTTCGTCTGCGGATCCCAGCAACCGCCAGCCGGGCCATGCGGCGGCCGCAGGGAGCTCACAAAAGCGGACATGGTCGGCATACAGCTACTCGGATCCTATCCGCGGCGGACCAACTGTTTCTGAAGATTTCAAGAAGGTCAAGACCGAGCCGAGGAGCGAATCTGGTTCGCTTCTGAGACCGTCGCCAGAGCCAGCAACCCGTCCATCTTCGGTGTCAGCGGCCAAGCCGTCCCCAGGGTCAGCGCCCAAGCCATCTTTGGGCTCAGCGACCAGACCGCCTTCAGGACCAACGACCAGACCGGCTCCGGAGCCACTGCTCAGGCCGTCGCTCGAACCAGCAGCAAAGTCGTCCACGGGGCCAGTATCGAAGCCGACGAGCTCATCGGTGTCGAAGGAAGAGCCTTCCAGGGGCCGGGACGAGCGCTCTGAGCCTTTACGCACAGCCGATCGATCAGCCAACCGTTCCCGGGACCAGTCGAAGGATCGCTCAAAGGACCGGCAGCGCAATCGCTCTCGGGATCGATCCAGGGATCGCCGGCACGACCGCTCCAGAGACCATTCGTACGATCGCAGCCGGGACCGCTCTCGGGATCGGTCGAGAGATCGTCCGTGGGGTTTCTCGAGAAATCGATCGAGAGACCGCGAGCGGGATTATTACCGGGATCGATCGAGGAGTCGCTCTTGGGATTACCGCTGGAGCAGCTCTCGAAATGACTCTCGAAATGACTCGAGAGACCGCTACAGAAGCCGTGCACGCAGTCGCTCACGGGACGATCGTCGGGGTCGCTCCCACAGCCGTTCGGACGACTACAGCCGAGACCGCTCGCAGAGCCGCTCCGAGGATTTACGCCAGAGTCGAGACCGCTCGCCGAGCCGATCTCTCAGCCCAAAAGATGGCCCGGCCGAAAACTGGCGCGGCCCGTTGCTAATCCGATTCAATGACCTGATGTCCAAGGTGAAGGCCGCCCAGTGGCCTCTGTGAGGCACACCACATCTCGGCGGGGGCCGCCAGACGAGCTGCGCTATATCATGGATTGCCATTAACCACGGCGTCGCTCATTCACGTTGCAGATCGAGGGCCACCATCTGCAATGGAAAATGCACCAGGAAGAGGTAGGCGGCTGGTGTGCACACGCGAAGGCTGTGCTGATGCGACACATTCTGAACTCTGCGGCCCATGTTGCCAAAGCCTGACCCGACTGTTCTTGTACAGATATCGAACCACATCGATGACATGAACCAAGAAATGGAGATCATTGAGGCCGCGTTGATGGACGCACAGAGCATTGCAGCCGAGATGCTCCGCGACACACCACGCCCGGATCATCAGCTTCCAGATCCGTCCCAGGCTGGCGGCTCGGCGACCCCGAGCTCATCGCAAAAGCCCAAAGCCCAAAAGCCTGTCAATCCAGCGCCGAATCCGCCAAAGCCTGGCAATACAGCACCCAACCCTCCAAGATCCACCGGCCCAGCACCCGCCACCCCAATGCCCAGCAATCAAGTGCCAAGCGGCCAGAACCCCAGCAACCAAAATTCCGACAGCCAAAACCCTGAGCATCAGAAATCGAGCAAGAAATCAAGGAGTAAATCAAAGAAGAAGAACAACCAGTCCGCATCCCAAGGCGGGAACAATCCCCAAGCCAACAGCCAGCAAACTGCAGCAACGCCTGCAGGACTAAAGACCCTGCCAACGCCGGCATGGCAACTAGGCTCGCGCAACCAGTACGATCGACTGTCTATGAACAATCCCCGATCGATCACCACAAGCACCAATCACAAGCTGCGCACACTTGCTATCATGCCGAGTAACGACGATATCCTGGTTAGCTCATGTATGAGCGGGTAAGCTCTTTGCAGTTGGCAACATGGCAAGCAGCAGAGCACCAGTGTCGGTCGCTGCAGCCAAAGCGCCACTACATGCTCGATCCAAAATGCTCACCCTTCTCTGTACTTTACCATGCATCAGCGCGTTGCAAATCAACTCACTTTCGTATTGCATGTAAGCTGCCAGATAGGGCACAGGAGGGCTGCGGAGTGTCAGTGCCAGATCAGAGGAGGAGAGTGGCTGGTGAACAGAGTTGCGATGAGTGGCGTTAAACAAAACTTTCGGAACAGCAACGATAACCTTTATCCTCCGGCTGTTCAGGGAAATCCGAAACCTCAAGCCAGAGATTGTGGGGCTGCCACGAGTCCATGACATGGTAATCCATCGAACTCGCATGGTCACGCTGCACTCCAGTTGGTACATTGCCGGAGAAACATCGTGGCGTCTCCTTCGCGAGCCATCCGAGCGTGTGAATTGGCGTTCAGCTTTGTTCGTCCGCTCCTTTTGCTGAAGCAGCTAACGCATCTGGTGTGCCACGTTGATTGGTCGTGCAGGCGTGGGCTTCGAAGGATGTGTTGGTTATGGTCTCAGACAAGCTCGCCGAGCGTACCCATGCGAGAAAGAAGATATCGATTCTGTTTGACTGCGAGTATCGTCGCCCCCCAGAGCAGGTGAGCAAGCCGGTGGAACCAAGAGCCTGACCCCACAGAACAGACCGGCACTTCGTCGTCGCTTCGACTCCATACTCTTGCAGCCTATCCCCACAAGATGTGTCGCAAGTCGTGCTTTTGCCTCCGTCTTGACTCATTTGGTGCCCTCCAGTCCGTGCGGGGTTATCAAATCAAGCAGCCCAGTCACATGATGGCAGCAGTCTCTCTCTCGACTGGCACCCTCCTAATCCTTGGATACGCGCATCTTTTTCCGCTCTCAGTCGACGCCAACATTCTTGTGCAAGAACCAGATCATCTCCAGCTCGGACTCGCTCTTCGATGGCGGTCCATTCGATAAGCTCATGGATCGTATCAACACTATCAACTCCATCACCGGGATCCCCGACGCTTCACGGGGCCAGAACTCATTGTCTTTTGTGACAGCCAACGATGACAAAACTCTGGTAAGTTGCCCTGGTGTGCAAGTGCTGCCCGAGAGAGCCTCACGCGGACAGCAATTGCACGTCCTGATCAACTCGCCCTCTTGGAATACGGTGCCTCGATTCACCCTGATCCGGCCATGTCTCCATCCAGTATTGGTGGAGATTGGACCGCGACGAGCAGCAATATGTTGTGGGAGATCTTAAAGACCTGAGGCCCAAGCACACCGCTGCGGTGATATCAACGGCGTGGAACAAGTACACGAACCTTGTCTACACTGCCGGCAAGGACGGGTACGTCACTGGCAGCCGCAGATTCTTGTCGTTGGTTCAGATTCGCGGAATATCAAGCTGGTTCATGGCTAACTCAGCGTGTTTGTTTCTTGCCCCGTGTCAAATGCGCAGCAAAATCTTTGCCACGGACTTGATGATGATGAGATCCTTTATGATGAGGCGCATGCGACCTGTTGCGGCGGTAGGCAGTTCGGGTAGAGGCATGGCCCAGGCAGTCCATAAGAGCATTGTAGTGAGCATACAAAGAATCGGCGAGCTGATCAAACGGCCTGTTCGAATCCTGTCCACGCAACGATATGCAGATCAACAAGATCCTCGTTATCGAAAACAGCCCCTCGCTGAGTCTGATCTGGTACGTGCACCGCCACTCCGGTTTGGGGATCAGGCGACGGCGCTGCCACTGCTCACCACGCAGCTGACCGAGCACACAGAGAGCCGACGCAACCGCAATGGCAGTTTCGCTATGTTGCTGACTTGCGTCTTCAACAGCACCAACTACCAGACCAAGCAGCTGTTCCTCTTTGACGACCGCCAAAAAAACCGCCATGCACTGAACTTTGGATTCACAAAGCCACCGCCAGCGAACAAGAGTCTCACACTCCTGGTTTATCCATCCCTGCACCCGAATGGATACCTCGTATCCATGGGCCGGCCGTATACTGAGAACGACGGATTAGTCAGCTTCTGGGACATGCGGCACACCGGCTGCAGGGAAGCGCCGCTCATGTCGGTGAACAGCGGAAGTAAGTCCTTGCCTCGCTCTTGCGCTGTCGCTGAAATGTATCGGACCCGAACGCTCACGCCCAGCTACTTTGCCACACCGACACGATTCGCTTGTCGGCAACAGACGACGTCCGCGGCTCGCTGTTCCATCCCAGCCGGAATATGATGATCACAATGCATCTGCCACGCGAGAAAAAGATAACTCTCCATGATCTCCGGTACCATGCATAGTTGCAAAGGCCCTTTGGGGCAATAATACATCGTGTCTGTCGACGGAAATGTAGACACTGCCCCGAGACAGATTGAGAGCCAAGGTTGGCTGAGTCAGTCGGTGCTGCTGTGGATGATAGCTCTGGGACTTTACTGCAGCTGTTGCTTGGTATCATCTACCCCTCAGGGCCTCACGGCGTCTACACGCCAAAAGTGCATCCCCAGGGCCCGTTGCGATAGGGTCTGCCGCCGGCCTCCCAACCCAAGCATGATTTCTAGTCTGTGACGCCGTAGGTCCGCCGCACCAGCCTCCCTCGTTTGGGTTTCTTGTCCAGTGACGGGATCGGCGGTCCAGGAGGCGGATCGAATATCTCCTGCATCCGCTCTCGCGGCGGCTTGGGCGGTGCGGCAGGGTGGCCGGTACCGAATCGCTTTGGCTTTGGCGGTGCCTTGGAGCTGACAGCAGCCGTGGTCGAATCGGCCTTGTCCCGACAACCACGGCGAGAGGCACTGGACACAGTTGCAGTGACAACTTCGGGCGGATTGACGCGGCCCTGGATGGATGCCGCGGGTATAGCGTCGTCTTCGCCAAAGTCTGAGAAAAGAATGGCGTTCGACAGCAGCGACTCGAGCTGCTCCTTGGATTTGGAGAGAGGGCTTGTCGGTGTCTTGGCGGGGCTCGTGCTTCTGCGGGAAATCGGTATGGAATGGTGCCTGGCCTCGACCATCGACTGGTGTGTCTTTGTAAGGTCGGCCAGGGCTGTCTCGATGGACTTTGGGACCGATGGATGGTCAGGATGAGTCTTTGGCAGTGCGGCTGGTGCTTGTGACGGTATTGGTACTGACGCAGGGGCCGAGCCAGATGCAAACTGCGGAGTAGGCACCGATGCTGGTGTTGGCATCGAAACTGGCACCGAAACCGGCATCGGCGTCGACGTTGGAGTTGGCGGCTTATTGTCTGCGGACTCGATTTCGGACGGCAGTTCCTCCTCGGTTCGAGCGAGTGAGTCGGTCGACTTTGCTGCCCTGAAGGCTGAGAAGCTCCGAGACGACGACATGCTGATGGCGTCCGATCCCTTGCGGGGCGGGTCTCCCACGGCTCCGGCGGCGCCCTTGACGGACCGAGTGTCATCGGCCCACCTCGACAGGCTCGAGGCCGAGCTTTTCAGGGGCGATTGATTCTCGGGCGTACCAGCTGTCGGTTCCTTGTCAGCAAAGCTCCTTGCGGATTTGGGCGTCCCTCGACCCTCCTCGCCAGGTTTAACAGCGGGATCTCGCTCGAAGACCTCGCGCTTCTCGACCAGCGACAGCAGGGCCGGATCGTGCATGCTGATTCTGGAATTGGAGTGGCTTTTTGACTTTGTCAGCAGCGCTGCCGAGATGCGCTTCTTTAGATTCTTGGACTCCTTCTTGGGCGAGTCGGGCCCTTGGTCAAAAGCCGAGATCTTCTCCTTGACAGGCAGCTCGGAACTGTCGCGCTCGCTCTGATCGACAGCGGCCACCTCAAGTGGTTCAGCAGAGTTGGCCCCTGGCGGATGGTTGTGAACTGCGGTGAAACCAATCCGAGCCCGAGCCCGAGTGCCGAGCGTGGATTTCAAGTCAAGTCGACAAGTGTCCATTTGGCATTGGCAATCCATTCGGGTAAGGTAGGGAGGGAGTCGGTAGTGAGCATCACCAACGATCACATGGGTATTTCCAGCATCAACCCGCCAGCAGTGAGCGCTGCTTTCGACGATTCCGCAATGCAGTGCGCGCCTTGGTTGGAGATTTACACGAACAAGCATATCTGCGGCTGCCCGGCCTACATACACGAGCGAGACATGCGGTCAACGGTGCCCGAGACAGATGACTTGAACGTTTTGTAGACGGCCCGCGGCGAGCTCCAGTTCCCGTTGCTGCTGCTGGCGCTTTGGCCGGCGGCATCCGATGCTGACGGCTGTACGGACTCGGGGACGCTGTTGTCTGGGGCAGGAAATGTTCGGGAGTGACTGTGAGTCGGCATCGCTGGCTTGTGCCGTTGCGGCGTGCTGTCTCTCAAAACCAGCGTCTACTAGGACGCAGCAGCGAGTACCGGCGTCGTTCAGCTTCTCGATACTCTTTGAGGATTTGCCCAAAAAGGATTTGCGGAAGCTTTGCTTTGGCGAATCTTGCCCCGTTTGAGCAGATTGAAGTATCCTTTGACTCTCTGGCGATCCGCTAATGGTATCTGCACGGCCCGGAATGCAAAGCACGACAGCAACAGGCGTGTGAAAATGCATCCGTCGATGGTCGGCGCATGTCCCCTGCCCCAGCGATCTGGCCGACGTCGGACGACAATGTGGGCCAAGAGGCATCTTACCAGCCAAGACATCGTTGCTCTTGGAAAGTTTTTTACTCAGGGAGCGGGGCCTGTCCTGGTTCTGGAGCTCGAACAAGGCCTTTTTGGTCTTCAAATCGGCCATTGAGGGGTCGTTGTTCATCTCGCCTGCCGGCTGGGGCAGGGCGGCGTTGGCCTGAGGAATGCGCATCCGTGTATGCAGAGGAGGCGGAGACGCGGAGGGATATAGAAAAACAGACGGTGCAGAGACCTTCACTAATGGTCCCGGGAGCCTCAGCGCACTTGTGGAATAGACGGGAAGGTGTACTTGCCCTGGTTCGAGGCAGCGTGGGAAGCCGAGCAGCGAGCCGCCGAGACGCGGGCGAGATGCAGACGAGATGCAGACGAGACGCGGGCGAGAGCAGCGTGCGCAGCCTGGCCTGTTCGAGAAACAGCAACAGAGACAACGGCTGGCGCGCAGCAGCATGCTGCGCAGTTGTCCAAAAGTGGATATATTGCTTTAATGTGGTGCACAAGCCACGCCGCCCGTCCGATCAGCACGAAATGAAATCGACGCTATAAAAAACCGACAGCGCACGGTCCCCTTCTTTGTCGCATCTCCCGCTGCAGTCTTGGCCTGCGGAGACGCTCGGATCCCGAATGCTGCCCTGTTGTGCTGCCGTATGCATCGGCTGTCGCCGGCGCTTCTCCGGCACCGCCACCCCGATGAGCACTCGCTCCAGATGACGGTAGCCGCGGCTGGCACCAAGTCCCCGCCGCCTGGCCTCTTTATTCGATGTGAGTGTCCGGCCCTGTTCTGCGCCAACCAGCCAGGCAAACAAGGATGACCTTCGACATTGATCACATAAACTAGAGTCTCTGAATCCCAGTGATTATAGCCTCTGTCTCTGAACGTTAGAACTGCCCGGCCGACGATTGGCAGCGCAGACCCAGCGTCTATCGACGTTTGCTAACCGCCGCATCGCTTTTGCTCAGAAGCCAGACCACTCGGCTCGCACACCCACAAGCCCGTTCTGTGCGGCTCCTGTTGTAAGTATCCAACCCGAGCCGATGCTTGTGCACTCCGAAACGGGTGGCTATGATGAGACAACACAATACTTTAAGCTGGAATTACCGGCTGATACATAGTGATGACGTATTGGCTTCTGAGTACCACCTCGGCGCAGTTTGTCCGTGTCGCTCGGATTTCAGGCCGCTCGCTAACCATGAGACTGTGCAGTTCAGGCCATTTCACTCCGTACACAACAAATGCCAGCGACTCATGCCGCCAACCGCATTCAAAGGTACGTGATTTGCCCAAACCCCCCTTCTTCATCGCCAGCAACTGATGCCACGCCGAGTCTTGACAACTTGGCGTGTGTAAGCGCACTGGGCACTGAACAAATATGTAGAATGTGCATTGTCTGATGCTGAATCGCAGCCGCTTGCTTGACGAGTGGCCTCTGCAGACACATGGCTCTAACGTTGCTGTGACTTTTCAGGGTGATCCAAGTGCATCTGCTTCCCCAGCCCGAGTGAATGGTGAGTGGCGAGTCTGTTCTGGTCCAACACACATGATGCCCTCTTTATGATGAACTCTTTAGATGACGAGTCTGACGAGTTATCGATGCGGACAAACCCTTTAACTACCATTCATGCAACACTGAGCAAAGAGGCTGCGGGTTGTTTCCGCTTTGGAACGCGGGCCGAGACCGTTCGATGCTGACCATTTGTGTACTGTGATCCAGGAACGAACAGCGTGAGTGTCTGGACAGCCCCATCGCCGATCATCAGGTGCTGAGCGATGATATTCCAAAACAAGTAGACAAGCATATGTCTGAATCGCCATGTGGACAGTTTTGACGTCTGACAAGCACCCTGTCAAGCGCAGCCAGGACTGGGCCGTCGCTCTCGATCTGGTATTAATCGCGATCCTGAATGTCCAGCCAGCCTGCCTTGTGCACCAGTTCTCGACGGAGAACGCCCTGCTGGTCAGTGCCACTCCTCCCCTGCAGGTCAGTCTCCGTCCCACAGTCAGCACCCGCTGTTTCTCGTCGCCCTGAGCTATACTTGTGATGCTATTCCAATCAATCACGACGGTCTTCATAATCATCTTGAATGAAACCGCCCCCAGGGCACCCTTACTGAGTCGTATATGCCTGCGCCTGGAACACCGGTCGCCGAGTTCTTGTGATCGTGCTCGTGCCTAACTCCCCGCGCTCTGCTTCCTCATCAGATCCCGAGTCTCATCCGGCAGCCTCGGCGTCGCTGGCACCTTGCTACTGCCACTATGGATCCTTCTCAGGTAAGCACCCTCAATGAGTCCTATCAACGCTGCCTGCATATGCATTTTAGGACCACTTGTGATGTTATTCCAATCAATCACGACGGTCTTCATAAACAACCTTGAATGAAATCGCCCCCAGGGCACCCTTACTGAGCCGTGGTCAACCGTGCGAATCGGCGTGCTATTGCCGCGGACGCTCTGGACCGTTTCTGACCGGATCATCATCTCCTGTGTCCTTAGCGCCACGATGAAAAATTTGGGGCCACCTATGCTGCCCAAGCTGAGAAACCCGTGACCAGATCAGCAGGTTCAAAGCGAGTCATAACGACTCATCCTGGACCCAGATCATTGGCTCGAATTTCCGTGTCGTCTCCGCACAGAATTTCTTAGTGTTAGCGCGGTTGCACAAACCCATTCCCGTACGGCTCGGCCCCCTGTTCCGACTTCTCCCGACTGCTTTGCCTCTTGGACAGAACCGCTCCCCAGGCGACGGAAATGGCTGTAAATAGCGAACAATTTCTTATATTCAGCTGTCCAAGCTGATTTGCAGCAGTCATAATAATTGAATAGAATTGGAAAATTACTTACCGGTATCCAGCCATGGATACACTGAGAATCAAAGTGCAATTGGCAGTCAGTTACGAGGCAGTTATGCAATCATAAACGAAGGTGCGGTGCAGTTCTGGCAGTACTCCTTGCCCAGTTTGGGAGACTGTCGAAACCCATCAGTATTCCTGTGGAGTAATGAGGGAATGGAGTGGTATATCCGCAGAAGATGGTGAATATTCAGCAGACGAGAACAAGACCAGAACGCTCGAGCGTAGACCGATATGTAGTATGGGCTCACTGATGGGGTATTGACGATGGACGATTGTTGATAGGAAGTCTGAAGAATGTCTCACCTGGTTCGGAGGCACGAGTGGCTCGATACATCATCAAATCAAATCGAACCACTCCTGGTTCTGATAAAGGCTTTGAAGCTTGGGCATAAACTCATAGTACGTATAGGTCTGGGCGTTCTTTTCAGAAAGTTGAATCTCGTCATTCGAGAGAACCTTTCGAAAGCTTAAGCCCCGATTTTCTCCACAATGCGGGCATGTTCTCTCCGATTGATGATCGACATCAAAGGCAATACAGCTGTTTCGGCAACAAGGAAGAGAAACTGCGCTCTCAGTTGATAATTGGTCCATGTGTTTTCGGATTTTGTAAAGACTCGGGATGGTGGGCACGGGGTTTCCAGTATATATGTCAATATATTTGAGAATCTCCTTGATCACTCTATCGGACGTGTTGCAGTCAGTCATGACTTCGACGATTCCCAGGCAAAACGGGTCGATTTCTTCGATACCATTTTCGAGAGAAACCAAAGTGATCAGGATCTGTCATTTTTCGGCAAAGGGGTGCATGCAACTGTGTGCTTGGATGAGGGTGGGTCCATCTGCTCATCGATTGGTTCGGCTGAGGGAGCGGCGAAGATATCTCCCGGATGACGACTTGGGAACGGCGAACTGGAGCCCGGGGCCAGCGAGGATTGACAGAAGTGTTGGAGGGCTGACTTGTTGCAGTGGAGGTGCTGTAATTACGGACTTGGGGAACCTCGGGAGGAAACCGTAGATATAGTAGTGATTGTAGTATGTTGTTGTCGAGACGACGTTGTAGGCTTGTTCGCCCGTTCTGCACTTCATGCATTGACAGATGGTTTTGTTGTTGGGCGGAGACTGGAACAGGGTTGCCAATGCTTCTCCGCGAAGAGGAGGCAATCGAGAGGCGACGATGGAACAAGGACGCTGGGGAACGACCAACGAGCAATTAAAGGCCGAGTACTCCACCGTCAAGTGCACCCTCGACGCCATCATCAAGAACGACACCTTGCACGACAAGATCGAGGAGACTGTCCGAGCCATGACACACGTGCAGTTCGAAGCATCTCGTCTCCTGGAGCTGCATCTCAGGCGGTGCTTGGACGAGGGCATCACCCTCCCCGCAGTGTCGTCTAGTGAACCCTCGTTTGTTCGAAAGTGTTTCAATATGGTGCAGACAGGAACAGTCAATGTGAGGACATGAAGCAGTACCCTTTGGAAGGGACACAGGAGGCAGGATACACGTCTCACTCCATGCACTTCGATACAGGTCATAGGTGTCGAGGATGTTCTTGTCTTCTTGTGCTTCATGTTGTGGCGCCTCTGCAGTCGGGCACCTTTCTCGGAATATCCAGAGAGGAAACATGAACAGTCGAATGCCCGTCTCATCGACAAAGACAATCCGATGTGGGTCGATGGAGTGGATCTCGTCCCTGAACTGCGTCACTCGCTCATCCAGTCGCTTGGGTTTGTAGAGGTTCTGCAGCCTCTTGTGAGGGAACCGGCTCGGTGGATGGCAGTGTGGCAGAGCGAGAGCGACACTTTTCTCTGGAGAGTGGACTCGAGTAGACAGCGAATCATTGGACCAGACTGGAAAGGGTTGCGTTCAACGATGGGCTGGATCAGCTCTGTGGCTTGCTGGAGCAGAGTAGAGTTGTGGGTCGACGAAGTGTGACCTGCTTGTGGGTCGCTGCACTGGTCTCGGAGTGCCAGTGGTGAATGGTGCTCTTGGACACTCTGACAAATGATCATGGCCAGTGTGTGATGGTATTTGATCAGTGGTCAAAACCCAGGTGTCTCGTTTTCTATTGGATCGCCGGTAAGGGCTTCGTGTGTTTCCCCTTCAAGTTGAACCTGGATCAGCGAATATACAGCTTGGCTGTAGCGAAACGAGTAGTCTCCCTCGCAGCGATCTGTGTGTTGGTCCCAGTCTCCTTGGACACTGGAGTGTACTCATGAGCCCAGAGAGCAGCGCGACGACCCTGGCCCAGAACAGAATGCCCCGTTTCGTTTTGGGCATGCTCGAACCAGTTCTTCGCATCTGCTCGCTCGCCTGCTCCCTCACCTGCTCCCTCATCTGGCCGCTCGATGCTGGCCCAGCCACGAATCAAGGCCGAGAGCGAGCTGATTTGGCGCGGAAATGGCTCCAGCGGCCCCCTCGGCCATCGGCCCGCTGCTTGCGCCCTGCCTCTCGTTTTTATGCAGCCCATCCTCGCGACATCCCATCTGCGTCGGCTGTGCATGAGTCATGGAAATCGTATACGTCTACCAACGCAAGCGCTCCGAGTTTGGCCGGCAGCCGACCTTCGTCGACCGCCCTGCCGAGCTCTCGTACTCGATCCCACCAGACCCGTCGCTCGCGCGGCACTATGTCGAGCGGCCGCAGTGCCTGGTCGAATCGCAGTCGGTGCCCGAGCAAAGCGAGCATGAGGTGAGCCCACGATCTTCCCACCAGCGGCCCAGTGCTTCTGCGTTGCGGTTTCAAGGGGCTTAATGTCAGCGCTACCAACCCCCGCCGACTGCTAGGTCAACACCGAGAGCATCTCCTTCACCAACCGTGGCATTCTGCACCTTCAAGGCGGATGGCCCAAGGACGTCGACGCGAGCGACGTCGAGCACACCATCCGCTACCGCAAAAAGATCGAGAAGGACGAGGAGTACATCCGTGCCGTCCAGGCGCTGGGTTTGGTGAGTCCGCCGCTGTTGTCCGCATGCCTGCCTGATCCAAAGCTGCCGGCCATCGATTCTGCGCGTGCTGCATCTCTTCCCAGGCATCCGGACCTGACTTGGGCCCAACTCCCGCCCGCGTGTCTTATCGCAGTCCATGGAGCACTGTATCAAGCAGAACAATGCCATCGATATCTATGAGGAATATTTCGCCGAGATGCCCGACACGTCCGTGATCGAGGCTCCCACCGCCAAATCCCTCAATGTCTACCGGTATGCGCGCGCCTGTGCTGTGTGCGCTGGCCGTTGTCGTCAAGAGGCCAAAGAAGTGATGGGCCATCCAGAGGACAGCGTCGATCCACCGTGTCTGCAGCGAGCGACAGACCGTGCGGCCATAGAGACTCTGCCTTTGCTGACTTGTGTGGCTCCCCAGCGACCCCAATCCCATTCCCCGTGCCGCAACCTATCTGTCGTGGTATCCGGACGACGGCCACAAAATCGCCGTGGCTTACTCCGTACTCGAGTTCCAGAAACAGGTCTCGGGCATGTCCAACGACTCGTATATCTGGGACGTGGAGAACCCCAGCACCCCCGATCTGACACTGACGCCCAGCAGCCCGCTCGTCTGCATCAAGTACAACCCGAAGGACCCCCATATTCTCGTGGGTGGAACATACAACGGTCTGCTGTGTGAGTAAGCGCAACGGTGCTGCTGGCCTTCGCTCTTGGCTGTTTCCTACAAACACCATGTGCATGCCCTGCCCCGGGTGCTGGGTCTGGCCCCGCACGGATGGATGGCGCCCTCATCTCTCGTCCCTTTCCCACGCTCCTGCCTTTCAGCGTACTGGGATACGAGAAAGGGCTCCTATCCGGTCGACACCTCACCCATTCAGAAGAGCCACAGGGACCCGGTTTACAATGTGCAATGGGTCCAGTCGAAATCAGGTACCCAGACTTGGCAAAGCACGCTGGGACTTGAATACATCCACTGTCGGGTGCCTTGGATCCGCCAGCAGAAGCACGCCGCCTCTTGCGCACTCGCTCTCAATCGCACTGGCGACCTTAGATGCAGCAGGACTGACTTCCCGAACCTCGTGCACCTCGTGTTATAGGATCCGAGTTCTTCTCCGTCTCGACTGACGGCCAGGTGCTGTGGTGGGATATCCGAAAGCTCACCGATCCCACCGAGAGTCTCCTTCTGGACCCTGAGAAGAACGGAAACGTTATCGGAGGCACCGTGCTAGACTTTGAAACCACCATGGTATGAGCGTATCCTGGCACAGATCCGTCTTGATCGTTGGAAAGGTGGATCGGCACATACTTTGTGGACAGAACAAACACTGTGATGGCGCACTCCCACGGCGTCTTATCAGGCGAATCAGGAATGTCCTCGCGGCCGCTGCTGCTTTTGGCGGGATATGCTCGACCATTCAGTGCTCTGTGGATCGGCCTCCGAAACACGCTCGCCCGTTTCTAAGATGATTTGGTGCTGACGATGCCTGTTGCCTTCTCTGCGTCAACTGTAGCCGACAAAATTCATGGTCGGTGCCGAGAACGGCTCGATATTCATGTGCAACAAGAAAGCCAAGAACCCGAGCGAGAAGATCACACACACGTACCCTGGCCACCACGGTCCAGTTTATGCACTGCAGGTGAGCCGTCGCGGCAGTCGCCATGTTTGTGACCGGTCTGTCAAAGTGGCTTTGCGCCTCCACCACACCGATGAGCAAGGGTGTATGGGAAGCGCTAACCAGCAGCTCTCTTGATAGCGCAACCCGTTCTTCCTGAAGAATTTTCTCACTGTCGGCGACTGGACAGCTAAGGCAAGTGCGCGATGCGCCGACTCTGGACCAGTCAAGAGTGCACCGCTGTTCGAAATCTGCACAGGGCAGCTATCCAGGCAGCTGATTCCTGTTTGTTGATAACACCATTCAGATCTGGGTCGAGGATGCCAAGACGCCGATCATGAGCACGCGATACACCATGTCTTATTTGACCGACGCCTGCTGGAGCCCGACCCGACCATCGCTCTTCTTCACCTCCAAAATGGACGGCACCATTGACTTTTGGGACTACATATTCAAGCAAAATGACCCCACGCTCACGGTTCAAGTAAGAGTGGCGCTGAGCGTCGGCTGGCTCGCTGTGCAAACACAGTGCGCCAGAATGGCCGCTGCAATACCGGTCCTCCATCATTATGCCGGCGCATTGCCGTCGAACGATGAGGTTGACTCTACCTTGGATTATATATTTGCTTTTGTTTACCAGGTCTGCAGTGCGCCAATCCACTGCATCAAGGCCCAGGATCATGGTCGATTGCTCGCCGCCTCCGCCCGAAACGGAACCACCACTCTCCTGGAGCTATCGGATGGCCTGGCCAAAATTCAGCCAAACGAGAAGTCCATATTTTCGCAGGTGAGTCAATCTGCCTCGGGGACAGCAGGAGGGCTTGGTCCCTGATCAGCCCATCTCATCGCTGGACTGTGGCACTGTATTTCGCCAGATGCTGGAGAGAGAAGCCAAGCGTGAAAAGACCCTCGAGAGCGCGGCCAGAGAAAAGAGACTCAAGGCAGCCCAGAAGCGTCCTACATCGGCCTCCTATCGCCCCAAGGGTTCGGCGCTGGATGAGCTGCTCAAGATGGCCGAGGACGACTTTTTCAGTTCCATCGACGACGGATCGGGCACAGCGCGTGAAAGACTCATGGAGGACAAACGAAAGCGGGATGAGGCCGTCCGCCTATCGAAGGAAGGTGCTTGAAGATAGTACGGATATGGGTCGGCTATGGTGCCAACTTGCGGACGCATGTGCGGAGAGCGTATGGCCGGAGGTGCGGCCGGAGGTGCGGCCGTCAGTGCTGTTGAAGCGCGGATTGGTTTATTGGCACACAGAAGGGGTTCTTACGGCAAGGTATCGGCATTTGTACACGATGCGAGAGCCACTTGGTCCTGTGTGCTTCCCCGATGCTCATCGTCGATGGCAATCGAGACAGTCACTTGCCGGCGCCAAACAACACGCTGGTCAATACTCGGTGAAGGATGTATGTCCTGTCTTGGTGGCGTGATCCTGTGCTTCCTTCTGACCATGGAGACCGATCTTGCATACACTGCAGCGAAGGGTAAAGTTGGCCAAGTCTGTGAACTTGCGTTTCTGTGAAACAGCGAATGAAACGGGCAATTTCGGCGAGTCAGTGGGCGCTCCCGTTCGTTGGCCATCGATGGTATCAAAGTCGCGGCACATCTCAAGTACGATGCGTGCACCACGACCAGAGGGAGTGCATCGTGCGAACGAGCAATCCAATGAAACTGACCGCTTTCCAGATCTGGGCCAGTTGCACGGCCGCCGTGGCAACGAGTTCTGCAGTATCGGTGAATGTTCGGGTGAAGAACTCTTCTGGTGCATTGTCCGCAGGGGACATGGCGATTACGTCGTAGTGAATGCCGCTGCAGCAAAGGGCGTCAAGAATCGGAGGTGATTGTCAGAAACGGCGAGATTGTGTCCCATCGAATGACGGTGGCCGTCGAAGGATGGCAGAGCGCTTATCGACATTCAAGTCAAGCACAGCAGCCGATCGCAGCAGCCAATAGCGAATCGCACGATGGCAGCAGCCCCGAGCCAACCTGTAGAGCACAAAGATTCGGTTGGAGTATTTTCCTTCTCCTGTATGGACCAAATGAAGGAGAGTCGATTTCACTGCTCCGGCATCTCCAGCGGCCCTGATGTCCCACGCACTCTCAGTCCAAACACAGACGCAATCCAAATCTTGTGAGACGCTTGCCTCAGAGCGGCAAGCATCGTGGCAAGAACTTTGGATCAGTAGTCGGTTTCCAGCGCACTTACCGAATCGGTCGACTCGCACAGTCGATACGTCAATCGAGCTGATGTCTACCGGGGAAGTGGATCGACGATTACCAAGATCAGCCGAGCCCGAACGTCAGCAGGCAAGCCGCGAGTGTCGGTCGACCATATTACTTGCCAACTTGATAGTATTCAGAGAGGATGACGAGTTCGATGGCTCCGCCCCAGCTCTGGGGCTTCTGTATCCAAGCTGCATAGTCGTGGGGACTTTTGCCCAATATGGCCTCGTTCCAACGGAAAGGATCTGCGATGATGGCATCGGCAACGACTGGAATGGCCCGTGGCCGGAGCAAGGTAATAGTGGACCATGATGAGAACCCGAATCGTACAGATCGGCATGCCCAAAGTCATCGGCGTGGTGTGGGCTTGTGTCTTGTCGCTGTTGCAGCAGGATCTTGGCATACCCTTGCGGAGTAATGGATATCGCTCCGAAGTGCCCTCCATAGCGTAACTGGCGGATTGGGATCGATATCAGCAGGCAAGGCTCAATAGGCTTGCTCTGTTGAGAGATGCCAAGTTGGATACCGGCATGTAGATACCTGATCGATCGGAATAGACAGTTGTTGTCGTCCTTCATCTCCTGTTGGTTGTGGGGAATACGACGTGATGGGCAGACATGTGAGCTACCTCGACCTGATCATCACCAAGCCCTGCATGCCAGCGGATGCCCTGTCCCAGCGAATCACATGGGATCCTACCTTTACTAACACAATTCCATCAGGCAAGCGGATACCCTCGCCCGCTGCCGTCTTGGTCACGTTTGAGCCCGATGGCGCCTGAACATGAAGGCGCTGGGACGGACTGGCGCTCTGGGCTTGCGATACCCATGGCTGTGGGAGCTCTACTGCCGATGCTGTCGGAAGTTCTTCTGCAATTACTTGCTCGCCGTCCTTGATCCCAAGCGATGCAAGGGTGATGCTGTCGTTTGCGATGCTGATCGGCTTGGGCGGGAATCCCATTTTGACTTGCGATCGAGAGAGAATTACCATCGGCATCCAGATGGCCCCGCTGTGCCCAGAAACTAGGATGCGCCTGGATTGCGCACTTACGCTGAAGACGAGCGGCATCGATGCCGGCGATGGCGCATATCTCTGTCTTGAGCTCGAGCACCGTAGAGCTAGCGCCCAGGGAAGCGCCGATGGCGTGGACACCTTTGGACGAGCGGCATCGGAGACGCTGCAGGAGCCGGGCGGTCGGTGAGAATGGCGGCTGGCAGTGCTGAGACCACAGGCTAGCCCGGAGGACCTACCATGGCTTCGGGATGGCGGTTCTGGACAGATGATGGCTTGGGCGGGTGGTGGTGCTGGACAGAGGGTGGTGGTTCTGGACAGGGGTGGTGGGAGGCGACGGGATCAACCAGGGCCACGAACCACACACACACACACGGGCCACACACACACACACACACGAACCACACACACACGCCCAGGTCTTTTGGTCGGGTCGCTCGCGCCTCTGATCGCCCTCTCTCTCCAGATCTGCATCGGCCGTGTCAGCCGCTGGCGGGTGCTGTCTTTGGTGGGTGCCTTGCGACTGCCTGTCTGCCGCGAGTCTGTATTTGGCGAGCGCTCTTCGACGGACCGAGTCTCTGGTCGGATTCGGCCGTCGGCGATCTCTGGCGGCTCTGCAATCGGGCTGACCAAGTGCTCGCCAGTCGACGCCCTCGCAACTCCAATCGCTAAATCTACCTGTCGATCGACATGCCCACCCACCCCGCCGCTTCTGTGCACCCTCTCCTGTCTGTCTTTCCAGCCATGTTCCGCTCTCCCGCCCCGCTCACCCACCGGCTCGCTGCCAGAGATGTCGTCAATACGCCTCCTCCAACCGAGTCGATCAGGAAGAACTTTTCCGGGCCTCTTCCGACTCCAGGCCGCCGACCGACAGGTTCCAAGGAAGCTCCTCTTGCTCCACATTTTGGCGTGAATCTGTCCAAGCCGCTCGCCCCGCTCGCCCCAGCCGCCTCCACTGCACCTGCCGGCTCCATATCCACCGTCGGCACTGGCAATGCTGCTGCTCCATCGCTGCCGAGCAGGAACCAGAGCTGGACCCAGCCCACTCGCCCATCCAAGGTCAAGTCCATCCAGCCGTGGGAGCATCCGGCGTTCCGAGACATTACCACGCAGCGATACAAGCTCGAGCTCAATGACGTTGACTTGGCCATCCTGGCCTACAACGGCGTCGCCGTCGCGGTGTTGATCGCTGTGCGCCAGTTCCAGATTCCCAGAAGCTTGGTCAGGTACAGAAACGTCGACTGGCACCTCCATTGCGGCCGCTACAATACAAGGCTAGTTCGATCCCGAACGAAGCAAAGCCTATGTGTTCCATCTCGACAGATAACCGACTTGCAACGCTTGGCCCCCATCTTCCTGCGCACCACAGAGCACTCATCTGGAGTTTTGTGCAGTCACCCAAGCGATATGTCTGGCAGGGCGATATGATAACCGGTTGCATCCTGTGGATCGGTGAGTATTTGCGTCTCGCATTGGCCTGTGCCAGCGATGGCGATCACACGTTCGAGTCTCTGGAAGAATGCCGGGTAGTTCAGATCCTGAATGAGTCTGAACGAGTTGAGCCGAGGCAGCACCATCGGCTCAAGTTTAGCTTTTGTATCGACCAACGCACCCGAACCAATGCACCCGAACCAATGCACCCGAACCAATGCACCCGAACCAATGCACCCGAACCAATGCGCCTGCCCTCACTGACATTCCTCTCGACACCAACCGCTCGCCTCACTTCTCCATCGTCGCGCCGCAATCCAGTCTTTGGAATGATTGTTGTGTGCTCAATCAACGTGCTCTCGGTGCTGATGAAGATCATGTCACCTCTGAGCCCTCCGCTGCGCTACGACCTCTCGCCATCCGAAAGAGAAGTCCTTGGCGTCAAAGCTCCAGGTAGAGCCTTCGAGCTTGTCCGTGGTGATCTTCTCTGGGCAACAGCCTCGGCTACAACGCGAGCGTTGATATTCTGATCCGGTTTCGCTTTGCAGTCCCCGATCGTGAAGCCGATCAGCCTCTCATCAAAATCAATCCACCAAGCAAAGAAAAGTCTCCCAAGGTGCATTCTCAAGCCTTTGACAGTTGCTGCAGGTCTATGGTTATAGTCATACGAAGCACCCCTGTTGTCCCGCAACAAGCCCACTCACCTCCACCATGTATCATGCATATCACCCAACATCCACAGAAACCCACGGCAGCAGCGACTGGCAAACCCAACGAGCCCCTCACTTTCAAGTGAGTCCCTGGTGTGCCGACTATCCCTGCCTATTATTACACTCTTCTCGCCGAGCTAAGCTCTGTCGTTGCGCTGTCTGTAGACCCAGCGCACCCCAGGTCGCCCGACCCAGCCTCTCTCTCCAACCCCGCAGTCAAAGCCCCAACAAACCTGCGGTGCCTGAAGCACTCGCAGCTGAGCCCCCAGCAGAGATCTTGAAGGCCAAGAAGCTCTATGGCTCTGGCGGTAGGTTGGCGCTGAGAGCTCTGGCTCGCCACAATGGTGATACCATTGGCTTGGTCTCATATCGCCCATCCCGATAACTCTTCTACCACTTTGGTCCTGGGCCGTGCCAGCCTTCCACACGGAAGAGCCCATCCGCGACCAAACCACGCTGAGCAAACTCTTCAGCGAATCCGAGAACGTCGTCGCTGCCGCCGCTATTTCGCCGCCGCCGGTCCCGTTGCCTGTCACTCGCGGCCAATTTGGTATTCCCAAGTTCCAGACTGCAACAAAGTCTCTGGTGAACCCAACTTCTTCCAAAGCCAATATGAAGGCGACGGACCCAAATGCCTCCGATGCCGACGCCCGGGGACAGCCAAGTCTAGCCAAGATCATCCGGAACCACTCCGACATCCGGATCGAAAATGGGATGCAATACGCCGAGCCCGAGATTATTCTCGACAAGCTGAATCTGAACGAATATATGGATGAATGGCGAGACCGCATGCGCAAATGGCTTGCTGTCAAGGTCGTCGAGCCGCTGGCTAAGCGAATCCAGGACTGCGACGATCTCTTCAAGAAGGAGAATGTGGCTCACCTCGACTGCCGCTCGGCTGTCTTCACACTCGATACCGCCGTGGCCCCAGCGCCGCCAGTCGCTAGCACCTTTTCAGGTCCGTTCCCCCCCCTTGATCTACTGCTGCCACATGATGGTGTTGACAGATCTCAAGCCGCCAAAATCGCCCCATCCGTCCGATGCATTGAATTACATTCGTGATTCGAGTAACGTTGTGCTCACCCGAATCTACACCCACTGTAGGAGCTACGGGTATTTTCGCCAAACCCGGAGCCTCGACATTCGGCTTGGGCCAAGTGGCTCCTGCTGCGTCTGCTCAGCCGCCAAATATGAGCCTGCATGACTTGTTCCAAAGACACGGAAACGTAGGCTCGACGGACTTTTGTTGCGCATCGAAGCATTCGCCGTTTGGCCATGCTTGTCGTCTCCCACCATAGTCTGGCGCCATACTGCTACTGACCACCATGGACCTCACTTTGCGCAGCTGCCTCAAGTCAAAGAGCGTCGGATTCTGGAGTCGTATTTGAATGTCCCTGGCACAGATGCATCAAATCGACGGTATATTGTTGAACGAATCATTGGTACGTCGGTCTGTGCTGACCCTGCGATACACGCGCCCTGGGCACCACTTTGCTCCGTGTACTGCTTGGAATGTCCCTTGCTGATCACAAGCTTCCCTCGTCTCTGCTCACCCGACAGCTCTTGGAAAGGGTGGCTGTCTTTCGACCTACAACTGGTTGCACGGTATGAAGTTTAACAATAAGGGCTTCACCTCGGCCATGGGACCATGCGACGCACTGGTACGTACAACGACCGATGTTCAATGACTGACAACCGACAACCACGGCGATATCGGCCGAGAGACTGTCGAGTCGATGATCTCACCCTGGTCACGTCTTTTTTGTTTTTCCAGCTGCTCATGCATCTCTTCTGCCAATACATGAACGAGAACATCAACTGGAGCGAGAGCGGTGCCTCCCAAGGAGCCGTGTTCACACAGCAATACTTTGTTCCCAGTTTGGAGGCCCCGATCGGTAAGTGCCGGCTCCGTGCCAGAGGTCACACTCAACCTGGCTGGCACTGGTCACAAGAAACGCCGCCGAGTCTTTGCGTATCGACTCCTCCTTTGCCCCTGACCCTGCTGCGACCGGACCGGACCGGACCGAACCGGCGATTCCATTTGCCCAGACCCAACGCGCTCCATCCAGATTCGACAGACCAACAAGTATCCCCCTCACTTCCAGCTTATTGTGGAGAACATGATCTGGGACATTCACTCGGTATGCCAGATCCGTCGACATTCTTGGGCGAGCCCCTCGCACTCTCCCATCGCTTCAGCAATCCCATCAAACTTATCCATCAGTCAACTCCAGTGACTGACGTGATGCTTACTTCCCCCCCCCTTGATCGGATTCATTCATCACTTCCTGTTTGCTACAGAAACGTAACAATCTGCTCGACACTCTCTGCATCTTTGCCCATTACATCAACGTGACCTCGGCTGGTTATCTCGGGTACGGACGGGCTGAGTCGACCTTGTTGCTGCGCTGCTCTTCTCAGCCGGTGCACTGTCGCAATGGTTCAAGACTGTGGCTGCTTCATCGTCAGGCTCCAGGCCGATATGTTGGCGACTATTCTGGCGCAAATGGCACATATGGCAACACTAACCAAGTGCTTTGGTTGGACTCAGAATGCTGAACTTGGGCGGCAAGTCCATCGACATGATGCAGGTAGTCCAGGACGGCCCCTTGATCAGCCATCACCTCCAGGACTCGGCTAGTGGGCCTGCTGGCGAGCGATCGACTGCCTCCGCCACCGATCGAAACCGGCCCTTTGCCATGGTGCCTGTTGCTCGTCCGGACCAGGACGAAGAGGTGGCGCCCTTTGGGTGGAGCATGATGCACCGCTCCACGCGAGTTCGGGTGCCTGGCCTGAACGCCCGTCGCTCATAGGCTCAGAGTTGAGTGCCGCCCAGGAACCGCCCCATCGAACAATGCTCCCGTGCAGGCACCCGTGTCTGTGATCGGCAAATTGGCGAGAAATGGCATGCGACCATATTGAACCTCCAAACCGCCAATAAAGTATCTCAATGGCGCGGGCTTTGTACTGTCGTTCACACATTGGGCTGGTTTCTACAGAATCAGCGACGACCGCTTCTCGGTGACGGGAAACTCCATGTCTGGGGTGCAAGTCATGCAGCTCTGGAGATCCAGTACTTTCCGGCGTGGGTCGCCGTTCTGCTTCTTCTCCTCGGTCAGACGCCGGATCTCCTCCTTGACCTTGGAAAGCTCCTGCTTATAGCGCTCCTGCTGCTGCTGATGGAGCTGGATTTCCCTCCGTAGACGGGCGTTCTGCTTGTAGGCGACCGATGTGACCTTGGCTACATAATCGGTCAGGCTCTGCGGGAACAGACGGCGTCAGCATGCGGGGATCAAGGACATGAACAGACGTGCCACAGTAACAGAGCTGCGTTGTGAGCCATTGCAAGTCGTTGCAAAGTCGTCGCAGGTCGTTGTAAGTCGCTGTGAGTCGCCCCATCCTCTCCTTTCTTCCACCAAAGGTATCCTCCCCCACTGGCTTTGGGCAACGAACCATCTTGGCGTCATCAATCAGACTCTGGATGGTGTTGAACATCTTGTCTTCGCTCTCCTGTAGCTCGATCCTGGCCTTTTCCTCGACGACTCGCAGCTGTGTCTGGTGGTCCTGGATCAGCTTTTGCTGCTCAGCCCGGACTGCATCGATTTCTCGCTTCAGTATCTCCGGGTTATCTGTTGTTCGTTTCTGCAATTAAACCCGAATCGGCTCGTGAGAATTTGACTGAATCGCCAGCGATGACGGCTGCATGGCTGATTCTAAGCACGGCATTTCACATATCGGGCATATGTCACTCCATTCCATCCACTCCATTCCATCCACTCCATTCCATCCACTCCATTGCGACAGAGTGCAGTCCGGCCCTGCCAGACACAGGCACGTACTTGAAACTCGAGCAAATCCTCGACTTCGAGCTCCACCTCGTTGAGATACATCTTTGATTTGTATGCCTGCTGCTTGAGGACTGTCCGACACGATGAAGGGTGTCAGCGGCTGGAACACTGTCGCAACGGCAGTCTCGCTTCGCCCGACAGCCGAGCCTTGACAACCCCACACAAACACCCTTCGCTTGTATGCTACAGTCACACCTTCGACATCCTTCTCGGCCTCGAGCTCATACTCCTTGAGTTCCTTCTCCAGCCGTGCCCGCTGCTTCTTGCGTTGTCTTTGCAGGTTGGTAATTGTCCTGTCGGCATCTTCGGTCTCCTTCAAGCACTCGGAGACATGCATGTTCTGGAGGCCGAGAAATGAAGCAGTCAGAGCGCAAAGGGCGAGCCGACACTCCCTCGGCCCATGGGGCAAGACTCACATTCTTCTCGGTGAGGACTTGATGCTTTTCTTTGAGCACCTCGTTTTCCATTTTTCTGGAAAGAACACAGTCTCCGTATGTCAGATCGGCTTCGGTCATATTGAGCATCGATGTTCCTCGGGCAAGTCTTGTCACTAGCGCGACGACACTCACAGTTCCTCGAATATCGGATGGTACAGCTTCAGCGAACCCATAAGTGCAATGATTCTGCGGATTGATGCTTGGCTTTAGTCGGCTAGTGCAGCACCGATACCATCCATCACATGGTGGGGAAGTGCGTTCCTGCGCTGTCGCTGACTGCCCCCCCCCTCCTCATACTTGAGCCGCAGATCGTAAAGGACCTCAATCTTTCGTTCCTGTGTGACTTTCTGCTGCTCACGCTTCATTTTCCGCTGGTATGCCGACGGGCTAACGCTCTTGAGGTATCGCCAGGAGTTTGGCCCGACCGCGGCAAGGGACTTTTTCCTCTTGCCGGGGCCCTTTCCCACGAGCACGACTTGCTTCGGAGATCCGGATATCGGCCGCATCTTCAGCCCCTTGGCTTGCGTGAGGAAGCGGGCATAGGCGTCCCGGGGCCCACGGAATGAACCCGTGGTGGTGCTGAACAGAGCGAGCTCGGAGCCTGTCAGTCTCAGGGGATAGTGTGCCAGTCGCGAGAGGTGGAGAGGATGTACCGCCTGAGTCTCTCCTTGGTTCGACATCAGCGCGACTTTGGATCCAAGCTTGGCAGAAACCCCATCGGTTGCCAGTATCCCACTACCACGCTCGTTTTTGGCTCCGAGCTTCCGTCGATCGCGAATCGACAGCGTCGCCTTCCCGGCAGCCGACAGCATCAGACTCGCTTGCGATGAGCCCTTGGAGTCACCTCCAACTGAGCGCCGGGCATCCTCTTCCTCACGGCTAGAGTTCGAGACATTATCTCCGGAGCCGTCGCTGTCGTCGTCGTGCCCGTCTTCATCGTCGTCGTTGTCGCTGCTATCATCGTCATTATCATCATCGTCATCATCATCGTCATCATCGTCGTCGTCATCGTCGTCGTCGTCACTGTCCCAGTCGTCGTCATCGACCGCCGACCTCCGCCGACGCCTTTTCTTCTTCTTTTTGAGCGAGCCGATGGATTTGTTGGGCGTCAGAGTCCGACTTGGTGATTTCGGCGAACGGATATGCGATAATGACTCCATCATGCTCGTGCTCATGTAGCGGCTGCCAAACCGATGCTCCTCGTGGAGGGGCGGTAGCGTGAGCCGGCCGGTCTTCTTCTTGAGCTGCAGAGGCATTTGTGTTCTGTCGAGCTTGCCCAGCACTTGTCTGCTGGGGCTCGCATGCACCGAGCCGGAGAGGCTGGTCCGAGGTAGGAGCAGACAGAGAACTTGCCTTGGCGGATGCTGTGCCAATCACAAACTACCACAATACGGGCTGCCCGTCAGTGCCGCTGCTGCCCAATCGCAGGCAACGCCGGAGGACATCCCGCGGCATGCAGCATGCTCGATGTCTCCACGACACCCTCGCCAGCGTCGGTGAGCATCATCGGCAGCACGCATGTCCATCATCAGGCCGGGCGATAACGGCCGCATTCCAGGTGCCGGTTCTTGGCGGACGCGCCGCATCCCACGCCCCGTCCCGTTTTGGGTCTCCATCCAAGGTCTGTGCTGGCCGGGTGTCTGTCTCGCATCTCTCCCAAGCCGCCGACACCACGGCAAGCAAGCAAGCGAGCAAGCAAGCATGGGCGCCGCCGAGAGCAAGCTGGCATTCAGAAAGCAGGTCTTTGCTCTCTTCGAGCAGAGGGTGAGTCCGGGCTTTGGTCCGATCTGCGCTTGGATATTGTCGTCGTCGCCGCTGCTGTCGTCGGGATCGCACGAATGCCCGCTGTCCATAATCGCATCCCTCCCCTTCCCCCTTGCTGTCGTGGGCTCTATGCACTGCCGGCTCGCCATCTTTGAAAGCGCCGTCCCCCATCTATCGGTGTCTGTGGCGGCTCGGTAGTGGGAAGCATGCTCGTTATTGACAAACCTGCTCGACGACCCATGTCCCCTTACCTCGCCCTGGATCAGAACATTCCGTCGGAGGACAAGATATGGGAGGGCTTCTACCAGCTCCCCGACTCGGCCGAAGACATCTTCAACCTCTTCTCTCCGAAGGACATCCGGCGAGTGCGAGACTCTGCACCAGAGAACTTTATCACTCTGATCAAAAAGGTACGGAGCGAGCGCTCGCTGGCCGCTTCGCACGAGGGATCGAACACCTCGCCCAAGCAGCGCTGATGCCTCCCTGTGCCTTGGAATACGGCGAGGAGTCTGCTGCCGCCGAGCAAGAAAGGTGCGCGGACCACCATTCTGACACCACGGCACTTTTCTGGATCTCCAGGTCTCCGAAAAGATCATCGCGTTTACCCAACCCCGGACAACCCGCCCGTCCGCCAGCGACTTCAAGCAGATACTCAACTGCGTTCGCATCCTGACCAGGGTACTGCCGTATCTGTTCGAGATGGACGACCAGTCTCTGGAGGAGTCTCTCTTCTGGAGCCTTGACGACGGGCCGGATATCCACCCTGACGACGTCGAGATCGGCGCCGACGGATCGCTCCGGCTGCTGAACGACGAAAGCGACAAGCGCTTTGGCGCCAAGCTGGTCAGGGCAACCGTTGGCCTGCTGTTCTTCAAGGGGTACGTCTGGTTGATGGGGCAGTAATCGAGCAGCTTGGAATGGCTCGATCTCCCTGGAAGGCATTTGCATATGTGCTCGCAGCTGACTCGGTAATGATCTGGCCTTGGCCGTCGCTGATCCCCATGGCTGTGGCTGCAGATTCACCCTTCCTGACTCGGTCGCTGTCGAGGAAGGTGTTGTTCTCCAGATCTGGAACCAGGGCATCGGCACCTCCACCAACATCGGCTCCACTCATGAAATCAACAACAACCGAACCGAGACGCTGCGGCTGCTCCTCGCGTTCTTCTCAAGGGTTGTCTATGTGGCGCCGTCGGACATTATCAACTACCGCAACAACTGGACCCTGGTCGTCATCGCGGGGCTGGAAAAGAAGCAAACCTTGACATTGATGTGCTCGCTCATCAACACCGCCATCAACTACGACCCAGTCGGATGGGGCCTGATTCCCTATAACCATGTAACGTGTCGTTGCATCGCATGATCCATTCTCCTGACGCTGGTGGGACTGGGTCGGTGCGCCGTGGGCTACCGATGGCCGGCAGTGCCACGGATGCGGTTGGTTCAGCCGAGTCGATCATCTACGTGCGTCTGAGGTGTGCGTCCGCACCCAAGGAAGGCCCACGAGCAATTTCGATACCTGATGTTGCCGATGGCAGTGAAACGACGGCAGCACCACGGCACTTGTCCGACCATGGGCTGTCGTTCATTCCCCCCAGTGCGATCAAGTCGCAAAGGTGTTCGCATCCCACTGCATCACTAACGACGGTGCCTCCACTATGGCGATGCATATCCCCTGCAACACCATCAGGTCATCTTTGGCGACTCGCAAGAGCATCTGGCCACGCTTTCGGTTCAGGCTATCACGGCCATCTTGGATGCTCGCGATCCGAGTGCCGATCTAGGCAAAAATGGAGGTGTGCCCGACTCAGCGACCGGCGTTTCTCCCAAAGACCCATTGAGCAGCGGTGCTGCCGGTGGGCGCAACAGGTACCATCCTCCGCACTCACAAGCCCGTCCGGCCTTCAATTGATGGGATGTACGCCGTAGCAATCTTGGAATGGAGGATACCGTGGAGTAGTCTCGCTGCTGACAGCGACAGCGCCCCTTTGCATCGCTTCCCATAGCATGGAACAGGCTGCGAACCAGAGAAAGGTGAGGGCTGTTATTGGATTCAAGGTTCATGTTCTGACTGCCACAAGCGTTGGCGGTGCGTCTGGTGTTCCGAGAGAAACCACCGCCTGCTTTGCCGTATCTAAACGTACCACACATCCTCTACGCCCCGCTTCCGCAGCGACAAGCATACAAGAACAACGATTTTTTGTTTTACTTTGCAAAGCTCCACCGTCCTGCCGATTTTGCGCTGATCTTGAGTGGCATTTGCCGCCTACTGAAGAATCCAATCAACGTAGGTTGCTTTCCACCACATGCACGCCTGCTATGCCAGCCGCCGTTGGAGCTAACCCGTGTGCTCGGACTCGACACTGAATCCAGGCCTCCAGCACCTATCTGCCCGGTGCCAACAAAAGAATTAACTTGCAGTCCGAGGTTCTGATGCTGTTCTGGCAGCTCATCCAAGCCAACGAGGTCTGTGATTGCTGACAAATCGGAGTCAGACCCTTGCTTGGCGATGGACTTGATGGGTAGCTGAACGGATATGCCAACGGACGGACTGCAGCGTCAATCGCAAGCGCAGCAAGTCGCTACTGCATCACGACACGAGTGCGACTCCCTTGGCGATTGCAAGTGCGTGCACCCTGGGCAAGCTACATCCTGATTCCATAAACAATCAATTGGGTTTGCAGAAATTTGCAAGGTATTCGTTCGAATCCGACGGCATCCTGACCATTCTAGCCGCCGTTATTTTCTTCATCATGGAGTCCAAGAACAATCCGAGTAAGTATCGCCGCAACTGTCGTACGCAGCCACACGGCGCCACTGTTGCTCCGCCATACAGCCTCTTGTCGTCGCTATGATGATGCATTGTCGTTGCTCTGCGCTACTTCACACAGCAGCACCCCAACCCCCTTCCTCATCCGCCTTGGTTTGCAGGTGCCATTGGACTCGTCCGACTGTGCTGCTTCCTGTTGCAGACAATGTCGCAGGAGCGAAGCTTTGGCGTCCAGCTCAACACAAGCTTCGACCACAGCGCCGTTAACGTGACGATCAAGGACCTTCCCGCCTTCCAGGGTGGAAACTGGGGTGACTTTTTGATTCTGGTGAGGTGGATCGACGGATCAATCTGCTGTGATGGATGACACTTGTACCGAGAGAGCGTTAGGGTGCAAATTGCGTTCATATGCAGATAGCGACAAGCGCAATCGCTAACCCCCCCCCACCAACATTCGCATCCAGAGCGTCCATGCGATTGTGACGACAAGCGGAAAAACCCAGGTCTCGACTCTGTTCGAGACCCTCATGGTTGCGCTGGTTAACACGTCGCCCTATCTGAAAGGCATGACAATCATGACGCTGACCAAGTTGATGAACCTTCTGTCGTCGTTCTCGAACCCGGCCTTCTTGTTGGTCAACGAAGCCAACCACCGGCTCCTCTACTACCTGGTTGAGATGTTCAACAATCTTATCCAGTATCAGCTGACAGGTAGACGCAGTAGTGCTGGAGCAGCGAGCAGGCAACAGGGAGCAAAGGACCTGTAGGGCACACACCCAAACGAGTCGCTACGGCCTTGCCTCCGGTCTAATTTGTGGCCCGTGCTCTCAAGGCAACACCCACCTCGTGTATGCCATCATTCGCAACAAGGAAAAGATCTTTGCTCTTCGAGACATGACCTTTGCGAGCGCCAACGCCGAACTCCAGCGGCTCAAGACGCTGCGCTACAAGCTCACGCACTCAAACGCCTCGCCAACGGCTTCTGATTCGGCTGCGCCCAAGCGTGTTGACTCGGAGGTGCTGTTTGACGCCGAGGCGAGCCCATCTGCAGAGGATACAGCAGCCGACAAGGACCAGGTGCCAGCCGAAGCACCTCGCAATCCCGCCAACACTGAAGGGGCGCCGCCAAAGCCCAGTCTTGACGGTCCCTCCGAGAAGGCCAGGGGCAAGATGCCAGCCTACCAGCAAGACAAGTTTGTCCCAACGGAGGAGTGGGTGAGTATGAATCCTGCGTCGACAGCGCGTGTCTTTGTCAAGACGCCGGTAGGACCGATTTTGGATGCCCAAGTCGCTCGCTCCGTGGCATGCTTGCTGCATGGTCATGGCCCGCCCGCTGACTTTTCTTTCCATGGGCCCTGTCTTGCCAATGCACCCTGAAATTTGTGGTTTGGAAACGCGGATGCTCGACGCGGCCCGTCAGTTCAACTTTTGGAAGATGCACCTTCCCCTCACCGTTCTCCTCACGATTGCGGAGGCAATGGGCCCCGTAGTCGAGCAGTACTGCGTCGACAAGGAGCTCAACGATGACCGCAGGGTGTTGGAATATCTCCAGTCCGGCACCCTCGTCGGAATCCTTCCGCCACCCCACAAGATCTTCACCCGCCGGTTCCCACACAACGAAGCGGTGGCGATTTGGTTCACTTCCTATCTTTGGGTAAGGCGGATGCGCTCGGGACATTCATAGCCCGATAGGAGACATGGCGATGATGCTTGCGATGTCTGTGGGGCAGTGTCGCCTTTGGGCGACAAGTGCTGATTCTCGATGCCCCCGCAACTTCCAGGGAACCATTTTCTTGAAGAGCGGCGACATGAATGCCGTGGCTGAAACGGCCAAACTCTGCCCTCCCATCTGGACCGGTGAGTCTTGGTTCCAGAAGATAAACACTGCTATATGATCCGGAGGTCCCGCGCAGCTCGCCGTGGAGACTGGAACCTTTGAGATTGGATCGAGGGGGCCGGGTGTATCCAGCGGTCCTGACCTGTTTCCCTAACTCCAGGCACGCACATCAAGCTCTTCCTCGTCAAGATGATGGTGTAGTAGATCAAGTCCGGGGGACCCTCCGCGCTCGCCTCAAATGGTTTGGTAGTCGTTGATGGCGGACTCGTCTTGATCAAGGCAGCCGGCGACAGCAACATACTACTGGGCGTATAGCCAGTCACTGAGAGTTCTTTATTGTAGCTACAGTCGGTCCAGAAAGAAACGGGACAGTCACTTTCTGGCTTCAGATGTCTGAACCCCACTGACTGACTGTAGGCCCCAGCGAGCAAGCCGTGAGATTGTTTCCCGTCCTGGTTGGCAATCGAGTGGTTTTGGTTGGTTTGGGAAGCATGGTCTTGAATACACTCGGTCGATCTCCATGGGCGATGGTCAACTGGCACACCGGATCAGGATGGTTGGTGCATAACGTGGCTGTATTCGCATCCATATGACAGCAGGATGAGTACATTGATACATTTTTCATCACTTGACAAATCGGGAGAGTTGTCAATCAGCAACATCGGGAGGAGACCAGGAATACTGGCTGATCTACCCAAGCCCGGAAGGAGCTCGCTCTACATATTCACCCGGCCACTAGGATTCATCTTGGCCCAAGGCAGTGGGTGGTTAGGGAAAGGAAAAAATAGAAACTCGGCACACAGCGGACTGGATGCACCAAGTCGCTCGGTGGCCATAGAAAGGAAGATACATGCAAGGATAGGGAGAGAGAGAAGCTAAACAAATACAGGGAGAGCAGATTCTTTAGAAGAAGGTAGAGGGATATAAAGCGCAGAGATGCGCTGTCTAGGACAGAGGGAGCAAAGCAAAGCGAAGCAATTCGAAGGGGGCGACGACATGCAGAGAATTCGCGCGTGAGCGCCGATGGCAATCGAGAGGACGTCGTATTAATAAATAAGAAACAGAGAGCGGAAGAAATTGAGTGGGAGAGAAAGGAGGGCATCCATCGAGCAAGTCAGCGACGCCGGTGGTGGAGCAGTGCCTATACAAGAAGCAAGGCTGAAAAGGCTCAGTGGCTATGGATTTCCTGATGCTGCCAGTGGGACTGCAGAAACTCTTCGACAGAGACGCCGTTCTCTTGGAGACACGGATGGATGTGGTTCGGGGTCGGGCTGGCATCGCGGCAGAGCCAGCATAGGCGCAGGAAGGTCTCGTGGGTCTGCTTTCTGAGCGTCTGGATCTCGTGGGAGATGATGTACTCGTAGCTGGACGACACTTGGCTGGTGCGACGAGAAAACAGAACCAGGTCCTTGAGGAGCCGTGCAATGGCTGCTTCGCACTCGTCAAGCTGAGAAAGCTGGATGGAGCGACCGCCGGTCGAGGCCTGGTCGTGCTCGCAGAGCTGGATGAACTGGCAGAGCTCGCTCAATCTTGCGCGATACGACACAATGAGGGCCGTGAGAGCCTCGTAGGTGTTGTGGATCGACGGGGTGCGCGAGCCTCTGGGCTTGATGATGGGTCGGTCGTAGACGGACTGCTGCGGGAGAGCCGATGAGCAATCCATCATGACATCGCCGCCGTATGCGGGCATGTTTGGGATGGCGCTGGATGCGACTGAAAAGTGCGGATGGGCTTTGATACGTTTGAGAGTGACCTGGGGAAGGAGACAGCGAGGCGTCACGTCAGGCGAGGTCGGCTCAAGTGACATTCCAGACAATGTCAGGCAGCGCAGTGGGGCTGCAGGGTTGGGCGGGCGAGGGCGCCAACATACCACATCGTCGCCATCGTGCAGAATGTGACGCTTGAAGACCATGATGAAGTTGAGGATCAGGCAGACGCAGACGAGGCGGCGAGCAGAGCGGAGCAGAGCAGTAGCGGGATTAGCACAAACGGCAGGGCGAGAGAGAGAGAGAGAGAGCGCCGGATCGCAGACAGAGGCGATGAGACAGGACACGGATCACGGATGAATGGCCGGGGGTGGGTCCAGGTACCTGATGGAGAAGGAAAAGAAAGCAGGAAAGAGAGACAGGCCGCCGGCGCTTTATATAGCAGCGAGGGGAAGGGTTGCGGCGCAAGCGGCGACCCCTGATTGCAAATGCGGCTCGGGGCCCGCGCAGCGGTCACAGTGGGTCAGCCGGGGTCGCACAGGGCGCGCGCACGGCGTGTGCACGGCCGCGATTGGGTGATCCGCGTCCAATCCGCGCGCGCTGCGCAGATACCCCCCGCTGATGACGCAACAGGGCGCGCCAGAGCGGCCAATCAGGAGCATCACGTGTGGTACTAGGTTGTACATGCTGCGCAGTAGTGCACTGCCACAGCACAAGCGAGTCCAAGGGCGAACCCGAATGCAAACCCGAATGCAAGCCCGAATGCGAATAGAAGCATCATGTGTATTTCAGGGACAAAGGGGCATACAGCAGCATAGAGACGGAGCGAGCGGCAGCGCGTCTGTTCCGAGTTTGTTTGTCATTGTGAGAGCCAGCGCAGAGCGTTTGGGCACCACATTACTCTCAGACGGGCACCACATTACTCTCGTATGGGCACCACATCGGCTTCGGCGATCATGCCAGTTGCCCCTGCCACTTGGCTAAAGGCCTGGTACAGTCGATGAATATCAATGTCAGTACTTGCCTGTGCATCAGAGCAGCGAATGAGCAGCAAACAACCCCACTCCAGCTCGAGCTCAAACGTACCTCGGTATATCCATCCTGGAACGGCCTCAACAGAAGAACAACATCACCGCTATTGTACGATAGCTGCAGTGGGCTGTTTGCAACATGGGATCGGATGGCGACATATCTCTGGCGCATGTGGATGGGGCTTGGGTAGCCACCCGATACTGTCAGGCTATCATATTCCGGAGGCTCGGTTGGGTACAGCTCGCCAGAGACTGGGTCGCGGGCACGGTACATGGCAAGAGTATCCTTGCTGTCGTCCGGCAGCGGGGTGACGAGGTCTTGGCGACTTGAACCGGGGCCTGGAAGCTGATGGACCTGCCCAGGATCCGAGATATGAGGCGTCGAAGGAGCTGAGCCCGTGGAGCTAGACAGAGTCTGCATGGGAATATGCGATGTGGACGAGGCGAAACCAAAGTAGTTCGACTTTGACGGCAGGGGGCTGGCCTGTTGGGAATAGTGAGTTTGGTAGGACGGTATATCAGTTCCTGTATGAGGCGTATGGTCCGAGCCCGACGGAGTGCGGTCGCTGAGGGCCGGTGGATACGCTGGGGCAGCGGCTGGGTAGATCGGGGACTCGGGTGTGTATCTGGTTTCATCCGCCGCGAGCTTGGAAGGGAGATCGCGGGCCACTGGGGCAGGAGGAGTCAGGACCAGGGCCGGAGCCAGACCGGGGGCGGCGTCATAGGTGTATGTTTCTGGGGGAGGCGGCAAAAGACCAGATGGAGACTTGGCTTGCTTTGATCTCCAGCGCAGCCACACAACGACGCCGATGGTGGCGGCCACGAGCACACCTGAGAAAATGTTCCAAGGAGGAGTCTGAATTGGTAAAGTCGCCCAAACGAAGAAATGAGACAGAAGGACTGCGACAGTGTTGTCGGCAGATAAACAAGATCATCCGATGCGGTGCTGGGCATTGGCGGGGTCAAGATATGCACCAGACGAGCTATCTCTGGCTCACCTGCGATGCCCCCTACAATCCCGGCGATAAGCGAGCTACTTCCCGAGTCCGTTTGACTGGGGCTCGAAGTAGGAGAAATTGGCGAAATTGGCGAAATTGGCAAAGTAGGCAAAGGTAAGGGATCGGAGCCATTGGGAAACTTGCTGTACAGCGTCAGCGAAGAATCGCTCAGAGTAAAGCCCTTGCCGTAGACTGTCATGTTGGTGCCGCCGATAGCCGTTGGGGAAGAAGTGGTGTTCGACAGAGTATAGTATGTAAAGTAATGGCATGATGTGCATTGGGGGTCGCGGCAGACGTACTGCTCGACGGAGTCTGTTCCGGAGGGCCGGATGCTGATCATGTAGCGGTCAGCGACTTTGGTGCAGCTCGGGTAGATCGGGTATCGCATGACCTCTCTTGGGGTTTGACAGGAGGGGTCATTGGCTGCATATATGAAATACATCTTGTATGTGGTCTGGAAGCTGCTGTTCCAGAACCTAGAAGCGAGGCGTTGGTGAGGGGATGGGTGAGCGAAACGCGAAACAGCAGTCGATGGACACAAGCCGAAGCTATGAAACGACACTTACGGCGATGCTGTGTAATCCTGTGAGGTAAAGAGGCCAGTGATTCCGGATGCGCAGTGATCGAATGCACTGGTTGCAGTCGAATTTGTAACTTTGCAGTTCGAGGCACAGACTCCGTCGAGATCGCACTGGACACGGTTCACAGTGTCCCCGGACAGGGAATAGAACGTGCAACTGGGAGGGTTGGAGAAGCAGTAGCAGCGGTTGGTAGCGACCAAGGCGTCGGATAGACTTTGACCGAACTGGGCGTCGCCGATGTTTTGAGGAACGCAGTCCGGCGTAAACGTATTATTCTCGTGGTAGAGGAGCCATTGCACGTTAGCAGGGTTGAGTGTTGGGACGGCCGACATGGTTGCAGGCCAAGCGAGGGGCTGGCTGGGTGTGGAGCAGGGGCGGGCAGGAGACAATCCGACAGCTATATATCCAGGGAGCCAGCAGCCCATACCGTCAACAGCAGAAGCGCTGCCTGTGGCTGTGGAACCATGGGGCGAGAGTCGCCCTGTGGGAGGTGGAGCGACCGGGCAGGTTGGCGAGCACAACGCCGCGGCCGCAGAGCAGGACGGGCTTTGACAGAAAGAGCCCAGCAAGGCACCACCCCTGGCAGAACGGCCATGGGCAACCCTCTCGACGCGGACGAGTCCCCAGCCGGATGAAATAATGAATCAATGAAATCACACTCGGCGCTCGGGCGTTGGCTGCTCAGAGTCGGATGCTGGAGCACTTGGCTGTTCACGGTTAGCTGCTCAAGCAGCGGGATGCCGAGTGTATTGCTGCACTCGCTCACACCCATCGACTGGCCGCGGCCAAACCTTGACCGTCGAACCTCGCGTCTCGAGCTTTGAGCTTTGCGCTTTGAGCTTTGAGCTACACGAGCTGGCGTCCAAGGCCCCAATGCACAACACTCAGGTGCCAGACATGTTCCACGAGCTGCCAGGCCACCAGGTCGCTCAACGCCGGCTGCTTGCCTTGCGAAGGACCTGTAAGAGCTCCTGGGAGCGCATGCGAGCAATCTCGATGCACCTCTGCAGCACAGCAAGCGGCAGTGCAGATCCGCCCGGCTTGCGGATACCGCACAGGACCCCCGCTTCGTCAAGGGCGACGGTCACCGTCGACGACAGCAGCATCTCCTCGTCGTCGGTCGGGTCGACAAGGAGGGTCTCGCTATCGCGCGGAGGGCGAGAAGGGGGAGAGGGGGGCAGGGGCGATGCAGCGCAATGCGGAGGAGGGTGAGCTTCGGAAATGAAAAAGTGTAAAGCATCCTTCAGCCACCGGCTGGCATGGGACAGCCCCGGCCAGCCCCCCACAGACGCTTGTTTGCCTTCTGTCCAATCCAAGCGGTCTTACCCGTCGAAAATCCCAAACGTTGTGGATGTCGGCCGGCGCTGGAGGGTCAGGGCGACGGTGCACTTCTCTGACGACTGGACAGAGCCCTCTTCTTCGTTCCAGGTCGCCTTTGGCAGCCGCACTGGGGTTGTCAGCAGAGCCAGCACCCATTGGCCAAGGCGAGCACCAAGGTCGTTCACGGAGAGAACCGAGATGAATGGGTCAGCCAGCGACGACCGGAATTGTTTGGGCTGACGCCGCTCTGTTCCAGGCAAACTTTACCGTTCTCGAGAGCCGCAAGCAGCGCAACCAAGGCGGCATCAAAGACGTTGCCGTCGTAGTTGATGCAGGCAATGTCAGCATACAGGACCCAGACGGCGTTGCCGGGCGCGATGCACAGCGTCTTGAGGTCGAACATCTTGGAGCTGCAGAGGAGCCGACGGCATCATGGGTTATAGAACATGCGCTTGATCGTCTGCGCATCCGCCTGCCCGAACCATCACCGAACTGTCTCGGCATCCATGGGTCTGCTCACGAGCACCATCCTTCTTTCGCCCGATGCCGCGGGAAGAGGGATCGCCGCGGTCAAAAGCCATCGAGCAACTCTGGCGCACCTTGTGGTTATCTTGTTTAGAAGCTCGCTCATCGTTTGCGTTGCTTCTCCAGGAGGTCCAGACTTGAAGTGCGCCGAACACAACGGAGGCAGATCGATGTTTGGGACTGCCGTGGGCAGCAATCAGCTCGTCAGTGCGAATCTCTCGTGGAAAGTGCCGCATCAGCCGCGACATGAAGAGAGTCCCGAGGACGGGGGATCGCTGCGGGGTGATCGCTCTGCAACCGCCAGCATATCTGCCTCTCGTGCTGGACAGCCAGCACTGTTGGGTCTGCGGAATCCAGCTCGATCGACGATGCGCAGGCCGACCCGCTGCCTCACCCAGATAGCCCTCCTCGGGTGTATTCACGAGCGGCGCTGCGACCTCGCCCTTGATGCCGCAAATCACGGTGGTGTTGCCGATCTTGACCATTGACGAGCCATGTGCTGTCTTGACGACGTCTGTTGAACCGACCGCGGCAAACCAGCAAGCCCGATCCGCCCAAGTCAAAACGCAAGTTCGTCAGGGCCACCAACGCACGATGCGCTCTTTCTTTCTCTCTCCCTCTCCCTCTCCCATCCTCCAGATGCAAGCAGCAAAGCGACGAGATCGTGCGCCCTGATCTTCATCCAGCGCGAGGCTCGCTGAATGAATGCCATTTGCTGTCCTTGCCACAGCCGCCTTGGCCATGGCGTTCGGCAACCGATGCTCTGCAAACGGTCCTCCAGGATGTCCACGACGTACCGGTGGTGACGAGAGTGGTGCGGATGTCTTCCAGCGACCGGCCGTCTGGCCGCACGCCCTGAGCAAAGAACCGCCGGTGATACTCGGCAGGATGGATCTTTTTGAACGTCTCAGCGTCGAGGACAAAGTCCGACGAGTCGGCGGCCACACCAGCAGACGTAGCGATATCGGCACTCATTGTGATGCGCTGTGGTGGGTGGCAGAGGGAGATTGGGTCTTTGGGATGGCTGCGATGGATCTTGACACGACGATCGTCCAGCAGCCGAAAAAACTCACAAACACGATCTGTGGCTGGCCACAGTTAAGATACGTGGCTGGCCACAGTGCAGCTACATCACTGGCCAGCCTCAAATGGCTCGCACTCCGTCTCGCTTGATGCATCCGTCTGGTTCAAAGACACTCCATCTCTATTGAAGCATCCGGCTCAACAGCACTAAGAGCAAGACCACGCCAAGGACTGATATTGATAATGGCCAGTCCGCAACGCATGCACGGGTGTTAGTACAGCAACGCAAAGGCCCAGTGCGATGGAGCGGTTATGGCGTCCTGGCAGCAGCACTTGCAATATCTGTCCGATATGAATCCGTTGCAGCAAACGATCGGTCACTTACATATTGCAGCGCCTATCGCAGCGCTCTGAGAGAGGTTCTCCATGGCTTTGGCCTGTATTTGCAAAGTGTTGGCCGTGAGACACCCGCTCGGATTAGGAGAGCGCACCCCCAGCAGCACAGCACACCCTTGGCTCTGAGATTCACATCCTCCGTTTGCTCACCCGGACGCTTCTCACTGACCTTGGTGGCCTGGATCCAGCTCTCGGTCTCGACGGCACGCGCCTGCCTCTTGAACATCTTGCTGGTGTTTGCCAAGCTGGCTGCAAAATGAAAGTGCTCAGGGTCAGTCGGGCGAGAGTCTCTGAAGCGACTGGGCGGCGAGTCGGTTTTGGGTAACTTGCCCGTGCTCTTCTTGAGCTGGTCGAGGTTGTCTCCTCGCTCGACAGTGCGATCGACAACGGTTATCATGAGCTCGTTCACGACATCAATCTCGTCTTGGATGCGCTGGACGTCGTGGCGGTGAAGGCCACCACTGAATGGCTGGCTGCTCGACGGTCATGAGCAACAATGAGCTGACTCTGAACAATAAGGGAGCGATGGATCGAGACACTCGGCAGCAATTGTCGATGAGCAACATCCACCTGGACTCACTCTGGTGTCCGCGGTCGACGTTCGGGCTCAAGAGGCTCATAGCTGGGGGGAGCAACTGAGACTGCGATGCTGCGAGGCCGAGCCTCGGGCTCCGTAACGATAGACTTGTATGATGGCGGCGGGCTCGTTTCAGATTCTCTCAGCGTCGACTGGGATGCGCAGGATGCCCGAGCAGCAGCCGGCTCGATGCAAGCGCCTGTGGCAGCGACGCCCTCTCGATTCGCACGCTCAGGAAGTAGCGGCCGCTGGAGGCAGTCGGGGTCGGTCAGTATCTGCATCGATTGTGGCTTTGGTAGTGCTCCTGTCCAACCAGCCAGGCCAGTGGCAGCAAGCACTCACCGTTTCATCTGCTGTGCCTTTACCAGCCATCTTGGCAAACTTGAGAATGAACTTGGGCTTGCTTGGCATGTCGGAAGGACAGCGACTGCAAGGGGTTTGTCGAGGGATTGCGGGGTGTTTGTCGAGTTGCAAGTGAGGAGGGATCTGTGAGAAGTTGGGCACAGCGGTTGGAAGAATCCGGATGCTGCATCGCAGGCAAAGCCAGCAAAAGCCAAGTGAGGAGCTTGTTGACGACTCGCCGAACAACCCGCGAGTCATCCGACCGCCGGCTGATCCGAGAACACCCTTCGGGAACACTCTGGGGCTGGGCCGATCAAGGCTCCGCAACCGTTTGTACACTTTATTCAGAAAAAAACGGGACAATATAGCCGTTTCCATGAACATGTAGTATGTGCTGTGCTTGCGTCAAGCAAAGCCACAAGAAATAAAACAGATCACTTTGGCAGCCTCCGAGTGAAGACCGCCGGTCGCTCTCCGATCTCCACAATCGACCTGCACACTGTGATCATGTTGCGCGCCGCATTGACGTCGCGATTCCACACCGTCTGGCGAATGGTCATGGCCAGCGCGCGATAACATTGGGTAACAAAATATTCGATGAATGGTCAAAAACCCGGGTGTCCCGTTTTTTATTGGATTGCCTGTAATGATATGCTATATTGGCTTGTGTGTGTGTGGCGATCTGTCGGCTCCAGTTCCAGCGACAATGTTGCCACCTCGCCTCACCGGGCACAGAAAGTCCTTTGACTATGAAGAGAGGAAAAGAGAGAAAGGGCGATTGAAAAAGCGATATCGAAAGAGCAGAGGGTCAATAAACATGTGGAGTCCCCTTCCCCAATGTCGATCTACCTCCATGGAAAGTGAGAGAGAGAGAAAAAAGAGCAAATGTGATAATGCTGGATGCCCCAAGGAACCTCCGCACAACACAACCGCTCCAGCAAATTTTCAGACCCTCTCCCTCCATGGGAGCCTTAGCCGGTGTTGCCCATGCCGGCGGCGATGCCCTGGATGGTGACAATCATGGCGTCCATCAGATCCTTGTGCGGCTCGTCGACAGATCCGTCCTCGGTCGGCTCCACGCGAATCCGGCGGATAATCTCGGCTTGGATGAGGTTCAAGGGATCCGTGAAGGGAAGGCGGGAGTGGATGGCACGGGCGACGACGGGGTCCGAAGCCAGGAGATGGTCTTGCTCGGCAACCTCCAGCACGAGGTCAATACAGTTCTGGAGGTGGCCGCGGAGCTTGACACCCATGGAGTGGTATTCGGGCGGAACCAGGCACTGGTCGTAGTAGGCTGGCGGAGACATAAAACCGAAACATCGTGAGTTGTGTGGTCAGGATGGTTGGTAGTGCTGGAGGGAGAGACGGTCAGCTTGAGAAGCCGCCTGCCTTTCAACTCACCGGCGATTCTGGGGTCGGCCTTGGACAGAGTCATCTGGACGAGATCGAGGGTGCTGTGGAAGAAGGGCCAGTTGTAGTACATGTCCCTGAGGACATCCATCTTGCCCTCGTCCTTCATCTGCTGGATGGCAGCATCGATGCCGAGCCAGACAGGGAGATGGACACGGGTCTGGGTAAAGGCAAAGATCCAAGGAATGGCGCGGAGGGTCTCGATGCCGCCGCCAACCTTTCTGCGGGCCGGTCGCGAGCCAATGTTCATGATGCCGATCTCACGGAGCGGGGTGGCGTCGTGGAAGTATGGGATGAAGTCCTGGTCGCCGGTGACAACGCTTCGGTAGTGGCTGCAAGAGATCTACAGCAACGCCGCCGCCAAGCAGCCGAGCCGGTCAGTTGTGCGTGCATGCATGCAGTCATGGCTCGTCGTCACAGACTCTCGCTTGTCGATGATGAAGGACGAGCCATCAGACACACCACGAATGCATCCATCTTGCCACACTCAACGAACCTCGGACATGCGGGCCATCGTCTCGAGCCATTCCTTCTTCGGGGCCTCAGGAGGAGCCATGGTGGCAATCAGCGTGGCGGTGGCGTAACGCTCGAGAGTCTGCTCGGCCGTGCCGGGATGTCCAAAGTGGTTATCGATGATCTCGCCCTGGATGGTGACTCGCATACTGAGGCAAATACAAGGCGTCGTGAGTCGGAGAGTGCAGTGGAATAGGCGAGGCCAGCCAGCGGACGCAGGTCCTGACCGAACCAGTCGCAGACTCAGAGAAAGAAAGAAATGCTACTTACGTGCCCTTGACGGTACCGCTGGGCTGCGAAAGAACGGCGAGATGCTGGGGACTGTGGTGCAGATGCGATTCGGCGTTAGCAAGAGCAGCATCGATCGGAAGCAGCATGCACACGTTGCAGAGACGATTGCAGCTCAGGTCCGCCGGTGGATGCTGCGGCTGGGCCCGGAGGGCCGTGTCCAAGTCACCGCCCCACATCCTGTTCACCCAACGTACCCTCCACCACGACCGACACTGCCTCCACGTCCGTGGAAGAGCGTGAGATGGACGCCAAACTTGTCGCAGGTAGCAGCGAGGCTGGACTGGGTCTCCCACAGGGACCAAACCGAGGTCAAGCGGCCGGCATCCTTGGCACTGTCAGAGTAACCAAGCATGACCTCCTGCTTGCCGTTGATGCTCTTGAGGTAGTACTCGACCGAGAAGAGCCTCTCCATGGTCGAGGACGATCGCTCCAAGTCAGCCTTGGTCTCAAAGAGCGGGACCACGCGGAGGGGATTGACCATACCGACGGTCTTTTGGAGGAGTGCCACAGCCAAGATGTCGGAGGGCTGAGGGAAGTAATCGATGATGACGGCATCGAAATCCACATCCGAGGGCATGGGTGTGGAGGTGTAGGATGCAAAAGCGGGGTCAGAGGTGCGTGCTTGGGGTTGGATCGACATTGTAAGTGTCTGCAAAGCGACCGGCAGCGGATGCACATACGAATCGGGCCATCGAAATGACGTAGCCGCCGAGGGCGTCGGTGCCGACTCGGGTGAGGGTTCGGAAGGTGCGCATGACCTCGCGGACAGTGTCGGGAACGTTTTCTGTGTGGGCAAACAGAGAATTGCATAACAAGTGAGAAGACTAGACACAGACAGATGCAGATGGGATGCAAAGAGAGCTGCAAAAGCGTGTCCTGGAGCCATACCAGCGCCAGGAATGTCGGGCCAGTTGTCGGGGATAAGGGGCCGCTTGTTGTTCAGCTCTGAAGGCATGGTTGCAGAGGGGAGAACGGTCAGAACATGTCGGTGCGAATCGCAGGTGTGATCGACACGGTGAGTCGATTGAGAGGAATACCCGAGTAGAGTAGCGGAGATGGATCGAAATCGCGGTCGGAGCCTGCACACTGCAAGTGCAACGAGCGAGCAACACCGTACCAGCCACCATCCACTCTTGCTTCTTCTGCTCTTCCCACTCGGAGAAAGTGCCCAGGCCGAGCCACTCGGTGACGTAGTCAAAGACCTCGCTGTGGCGGTCGGACTCCTGGCGGATGTCTGCAGAGTTGGGGCGGATAATGCAAATACGAATCGAGTGGGGAGTTAGAGCGCGGTAGAGCGGGGTTTGCAATCCATATCTGCTTTCCTGAGGGAGGGGGGGCAGGCTACGCTTGGAGTGGTTGCCAGCCCGGCAGGGTTTGGCAGCACACGACGACTCACCAAGCTTGAGGAGGGAGAGACCAAAGGCCGAGATGCGGCGGATCAGATCCTTGAGACGGCCGTCGGCAATGACCTGGTCACCGCACGCAACGAGACTGCGGTAGCAGAGCTTGAGGGGATCCAGCAACTGCTCGGGGCTGCCAATGAAGTTGGCAGGGCGCTCTGGAGGGATGGAGACACCGATAGCCCGGCAAAGATACTGCCACACAAGAAGATGAGCAGAAGTCAGTACCACAGCCTCGAGGATAGAAACGCACGGGATAGCGAGTTTGCTTACCTCCTCGGTCACCTTGCAGCTGTCACGCAGGGGCGCAAGCAGCACACGGTAGGGCTCGTCGCGGGGAATGTTGCCGCGAGGGAAGTTGAGGTTGGTGGCACGGCTGCTGCCGACGAGATGCTCGTGCTGGATCTTGGAGACCACCTCGATGAGCTCCTCGGAGCCGCGGGTCATGCTGAGCTCGAAGAGCAGCAGATCAATCTCCTTGTAGATCAGCTCCGAGGCGCGCCAGCGGCAGAGCTTGAGGACCTCGGTGGTGACCTCGTGAGTGACGAACGGGTTGCCATCGCGATCGCCGCCGATCCAGCTTCCGAAGCTGATGATGGACTTGTCGACAGGAATGGGCTCAATGTCGTACTCGGCGAGGGTGGCATCGAGGGTGCGCATAAACTTGGGCAGAGCCTTCCAGATGCTGTTCTCGAGGACCGAGAGGGCGCCACGGGCCTCGTCTTCGGGAGTGGGCTGGACGGTGTACAGTCGATGAACATTGTCAGCGGAATCTGCAGCGAGGCATTTGTGGCAACCTGAGCAAGCCGCCTCGATGGAGAGGCAAGAGCCATATGCAAACAGCGACGGGATGCCCGTGCCGAGCAGACACCAGCACTTACACGAATGCGGCGGACAGTGTTGGTTCTCCAGGCGCCGACAATCTCGCGGCGAATGGCATCCATCATGTCGGCATGCTCGGCGGGTGTGAGAACAGTGCGGTCACGGGTCTCGAGCTGCTGGGCAATGTTGAAGTACTTGGTGAGGAGGGTGCGGCGGGCAGCCTGAGTTGGGTGGGCCGTGAGGACAAGCTCGATGTGCTGCTTGGTCAGCTCCTCGCGGATCTGCTCGCCAGTGAAGCCTGGTTGGGACGAGATTGGCAAAGCGAAGAGATGTGAATCGCTCGTTCAGGCAGGAGACCGGAGTAGCACGAAGTGCCCAGCCAAGAGTTTTGATGGCGTGACTATCGAGGCCAGGAAGCAGGGTATCGGGCGACAGCCGTTGTCCCGACTCATCGTTTCCCAGACATATCTTGGCACACACACGACCACGGCCGTTCTGCTCAATCGGAAGCTGATACGCACCCTTGTCGAGGAGGAACTTGAATGCATCCTTGAAGGTCTGGCGGAAGTGCAGATCGTTTTCGCCTGTGGCCGGAGACGACGCGAAGGACATGGGCGCACGAGCAGACGGAGCGACAGGCCAATCAGCAGCCGGCGAGCCGAGCCACCAAGGCGAGCCCAGGAGGTCGGTCACCAGGAAGGTCACCAGGGTTTTCCCCGGCGCCACAGCACACACACACAGGGAGAGAGGGCGAGACGAGTGAGCGAGACGCAGCGAGAAGCGCGGCGAGAGCCATGTGCGAGATAAGATAGACCCCGCGGTGGCGAGCGCGGACGGTGGTGGCACAAACCTCGGCGATAGCCGCGCCAGCGGCGGACTCTGTGCTGTCGCTCGGCAACCTCAGCCAGGGTCAGGAACTCATGGAACACACGGGTAACCTCGAGGTACTCGGTGGGAGTGACGACCTGCTGGATGAGGGTGACGAGCTTCTCGAAGGACTCGTCCGAGGGGGCGTCAAAGTAGAGATGGCTGGCAGCGAGCACACCCTCGATGATCGAGATCAGGCGCTCTGGGGACATGTGCGCAGGCCCACGGGAAGGACATGGTCAGCGACAGCGACATGCAGGGCGGTGCCGAAGGGAGGGCGGCCAGATCATGTCAGCAGCCAGCCTTGCAGAGCGCTCTGCCGATCGGGAAGCTGTTGCCCTGCCGATTGGGCAGCCTCTGCCCGCAGCACATTGCGCGATCAAGGCGACGCTTTGGCAGCGCCGGACACAGCCTGGCTTACCGGGATGACCGCCGGCGATGCCCGAGTGCTCTTTGATGGTGTCGACCAGGAGCTTGGCCAGGAGGTTGACGTCGTCCTCGAGCTTCTGGTCCGACTCGTTCACAAGATGGGCCGGAGCTGCGTCAACGAGGGTCTTGGTATATTGCTTGATTTCCGAAGTCTGGAGGAGCGGAGTCTGGGGACGGGCTCCAGGTGTCTGGGGACGGCCACCGGGGGTCTGGGGCCGTTCCTGGACCAGTGCATGAGGGGTAATCATGGTTGAAGGTGCAGCGGATCGCTCGGGGAGGGGAAGGAGCTGGGGGGGGGAGAGCGAGAGAACGAGGGCAGACCCACTCGACCAGGACAGAGGGTGGTCTGCGGGACCTTTTATATCCTTGCATCGGGCGGCGGCGAGTTGTCAGGTGGAATGGCTTGCCGCTTGTCTCGGCCCCTGCGCTGGGCCTTGCGCCGAACTGCACGCCTCTGTGACCTTGCGCAGCGGGCGATGGGGGGGTGTCAGCACCCAAGGACCAGTCGACACAAGCATTAGGGACCCAGCGCCGAGCCCTGTCCTGCGGAATGAAGGCAGGCGACCAGAAGGCTATCGGTGGTGGGTCGCACAGATCTCTTATCTTCCCAGCATCCCGATCGTGAGAACGCGGAGGAAAAAGAAAAGAGCAGGCGAAACTCAGACAGGACCAGCCCGCCGCCGCCTATCTCCAGCCCAGTTCCACAAGAAACGAGGGCTCGACAGCGAGCTCGACAGCAAGCTCGACAGCAAGTCTGCGCCGAGACATGCGGCCGAGACATGCGGTCGAGATTAACGGTGGATCATTCGTGCAGCGGGGCTGGCGAGCGACTCGGTGGTCAGGCAGAGGACCGAGGCTTGCTGGTCGATCGTGGGAGACGGGTGCATGCAAGCCGCATATCATCCGCGCCTGCCAGCAGTATCTCGACCAGGGCCTGTGGCGCTGCTATCGATGACTCTGCCATCTCATCTTGCTGGGGACTGGTGTTGCGGAGGAACACATCAGGACCGCACGTGAGTTGACGAGGCGGGAGTGCTGGGATGTTGCTGGGGTGCTGCTGGGATGCTGTTGGGGTGCTGTCGCCCATCAGACGAACAGCGCTGATGGCGCCGTGCCGGCTGCCTGGCCTGTCATGATCCATCGAGGGCTGTGCTCCGTCTGGCATCCGCTCTGCGATGCAGGTCCAACAGCCCGGAATCATGGCCGCTGTTCCTCGCTGCTCATCCCGCCGAGTCACCCTGAGCAACCCAGTCCACACAGCCCCCCGGCACACAGCCCCGCAGCCTTCGGCCGGCAAAATCGACCCGCTTGGCTTGGATACAATATGGTCTCGACAGCAACAGCCCGGCTCGTCTGCCCGTGTGAAGTGATATTGCGACCAAACAGCTTCAACCAGTGTTATTGCGCCGCTTGGTTAGAATGAGACATCACAGGAAATTGCAGATTGACCTACATACAGCATGGTGCGACAGGTCGGATGTTTTGCAACAAAGACCATCAGCGGAATCAAAAAAAAGGCAGTCGAGACAGAGCGCAGGAAAGCAAAAAAAACCAGTACAAGAAATAGGGAATATCCCGCATCGGTCTCGGTCCGACTGATTCTTTAGCGGTAGACTTTAGCGGGCCTGCTCGAGGCGGCGCTTCTTCTCGGCCTCGAGCTGGGTGTAGAGAAGGTTGAGGGCCTTCTGGTTAGACTCGAAGGTGCCGGTGATCGTGATGACACGTTCGTTCGAGTTCTCGGCTTGGTCGGCGATGCGGAGACGGCTGCCAGAGAGGATGCGGATCTGAGTGATGAACGATCCACCCTTTCCGATGACACAGCCGACCATATCGGCGGGGATCGAGAGCGTCTGGCTGGTTTCGGGGCCGGTGCTCTCGGTGAGGCGGTTCTCTCCGCGACTGGGCTGGCGGCGAACGCTGCCGCTGGGGGCGCGGTCCGGAGTCTCGCGAGGCTTCTCGCCCTCGCGGCGGACAGCAGAGGGGGGGCCACGGGTCAAAGGAGAGGCAAAGGTTCCATTAACTTGAGACTGAGGGTTGTAGGGGACAGCGCCGGTGTTCTTGCTGCGGGCGTCGCCCAGGATGGATTCACCGATTTCGTAGACCGCGATTTGGCTATGGACAAGGAGAGCAGAAGAGCAGACGTGAGAAGACGCAATCAGTGTGAGAGTGCCCGAGCAGACGAGGCATACATGTGGGAATCAGATCGGGGGTGGGGCTGAGATCAGGGTGGCGTAAAATGGAGCGGAGAGGGACGGCGACAGAACCGACGCGCAGGATTGTCCGGCACGACGGAGCCGCATCACCGGACGACCGCCAGACTGGTCGATGGCCGCGGGCCGCGGTCGCCAGCCGCACAGACAAACAAAAAAGCAGTTTCAAGAACCACCGAGTGTCCGGGTGGCGGAGGCACAGCCAGGCCCACCGACGGGCGGACCGAGAGAAGCTGAGCAGAACGCCGCAAATGGAAAGCATGGCGAAGGAGGGGCGCAGTCTGTGACGCAGTCGCGCTGCAAGCAGGGGACGATCATTACATCGAGTCGACGAGGCCGGTGATTTCGACAACACGCTCGGTCGACTGGGGGAGCATCTCCTTGGAGACCACGATCTTGGCACCCGAGTGCTCCTGGATGTCTCTGATTCGGGATCCACCCTTGCCGATGATGGAGCCCATGAGCTGGGTGGTGATCAGGATGCGGACGGTGGTCTGATCGGGCTGGTGGGTCTGGCCGTTCTGGGGACTGTCCAGCAGGAAGCGGGCAATCATGGAGTAGGCCTACAGTGCGCAACCGGCGGCGGCCACAGAAGCACACGAGGACGGCACGAGAAAGCGAGCACGACAGGCAGCCGATGAAGGCAGTCGGTGAGTCAGCGACCAAGGCATGGGGGGACTTGACGATCCGGCCGACTGGCAGGCCGATCCTCCGATCCTCCGATCCAGTATGGCGCATGCTTTGGCAGCAACGCAGCGCCGCAAGGTTGGCAGTGTGCTGCCGACCAGCAAGGAGACGCAGTGCAAGGACAGAGGGAGGTGTGCGGCAGTCAATCGTACCTTGGCAACATGATCGAGCGAGCCCGAGATGGTCAGGATTCGCTCAGGAACACCCGGAACGACCTTGGAGACGCCGGCCTTGACGCCCGTCACAGTGCGGATCTCGGCCACGTTCTTGCCGCCCTTACCAATAATGACACCAGCATCCTTGGTACTGACGAGAGAGCGGATGACGATGGCGTGGGCGTCGTCGCCGTTTTGCGCGCTGTCGGGGTGGATGCCGGTGGGGTGGTCATCCTGGAAGTCGGTTTCGGCGTGATCGTGGTCGGCGTCGTCGAGGCGAGCGGGAGAGGGGGAGGGCTCAACGGGAGTGCTCATGGTGAAGGAGGGGGCTTTGAAGACAAGAAAGGAAGAGGGGGGTGGCTTGCAAGAGGAAAGAGGTGGGTAGATCCAAGGAAGAGAGAAGAGTAGATGGCAGGAGGAACGATGGGCGAGGATGGGAAGGGTGGTGGTGGCGTGTCGAAGGGAAGGCGACGGAGAAGAGAGGGAAGGGGAAGGGAGGGCGAGCGAGGAGGCGGTTAGGCGATGAGAGGGAAGAACGGAAGGGAAGGGGGAGGCGGCGAGGCGAAGGGACGGCGGTTTGAGACGACCAGAGGAGAGAGATGAGACGAAGGAATGGGCAAAGTCAAAGAAAAGCGACCGGATCGACCGAAAAAAGACCGAAGGACAGGGCGATCGGCGAGAAGGGGGGCGAGGGGCGAGGAGCGGGAAATGCAGGGGCGAGACCGGGAGAGAGACCGATAGCGAGATCGAGAGAGAGAGAGAGATCGCCCTCGCCAGGTGGCAACGCGTCGGCGCAGCGAGGCCCTCGTTTTCTTCTCTGAGTCGCTGTGTCCGTGACTGTGTCCGTGACTGAGTGTGCCTGTGTCCGTGACTGGCTGTGTCTGTGTCTGTGTCTGGCTATGTCTGTGTCTGTGTCTGTGTCTGTGTCTGGCCTGCTGCGGCTGCTGAGCTGTCCTCGGACCAATCGCCTGCCGCCTCGCCGCTCTGCACACACACACACATACATTCACCGCAGCGACGGCCGGCTGCAGCCTGGCTCCAGCCTGGCTCCAGCCAGGGGTGAGTCACATCGCTTGGTTCACACCATCTGCTGTCTGATTCATACCGACAGCCCGCTGATCCATGAGCCGCTGGTGCATCGCCGTGCTGGATCGCGCCGTCTGCGGGTGTGCTCACATATCGCCCAGAACTTGGCCAGAGCCGTGCCGATTCGGTGTTCTGGCGGGCACCACCACATCGCATGCACATCTGCACCACCATTGGACGACTGGGGCGATTGGGAGATTGTGGGTATATGCAACTTGCCGTGTACATGTGTCGCAAGGCTGCCTGTGGCTCAGACGGGGGGTTGCTGCTGCTGCTTCAGTGGGCCGGATCGACCAGGTGGCCGGCTATGCTTGTTCAAAGCGCCGTGTGCGTCTCATCTCGACCAGCACCGAGGCGGCCTCCAGGATTTGCACTTGGTGGTGCTTGGTGAGGTTGAGTGTCGACGACAGCTTCCACGACTCGGTGTGCTCCCACCGATGCTTGGCAAGGCAGTTGGGACTCTGACAGCAACAGCAACAGCACCAGCACCAGCACCAGCACCAGCAACAACAACAGAGTACTGCATGTTAGCATCTCACCTGAGGGGGCACTTCTGTCCATGCCGCACCTCTGTCCATGCTGCACTTCTGTCCATGCCGCACCTCTGTCCATGCTGCACCTCTGTCCATGCTGCACTCACATTGGCGACAGACCTCACCTTGTACTTTTTTCCACAGCTATCGCATTCCAGGGCAGACTCGGTCGACGGTTGCGATTCAGCTGCAGGTTGCATTTCTTTTGTTCGTGAGCGACGAAGCTTTTTTGCCGGCGGGACACGGGGTTGCTGGGACTCGGCATAGAGTATCGAGTCATTGGCCGCATCTTCAAGTCGAGAATGATGCAAATCTGACCCGACGTGGAGGTCGCTGTGGTCGTGGCGAGCGACAGCGGATGCATTGGCACCTGCATTGGCACCCACATCGGCATCTGCACCGTCAACCGCATCGTCAACCACGTTCACGAAAACTTCCTCATTCTCATCCGCATATGGGGCTGCGCCTCTAATGGCATTCGGCAGTGGTGACTGCTGGGTCATGGACTCTACGGACGAGCGCCGTTTCTTGGAGTGTGCGTCGGCAGCAACCAGTCTGGAGAGCAGCCCAAGGTCGGCTGCCATTGGGGGCTCCACAGTGTTTTGCATTTGCTGCAGCTTCTGGCAGGCAAGCACAGCAACTAGCAACTGTGCATCCGAGAGGATCTTGGGCAGCGTCATGGTCGATTTGGAGCGAGCAGAGGAGCTGCAATGGGGCAAGCTGTATCTTTCCTCAGGTGGCGACAGCGGTGGGTGAGGCCTCTGGGAGCCCATATCTGGAGTACTGCAGAGCCAGGCGGCAGTGGATTTTGGAACCCTGGGTTAGCAAGCAGCGTCTCCCGGACCACGGACGGTGCAGCCGGCGACGCTGTTCGAGGCGACAATGTCTCAAGCCGTCTGCCGGGCCATGCCGCCAGCTCTTACGTCGGCCGCTCCAGCCAAGCTCTGCATCCACCACATACATCGCAGCGAGTGACGGAAGCGACGGATGCCGGCCGATGGGGCTGGGCGCCCGGGCTTTATACTCTGTGAATATGCACGAGCACGGGCTGCTGCGATGTTGCAAAGGCAGCAAATCAGAGACCTGCTTCTGCTCAAGGGACCTTGCTGCTCCGCCCCATCCTCGCCGGATCCCACACAAGGCCGGGGCTGCCGTCACTCTTTTCTTGCGCCTCTTGTTTGTGTCTGGCATCGTCGTGGAGGCAGCAGCGACTCCCTGGTTGCGCTATCGCCCAGGTGCAAGCATCTCCGGTCATGGGCGTCGATGGCCAGAGCAGCAGATGCAGAACGGCATGGCGGTTGGCCGCCCCGGACCCGGACCCGTGCAGATGCGGTCGCTGCGAGACTTTTCAGCGACACACCGCCTGTTGTGCCTCTGGTCTTGCAATCCCACGCAGCACCCACAGCACCGACCGGCAACAAACCCGCATGCGCTCGGAGCCGATTGGGCCGTCGATGCTGGGCGCTGCATTGGCTGGAGAAACAACCACAATACGGGACGCTCCAACTCGCGGACGGCTTGTGTGGCTTGTGTGTGCTGAATGGCGCTGATCGCACTGTTGCGATCGACTCGGGTGATGAGATATCGGCGGCAATACTGGAATCTTGGGACTGATGGTTTGCTCGAAAGAAACGGTGTCCCCTGATTTTCCACACGCTGCAGGGCACAGAAACGGTGTCTCACCCAACACACCCACACCCGCAAAGCCCACACCCCGCAACGCCCAACTCACCCAACACCCGCTGCCTGTCTGCGACGCGGCCAGCAACGTCGATTGAGTGTCTCAGTGCAGAGGGCTTTTGGCTTTTGGCTTTTGGCTTTTGGCTTTGGTCCAGCGACCGCGATTGGCCCTGACGGCCTCGTGGGCATGCCCGGCGCGCGACGCGATTGGCTGCCGCCAACACCCAGGGTCGGTGGCAGTGCTCGCGTTTGTGGTGCTGCCTGTGAAAACGGGGTGACCGGGGGGTGCGATTTCGTTATGTATTGGCATCGTGCCTGGTGCGCGGCTGATCTACCGGGACAGAGCCCTACACTGCATCTGTCGTCATCAGCCTGCTGCTGGTCATGTCGCTCTCCAGCCGCCGCTTGGCCTCGATCTCGATCGTCAGCTCGACCACCAACTGCCAGTCGTCGTGGTAGCCCTCTGCGTTAAGGAAACAGGTGTCAGCCGAGGGGGGGAGAGTCGCCGCTGCTGCTATCGGTCAGTTTTACTTTCGGCCACTGCTGCTACCGGCCTGGAATCGCCCAATGTTGCACAAGAGTCGTTGCCACTTGCCTTTGACGCACTTTTTGAACTCGCGCAGGGCACGCTCGGACTCGCCGAGGTTGAGGTAGCAGTACCCGAGCAGATGCCGGCCAGGCAGCGTGGCCCCGGGCAGCGTGACCTTGCCGTGCCATCATTCGCCGTCGCCCGCCCCAACAGTAGCATTCAGACAGACAAGAGTTGACAGCCACGAATCAGCACCGCATCGCCAAGATGCAAGGTCCAAGGTAGTGGAAATCGAGAAGCTTGCTAGAAACGAGTACCACTCACGTATTGCTGCAGGCACAGCTGCGCGCGCGAGAAGGCTCCGAGTTGGTAGAACTCCTTGGCAGTCTATCGATCCGGATCAGCCCATGGCAAGAACGGCAGGATGAATTTAACACCAGGACGGCTCGCATACAACGAGGAGCTCGGGGAGCCAAGCGTATTCTGCAAACCACGCGATGTATTGGCTTGAGGGGGGGGGAGACGCTGTGGCAGCATCAGAGTTTCATGGGTAGTTCGCTTGCCATGATTCACCTTGTAGATATCGTATGCCTCGGGCGGGCGGTTGAGTCGCGCCTGGAACCAGTTGAAGACCTCCTCGCGCGTAAGGTTGGGTCTGGAGGGCCGCAAGATCAGTCTCAATGTCGCAGCTATCAATCGCTGGTCCAGCATCTGGGCCCGATTCGCCTGTGGGCCTGTCTGGATGCGCCAGTGACTCTCCGATCTCCAATGGATCAAAGCTGGATGTACCTGAAGTTTTCAAAGTCTGTAAAGTCCGTCATTGCTGTGGCTGTCTGTGGAGGGGGGGGGGCGGAGATCTGCCAGCGCTGATAAGGGCTCCGATTTCCTTGGGATGGTCAGTCAGAGGCGGTGATGATGTCGCTGCGACAGACGGGAGTCGGAAGGGTGCGTGGAATCGATCAGGACGAAAGGGAGCCCGGGGCGAGGGGTGAAATCATGGCGGGCACTTTGCTGGCGCCATCCGAGCCGCGATCATGGCCATGGCCACGACCTCCACGAGTGCTGTAGACTGCCCTTTGGCCATGTCGACCAAGCATAAACAACAAAAAGAGCGTGTTCGAGAAGGATCAGGATGTACAACGTTTTTTTTTTTTACTGCGGCGCTCTCAGTCATTCTTACTTTTTGCAAAAGTAGGCTGTTATCGCTATGGACAAAAAATCAAAGCCCCCACCCCCTTCAAGTCGATGATGTGACAATATTCTCTTTTTCTTTCTTACTTTTTACTTTACGCGCTGCCGTCGGCATCCTCTATCTCGTGGTCGAGCTCTCCGGCGTTTGAACCTCCGATACTGCTCTCGGCGATGAGCTCATGGTCGACCCCTCCGCCATCAGCTATGCCTTCGACCATGCCCCCAACGACATTTCCCATCACGCCAGGGTTGACGACACCCGTCTCCAGCAAATGCCCGGCCTCCACCAGATGCGCCGCCACGAGATGGCTTTGGTTGACGTGCCCAAGTTGCCCAAAGTCACCAACGAGGGGCTGTGGGAACGGGGACGGGTGCAGTTGCGGAGTCAGCTCCTTGACAGACCGACGCCGTCCGCAGCCGTACGTGCCCCAGACGCCCAGATCTCGGTTTTCACGAATGCATTTTTCCTTCATAGATCGTGCGCGGTCCTTGAGGTTGACGTTGTTCCTCCGGGCAAGGACGTTGTCGATGATGCCGTTAGGCCCGTGGTCGCGAAGAATGTCGATCCACTTGTTGCCGTGTCGCTGCAATGCCTTCTCGAGACAGTCGGTTTCCTCATCCGTCCATTTGATGCGCGGGCGCACCCGTTCACCCCGCTCGTGCGTTATTTCGTACTTTTGCCGCTTGGTTTCGATCGGCGACGGTGACAAGCTGTCGACGCTGACTTCTGACAGTCGCTTGTGATCGATCGGCATGATGGCCGAGGCGGGTGAGTACGACAGCGTCGGCCCAAAGAGACCGTCGGCCGATGATATCGGCAGCAGAAGCTGGTCGCTGCGGTTTGGGCTTGGCTCGTGACCCGACGACGGCGATACCGGCGTGCCTTGTCCATCGGCCAGGCTCAGATCGCCGTCCGAGTGCGAGATACTCTTTGGGCTACTGGCGCCGGAGCTTTTTGATCGGCGGCTCGGCCGCTTTGATCGATTGCTTCGATGCGTACTCCGGTTGTCGGGCGTTTTCGGAACTTCTCCGGCCATTTGGGCTTGGTACTGCCGGTTGGTGACTTCGCCAAAAGTCTGCTGCAGCAGCCGAGGGATATAGCGCGAGTCTAGAGTGGACTTGAATAGACGGATATACTCGATACTGGCGCGCACAAAGTAGTTTCGGGGACACAGCAGGAGCACATCGCTGTTCATGGCTTTGACCTGTCGATATCCAGGGGGCAGCTCGCATCAGCACCCCGATGAATCCTTCGGAGCACGCAAATCCATTCCTGCCGACGCGACTCTGACGTTCGACCGGATCCGGCTTTGACGGATGCGCCGCTCAGACACCCCACCCAGACACCCCGCTCGCAAAGAGCAGTAGCACAGCTGCATACCTGAAGTTTGAAGCACTCGTTCAAGTCGTCGAGCTGAATCGATCGTTGCGGATGCTGAGCCAGGTACCGGATCTCGACGGGCTCGTGGGTGAACATGCGCTCAAGCTCCAGATCCCGAGCCTCTGTGTCGTCAGGGAAAAGGTACTTCCATTTGAAGATGAAGATCTGCAGGGAATCCACGACTGTGTGAATCAGCGATGACATACAGATACTGCGCACAAATGCAAAGCGGTGACGATGGCTCTTTATAGCGGCGGGTGGCGTTGCATGGTGCCTGAGCGCAGATTGCGCCAAAGCGGACGCACCTGCCGCTTGATGCCGAAATAGAAACCAACGAAAGCCTCGGTGATCTCCAGCGCGTTCTTGGGAAGCCGCTCGGCCAAGACCTTGAGCCCCATCTGCATGTTGTCGATCTTGAGCTTGACGACGGACGGATCATAGCCATCGTAGCTGAATCTGCGGTTGATGACAATGTCGTCGTAGTCAAAGACATGATAGATCAGGTAGACAAGCTCGATGCGCTGGTGGATGGGCTGGTAGTACGCATCGCCCTGGAATCGCGCAAAGGTAACGGCCGGATCTGTGGGGTTGGTAGTATACGAGACAGACGGGTGAGTGAGTGGGGGCCGGCGTGCAAATGGTGACAACAGATCATTGAATACCATCCTGCTGGCATCGATGGTGCTGATTGGCAATAGCCCCGATGAAGCATGCATCAAGTCGCATCGCGTCTCCCGTAAAGTGCGAAGCAAGGCAACCAAGTGTGCAATGCAGCACACTTGCCACCGAGCCCAAGCAGAAGTGCCCTGCCTACTCTCGCCTACCGTTCATAAACTCTTCAAAGCACCGCTCAAACTGGACGGCTGACATCAGTGGCGGCGACACCGACGGATGGAGCACCACCCGCAGAAGCTGGTCGGCTTTGAGCTCAGCTGCGTGGGCCTTGTCGGCAAAGCCAGAGTCGATGTCGGCACGAGGGATGGGCGGCCGAAGGCAGTATGTTGGGCTGTGGACCATGTTCAGGCGGACTGGTAGCGAGGGGAATGGGTTGACCCGCAGGGACGGGGACTGTAGCGGCGGGTGGATCGAGGTATCGACGGTGATATCGATTTGCTTTGAAACATGGCCATCGTTTCCGGTGTCTCCATTGATATCGCCATCGACCTCGGTGTCTCCTTCTCCTTCTCCTTCGCCTTCACCTTCACCTTCGACCTCACTGCCCCCAGTATTCGAAAGGAGCACGCCGGCTGGGTCCGCGGCTGGGTTTGAGTGCGAGGCCAGCTCGTGCTGTTGGGCGGCCGGGATCCCGTTGAAAATAGAGCCGGTCTCGTCGTCGTCACGGATCTGGGGTGAGGCCGGGGCTGGAGCAGGGGGCAGCGCCTCGAGAGCCTGGGCAGTCCAATGGTGTCCCAGCGGATGGCCGAGCTGGCTGCCAAGGGGAATGTGTGCTGGAACCTGGGCGACGGCCACCATCTCGGGCGGGTTGATGGCCATATCCTCCGAGGCTGGTGATTTGGGCAGCGCAATCACACGCTGATCAGCATCGATGCGCTTTCCAGCTTCGTCGTCGTCGTCATAGTCGTCGTTGTTGTCATTGTCGTTGTTGTCTTCATCTTGGTCTTCGTCCTCGCCCACTTGATTGCCATCGTCGTCGTCGTCGTTATCTCCATGGCTTGTCATTTCCTTCTTGAGAGGAATTTGCATGCCAAACTCTTCACCGGCGACGGTCTCCCGATCGCCGGTGCCGCGGGCCGGGGTGATCTTCAGGATGGTGTTGGGTCTCTCCATTCGCCCGAGCCTGGACAACAGCAACGACAGCAAGAGCACCGCCATCGCGCGACAGGCCGATGAAGCAGCGTTAGAGCAGACGAATCACAGCATGAATCAACGCCTTGGAAGATTGACGATGGTTGATGTCGGCCGCTGGCCGCCTGGGCTGGCAAAGCTGGATTTGCCGAGTTGCTTCGGTCGCCGCCGTCGCTCAACTCGTCAATCGCCGCCGCCGCCCCCGCCAGCACACCGCAAGGCAATGGGTCTGCATCTGCATCTGCGTCTGCGCCTGCATGTATATCTACATCTGTGCCTGCATGTGTATCTGCATCTGCGCTTGCGCTTGCGTCTGCGTCTGTGCTGGTGTGGACTCTGCCCTGGGACAATGACCGGCTCACCTTTGGTCCTGTGAAGGAACAGCGCTATAGGGGAGGGGTAAGGGTTGGAGGAGGCTGCGACCGATGAGCGACAGAGGAGAGGCAGCGCACCGACGGCGGTCTGGAGAAAACTGGGCGGAAAAGCAAACTGCGCACGTTTATTACATAAGCGGTCTCGCGCAGCCATTGGCTGTCGCGGCGAGAGCGAGGCGAGAGCGAGGGCGAGGGCGAGGGCGAGGGCGAGGGCGAGGGCAACACAGAAACAAAAGCCGGGCGAGCCGGTGTGGTGGACAAAAGGGCTCGATGGAGTGGAGTGGGGAGTGGAGTGGAGTGGAGTGGAGGGCGCGGCGGCCAGGGCGGAAGGCCAGGACATGCGCTGGGAGCGGGCTGGCATCAAGGCTCCCTCTTGACGGATGAGCCGACAACGCCCAGGTCCGGGGGGTTGATCGCGCAGCAGTACACGCCCCAGATACCAGGGTCCTTGCCCTCCCGGAGCAGTCGCTGGGTCACGGCCCGGACCCGGTCCTTCAGATTGATGTTGGATCGTCGCGACAAGGCGTTGCTGGTGTATCCGTTCTCGCCGTACGCTCGGAGGATCTGCACCCAAGAGCCGCCATATTCGTGAAGTGCCTGCTCCAGACATTGCGTCTCCTCAATCGACCACGGAATGCGCGGCCTGAGCCGCCGGCGCACTCCGGCGCCTCCCGGGAATGTCTCGCCGCGGGGACGCTTGAAGGAGACAAACTCGCGATACTCGTCGGCGTCATCTTCGTGGCCCTTGCGTTTGAGAGCGTAAGTCGTCTGGCCAAACTGGGAATGGGTAGACGATCCATCAGCAGGCTTCACGAATGAAGGAGGCAGGCGTCGGACGCATAGGCCAGCTGAAGCGGAGGCGCTGCCGTTGTTACCCACATCTCCTCTGTTTTCGTCGGCATATTCGTCGCCGTCGTCGTAATCGTCGGCATAGTCATCGTAGTCGTCGTCGGCATCGTCCTCTGCCCCGGTTATGGCCTCTTGAAAACGCACCACAGGCTTCTCCTCGAGCGGCCTCTTTGCAGAGTTCGATACCGTATCCTTTGGCGACTTGGTCGAGATCGACATCTGCTTGGGGAAGGCTCGCTCCAGGATGTCCATGTGTCGCGGCAGAGGGTCGTCGACATTGTCGCTGCCGCAGCAATGAAGAGTCAAGAACAGTTCGTTTGAGTATCCAAATGCGTAGACTCAGCCGAGCATGCACCCTCAACATGGCGGAATGAAGCACAGTGCGCACTCTATGCAGATCGACACATACTCGGACGCCTTCTGAGCGGCCCTGAGATCCATCATCAGTTTATCGTTTCGATCACGGTGCTCGGCAGCTCGATTCAGCCGCTCTTTCAGCCGTCCGTCGTGAGAGCGATCTTCTCCGATCTGTTCATCCAGCGGCACAGATCGAGATGCAGACTTGGAGCCGTTCTGGCGGTGAGAATACGCCACATCGTCAAACAACGGCATGAAAGGGTTGGCACCGTCGGCAGCGTGGAGTCGGGGAGCGGCGCCCGAGTCGGTGGTGCTTGTGTGAGACGTGAACGCGAGGGCATGCTTTGCACTGTGGCTCTGGCTCGCAGAGGCGGGGTGCGATGCTCGCGAGGCAATAATGTGACGATACACGTTCTTGAGGTAGTCAATGCCTTTTCGAACAAACTCGCGATAAGAGTGGTTATCGGCGATGAATGATCGGGCGCTGGGATTGAGCACCTGTGGTGGGAAGGAGGGTGTGGGTAAACAGGACTCGTCCGCGGCGGTGGGCGTCTCAAACAGACACCGATCTTCAAGGCAGAGCGGCAGCAAAAAGCAAAGCAGCCGGCAGAGGCTTGGGCATCCGCCGAGCTGGGCGAGCGATGCTGCAGTCCCAGGCGGCACCATTGGTGCTCCGTTGAGCCAATCGCATGCAAGGCTACCTCGTTCTGGAAGGTCTTGTTGTAAAGCCGCAGGGTGTCGCGGAGCTCGGGTTCCAGGTCTTCCGAGTCCAGATTGACGGGTTCGAGGCGGTGGTTGAACAGGGTCATCACGCCTCGCTCTGCCAAAGTTGCGTCGTCGCGGTACTCGTAGAGCAGCTTGTGGACAAAGATCTAAGCGATTGCGGGACGGAGCATCGCGTCCAGAAGGTCAGCTCGCGAATCCTTGTTCGATCAGCGATGACGGTCGCCGCTAGCCGTTCCAGGTGAGAGAACATCCCCACTGCACGCACCTGGATCTTCAGATCGCGATAAAAGACCAGCCACGCGGCATCGAGCGGCAAGCCGTTAGGAGCAAAGCGCTCGCCGACAATTCGCAGACCGATCTCCATATACTTGGTCTTCTTGACAAGATCTTCCTCAGCGGGCGGAAAGCGATGCTCTTCGGGATAGAAATCGGAAGGGTCAAAGATGTATGAAATCAGAGACGCGAGCAGGATCTGTTGGACAAAGACGCTGTCCTTGGTCAGAGGACTCCTGCCGCGAAAGTAGGCATGGACATTCTTGTCTTTGGAGACACGGCGAAACCGGAAAAAAACAAAAAGAAGGCGAGAAGTTGGGTTAGAAGGATACAGCAGCATTGGCGGCTGGGGTGCTGGGGTGCTGGGGTGCTGGGGCGGATGGGCCGTGAGCTTTGGCATCGGATCAAACAGCGACTGGCAGGCGACGAGCCCGATCTCGAACCAGATATGGAGAAAATATCGTCGACACTCTACAGTCACAGTAGCACCTCCACAGACAATCTTTGGTGGGGGGAAGCAACTGCTATCCTGGGTGGGGCAACGACATACCATTCATAAAATCCTGGAGCAGGGTCGGCAGCGTTTCAATGTCGTGCCCAGGCAAGGGAACATCGGCCGGAGTGAGGCAGCAGCGCAGAATCAGAGACGATCTCGCATCCAGATCGTCGCGGATCACGCCTTCATAGAGGGTTTGGAGCTGGGAGTTGTCCACCTCCCCAAAGGAATAGGTGACGGCGGAGCTGAGGTGTCGCGATTTTGCCATCAAGGCTCGGCGCTTGGACTGAGTCGAGGAGCTGGCAACCGAGGGGGCGAACGGGGGTGGGATGGGGCCTTCATGCTCGGCAATATGATGCTGGAGCCTGGCGCTGGTCAGGGACTGGCTCCTCTGGCGATGCCCGGCCGGCGACGGGGGTCGATATGGCTTTACAGGCACGGACGAAACCAGACGCTGGTCCACGAGGGGGTTCCGGGGTCGGACCGGGGTGGCAGAAGGCACGGAAAACACAGGCGCAGGCTGTGGGTGCGAGGCAGCGGGGGTGCCTTGCGATGAGAAGGCAGGGCTCTTGGCGAGCGGGTGCTCTGGATGAGGTTGGGAGGAAGCTTCGGAGGAAAGGTTGGGCAGGGCGTCGTCAGGCCCGAGGACTCGAGGCTGCTTGCTGCGGCTGCCCATCATCAAGCAGAGGGAGGTGACAGAAGCGGGGCGGGATGCTCAGTGGCAGAGCGACCTGGGTGTCTTTGCGAGAGGTGCGGCGAAAGAGCAGGAGGACAGGTGCTGGAGCAGAGGAGGACCACCGGATGACGGTGGGGCAGCTGGCTCAAAGGACAAAAGGTCGCGAGCGACGGCGAGCGCTGATCTGGGGAGGACAAACCAGGGCAGAGTTGGCAGAGCAGGGAGGCGGGATGGGTTAGGTTAGGTTAGGTTAGGTTAGGCAGGTTAGGTTAGGTCACGCTAGGGCTGGGGCTGGGGCTGGGGCTGGGGCTGGGGCACCGTGCCACAGCACTGCCACGAGGTTCCTCTGGGCCGCCCCATGAGCCCGGCCTGGCTCAGCCAGATGATTGGCGCGGGTTTGCATCTACAATGCCCCTTGGTGTCGTTGTCCATTCCTTTGCCCCTCTCGCTCATTCCGACAACCATCCCACAACGTGTCTGAGGCCGCCATCATCGCGCTGCTCCACACGAACAAATGAGGCTCTCCATAATTCAGTCCCTCGCGGCAATCGCCGGAAGCATCTCAGCCGTCGCCGTCGCTCGTGCCGCCGTCCCATCCCGAACGGCGCTGCTCAATCTGATATTCCTATGCTCCAGTGCCGACGCGGAAATATGGTAGGTTGGAGGGCATGCAGCCCACCGCGGACCGCGGGCTGAACTACCAATCCCCGCCGTCCTCTTCCAGAGCAATTGCCAGTCGGATCTGGAGGCATTGGATGCGTGGGCCGCGTTTCGTCCATGTCGCTTTCGCCATAACCGAGCCAGCCCTCTCTGGTCGCGTCCGACACCAGGTGCGAGTCCATGTATGAAGTCCTCAAGTTCAAGGCCGACCAGTGGAACAACGATATCGACCCGACGCTCTTGCCAGGCGCGCTATTCAACATCCACTACGAAAACATATCAGCTGAAGCGCAGGGATCAATCGTGCCGGTGATGCACTATGGCGCCACAAACTCAGCCAATGCTTTCATCGGCCCGGATTTCAGTTACCTTGCCACTGTGGCTGCCGTGGCCGACTCTGGGTTCCAGCTGCCGATGTGCTCCTGTTGTGCGACTAGTAATGTCCTGAGCGACAAGCAAGTCTATCCAAACTTTTTCAGAACCGTTTCCCCGGACATGTACGGCGTGCGCGCCGCCATTGCTTTCTTCCAGCTCCAGGGCTGGAGACGGATCGCAACCCTGGTGAGATTTGATGCAATGCGCGCCTTGCAGCCTGGGTGATGCTACCGATACCAGCGGTGTCCCTCTTGCCACCCGGCCCAAGTACTAATTGTGTCCACTCACCCACATTGAAAATCTTGATCATCAAGACCGTAAATGACGACTATGGCAGCTCGTGTTGGTATCGACAGTTAAAGATGCGATGTGGTCTTGCTCTACAGTTGTATCTTTGTGCGGGCACACCAACGTTCTCCTGACCGGTCGCTCGGATGAGCCGTTTGGATGAGCCGTTTCGATGAGCCGTTTCGATGACTCGCCGCCTTTCGTATGCCTTCTAGGCGCACAAGGATCGATGTAGATCATGGCGAACTGATGCGAATCATTTCGATGCCTTCGTCCTTGCATGTTGACTCGGCGACCCGGCTCGGCGACCCGATGCACAAATCACGGCGCTTGGTCAATGGCTCGCCTGCGGCTCGGCAAACACATGGTGCTCTGGAAGTACAAAGCAGCATGACCACAGAGTGTGCGGCTGCCAACATCGATATTGTTGTGCAGCTGACATACGCCACAACCACTCTTCCGAGCACCGCCAGCAACATCGCCCAGGTGCTGAAAGACTCTGGGGCAACCATATTCTTCTTTGGTGGATACTTTGAGGACTGGCTGACCCTCGTTCCTGCTATCCGGTGAGCATGGCTGCTTTGCCTCCCATTCAGAAGCGCTTCACAGCTGGCGCCATACTGACAGCCAACAAACCTGCTTGTCTCAGCGACAGCGGAATATTCGGGGTCGACTATGCTTGGGTCGGATCTGATGGTGCTGCGCTGCAGTTTAACTCGATAGCGCCATCCGCTGCAAAGATCTTTGATGGCTTCATGGTGAGAAATGTCCAAAGTGTGACTCGATGATAATTGCTTGCACCCGCATCTGTCCATGGCCACTCCGAGCGGCTGCATGTATCACCTTCCCTTACATCTCATTTGGATTGGAACCCAAATATCATCACCCGGACTTCATCCTAATCGTCCGTACTCGGCTCAGTATTACTACTTTGGCGACAATCGCACCCAGTATGCTCAGTACCGGCTCTTCAGATCCGAATGGCTAGATGCAAACACCACAGAGTAGGCCGATGGATTGCTGCTGGATCATCCTTGGAAGCAAGAATGCAGATTTTGCTCCCTTCCCTGCCTCCCGAACCTTGAGCCCGATCCACTGACACCATCCCGCGATCTGCCATCAATATCTCATTATCGATGTCTCCTGGAATACGGAAGCAGATATCCGACCGCGGCCTTGGGGGACTATGCGCTGACCATCTCCATGTAGGTCGGAGATTTGCCCTATTCCATAGCACCCAGGGTGGCTGGTATTTGACTTTCGAGTGAGATGCCTCCTGACTGCCGCTTCCAGCTCTGCAGTCAACATCGAGCTAAACAACACACTTTGAACCCGCCAGGGAGGCCCTGAACTGTCTCGAGTTCCTCGTCTATGGATTTGATCGGGTGAGTGCTTGTGCTTGTGCTTGGTGTTGTGCTTGGTGTTGCAGACCACCCATCGATGACGCTAGGAGCCACACTTTACTGATGCCCTCTGCAGCTCTTGAAATCAAACAGCAACTGGACACTGGCCAGCCTGATCCAAAATCAGCTTACGCCATATTACCAGATTCCAGAAACGTTTTCATTCCCAAACATGAACACTGAGACGGGCCGCATTACTTTCGACGGTTTGTGAACGTCGCAGCGACTGTCACGAGCATTGAACCGCCAAAGACTCACGCTGGATCCGTGTTTACTATTGTGTTTTACTCTCCCCTCCAGATGATGGTGATGCCATGGGAACATTCACTTTTTACAATGTTCAAAACGGGGTCTATGTGCCCATCGTGACGTTTTCATCGTCAGAAAGGAACTTTACGGTCGTCAATAATAGCTTGATCTGGCCTGGATCCAGTCCGTACCCGCCCAATGACTATTTGAGCAGTATGTATCAGCATCTTAAAATGCCGTTTGTTGGGGGCTTAGCCATCAAACCGCTTAGCACTCTGACATCGATACAGATGTGTCAAGTGCGGAATGGTGCGCCGCTTGCTCATGATTTGAACCATGGCAAACACGAGCCCATGGCGGGTCTTGCTGGTAAGCAGACCACAACAAGCTGCAGTGACCAATAATTTCGCTCTGAATGACACAGACATCACATGCTCTCCCGGAAGCGGAATAAGTATCAATAGCCTCGGATTGATGATTTGTGTTGTGTGTGCCCCGGGTACCTTCAACATCAATGGCAACAGCGCTTGTCTGCCATGCATCCCGGGGCTCGAGTGCGACGGCAGATCAAGTATCTGGACAAAGCAAGGGTACTGGCGATATGACAACACGAGCCTAGCTCTGCCAGAGATGATTCAATGTCCGATCGACTATGACTGCTGTCCGGTGAGTTCAACACTCTATTTTTCGAATCAGCTACAGGCCTGCGGCTGTTGAAAATGGAAGCATCAGTGCGAGTTACTGAGTCGTGTGATGTATTTCAGAGTGGCCGATGCAACACCACCAATCCCTGCAGCAACTCCACAACTGGACTGCTATGTCGGGAATGTCGCCCAGGATATGCGATGGTACGGCATGATCTCCGTTCGTATTTTGTGTTGGTGCTGTGCGATCGCTGCTTCGGCACCCACAGTAAAACGGTGATGGTTGTATCATGGACACCGAATCAATTCTCGCGTCTCACACACACCGTTTGCTGTCCTATCAGTGGGGTATGCGATGCATCCCGTGCTCCTCAAGCAACCCTGCCATGGTGATTCTATTTTTGTGTTTTGGCGAACTTGTTTCAGTGTTGATACTTGTGTGCCCACCAAAGTATTTCAAGAGCCTCCTATCGATGGTAGGCAACACAGCAAAGCAACGTGCGATGACAGAGTATCGGCACGACGCTCGAGTCAGCCGCCAGGGATGTCGTTCCTTGGCTGTCACGCATGGGCGCGCGGTGAGCTAACGACAGCGGCCCTTCTCCTCGCATCTATCAATCTAGCTGTGGTTTTATCAGGTCAGAGGCACCAATCTTGTCGAGCGGTGTGACATGCAAGCATTGAGTGCAGCGCATCCGGATGTCCTCCGCAAACACAATCATACAAATGCCACTTGCTGTAACTCTCTGTCTTGCAGCTCGCAGCGTTAATGGCGAGCCCGGCCACAGTCCAGGGGCTGTTCAGAGCGGCTTTTCAGTTCGACATTGGGGGATTTTACGATTTCGATGCTGAACTGCCGTGTCCGTTCCAAGCGAACGCTCTCGAATCGATATACGTCAAGATTGGATGGATGTTTGTTATCTGTGAGTGGTTGCGTTGCAGCATCTGGGTCTCTCCCTCTCTCTCCCTCTCCCTCTCTTTCTCCAACCCAATAGCCCGACTAATTCATACAATTCCATCCGCTTTGCTGACTTCACTAGGGTTTGAATACACCGCGACGCTGCTTTCGATGATTGCAATTCGCCATTTTGTCAAGAGTCAAGTGCACAATCTACCGGCATGGCTTCGGTGCACCCAAAGCGCCCGATACCACATTACCCGAGGTAAATTTCGTGTCTGCGGCCATAGGTGGTCCATCGGTGGTATATACAGCACCAGGATCGAGCCTTGGCAACGAGCGAAGCTGACTCAAAATAACTCGCCAACGTTGGCGTTCTTGGCGGGAATACATCCCTTCCCCAGGAGCCATCGTGTTCTGCAGGGCATTCTATGTTCCTCTTCTGACCCTGGCCTTGCAGCTCGTCAATTGCCAAAGCATCATATCTGAATACTCGCTTATGTACTACCCCTCGATACAATGTGGCTCGGCACAACATATCCCGATGGCGGCAGTGTCCTGCTTTATCATCCTGGGGCTCGGCGTTCTGTATCCTGTCTGGACATGGACTGTGCTTCGAAAGGCGAGTCAGAGCAGGACTTTTCGGATGAAATCGGTGCTGGTATCTGTAACTTTGGAGAACCACGACTGGAAGAAGCCATTGATGTAAGTATGTCGTGTGATCAGAATGGCTTGGAGCGGTGTCATGTGCTCCTGCTGACAGACCTCTGTCGCTTCTCCAAAGATCGTTTCCTCTCGAGCACTTGTCGATCACAGCAATCACCGTCTTCTCAGTGCGATACAGCGGCTTTAGTGCCGAGGTCCCGGCCAAGTCTATGATCATCGTGCTGGCGATGAGTGGCACGGTCCACTCCAGCGTCGATACCCTGAAGCGACCCCACGCCAACATTCTGCGCCACCTCGCACTCGTTACTTTGCTTACCATCACGTTCATAGACTATCTGGTAACGGTCAATCCAGGCTGGAACCTCTCTGCCGTCACCGTCATTCTGCTGCTGCTGCCCGGAATTGTCGCCATTTTCTTTGAATGGCGGCGTCGGCTTGTCGTGGCGGCCATCATGAGTGGTCAGCAGAAACCACCTGCCCGTGGTGTCTCTGGGGCAAGGACCATACGAAACTGAGATTCCACAGCATCCTCGAGAGAATATATGGCGAACGGCACCCATCGACAGCGACGGGGCGCACTCACCCTGAAAAAGGATAGCCTTGTGCATGCAGTAAATGCAGAGTAAATGCAGAGTAAAAGCAGCCGCCGCCAGCCAGCAGTGCCTTGGTTTGAGGGCGCATCTCTGTCCCCTCCGCTCCTCGCGGAGAGTCGAGCAGGCCGGAGCAGGCCGGAGCAGGACAATCTGAGGTACATCCGAGATCACATCGATCCCAGAGGGCTGTCGTGTGACACAAGACAGCGATGTGCTGCAGCCAGCCACCATCTGGCCGGGCCTTTGCGTGGAATCGCGGCCTGGAAGGAACCCTTGCTGGCCCATCGTTCTCGAAGGATGCCGCGCAGGCAAGGCTGCGGACACGCTCAGCCAAAACCTTCCGTCCAGCGGCCTGTTGTATACCACCCATTCGCTTGCTGGCTTCCAGCCCATTGCCTGATCGGGGAGGCATGGGCCAGCAGCCCGCCAGGCCATCAGGCGATTCCTCAGCAGCCCGAGGCGGCGATTCAAGCTGGCATTCAAGCTGGCATTCGGGGTGACATTCAGGCTGGCCTTCGGGATGGCATTCGGGCACCAGCACCGTCAGCCTTGCAGAGCGCAGGCCCGTCGCCGGCAAGCCCACCAGCAGCAGCACCACGGCCACACAAGAACTGCTTCGGCAGCAGCGAGACCGCCCTGCCAGGCCATTGTCGCCGTGGGACGGACTGCGATTCTTCCATCGATGGAAGAAACGGACCAGACAGATCCGCGCACGTTCTGGCTACACTTTATTCAGAAAAAAAACGGGACAATATAGCCGTTTCCATGAACATGTAGTATGTGCTGTGCTTGCGTCAAGCAAAGCCACAAGAAATAAAACAGATCACTTTGGCAGCCTCCGAGTGAAGACCGCCGGTCGCTCTTCGATCTCCACAATCGACCTGCACACTGCGATCATGTTGCGCGCCGCATTGACGTCGCGATTCCACACTGTCCGGCAGCTGGGATTCTTGCAGCTCCTGACAAAGTGGGAATTCGCAACACTGGGCGCATCGAGTCCTTCCAACCGAACTGGCTCCAGGCACTTGGTGCACACCTGTGAGGTGTTGAACTCGTTCGTCGAGGCCACCCTGACGCTTCCATGATGGTGATTGGGACGGCGTCGGTGGTGCTCGAACTGCTCAAAGTACCGAGCAAATCGCTGCCTCCGAGGGCTGGATGCATAGCCCTTGCCCTGTCGCCATGACGCATTGCCAAAGGCGATCACCACATCGGTCCGTATCGGGGCGTGCTTCAGGACGGCCTTGCACATCCTGTCGACGGCCACTTGGCGTCTCCTGTGGCCCGTGAAGCGATGGTGACGGGCCTTCTTGCCAAGGTGGAAGTCGAGCTGCACTCGAAGCTCCGGTCGCAGGACATGGGTGAGATGGACTTTGAAGGCCTCCGAGGACGACACCTTGGGCGAGGGAGTGGTCGATATCCAGGTCTCGATGCTGAGTCGATACTTCATGGTGTTGTGCCACTTGGTGTTGGACGTATGGCCACACATGTGCTGGTAGTGGCCATTGGAGAATGAGACCACCTCGTCTTGGTGGCCCGGTGCTTGGATGATCGCCGTGAAGATGGAGCCGACTCCAGGATCGATGCCAATCCAAGTGGTGCGATCGGGGTCTGGGTCGCCGATGTGGGCCTGGATACGCTGCTCGGCAGTCGGAGGAGGCTCGATGGTCTCGGTGTGATCGGTTCGAGGCAGAAACTTGACGAGACCGATGGTGCATCCAATTCCATCGGTACTGATCTCGTAGTTGAACAGTTTGTGATTGATATCCCGGTCACGGAAGAGGGAACTACGCAGCTTGAAGCAACTGCGCCAGAGACGATCCTGGTTGTTGATACCGTCCTCACCTTCTTCCTTGAGCATGTCCCTGGTGAGTCCAAGACGATGTTCGGTGTCAAGGAGTTGCCAGAGAGTGACGGTGTCGATCTTGACATACTTGGCCGTGGCAGTGCACAGAGGGACCATCGTGCACACGGCCGGAGGAGTGTCGACGGCGAGCTGCTTGAGTGCCCAGTTGATCCTGGCGGCCAGCTTGTTGATCTTGGACTTGGTGGTGCCGAGCTCAGACTTGGCCGTGGTGAACCTCTTGTCGTCGGAGGGAATGCCTTGGGTAGTGAGCTTGTCCAGCTTGGCCTGGCGCTGCAGCTCGGTGACTCGGAGGGCGGGCATGTCACAGTCGATCCACTTGTGGACATTGTCGACCATCTTGTCTCGGGCGAGGATTCTCACATGGTGTGAGAGGCGATGGAGGGCCCGGAAGCGGTCCTGGTCGTTGCTGTACCGAAACTCGTCCAGGACGTGGCCAAAGTCTGGATAGAGGAACTCGAGATCGGCCTTGGGTGGAGTCTGCCCTGGTTTCTCGAAGAGCTCGAGACAGGCCTCGATGGCTTCGTGCTTGTGCTTGTTGGCTGGGAAGACGGTAGCGCAGAAGCGACGAAGGAGTCGCCAGTAGGCCAGGTCGAGGTGGGTGGTGCAGTTGGTGGCATAGGCATTGACAGCCAGTGTGAGAAGCTGACTGTGAGCACCATCAGGCAGACGAGGGGCCGGAGGCAGGTCTGCGTGCCGAGAGGTCTGGTAGCCGCGAAAGGAAGCGACCAGATGCTCGTTGTATTTCTCATTGTCCCCGGTCGGGGAGAGGGCACCGGCCTCGACAATCGTGAAGCATTGGCGAACGAAAGCAGGGGTGGCCTTGGAGATGACGGGGACGGGAAGATCCTGCTCGATGCACCGGAGGATGTGCAGGTTGAGCAGCCTGGATGCCTCGAACTGGATCTGGGTCATGGCCTCGACGGTGGCCTGGATCTTGTCGCGGAGAGCGGGATTGAGACAACAGCCATCCATCGTCTGCTTGAAGCAGCTGAACTGAGGGGCGGATGACCTTCCATCCACGAGAGGGACGACAGAACTCTTGAGGGGCCGGTATTTGGGACACTTGTTGGTGTTGCAACGTTCGTGATCGGTGCCATCGCACTGGCGACATCGCTTGCCGGTACTCGAGGAAGTAGATGGACCAGGCTCGGTGGGATCGACATCCATTGGATCTGCAGAAGCAGTGGTGGTGAGCGACGGAGCAACAGAGAAACAAGCATGCGTGGGATCAGAAGACGAACCAGAGACAGGCTCCGACTGTGACTTGGCTTTCTTGGGCCTGGGTGGCCGAGGCTGGCCATCACCGGTACCCTTACGCTTCGGAGGCATGGGGGCAGATGATGCTGGATGCCTGCCAGTGGTACTGGTCAGAACAGAGACTTTTTTTTATCGTACAATAGCGCGATGATCAGATCAAGGCGAGATGAGGGATGAAAGCAGCAGGACGAAGGTGTGGCATTTATACCCGAGAGCAGGAACCCGTCTGCGCGGGCTGGTTGGGGAAACGACCTGTTCAAAAATCGCCGAGAGGTTCAAGCCAGGGATTTGAGCGTCAAAATGGCGGCGTGATTGGGGAGCTCAACTCCAAATTGGAGGAGCTCAACCCCAAATCGGTGGGGACTCAACCCCAAAGAAGTTCTCGATGGGATTGAAGTCGGGCGAGGCAGGTGGGGTGAAGATCACTGACCATCCTCGGCGCTCGATGCAGCACACCAGAGTGGTTGATGGCAAATGCAGCCGAGACAGACTTGTGTTTCATGTGATTGCGCTGGCGAAGCGGAGCACCCTTCGGTGAGTATCCGTAGAGAGGGAAAATGGATCTCCTGATCCCTGTCTCATCGACAAAAACGAATCGTCGTGGGTCGATGGAGCGGACCTGGTCCCTGAACTGTGCCACTCGCTCATCCAGTCGCTTGGACTTGTAGAGGTGTGTTGCCCTCTTGTGTGAGAGACCTGCTCGGTGGATGGCAGTGTGGCAGAGTGAGAGTGATACTTTCCTCTGGAGGATGGACTCGAGCTTGCATCGCAACACAGGACCAGTCTGGAACGGGTCCTGTTCAATCAGGGTGCGAATGACTGGACATGCCTGCTCGAAGAAAGTGGATCTGCGAGCTGGGACCCGGGATGGGTCATCCAGCTTGCATCCTCGGTGCCATCGATGGATGGTGCTCTTGGATACACTGAATATGGAGGCAACCTTACGCAGGCTATGGATGAGGGCGTAGCATCGCAATGCGGCGGTGCGAAAGTCGGATGTGTGGCGAATGGTCATGGCCAGCGCGCGATAACATTGGGTAACAAAATATTCGATGAATGGTCAAAAACCCGGGTGTCCCGTTTTTTATTGGATTGCCTGTAAACCCATCGGTCCTTTGCCGGGCTCCAGCATAAATAGGAGGTCTTCCCCGTCTCCATTGTTTGATTCTTCGAAACAGAAAAGCGTCCTCGCCTGCCTCTTAGCGACTCTCCCCTCTCCCGCTCGGCCCCACCCGCGCTGCCTTCCATCTGCCATGTCCTCTACCAACATCGAAATCGCCGATGCCGACAAGACTGTCGAGTCTGTCGATGTCAGGGCCGATGCCATGGCCCCGCCCGACCCGGACAAACCCCGGGTGGTCGTCACCCGTGTCGAGGTCGGTGTCCTGGCCGAGTCCTCTGGCAGGCCTGCTTGCTTGGATGCATGGATGCATGGATGCACACTGTCCAAGCAGCAGCCTGAGGCCGTCCCCAACACTGCATGTCGGTCCTAACCGCTTCTCTTGCCGCCCATGCCATATCGCCCTCCACCCACAGTTTATCGGCATCCTCTTTGCCCTGATGATGCTCTTTTTCTCGGCATCGCTACTCGGCACCATCATCGCCACGGCCCTGCCCTCGATCGCCAACCAGCTCAACGACATGAACGACTATTCTTGGGTTGCCACGGCCTTCCTGCTCACCTCGACGGCCATCCAGCCCGTCAGCGGCGTCCTCAGTGACATTTTCGGTCGCAAGGTAAGGTCACGCTGCCTTGGGTTGCTCGGGATTCCTGGCGCAGAGCTTCAGGGCTTCAGGGCTTGGATTCTGCCGCCACGACAACCGCGCTGCCCTGTTGTATACTGCCGCGGTTGCTGTCTCCTCGTCCCTGCATCGATCGCATGCATCTGCACCCACTGTCGCTGGCAATGTCGCTTCAGATTTCACACCGAACCCACCACGGATGCCACCGGATGCCACTCACTCACACGCTCCCAATGCTCGTCCCGCCAGGCCGTCGTCATACTCGCCGCTTTCATCTTCCTCGTCTCGACCATCGTCTCCGGCTTCAGCCAGTCCATGATCATGCTCATCGTCGCCCGTGCCGTCCAGGGTCTGGGCGGCGGCATCATCACCTCCATGGTCTACATCGTCGTCGGCGACATTGTCGCTCCCAAGAAGCGTGGCCCCTACCAAGGCATGAACAGCGCCGTCTTCTCTGTCGCCACCGTCCTCGGCCCCATCATCGGCGGATACTTTACCGACAGCTCGGCCGGCTGGCGCTGGTGCTTCTTCATCGTCGCACCCTTCACCTTCATCGCCCTGGTCTGCGTCTTCTTCTTGATGAAGATTCCGTCCAGTCCCGGCACCTTCCGCGACAAGATCCATCGTCTCGATGGCTGGGGCATCCTGACGGTGTCCAGCGGCGTGGTGCTGATGCTCCTCGGTCTGACTTGGGGCGGAAGCACCTATCCCTGGACCTCGGCCACGGTCCTGTGCCTGCTCATCTTTGGCTTCCTGATGCTCATCGTCTTTGTCCTGGTCGAAGCCAAGGTATCTCGCGAGCCCATGATGCCCATGGACCTGTTCACCGTCTTCAACTTCAACGCCAGCAGCATCATTGCATTTACGGTCGGTTTCCAGCTCTATGGCTTCATCTACTTCATTCCACTGTACTATCAAATCATCCACAACTACAACGCCACCCAGGCCGGTCTCTCGCTGCTGCCCATTGTGCTGGCCCTGTCATTCTCATCCATCATCTCTGGCCTGACCATCTCCCGGTTTGGTCTCACCCGGCCCTTCTCGATCGGCGGCATGGCCCTCCTCACCATCTCCATCGGCCTTCTCATCATCCTCGACGAGAACTCCAGCATCACCATCGAGTACCTCCTTCATGCTTTGGTGGGCCTTGCCATGGGCCCCACCATGCAGACCATCACCCTGTTTGTCCAGGGCTCGGTTCCTGTCCGTCGCCTTGCATCTGCCACGGCCGTCAACACCTTCTTCCGTACCCTCGGCGGTGTCTTTGGCGTCACTCTCTTCCAGACTATCATGACCAGCCGATTCCAGTCGGCGCTTGCCAGTCGACTGGGCCCCAACGTCTCCCTGGCCGGCACCGGATCGGTAAGCGCCTGCACTCTTCCTTTCTGCATGCAGACAGCTATGGTGCCGGCGATGCCCTTTGAATCGGTGTTGTACATCTCGGCCCAGCTTTCTTCCGTTGCCGAGACGGTAAGTGCCCTGCTTCTGACCTTTGCTCTTGTTGCCTCCGCCAGTTCGACCCCACGACCATCTGGGCTCTGCCTCCCAACATCCGCACCCCCGTCGTCCAGTCTTTTGTCGACGCCTTCCGCATGGTCTGGCTTGTTTGCTGCTGCATCGTCGGCTTTGGCTTCCTCTTTACGCTTCTACTGAAGCCGCTGAACTGGGATGCTCGCAAGAACCCCAAGGCCACCAAGGTCCCCGAGTCCAACTGAGAGCGAAGACACCGTGGCGAATTCCTCATTCCTCATCCGCTTTGAATGCTTTGGCTTGGCATGGACACCACCCTCCTCCTCCCGCAGCTCCGCATGTGTGTTTGCCGTTACTCTCACGCGCTGACACCCGTCGACACGACTGCATACCAGGTTCACTCTGTTGATTTTCATTCATTTGTTTTGCTTGCTTGTACTATTGCACTTTGCTGCGTTCACGGATTGTCCACTGGCCCGTGCCGACTCGGATGTGAAGGGAATGCATTGCAGTTTGACGACTCGATTGGCTGCCCTCATCATGTTTGTACTTTTCTTGCACAACGCGGACACGCTGTAATATCATCTCCGGCTTCCCCCGTAAACCAAATTGAAAGAAGCAAACCAAATCACCAGCCCGTCGGCAGCTCAAGCGGGTCGGCTCTGTGTGGAGTGCGATGGGGGTGGTGGGAAGAACGGCGAGCCAGCAACAGGCCAGCCACGTGCGCCGCGATCTCCAGCCTGCGAAATCACCTTCCAGCCGCAGTCCAGCAGGATCGCCTGTCGCTGCGTTTGCGACCGTCATTACCGAGCACACAACCATCATCGCCGAGCGCGACAAGCATTCTCCCACCCCTCCCTCGCTCCGGCGCATATCCAAGAATGTGGGCTCGATCAGCAGCAGCTCAAACCCTGAGAGGCATCTCCTCGGCAGCAGCGACCGCAGCGCGACAGGGCCGCCACAATGGCATTCCAGCTCGGCTGCTTTCGACGAGCCCAAGCTCTCGCAACAACAGCGGCCCGTCGTCTGCCTCGGCTCCATCGGCTCCATCTGCATCGTCCGGTTCACAGAGTCTATCCCGGCACGACATCCTTGCCGCCGCGCTCCCTCCAGGCGCCCGAGTTCCCAAGGCCGTCACGAACTTTGGCTTCACCATCGGCGACATCTCGATCCAAGGCCCGGCCTTGATCGTCAGCGGCGGGACGGTCCTGATGTGGGACGTGCCTCAGTTCGGCGTCGGAAGCGACGTTGTTGTCGAGGGCCTGGATGAGCGGGTCCAGTCGGCGGTCGAGGAAGGACTCGAGACCGACCCGGGCTCGGTCTTTTACGGCTGGACAGCAGAAGTCTTCAAGATCTTTGAAGTGCTACATCCGACGCCAGGTAACTTGATGATATTGCCGTTGCCCCGTGTGTTGTTGCTGCCCCGTTGGTGTTGTTGTTGCCCCCCGTGCTCGTCTTCGTGCCGGGCTAGAATGTGAGGATGGTTCGTTGCCACTCAATCGGCATGAGGACGCCATTGGATGCCGTGGAGCATCGGCCGAGCAAGACCTCAAGCCGCAGCAGAGAAGATCCTGGCAACGAGCACCGACTCCCGAGCGAGCGAGTCTCATAGCACAGACGGTATCGCGGGCACTAACAGCCCATAACTCTGGGTGCATCCACCACCTCCCTCGACCCCTGCAGAGATTCTGGTCATCGGCACCGGCGTGCGCTCACACCCGCTGCCAGAAAACCTCCGCAAGTACCTACACTCTCTTGGAATCCAGATCGAGATCCTTCCAACGGTAAGCAGCAGCGAAACAAAGACGGAGAAAAAAAGGGGGAAACTGTGACAGGCAATCAGGGCTCAGGTTGAACACTGATGCTCCACAACTCGCTCCTTGCCGATCGCTGATTATTGCTCATCGCCCGCTGCTCTTATTCCCTCCTGCCGCATCGCTGGCATTTGACTCTCGAACCATCGGGGGGTTCTGTTCTGTTCTCAGAGACATGCTGCGTCGACCTACAGCCTGCTTCTCGGCGACGGACGAGTTGTTGCTGCTGCACTTTTGCCGATGATTCCCACGTCGGCTCGCAGTGGCCGTCCCGTGGTCGATATCCAACAGGAACCTGCCCAAAAGCCATGATGAATCATGGGGGGGGGGAGGGACAGCAAGTCCCGGCCTCCTCTCCTATCCCTCTCTCGGTCTCTTTCTCTCACGCTCTGGTTGAGGTGGATCTCCCACGGTCCCAAGGGGCACCATGAGAGCCTGGCTCGAGTGAATCAGGTGCCTGTTGCGCCTTCCAACCGCTTTGATTTGAAGTATTTAGGAGCTCACATGAACATAACATGAACATGAACGTGGACATGAGCACGAACGTGGACATGAATATGAATTCGTATATGATCCAGCACGCACAGCTCTGCTTGTGGTACTCGACGGCTCTGCATGAACACACTGCTCGCTTGCCCTGTACCTGCGCCGATGAATCGAGAACTGGAGTTGAGGATCGGAGGATCGGAGGATCGGAGGATCGGAGGATCGGAGGATCGGAGCGAGAGAGCGGGTGGCCCCTAACTACAGCTTGGAGGCGGCCCTACTCCCGGGCCAGCTGTGGGAATGGTATTCGATGTGTCCAACGAATGCGATGACACCGGGTGGATCGCTTTGTTAGCTCAGGGCCCCCAAGGCAATGATGATCTCGCAGCGGTCGCAGACATGCAAAGGACGAGGAGAAAGGACGCAATACCGCACCTTCAAGAACTCTTCGCGTGTCTTGGGATCCTTCAGGAACACACCGAGCATGCAGCTTGTGATTGTTTTGGCCCCGGGCTTCTGGACTCCGCGCATGGCCATGCACATGTGGCTAGGACCAACGGCATTTGAATGAGATTGGTTCCGACCGTCATGCAAAACATGAGATGGAGGGGGGGGGAGGGTAAAGTCGATCAGGATGTGAACTTGGAAGCGTGACTCGGGATAGCCCACCCCCCCCCTTTCCCGCCTCATCACCGTTATGCTTCTAATGGATGGCATGCTGACCTGCACTCGACAATGACGGCGACGCCCTGAGGCTGGAGGGCATCCATCAGGGTGTTTGCGATCTGCTTGGTGAGGCGCTCCTGCACCTGCAGACGCCGGGCAAACATCTCGGAGATGCGGGCAAGTTTGCTGAGCCCAACGACGCGGCGGTTGGGAATGTATCCAATGTGGACCTGGCAGAAGAGGCAGAAGAGGCAGAAGAGGCAGAAGAGGCACAACCAGGAGAAGCAAACAAAAGCAATTGTTAAACAGCGAACATGGGCGAGTGGTGGTGCAATGCCGAAGCCAAGGCGACACCGAGACAAAATGGCCGCCCTTTACCTTGCCAAAGAACGGGACCATGTGGTGCTCGCACAACGAAAAAATGTCAATGTCCTTGACGATCACCATCTCCTCGTGCTCCTCCTCGAAGATGGCATCGTTGAGCAGCTCGCCCACGTCCTCCTCGTAGCCCTTGGTGAAGAAGGCAAGGGCCTTGGCGTAGCGCTCGGGGGTCTTGATCAGGCCCTCTCGCTCGGGGTTTTCGCCGATGGCCCTGAGGATCGTGCGGGTGGCTGCGGAGACTTGCTCGATCTGGCCGTGCTCGACAGAAGACCGGCGCGGGGTCTCGGGGAAGAGCGGCATGACGACACTGGCTCTCTTTTCGGAGTCCTTGGGCTCGGCATCGAGAGGCGAATCGGATGACATGGATATCTGGAAGGTGGCCTTTCTTCTTTTGGAGGAGAAGCTAATGGACTTATTGGGGAGAGGAGAAGTGAAGATGTTAAGAAACCACCGGCGGTCTGTGGGAAACGAGAGCTGCGGCTGCGTCGTGTCTCCGGATGTGGAGGGAGACGCATGGGGACAGCCGCCGAAGCATGACCGGTCTGGCCTGGTCGTAAACGGATGCAAATCTCATGGACGCAGGGCCAAGCGATCCATGGCGCAAACAGATGCGCACCTTGCGGAAACAAGCCCTGGACGAGATGGAGGCAGACGAGGGAAAGCCCGCCAAGGGAGCAGAGCGTTGGGGGGAGGGCAAAGAGCCAATGCGGGAGGCGGGGGGTCATGGCAGGGAGGCAGATGGGGCTGCTCAGCAGAGCCGGTCGGGCATACTGGGTGGCGAGAGGCCAAGCGAATTGGGTTTGTGGTGTCTTGGGTGGTGACGACCATACCACACCGTGCCGGCCTCGCCCAATTGCATTCCATTCTCAGGGAAGGGCAGATATGCCAGTCACTTTCAGCTTGATATACGATTTTTGTATTCGCTATTCCAGACAAACACAAGAAGCCCTACCGGCGATAGCAGAGGGAGCAGGAGCAGCAGGAAGCAGCAGCAGCAGCACGAAGCAGAGGGGTGTGGGAATGGAAGGGCGCGGGGGTCGGGTTGGTTTTTTGTGGGTTGAGTGGATATGAACAGACTCGGAAACATGGATCACACCTTTGCGTGCTCTGTGGGGACAGCCGACTGCAGCCAAGCCCTCTCTATCTATAGAGCCTTTTCCAAGGATGAAAAATTACACAGCGGGAGAAGATCGACCGTTTTGATGGATAACGAGTGCCGTCCGTCGGTGGGAGTGGAGGGAACGACAGAGACGGATGATCGGCAAATAAATGTCCCTCCGTATCATGTGGGGAGGAGGGCACAGGAGATCGGTCGCAACGTTGGCTGGATGCGAAGGGCGGGAGGAAGAAGCAGATTGAAAAATGCAGTGAGGTCATATGGATGAGAAGTAAACAACAGATTGGTGCTCAGGCAGGGAGATAGGTGGGCGCCGCGCCGTATCAGCAACAAGAAACAAAAGTCCAACAGCAAACGATCCAAAAAAAGGGAGAAACGAAAGGCAAAGGCAGACGGCGGAAATGTAGGATCTGGATGGGAAGAGGGGGGAGGAGGATCCGGGATGCGAATCGATGAGTGGTCAGAGGACCTTGGGCGGAACATGACGGCATGATGGAGAAATTAGGCCGACCTGAATGTGGCAGATTAAGTGGAAAGGAGGGGGGGGGAGGAGGCACCCGGAGTGTGAAGGAGGAGGAGGGGAGGGAGAAGAATGAGGATGCAGGATCAAAGTGGACCGGCTACAGGTTGGAGCCGCGCACAATGTCCAGGGTTTTTTCGTACTCGGCGAGCTGCGAGAGCAGGCTGATGTTGGGGCAGATGTACGGCGAGCGGTCCTTGACGAACTTGTGGGCATCGCACCAGCTGAGTCTCAGGGTGTGCATCACATAGGCGATGATGAGGGTTGCCGAGCGCGAGATGCCCTGCTGGCAGTTGACCAGGATGGCGCAGTTGGAGGATCGCGCCTCGTTGATGATGCCAAAGGCCCGCTCAAAGTCGTTGGCAATGTTGTCGGCATTGTGGCCCCAGGTGAGCTTTGAATATTTGACCGAGGGAGTCGCAGGCGACTTTGGGCTGGAGCTGGTCTGCGAGGCTTGGCGGTCCTCCATAGACAGGGTGAGGATCGAGTCGGTGACCGAGCTAGTGAAGGAGAAGGCCAGGGGCGAGGAGCCAGGCGTGCAGGTGGACGACGAGCAGGACGACGTGGCGGGGCTGCTGCGGAGAGATAAGGGAGAGAGGCATTAGTGTCTGGAAGGGGGACAGCGCACGATCGGCATCGAAGATCGCCGCTGCAGAAGAAGAGCGAGCTGGGCGGGATCGGCAGTGTTCGCAGCACAAACTCCGAGCCAGAAACGACCGGCGCAGCATGGGTGGCGTCGATCGCCATCATGGCACCAGATCGAGCAGTGTGGCAGCCGCTGGGATGGGGTGATTGTCGCACCAGATCGAGCAGTGCGGCAGACACTGCATCGGCAAAGGATCGGCAAATGCATCTACACACCTGTCCGAAGGCGTGCTGGATCCCGAGGAGAGCTTTGACCGGGGCTCATACAGGTGGTTGCGGACCTCGGCGGCGACGTTGATGATGTACTTGATGTCGTACCGGGCCAGGACCTCGGGGTTGGAGGCGTTGAATTCCGAGCCGAGATAGAGATTGGGCAGAATCGAGATCGGGCCGCCCTGGTATGGGCAGCGATCGGGATGGCTCAGGGCATCCTCGCGGGCAGAGAGTGGAGCATCGGTGGGGAAGGATTCCGAGAAAGTCGGGTTGATGGACAGACAGGCGGCGGAAAGCGGGGCGATCGAGAGCTTGCGTCGCACGGCCGGCCGCTGGATTGGAGAGGAAGCGGTGGTCTCAATGGCAAGCGAGGGCTTGATCCTCAGCTTGGATTTTGCGACGCGCGAGAAGGATGAGATGGGACGATCGAGATGGGCAGAAGGCGGGGTCGAGTCGATGTTCATGTTGCTGGGGAGGGAGAGAAGCACGGAAGCAGCCATGGATGCAGCGAAGAGAAGCGAGAGCGAGGGAAGGGGGGGAAGGAGTTGAGGCGGGTTTATCAAGTGGCAAAAAGGAAGGCGGCAAAGGCGGAGGAGCGAGCGAGCAGGAGACGCTTGTGGTTGAGGCAGTAGGTCCGCTTGGAAAAGGTTGGTGAGGGACAGCGCCGTCGCGTGGACCGGTGGAGACGAAGAGGGCTTCGGAGTTCGATGGAAGGCACAAGCGAGATCGGAGGAGACGATCTGGACAGAGCAAGCAAGGGTCTGTTGTTGGCAGCAGACTTGTGTGCTTGGGGAAGGGGGTTCGGATTCAAAAAGCTCAGCGGCTGGAGCGACGCAGAAAGGCAGAAAGACCCTGTGGGAGAGAGGGTCTGTGTGCAAAGAGGAAGAACGGGCCTGGAGGCAAGCAAGGGTGCACTTGAAGGGTCAAGCAATAGTAGAGCGAGGCCGCTGTGCTCAGGATTCCGACAACGTGCGGCGACAGAGGCGAGGGGACAGGGCAGCGGCAGCGAGAGGCCCTGAAGGATTGAGCGGAATGTATCGCACCGATGGATCGGAGACAGAGGGAGAAACAAACAAGCAAGGGGGGACTCTGTCGCAGAAGCGAGAAGCGAGGCGACGGAGGGGGATACTTTTGCGAGCAAGAGGCAAGAGCAAGTCTGGGAGACGACGGCAGTGGTCGACTGAGGCGAGCGACGAGAGCTGGTTGGTCTGAGGATCAAGGTCTGAGGGGCCAAAGTCTGAGGGAATCAACGTCTGAGGAGCAAAAGGGCCAGCGGAATGAGGCCAAGTCGCAGTTCGAGGTGTGGCAAAGGAGAAGAGGACACAGGAACAGCGCGGGAGATGCTGGCGAAGCGAGATGCGGTGGCCAGAAGAATGGATGAGGAGCAAGGCACCGCGGGCTCGAGCGGGTCTGTTGGAGAGCAAGTCCGTGTGAGAAGGGCAGGGAGGAAGGGTGGCCAGGACGAAGGCGAAAGATATATAGGTGCGTGCACAACCCGGGTCTGGACGGCGTTGCGCGGTGGGCAGGCGGCCTTGTGGACGGCAGAACGGGAAGGCAAGCGGCCAAGGGCGCACAGGGCGAGCTCGGGCCGGCGCGGGACTCACGGACGAAGCCGCGGCCGGCCAGAAGCGATGCGGCAGGGGGGGGGGTTCGCAGCGGCGAGAGTGCGACGGCCGCGGCGGTGTGAAGGAGTGGATGGAGCGGATGTGGATGTAGTTGAAGTGGATGTAGTATGAAATGGATGTAATTGGAATGGATGTAGTATGAAGTTGATGCTGTGGATGTATTGGTGTGTTGGAGCGATGTCAAAGCCGGAATGGTCGGGTGTATTACAAAAATGCAAAAATGGCGCACGTCTTGGTGCAAGCAGCACAGGCAATGGCGCTGGCATCGGATGCGGCAGCCAAAGGACATGCCGGAAGACAGATGCACCGGACCAGAGGCGGCTGACCAGGGGGGGGGTGCTATTGCTTTGAGGTCCGCGATCTGCTGGGGAGCAAGTGCGGGACCTTGGCCACAGCTCCTTCCGCCAGAGGACGAATGCAAATCAATGGACACCCCAGCAGCGCCGACAAGCTGCTCGCCTGGAGTGAACCGACGGACTGCATGCAGCTGAACCAGACCGAGACAGCCAAGCCGCTTGCACAAGCCGCTTGCGCAAGCCGACAGGCCGATGCACCCGCCGAGCCGGCTGATCCTTTGTGGGCCTGGCCGAACGTGCAAACGGCCGGTGGCGAGCAGCCAATGCCACGGGGCTGTGCGTGTGCCAGTGGGCGCACAGGACAGGTGCGTGCTGGGGCTGTGCCGGGCGAGGCTGCGGCCCAGGCGGGATATGGTGGGGAGGCATGGGCAGCAGGGTGGACGAGCGCCGGGGGTGATATATATGTCTTGCGTGGTGTTCGTCTGGTGGTGTCTGTCTGGTGGTGTTCGCTGTGTTCGTCTGGTGTTGTTCGTCTGGTGGTGTTCGCTGTGTTGTTCGTCTGGTGTTGTTCGTCTGGTGTTGTTCGTCTGGTGTTGTTCGTCTGGTGTTGTTCGTCTGGTGTTGTTGATCGTATCTCGATAGATATTTGCAGTCCCGCAGGAGTCGACAAACCCCAAACGCCCACTGTCTGGCCCCCCTCCTGGGACAAGGGCTGCGCGCCAGGGCACTGTCTGTCCTTGTCCAGGAAGCAGTTCCAGCACCAATCCCCGTGCTCCGCGCGCACCCACACGAGAACAGCGCGCCGCATCCGGCCGCTGCCTCCCCCTTGTCTCCCCCCCGGCGGCAAGGCGCCACACTGTCGCAGTGCCGCTTGCCCGCCGGCTGTGCGCGGTGGGACAGGGCGGCCGCCGGCGCGTCAGCTGCTTGTCCGACCGTGATCCCTCGCGCCGCATCCTTGTCCATGGCCCTTGCTGTCTCCGGTGGGGCTGCGCTGCGGCCGGGTCGCCCGCCCATTGGCTGCCCGCAGACCGAAACGTGACGCGTGGCGCGTTGCGGCCGCTGGGTGGCGCCGTGGCGGTGCGGCACAGTCTCACATGCCCGCAGGGCAGTGGTGACGGCGGTGTGTTGCGTTGCGGTGTGATGCGTTGCGGTGTGATGTGCTGTATGATATGTTGTGCTGTGTGATATGATGTGCTGTTGGAGCATCGGTCGACACCGATCATCGTCATCGCTTTGTCGATATATCCCGCAATATCACCATCATCGTCATTCACACTGGTCTGTCCTCGTATCGGCCGCTCTTCCGCCACCGGCCTGCGGCCATCCCGCAACCGCTGTCTCCCCACCGTCGCTCGAGATCTCCCCTTCCATCCGCCGCTTGAGTCTTCCATCCGTCTCGCCCCGGTATCACCCGCCTGCTCCAATCTTGCCAATATCCTGCTTCCTCTCGCTTGCTCGCCTCCCCAAGACACCACTGCATCTGGCTGTCTCGGCCGGACAACCCTCTCGCCAGCTATGGTCTGCCAACCCAGCCGCGCATTCGCCCAACTCCACCATCCAGCCAAGCGCGAGCCACCAAGGGGGGCAAGCAAGCAAGCAAGCAAGCAAGCAAGCAAGCAAGCAGGCGAGCAAGCAGGCTTGGAATTTGCGCTGACACATCCTCTGTGCTGGCAACACAGAGTCCGTCCAACTGTCGCCAGTGCACCAGAGAGATTCGCTCGTCTTGATGGGTGTGTGATATGATCCGACCACGCCATGTGTCCGAATGAGACAGTGTGTCCCGTTTTTTTCTTCAACCCGCTGTCCTTTCCCTTCCTTTCCTCGGAGGAGCAATGGATGATATGATAAGTGGCTGCATCGGCGACGCTCCCACCCACTCGGGAAGTCCCCCCAATCCCCGTCGTTGGCTGAACGCGCACTGTATTGCGACGATGCCGATGGGCCGATGCTCCCGAACAGCGCAGTGGAGGAAAAGGAAAGGGTATCGTATCGAGACAGAGCATGAAGCAGAAGCCGTCTTGCCAGCGGCGGGCTGCCGGGGCCGTTGGTCGGCGGCGGCGTCGTCGTCGTCGTCGTCTCTATCCTGGTTGACCAGCGTCATGCCATCCATGTCCTCGCCGCCACCGGCGCCTCAGTCTTCTGAACCCTTCATGTCCTTCTGGGCGGCTGCCCTCCCTCAGATGCGATCGGGGGTCATGGACATCCCCAACTTCGAGGCTGGTGTGGCCCCGCCCAGGTTGGATTTGCGGTATTCGGGGTTGCTCTCTCTTCGGGACCGCTCCAGACATTCGAGGCTCGAGGACAAGATCGACGGCTTGTATGCCGATTCGGTCGAGCCCATATCCACCGTCCCCCTGTCTGCGTCGGTGCTCTGTCGCCTGAGCAGCCCGCCCAGGGCAAAATGCGACGAGTGCGTCTGCATACTCATCAGGTTCTCCACCGCCTTGGAGGCAATCACGGACGAGACCGATCCCAGCGAGCAGTCATAGTCCTCCACCAGCCGGTTGGTTGTCGTGCCGCGGGTGGCCTGCCGGGTCGGCCGGTGGGCATGCAGGCTGTCCGTCGAGTATCGAGGCTCGGGAGTGTCGGCTGTGAGTGAATGGGTGTTGGCAAGCGAGCCCTCGGGTTCGATCGAGTTGATCGATCCTTGCTTGATCGCTGCTGTGTCGGGCCGCTCCTTGGGCCCGCTTTCGTCGCCTTCGGAATGCACCCCGGCAGTCGCGCTCGTCTTGTCGGCAAGCGAGAGCTCGGAAACATCGGGGAACCCGCACTCGGGCTGGGTGCCTCGCTCTTCCCGGGCCACTTCGTCCAAGTCACGCAAGTCCCCGGCATCCTCGGTGTAAAAGTCCCAGATGACAATTTTGGAGTCCTGAGAGCAAAGGGATGTCGATGGGTGTCGATGGATGTCGATGGATGTCGATGGGTGTCGATGGATGTCGATGGATGTCGATGGGTGTCGATGGATTAGATGGACAGCAAGTGAATCAAGCGCCTGGTCCGATGTCATCCATTTCATCCATATTTTCCACGTCATCCTCTTCATCCATTGCATCCCACTTCACCCATTGCATCCCGTTTCATCCATCCCGCATCACACACATCACACACATCACACACATCACACCACACATATCCCGCCCTCGTCAACGTACCTGCCCGCAGCTAATGATCTTGGTATTGTTCATCTGCACATAGTAGACCCAAGCGGTGTGGGCATCGCGGAAGCAAAACATTTGCTCGCCTGTTTCAAAGTTCCAGACGCGCACGGTCATGTCATAGCTGCCGCTGACGATGCGCTCGCGGTTGAAGCACACCGATCGCACCAGGTCGTCGTGTCCCTTGATGGTTCTCTTCAGCGATCCGGCATGGGCATCCCAGATCCGCACCGTGCGGTCGGGTCCGCCCGAGACCACATAGTCGCCATCGTACTGGACGGCGGCGACGCCCTTCTTGTGGCCCTCCAGGTCCCGGACGTGCTCGCCCGTTTCAATATTCCACAGCTTGATCAGCGAGTCCTTCGAGGCGGTTGCCACCATGTTTCCGCAGCTGCTGATGCAGTTGATGGTGCCCGTGTGTCCCTCCAGCGTCCGGATCAGCTTGCCCGTTTCGATGTTCCAGACCTTCAAGACGTTGGTTTTGGAGCAGCTCACAATCTTCTTGCCGATGATTCGGAGGTCCAGCACCGGCGCCGTCTCGTTGATCGTGTAGAGCGATCGGCCCGACTTGAAGTCCCAGACAATCATCGTCATGTCGGACGAGCCCGAGACCATGTAGACCGAGTTGTATCGCACGCACAGGACCGAGCCCTTGTGTCCGCGCAGCGACTTTGTCTTCTTCATGCGATCAAGATCCCAGAATCGGATGGACGTGTCTCGGGATCCCGAGATGAGCGTATTACTGTCGAATTGCACATAGTAGACCGAGTCGCTGTGGCCGTAAAGCGATGTCTTGACGTATTTTCCGTGGATCCAGTTGTACTGCAGCGCAAGGCGCTGGCCCACCAGATACTCCCAGTTTCGGGACATGGGCGAGATGAAGAGCTCCCGGTTCTTTTCGCTTGGGGTGCAGTTGACGATTTGGTTGAGTTTGGTGCGGCCGGTGGTGCTGTCCTGGATCTGGTAGACCGAGAACTTTTGCGGAATCCACTTGTTGCTCCACCGCCGCATGTAGATGCGATACCAAATCTTGTTGAGCTGTGCCCAGGGCTCGCTTTCCAGCAACGGAGACTGGTCCGTTCGCATCAGCGCAAAACAGTCCACCGTTTCGTCATTCACTTCTTCGACAAACTCCTTGACTTTGGGGTCTTTCCTTACAAACTGGTATGTTTCCGTCAGCTGCTTCTCCATGATGCCTTGTGACAGGCAACCCAAATCATTGCGGTCGCGCACATGAGAGATACCGGTAGAATCACAGTTAGACCGCTATCAATGGCTGGCCATCGACACCAGGGCAAGCCATCTGCCCCTGTCACGACGGGAATTTGCACGCTGGTGCTTGAAGCTGGGGTGACATTGGCCGACTATGCTCTCCACTGCCGCTCGAATAGCACTATGGGATTGGAGAACATCGCCGAGTCGGGATCGACTCGTCTGAGAAAGAAGCGGCGAGACCCTGCGCTCACTTCCTCAGGCGAAGAAAAGTACACTGCCAAGCCCCAGCTTATGGATAGCTCATCAAACAGCAAAAGCCGGCTCGAGGGATTAGAAGCCATTACCGTTCGTCGTTTGGATTTCCTCGATATCCTTTGCCTCCTCGGTCAAGAGGGTCGCCAGCTCCTCGCAGTACTGATCCGAGAACTGGAAAATGCCCGCCAGCTCCTCGTCCGTGAGCGGATGTTGCTTTTGACCCCCGAGCCGGATCTTTTTTTGCTCGAGCTCAGATCGGTCGGTTTGGTGGACTTGCTGTAGAAGCTCCAGAATGACCGGGGCCTCCCGTTCTGTGCTCGTCACAGAGTTGCGCCGGCTCATTGTGTGGATTTGCGTTGGCGATGGGACCGAGTGTATTCTAGAGTCGTCAACAACAAAGCCGTGTTATTTTGCAGCGTCGGCGAATTGATTCAGTGCTGGAAACGAGGGCAGCGACGAAGCGAGTAATGGGAGCGGTGGAAGCGATGGGAGTGAACGGTGATAGAAAAGAAAAAATGCTCCCTGGTATGCAGAGCACCTGGATACTATGATCGATTGCAGAAGAAGCGTGGGAGTTTGAAACGTTGATGGCCTCGGACACCACTCCCCCAGAGTAAATTCGGCTCTGTGTCGCGAAGAAACGTACAGTTCGGGTCTGCGGTGCGATGCCGAGATATTTCAGAGCGGCCGCGTGGTACTCGGACGAATGTTGAGCAATGGCCGGATGGGGAGGGTGTGGGATGCAGAGGAGAAAGGGATAGCTTCTGGAGCCGGTGACAGCAACCTTGTGTCTTCCTTTGCTTTATCTTTTCGTATTTTTTCGAAGGCTGTTTTTTTTTTTTTTTTGGAGATGACCGAATTGCTCTCTACTTTCCACACGTCATAAATGAAATATACCGCGAAAGAAAATCTCGCGGTTTGATATTGATGAGGAGGGGCGAGAAGAGCCACGAACGAGAGCAGGGTGGTGTTGGAGCGTCGGTCGAAAGCAAAGCCAAGCGGCTTCGAACAAAAGAATGCGGCAAGCAGCAGAAGCAACAGCAACAGCAACAAAAAACAACAAAAACAACAGCGACAGCAGCAACAGAAACAGCAGCAAAGCGCAGGGATAGTGTGCAATCAGGACGTTGCCCCGAGCCTATAACGGATAACAAGCACACACAGAGAGAGAGGGATTCAAGGCAAGCAGCAGATGAATCGGGATCTCTGGATTGTGCGATTCTTAATAGAGGGATATGTCCACACAACCGAGCCCTGCCGACTGTTCTCCGTTGCTCGAGTGTGCGCAGGCGACCGATATCGCAGACTGTGGAGGGACTGTGCCGCTCTTGAAGCACGGGTGAGGGGAGGCTTGGAAGTGAAGAGGGCAGACAGTCGCTGATTGAGGTCGACAGATAATGTCCGCCCATTTTTGAAACGGGGCGCAGTATATGTGTTGATCGGTCACCAGACTCAATGACGCCGATCGGCGCTCGCAGTGCCGTGATGGATTCGGTCGATGAGATGCCATGGGACAGACACCCAGGGAAACGACTTGACCCACTTGGGCTTCTCGGCTGAGAGCACGATACATCCGATCCAATAAAATGCGGGACACTCCAGGTTTCGATCATTGGTGAATGTTATCACTCAAAACATCGCGCGCTGGCCATGACCATTCTGTGATGTGTTTCTGGATCTGAATCAAGGACGCTCTCTCGCTCAGATGGATACACGCAAGCGACTCGATCTCCAGGTGTGCTCACAGTGCCGGGAAGCCAAGCGACTCGATAAGGCCGAGCATCTTGATATCGATACACCATGGAGCTGTCCAGAGAGTGGAGTGGATGCACTTCACAGAGAGATTGCCAACCAGGACGGGAAACAACCGCATGGCTTACCCACTGGAGCCTACGGATCAGCGGACTTGTGTCGCTGGCGCCAGAGAGTGACTGTTCCGTTTCTTTCTGGATTGACGGTACGATAGGGAGGGCGATTCCAGTTCGGTGCGCTTGTGCCCGAATGCGACGGTGTGTCTCACTGCCTTCTCAGCCAAGCGTGGGAACCGCCCGACAGCTGCTGCGCAATCCGTCCCCGCATGCCGTCGGAGTTGTCTCAGCTGATGCGCACGTGGCATACGAACTTTTTTTTTTTTTCTTGCCAACGATTTTGCACATCCTGCCAGGCACCTTCGCTGCGCTCTCTCGGCCCTCCAACGACACCGACTCTGTTGCTGGACGACGCACCTATCCGACAGAGCAGCGAGCCCGCATCCTCCTTCGCCCCTCTCCTCCCTCTCATAGAGCCTCCGCAGCAAGAGTCATAGTCCTTCACGATGCGTCTGGAAAAGTGCTACTTTTGCTCGAGTACCATATACCCTGGTCACGGCACCATGTTTGTGCGGAATGACTCCAAGGCAAGTCTCCCAAGCATCCGATCGAATCGGATCGAGCTTGGGCTTGTGCCGTGATTGTTCTGAGAGCGACCCGATAGCGCCGCTGATGGGAGAGAGCTTGCGGTGCGACTTGCGCCTTTGGCAAGCAGAGAGCATTCCAGCTCCCTCCATCCCAACTGTCTCCTGGAGCGGAATCTCCCTCCAATCTGTACTGTCTCCGCCTGACATGCGATCCTGACCTCATACCATCCTGCCAACATGCCGCCCTACCGGCTCTATCGACAACCGCCAGATCTTCCGCTTCTGCCGCTCGAAGGTATTCGATCGTTCTCGTCTCATAGCTTACCGGGCTTCTCATAGCTTACTTGGCTTCTCATAGCGCACTTGGTTTTCCAAAACGCACCTGGCACGCCTGGCCTCCTTCGTGGCCGGCCAATTGCGTTTTGTTCACGAGCTTCCAGCACTAACCCCATGATTCCGCCTTCCTCCTGCACCCTTCCAACCTCAGTGCCACAAGAACTTCAAGATGAAGCGCAACCCCAGAAAGGTCCGATGGACCAAGGCCTTCCGTCGGGCGGCCGGCAAGGAAATGACAATCGTAAGTCACCCCCGCACCGCCCAGACCACCACGGTCGCTGGCTGAATAGAGTCTGCCTGCGACAGCCTCGAATGCAACACGATCGATTAGCGGATGCAAGTCTAGCAGCGGCATACCAGTGTCTAACTTGGCTGCGGCCCATGGTCTTACTTATGGCTCCCCAGGACTCGACTCTTGAGTTTGAGAAGCGTCGCAATGTCCCCGTCCGCTACGACCGCGATCTGATGAGCACCACCCTCAAGGCCATGAAGCGGATCGCCGAGATCAAGGCCAAGCGCGAGAGAGTGTTCACCAAGAAGCGCTTCCTCGCCAACAAGTCCAAGGAGAAGATGCAAAACGTCCGCGAGATCCAGAAGAACATCGAGCTGGTTGCGGCCCCCGAGCTGCGCAAGAAGATTGTCGAGCACAAGATCCTCGAGGATCAGTCGAGAGAGGACATGGAGCTGGCCTGAACGAGCTCCTCAGGCACTGCGCTGTGACCGTTGTGACCGCTGTGGTCACAGCGATTCTGGACGACCAAATGCGACCGTTGCGGCGTAGCGGCTTTGCCTCGCTTGGATGGGGGCCATATCATCCAGTTTCTGCTTCTACTCTCAACCTGCTCTTGCCACTCCCACCACCGCATCGGGCTGTGTCGGCTCAACTTTTGTTTGCAATCGTAACGGCGGCCTGTTGATTTGGATTGACCCAGACCTGAGTGACACTGTACCAAGACACTTGATCTCCGAGCCATAGCACTGCTGGCGTTCCGTCTCAGCTCGCACTGGCTCTAGCTAGCTCCTGGCCAGCTTTGTATCCAGCCAGAGCCCACGGTCGGCTCATGTCAATACAGCCCCTCCACAAAAATACGAGGCACTGGGGCATTCGAGTGGACTATGTGCCAGCTGCATCTGGTGGAGGTACCGCACATGGAGTCGATGGATGTCGGCGTTCTTGGCTCCAGGGCAAAAACGTGTGTATTCGAGATCCAGAACTGGTGCGCTTGAGGGAGGGGGAAATCTCAGACGGCGGCGATGCCGGCAATCTCGTTGATGGCAGTGTTGAAGGATTTGGAGCAGATGCCGTTTGGACCCTCGGGGTCGTAGAACGGGTTCGATACCAGATTGACATAGGCCGTGTGAATCTTGCGGAGAACCTGTTCTCAGACCCGAATCCGCCACGATGCACGATGAGTGTCGTCAGCCCGTGTTTGGAGCCTGTCGTCATGCCATGGTGCGGATCTGCTGGCCCGCTCCGGCTTGCCGCATCGCACCGTACTCGCGGGCCGCATGTGTGCAGCCGCCTGCAAGGGACTTACGTTCTTCATCTCGGCGTCCTTGACGGCGGTGTCGGTCAGCGTGATGATGACAACGATCTTGATGCGTGTGTTGGTCATATACCCATAGCTGCCCACAGACGGATGCCATTTGAGCCAAAGAATTGACGATGAGTGGGGAACGCACGCTTTGCGGGTGTGGATGGCTGTATCGACAGGCCGCCCGGTCGATGCAGCTTGGGAGTCCCGCCCCGCATCCGGCTGCTCTATGCCAGCTAGGAAGGGCTCTTACACAGCGAGGTCCTCCATCGAATGCAGCAGCCCCAGATAGAGGTCCGAGCTCTTGGTGAACGCGGCTGAAGTCAGCCGCTCCTCGATAATGTCACAGGCGGTGTGGCTCAGGAAATGGTATTTGATGTCGGAATGGCTGCCCTGGAAGGACTGGATGTAGATGGGGTTGTTTTGCTTGCCGATCACGGCGATGGCATTGATGGTGGTGCCGGACATGCTTGAGGCGCTGCCGCCGTCTGGAGAGGAGGTTGTTGGTTTGGGTTGAGCCGGGGGGGGGCCGATACTGCCAAGGGAGCAGGGAGGGACGGGGAGATCAGACGCAGACCAAGTCTGGAATCAGGTGCCGGGCTGGCCTTTGGCGCTTTCTTCGCCGATCAACCCGACCAACGCTCTGGCTGTTCCTGCTCTGTTGCCCTGCACTGCCCTGCCCTGTCCGGCCATCGACAGTCCTTCTTCCCTCCCTCCTCTGCCTGTGATGGATCCACTGCAGAAGCTCAAGCGCACGCTGCCATCCACTGGGGTGACGTCCTCGCCGCATTACGACCCCAAGAAACTCGAAGCCGGGCTGTTGATGTGGGTGCTGCAGTTCCACTCTCCTCATCCGCCGGCATCGAACCACACCAACGGCTCGATGCGACGGCAGTGTGCACCGCTGCTACTGCATCGTGTCCCTCTGGGTCGGCTCAGCCCTGTAGTGCTCGACTCTTGGCTCGCCCCGCTGGCGAGTCGTTTGCGCTCGGCCAAACTTGGGGGTTCCTGCACACTTTTCACCCACTTGCTCGCCGCTGATGTTTACGCCTCCCCCCTCCCGCCTGCATACCGCCCGCTGTGCTCATTCCGGCCGCTTCCCGGGACCAGCCAACTGATCAAAGATAAAAAGCAGCTGCAGGATGTCGCTGCTATCCAAAAGGAAGAAATTAATCGGCTACAGAGCCAGGAGCTCAAGCTGCGAGCCGAGCTCCTCATCAACAAAGACGAGAACAGCTATCTCAAAGACGAAAACGTCAAGCTGCGGCAACTCGTCAAGGCCCTGACGGAGCGACTGACGGAGCGGATGGCCGAGCTTTCCAGCACGCTTGTCTCAAGGGCAACGCCGACGACGCTCGAGTCGCTCGGCGCGATCGAAGTGAGCGCCGATGTCCCCACGACAGAAGCACCGTCACTGGATCATCCGCAGCTCCTGCTTCCCATCCCCGGGGTGCCAGAGGAGCTTGCTTCCGAAGACGGAGGCGTTGACCGCAAGCCGCCCCTCGATGATACCGACAGCGCCTAACAGCAGTCCTGGGCTGCTGTGCGGCCCGTGAGCTTGACGGTGGAGGTCTCATGGTTCGCTGTGAGCCACTTGGACTGCATTCCGTCTGGCGTGGTCCGGATCGACCGTTTTTTTTTCTTTTCTTTGAAGATCAACAGACTCGAACGCTATCGGTGGGGGGGGGAGAAGGCAATGCAAGTATCCTGTCGATCCGCCCGAAAATGCCCTGCGACAAGAACTGCGGCGGAAGGTCGCCCGCCGAATCACACTACATTGCTTCATTTTTCGCTCTGCTGCAACAACGGATCCGCTTCCCACATCCGTATCCGGTCTCGACCATCGACTCCTCTGCAGTACCAAGCTCAGCACGCAATCTGCCTGTGCGCTGACCATGGACTACATTGCTGGTCGGGCCGGGAGAGTGGCTCGGCCCCGATCTGGACGCTCGACACTCGCTGTGGTACAGGCTCTCCTCTGCGCTGTCTGTCGTTGTTCAATAGTTATCAGTGATGCCATAGAAGTCTCACGACGCAGTCCCGTCGACTGAACGCCGATCCTAGAACGAAATGGGAGCCTCTGTTGTGAGCCAGGGCTGTCGCTGTTTCTGGAGCACTGAATACACCATGGCCTGCCCACCGGGTACAGCGGAGACTATGAAACTCAAGCGGCAGCATCCGCTCCTGCACCGACGCCGATACCATTGCCAACATCGACACCAGAGAGTGCAACTGGGCTCTCCTAGACATCATCCAGAGCATGTCGCACAGCCACCCTGTGTCCAACCACGCTGTGGCCAGCCGTCCTCTGGCTTGGTGTGATTCGGCCTTGCTGGGGCCAGGCCGCGAACACCCATCTTCCTCGATCTGCTTGCCGACAACCCCTGATCCATGAGCAGACTCCAGTCCCCGCGGAGCGGGATGGGCAATGACGATCGGGCCGTTCAGCGAACACTAGCCGATCTCATCCGGCCGTCTGCAGCTCCCAAAGAGCGGCGGTCCGAGGTCAGCGCCTCCGATCCCCACCCGAAATCAGAAGCCTCAAAAGAGCCCAGCTCGATGCAAATCGACCGTCCGAGCACCTCGGGCTCGTGCTACTGTGGTCGGATCAAAGAGCCGTAGGTAGCTCGTTGCTTTTCTTCTGCCTGGCTATAGCATCGCGGTCTCTGTCCCGCGGCCGTCCTCCACATCGGCCTCGGATCCGATGGCCCAAGCCCTTGGGAGGGATACCCGGTCGGCATTCAACAGGATGATCCGGGTCGGTATTCGACAGGATGATCCGGGTCTGTCTCGATCTGGAGCCTGCTCAGTATTGCGGCTGACACCTCCAACCGGTCCGGTGAATCTGCAGGAGCTACCATCCGGACTTTCAGTGTGCTTCGTGTCTCAGCTATTTCCACCAAGGTACGGAGTTGGTTGGTCAAAGAGCACATTGGACATCGAGCACGATCCAGTTCGCAACAGGCGCCTCTTGCTTTTTTCGGTATCGCAGCTGATGAATGATGATCACTCCCCGACACGGCCCGATCTTGCCACTTCAAGAATGCATCGATGTCATCAAAGCCTGGGCCGAGCCGCCGCTACCTGGAGACGATTATTACCTCTTCCGGTGCAAGAACTGCACCAACGGGCCCGAAACGATCAAACGGCTGCTGCTGTCATGGTAATCGAGAGTCTGTCTCGCCAAATCCTTGGTGTGGTGTCGCTGTGGGCCACAGCGTACGATGCAGCGGTGGTCCTGAGTCGATCGATGTTCTGCGCTTTGTCGGCGACAGATCGATCAGGGCCGGCGACATCAGGCGCAAGCCAGCAGCATCGTAGTCGGTGCTGGTGCTGTCGCCCCCGAGCCAGCGTTCCGGGATTCTTCTCTGATTCGGCTGACTCTTTCCTCAACAGGATGGAGGTGGTGCACATCACACTGTTCAATCTGACCATCGCCTCTCCCACCCATGCCAAGTACTTCCAAATCAATCCGCACATATGCCAGTTTGTGGAGGCGCATTGGCACCGATTCTGGACCCGGACGCGCGGCAACACATGGAAGAGCAGCGTCTCTGGATGTCTCTCTGCCGGAAGCCGATTTGCATCTGGCATCGATACCCATAGGGAGCAAGGTCGGTCTCTGGGCATTTTTCTTGAATGACGAGTCAACTGCGTTGTGAGGGATGGGATGAGTCAATGGCACAAAGATAGCGGACACACAGAGCCGAAAATCTGCGTCATCGTCTCGCTGATGTGTTTCCGGCCGACCCTTGTCGTCAGGCTGGTGGGGATTGCACTCTATGAACTTCCCGTCTGCGGGCGAGACCAAGAAATCCAAGAACGTTGGATACGACATTGCTGAGAACGGCTCGCTCCTGGAAGTGGAGATTCCGAAAGCGATTCGGCGACACAGGCTCGACAACAGCGACTCGGACAATGAGTCCCAGGCAAGCTCGACGGTATGTCGGCCCCACTCTCTGGCCAGCAGCGGGGGGGGGCATGGCGATAGCGCTCCGGATGTTTCGGACTCGTGCCCTGTCTGCCTCGCATCGGTACTCAGATAACAAGCTATTCGGCAGCCAGGGGCTCACTACTGTGGTGATTTCAACCTCCAGCGACCCCAGAAGAAGAAAGGCTCGAGCTCCCGAGCCAATTCGATTGGCCCGGACGAAGCCGAGGCTGCGAAGCGCAAGCCGGCACCAAGACGCCCTCCAAAGTCCAAGAAGAACAAGCCTTCCGATCTGGATATCGACCCAGCGACAGCAATTAGTATGATATCTGCAGTGGCTCAGCCGCCTCGGTGCTACCGCTGTTCGAGAACTGCATCTGCCTATTGATGCGCTTGTGAATGGCCATTGTTTGCTGAGTGCCTGATGACAATGCCATATGCGATAGCGAAGGTCGACTGCTCGTAACACTCTTGGGCAATTCCATTCCCCGTTTTCGCTGCCATCGCTGTACTCAGAGCTGTATCCGGACATTGACAATCCAAAGTTCCCCGTGCGACTACACGAGATGCCCACACACTCGGCGCCGCAGATGAAAATCACCGACAACGGAACGGCAGTGATGAATGAGAAGGGCTACCGCATGGCCAAGGCCTCGCACGGCGTGTGGGAAGGTTACTGGTATTTGGAAGTGCTTATCAACAGCCATCCAGGCCACACCAGGTGGGCACTCCTGTCCGGGCACTTCTGTTCGGGCACTTCTGTCCGGGCACTCCTGTTTGGGCTCGCAGGAGAGGCTGTTAACGGCAAGCGAATGCGCGAAGGCGGCCCTTTGTTGCTGCTTTCGGCGCGGCCGAAGAGTTGCGGAGCCGATGCCACTGCATCGGGTTGACGACGGACTTTTTCGGCTCCAGGATCGGATGGTCCCAGATCAGCGGCGACCTGCAGGCTCCGTGTGGGTTCGACCAGTTCAGCTACAGCTTCCGCGACAATCCCGGCACGCTTTTCCACAAGAGCAAAGCATGTCCGGGTCCGGAAGGATATGCATCCGGATATGGTAAGCAGCAGACAGAAGCATGCGATTCAGAGGTTACTGAAAGGCGAGCTACACAGCCGATATCCCATGAAGCACCTCAACCATACCTCCAAGCAGATCTTGGTTCGGTTTGCATTCCCATGACCTGTTTGAACTACTTGTTGGTGCAGGACCCGGCGACGTGATTGGGATGTCGATCAAGCTCCCAAAGCCAAGAACGATGGACGATCTGCTCAGCCGTCTGTGGGAGAATCGGTCGTTGGAGCTGCGGGCGTATTCTACATTTCCGAGCAAGCCCATGGATGTGGCCGAAGGGGCCGAGATTCGGTACTACAAGAACGGAGCCGACCTGGGTGTGGCATTCAAGGGGCTCTACGTTGGTATGCGAAGGACCTTGATGCTTAGAGCCGGCAGCTGACTTGTAGATCGATCGCTACAAGTTACCACACCATCTCGCCACCGCTGCCCATACCAACACTGGCACTGGCACTGGCACTGGCACTGGCACTGGCACTGGCACTGGCACTGACCTGGCATTCGATCATCTGGCTTCAGGCAAGTACCATCCTGCTTTCTCGTGCTATATGCAGGGCTCTGTCACAGTCAACTTTGGCCCCGACTTCAAGTACCCGCTTCCCGAGGGCGCCCAGCCATTCAGCAAAGTAGCCAACGAGAAGACAATGCTAGAGCTCCAGCGAGAGATGGCGCAGCCCGCAGGAGATGCAAGCTCCGAGGGACAGCCGGGCACGCAGTAGGCTCCGTCAACTGTGCGTCCTGGCAATTGGAGCGGATTTGGTCCAGCCCATGTGCGTGTATTCAATAAGCAGGCATATAAATGGTGTGGAGCCGTCAGCGTATGATGTGCTGGCGAGATGATAACGCAATTGCAGAATCGGGACAGGATCATGGAAGTGAGTGCAAATGGCATTGAATGGGAGTAGCATGGGGTCGCCGCTGCATGGAGTGGCGCTGGGGAATGGACTGGGGCCGAACGAGCGAGCGGCGCGAGAGACGCAGACAGCAAGTCCAAGACTGACAACGTGACAGGAGGCAAAGGAAGGAGATGAAAGCCGCTTGCCGTCAAGCTGACAGCGTAAAAGCGGGATCAGCAGACGAGATGTTCTGTCGGGTCGCCCGACGTGCGATCGATCGTGATGCTGGGGAAGCAGTGACCACGAGAGCATCAGCGATAGCCGCAGCATCCCATTTGTACACCAATTGCAATGTCCAGGAAATTCTATTTTACAGGGCGGCGACAAGAGAGTGGCGGAGAGCGACAAGAGACCGCGTTGAAGTATATCCGGTCCAGACACAGGGGGGAAGGAGGGAGAGCACGCGAGAGAGAAAAGGACGGGAGGAACGGGAGGAGCTATCCAGACTGAGCCCAGTCGAGTAAACCTTGACGATAGATGTGGATTGATGTACAAAGCCAGATGCGAAGCGGGTGCAAGCACCTGGGTTATCTGTCTGGATGGGCAATGGCTAGTCGGCGCACCGACAGCCCGTCCAGAGGCAAAACGGACACGCCAGTAGTCGCCCAGAGGCAGGTGGACCTGGGTCGATATTACCGCCATCCCGAGTCCTCGTAGTCGTCGTCATCGCCGCCAGGGTTCGAGGCCCGCCGGGGGCGATAGTGGCCGCTGTCGTCGTCGTCGTCATCGCCATCCACAACCCGATCATCGCCATCGTCATCGTCATCGTCGCTGAAGCGGTCTGGGATATCATAGTCATCATCGTCATCGTCGTCAATTGCATTCCACCAGGAGGGCATGCGCGGGTTGATGACCTTGACGGATGGCGCAAGTGAAATGGAACTTGGAGCAGGCGATGGAGGTCGGCTGGTATTTGAGGCCCAGTACTGGATAGGGGCTGGTTTGGGGGCCTTTGCGATTTTCGAGCGAACAGTGGTCATGAAGTTTTGAATCAGAACAAGTTTGAGGATGATGTCGGCGCGCTTGGATTTGGACGGAGGTGCGGACGCCTGCAGCGAGAAGAACGAGTAGCGGATGGGACGCTGGGGCTTGTCTTGCTGCCCCGGCCGCAGCGGTGAGTGCACCAGGACCTTGTTGCTGTGGGGCGAGCTTGAGGACAGGCATGGGGCGGAGTGATTCGATTTGGAGGCATACGGCGAGGCTTTTGGCAGCGACCCATGCGACAGGCGGCGGGATGTGGGCGACGGCGGCTCGGCATCCGCCGAGGAAGGAAGCGAAGGCAGGCTCTTTCGCGGCGAGGTAACCTTGGGAGGCGTGTCGGTTGACTCCTTGGCCTCCAGAAGCCTTTGCAGTTTGCTGGAGGTGATGGAGAGGATGTAGGTTGGGTTCGTGGACGTCATGGTAGGGCCGGCGGTAGCAGCACGAAGGTCCGAATCACTTCAGCAGAACGGGGGACCGCTGAATGGCCGAGACTCTGGAAAGAGGGGCTCGAGGAGAATCTGTGGGCGTGGGCTTGTGGTCTGCGGTTGCGACTGCAACGATCAAAGGGAGAGGTGGCAATGGCTCGGCTCGGCGATCGGGCAGAGCACCTGGGATTTGCGGTTGGCGTTGAAACGAGGCACCAAAGAGATACGGCTTCACGGTGCTCCACGAGGCTTCGCAGAGGCTTCACGAGGCTTCGGCAGCCAGGGCGGGGCGGCAGAGGGACCGACGGGAGGCCGCCTGAGGAGGCAGGCAGACGGAGGTGCAGGCAGGCAGGCGGGCCGGCGGCGAGCCGAGGAGCAGGGCGCTGAGCAAGATGGATGCGAAGGATGATCCGAAGGACCGATGCGAACAACCGCCGCAAAGGACGGACGGCGCCGAGGCGGCGAGCGGTTCGAATGGCTGCAGCCGGCATCACGTGTGCCGCTGTCTGTGTGGGCGGCGACTTGTGCGACGGCGTGTCGGCTCGCGGTTGCCGTTTTTGGCATGGAGTGAGTGGGCACGACGGGGACCGGCGAGCTGCAGATGCGGTCACTGCGGGTCAGAGCACGGAGATATACCAGGGATGAGAGAGGAAGACGCTGGGCAAAGAGCAATATCGCTGTGGACCTCGGCGAGCGGATTTCATGGAGTTTGGTGCCAAAGTCTGATTCACACAAGCCGCGCAAGCCACGCAGGCCACTTGTGTGAGGGCGTCCCGTTCCAAAAAAAGGTCGCTGTCATCAGATCGATCGCTGTCACCAGATCGATCGCGGTCATCCGATATCGATCGCCTGGGCATCGCCATCCCATCTCTCCCCGACACTTTCATTTCCTGCCATGGATCGGCTCGTCCCTGCACCCCCGCCCAGCCTCGCCCATCTGTCGACTGTCCTTGCAACCAGATCAACCGATCTCTGGGTCTTCCTCGGCGCAACTGGCTTCCATTCGGCCTCGCTTCTGTTGCTCTCATGGCTCGAGGACATCCGCAAGGCTGGAAACCCAGACGGCCCCTCTGCCGCGCATCCGTCTATTCTTACCGCCGCAGCCGAGCTCGCCCTCGATCGCTTCGGGATCGGCCTCGGCACCGTGCCCGTTTGCGTTGCCTCGATCTCGCTCCTCGTCTCGCTGGTCTGCAACGTCTTCCACGAGGGTATTGTCCTCCAGGAAGCAGGACCGCTCGAATGGTTCAAGCTCATCAACCTCCTGCCCCTGGCATACATCCCTCTGGATCTTGCCGATGCTCTTCTGCGAGGCTATGCCGTTGCCACGGCGTCGGACAGGTCTCGCGCCTTTGCCGATCCGACTGTTCTTTCTCCATGGAAGCCGATCTTTGTCAAACTCTGCATCGGTCTCGTCGGCTCGCTCTCGGTCGTCATGCTTGTCCATGCGAGCCGCCAGTCCAAATATCTAGCCCTTCGCGGAGACCCCTCGGATCGCCAGAGGCAACCGCCGCCTGGATTGATGCGGGTCAAGGATCTGCATCCCGATGCTGCCGTCTTTCGTTCAGATGCTTCCTCTGACACCAGCAAGCGTCGACAGCGCAAGCCAGCACATCCAAGCACCTGAGCGCTGTCCCAATACAGAGCAGCCCGCAAGCTGCATGCCGGCACCACACCCCGCCACCCCTTGGCTCGGAGCCCTGACTTGATGTGCTCGACAGTCATTCCGAGAGAGAGGACAGCCTTTCCGAGGGGCAGAGTGTCTCGAGCCCGCTGCAGAACACACCGCTCCATGGCGCCGATCGTGTTCATGAGCGCAGCATCGCCAGGATCAGAAGTGCTGCGCTTTTTTTTTTTTTTGGGTGTGTTGTGCGATCAGCCCTGCAGTTCCAGAGAACCTTCTCCCACCCCCAGCGCCGTGGTTCGCTGCTGTCCTGTTGGCTGCCTCTCGAGTCTCGCACCATCCCAGCACTCATTCTCCACCGCAGTCCCGCATTCTTTGCCATCTCGGCCGAGACCACATCACCGCCATGGTTGCTCTCACCCGAAGCAAAGACAAGCCGGCTGAGCCCAAGTCGGCAAAGTCGCCCAAGAAAAAGGTAGACGACGCACAGACCAGCAGCGACAAATCGCCGAAAAAGTCGAAAAAGCCCAAGTCCGAGACAGACGAGACTGAAGCAAAGCCCAAAAAATCAAAGTCCGACAAGTTCGACAAGCCCGAGAAGGACAAGAAGAGCAAGAAGCGCACGGCCGACTCCAAACCCGACGAGCCCAAAGAACAAGAGTCAGCCAAGGTGAAGAAGACAAAGACCCTCAAGTCCGAACCAGCGGTTGAGAGCGAGGACGGCTCCAAGAAGAAGCGCAAGCGATCTGGCGACGACACCGCCGCCAGTGCGGACAACTCCGACAAGGAAAACGTCACTGGCTCAGGATCCGAAAAGAAATCCAAGACCAAGACCAAAAAGGCCAAGACCGAGACCGTGGAGGAGTCCGAAAAGCCCGAGAAGAAGACCAAGAAGCAAAAAGCCTCTGCCAAGGATACCCAGCCGTCTGCCGACGAGTCTTCTGCCGAGCCCGATGGAGCACTGCTCATCAAGGTCGAGGAGGCTGCCGCCGACAGCGACGCCGATCAAAGCACGCCTCCCGAGCTCCTTCTCTCCAACTACAAGTTCAGCCAATCCACCCTGGATGCTCTCCAAGCAAGAGGCATCAAAGCCCTCTTCCCGATCCAAGCTGCCTCCTACTCGCATGTCTACAACGGCAAAGACGTCCTCGGCCGTGCTCGCACCGGCACGGGCAAGACTCTCGCCTTTGCCCTCCCGATTGTGGAGCGGCTCAAGGCCGAGCGCAACAAGGACCGATCTGCATTTGATCGTCGTGGCCGAGCCCCTCGAGCGCTCATCATGACCCCGACCCGCGAACTGGCCCTCCAGATTGCCCGAGATTTTGAATGCGTCGGCACCGGAGAGATCAGGCACACCTGCGTCTATGGCGGCGTGCCATACGACACGCAATGTAAGCATTCTCGTAGCAACCCTCATGTTGCGTTTTGGCCAGTGCTCAATCAAGAGCACCATTCCGCAAAAGCTGTGCGCCTATTTCACTTCGCTCGCTCTCGTCTCTCTGCTGACGACTGATATCGCCGCTCGAATTAATGCCGTCCCTATCATGATCACGACGGACATCTTAGACTACGCTATGCGCGATGGTGTCGACGTTGTCATTGGCACGCCAGGCCGGCTGATCGATCATGTCGAACGAGGCAACCTCAAACTCGCACAGCTCCAGTGAGTCACCGTGTGTCAGCTCCGAGCTGGCCGGTGGAAGCCGAGAGCCTGCGTTAATCCTTCCTCGGTGGCGCTTGCTGACGGACACCTCCTTGTGGACCAACCGATGGCAACCATTCGGCTGACATTCTTCCTTCCCCTCTCTCGTTTAGGTTCATCTGTCTGGATGAGGCCGACCAGATGCTTGATATCGGGTTCGCAGATGCCATGGACAAGATCCTGCAGCAAGTCGACGAGCAGAAACAGGGCGCGGGAGCCTCCGCTGCCGTGCACCAGACCCTGCTGTTCTCGGCCACCCTGCCAGTGTGGATTACCCAGGCCGTCAAAAAGTACATGAAGCCCGACAAGGTTACCATCGACCTGATCGGCAACGACAAACTCAAGACAAACTCCAACATTGGCCACCTGTGCGTCCCCTCCCGGTGGCAGAACCGCACCTCAATTCTGGGCGACATCGTTGCCGTTTATGGACGAGGCGGGTCCGGCCGAACCATGATCTTTGTCGAAACCAAGGGCGAGGCTAGCGAGTTGGGACTGAACGAAAAGCTCGCCAATATGGGCACACAGGTCATCCACGGAGACGTCCAGCAGAAGCAGCGTGAGGTTGCGATGCAGGGCTTCCGAGAGGGCAAGTTCCGGGTCTTGGTCGCGACCAACGTCTGTGCACGCGGTGTCGATATCCCCGAAGTCGACTTGGTCATCAGTAAGTATGGCGCTCGTGTCCATTCAGCCTGAGCACCCTTCTCGGCCCTCAGACCAAGTGCACAACGGGTTGAAGCCGCTAATCGCTAATCAGGCTGATGCTTGTCCTGGGCCAACACAGACTGTGAGCCTCCAGGCGATGTCGAAACATACATCCACCGCTCCGGCCGAACGGGCCGTGCTGGCAAGTCGGGGACCTGCATCACCTTCTATAAGCCTCAACAGGAGTATCTGCTGCAGAACATTTCTCGCCGGGCCGGCGTCAAGTTCACCACCGTCGGTGCACCCCAACCCTCCGAAATCATCAGTGCCCGTGCCGCCGATACACTCGACCAGTTGCCGGACATCCATCCAAGTGTTTTGGACTACTTCAAGGACACAGCCAAGCATTTCCTCAACCACTACAAGGGCGACGGCGAGAAGGCTCTGTGTGCTGCCCTTGCTCTCTACTGCAACACAACCAAGCCGCTCCCGGCTCGCTCGCTCCTGACGGCCAACGAAGGGTTCATGACGCTGCTCTTCCGCACCGCGAACCCCATCCAGAACGCCGGGTATGTCCGGGCTATCGTCCAGCGGCAGTTCCCGGCCCTGACGTACGAAGACACGGGTGGCTGGCGCATCACCAAGGACTACTGCGGCGTCGTTGTCGATATTGTCTCCGACAAGATCGAGCTCCTCAAGAACGAAGACGACACCGCCCGCATTCTCATCACGGGCATTGAATGGCGCGATGGCCGTGGAGTCACCCTGGAGATTCTTAAGGAACTACCCGAGCTCGAGGACAAGATGGGATCAAGCAGTTACGGCCGCGGAGGCCGAGGCGGCGCTAGTACTGGCGGCGCACGAGGAGGCTACGGACGGCCATATACCAATGGCGCCGGATATAACGGCTCGTCCCGCGGGGGCTCATTTGGTGGCTCTCGGGGCCGCGGGGCCGCACGAGGCGGTCGCGGCAGGGCTTTTTGAAGCACAGGGATTCAGAAATTGAATTAAAAGATGCGACCACGAGTAGATCGCTGTATCCCCATTAGCCTGTGACAAACCGAGTTGGGAAGCTCTCAGAGGGCGGTGGTAGGACAACGACTCGCGACTCGGTCTGCTCGACAGTCAAATGGTGATTGGTACTTTTATTTATATACGTTCCAGAGCAGGCCACAGCATATTAGATTAGGGATTCATTAGGTCGCAGACATTAGATGCAATCGGAAGGATCAGAGACAAGCGTTTCAGCAGCGACATTGAGACTATGCCGGCAGAGCAATCCCGCGACTGCTGCGTGGGATCGCTGTTGTGGGAATAGGGAAGCTTACGAGCCACGGACACAGACAGCGGCGTAGGTGGCGCTGGCCGAGGTGGCGGTCAAGGTCTGGCCAGTGCTGGTAGCTCGGTTGACCTGGACGTAGTAGCTGGATGTGCCGCTCCACGAGCTGGTTGTGGCATCAGTGGCGATCCAGCCGGCGGGAGTCGCGTCCGAGAGACACGAGGACAGCAAGCCGACAATCTCATTGTAGTTGGCTGTCGACTGGATATCGGCCAAGTTGGTGTTGTAGTTGCACAGGACCTGGCCACGAGTGGTCTTGATGGGGTTGCCAAAGTCGTCGGTGGGGATGCTGAAGTTGGGCGATTCACACTGCGGGCGATAGAGAGCAGCGTGCAGGGCAGTGCTGTTGGCAACCGAGAATGTGGAGGGGTTGGAGACACCATTGACATAGGGACCTTTGACCTGGATCACATAGAGACCGGGAATACTTCCATAAGCAAAGTAGTAGCCGACGTAGTTGGCTCGGAGGTTGGCGTTGGTTTGGGTGGTCGGGAAGACCTGGATCTGGGGGTTGCCAAGGCCGTCCTGGGAGGTGCGCAGGAGCGAGATGCTGTGCATTGAGGGAGGAGGAAGATTAGGGATTCAAAGCATATATGATTCGGTGAGCATTGACTCCCACAAAACATGAATTGCTGCGAACTGTAAGCCTGTGGGTTTTACTGGCCAACGACCACAGTACACAATGACCGACATTTGCCAACAGAACGAGCGCCTCGGATGATTGGCATCTCGCTGTGTATGCGAGTCTCACGCAACACAGTACTCTGGAGAAACACATACAGCTGTGATACTTACGCAAAGGTGTTGGGCTGGCCCGTGGCGGCATCGGTATCGGCAAAGTTGGTGCTGACAGAGAACCACAGGTAGCGAGGATCCTGGCTGGGACCGCCACTGGTGGCTGTGGCGGGAATACGGAAGGTATCGCCGTTGCGACCCCAACCAAAGAGGTTGTACTGGACGGCAAGAGTTGAGGTTCGCTTCACGGGGGTTGCATCCGAAAGCTGGGCGGGAAGGGCGGCCAGGAAAGCCAGGGCACTGAGGGCAGAAATGAACTTCATGGCTGGAACGGGTTGAAGCAGGCAGAGAGGTGTGGGGCGACTTGCTGCGTGGGACTGGAAGCAGGTGTTGCTGAGGTCGAAGGCGGAAGACGATGCTGCCTGGATGAGGTCTGCTTGGAGTGGGCTCCGGGTGGCCTTTTTATGCAAAGGAGATGGCAGTCCAACGGCTGTGGCCAGCCGGCGTTGGAGCAGAGCGCTGGCATGTCCAGCCGCCAATCACCCCGTCCTCTCCATTATCACCCCAAGGCCTCGAAAGAAGCGGCTTCCCCCTGAATCAAAGGCTGAACATGGTCTACCTTGGCGACAATCGGGCCAATCTCATTATGAAAGGTGGTCTGGCTGAGCCCTATCTCGCACCCTGCCGCTCTGCTTGTCCGGTATTGCATTCTTTGGCTGATCGCTGTCTGAATGCAGGTGGACATCCTTCCTCAACGGCTGCTCCCCCTTGATCTGCCCGACTCATTGTCATTCAGGAGGTTTTCTGGAAATCGTCGTGGATGGGCATGCATAATGGTCATTGCACATTGTGCCGACTTGCACCGACCGCTTCCATTGAACGCCAGGAGATAGGGGAGACCTGGTCATTCCCGGAGCATCGACAATGGCCATGGCCATCGAGGATCAGCGGCAGCGACTTGCCTCTGGTCAAGGCAACACGCCATTATCTGGGCTGCTTCCATCTCGCTCGCAACTTCAGCACTCCACTCAGCGTCCTGTCCGTATTCGCGAATGTGCTCCACTCTGCCTCAGATCCCTCATCCGCACTCGCCCTCTCGAACAGTTTGACCTTGGACTCGGCTGCATGTTGCCAGTATTGGGACAGCGGCGATGCAGTCGCAATGGCCTTTGTCGTTGTCAGCAAGACACAATATGCTAACCCCAAGATTGATGGGGAGCGTGGGGCAATCCCTTCCAGAAAGGACCTTTGTGGGCAGATCGTCATTGTGCCAATCACAGGAAAGGCATACAGCAACCATGGTCTCTGGTTGGCTGCTCCCCCGTAGTCGGGAAGCGGCCACAACGCACCTCCAGGGTGCAGAAGATCAATCGCCATCGGAGGACCAGCGGGCCAATGGACCGACTGGCCGATGTATAGTCGGCCTGGAGCATGAGAATGTCGCCTGTCGCTGGGTCCAGCGTACCTGCTCTATTGCCGCTATCGTGACCTCTATGGAACGGACAAGTGCGAGCATATGAACAAAATGGGCCAATAAATAGTAACGCTGTTATCCCTCTGGAATAGGCCGGCAAAGGTTGGGACGCAGCAAAGACACGAGGAGGAGGAGGAGGAGAGTGGAAAGATGGGCGGCGACATGGTGAATGGCGCTGAAGATATCAAGCAGCATGTGGCGGTGGATAAAAATGGAATGAGATTCAAAAGTCGGGAGCGACATCAAAAGGGAGTGCGGATCGTACAGATGGTGAGAGAAGAATCAAAGAATATAAAGATGCGCGGGTCGGGATATGACTATGGGTAAGAAACAAAATGCCGCCCGGAGACAAGAGGGCCGCGAATGCCCAGACCTGCTCCCAAGTGCCCGCTCTTAAGCGCCGTTAGAACAATCGACTTGGCGCGGTTCTCGGGAAGCAGGCCTTGGCGCCGCTCTTCGTATCTAATTTGCTGGTTTCTGCCGGTACTTGGATATCGCTGCCCCCATCCCACTGCACAAAATGTGTCAAGGAGTGACGGGAGAGGGTTCTTTGGTGATTCGCTAATATCGCCGTGATGCACATGACTTGGTTTTGCTTCACACTGTTTGCAACGTCTGACGCCGTAGGATCCATTGCTTTGGGTATTCAGAGTCCAGGGTCTCCACCGCGGATCTCCCCGAGAGCGGTTGAATATCGTGTCGCGGCTTACGACAGACAGAGTCTTGAGCAGCGCAGTACAATCCACGAGGTCAAAGCGTGCGGTCCGGCGCTTCGGAATCTAAACGGTGGCTCCGCCGCTGCTGAGCACTTGATAGTCGTGCTCGTGGACTCTTTGCATCAGCTCGCATTCTTCGAGAGCAACTTGCTCCAGCTCATCGATGGCATCCACACCCTCGGTAAAATCCAGGATACAGATGCTCTTGTCCTAATCCGAAAAGACACCATATCATTGTCAGCATCCAAGACCTGTTGGTGAGCAAAGACAGAGTCGATGCCATAGCGCCCGGAGAGATCGCATCGGCAACTCTGGTTGCGGTAAACATGAGTCTCCACAGGCAGGGCGACACACGAGGCAAGGACGTACCTGGCTGGCGCTGACGATCTTGGTGTTGTCCATCTGCACGTGGAAAACCCAGCTGGAGTGCACGTCCTTCAAGTCCACCAGGATGTGGCCGGTCTTGAAGTCCCAGACCTTGATCGACTGGTCGTAGCTGCCGCTCACGATGCGATCTTGATCAAAACAGAGGGTCCGGACGAGATCGGTGTGCTTGGACAGGGTCCGGATCAACTGGCCCGTATGCGCGTTCCAGATCTTGATCGATTTATCGTTGCTGCCGGAGGCAATGTACCTGCCATCAAAGTGCACGCAGGCCAGGCCGCGCGCGTGCTCTCGAAAATCGCGCAGGAGCTTGCCCGTGTTGACGTCCCAGAGTTTTACGATTGCATCGCCCGAGGCCGACGCAAGAAGGTTCCCAAAAAGATGAATGGCGTTGACGGCAGCCACGTGGCCTTCGAGCACACGCAGCAAGGCGCCTGTATGCAGGTCCCAGACCTTGATCAGATGGTCTTTGGAGCACGAAACAATCACTTCCGAGTTGAAGCGGACATCCAGGACAGGCAGCGTGTGTCCGCTCAGGCGTTTCAACAACTTGCCCGTCGGGAATTCCCAGATGATGATGGAGTGGTCCGACGAGCCTGTGACAATGTACCGCGAGTCGTACTGCAGACAAAGGACTGATCCGTCGTGGCCGTGGAGCGTGCGCACGCACTTTGCTTTCTTGATGTCCCAAAATCGCACTGTCCGGTCTCGCGAGCCGGAGATGATGTAGTTGCGGTCGAATTGGATGCAGTAAACCGAGTCGCTGTGGCCCTCGAGCTTCTTTTGTCGGATCTTGCCGGTCCTCCAGTTTGTCTCGAGGAGCAGTCGCTGTCGATGCAGGTACTTCCAGTCTCGAGGTTTCGGGGGCGGATGAGGCTCGGCTGGATCGGACTGCTGGCCGTTGGAAATGCTCTGAACCGAGTGCGTGCTGTTGTTGAGGCTCTGCAGGCGAGTTTCGGGGCCCGACTCGAGGCTGCGAGCCGAGCCAGATACCGAGCCAGGGTGCTCGCCGTGTGGCTGGGGCCGCCCGCTGATCTGGTCGATCGATTGGCGAGGCGTATTAATGGCAGAGATGGCGGGGCAATATTCTGGACGTACGGCCGGCAGCGTCCAGCGCCCTCTCCACTGGTTGAGGTAGAATCGGCGCCAAATGTCGCGGTCGTTTGCGAGGCTGTACCAGAGCCTAGACACCTGCGAGGCTTTGGCGAGGGTTTTTACATCGTTGAGTTGTGAGAGGATATGCAGCGACAGCTCGAACGGGAGCTGCTTGAGAAAATCTGTGTGGTTTGGCCGGCGTTTGGGGAGAGATTGGATTATAATGAGACGGCGCCGAGATGCAGGGGCTCACAGCCGTGTGCGAGAGTATGTTCGGGTTTAGGAGGAGAGTCTACATAGACAGCATAGGCAGCATAGGCAGCATAGGCAGAAGGGGCTATACTCGCTACAGCGGGAAGCATACCGATCCTGGTGAGCTCCTCGATGACAAAAGCCGAGTCAGTGACGGATGCGCGCTTCATTTCGTTGGCCAGGTCTCGCCCTCTTGAGGCCGAGGCCTCTGGGGCGTTCTCGATGGTCTGGGGAGGCGAACTGGCAGGATGCCGGTCGCTGTTCCCGGGATCGGCCCTCACCAAGTCGAGGATCCTGGAGAACATCAGAGTCGGATGCGGGGGGTGAGAAGCAGTGAGATGTTGGTTAGAGGCAACAGCGCGAGGAGGAATGCAGAAAAAATATAGTGAGTGGATGAACAAGTGGGCGGGGCCAAGTGGGAAGGGAAACGATGAACGCAAGCAGAGAACAAGCGCCAGAGCCAAGAACGGAGGATGGAAAGTCCTGTTCGAGCTCGTACAGAGACGATCCAAATGTATGTCGGGGGGGGGGCAAAAGAGAGGGACGTCTAGAATCTAGGATCTATGAAGGGCGCCGTGAAAGGGATTTCAGCCAGCACCAGGAAGAGATACAAGTGGGCGATGGGCGGGAGAGCCGCCAACGAAAGAAAGGTCGGCGCTCAGAAGCAGCCGAGGCAGAGCGCCAGAATCAGCCCAATCAGACGACCGAGGCAAAGACCGACGGAGGGCCAGAAAGTCCTGCGGGCAGAGCGGCGACCAGGACCGAGAGGGCCGCAGGAGATTCGGTCGGTCCCAGAGCCCGCAGGCGGAGGACGGAGCCTTGCGCTTTGCGCTCCCCTGGTCCCCTCCAGCCTGGACCCGTCCAGCAGCGAGCGTCTGGGGACGCTGGGATGAGGGCCAGGCAGGGTTGCTGAGCGGGCAGGCTGAGACGATTGATCGGCCGACGGATCGATCGATCGCACGGCAACATGGCATAAACGGCCGACAGATATGGATGCCACAATGGAAGTTGCAATGGAAGGCTGCGGCGGATGCCGGAATCGCAAAATAGGCGGCAAAAGCCGGCAGCTGGAATGAAGGCAAAGACAAATGATAAAAGCAAGCCATAAGAGCGAATGGCAGAGGCCTACTTTCTGACCAGGCCCGCAACGGATTGCTTCATGGCTGCGACGGGCAGACGGGCGGTTTGTTGGACAGCGAGATATCGGGCGACGTTCGAGGTGGGCTCGCTCTGGATGAAAGTTTGACGGCGAGGACGACGACGACCCGCAGCCGGACGGGCGCTGCCGCAGACGGATGAGCTGATGCGACAAGGGAGGGGGCGCCCTGTGGGTTGCACCACGCCAGCTGCGAGGCTGTCCGCCGAGTGGGACGGCGCTGTCGATGCCGTCGAGGCCATAGGAGTGCAGTACACTTTATTCAGAAAAAAAACGGGACAATATAGCCGTTTCCATGAACATGTAGTATGTGCTGTGCTTGCGTCAAGCAAAGCCACAAGAAATAAAACAGATCACTTTGGCAGCCTCCGAGTGAAGACCGCCGGTCGCTCTCCGGTCTCCACAATCGACCTGCATACTGGTCTCGGAGTGCCAGCGGCGAATGGTCATGGCCAGCGCGCGATAACATTGGGTAACAAAATATTCGATGAATGGTCAAAAACCCGGGTGTCCCGTTTTTTATTGGATTGCCTGCAATATGCCACTCGCGCAGGAATAGTGTACATGATTTGACATGAAATCGGTTGAGCTTCTGCACCATCCAGCACGACTCGGCACCATCCAGCACGACTCGGCACCATCCAGCACGACTCGGCACCACCGACGCATGTCTGGCGGCTCGCTCTTTGTCCACCGTATCCATGTGCTTCAGCAACAGTGTATTTGGTTTCGAACATGCATCGGGGACAGGCCAACGGCCAGCTGCCCCAAGCAAACAGCCCAATCCCACACCAACACCCTCTTCCGAGATTCCATCGTGGCTGCCGATGCAGCAGGCCCGAGCATTCTAGGGATCCATGCGGATCGAGCTTCGGAGGGGCTTTGGTGCACTGGTCTGGCTGATGCGGGCGGCCTTGCCAGCAGTAGCCCAACGATTGAGCGAATCTGCCAGCTCGAGCAAATAGCTGATGCCCATTTGGCAGAGGCAAAGCCGAGGCAGTGTGTACGGTGGACAGGACCGAAACATGAGCATCTTTGGTTGGAGATACGCTCATCGGCTCCTCCCTTTCCTCGCTTCTTTGTTTCGCCGCTGTGGAATCCACGTGTGCATCAGTCATATTCAACCCGAACCTACCTGGACGAGTTGTGGATAGTTGTGCCTCCCAGAACAATGCGGATGCCCGGGTTGCTCGCATTGATCTTGCTGACTTCTCGTGCTTCAGCATAGGTGGCACCGCCAACAATGAACACGATGATATCCTGCGGCCTGGTGATCCCAGACCAACCGAGGATGTAAGCTGTAGGGTCAAGCATCACGCTCCATACTCCATACTCCATACTCCATACTCTTGCCGGTGGATAACAATCCATCCCGCCTGCTTCCCAATGTTGCACTTCCTTTGTCAGGGCCGTGACAACTCTCCAGCCACGTACTTGTCTCTCGTTCCGCCATCGACAAACGGATAGGCGCCCTCTTTCGTCTTGCCCTTGATGACCGATTCGATGGTCTCGACCAGGTAGGGAGTGTGCTGCGTATAGACGTTCTCGATGCCCTTCAGTCCTTTGAAAACTTGCTTCGTTCTCGCAAAGACGTCGGTGTTTGAAAAGATGTCATCCTGGCGCTGATCCGATCCAGCGTACTGAATGATGGACGAGGCCACCTGGACAACCACCCGAATCATTCGCAGCTCTAGCATCAGTGCCAGGAGATTGGTGGTGCGGCTGCTGCTTCCCAACTGCCTTTGCTTGCACTGCAAGACTGTCGGCATTGAAATCCCCGCCGGACCACCAAGACAAGGGGTAGTCGCTGCAAAAACCAACACTGCGCGCTTACCAGAACCTGGTCCTCGCTGGCACCCTGCTTCTTGAGCATCTCGACCAAAAGCCCAGACATGCTGTTCGCAGCCTTCTCGTATCTCAGAGCATAGAGCATCACCAGCCGAACCTTGAGCTCCACAGGGACGTTGGGTCGCTCAATCAGCTTCTGCAGGGTCTGCAATGACCAGCGGGACCAGTTAGCCTCCGAGATGCTATGTGTGCTACTCGATCGCCAAGCTAGCCCACGGATGCAGCCGTTACCTTGACATCCTGCGAGTGGTTTTCCTGGACGGCAAGGCTTTGCTCCAGCTCGCTCACTTCCAGTAAACTGTTGCGCTCGATCAGACGACTCAGCTCGCTCACAAGCGAGACGTGCTTGGTGACGTTTCCAGAGAGCTTTTTGAACTCTGGATATTCATCGATAAAGCGCTTCATGTCGGCGATGCTCTCGACATTCATGCTGGACTTGTGCTTGTTCTGGTACTCGTCCACATACTCTTTGATCTGGCCGCCGAGATCGCCCATGTTCATGAAGACGCATTTTTTGTAGAACGGGTCCTGCTCGATGTTCAAGACGATTTCCTGTTATAGGCCGGTCCAGGTCGTGGGATGTGTGTCATGGAAATGTTGGGGTGCAAGACAGAAGCGTGGGGTTGCGGCGGATTAGTGCACGAATCGGTCGCTGGAGTCCTGATTGTCATGCAACAAACAGCACGCCGAGATCGCCCCACAGCACAGCCATGCAACAGTGCGGCCTCTATCGATTCCGTCGCAGCGCCATCCCCAATCGACAGATCAGACTCCAAGCTATCGTCGGCAGCAAGTACCTTCATCTCTGGGCGGCGATCCGGAGAATCACCCAGACTGACTCTGCCATTCGTGATGCCCAGCAGCTCGTGGACGAGCGCTTGATAGGTCCACTGGCTGAGGAGGGGGGTCACAGGATCCTGGCGGCGATCAAGGATCAGGAGAATCGGGGCGGTGTCGGGTCGACGAAAGTCGAACAGGGGACCTTCTTGTTGGATTTGGTACTGAGGGCATTGAAATGGAGGGTCGTTACTACATCAGATTGAAATGAACCCAGCGACCGATACGCAAGGCGACACACGATATCCTTGCGACTGGGCGTTGTCCGCTCGAAGCGATTGCCCACCGTACTCCAGTACCATCCATATCACCCACCACCCACCATCAGTGCCACTCCCGACGCCTCTGCAAACTCACCATGACCTCGGTCGCAAGTTTCTTGGCCAGCACCGACGACTTGGCATATCGAATCAAGGGCTTCTTCTTGAGCGCCAGCAAGATGGCCACGAGGCCCTCGGTGGAGCGTTGGAAGGTCTTTGTCTCCCAGGATGTGCCGTTTTCAAAGTAGAGCGAGTAGGCAGGAGGTGCCAATCCAAGGGAAAAGAGGTCCGGATTGACGGCCAGGAAATCGGCATAGTATTCCTGCACCTCCCGGACGACTTCGTACTCATCGACTTCGGCCAGACGCTCGATGGCCGATTTTTTGAGAGAGTTGCTAAAGTCTGTCCAAGATGATGTCGGCCAGCCCAGGCGCCAGTTCGTCCAAAGTGTCAGCCATCGAGTTGGCAAAGCAAAGACAATTTGTCCGGCTGTTAGAATGCAGTCCCTGAGTCGATACCGTCGCATGACCGCGGGTATCTCAGACAACCCCGATAGGCCAACGGCAAGGAACCAACGAGACTTCAACAACGAAACGACGATCCATGGCAGTAGACTACAAGACGACGCAATGCTGGAGCAGCCAAGGGAGTAGCCATGACCACGACGACTTGGATCAAATCAGCGCCCGTCTCCGTCTGTCGGACGTCTTCCCCGGCGAGGCTTACACAGATAGTACTCTCCGTAGCATGGGTCTCTCAGCTCCTCGACAAGAGCCTGGATCGACTCGGGTGTGGGGCGGACGAAGGTGATGCATTTGAGATGCTTCATCTTTTCCTTTTGGCGGTTGTCCACCCGATCGATCAGAAAGATTTCACGAGCCAGGAGCTGGGACTGCGTCACGACCATCGATATGATCGGTGTCTGGTGGCAGAGAAGATATGGACGGTGCGTTGGGCGGGTGCGTTGGGCGGGTGCGTTAGGCGGGTATGGAAGAAGAGCAAGCGTGCCGATATCGATATCGATATCGATATAGGCATCATTGAGACGGCTTCGACAGTGCTGCGGGTCACGCTCTAACAACAGGACCGATGCGCTTCGTTGGGGCTCGCCGCTGTGGGATTGTGAATGGCACAGGAGGCTGGCGACGACAGAGTCGGCGCTTACCGTTTCGCCGTCGAGCAAAAGAACCTTCATACCCGACACATCCTGGATCATCTTGTTCAGATAGCCCTATACGATGGCAGACGCTCAGACAATGGCCCAAACGAGAGCCCACACCAAGTATGAGAGGCTCCATTGCCGAGTCCATCGCATGCGCGAGATGGATGCTGGTTGGAGACGGAACGTCGATGCACGGCAGGCAGACATGATGGAACGGCAAGCGCAGGTTCCAAGCGAAAGAAGCAAGCCAAGACAAGCAGCACGCTCACCTGAACGGACTTGATGACATCCATGGCGCTTGCGGCTCTTGCGTATGCAGCTTGGCGAAGCGGAGGGACTGGGCTGTCGTTGATGTGGCCGTATCAGGAGGCCTTGCAGATACACGATGAAAGTCGACTCCGCGCCCGTGATGGGTTTTGGGCTCGGAGACAATTGGAATGGATCTGGCCAGGGTTGCCTCTCTCGGTGAGAGCGCGCCTTCTCGCCGAGAAGGAAGCCCGTCCTGTTCTCCATCGAGGACAGCGCCTGGGCTGGGCAAGACTGTCGAGATGCCAGAGTGCCCAAGACGACACTGGGCAAGAGGAGATGGGCATCCAGACAAAACATCCCGAGGCATGTCGGTCACATCACACGAATGCATCATTGCACTATTGCACCATCCGAGCTGTGGACCGCACGATCCGGCATATTCGGGTAGATGGCAGAGTGGCGCCTTCGATTGGATGGGCATCCGTGGCCAAAGCAGAAGCAGAAGCAAAACTAGAAACAGAAGCAGGACCAGAACCAGAGGCGAAACCGCATCGGCGGTCTGCTGCAAGCGAACCGGAAGCGCCCCTCTGTCCAACGGGCTTTTCCATCAGCCAGCCCGCGCCAGAGCCGAGCAACTCGCCTGGCCAGCCGCACGATGCGCGCAGCCAGAGCACGCACCATGAGCCGCCATGACGGTCATGGCCAATTTCGATGAGCCCACCCGACAGGGTCCGCACTCGCTTCCCAGACCACCAGCAACCGGCCGACACCGACCCGCCACCACCGCCCCCCGACTCCTCGACCCGGTCAGCCGGGGTGCACGTTGGTGCTCGCCGCATTGACAATCGCCACATCGACAATCGGTATATTGCCAATCGACGCTCGCCACCAATACATGCGACGGGGGTTGTCTGCTCCTCCAGCCTCTCATATCAGCCCATCCCAACAAGACCAGACCTGCCGCGTCCTCTGGCCACGAGGACAGCAATCCTCCTTGGCCCAAGGATGGGCGTGCTGTGCAAGGCCCGTGTTGTATGGACTCGATGCACATGGGAAGCCACAAGCACAATGCCATCAATAACGAGCCCGAAGCACGACCCTTGGGAACACACACCAAGAACAGACAATTCGTGATTCCTGCTCCACCCGACGCCACCTTCTGCCGACGCGTACGAATGTATTGCGGTGACGCTTGAGTACTGGCCCATGACGAGCTCTCCCGTTGGCCCACGGGTGGGTTGCTTCCGCTGGCTCACATTCAGTTGCTCCCGGTGCCATTGCGGATGACCGCCTGCTCGTCGTGGATGAATCCCCTGACCCAGCGACTCCATGGCGAGGGCTGCTGCACGGCCACCACAATCTCCCTCTGCACCCCGACTCCCAGCACGTCCTTTTGAACGGTGCGGGCTCGCCTGGCTCCCTTCTCTCGCATTGCATCGTCGTCTCCCAGCTCGTCGACTCTGCTCCCGACCACATCGCTGCTATGGAAAAGCCTCTCGCCCCGCCCTACGTCCAGGCCGACGGCAAGTCGCCGTACATGGTCCCGCTTTCCTCCAACTCTAGCTACACCCCGCTTTCCTCCAACTCTGGCTACACCCCGCTGTCAGCGGATTCCGGCTACGCCCCGTTCCTGACCACCGCCGGAGAGGACGACAAAGAACCGCCGGCCTACCAAATCGCGGTTGGGCCCGCCAGGTCATCTTCCACGTCCAGCACCAACGCCGCGGTGGGGATCATTTGTTGCTCGATCCTCACCGCTATTGTCATTGCTGTGCTCTGGTACACGGTCGGCAACATCAATAATGGGGCCAACTCACCAGCGGACCCAACAAGTTCGCCAGTCTCATCCTCGCGCACGGCTTATGTGATTACCCACAACACCAAAGCCCAATGGATGCAGCAGGTAAGCCCCTTTCATCAGTTTTTGCCTTGGCCCACTCACTGGCCTCAAGAGTAAGCTACGGGATGGGCTGACGCTGTCTGCTCGGTCGCTGATCTATCGCTCACTATGCATCAGATGGCAACGAGCTTCAATAAAGGCAGCTCAAGCCAGGTCTCGATCACTGTCGACAGCAATATCACAGAGTACCTGGGCTGGGCCACTGCTTGGTCGCCTGCAAACTATCTCTGGTGGGTTTCCTGTCCAGCGCCGCCGAAGAGTGAAAACATGGCAGAAACCATGGCGCCACCTGCACAGCAAACGACCCGAACAGCGGTACTCACTCACTCACTCACTCACTCACTCACCTTCTGTCTCCCGCGGCACGCAGGGTTGAGCAGGTTGACATGTCTGGCACGCCTCTGTTCAACAATTCCATTGCGTATACCACCATGTACGCCAGCGAGTGTACTTCTGTCGCCATGACCCCGCTCGGCATTGCAATGTGGAAGAAGATGGCCACTGCCCTCGGCTATCCCCAAAAACAGCTGGGCTGGAAGGACATCATCACCCTGGCTGCCACCGACAACGTCTGGACCGCCAGCTACAACCAGGTAAGCGTCTCTCTCCTTGTCGACCGGGACGTTGCCACCTGACGTTTCCTTCGTCACGCAGCCCAGTTTTCTGATCTTGCTTGCGCTTTGCTTCAATCCCAGCCTTGGGGGAGCTTCAAGTTTGCCCACGGCCACCCTGTTTACTCGAACAGCGGCCGCCTGACCTTGATCGCCACCATCAACGCCGCCAACGGCAACACCACCTCCCTGACGCAGTCCTCGGTCAGCAGCGCCATTCCGATCCTCAAGAGCCTCGAGCGATCCATCGTGCATCTCGGCAGCAACGATCTGGATCTCTTGAACAGGATGGTCCTACGCGGCGTGAGTAGACACGATCGCGGCTGTGAGACCGACTTTTCCTTCGGAACGCATCCAAGCCAATGTCAGAGCTGATGCACACACCCTTCTGCACCTCCAGCCCAACTACCTGCATGCCGTCGCCACCTACGAGGTATGCAAACCAAGGGTGACTTCTCCACTGCACCACACCAGCTCGGCTGCGGTCACGATTCTCACACTCCATTTGCTTCTGCTCGCTCTGTGGGGATGACTCCATCAGTCCAATGTCATCAAGTACAACACACAGAACGCATCGAGCATGATCGACGACACTCTGGTGTTCATCTATCCATATGACGGAACCTTCTGGTCCGAGCATCCGTACTGTACCCTGACTGGTACCTCGTAAGCATCTCACCCCCGCTGCTTCGTTCATTCATGACAAATGCTCGCCACCTTCCTGGCGTGTCGTTTCCCTCGGGCTGCTCTGGCCGTTGAAGCTGCGTTTGAGGAGGCTATTCCTGGCAATGCATGCCACGACGAGTACATTCCAAACCTCGATCTTGCCTGTACTGACACAACTGATGTTGCTTGGCTCCACTATAGTGCATACACCCCTTCATCCGGCTCCATCAGCGAATCCTTCAAGGCTTACCTCACCACCACCAGTGCCCAAACGCAGCTTGTGCAGACAGGGCTGCGGCCTATGCGATCGATGCAGGCCACCCTGGATGTGCGCACCGTCGCCGGCACCCCATTCACAACCGCCAACGGTGTCGATCCAAACTTCGAGCTGGGCTCCGTGCCCATCATTCCGTACCCACCGGCCTCGGTCATGACTGCCATCGTCAACAACTGGACCCAGTTCAAGAAGCCAGCGGTTGTGACCATGTTGGTTGAAAACTCGCAACAGCTCCACAGCGGTGCCATGAGTAGTTACTACCTCACAGTGTCGTATGCCGTGCAGACGTTCATCTCGATGATGTCGGATACGGTAAGACCCGAGCTATCCCTATATCATCCCCCCCATTCAGCCCAGTCCAGTCCAGCCCAGTCCAGTCCAGTCTCGTACCAATGGCAAACCACACCACCATCGCTCCTGACTACCAAGCATCTGGATTATTGACTCGCAATTGCCCTCCAATCTGTCTCTCCAGGACTACTTGTACTTTTACACCTACAGTTCCACCACAAACCAGATCCTGCCGCCAGGCGACAACTACCTGCTGTCCGCCACCAGGAACTTCTACTATTATCAGACCAACCAAGTGCTGACCAGCACCCCGACCGACAGCGGCAGCGCCCTCTTTGACGCCGTTGGCCAGGTCGTATCCTCCACGACGACGCTTCAGAGCCAGAACAATGCCAAGGGGCTGTCCAACATGCTCTACGCCGTCGTCGTCGTGTCCGATGGCATCGACTCGGGCAGCAAGAACTACTCCCTCGCCACTCTCCTCCAGGCTCTGCCATCTGGCACCGACCCGAACCAGGTCCATGTCTACACCATCGCCCTGGGCAACAACGTCTACAGCAACTCTCTGTACTCGATTGCGGCGCAGACCAACGGACAGTTCTTCAGCATGTCGCTCCGGAGCAGCTACCACACCACCAGCAACACCATTTCGGATGCCTTTAACCAAATCGTGAGTGAGTTTTGAGTGGGAAAGGAGGCTCGTGGGACCCGGTGAATATCGCTAGCTATTGATGTGCTACTTCAATGGACGGGGGAGACGAAATACACACACACAATCCTCTGGAAATGGGTGCTACAGATGTGGTTCACATTTGGGAAACCATATATTTGGACGGCGATGCTTTTGGATACTCTGGGTGAGCATGACCTGTAGTATTCGTAGTCAGCGAGAATGCAGTCGTCCACCAGAAACAGGGCTTCCTCGTTTCAGATGTTGAGGCTGTCGATAGGAGGAGAGCAATGAAGAAAATGATGATGGAGATGGAAGAGAGGTGCAACTGGAGCAGCGCTTGGACTAGTGATGGTGATGATGGTGATGCCCTTGGAACCCGTGGTGGTGATGATGACCCAGTCCACCGAATTCAACGACGGTTGTGCCGCCCCAGCCACCCAACCCCCCGAGGCCGCCAAAGTATCGAGGACCAGGGTTGGGCGAGTAAATCACCGTCGGCGTTGGCTGCACAACAATTGGGGTCTGGACCACGGTTGCAGGCTGGGTATAGTATGGTGGAGGCGGCGTGGCCGGAGAAATGTACCCTGGCGATGGAAGAGCCGGGCTCATGGGTGATGGGAGACGGGGGTCGTTCCAGGTGGACTGACCGGTGCGGGTATCTAAAGGCCCGGGATTGATGCAGACCGACAAGAATGTAAGACCACGGCTCGATGGGCATGGATGAGCGGACAGACGGAGGCATCGCAGCAACGGCAAGGCCAAGGCGCATATGGTGGGAACAGTCTGACGGAAACCCCGGGACGAGGATGCTGGCTCACCAACAAAGAAGTAGCGCTGGTGAACTGGGTCGAATTGCGAGACCCAGCCGGGAGGGAGAGGAGCATTGTTCATCGTGAACGAAGCGGAGTCAAGAGGTGAGAAATTGGAGCAGGCGAGCGGGCGAATGGGGGGTGGCCAAGAGAGCGGCAGAAGCAGGCTTATATAGGGCTCGCTGTCCAGAGAGGCGAGTCTGTTTGTGGTGGGCGTCGGCTGACCGATTTGCACTGCCCGCGGCCGCCCGACCCTTCATGCGGCTGCAAGTCTCGTGCCGCCAAGACTTGGCAACCTTGGGTGTGGATGTGGATGTGGGTGTGGATGTGGATGTGGATGTGGATGTGGATGTGGATGTGGATGTGGATGTGGATGTGGATGTGGATGTGGATGTGGATGTGGATGTGGATGTGGATGTGGATGTGGATGTGGATGTGGATGTGGATGTGGATGTGGATGTGGATGTGGATGTGGATGTGGATGTGGATGTGGATGTGGATGTGGATGTGGATGTGGATGTGGATGTGGATGTGGATGTGGCACAGAGAATACGCACGGATGTGGATGTGGATTATATGGATCGCATCTCGCCCGCTCATGCCGGTCGTCACAGCAGCCATCTGCAGTGCCCTCAAAGCTGCATCGCTGCCAGAAGTGTCACGATCCGTTTCCAGCACGGCGAGTATCTTTAGTGGTATCAATCGTGTTCGAGGCGAGTCCGCTCACAGCATGCGATGGTTGAACTGATGGATGGATCCGTTGGTGCAGAAGGGTGGCAGCGGCAGCGGCAGCGATGCATGAGCACGCATACAAAACTATTCAACAGATACACCGGTGGCGATTCATATCGGGGGTATGTGGTCGATGCTAGCTTGGTATAATCGGGCAACGCCGCAGAGCCACACATCCACATCACCCACAGCACCCACAGCACCCATAGCACCTATAGCACCTATAGCACCCATAGCACCAATTCAAGTTTGTCGTCGAAAAGTCGGCATCAAGACGAGCTCTGTATCTCCGGAATACTTGTGCACCGACTGGCGCGATACTTCATGTCCAAGTACCGATGAAAGTTGTACATCCAGAAGAGCGGCAGCGTTGTCTTGGGCAGGCCAAAGAGAACCTTTTCGTAGTTTTCAAGAAAGTTCCAGAACCCAGGATTTGGCGAGGCAATCGGACGTGCCCGATACACTTGCTCGTAAGCTTCCCGGAGCCTCCGCTTCTGGCAGCGCATCAGATAAGCCAGCACCACTGCAACGCTGCGGGAAACACCCGCTTGGCAGTGGACCAGCACTCGCTCTTTTTTGATCCGGATGTGCTCGAGGATCTCGTTGGTCGAAGACCACACCTTGTCGATCCGGGCCTGGGGTAAGTCGTCGAGCTGAAAGTCATGGCAGCGCACATGCGGCGGCGCGCTGGGGTAGTTGAAGCCGATGCGGACGACATTGGCGATACCCAGGCTCCGGAGATGGTCGGGGTGCGCCGATTCTTGCGGGCCCAGGTACAGAAACGACGGAATGATCTCGTCGGGTCTGTGCAGCTCGGGCTTGCGATGTGGAGTCGACAGCAGCGAGTACAGGTGGATCCGGCGAGTGACAGACTCGAGCACGCTGGGATCGGCATAGAGCGACTCGCCATTGCCGTCTCCAAGCAGATGATACCGCATCTGCTGCTCTTCGCTCATGGGCTTGAGTGCTGCCTTGATGCTCATGGACGAGGGCGAGAATGTGCGATTGACGCAAAGCAGCGGCCATGTCCGCTGCACGCCTTGGACACCCGACTCGAGCCAGAGAATGTCCTTGAAGCGCCGTGCGTAGCCGAGCTGCAGGTGGGCTGAGATCTGGAAGGCCGGTCCGTTGGGCAAGCCGTCGTCGTCCACCAGCAGCAGCTTGCCGGACTCGAGGCGCTTCCAGCATGGCGAGATCGGGTCGTGGGAACTCTCTCGAAGGACTCGCTCGAGGGCCTGGGCCATCTTGGGATACAGCGCCGCGAGGTCGGCCGAATCGGCGCTGAGCTGCGGGATGCCGACACCCGGGTTCCAGGACTCGCGGATGATGACAACAGCGCCTCGGGGCCGGATGTCGATGATGAGGATATCGAGCGGGTCCGTCTGCAGATGGTGCAGCAGATCGTTGAGGGAGCACACTGCCGGGCGGGCCAGCGAGTTGGCCGATCCCCACCACTGCGGCGGCTCGGTGACCTTGCGGGCAGCACCGCCATGCTGATACGAGGACGGCAGGGCGGGGAGAGAGCCTGCTCTTTCGCCAGACAGAGACCTCGCTGTGTACTTTCGAGCCCCGTAGTATCGCCGGTCCATTCGCACGCGGAGAGGAAATCTACAGGCGCGGCGCCGGATCGGGTGCAGATTCGAGCGAGGAGGTTTCGGAGCAGCGATCTGTGGCTGGAGACAAGTGTCGACTGCTGCGGCCTCGGATGAGTTTCGATGGGCAGTCTGAGGACTGTGTTGGAGAGTCTGTGGCTGGTGCCTGGCTCTGTGCCGGGATGCAAGACCAGAGCAGCTGTGGGAGTTTGAATCCAGGGCTGACCCAGTGGCTGAGCACCATCGGCAAGGACGAGCAGCCCTCTGCTCATATTGCTTGGCGATGGATGATACAATGCCCGATGCCGGGACTGCTGCATTCCAAATGGCGGCCTGTCAACAGGGCCCTGGGGGCTCTAAGGCAAGAGCCTGCGTTCGCAGACAATGCTCGGGCAGCCTGGCGATGATCCGGATCACCCGCGCTATATGTCGATCGGTGCTCGCGCTGTTGCGCTGGACTCGGTCGATGAGATGCCATCAGGCTCGTGAACGATACGACATGAGATGATCCAACGCTTGTATATGCCGGACCGGCTGCTGCGTCCACCTTGCGTTGTTACCGGACACAACGCAAAATTGATCGCCACGGCTATTGGGTAAGGGTGATGCGCAAGGGCCGTGCTCAGCAACATGTCCCCAGCAGCCACAATCGCAGCAAAGCGCCTCCCACGAGGACATGGCCGTCCAGCAGCATCGCCGGGCTGTGCTGTGGTTGTCTGCGTTGGCGAGGGGTACGCCAGTGAGGTGCTGCGAGACCTGCTGGCTCGGCATGCTCGATCAGCGGGGGTCTTGGGCATCGCACCTTCCATGCAGCCACTCCATGCCGCCGTCGATACCACCTCCAGCACGAGATTGCCTGCACCACAGCGAAGCCCCGCGGATTGCCAACGACGACAGGCCTCTGGACCACACCGGACCCTCGCTGCCGCCACCAACGCGGACATTTGCGTAATCTCGCGACGAACAGATGCGAGACTCGTCTGCATGCGCCCTGGTCCACACCCTCGCTCCCGGCACAGCCTCCTTGGGCTCGAGACACCGCTGGGCGTCGTCGGTCGGGCAATCTCCGGGGCTTTGTTGGATGGGGGGATGGGGGCATTTGCATCGCCAGCACAATGCCAAGCAAAAATGCGCTGCCGGTAATGCACCCAGCGACAAGCGCCGTCCTGGGCTGTCCCGTCGTCGTCTCTGCTGGTCCGAGCCCGATCTCAGCAGAGCAGCCGAGGGGGGGGGTGCTTTTCAAGCGATAAGGCCATATCGCCAAGGCCAAAGGCTGCCTGTGGTGCGCTTGATCCTGCCGATGCAGATGGCGCCAGCGGCGAGCACCCTCCCGTAGTCGCAGAGACCACACCAGTGGTGTGAGGACCAGTGCCGCCTGACATGCACATCCCGTAAACGCAGCAGGCGGGAGAGGGTGAGTGGGTGCTCCACCGCCGGTGCCAGTCGCCGTGACGACAGAGCTCCCCGGCATGGACCACGAAGGGGGGGAGGCATGGCCGCAGTCGGTTTCGTCCATGGCGAGCGATGGCAGATAGCGACAGTGGCGGATGGCTGTCCATGGCGGCCGCTGGGGCCCGTGGTGGGAGTAGCAGCAGCAGCAGCAGCAGCAGCAACGCAAGACGATGCACCAGGCTCTCGCTCGGCCGACCGGCCGTCGGCAAGCAAGAGCACCAGCCAGCAACCCACCGTGGCAGATTGGACATGCCTTGCTGGTGCTCACTTGTCTAGGTAACCGAGGCATGCGCACAGGCCAGGCGAGCAACAAGGCCGCCGTCCATCCATCGAGCCGGTGGAGGGGCTCTGCAAGCGCTCTGCAAGTGCTCTCGGCACACGGCGGATGGGCGGTGCGAAGGTGGTGGTGGGGACTTGGGTGCGGCGGGGCCAACTGGCTCGGCGACCGATCCGCAATTCAAGGTGTTGTTCGGGTCGCCATGCCGTGCAATTTGCAATACGATCTGCAATCTCACTTGGCATGGCCGTGTCCAGCCCGAACTGCAATGTAATCCTCCGTTTCAGACAATGCAACCGTCCAATTCGACCGCCTGCATTTCATTCTGCATTTCATTCTGCATTTCACTCTGCATTTCACTCTGCATTTCACTCTGCATTTCGCTCTGCATTTCGCTCTGCGTTTCGCATCGACCATGCACGCCCGTGCGGCCATGTGTACCGACGGCAGCCTGGATCTCTGCAGCACTCGGTTCCACCAGACCAAGTCGAACAATAAACCACCGCCGCCTGCGCCGGCCTCTGCAGCGTATTGAGGGAGTAACGTCTGCCCACCCCAGCCTGCTCGTCCCAGGCACCACCAGCGTCCCACACCACCAACGCTGGCTGCACCCGACACACAAGCAGCCCCCACCAGCGGCCTTGGTGGCCATTGGAAAATTTGCTCTGGCCGCGGGTGGTGCTTGCGGGCGAACCAATGGCCAGCCCCGAGTGCCCTTGATTGGTGTCGCTGCCTGCTTGTGCGATTGCCTGATAGCAGATCGCCACTCTGTCACAGAGCAGATTGTCGCTTTGCTCGATAGCCGGCCTGCCTGTGGGCTCCTTGCGGGCTGTCCCACGGCGCTGGTGTATCGTTGCATCGCCCGAACGCTCCCCCCTTTCCCCCTCTCTCGCCGCCACTTTTCGCCATTAATGCTGTTGTTCACGCCCGCAGTTGTAACCATGACGCAAGGCCCCGGCTACTTAAGCACGGCCGCCCGCTGTGCTTTTGGGTGTCTTCTCTGGAGCGCATATCTTGGCCGGTCCCGTCCTGCCCCTCGGCTGCAAGTTGCTCTTCCTCCTCTCTCCTCGAGCCCCTTTCCTTGCCCAGCAACCACACCAACTCGCCATTCTGTCCTGCCCCGGACGCTCCTGCATCCCAATATCCGCACTCCAGCCTGCTCTGTCGGTGGGTATTGCAGTGCCTGCGGGGCTGATTCCGCATGCTTGACTTCTTTATCCAGCAGTCCCTCGCTCGCTCCTCCCCCACCCATCCTGTATCCAGGCTCGCTGGACCTGCGTATCGGGCGGCGTGTCGGATCTGGAGGTCGGGTTGCGTTTGTTTCATGTCTGGCCGGGGCTCGTCTGGTCATGCTCTGGCAGGCATCATGGCATCGCTCCCCTTGACAAACTGTCCTATTGTCCATATTATCCAACGCCCCCTGTGCTCCAATTTTGCTTCATCTGTGTGCTTGGCTCGCGGCACTTGGGTGGCCAGCCGTTCGCGATTCATCGGCCCGGATCTTGATCCATTCCTGCCGCAATGCTGACCCAATGTATCTCTTCACTTCCACCTGGCATCGACTTTTGCTTCATTCCGGCTTCCATCCTGGCCTCCATCCTGGCTTCTGCTTCTTGATTTTGATCGGTACCTCGGTTGCAGTCTCAGCGGGCCGTAGTCTCAAGCACCACTGCCTCTCTCAACGCCATGATTTCGCAGCAGAACCTTTCCACACCTTCTCGCCCGTTCCACCTGCCGCCGCTGTCGTTGCCGGTCCAGCCGCTCGCCGAACCCATCCTCCTGGGCTCTGACGACGAAGGCGAGATCGACGACCCTCTGCGCAAGGACCAGCTCCGCCGGATCTCGCACTCGGCCATCGAGAAGCGACGCCGTGAAAAGATCAAGGACAAGATCGGGGTTCTGCGGAGTATTGTGCCCATCTGCTCCAAGCAGCACACTGTGAACAAGCTGTCGATCCTCGAACACACCATCACCTACATCCACTATCTCAAGGACCTGGTCGTCTCCTACAGCGAGGAGAATGCTGAGCTTCGCCAGATGTTGGACGGCCAGTCCTATGCGGCTCCAGATCAGGCAGCACTTCCGCCGGCCGCTCTTCCACAGCCCGCATATTCATCAGCATCTGGAGAGCACCAGCCTCGCCACCAGCAACCACAGCGCCAGTACCAACAGCAACCGCAGCAACACCAACCACAGCAACACCAACCGCAGTACCAACACCAACATCAACAGCGGTCGGTGCAGAACCACCATCACCAACAGCTCAGCCAGAGACGATACTCCTCGGCGTCCGCTGGCTACCTCGCTGGCTCGATAGCCCCTCCAGATCCGCATGCCCATATCCCTCGGCACTTGCCGGCCTCTGTCGCTGGCCTCCCCGCGACTCACGACTTCAACGCCGGCGATGCGGGCCGAGCGGCATGTAACCAAAGGCCCGTCCAAGATCGTCCGGCCCGGCCCGCTGCTCCCGAGTATTCTCCCACCCATTCACCGCTGATTAATGCTCCTCCCCCCTTGCATGAAGCCAGACATCACTTCCAGCCACACTCACCTGCCAGCGCAAGATTCGGCGGCGATCGTCCCTCTTCGACCTTTGTCGGCGGCTCGCCAGCGATGGCCCATGCATCTGTGCTGCCGCGTGAGCGCAAGTACTCCTCAGGGCCATCTTACCCACGCTTCCGCCACTCGCACTCCTTCGCGCCCTACAACTCGCCGTACTCTCAGCGGGAGCTCGAATCGCGGCTTCATGACGCCTTCCATTCCAGCACCGCCGCTGCAGCCGCCTATCGAGCCGAGCATCGAAGCACCGGTCCCTTGTCGGACATTACTACGCCCATGTCCTCGCGGCCATCGAGCGATACGTACTCGCCACGCAGCTCATGTGAACTCGATCAGCAAGTCCATGGTGGCGGCCCCTCGACCCACTATGAGACCCGGCTGCCGCCGATCTCGGAGCTCCCTCTTGACGAGATATCGCGCCGTGCCCAGTCACTCAAGGTCAGCCAGCTGCTCTCTTGAACGCTAGCTCGAGCAAACATCTCGTGCTCGCTCCCCCCCCCCGCGTCATATCAAGCTTTTGCCTCCAACCGTCGCAGCATCGTGCGGCTGGAGTCTGGTCGATATCGCAACACTGCAATTCTTCCTATCTATTCGCACCCCTGGATACGCGGCTGCCCGCCAGTCGCTTCGGGCCGGGTCACAACATGACCCATCTATATCCCTCTGACTCTGTACTTTGTTCGCCACCGCTGTTTCTCTTTTCTGTCTGTTCTCCCCCTCCCTTCTCCTTTCGCCTTCCCCCCTTCTTGCTTTTCTTGCTCTTTCTGACTCGCTTGCGGCAATCTTCATCGCGTACTTGCTTGGAATCGACTCCCTCTGTGGGAGCGTGCTTTACTAATACACAGAATCTAGTTCTTGGATACAAACGAGATGACAAAGCATCTCCAGAAATGACAGAGGCGTGTGTCGTTGTCAGAGTGTGATGGAACATGATGTCCATGCTCGGGAATGGCAAATGTCCCCCCCCCTTCAGCAGTCGAATGCAGCTCGATTCCAGAGGCACGGATGGCTCTCGCTCTCGCCCAACGTGGTGCATAGCTCATTGCCCGCTGGAATGCCAGAGGCATCTCCGCCGGTCTTTGGATGCTGATACTTCGCGAATATACGCCACTATTCTGAAACGGGCTAGAGACATCCTGATTTGTGTCCCGCGTCTGACAAAAGAGGAGCCAGCTTCTTCCATCGGCCATAGTCCATGTTCGGATCCCCAGAAAGCTCCCGGGCGATTCCGGCCATGGTTCGGCGCCGAAACTGCCTGAGGCGAAGGTCGTCGATCGAGTCGAGGTACTTGCCCAGGACTTGGTGCTGATCGTTTGGATCGTCAATGAACTGCATCTTGGTGATGTAGCTCCATAAAGCCTCGCGAGCACTGTGGATCTGCACAAAGGCAATCTTGGAGTCTTGGCTGCACCGCACCGCCAGCGACGAGCGCACGTCCTTGGGGGTGTTCTTGACAATCGGCTCCTCTCCGAGATAATCGTTGGGCCCTAAGACACCGAGCTTGACCTGGTATCGGGTCTGCGTTTCGTCGTCGAGGAAGGTTTTGAAGACTTCGCACTCCCCGGCCATGATAAACCCCAGGTCCGTGATAACCTGCCCTTCGTCCAGCACAGACATGCCCCTGCTGTACTCGCGAATCTTGAGGATCGATGCAAAGAGCCCGCACAGCTGCCGGCGGTCCTGGAACGGAACCAGCTGCAAGACAGGAGTTCGACACAAAAAGTTGATTTTTTCGTACTGTGGGCCGAGCTTGGAGGCCCTGGAGGCAAGACAGCAGCCGAGCAAAACCAACAAGGCAAGCCGATGAGAAAGATGCGCAGGACTACAATCCAGTGTCTGTGTCTGTCGCGACTGCAATCGCATGCAACCCAGGTGCTCCCGGGTGTGGAAAGGGGCCGCAGGACGGATCAAAGAATTGAGCAAACCACCACTTGGCAATCCCACTTGGCAATGCGCATCGCCATCTTACTTGATGATACGGTCAAAGTCGACTCGGTAGACCACCATCACGACGGCATCCTCCATGGCCATGATTGTAGCTGTGCGCGGTGTGTTCTTCAAGATGGCATAGTCGCCGAATCCCTGACCAAACGAAAAGATGGCCAGGGGCTTGTTGGCCTGGGCAATGTCTCGGTCGTGGCCGCCATCGCGGAGCCTCTCTTCGGAGAGCTTGAAGGCCTTGAGTCTGCCCTGCAGCACAATGTACCAGGCAGAGGGCGAGTCGCCTTCCTTGAACACCACGGCGCTGCTATTGTACCGGGCCAGGAACGAGACCTCGCACACCTGCTTGATGGTCTTGTCGCTGAGAGACTCGAAGGCGTCAAAGGTCTTGAGGACGGCCCAGATCTTTTGCAGATCCGAGGCCCGGCGCTCATGTGGAGGAATCTGGAAGTACGCCACAATGTCCTGCTCGGTCGTGGCGGGGCCGGCAACAGATGTTCGCACCTTTTCGGCCAGCTTGCGCCTGGTTGCATTGGGTAGAGGTAGGGACTGAAGCGGAGGCTTTGGAGAGAACACTTCGGGAATAGTGGACATCACCGCTGGAAGAATCTGGGCTTGGACTTGGATGTGGACATGGACTTGCGCCTGGGCCCTGTCGCTGCCCTTGTCTTTCGCTGCCAATGGCCCAAGCTTCTTGGCTCGGTCGAACTTGCTCTTGAGTGCAGGCTTCTCGGGCGATTGCGGTGTGGCCAGAGGCAATGCCGGGAGCTTGGTTCGGGCTTCACGGATGGCGCTTGCACCTGCATTCGGGCTGATGTTTCGCCGAGAGCCTGAATCACCGGGACCTCCAGACGGAGCCACAAGCGTTCTCACTTCTCGTTTCAGCTTGTCCTTGGCCTTCTTCCTGTCTTGGCCAGGCGAGTCTTGATCCTCGTCACTGCCAAAGAGCATGCTCCGGGAGCCAAAGAGCATTGGGAGCCGCGATGCCAGCGATGCCGAAGAGCTGACGGCGCTCTGCTGCTCCGATTCGTCGCCGTCGTCGTCGCCACCACCATTGCCATCACCATCGTCAATGTCCCTGGGACCGTCTTGCCCAGCGGGCAGGGCTCCCCAGCGCCGGTGTCGCTTGCCAGCTGCCGGTGCAGCAGTGTGTTTGGGGACTACGGATCCGCCCGGAGTTGGCCTGAGACCCGACTCAAACTTGCGGCAGCGCTTGGCCAGGGTCGACAGGGTCGGCATCCGCAGGGCCCGCAGCGCCTCGGACTCGACCGGAGCCGTCGTCCTTGGGATGCCATGCTGCTTGTACGTCCTCTGCTCCTCGGTCAGCGAAATGCTCGAGAACTGGTTCTGGATGGACGACCACGAGTGCTCGGGGTGGTGCGGGTCCTTGGTGGTCGAGTTGATGGTCTGCGGAATCGCTGGGAGAGAGTCGTTCTCGTCGCCAAAGAGCTTGAGGTCCTGGGTCGCCATGGCCTTGCTACCCCGGCTGATGCATCGCTCGAGATTCCTCATGAAGGTGCGGTGCCGGGCCTCTGCAAAGGTCAGGCCCTCGGAGCCTCCCTCCAGCCCCTCGATCGCATGGCTATTCAGAGTGATTGTCGGCAGCCGGATGAGCTTGTCGGCCCGGCGGGTCTGGGGAGGCCGGCTGCCAATATCGCTGACCTGCGGGTCGACCGTCCCAGGGCGGCTGGACTGGATCGTCGGCAGACTGGGGTTCCAGAGCTGCTCAGCAACAAAGCAGAGACGCTTGGTGTCGACGCCGACGGCTGTGCTTGGAGCAGCAATGACGCTGGCGATATTGGGAGGGCATGGGTAGCCGTGGCTGTGGAGGAGCCTGAGATTGCAGGAGTCGTAGTCGAGTTCGAAGGCGCTGTGGTCGGCAAGGGCAGGAGGACCGTTGCTGCAGTCGCCGCTGACGGGATCGCTGCAGATAGAGCCCTGGTTGGCCATCGTGCATTTCTCCAGGGTCGCTCTGCGACCGGGCTCAAAGAACGCAGATGCATCTCTGGCTTGCGGCTGCACCGCTGGGGTTGGGTGTCTGCCCCAGCCAGATTGGCGCAAACAGCAGCGCAGAGAGCAGGCCAGGCCAGCCAGGACAATCAAGAGCCAGACCAAGACAATCAAGAGCCAGGCCAGGACAATCAGCAGCCAGACAAAGCTCGGTATTGTCTCCCGAGCACTTGCGAGCAGCGAGATGCAGGCCGCCTTGCCACCCGCACCGAATCGCTGCCAATCAGCGCCTGCTGCCGACAATGGATGCCAGGATCTGCGGGCGACTTGTGACGGCAAGCATCCGTTCGATATCGGGCGATCGGGCCACCGATGTCTCCATTGCGGACGATCCCCGAGACCAGGTCGGCGACCAAGATCCCACGCGATCCTCGCCAAATCAAGAAACTACGGTATTCTTCGCTGTGTCCACCAACGGCTCTCGATGGGCCTCTCTCTCCTGTCAGCTCATTGGAGCAGTCGACTGGGGCGAGTCGGATCGATGGCAAAGAGCAGCGGTGCGTGTTGCGAGTATATAGACATGCTCCAATCGTGCAAATATTGTCCGGCGACGGGCATGCGTCGATCTTGATGGACGAACCAGAGCATGGTCGGGCCGACAGGGGTTTAGATGACCTTGGCTTCGTTCTTCAGCTTGTCGACGAGCTGTGGGGGTATAGAGCACAGCTGATCAGAAGTGTGCAGGCCAGATTCGCCCGGTGGAGAAATGAATAGGAAACGAATCAAGTGCGACAGGGCCGACAAAGGCCAGCGAGGGGCAGAGATATTCAACAGCAATGCTGTGATCGTGCTGATCAAACAGCAGAAGAGACAACTCGATAGGCGTTGGAGTCACAGGAATAGGACAGTGCCTCCTGCGTCCGTTCGTCTAAATGCCACAGAGCGACAACTGCGGTTCCAGTCATCGAGCACGAAGAGCACGAAAACCGAGAGGACAGGCCTCGGATTGTGTGCACAAAAACCATACCTCCTCGACATCGGCGACCCTCTTGCCGCCCTGACGCTTGCTCGGCTCGGTGATGTTGATGGTCTCGAGACGAGGAGCGATGTCGACGCCCAGGTCTGAGGGGCTGACCTTCTCAAGAGGCTTCTTCTTGGCCTTCATGATGTTCGGCAGGGTGGCATATCGCGGCTCGTTCAGGCTGGAGAGGTAAATTAACAAGCATGTGTTACTTTCACATGTCAGCGAGCAGAGCTGGATGCACTGCAGATCAGCCAGCGAGAAACCCGATAGTCGACAACAGGACGTTGGTGGAAAGCCAGCCTACCGCAGATCGGTGGTAACGATGGCCGGGAGCGAGGACTGCAGAGTCTCCAGACCACCATCGACCTCACGGGTCACTTGCAACTTGCTGGCATTCTCCTGGAACTCGATCTTGGAGGCGAAGGTGGCCTGTGTGCAGAAAGGCAGTGGTATACCAAGTAAACGGACCGATCTGCTGGATAATGACGCATAGCATCGGCGCAACCCAGACGAGCAAATCCGGGCCGTCCACACTGATGATCCTGGACAGACCAGGCTGGATAGGAATTCCAGCAACGAGAGGTATCCGAATGCGCGGCAACAAGATGTTGGGCCAGCTGGAGAGGCTCAGGACGTACCTGTGGCCAGCCCAGTAGTCCAGCAAGCATCTGACCGGTCTGGCCGGCATCGTCGTCGATGGCTTGCTTGCCGAGAATGACGAGCTCGGGCTTCTCCTTCTCAACAACGGCCTTCAGCAGCTTGGCAACCTAGAAAGCGCAGTCCGACCATCAACAAGAAGCGGCGGCGGTCCCAGTAAAGCACGGGCTTTGACAGCAGTTGCATGTGCCATGGATCGGCATAGCTGAAGCTTGGGTCGACGCTTACTTGCAGAGGCTGGACCTCGACACCGTCGGGGACCTCGACATGGACAGCACGATCGGCGCCCATGGCCAGAGCAGTTCGCAGAGTCTCCTGGCTCTTGGCGGGGCCGATCGAGACACTGACGACCTCCTTGGCGATCTTCTTCTCCTTCAGTCGGACGGCCTCTTCGACAGCAATCTCGTCGAAGGGGTTCATGCTGTGCTTGACATTGGCTGCCAGCCACATGCAGGGCGCCGGGCCAACAAAGTCACCAAGAAACACATTAGTGCATCTATTTGCGTATCATCGAGCCAAGACAGACCAATGAAGCACCAGAGCAGCAGCAGATGTTGCGCAATCCGGGAGAGCACGAGTCCAGGAAAGCACGATCCAGATGGAGCGCATGTAGTCTGCTGGCTGCGGTGCGAGATATGGCCCAGGAATGCTGGGGAGGCGCTGCGCCGTGCGGCTCGCAGGCGGGATTGGCGGAATGTATCTGCCCATACCTGTCTCGATTTTGCCGGCAGCGACCCGGATCTTGACGGTGTAGTCGATCACACGCTTGCACGGAACCAGGACTCGCAGAGACATTTTAGTTTGTTGCGCGATGGAATGAGTCTATTTGTAGTGACACCGTATCGGTAGAGACAACAGCACATCGCCGATCGAAATGTCGATGAATTAGGCGATGAATTAGGCGATGAATTAGGCGATGTAGGATGGTTGAGGGCCGCAATGATGAGCTGATGAGCTGATGCGATGATGCGATGATCGCAATGGGGCATAGCGAGACCAGCGCGGCGAGGCATCAGTCGGATACCTGTGTGGGAGGAGTAGGGCGTGAGAGGCACAAGACAGGACGAGACTTGTTGCGGCTTTCGTCACGAACGATTCGGGCTGGACAGACAGGCGAAGGGGTCGTTTCGCTGCGGTTGGCAAAGGCAGAGCTCGACGAGGGCAAAACAGCGGCGACGGAATGCCGGAGACCGGCACGCGCAAACGGAACGGGTTTGGGCGCTGCCGAGCGCGTCCGGAGCGGCGATTGGACGGCGCTGCTGCGCACCCTAGCCCTAGCATCCCGCGGCCGTGGCGCATGCCGCTGCAACCCTGGCCGGAACAGAAGCGCTCTGATTCGGCCAGGCCATGGACTCGAAGGCCAAAGTCCAAGGCCAAAGTCGAAGGGCGAGGGTCGAGAGTCAGTGCAGTGCGGCGGCATGCTCTGGGAGACAGAGGCACCTGCTTCTGCAATGCAATCCCATCCAACAGCCCAATCCCATCCAACAGCCCAATCCCATCCAGCAGCCCAATCCAATCCAACGCAGCACCCCATTTCTTGTCGTTTCTCGTCTGCCGTCGAGTCGTCGGCTGTGCTTGAGTCTAGCTTGGATGCATTCCTCTCCGAGCAGCTACACTCCCTTCTTGGAAAATGGCATTTGCTGCTGGCCTGATCCTCGCCACCGCTCGCGCATCCATACGAGCCACATGATGAGTTTCGAGATGGGCCTCCAGCCAACCCCCGACAGCCTCTGAGCAGCCTCCGGATAGCCTCCGGATAGCCTCCGAGCAAATTCCATACAACCACGACCACGCACCAGCCCATCCTGTATGTTTAGGCCTGTCGAATACAACAATGGATGACTCTGCCGCCGCTCCTCAGCCGTCTCTGGATCCTCTACCAGCCAGACTGACCGTCCTGTGTTGCGCTTGCCCACCAGCCCAGTGCCCCATCTCTGCATCTGGCCAATCTGCAATCATTCGTTGGAGTCAGCCCACACCAGCCCATCCATCCCAGATCCTGCCCATTGTCTGCTCTTCCCTCGGCCCATGATTTCTATGTCACACAGGCGATAGCATCGTCGCCGGTGATATCTCGGCCACAGGCAACCAGAGACCATTGTTCCAAATCACCCTGGCCTGCCGCACCGATCGCGAGCTTGCTCCAGCCTGGGGTGGCACCGTGGCCGGGTGTGGTCTTCTGACCATCCACCACCATGCGTCGGTCCCGCCATGGATCCTGGGCTGGTTCCCCTGTATTCCATGCTGCACCACGCCATTGGTTTGCTTGTTGGGCTGGGTTCGCACAGGCCGTCAAGCCCAGATCAAGCCCGGACCAAGCCCGCATCAGCCCGCACCAGCCCAACCTCCAACAGCCGTTCCATCTTGCCGCCGATGCTGCCGAGCCAATCAGACAGCCGACTTGTGGTGGCACCGCCATGCCGGCCATGCCGGCCATGCGCCATCGACAGAGCCATGCGAAGACTCACGCCATCTGATGGGAACGCGTCGGTCTCTGCAAAGTGTTCGTCCATGAACTGTGCCCCACTTTCGAGATCCCAGGCTGGGGCGTCCGGCTGTCCCAGCATGTCCATCGATTCCCCCTCCCTCATCGGCCCGGCCTGGACCATAAATACCTCGGTTCGCAGCCTCGGTCGGCCACCACCATCGCAGCTCTTGCCTCGTCTTCAATCGCAACCATGGCCGAGACAGCCCACAAAGAACACCACCATACCACTCCCAAGCTCGGCACCGAGGAGAAGGAGATCCTTGGTATCACGACCATCGACTCTGACGATGTCGAGCAGTTGGACGCCCACAGCGCCTACGCTCAGATCAGCGCCGTCGTTCCCACGACCGACGATCCCTCAACCCCATGTTTTACCGTCCGTGCGATGATCCTGGCCATCTTGTTCTGCATCATAACTTCGGCCGCCAACGTTATTCTTTCTTTCCGCACCAACTCGTTCACTCTTCCGGCCTATGTCTCTGTGGTAAGCACCCGTCTGCCATTGCCCTGATGTCGACAAGCAAACTGCTTGGGCACTGCGGGGACTCTTGTGCATTGGCAGTGCGATCCCACCCCCCCCCTTCATCCCTGGCGCATACGCTCCCCCATCAGCACCCGTTTCTTTTCTTTTCTCACCTCACTCACGCTTTCAAATCGTCCAGATCGTCTCGTATCCCATCGGTATCTTCTTTGCCAAGGTCCTTCCCGATGTCCGCTTCAAGCTCTTTGGCGTCGAGAGCTCGCTCAACCCCGGCCCCTTCTCCATCAAGGAGCACGTCCTGATCTACGTCATGTCCAACGCCGGCACTCCTTATGGTATTGACAACGTCGTTGGCCAAGTTGCCCCAATGTACCTCAACGACACCTCCATCCAGGCATGGCAGTCCATCCTCTGGATCCTCGCGACCCAGTGTCTCGGCCTCGGCCTCGCTGGCATGGCCCGTGAGTTCCTCATCAAGCCTGCTGCCATGTACTGGCCCGGCAACATGGGCATCCTGGCTCTGTTTGCGTCCTTCCACGATGAGGCAAGCTCCCAAGCCAACACCTCATCCAAGTACAAAATGTCCCGCTTCAAGTTCTTCTGGGTCGTCTTCATTGCCACTTTTGCCTGGAACTTCTTCCCCAACTTCATTGCGCCCTCGCTCCAGGCCATCTCCATCCTCTGCTTCTTTGGCGCTGGCCCCAACAGCCTTGTCAACATCCTGGGATCCGCCACCCAGGGTGTCGGCCTTGGCGCCGTTACTCTCGACTGGTCTCAGTTCAACAGCAACATCTCCCCCATGACAACTCCCTTCTGGGCCAACTGCGTCGTCATCGTGGGTTACGTGATCTGGTCCTGGATCGTTGTCCCCATAGTCTATGTCAGCGATCTTTGGGATGCCAAGCTCATTGGCTGTGACAGTCCAGGCCCCAACGGCTGCGGTCTCATCAACAGCGCCGGTATCTACAATGGCTCCAGTCTCGGCCAGCGCTTGGGTGGACGAGCTCTCCTGAACCCCACCACCTTCGAGCTTGACCCCGCCAAGTATGCCTCGGCCGCCCCCGTCCATATCGGCATGTCCTTCATCTTTGTCTATGCCACCTCTTTCATCACCATCTCCTCTGCCGTTACCCACGTCGCTCTCTGGTACGGCAAGGACATTGTCCGCCAGGCCCGGGTTGCCATGAAGCAGCTCAAGGAGGATGCCGAGCACCAGGACATCCACAACAAGCTCATGGCCGCCTACCCCGAAGTCGGCAACTGGGTCTACCTCACCATCTTCCTGACTTCCACCGCCCTGATGTTTGTCGTCGGTCTCGCTACCCCTTACAAGCTCCAGTGGTGGGGTATCATCCTGGCCATTACCATCGGCATTGTATTTATTATACCACTCACCACCATCACTGCCCTCTCGGGCCAGTACATTGGTCTCAATGTCCTGACCGAGTTCTTGATTGGTCTGATCGTCCCCGGCCAGTTTGTTCCCGTCATGTCCTTCAAGTCGCTCGGCTACAACACCATGATCCAGGCCCAGACCCTCCTCAACGATCTCAAGATCGGCCACTACATGAAGGTTCCTCCCCGCGCCATGGTTGCCGCCCAGCTCATCGGCGCCATCCTCTCGGCCTTTATCTGTGTCCCCGTTGCCACTACTTTTTCACTCTCCCCTCTTCTGGGCAAGGGTGACTGGAAGGCTACCGGCTACGGTACCTTCTACTCTGCCGGTACGATTTGGGGAGCCATCGCCCCGGCCCGCTTCTTCGGCTATGGCGCTCTCTACCACGACATGCTCTGGGCCTTCCCCATTGGTTTCCTCCTCCCCATCCTCCCTTGGCTCGGCAACAAGGTCTACAAGCACCCCTACTGGCACTTGATCAACATCCCGATCCTTGCCACCTGGGTCGGCCCTCAGGTCGGCAACCAGGTCCTGATCATCGTCCCCTTCATCGTCGCCTTTGTCTCCCAGTACTACCTCTTCCGCTACAAGAACGAGTGGTGGAAAAAGTACAACTTTGTCCTGTCCGTCGGTCTCGATTCGGGTGTCGGCATTGGCGGTGCCATAATCGGTATTCTTCAGTTGCTTTTTGCCAAGACTGACCAGGCCGGCAATACGGTTGGGGGCTTCATGATGCCCAACTGGCTCCTCAACCCTGCCGCGGCCAGCACCACCAACGACTTTTACTGCTTCGGCGTTGACTACATGGGTAACCCCACCAGCAAGTAATGCCTCCTGGCCGTGAACTCTGAGACACAAAACTGCCTCCGAGCCTCTCCTCTATCCCTCTATCCCTCTATCCCTCTATCCCTCTATCCCTCTATCCCTCTATCCCTCTATCCCTCTATCCCTCTATCCCTCTATCCCTCTATCCCTCTATCCCTCTATCCCTCTATCCCTCTATCCCTCTATCCCTCTATCCCTCTATCCCTCTATCCCTCTATTCTATCCCTCTATCCCTCTATCCCTCTATCCCTCTATCCCTCTATCCCTCGCTCCTCCTCTCCACACCAGCTCCCCGCCGGTTCCACTGTGGGCAGAAATCTATGATTCCGTCTTTCTTCTGTTCTTTATGTTGGCTCGATTGGTTTCAAATATTCAGATTCTTGAGCATAGTACTCGAAAATAGCACACAGCGCACCCATTTGGAAACACGACACCCAGTAACTACAGCCAATCCAATAAAAGCGGGACACCCGGATTTTTACCATTGGTGACTGATACCACTCAAAACATCACACACTGGGTATGGCCATTCAGTGATGTGTTTCTGGATCTGAATCAAGGACGCTCTCTCGCTCAGATGGCTCACCGCAAGCGACTCGAGACGGCCGAGTATCTTGATATCGAGTTAGTATGGAATTATCCAGAGGGTCGAGTGAATGCACCACACAAAGATATCGCCAACCAGGATGGGAAACAACCGCATGGCTTGCCCACTGGGGTCTACGGAAGTTCGGCAGGCTTCGGGCCTCTGACACCAGAGAGTCACTGTCCCGTTTCTTTCTGGATCGATGAACTTTGATTGTCAATGGCCTTGTTGAGTGCAAACTATCGCCGACGACAGGGTATCAATTCGATGATACCGGTCCACTATATTCATGGGGAATCGGGACACCCTCGCGAGCCCGCATGTCAGCGCGGTATGAGATGGCTTCGTTTCGGGAACGCGGTATTACTCGCTGCCGCGCCACATCCGCGAACCGCGCTGCGATTGGCCAGAATTCAGACTACCTGCGCAGAGGCAGTGCTGCAAGCTCCTTGCCACAGCCACGCCCCCCGCCTGCAGAACGATCTCGCGCCTCACATCGAACGGCGGGTTGCTGGGTATCGCTGGTGCATGGCTGACCCCCGCGAGCAACGGGAGCCACAGAGAAACAGGCGCGGCTCATCAACTGTCTCTCTCCCTCCCTCCTGGTCATGACGGATATAAATAGGGCCCTTGGGCGGCCCGGCCAGTCTGCATCAGTACTGTCCTCTCGACGCACACCCAAGTCCCTCCTCGCCTGCCTCAGGCTCTTCCGCTCGGATCGTCCTCACATCGACTTCTGCCTTTACAAAGACTCCATCTCCCGCTTCTGTTTCTCTCGTCTGAAGCCATGTACAACCCATTCCTCCCGGACGTCGTCAGCAAAGCCCCGACCGCTACTTTCACAGCGATCGCCACTTTCACTACGACTGCTATTCACAACACGACCGCTACTCACGCCTCGACCCTGACCGGTCGTGGTATCCTCGCGATAGGTATGCTTGGATAAGCTTGCTGCACTTGTCGGTGCATCGACTGGGTGCTGTCGATGCCGTGGCGACCATATTGGTCATTGGCGCCTGTGGGATGAAAGAGGTATCCGGTTCGAGGCTGGCTCCAATCACTTGATATCGATGTATATGTATTCTGACCCCATCCTCCTTTCTCTGCTCGACCCCTTTTAGTCTGCCTGTCGCTTGAAATCGGGTTGCCCGTCCTTCTATTGATTTTGGTTGCCGTGTTACATCTATATATGTGTGTGAGTGACAAATTCGAGAGCTGCTACAGTCGGTTCAAGTACCGTCGCTCGTTCGAAGCAAGCAGAGTGACCCAAGTCTGAATCTTCACGACTGCCCGCGGTCGTCGTCTGTCAAGCCCGGCTCTCCATTGTCATACCCATTACTCCATTTTCATAGCCATTCTGCCGGCGTCTGGTGTCCAAGTTCGATCGTCTGCATCCTTCCGTCCATATTTTTCACCATCTCATGTACATATGCCGAATACACATTGAGTTCTTCTACAGCATGGTCTTGAATACACTCGGTCGATCTCCTGTGGCGATGATCGACTGGCATACCGAGATCATGTTCCTTGAGGCATTGATATCTCGATGTGGGAGTGTGGTGGATGCATTCGACCCTCTGGACAGCTCCATGGTGTATCGATACCAAGATACTCGAGCACACCTGGGATGTGTTGAGCTCGTTCACCAAGCACACTTGGACGTCTCTGGTGGTGGATGAAGTGCTCAAAGCACTTGGCAAACCTGAGTCCCTGGGACTGGATGCATATCCCTTCCCCTGTTTCCAGGAGGTATTCCCAAAGGCAATCACCACTTCGTCTCCTTGGACATACTTGCTTGGCCATGAATGCGATGAGTCTATTCAGGTTCCAGAAGAATATATATGTTCTGGTTAAAAACGGGGGGGGGGGTGTCCCATTTCATTCTGGAAACGCTGTAAGTTGATCTTGATTCGATCTCGCTCTTGCGGTATCTGCCTCTCCTTGCACTTTCTGCCTCTCCTTGGGCTGGTTGGCTGGGGGACGATATATTCTGCCCCAGGTCAGGACGGTTTCCGTGAACATGCAGTAGAGTGTATTGGAGAGGTGAGAGGGCCTGCAAAGGTCGGCCTCAATCGAGTGCCCCCCCTCCCATAAAAGACGGCGAAGGCAAACAGGAGCATCGAAATAGCGCACAAATCAAATCAAACAGCCTGACCGACCAAGTTAACCGCGGCTAACAGCGAAGGGGATTGCTTAGTGAATTACCATGGGGATACTGTGGCATCCAATAGGACAAGATGCAAAAAACAAAGAAGAGATTGGTGGCGCTCTAGTCCTCCGATCGGTTTGTCTCGGGAACATATCCGGCCGTGGCACCGTCGACTCCCCACAGTTTCAGGCGCGAGACAATGTCCTCATCCAGCTCGGTGATCGAGTTCTGGTTGTTCTGGTCCCAGTCTTGCTCCACGAGGTCGTCGTCGTCGTCGCGGTAGCGCGGCGAGCCAGGAGCAGACTTTGGCCGAGGAACCTTCTGGGTCTGCGGCAGGTTCGACAGATCGCCGTCGTTGGAGTAGGCTTGGCCATTCACTTCCTCGTGGTAGCTGTAGTTGAGGTTCGAGCCCTTCTCAAACTCCTCGTCGTAGTTGGCCTCGGTGTAGGCCACAGCCTTTGGCCACTTGCGGCGGACAGACAGCCATCGGGCACGGATGTAATCGTGGCCCAGACGCTTCCAGTCCAGCACGTCGCTCAGGCGCTCGGTGCGGTTGCGCAGGCTGATGCGCTGGCGCCGGCCCTTCTGGCAGAACTCGAGCATAAAGTCGCTCAGCTGCTGGCAGGATTCTTCGACACTCTTCATTCTGCGGTCGCAGATGTAGATTCCATAGTCCGAGGGCTGCTGGATGATTTCCTGCATGAAGCAGCCAAAGCCAGAGAGGTTTGTGGTGATCGACGGCACGCCCATGACGGTGCATTCGGCCGGAGTGTAGCCCCTGTGTGTCACGAGAGGTAGTGCGGGTCAGATACGGGCAAGGGGAGACATCATGGGCTGTGAGGGCTGCGCGGCATGATCACCTATCCCTCGCGAGGCGGCGCTGAGAGACTGGAGAGTGTCTCACGGCCCCGAATACCAACACGCGCGACAGCAGCGGCACGACGGGGACGGCTGGCTTACCAAGGCTCGTAGTAACTGGGGAAAACGCCAAGATGGGTGCCACGGACAAACTCCTCATAGTCCATGCCGAGAATGGGGTTGTTGGCGTTCAGGAACTCTGGGTGGAAGATGATCTTGACGCGGTCGGACGATGAGTTGAAGAGCTGGACCTGGCGGATCTGGTTCAAGATCGGGTCCTTGCCATCGTCAACCATATTGTGGGTCACGATGGGCGGCAGGGTGTCGCGCCTGAGGGCAAAGATACGTCGCTTGAGAGCAACGATATCCTCGTTGTCCATCAACTGGGCCGGATCGGGAGCCTTGCCTCTGTAGCACGACAAAGGATGGGCTATTAGCCTGGCTGCGCTGCCGGGGACGGCGTCGGCGAGGTGCGAGCCGCTCTAAGCGGCCCTCTTGTTTCGCGGTGGTCAGCGGCACTGTCCCCTCTACCAATCGCTTCGAATCTCGACTCATGTGGCCAGCCAAACCCACGCACAAACCAGCAGATCAGGTACCTGGCAGCACTGTCAAAGATCTTCTTGCCGATGCGCGCAGTGATCTCCGAAACGGTATCGTTGAGCTGCTTGATGACAGCTTGGCCCTTCAGGGCATCGACAGTGTAGCTGTGGTTGCGAGCAGGCATGATGACAAAGGCCACGACGGTGACGGGCGAATTGTAGTGCTTCAGCTGGGAGTTCAAGCCTGGCGACGGGAGGGGAGGGAGATGCGTGAGTGCCATCCAGCCAGCACGAGCAACGAGATGCGTTCGCGGTATGATGCGACACCTACGGGCCAAGCTCTCGATGTACATGTCGACACCCTTGTTGCGATACTCGTAACGGCCGGCCGTGAAAAAGTAGAGGGTATTGTCGAGATCAAAGTCATAGTGGCCGTAAAAGTGGCCGCGGACAAACTCGTGGATCTTGGCCTTGGACTGGGCGTGCAAGTTCTGGAACTCGTGCATCGCCGAGAACTTGACAACGTTGAGGCCGTTGGGCAAGACTCCGTCTGCGGGCAGAATGGGCCCCCAGTGGCGGGAGTTAGGATGGGAAAGAGCGTGTCCGGACGAGATGTCGCGCGCGTGCAGACGAGCAACGTGCGGCCCGGGGTCGGCCCGGCCAAGTCAGAATGACTTGCGGACATGGCGCTGACAACAAGCAGGCGGGTGCGTGGGGCGAGCACGGGCAAACATGGGACGAAACATGGGACGGGCCGAGAGAACGCACCTGGCTTTCGCTTCAGCAGCCACTCAGCCTCGTAAGCGGTGATGTGGCTGACGGTGGTGAAGACATCGGCGCAGTGGGCAGCGGCACGCTCGATGCAGTAGCGATGGTAGATGCCGCGCTTGCCGGCCTCGGCGTCGACGTCAAAGTAGCGCAGATTGTTGTAAAAGTCGGTGTCTCCGGCGCAAAGATATCGGCCGAGCAGGGTGGCGTGTGTGGTGAAGATGGTTGCAATGTTGAGGGAGCGGCGGCGGATCAGCACAAGGGCAACGCCGGCCAGCCACTCGTGGAAATGAGCAATGATGGCTGGGCGGCGGCCCTTCATGACAGAAAAGTTCTGGTAGGCAAACTATTGAAGTTGGGCGTCGCGATGGGCCCGGGCCGGATAGCAAACGGAAAGACCGGGAGGGAGCACATGCCAGTGTCAGTGTCAGTTACGGCAGAGAGGACCGGGTCTCGCGCGGGCCAGAAGCCGCCATGGGGTTGGCGGTGCCGAGAGAGAAGCCCCGCCCAAACCCGAGCGCCGCCATAACCGTGACGCGATGTGAGTCAGCGAGCGCAATCCTGGCCCGAGGGGCGTGCGGGCTGGGCGAAGGCAAGGGCGGGATGGCCGGTGCAAGAGCGGGAGTGGCTGGCAGCCGGCCGGCAGAGATCAACAGCGAGGGGAGTGCAGCGCAGGGAGAAACTGGGGGCACAGGCGCCGGATGCAGTGCGCCAGACCGATGCAGGGGGCTCGGAACCATACAGGCTTGTGAGATGGACTGCAGGAAAAGTGCTTACCTCGCCGAGGAACCAGGCAACGAGGTAGCCAAAGACGATCGAGTCGTTCGTCTCCATATCATCCGAGGGCGAGGGGATGCCAGCAACGTTCCAGAGATCGGTTTTCCATTCGTTGGCTCGGTAGTGCGACTTGACGACATCGAAGAGCAGGACATTGGGCGAGCCCTCGACGAGCCAGCGGCCGTAGACAAACGGGACACCCTTTTCGCGCAGCGCTCTCAGGGTCGAGATCATGGGCTCGGATGCAGGCTCGAGCTCCTCAACTTCCATGGGGGCGGTCTTTTGCGAGTAAGGGCCGATCAGGCAGTAGCGGTCGCCATACTCGCTGACTGTGACGGGGGCCTTGGACTTGATGACGGTGTAGATGCCACCGACTGGAAGGCGAGCCAGATGGGCAAGTTAGCGCCGATGACAGCAGGACGCAGGGCTCGATATTGAGGGCACCCCCGTCCAGGGCAGTCCACGTAACCACCACTGACATCGACGCCGACTGGTATCGATGCCGCTCGAAAGCGAGGGCACACGAGCCGGAACACCGGGGGACCAGGGGACTGCAGAAAGCGCATATCTGGTACACACCTTTGTTGGCCACTTCCCAGGCCACCTCGAACAGGAGCGGGCTGGCCACATCCAACTGGGTTTCAAAGTCGAAATCGATGTTCATGGCAGATGGGGCTTGGATGGATGAGGATGAGGATGAGGATGTATCACGAAGAGATATGGGTCTGGCGGCAGCGAACCAAGGAGCGATGGGCCAAGGAGCGATGAGTCGGAGAGAGGCCAGTGAGATGCACAAAAAAAGAGTGAGACGACGGCGGCGATCGAGCAAGCTGCGTGTGTGGGACGGGACGGGCCGGGCCGGGATGGAGAGCGACGGCGGCGGCAAGCGACGATGGCGGGGTGCAGCGGGTGAGGATGAATGACAACGGATAGGTACAGATTGGTGTGTTCTAGCGGATCCGGTGCTTGGCGGGAGGAACCGTGCGGGTAGAGACGAACGGATCCGGGTGGCGGCAGCAGGCTGGGTGTGCTGGGGGGTTGGCTGGGGGTGGTGTTCTCGGGGTGGCGTGGCTTTTATACCCCGGTGGTGACGAGATACGCGGCGATAACGAAAAAAACGGCCAGGCCGGGCGAGCGATGACGGATGGCCGCGGAGCAAGGCGGCCCGAGCAAAGGCAATAACGAGCGCCGCGCGGCCCATGCAGTCCGGCATTTGCAGCGACCACCGACATTGGCCACGGACATCCGCTCTGCGATTCACGCCGGTGCGGCCTGGAATGGCACCGAGCAGACGAAATCGTCGCTGGCGCTTTGACGGCACGGCAATGGCATGGCGATGGCATGGCGATGGCGATGGCGTGTCGGTGCGCACTGGCGGACCATTGCACATTCCGTCGACAATGGCGGCGTCAATCAGCAGTGGTGTCGGTGGTGTCGACAGCGATATCGACAGCGATATCGATCCGGACAGTGATATCGGCAGCGTCGATCGGCGGCGCTATCGACAGCGCTATCGACACCAGCCTTGCCCGTCGGCCCCAACAAACGCCCGATCGGCTGCGAACCCCCCCCCCGACACCATCACCACTCAGAGCCGCGCATGCCCAACCAGCCCTCAGGCCCAGCCCCGATTGGTGGGCGCCGTCCTGGCCTTCGGACGCTCGGCGGCGATTGGTTGGCCCGCGGTGGCGACGATCCCCCTGCACCACTTGGGCAGCCAGCCAGGGCTCAGCGCCACATGTGCTGCTGTGCCTTGGCGGCCTCCCTGGTCGAAAAAAAAAAAGTCGTATCGCAACCATGATAGGCTTTTTTTCTTGTTTGTGGCCGCCAGAGCACAGCGATGCAATCCCCACAGGAGCGAGGAGAGTGAAAAAAAAGGTCATTGCAAATGCCGATGCCTCCCCGGCGATAGGCCCGCTGCAAAGGAGAAATAGCGCATCCTTTCGTCAGCTCCGCAACTGCCTCCCCTCGTTCGTCTCCCGCTGGCCGCACTGGCTCCGACTCTGCTGGCCCCCGCATGCCCACCACCACCGCTACCACCACCACCACGGCCAAGATATAAATGCCTGTCTGAGACCAGCGGCGACATCTGGGCTCTGGCTGCTTGCCTGTCAACCAGAATCACATCCGGCCATCCGGCAAACCACGCCGTTGAATCCCACCGCCATGAAGACCCGCGTCTGTGAACTGGCTCTGTCTCTGCTGATGCTGCTGTCGCTTGCATCGGCAAATCTCCAAAACCTGACCATCCAGGGCAGCAACTCTGGGTTCCATCCAGGTGGGTGCCTTAGAGAGCATGACACTTTGGGCTACTTGGGAGCCGTCAATGCGGCAATGTCTGGGAGCTGCAGTCGGCTCGTCGAAATCCGCCCTCCATGACCAGCCAATGCACCTCGAATGGACAACCAGCGGCGCTGCGACAAGCGACAACCCCAACGATCGTGCCTTGGGTGCGACATGTTTGCGCATCGACCAACCAACAGCCAGTCGTCCCGTGCTGTGCTGCTACCGGCGCTGAGCGTCGGCTGGGATCACAACCCAGGCAGCATGCGGCGGTTGTTCGGTCCCCCAGCGTCAATTGGCTCGTTCGGGGGCAAAGTGCTTGTCTCGGGTACCAATCGTGCATGGGCACCGATATTGAATAGGGTCCTCTTGCTCTCATCGCTTTCCCAGGCGACTCGCTGGTCGTTACTTGGTCATCGGACAGCCTCGGGCTTGACCCCACATTCCTCGCAATTTCGCTTCTGTCCCTCGGTAAGTCTGCCTCCGCTCCTGTGGCATTTACATGTCCCCGACGACCGCCAACCCTTCCGCTCCGACAAACGCCGCTCCCGACTCGCACCGCCCAATGTCACCGCCATCTTGCCGTTGCAATCGGACCGATCCTGTCCATGGGTTCGATCGCTCGGTCGCTCGCAACGTCCCTTGCTGATGCCGTGCTGATCCGCCACCGATATCCCTGCCATCGATTTTACCCGCCGCCGCCGACTCCAGACACAGGCTACTCTGAGGACCTCACAGCCGCTGCTGGCCTGTTGCCCTTCGACCAGTTCATCTTCACCTCAAGCATCCCCACATCCAGCGACATCACCACGGGCCAATGGGTGCTGCGCATCCAGCAGTTCTTCACCACCATGTTCAGCACTTCGTCCATCTCCATAATTAGCGCGCCGTTTGCCATTGCCGCTTGATTGCCGTGGCGAATCACTCTGCGCTGCTCGGGCCGATGCTATCGGCTTTCGCTCCGCCAACACGCAATGCTCGCCCTTTGCTATCCATCTGAACAGTGCAGAGCCGCGCCAGTCAGCACCAGCCAGCGGCTTGATGTCGGGCCGACCTGGATCGAGCACGTCCAGGCTTGCTCTGGTTGGACTCGCTGCGGCGCAGCCATGCACACGTGACCACGAAAGCCTCTTCCCGCACATGTCCAGCCCGGCAGCATCTGCCTCCATCGCGCCCACCTCCATCCCGCCATCGCACCCTTGCCGCCGCACCTGCCATCATGGAAGACTTCCAGGGAGCCGAGGAGGTAGCCCTGCCGTGCTCGGACGTGCGGCTCGAGGGACGGGTCTTGCCCGAGCGCCGTCGTCTGGCCACCGCCCTTTCCAAGCTCGCCAGCTTGCTGATCCATTTTCGCTCCTCCCCCATCCCGGTCTGGGACGTGCTGCCCTTTCGAATCGACTGCTGTGTGCCGGCCCCTATGGACGCTACTTGCTGCTCGTGGCACCATCGGCGGGTCCGTCTTGCGTATGTGAATCGCGGACTCGGCGGGCCGCGCTGCAATTCGTGTCTCTAGAAAGCCTTCATCGTTGAGGAGGTCAACAACGTCATCAAGGAGGTAACGATACCCCAAGCCGCCCGCGCTGCACTTATCGCGCTCGAGGAGCGGTATCCGCGAGACGGCGGCTCGACAGCGCGCCAGAAGCAGCTGGATTCGGGCAGGAGCTCTGTTGGATCGAATTGGCTCGTGGTGCCGCCCATCCGTCGCCTGTGCTGATGCTCATCATATGGTCGATGCAGTCCATCGAAAACACCATCCAGAATGCGGCATATCACCACAACAAGGTCGCCCAGTGGAACTCCAACATCGTCGAGCTGTGTCTCAAAAAGCTCACCGGCCTCAACAAAGCCTTCAAGTACATTGGTGGGTCTTGTCGGAGGCCTCTTGGATATGCTGAGGGGATGCCACGATAATCGCTGCCTGGTGGATGGTGGATGGTGGATGGTGAATGGTGGGTGGCGGATGGTTGCTGTCTGAGCAAAGTGTGCTTGAGAGCTGTGCCGCCGCAATTGTACCATCGGAGCTGGATCGGCAAGCATCGGCAAGCATCGGCCAGTTTCCGAGCCCCGCAATCTCACATCGCCCGATGTTCAATCTGCCAGTGACGTGCACGATTATGCAAAAGAACGGAGCCGGCCTGCACGCAGCATCATCGTGCTACTGGGACAACTCGAGCGACGGTATGGTCATCGGAGCCGTTGCAGCGATTGTTGCCATCGCAGATACACCACGTTGACGAGCAGCTTGGGATATGGCCATGCCCCTCGATCCTGATGCCGCATGGAATGGATCTCACAGGCAGCACAACATACAAGTACGACTCCAAGACCATGTATGTGATCGTCAATGTCTTTGGCTTGGCAATCTGAAGGGATCGACTCTTCCTCAACACCGCTGCTCTGGCGGCATCGTCGGCAGTCAAGTTGCCGCACCCACGCCATCCGGCCCAGCAGTATCCCCGAGACTTCTGTCTTGGACCACATGTGCATATCGACCCCAGCAACCCATCCTCCTCTTCTGCGTCGTCCGCGGTTGGGCTTTTGATCCTCCGAACGTGGTCGAGCTGCTCGCTACTGCTTCCCTCTCTCCCTCCCATCCAATCACACTGCACTTCTGCTCAATAGATATCTCTACGGTTTGTGATTCACCCATGGCCTGTGTGTTTCGAGCAGACCGGATGGGTGTCGGTCCGAGCTTCCCTCACACTCTCTCCCCTTCCCTTCCTCCGAGACCAGCCAGCAGTCCAGGCATCAAATCGACGGGGCGGGTTTGGCGGCACTCTGGAGGGCGGGGGATATGGAGTTTGAGTCGACCGGGCCATCTCCCGCCTCTTGTCCCCCCTTGCATCCGCCATTTCCAAACACACCGATCCCGTCTCGATCCCCGATCCTGTTCCCGATCCTGCCCCAGCCCGACTTGCCGGTCCATCAAGTTTCATTCATCACAGCAGATTTGTGGCTTCTGGCAGTCCATTGCACCACGGCCAATACTCAACCGTCGCGCCAGAGCCACCGATCGATCGCATGCCCATCTCCAGCCACCCTGAAAGTGCCGTCGTGCTCCCGTAAGCTGCTGGCCGCATCCGCCACCGTCCAGCGGCGATCGTCCAGCGGTGATCGTCGTTCTCTGCCGCTGCTGTTCTGCTCTCTGCACTGCGCTGGGAGATCGGCCAAGACGATTGAAGGTGTGCGAGCAGGATGCCCAGCCCAGGCCCATTCTTTGGCCTCCACCGCTCCCCGCCCTCGCACACTCCCCCGCTCTCGCCCAAAGCACGATGCTCGACGCATCCTGTGCCCTTGTCTCCGGCCCACTTTGCCTGGACGATGACTGTGGATCTTGAGGCCCGATGCACGTTTTTGGGTTGTACCCGCTCTGGTGTCGGACCCAAGCTCGGCCTCAAAGCGCTGTGGATCCAGCACCAGAGGAGCCGTGCATTCCCCACCTCCTCCTGTTCAGGAGCTGGCCCACAGCCACTGTCGCTGCAACTGCATGCGATGGCTCGTCGCCTCCTTGCCGATTGCGGACAAGTTTTTTTTTTCTTCTTCTTCGTTGCGATATAAGATACCGTGCTGGGCAGGCGGCTGGACGCCCTCATCCTTCTCTGGCTCGTCCTAGATCCACAGCATCGTCGCCGGCGTTCTGCGTTTGCCTGGCGCTGCCTCGTCCCTCATCTCGACGCATCTGCCCGACATCGGTCTGGGCTGTGCCGCTCCCGCTGTCTCTGCAGGACCTCATTTCTAATTGGCCCTTTCATCCTGCTGGTCTTCCTTCTATACCTCGTCCTCGATTCGCAATCGATCCATTCCTTGGCAGCAAATGTAGGTGGCCGTAATGGCGGTGGTCGTCCGGGCGTCTTTGTCTCGGTCATCCGCAGTGGATCTTGCCACAGCCGACGCTCGTTCCTCCTTCTTGGTGGTGGTGATCTCTGCGTGGCCGGCTGCCATTCGAGGACAGAGCTCCATCTCTGGATCTCAGGCTCCCCGCTCCTGCCCTCGTCTCGTCCTTCCATTGGCGGCATCGTTGCTGTGCTGTCAGGACACACGTTTCTCTGTAACAGAACGCAGGACTGCAGCCCAGCTCATACGCAGCAGTTGTGAGTGAATGCGAACAGCTGGTCCCAGACAACTCAAACGGTCCCCCCCCCACCTTCGTTCTTCCGTCTCTCTGTCCGGCACCTTTTCCCAGCACCACCCAAGTTCGCACTGCTCGTCCGCATCTTGAAAGCCGCCAGCCTCGCAGCAACACCCCCAAGGTCGCCCCTTTCAAAGCGTTATCGACACCACCTCTCTATCCGATCCAAGACCAAGTTCAGCCCCCACCGCACACGCCTTCCCAATCGCCCATCCAAGTCGCTCGCTGCTTCCCGCCACTGCACGGCTGCATTCCCTCCTTGCGACCTCGCTCTCTCGCCTCCCTTGGTTTCTTTGGTCGCTTCTCTGCTTCTGACGTTGCCTGGGCTATTGAAGCTCCCCCATTAGATTGCGGGTGCATCTTTGTATCTTGATCGCTTGGCACCTCCTCCTCTGCCTCCCCGCTCTCCCATCCCTTTTGCCTTTCACCTCTCTTCTTCTCAGTCCTCGCCATGGCCTCGCCATCCAAGTCGTTCTTCCGGAGCCGGAGCAGCAGCTTGAGCCAAGGCGCTCACCACCACCATCCGCAACAGTCGCAGCTGTCAACGTCGCCCCCTATCTACGTGGACTCGGATCGAGCCGAAGTCTCGCAATCCTTCCAGGGCCTCGTCGATGCCATGATGCTGATGTCGACCTCGCCCACCAATTCTCCGCTCTCGAAGCTGAAGCCCCGGAATTCGTTCAATCTTTATCAGGCCTTGGTTTTTGAAAACACCATCCCTCCGAGTTATCGTAAGTATGGCGGGCGGAAAGGAGGAGAGGAATGGCCCGAGTCTCTTGAGCAGAGCAGAGGACGGCGGCGGAGTGAAGTGCCAAACCAAAGAGAGTCATACACACCCAAAGCTCGTTGTTGATGATGATGATGATGCCGCCGAGTGTGAATGAAAATGAGGTTGCCATAACTGCCGCTGCTGGTGGGCATTGGAACGGATCAAGTTGGTGGATGGCGGAGAGGCAACGGCTGCTCCAGGGCACGAAGCAGCTGCCTTCGCTCATGGTCCGAATTGCAGCGGAGCAATAGGAGAGCTGGGGCTGCTCAGCCAGGGCCCTTCCCAAGACGCTCTCGGATGCTTCGCAGCTGCGGTTGTGTGCCTGGCTTGGCGCCCAGGGCAAGCAGGCCGGACTCTGAGGGCCGCAGTTGTCTGCCCCTGTCAGTCTGAGGGGGAGGCCTTCCGAGGATCAACCGGCATTGCAAGGGCTGCACGTCGATCTGAGCAGACACTGACACTCTTTGCTTTCTCCCGACTCTGCTTTCTCCTTCTCCTCTCTCTTTCGACATCAACTCGACATTTCTGCAACACCTCTCCTCTGGAATACCTTCCTGTCTTTGTCACGCCGCCTTTGCCCTTCTGCCTCGATTGTGCCGCCTGCGCCCGCTTGCTGCGCTGCAGTCACAAATCTTCGCGGCGCCATCTTCCGTTCGTGCAGATTCGGCGGCTCGCAGTGGGAGCGGCCATCGTCGTCGTCCAACCACTTCACCGACGTTGCTTTCTATGATTGCGATCTGAAGGGAAGCAATCTGCAGCATCTGACCTTTGACTGCGTGCTCTTCCAACGATGTGATCTGCGGCAAGTCCGGTTTAGCAATTCGTCCTTCTTCCGCAAGATTCGGTTTGAAGACTGCGATCTGCGCGGCGCCCAGTTCGAGGACTGCAACTTTTGGGAGCTGCAGATCATGGACCACTGCACGCTGGACTCGTCGTCGTTCCACAACTCGTACATCAACACCCTCGCCATGTCTCCGTCATCGTCATTACGGATAGCCAACATTAGCGGCCTGTTGATTTCAAACCTCGTCCCCGTGAGTGAGATCTCTCGCGAAGGACATCCTCTCAGCTCCACCAACAGCGATCAGCCCGAGACCGACAGCGAGAGCCAAGACGATGCCTCGGACGAGATTCGCATCGACCCGAGCGACGTTGCGGCGCTGGCTCGGTCAACCAAAGCAGCGGCCGATGCCCTCAAGCGGGCGTCCGGATCCGACCCGATTGCACAGCACCAGCACCACTCGACCAGCATGCTCAAGTCCATTTCGATCCCGCACTTTACGGCCAAGCTCGCCAGCCTGTCGCGCAAGTCCTCCAACACCTCGAATCGGCTGGATCCCGAGGGCGCCTCAGCGTCGGTCCTGGGCACTTCGCCCATCAACATTTCGCACCGGCCGCGTAGCGACCTTTACGACCCGAATCAGTCCGCCTCCAGCCCGGACGCGGCCCTGCTGATGCCGACCCGATCGCTCAATCCCGCCTCGGCGCTGGTGTCGGGATCGAACGAAGATATCCACGCCAAGTCGCTGGCGGGCGACCTGAACAAGGATCCTGGTCCAGGAAGTCCGCCTGGGGAGACCGTGGCGGCCTCGAGCCCGGCCAGCGCACACACCCCGGTCATTCATGTGGCCCCAAGCACCCAGTGGCCCCTGCGCATGGCCGAGTTGATCCATCTGGCCTGGGGCGGAGCCTACTTTGGCAGCGGCGCCTCGGATCGATACAAAAGCCGGCTAAAGAACGGCGGCAAGGTGCCCGAGAAGGAGCAAGAAGGATGGGCACGAACCTACGCCTGCCTGCAGAAGATTGCGAATGGCGACTTCAAAGACATTGACAACATTTACTAGCGTCTTTGCCTGCCTCTGCTCTCCCCCACTTCTTCCCTCACTCGCACGCACTCTCACTCGCCTTCTCTCATCCTACCCCTGTTCCCTCACCCCCCCCTTCCTCGACATATACACTACTCTCATTCTCTCATTCGCTGATGAAGAGCGGCCCTCGATTCCCGATCGAGCACGCGCGCCGATTTTGACTGTTTCTGGGCTTTGCAACGCGAGCGACTGCCAGCGCAGTCGCCAGGCGACTTTGTTTGACACCGAAATCGATATTGAAGCTGATGACGCCGGGCCTTCCTTGGTGGGAGTTTCAAGGCTGAGGGACAGACACCGATGAAGCATCTCGACCAGCCAAAGTATTGGCGGCGGCAGCGCATTTTGCAGTTCCCTATCCCCTCCTCTTTTCTCATTATCGATCTATTGATGCTTTGCGGTTTCTTGCCTGTGGCCGATGGTAGAAATGTGTATTTCCCCCCCCCAGATGACTGATGTACTTTGGTTTCCTCTTTCCTGCGGCTTTGCTTTGTGATTTCTTCGATCTCGTTCTGTGTTTGATTCCCGATGTTTGGCAAATACGATTGTTCTCGTCGCTGGCAGCGTCGATCCGTCCATCGGCAGAGGCGTGTGTGTGCATGTCGGTCTGCTGGTGCATGTGGCGTGGGCCCGTCGCGAACCAGCCGTCTCGCTGGCCGCCGCGATTTTCCCGTCCCGGATTCCCGGGGCCGGCCTGGCGTGGGGCCGCAGCAGGCACACACGTGTCGGGTCTGGTGACGGCGGGGCTGTGGCGCAATGGCCTTGCCAGGGACCAGCCGCTGCCGTTCCCCACGGCCCTCCGCCACCGCGGTCTCACGAGCCCCGGGCAGGCTGGCACACAAGCGGGGTGGTGGGAATGGGATGGTGAGGTGGTGGGAATGGTGGGATGGTGGGATGGTGGGAGTGGTGGGAAGTATAGGCATGCAGGCGAGATGGCTGCATAACCTGCTGCTGCGGGCCGCACGGCTGTGCTGTCCACCATCCTGTCTCCCCGAGCATGCCACATCCACATCCATATCCTCATCCTCATCCTCATCCAGACTCGTGCTGCGGGCTTGAATTGCACCACCACTGCCACCAGGCCCGCCTTGCTGGGTGGCGGCCACAGACGCAATTGGGGGTCATGCTGTATGGCGCTCCCCGGCGCCATGGGCCGGTGGGTGGGGCCTGAGTGGTCCTGCAGGGCACAACCCAAATCGGCTCTCGTCGCCCTCGCTTGGCTCAATAACACTCCTCCTCGAATTTAACAATCAAACGAACGACCGATCTAACGATAGATTCAAAACGATAGACTCAACAGTCGGCTCGGTTGAATCGCACCCCGACTCGCACCCCCGACACTCGATCTGCTGAATCGCACCCAACCCGACCCTCCTCTTCCATCGGCGCAGTGGTATCCTTCGCTCCCAGCCGCCTTGGCCAGTCCCACCCACGCCTTCTCTGTGCTCGCTCGGCGCCGTCTCCTTTGTCGCCCCGCTGCCCTTTCCTCTTTTGCCTTTTTTCCTGTCGCCGTCCGGTCTGCGCTTCGATCGACCTGGCCGTCCGGGTCGATTTTGTCCTGCTGTCTGCATCGCCGGTTTTTGTCCTGCTGTCAGCATCGGCCCATCCGTCTTCCCTGCATTCGTCTCCCCTGCATTCGTCTTCCCTGCATCAGCCTCCCTGCATCGGTCTCCCTTAACCCTGCCCATCGTCCCCTCGGCTTCTCTGTCTGGATTCCGTCCCATCCCCATGTCAATCGCCATCATTGTCGCCGTGGTCTGTGCGATTGTCGTCGTCGCCTCGGCCACAGGCGTCTACCTCTGGCGCAGGAGAGCTGCTGCCAAAGCCACCGATGTCGAGGCTTCGCCGACAGCCGTGCCTGCTGCCGCCGCTTCCGCCTTCTCCGCACGCTCCATCTCGCAGTCCTCCATCCCCCTGACTCGGCCAACGTCACCCTCGGTCGTCATGACCATCAATACCACGCCTCAGAGCTCCCACCACTCTCCCGCAGCCACCTTCACCTCTCCGACCGAAACCGAGGTCTCCTTTGGCGGCACCACCTGGATCTATCGCGATGCATCCCAGTCCAGGTCTAGAACCCCAAGCAGCAGCTACCCAAAGTCGCCCTCGATTGGCTCCTATGCCAGCCAGAAGACCCTGTACGCCCCGCCGCAATCGCCTGGGCTCCACCGGGTCACCACCCCAGAGCCTGCTGTTCCGTCCTCGCGCTCGAGTCCTTTCACCGAAGCCAAGAGCCCGTCCTACCCTGCTCAGTATGACCTTTCGCTCGAGGAGCAGCTCGAGTGGCAGTCCGTCACCAACAACAGCAGCCATCTCTCGGGCATCCTCGACGCCGAAACCATTGCAAAGGGACAGGCTCTCTTCCGGATTCCGCCGCGCCGATCCTTCGTCAAGACTCCCCCTCTGCCGTCCCACATCGAGACCCCTGTTCTGGAATCCTCCGATGTTCCGGTAGCGCTATCCAGGCCTCCTCCGGAATTTGCCCTGCCTCCTATACCCGGTACTCCCATCAGCAAGAAACTGCTCGAGTCGGACGTTGACTTTGGCGTTCGGAATGCAATCAACTGACCGATGCTATGCTGCGGGATAGCCGAGGTACCCCTCCCCCCCCCTGCTGTACTTTTTCACATAGACCCATTCATAGAATCCTCCTTTCCTTGTCTTTTCGACATGTATATTTCCATCCTTTGGTTGGCCGTGTGCCCTTGATGGTCTGTCCCTGCTTATCGTCTCGATGGCGCTTGATGAGCGCTGCCGGTCGACACCTCTGTCGCTTGGATAAGCCCTTGGCCTTCGTCCCGTCTCCGTCTCACCTGCGCCATGTTGGCACTAATCGGTCGCTACCGCCGGGACAAGCATCACGTCCGAAGCCGGGCTTTGGCCTGACCAGTGTTTGCAAGCGCAGTGGCAAGTCCACTTATGGCTCCCCCTTCCTCTTCCTCCTCGCCGGTGTACATACAGTCGGTCCGGAAAGAAACGGGACAGTTCCTTCCTGGCTTCAGATGTCTGAAGCCCGCTGGCTGGCTGTAGGCCCCAGTGCGCAAGCCATGAGATTGTTTCCGTCCTGGTTGGCAATCGAGTGGTTTTGGTTGGTTTCGGGAGCACAGTCTTGAATACACTCGGTCGATCTCCTGTGGCGACGATCGACTGGCATACCGAGATCATATTCCTTGAGGCATTGATGTCTCGCTATAATCTTGTGCCAAATCTGTGTGCGATTCAGAGCCCTGACAACTCGAGTCGAATACAGTGAAATCTGGATCCAGATCCTGACAACCACTACTGCTTGACACACGCATGCTCTGGTGTGTTGGCGATCCAAACCGCACACTCGCTGATGGGGCAGCTCGTCTCCCAGGCCAGCCATTGCTCGTTCTGCGCGTTCTGCTTGTCTGCTCTTGCAAGATCAGCGTGGGTTGGTCTCTGCAGTCCATTCAACTCCTCGGCAGTCCATTCATCTCCTCGGCAGTCCATTCATCTCCTCTGCAGTCCATTCATCTCCTCGGCAGCCATCCAAACCCGCTCTGCCTGCTTTGCCGTCATGTCTGCGCGAGACAAGCTCCCCAAAGGCTGGCCGGACCAGATCCAGTTCCTCAAAAAGTTGCAATGGCATCCCAATCTTCCACCCGAGATCCAGATCCTCTGTCGCACCGGCCAACTCCCGCACCGGATTCATCCAGAGACCGCCGCTGCCGCCGAGGACTTCTGTCGCCAGCTCGTCCAAGCCGAAAGCCGGTCGCTGCCACCAAACGATACACCCTCGAGGCGGGTCCTGATCAAGAAGATAACCGATCCTGCACACCCAGCATGCGGGCAGTGCGGCCTCTTCGCTGCCGCCAACCTCGATCCTCGGACTCACGTTCTCGACTATGTCGGCATCGTCAACTCGGACTCGACGGGGGCCTCCACGACCTCAGACTACATCATCCGGCTGCTGGGCGATCTCTCCGTCGACGCCGAGTTTGCCGGCAACGAGGCTCGCTTCATGAACGACTTTCGTGGTTGCCCCGGCGGGCCCAAGCCCAACGTCGAGTTTGGGCCTTACCGGGATTCCCTCTCGGGCGAGTTGCGCATGGGCGTCTGGGTCTTGAACAAAAAGATCCGCAAAGGCGATGAGCTCCTCGTCACCTACGGCAAGGGCTTCTGGAAGGCCCGCGGCCTCATTGACTTGATCGAGGAAAAATGGGTTGGGGACTACCCAGAGTAGGCCGCCCTGCTGTCCTTGCCTGCTCCCTGGATCTCGTTTGCCCTCTGAATCTACAATCGCTGCTCTTTACAATCGACGAGATCCTCCGTCGACAGTACCACGTCCCTAAGGAGCGGGCTGGTGAGAAGCCGGCTGACGAGAACGACCTCCACCAAGGAGTCGCTCTGCATATTATATGGTGGTCTGTTTCAGAAGTGCATCGGCTGGTCGCGGTTGCTTTCGAGGTGATATCACTTGGTCGTCGCCATCAGAGCAACCAGCGGCTCCGACAAAAGAGCCGCCTCTCTGCTACCACACTGCGATATGTGTCCAATATGACGTCGGCTGCCGTGCGGGCGAGCAGGAAGCACAGACTGAATGACGTTGATGGGTGCGAATCAAGCAGCATCGTCCGGGGGGGGGGCCACACTGTCAGCCGACAAGCGCTCCCACAGCAATCTTGCCCTTCATCAAAGCTTGTTGCTCCCGATGATCCCGGTGTGGCCGCAAACACCACTGTTCAACAGGTCGCTACATATCCCCCTCGCCTCTCTTTTTCGCTTCTGGTCCGGCATCCGCAGGCTCTCCAGCACTTGACTGTGCCCGCTATAGCAAACCTCGCCCACTTAGTTCCCACCCGCATTGTCCCAGCTTTTGCGAGCCTCTTGGGGCCATCTCAATCCCAGACGGGATCATCATTCCAACCCACAGCCCTGCGTTTCCCACGCACAACAACCAACCCGGCCTGGCCGCTTTCTTTCGTTCGCCGTGAACAGCAGCCCGCTCTTCTGTAATCCACCCGAGCACTCTGATTCCCTCAGCGCGGCTCCTCAGCGAGCACCGTCATCCTGAGCGCATATCTACATCGCTTCGGATTTGATCCGCTTGGAGTTCACCAGCGTTGTATTCATCTGCCTTGTTGAGCACCGACAAACATGGAGCAAATTCCAAAGCATATCACCGCCGAGACGGATCCAATAGATACCGACCAAGAGGCCCAAAACAGCGACCGCACGGCAGCCCGGCCATCGGTGCTGTCGGCAGCAGAGCACATGTCGGTCTCTGTAACCTCGTCCCCTCGCCCGTCCGTCGCTCCGGCGAGCCCATCGAGGTGGTCCGCAGGTGAGTTGGAACCATAGCCAGACCTCATTGCGCCGCGAGACAGCGAAGTCCGCAAGAGTCGGCCAGTACTTGCGTTCTTGGGCGGAGATGGTGGCCTGGTCTATCATTCCACAGAGTGCCGGCATGCACACAACTCCCTCTACTCGTTGCAGAGCGTGTGAAACGTCGTTCACATCACTGCCATTATCTCACCAAGACGATGCTGCTGCCCTCGGCCTGCTCGCTTTCTTGCTCTTGGTTTGTAGTCGATGGGCCGACAATGCTGCGAAAGCAGTCGACGCGACGGATCCCACCCGTCTCCATCCGCATTTCGCCCAACCAGAGCCCAAATTTTGGAGCTGGCGTGCCTTCCCAAGGCGAGCGATTCGCTATCCAAAACGAACTGGTTGCAAACGTTGCTTCCAGCTCCGAGAACTCTCCACGCTCCGGCATGACACACAGCACCAGCACCAGCAGCGGCATGGCCACTCTGGCCACTCTGGCCACACCCACCACCGGCTCGAAATCCCGAGCTCGCCCCCGCTCGTACTCGTTCGGAAGAACTCCTGCCCAGTACAACAATCCCATCAGCCGGTCCTCGACCACCGAGACCCTGAGGCAGTTCCGAAGCATGCGGGCGCAGTACCGGCGCCACGACCGCACCACCATCCACGTCGACAACTTTATCCGAATCTATGTTGAAATCAAGCCAACGCCGCCCGTCGAGCCCAAGTACTTCATGGTGGTCGTCGAAAAGTCCAAGACCATCGAGCGGCTCTGCCACCAGATCGAGGCCGAATATGCGTATCGCTACATGATCCCTGAGGAGCAGGGCGTGCACGATAACCCTGTCGATGACGAGGACGAGGACGGCAACGTCGACGAAGCGTCGTCCACCAAAGCGAATGTGCCGCTGAATCAGAACCGGATTGACCCCCTCGAATGCGGCGCCGTCTACGACAGCGGCAAGGTTGCCCTGAGGTTTACCGACAAAGTCGGTGAGATTCTTCGAATGGACCAAACCATCTACGTCGTCAACGCCTATCAGGGTACGGCAATGCGACCGAGTGGGTTTTTCTGATGCAGTTACAACCGGAGGGACGGTGGGTTTTGCTATCGCTTATCCCCCATCTCACTCATCTCTCGTCTGCTTCGACCCGGATCCAGATCCGGCCTTGATCAACAAGAAGGTTTCCCAGCATCTGAGCTCGAACGAAAAGATCATCAACGAAGAGCTCAGCTCTCAGCCCAGCAAGATCGAACTGACTACGAGCAGTACAAGCAGCGTGGACGCCTCCATCGTGGCTGTAAAGAGCAACGCCGACAGCAGCAGCCAACAGCCCCGAGACTCGGTCATGCACCACGAAACCGAATTCGCCACCGGATCGCCCGACGACCTCACCTCCAGACGCCAGCCCGTCTCGCCTCGCAGCCGAAGCGTCAAACCCATCGACATGGGCACGCCATTCACGCTCGACGACCGCTTCCAGCGGCTCATCCGCAACCGGCTCGGGCTCGAAGCCTTTTGCGAGTTCTGCGTCGAGGACTACACCATCGAGAACCTGCTGTTTTGGCTCGACGTCGAAATCTATCAGACTTGTCCACTCGATCATTTCATCATCTTTGGGCAGTACATTTATCTGATGTACATAGCGCCGGGCGCACCCCTCCAGGTGAATCTGTCGGAGGAGATCCGGCGGGACATCAACCCTCCCGAAGTCTTGGAAGGCGATGTGATCGACTCAACCATCTTTGACGAGGCTCAGGAGCACATCTATGCCATTCTCAAGGGCCACTCTTTCACTCGGTTCGAAAGATCACAAAAGTGCAAAGATTTGCAGTCCAGGATCAACGAAGGTTAGTCGGAATGTGCCAAGCCGATCAACGGCCGGGCGGGGATTCGGCGCATCCACCCGCAGGGTATTTCTAGTCTGATTGACTTGGCCGCGCGAGCATCCGATTCAAGTCCGACATATGCGGTGCATCGCCCGTGGTCTGCACAAATCGCACTTCTGCACTGCACCCGGGGTGACCGGGCATATTTGAATGGTGTATCTTGCGGCGTGCGTGTACTGCTCGCGCATCCTCGCTTGGGGCTAACCGTATCCTCTTTGCCACCCACAGCCAAGAGCGTCTACGAATCCAAGATGATCTTCGACTACTACGCCATGTTCTTGCCCAGAATCTCCGAAAAGACTCATTTTGTGGCCACATGCGCGGCAAGATCCCCGACCAAGCACATATCCGTCCCCAGTGACCCCTTGGGCAGCACCCCTCGGCGACTGATGCTCATGGACGCCCCCCAGTCGGCCGTCCGCGACCAGATCCTCAACGGCCTCATCACCCAGTACTTCCCCCAGAATAGACCCTGGGCTATCGAGGGATACTTTACCGACATGAACCGCCTTTCGACCGTCCAGAAACAGAGAAAGATCAACAAGGAGAAGAAGATCACAAAGTTCTTTGGCGAGAAGCTCAGCTTCGACCACATCCAGCGCCAACTCAACGCATCCAATGTTCATATAATTTCGCCGGTGGTCAAGTGGAGCGCCTCAAATCAGCTTCGCGGCGCCCTCTGGGGCGACGAAGCCGAGAGCATCACATCCGAGGAACACAAAGACTACGGCCACAGCGAGTTCTTCACCAAGAAGAAGAAGGTGGAGAAGCTCGAGGAGTTCTTTGGCAACAAGCTACCAAGGGAGGAGCTCAAGATCCAGAAGCTAGCGACCGAAACCGACTCGGACAGGGACATTATTGCGGCAGGAACCATCTTTGGACGCGAATCGAGCGTCCAGTACACCGCCGACATTGCTCCTCCGACAATCAATGAGCTCACCCCCGACGAGAAGCGCAAGCTGGTCGAGAGAGCCAAGAAGCTACAGGCCATATTGGGCGAGCGCTCGATCGAGTGCCCCGTGGGTGAATTCCCGGTTGTCAAAAACCGCTGGAACAGTCGAGAGCTGCTCACCGACGGACCGGGATCTCGAGGCAAGATATCCTCTATTCCGGCCCTCAACGACATCGATATCCAGCGACGGCCCTCGGTTTCGGCTCTGCTCGACCGCGAATACCGTATGTCGACCCCGACCCGGGGCTCGGCGGCCGACCGATTCTATGGCAACAGCGGCGGAGCCGGACAACTGCGCCGGTCCCTGAGCATGGGATCGATCAAGTCCAGTTTCCCAGTTTCGTTCGTCTCAGACGAAAGCCAGACCCCTGAGGCTACCGCCGAGCGAGAAGCTCGTCGAAAGAAGCTCGCAAAGCTCCAGCAGTTCCTCGGAGAGCGCATCACCGATGCCGCCATCGTCAGTGCGACCCCGCCCGTAAGCCTGGGCCAGAAATCGCCGCTGACCCAAAAGGAAAAGGCCATTTCGCTCAGACGGGCAAACAAGCTCGAGAAGGTGTTTGGCCAAGTGGTTCCGTCGCAGATGGTGGCCGAGGCTGCCCTGCTCAAGGTCGAGGAGAACTTTGATCCCACCAAGACCGCCAGCACCATGCCCGACCCGGACATCCAATCCGACCTATTTCACGAGAATGCAAAGCCATCCGCCAGCGTCGAGGGACAGACCGACCGCGCTCAGTTCTTTGCCGATAACATCCGCAATCTCACCACCATTCTGTCCAACAAACGCGACATCCTGGACCTCGTGGACTTGATGGCCGGCGACGAGTTTTCCATCATGGGCTCCAAGGACGGCGCTGTGTCTCGCATGCACAAGCAGGCCCGGCAGAAAAAGGTCCAAAAGCTAAGCAAATTCTTTGGCAGCACCGTCAATCCCGAGACCGTGATCGAGCAGAGCGTCATTTCTGCTCTCGAAATTGCAATCAACGAAGAAATCACCGATCCTGCCAAGCTCGGGCAGCTCAAGAACCAGCTCACGGTTCTGCGAACGACCCTCAGGCAGAAGAGCGAGGAGATCCTGAGGCAGGGTGAGGAGCCTTCATCGCCTTTGTCTCCGCTCAAGAAGCTTTCCGATTGAATGTGCGGCCCACGGGGCCAAGCGAGCGCAGAGCTGGAATGCAGCCGGCCCCAGATCCAAATGTCGCCGGATGTGCGATCCGTTTCACCTGCGGATCTGATCATCCGAACTCGTGCATAAGGCCGCACTGCTTGGCACCAGCTCATGTGTTGTTGATCGTCCAAACAATCGCTGACTTGCCCTCCCCTCCCCTCTGATTTGCCGCACCTTTGGCCTGGTCAATTCGCCGCCCCATTCAGCCTGACTCTGTCTGCCTTTCGACCTGCTCAGCAACAAGCTATTCCGGTGGCTGCCGCAAGTCTGAGCCAGCCGGTGCTCACTTGCGCTTGGCACACATCCCCGCATTGCCTGCTTCCTTTGCTTTGCTTTCTGCCATATCCCTCCAACTCATGCTGCCCAACTCATCGTCAGTGGACGATCGAGTGGGCTGCCGATATTGCCTCGTGAGTACATTGTCCAAGAATACAGCTGATTCAGAAACAATCGGGACACTGGCCACCTCGCTGGTGATCCAGGCCAGTGGTATCTGGTCGGGTCATCAGACATGGTCTCGGCTGTAGACTTGCCCCGAGTTCTGGCCATGTTCCGCGAGGCATCGAGATTGCCATGCGGGGGTGCGATGCATTCACTCGATGTGGGAGTGGTGTCTTTCGCTTGCGGAGAGCCATCTGAGCGAGAAAGCGTCCTTGATTCAGATCCAGAAACACATCACTGAATGGCCACAGCCAGCACGCGATGTGTTGAGCGGTAGCATTCATCAATGCTCAAAATCCGGGGTGTCCTATTTTCAATGGATTGGCTGTATGTCTTGTCGTCAATCAAGCACATATCGGCGACGAAGGCATCGCGCCCCACCTGGCAAGAGGCCAGAGCCGTGATTGCAGGTTGGACAGAGCTGATCGGCAGCCAGTTTGTCGACGTCGCTGGCGGCCTCTCAGTCGTGCTTCGTATCGCCGGGCTGCCAAAATGATCTCTCCCCTCCATCGTCGTCAGTTTCGCTGTGCAGCCATGGCCAAATCCAGCCCGAGCAAGACAGTCGTCTCACGGCCTGGACAGCATGCTGCCAAGGTGAGATCTGCATACGCCCGGCCGCTGTTGTGGATTGAAGGTATTCGCTTCATCGGCGGAGATGGGAGCCTTGGCGGAGATATGCAGCGTCGCTCATCTTGGCTGGAAATTCAGGGTCGTCCAGAGACCGCCAAACCGCCCCACAGTCCGTCGAAGCCTGGTGCCATCGCCAAAACCATCAACAAACTCGAAAGGGTCCAGAACAGGTCCATCGAGAAGGCGTATGCGTACAGCTCCTCGCACGATTTTGGGACCAATGTGAGGGCGCTGAAGCAGCAATTCGAAAGCCGGACGAGCGAAAAGGTACAGTCGACCGCTGCCTGGGTTAGTTGTGCTGCGACCCACGGCTCTGGAACCCATCGCTCCGGAACAGGCGACATTCTGGGCTGACTATGGCTCCGATGGCATCTCAGGTTGTCTCTCCGACTCTGGGAAAGGCCGCTGGCGCTTCCCTCAAACGGCCAGCGTCGCCCGTGCGAGCCCACAAGATCCCCAAACCAGCCATCCGAGCACCTTCTCCAGCACGATCTACAGCAGTAAGCGAGCTCGCTGGCTCGACGCCCGACAATACCCGCACTCGTGTTTGGTGATGCCGTAGCCGATCCATGACTAAATATCTGCCTCGACAGGTTGCTGCATCCCAAACGGCCGCGCTCCCGACGACTCCGTCCAAATCAACTGCATCCCAAACCACTGATTCGGGATGCTCGCCTGGCGTCGACAAGCAGATACAGCCGCCCGAGGTCGCCAAGGACAACAGGAAGGTGAGGCAGAGAGATCGTTATTAGCTGCGCAGTGCAGCACATAGATGTGACGCTGGAATATCCGCTCTGGAACAGAGTAGATCCGCGCGATGATGACTGTTGCTGAGGGCTTGGCTCTATTGCAGTCCAGAAAGCACGCCAAACTTCTCGCCAAACAAGACAACCAGCCATCGTCGACCTTTCTCGAGTGGATTATATCGAAGGTCATCGGATAAACTCCGGCCTCTTCCATCGGAGACGATGCGCAATAATACACAACGTCTGTCGCTGCCTTCATTATTCGCTCCATCTGATCTGGTGGCATTCGGTCGCGCCATGGATTCTCGAACCCACTCCTCAGACAAATCACCCAGTTTTTCTCTCGCTTTCATTCATCGGATACACTTCTTGGATGTATTCCCAGATCCACCCTGCCACTCGCACTCTCGATTTGTTTCTTCTGGAGATGTGAGATGGATTGAAACACACACGCCAGACCCCTATGGCGATCAATCAACAACGAGTGCATGTTCGGTGGTCCTACTGTTGATATCTCAGTCGGTTGATCGACTTGCTCTTGATCATGATCGTGCTGTCCATCGAGCCCATCAGCGACGCGACGTTCTTCTCCAGCTCTGCACGATCTTCGCTCGTTTCTACGTGCTTCTCGAGCAGATCGACAATATGCTCTGGTGCAAGGCGCTCCTGCAACCGTTCAATCGCCGCGTTGATCTTCTGCACCTTGGTCGGCCGTCGCGACAATATGTGGGGGCTCTCACCGTCAAGAGCGGCCGCAACACTCGTGGAAAGCGCCTGTCTTGAGCGTAGGTTCTCTTTGCTCATGAGCTTACTGCCCGCCAGCGACCGGATCCTTTCACCGAGCCCGATCGAGGTCAGGGACCCCATCGACGACTTTGCGGACTTGGCGGCGGTGCTCCCTGTTTCGCCCTTGGGAGTCTGGGTTCCTGAATCGTTCGCGGTATGTTGGCTTGGGCTGCGTTCAGGAGTCCAGTCAATGACCATGCTCTCGAAAGGCTGACTCTGGATCTCCTGCATCCTGTTGGGATATTTGTGCTTCAAGCGCTCGGAGCCAAGGAAAAATCGCTCCCACATAGCCTTTCGATCGCCGTCCATGACGAAGCATGGCCCTGTCTTGTCTTCCAGATAGGTGTTCACCTTACGAGTTTGTTTGACAGACATACGCAGTCGGCGAGTAACCCGGTTCGAGTGCGCTCGCTGCTCCAGACGAAACATGGACTCGGTCATGGAAGAGTACAGCTCCAATTGCTGGTCGGAATCGCCTCGCGCGGGTGGGGACTGGAGCTTCCACGCGGCGACATATTCGCCGTTGCCCAAGATGGTAGCGGCTTGGTCGAACTTGTCGATCTGCTTGACGGCAAGCACGATCGATCGACCGGACTTTTTGGTGCTAACGACTTTGAGGTAGCGCTGGCGGACTCTGCGCGCGCGAACCAGTCTATGAAGCACACACAAGTCGAGCAGGGAAGAGCATCAAGGTGCTGTACCCAGCCCAGCGGCACGAAAATCCTAGAGCTATAGATGACGCCGCCAAGCAACCACCCTGCTTTCGTCCAGCCGTGCGTGCATACCTCTGCATGTGTACCACGCAGTCTCGAAAGAACAGAAACCTGCGTCGCGCCAGTACAAACTTGATCCATCTTGAATGTGCATTGAAGCAGTGAGGACGTTGCCAATGAGTACATCGATCAAACCTGGCGTTCCAGCATGGATATCTCAAGCACAAGTAGAGCATGGGCTGTACCTCTGGAGTTTGCACATCAATATCTCGATTCGAGCGATGCATGTCATCGCAATATTGATCCATGGCGGTATAGCGACCTTGTTTTCCACGACGACGGATATGCTTTGGGCTTCGCTCAGGAAGCCCACGAGCGAACCTCCAAAGCCGCTGACTTGCATGTGCGAGCGAGCCAGCAAGTTTGCCGAGGATATCGGGCGTGACATGTTGATGCCACCGAGATTGGCCGCCGATGTTGCTCGTGACTTGGGATTCATACCCGTCTCGCCAAGGGTGTCCCGGAATCCTCGGAACACAGACGACACGCTGCAGTCAAAGAGCAGGTTGTGCGTCGAAAGCGATACGTCGGCGGCAGGGCTGAGATCGAGGTCATCGAGACTTTGGCTCATTTCCAGACTCATGGACGACACCGAGTGCGTGTCCTCGATAGTAATGAGTGGCGCAGAGAGATCGGGATTGAACTCTGGTTCGGCCGTGGCTTCATCCTGATAATCGGGTTGGTCCGAGGAAGCCGAGTGCATTCGGTGTTTGCGGTGCTTGCTCCTTCGTCGCCTCTTCTTGGGACGCTGCTTCTTGCGCTTGGAGGCAGTCGTGCTCTTTGGAGAGCCTGCTTCGTCGTCAGTGTCGTGCTTGGATCCGTTATAATCACCGCCATCGCCGTCATCACCGCTCCCATCATCGTTTTGTGTGTCCTCAGAGGACGTATCTTCCAGGTCGGTCTGGGCGCCAAACACATCCGCCTCGGGCTGGAGTCGGCGTAGCTCATCAGTTTCCCGCTCCATCTCGGCTATTCGATCAGGGCTATCGCTGATATCAAACCGAGAGTCCAGGACAATGTCGTGGACGGCTATAAACGAGCGTGGGGTACGGCTGGAGGGTGGACGAGAGCCAGTGTATCGCGACGTTGGCCGTGACAATGGACGGACCCGTCGAATTCCGAGGTACTGGTCAGTTGGGTTATGGATGATGCTTTCGAGATTACGGAGCTCTTCCAGATCGTTTTCTTCATCCAGGTCGAGTGCCTCGAAGCTGGCGTTGAATTGTTCGGGCATCGAGCCCTCCCATCCGCAAGATTGGGCAAAGAGTGTCAAGCCGCAACGGCCAACGGGGCTCTGCGAGCGCAAATGTGGGTCCTCGGTTATCGAGACAGAGGCAACGCTCAGCGGTAGTCGATAGTTTGTCTCGGGAGAACCCGAAATCTGGACGATCTGGGAGGGGTAATAGATGCGTCAGCTATGGGTGTGCAGCAGCCGCATTCTTCAGAAGCGTGCGGCATACTCTGCAGATATTTTGACGTTACTTACCTCGATCGAAGCCGGAGCTGGAGCGATGGTTCCAGCGTTCGTTTTATGTGCCGATGGAATGATGAAGCTCGAGCTCAAGTCGTCGTCACGACCAGCGGACAACAGAGCAGGAGTAGGAACAGGAGCGGTGGGCATAGGAACGGTGGATACAGGCGGAGATGACCTCACAAGCAACTTCGAGTCGACATTGAGTTGGTGGTTGAGGAGCAGATTCGCGATCTTCTGAGGTGGTCGACTGGATGGTGCTGAGTAACAGCGACCTGACTCGCGGGCGGCTGAGGTACGGATCGGCTGATGGACGGCAACAAGCTTGCTTGGAGAGGTGCATTCGGGATTAGATACCCTCGCGCCCGCAGATTTTGGCTTCCTACGGTCGAAGCGGTATGCCGAATGACCTCGCTTTGGTGGCTGGGCAGTCTTGGGTCTTTGGAGTGTTGTTGCAGACTTGGCCGATGCTGTTGACTGAGGGACATCGGGACCGGCTTTGGCTGCAGCCTCATCTGGGTTCATGGACTCGCTCTGAGATTCAAGTTGAGCTTGCCCTGCCACCTCGACCTGGGTATCGGTCGGTGGTGTAACTGATGGAACCGTTGGTTGGTCGGATGAATCCAGTGTTGCTCGAGATGGTTCGGCCGCCATTGCTTGATCAGCGTCAACTGCTTGATCAACGGCCTCGGTCGGCTTTGCGACACGAGTGTCCTCTTGCTTGCGATTAGCTGAGGTGCTGGTCATATCGGAGCTTTGCTGCTTTGTTGGAGTGGTCTGGGATGAAGTAACAGACGCTGTCGACGCAGTGGCGTGATCGACGCCTGCAGTTTCCGCTGGCATCGTCGTCGATGAAGGAGATGCTAAGGGTTGCCCGACAACCACAGATTCTCGCAAATGAGCTGCCAGTCCAGGAGAAGCTGGAGGTATACGCACCAAAGGCTTTGAGGAGTCTGATGCATCTCGCACGAGCAAGAGCGCACTTTGGTCGCCATTACGATCCCCGTGAGCTCCGGCCACCTTTGGACCGACTTCGTCTGGAATGGCAAACTGACTTGTCCAGACCAGCGCCTTCAGGCTCTTTCCTCCAGTGGATTTTGCGAGATCGAATTGCTGGTTCATACTCACGACCGTGGAGTTGAGCTTCTGTCGCGGTCTCTCAAACAACCCCGGAAGCTTGTTTTGATGCCCGGTGCTGTTGGGACGGCCGTTTGTGCTTGTGCGTCGGCCGCTTGACACCAGTGGCATGAGCGCTCGGTATTCAAAGTTGGATTGCGTAAGAAGAGACACTAGCAACTTTGTTCCTGTCTCGCCAATAGGTGTTCTGAGGCCGGGGCCTGCCATGTTCTGGCCGACAAGCGGCGGGGGCGCTGTCTCCTCGGACTTTTGCAGGTACTTGACAGACGGACAGCGAACGATGGGGATGTGCAGACTACTTTTCGATGTAGTGTCGGTTGGCGAGTCGCTGCGATCGACCTCGGAGAACTGTGGCTCGAACAACCACGGTGTCGGGCTCGTGCAGATTTCGGTCTTTCCTGGCGAGGCCGGAGGCTGAACATGGCGATGGGAGCCGCTCACCACCAACCCGCCATCTGGTGTAGACTTCCAGCGAGTGTCGACTTTTGATTTGACTTTGAGCTTGGTATCTGTTGTGGTCGCATTGCGTTCTTGCAGCAAGCTGGCCCGCTTTCGAATGCCACCTTCGAGCTGAAAGCTAGAAGTGACACGGTGAGGCGGGGCAGAATGGGAGATGGCTCGCCTTACAGGCATGGGTTTGGGTGGGGCAGATTCCTCTGGGTGAAGCGACGCTGATTTGAACAAGGTTGAATGTGGTGCGGTCTTGCTGTGAGGCCAACAGTGCAGTCAATCGGATGGGATCAGGTCAGTGTCCGATGATAGATAGTGTTAGTGACGGACCCATGTGCATCCACCGGCGATACTGCAGGCTCCGGCCAGTGTGAGGCGACTTGCGCATAGGTCACTTGCCATAGCCATAGATTCGGTACAAACCCGGGTGCTGATTCGTCTCGGAGAGCGGCCAGTGACTCACCTTGACCGGGAGGTCAGAGCAGAATGGCTTTCCTGCTTTCTGCGTCGGTGGCTTACTGCGGCGGAATCAGCATCGGCGGCCGGAGCCGTATCGCCGACGACCCTTTCGTTCATCAGAGACCTGAACAGCTCGGGCCGCCCGTGGACGCTCTTTGCTCCCTTGGATGATTTCGCTCTCGCACGGTGCTCCTTCAAGCTATCCAATGACTGTGCCGGCTTGTCACTGATATGCACACTGGCGGAAGGGGGGCGTTTGCTCTTGAATCGATCCCGCATTGGCCTTGCATGGGCTTGGGAACCGTCCGCACTTGTAGTGGAGTGACTATCATGGGACTGACGGTCAACAGCCCCGGTGGTCTCAACAAGCTTGACGAAATGGAGGTCCTCGGGAAAGAACGAAATTGCGCCGTCGGAGCGGGCAACGCGCGGCTTGTAAAAATATACGTCAGGGCCGTCGGGCGGCTCGATAGGGATGAAGGTGGATTCTCTTTGGGCTGGTGGGCGAACGGGGCTTGTGGCCCCGGTTCCGGAGAAGATGGATGCTGGGACAGCATCGATGTCGGATATTTGGGATGAATATCGGCGCTTGGAGACTTCGACTTCCTCGTTGAGCTCGTTCAGGGACTGGATGAGGGCCTGGAAGGAGCGCCGAGCCGGTCGGATAATGGCCGAGTCCACCTTGGGGAAGTTGGAATGAATGAGGCGCGGGAGGGTTTCGGACGCAGAGTGCTTGAGCTTTTGACCAGCAGGCTTGCTCGATTCGGTTGGGCGATGCTCGATATCTTCTGAATGCCCGTGCTTCAGGGCGGGTTGTTGAGGAGCATCGCGCTGCAAGCCAGCGCCATCGAGCTGCGGACTCGATCCAAAGCCGTCGAGGATGCTGCTGGGCTGCCTGGAGATGCGACTGATGTGTCTGGAGAACGGCGAGGGCTGGCGCTGCACTGTTGAGATCTCATCGTTGGAGGTCGAGAGCTGGGAGAGGAAGATACCCGCCATCGCCGCTGAGCCTCAGGGGGCGCTTGTGTTGTGGGAATGCAGGATGGAATCGGATCGCCCAGGGAAGATTGCTGCCTCGGCTGCTGGTGCGAGATGGGTGGTGGATAGGCCCTCTTGTCTGTTGGATCTGGTGCGATATGGGCAGGGTGGATCGGGACTGGGTGCACTCGGACCAGACGAGGAGGTCCGTCGAGGGCACGAGAGTGCTGCGGCTGGCTTCGGTCATTGGCGCTGGAGGACTGACGCAGCCAGGACTATGGAGTGACGTCGATTGCCGAGAGACCTCATCGAGCGACGACGCCGCTGGCAAGGACAGATGGCGGCGCTGGCAAGGACATGCCACGACCGCAAGCGTCTCGAGGCATCGAGCCCGATGCCCAAGATCAGCGAAAAGTACGCGTGGGAAAGGGAATGTCAAGTGGGATGCACAGGGCAACGTGACGCCCGAGCCAGAGAGCTGGGCGCGTTGGGTGGCGCGGAGGCGATGCAGTGCAAGTGCGCTTTTGTGCTGTGGGGCTGTGCTGTGCAAATGCGCTGCAGTGCCATGTGGTGAGTCCCGCTGCATAGAATGGCATGGCATAGAATGGCATTGCATAGAATGGCATGGCATAGAATGGCATTGCATAGAATGGCATGACATGGCATCGTCCACCATAGAATGGCATGGCATGGCATCGTCCACCATAGAATGGCATGGCATCGAATGGCATGCCGTTGCGCCCGACTCTGTTTGCAGCGCACACTCCCAACACACTTCCGCGCTCTCGTCGACGGTCCCACGCGCTCGGCCAGCCAATCAGGCGCGTGAAACACGTCCTGTGCGCGTGGCAACACGTTGCCATGTGTGCCGCGCGTCCGCAATTGGCCCCCTCCTGTGTCGCCCGCCCCTTTCGTCCCTTCGCCCCTCGCCGCTCGCCGTCGCCTTCCTTCCATCTTTCTCCCACCCGATTCCTTCTGCCCCTCGGCCCATAGAACTCCCCCCCCTCCTTTGCTCCCTGTCTCCGATAGAGCCCTGCTCCAACATGGTCAACCCCATTCGCTTCCTCCTTGCTGCTGCCGTCGCCCCCATTGCCTCGGTCCTGGCCCAGTGCAACGCCACCTTGCCCTCCAACTCCCTGACCATCCAGGACTTTTCCTCCGACTCTGGCTCCAACACCGTCGGCGAGCTCTTCCAGCAGAATGGCATCACCCCCGGCGGCCAGTTCACCGTTGCTAACAACCAGCTCACTGTCGTTGCCAACCCCACCAACATCTCCAACTGGTACATGGAGTTCACTTGGCACTGCCTGACCACCCACCCCATCGCCCCCAACACCACCGTCTCGACCATGGACGAGAACAACCCGCACTACAGCCAGCTCCAGGGCTACAGCCACATCAAGCTCGACATCAACGGCCCCGTCGGCCAGTCCGTCGACTTTTACATCGAGTTTGCCAACTCGACCGAGGCCTGCAGCAACGTCGAGCTCCTGCCCCACGCCCAGATCAACAGCGCCCCTTACGTGACCTTCAACGGCCAGTTCCAGACTGTCTGGATTCCCGTCAAGGACTTCCCTGCCTTCAACGCCGTCACCGGTGGTATCCACGTCTTTGCCGTCTGGTTCCAGCCCGGCTCTGGCACCTTTAGCTTCAGAAACGTCCAGCTGATTGACTGCGACGGCCTGCCCACCATCTCGACCAGTGCTGCTGCCCCTGCCTCGACTGTGGCTGCCAACGCCTCGTCCACCCAGGCCAGCTCGACCGCCGCCAGCTCGACCACCACTCTCCCCACAACGACCAAGACTGGTGATGCTGCTGCTCGCGGCACCGGTATTCTGGCCTTTGCTGCTGCCGTCTTCGCTGCCATGCTTCTCTAAGCCCATCGATGCTGTGTCGTCCAGGGCTTGGCTGCTGCCGTGCTGTTGTGTTGCTGGATCCTCTGGTCTACCGACATGGCCCTGCCAAGACGCCCAAGCTTGACTTTGACCCACCAGCAATCCCCACCTTGCGTATCCCCCTTTTTTCCCTGGTCTGATCTTATTTCAAATGAATAGCCAAATGATATTTCCGGCAGTCGCTGATCGTTCTTTCGATGATGCTGAGATGCTGCGGCCTTTCAATTTAGGACCGGACTGGGCATCCCTCAGTCGCTTGTGCGCCACTATTTTGGATGGAGGCGATGGATATCAGCAAGTGACGGCGATGGCCCAGCCAGAGCAACTCCGGTTCGGGTTCGTGGCTTACCTCGTTGGCCAAACTGCCTTCCTCACGGCTCGACGGCAAATTGTAGGGTGAAACTGGCTTTTGCTCTTGGAGAGCCTTGGCGAGCTTGCCACCACCGCCCTGCAGTCCTTTCGCTTGCTCGCTCTGAGTGCAGCCAAGGCAGAGAGTTGAGGTTCCATGGGCAGAGAATCATCCAAGTGCACAGAGATACATCTCCGAGCAACCGCCTGCTGTTGGGAATTCGTCAGTGAGGGAATGCGGGCGGGTGCTGGCGGGCGGACGGCAGAGCGGCCTTTTGTCCATACACTTTACACATGGCAAATGGGACACACTCCCTATCCCATATGTCAGCGTAGTATGCGATGGCATGCGTCTAGCTATGCCATAAAAAGCAAATCAAATCACTTTGGCAGCCTCCGAGTGAACACCGCCGGTCGCTCTCCGGTCTCCACAATCGACTTGCCCACTGTCATCATGTTGCGCGCCGCATTGACGTCGCTATTCCACACCGTCTGGCGAATGGTCATGGCCAGCGCGCGATAGCATTGGGGAACAATATATTCGATGAATGGTCAAAAACACGGGTGTCCCGGTTTTTATTGGATACACTGTAAAGTTTGCGGTCGCCCCTCTGATTCGCATCCGCGGCTTTCTCCTCATCTGGTCCGCGCGAGACCCTTGCGCATCCAACGCCGATCATCAACATCCAACGCCAACCATCGACATCCAAAAGCCACCATCCTCACTGCACTCGCCATGGAGACCGAACCGTCCACCACCGAGCTCCTCGCCGATACCCATCACCAGCTCGGCGTCGAGGAGCTCCTCCATGACAACCCTCTCAGCCCAAACCAATCCCAACCGCGCCAGCACAGTCGACCATCGCAAGAAGCCGCCCTCGACGGCGGCGAGCCCCGCATCGCCCATATGCGGATTGACTCTGAGGAAATGGTCAACCTCGACGTTGGGAAGGCTCCTGTTCCTGTGGACCATGCCAGTCCGGTCGTCGACCCGGTCGAGCCTGCAGCCGAACCAGCCCCGGAGCTGCCTCCAAAGACGTTGCTCGGCTCGCTCGCCAATATCGCCTCCTTGGCCGATATTGGCTCCTTGGCCGATATCGCCTCTCTGGTTACCACGGCCCCGCCCGTCGCCAGCACATCATCCGCCGTCTTTGGCGGTGTTGCTGATGGGCCTGCCCCCGATGCACAGCTGCTCGCTCAGGAACCCGGCCGCCGTCCAGAAGTCGAGCAGGGCAGCGCCAGCACAGAGTTCACCCAACCTCCTGCTGCCTATCCTCCATTCCCTCCCCCTCCTGGGCCGCCGGCTGCTCTCAGCATCCAGCCAGCGATCCAGCCAGCGATCCCAACGGTCCTGACGCCGAGCAGCTCGGCCACGCCGCACTCAACCCATGTGCCCACTCCCTCTTCCAACACCACAGGCACGTCCTCACCAGGCCTGTCGATCGTCTCGCTCGAGAATGCAACCACCAGCGGCCAGCGCAAACCCCCGGTCGTCTTCGATCCGCTGGCGTCGTCGACAAACTCTCCCCGAATCACCAAGCCCGTCACAAGCCCGCTCCTGCAGCCCTTCACCAACTCGACACTGCGATCCATCGCCGATCCGAGATACAATATCCTGCCGACGCGCTACTTTATCGATCCCAATATCTTCTACGACATCCCCGCGATCGACCCCATTTCCGATGCCATCGCAAAGAACATGACTCCTGTCGAGGCCACCCGGATACAGCGACGCTGCCTCAAAGCCTCGGACGTCATCAATGAGCCAAACCCCTTTGCAGCCTTGATTCGGGCCAACAGCTGGCGAGCCGTGGCCCAGCTGGCGCGCCAGCGACTCGTCCAGACCCACCCCTTGCATGTGGACGACGTCATGGCGCTCTGGTTCGCACGGCTGGTCGCTCTCACGAAGCTGAGCCTCTTTGAACTGGCCTCGGCCGAGCTCGACAAGCTCGGCGACCTCAACTCGCCCAGTCTTCAGTTCGAAAAGTACCCCGAGTTCTTCCCCGGACGCCTGGGGCCGATGGTGCACTTTGACATCCTGGTTCTCCAGGCTCGGCTCTCTGCCCTCAAGGGCAACCACTCCGAGGCCCTGGCCAAGTACTACCAGCTCATTTGTCGCCTGCGTAGGCAGAGTGTGCCCGAGTCGTCCGAGGCTCCCTCCGGCCAGGATCCGTCGGCCGCGCGGGTTGTTGCGCTCGCGCGGGAAGGTCGTCTGCACTTGCTCATTACAAACTCACTGCTCGCCCTCAAGGACTATACGCTCGCTGTCGCCAACCTCAAGTCCATCCTCTCTGTCCACAACACGGCCGAGCTCAAATCGGCTCTGGGACGCATCTATCTGCTCTACGGCAACGTCCCGCTTGCGCGTGCCACCTTTGAGCAAGTCGATCAGGATATTGCTGCCGTTGCCAGCGACACCGGTGCCACACAGGAGCCGGGCTCGGTGGACCTTGCCGCCGTCCGGTTGATGAACTGGGGACTCTGCCAGATGGCGCAGAGCCAGATCCAAGACGCCATCGCGACCTTCACGAGCCTGATCACCCTCGATCCTACCAACGCCACCGCCGTCAACAACCTGGCCATCTGCCAGCTCTACGGCGGCAACGTCGGACAGGCCGTCTCGTTCCTGGAGAGTTGCGCCGTTGCCATGCCGCAAAAGGCAGGCATCTGCGAGCCCCTTGTCTTCAATCTGGCGACTCTGTATGATCTGATGGATCTGAGTCTGGACCGAAAAAAGAAGCTTCTGGCTCAAGTGGTGGCCAAGCATGGCGGCGACAACTTCAAGATTGACCAAATCAAGCTGTAGCCGACGGTCGGTGGCGAATGCGCTGTGCGATATCCGCCGATGTTGGCGATGATGATAATGAAGATCGATAGCTGGCCTTTGGATGGGCAAGTGCGAAGGAGGGAAGGGAGAATTGGGCTACCGACCCCCTTCGATACACCAATGCCGCCAGTAGATCGAATATATGAACATCATGAAACCGTCGTCGCGTTCGTATATCAGCTGCAGATGGTGTCTCGTTTGCCCTTTCTTCGGATCAAAATAGGGGTCACCCATCCTACCGAGAAAGAAATGACCGCTCATGTGCTGCAATTCAGATCCGCAGCATAGCCGGCGCCCGGCGGCCGTGCTTCCCATCGTCTCAGGTCCGAGAATCTAATCTGTGATGCTCTAGATCAAGGGGGGACATGGAGCTGATGCGAACTCAATGCATATTCCCTCCCTGTCCTGCTCCCAAGGCGCTCTTCATCCACATGATGAAGGGGCATGTGTATATTCAGGATCCCCGAGAAGAAGAAAAAAAAAGAAACAAAAGTGGGAAAGGGGACCCTTTGCTTCAAAACGAGGCACCATGCTTTCATTTGACAAACATAACTCGATCCCTGGAATCCGAGCAAAGCCAGCGATCAAGCACAGGCCGCTAAAAGGAGGCTCAATGTCCAGAGCCGGGCTCCGGCTGATCTCCTCTTCATCCTCTCAAAGGAGGATGGCGAGTGAGTGAGTGAGTGAGTGAGTGAGTGAGTGAGTGAGTGAGTGAGTGAGTGAGTGAGTGAGTGAGCGCACACACCGAGCCTCAAGCTTTGATGATGCAAGAAAGCGGTGCCACATGGTTCCAGACATTGACGGAATCGGACTCCAGCGATGCATTCACCACGCCAACTCCGTTGAGGCAGGTGGCGTTGGGGCTGTGGAGCCACAAGATGGCTACAATGTAAAAGTGCAGATTTCCCAGAGTCGGCGCGGAATATCCGGGACCAAAGCGCGAGTGAAAACAGACAAAGGGTTAGCAGAGATATCCCTCCCACAAATGAAGGAGCAGCGATGGCTGAAATCACTGACGGAGGCAGCAGACGGCTATCGCGCGCAGTATTCCCAGAGCAGGGCCGTTTGCCTCCGCTGCTGTGGCCGTGATCACCTCACGCTCAGAGCACGAGCGATAAAGGTCATACTCACTCGAGTCGATCTTGGCTCCGACACAGGTCCCCTCGACAGCTACAATCTGAGTGAGCCACGGGATCGGCCGGGTCAAGTTAGCTGTGAGCCGAGTGTTGCTGAACAAGACTCCAACGGAATCGCCCTTGTGCAGCGCGGTTGATTTCCCGGTGCATCGGGGGCTACTCTGGTTTCGGGATGCGTGGCACTGATCTGGAGATTGGCCAAAGGAGAGAGCGTCGTCGAGGCGGAGAGTGGATCTAGAGGCACCGTTGGAGAGAAGTGCAGTTTTGTTGAACCAAAGGGGCTCGGTATGGTCTGAATGTGATATGGACAAATGGCTAGTGAGTCGCGCAGCCGGCGATCATGGCGATGGGAGCATCATTCTCGGAGCGGCATCGAGACAGCAGCGACGGAATAATGAATCGCTGCTCCCGGGTCAATCTAGAGCGGGCTTTTTCGACGGGCTCAACCCATAGCGGCGAACTTGTGTGGCCGTGGTCGAACGAGCGAGTGCACACTCACTTGATACCGTAAAGTTGACGCCGAAGCACGCATAGTCCTGAAACAGTATCCGTGAGTTGGAAACAGGGAGATGGATCGGCTGTGAGTGACGACGTCCATTCATACAGTGAAGCTACAAATCATCGCCATTTATGTACACTCCGCACAACTATGCCGAATGCAAGCACCGATATCGAATGCGACCGTCAAAGTTGCCATACCAGTGATGCAATCGAGACCGTTTGGGACCAGTTTCCGTTTGCGACGGTGAGATTCTGGCCGATTGTCGGCTGGGGCAAGCTGGTGGGGCTGGAAGTGAGAAACACCATGTGAGCAATCAAAGTGCTCAAGCAGTAGGGCTCGCATCGCTCTGCATATTCGGCGTCACTACCATCTCGCACTAACCTCGTTGCGTGGGACTGCGTCGAGTGAGGCGCTGCGGTGGGTTTAGGATGCGGAGGAGGAGGAGGAGGAGGGGGCGCAACGACCGTGACGTAAATGGTCGTCGTCGTGGTGACTGGCTTCCTCTCCGTGGCGGTGGTCTTGCTGGAGGTAGGCGTGCCGGAGATGGCATGCGAGCGGGAGGTAGGTGAGCCAGAGATGGCATGGGTGCCGGCGGCATTCTGGAACACGGAAGCGGACGAACGAATAGGGGTGCCAGAGAGCGAGGATGATGGCACTGGATGAACAGGTGTGGATGATGGCGCTGGATGAACAGACGTGGATGAGCGAATCACAGAGCCAGACGCAAAGGAAACTGTGTGGGTGCGTGAGGATCTGGTTGAATGCGACGTCATTGACTTTGGTGGTTTAGCCGTTGCTGTGGTTTCTGTCGGTGACGAAATGCCGCCAGGGCAGTCGCTCTGTGAGACACCCAAATCAAGGCCATGCCAGAGTTGCTGTCGCCATTGGCGCTCGTCACCCGCTGCGTATCGAGTCTCGATTGCCAAGCGGACACGAAACGAGAACCATACCCGGCAACTGGGTCGATCGACTCTTGGATACCCTCGCGAGCACCGAGATCTGCGCCGGAGTTGCAGACGACTGTCTTGGTGGCGCAGCCACCGTGGAGGCATCGGTGGACGGGTCGACACGCTTCTCTCGCTGGATCATGAGAACTTCTGGCAATTTGTCGCTGCAGTGAATGTCGCCCGGAACCGAGTCAGGGCTGGTCAAGACATAGTCCGAGATGACCGACACCGAGACGCCGGTGTCTTTCTGGTTGCAAAAGTACTGAGTTTCGGCATCAAGGAACCAAGCCAGGCCTAGCCCGATCGATCGGAATGGAATGGAAATGAACGGCGCATGTGCGTGAGTGGTAAGAAAACCTCGTCACAGGTTTCCACAGGCCAAGACCGGATGCCACCCAGTACGCTCTCCGCTGGCAGCCTTGCGACCTGGATCGCGGCCATGTAATGCCGGACGTTGCATTTCACACACACACCTCCAGCAACGAGCAGTGCAGAACCTACGGTTTGGCTTGTTTTTGAATTCCACAGCCGTGCAATATGGCGTCTGGGAACAGTCCGTCAGCAACACACAGGATGGATGAGCGCCTCGCTTCAACAATATCTGGCCGTCGTGCTGGTGACTCCCGCACAACGGGTGCAGCAGCAGCAGCAGCAGCAGTAGCAAAAAAAAAGAGAAAGCCATGCACTTACCACATAGATCACGGTTCCGGTCAAGACGACCAGTCCCCTAGGCCCTTTGACAAGAAAGTCATCGCCTCTAATGGGTGAGAAATGAAGTGATGGCGTCGTGGACGGTCGTGAGCGTGCTGTTACCCCTCCCCTACGGCGTGTCGGAAATGCAAGCGAATGGACGAATACGGCCATATGGTGGCCAAGCCAAAACGACCATGTGCAAGAGAGCAGCTTACACGCTCGGACCAGAGCATTGATATGCAGAAGCAAGATTGGCTGTTGACCGGGGTATGTGTGTTTGGGACAGTTTCAGTCAGGACGGCACCCTGGGCGACTCCAAGGGCCGGCTTATCCACAGCAGACATGACCGAGGATAGCTCTGGTTCGCGACAACCCACCAATGGCCAGACATATCCAAAGACCTGCCACAGCAGGGACACGCAGCAACAACGGGAGCATGGTTGTTCCGAGGGGAGGGGAGATGTTGAATCGGCTCTGGGGTGAGGCAGTGAGGCAGTGAGCTGCAAGTGAGCTGCAAGTGAGCAGAACATCAAGGGATCGAGTCAGTTCCGTGGGAAACCCCTCTCAAAGCGGAGCTGGCGAATGGCGATGGTGAACCGACGTTGGTCCAGCCAGCACTGAGAGGGCAACAAAAGTTCAATAGCTTTGCACAGTTCATTCGGGGCGTATATCCGGGCGTCAAGGGGTCGCGCACGTTGTGGAGATCCCCACGCACCGGGACCAGCGATGAGCCCCGTCGATGCTGAACCCAGAACCAACCGCGCCTAGCACCCACCCGGGAAACCTGCCTCGCTGACAAGTGCGAAGGACACAGACACAACGATGTCCAGCCCGAGCCGCTGAGAGCAACGGACGAGCATCTGCATTGCAAGTGCCACGGCGCAAAGTCTACGTACCTTTACGATGCCGACGAAGCAGACAAGACGTGAAGAGAATGGGGGGGAGGGTGTGCCGGCCTCGCTCTAGTCTTTTAATCCATGGCGGGCACTGAGGATTTGGCGGCAAGGCGTCTCATGATTGCGCACACCTCCCAGCGAGCGCGCGGGTGCTGTACTGCCGGTACTCGGTCGAGTTTCCAAGCGGCACTGCGTGGGCCAAGTACTGTTGCATAGGCTGACGATCCGCGAGGCGGGCCATCTTTGAGTCAATCCAGAGGGAAACGGGGCGCCCTGGTTATTTGGTCGTTGGCCGAATATTTTGTTGCCTCGATACCGTCGCGCGCTGGCCATGACCGTTCACCAGTGTGTCCTAGAGCACCACTCACCGCTGGAACTTCGAGACCAGTGCAGCGTCAAGGCAAGGGCTATGCATCCAGCCCTCGGCGGTGGCGGTTTGCTCGGTACTTTGAGCAGCTCAAGCAGCATCGTCGCCACCCACATCGCATGGCTTAGCTTGACGCAAGTTCATCACATACCACGCTGACCTATGGGATCGTGAGGGTGTCCCGTTTGCCCATGCGTAAAGTGTGGTTGGCGCCAAAGCGAGGGTTTCCCCTGGCTGCGTAGACCCGATCTCAGGCTCGGCCAGGTCCATTTTCGCAACTGTGAAGGCGCAATCGCTCCTGGCGGCAGCTGAGAAGGCGCGAATGGTGGTCAGGACACTCTGAAAACCTCCCACCTCCAACTGGAGCTAGCATCAAGGCTCAGGAAGCGGCACCGTTTTATATTCTATCATAAGGTCAGCAACAGCAGTAAAGGGAAGGGAAAGGACATAGCCAGCCGAAGAAAGTGCAAAGACAGGAGCAAGCGAGGGAAACCATGCGTTGAGAAACAGTATTCATAGAAGTGGAATGCAATGAGGCTTTATACAAGTGTGCTTTTCAGGGCATGAAGAGGCTCGTCAGCAGCATGATGCACATAGCAATTTCCATGGTCGGTTCTGAGCGCCTATGGTCCCCCCCCCCGGTGTCAAGCGCAGGACGCGAAGAGACAATGGCGAGGGCGAATGGAGAGCAGAGTGATATAATCCAGAAGTTGGTCAGTATCAGAAACCAAGTGCGGGCGCAGTGGGTGCAAACACAGACAGTGACCAGTGCTTGTGGGACTGATGAGCGTTCCGACATACCTTTCGCATGCAGCATAGTTGATGTACAGCTCGCTCATGACGTATGCGTCCAGATAGTAGTGGCCCGCGAGCAGATAGCCGCTGCCACACTTACGCACCACCAAGTTGCGCATGCCCGCCGACTTGTCTTTGATGACTGTGGATGGATAGGCATCAGCATCGGCATCGGCATCGGCATCAGCATCGGCATCGGCATCGGCATCGGCATCGGCATCAGCATCGGCATCGGCATCGGCATCGGCATCGGCATCAACACGCGTCCGGGAGCGTGAATAACAGCGACGTTGCTCGCACCCAAGCTGACCGCACTGGTGGGACTCAACCTACCGGTGATGAATATCGGGTCCTCCAGATCCTGGTGCGTCATGATGTATCGCGCGCCGTGGGCTCCGTTGACGGTGAACTTTTGCTGGATCGTGATGTTCCCTCGGAGAAACACACTTCCATTGAAGAAGGTCTGGATCAGCACGGACTGGACTGTACCGTTGTGTGTGGGCACCTGATGGCGAGTGGAACAGCGTTAACGGGACGCCGGTGACGGAGGCGTCCCTGGTCCACGCCAACCCGGCTGGCCAAGATACAGCCGCGAGGCCTCCCTCTCCACACGACCGAATGCAGCCGCGATTCAGCTCCTACCACGTATGTGAACCGCGATACTTTCTGTCGGTGGGTGTTGAGGATTTCATAGACAAAGTCGTGCCCCGACTTGAGCGACACTCTTTGTGCCTTGAGCTGGATGTCATCGTCGAGGTTGGAGAACAGCACGGTGGTGCCGCGGTGTCCGTTTTGGGTCATCAGAAGGCGATGCTCCTTCCAGCCAACAACAGCATCGATCGGCGTCATGTCCGAAGCGATGGGAACAGCGGGGACAGCGGGGACGGCAGGCACAGCGGATGGCGGGCCTTGGGTGAGAGGCCCTAGGGGCACCGAGCGGGTGCGCTGCAGTCGGGTTGAGGTGAGGAGCCGAGACGGGAGGGGCGGGGAGGCAGGCGGCAGGGCCGACTCGTCAATGTCGGGAAGGGTTATCGAGGCAAAGGACGGCGACAGAGGCGCTCGAGCACCAAGAGATCGTGACCGGGCCCGGCTGCCGACGGGGTTGAGACGATCCCGGATATTGCGAAGCGACTTGCGCAAGCCCAAGCCCAGGCCCTTGGCACCAGAGTTGGCTCCATCGGCCGGCTCTGGATCCGAGTTGGTGGCCGTAGCGTCCGAGGGCAGGGTCGGCAGCGGCAGCGGGGCAGCGGGACGTTCGTAGGTGGAGTAGACAGGGGCATCGACAATAGCCTCGTCGTAGGACGGCGGACACGGACTGTATCGGGGCAGCACCGGAGGCTGGCAGAAGTTGATGTGGTCGACATCGAGGCGGGTGATGAAGGTGTCGAGAGACTGGATGAACTCGCGGAAGGTGATGCTCTGACCAACAAACTGCATGGAGGATTGGCTGTTGTTGGAGGGGGCATACTCGCTGGGCCGCAGCGAGTATGTCGCCTGGACGACGGTCGACATTGCGGCGAGGGAAGGAGGGCAGCGATGGAGCGAGACGAACAGGTCCGATGGATGGGCAGAGCGCAAAGGAGGAGACGCAGGGTGGAGGAATGGCACGGACGACGGTTGCCGTCCCTGTCCCTCTGTCCCTCCCTCTGTCCCTCTGTCCTGCGCTGCCCTTGTCCTGGCCTCTGTCCTGCTGTGCTGCCGTCTTGTACACCTGCGTTTCACCGAGGCGGTGTGTTGGCGGCATCGACATTGGCAATCGACAGACACCGGCATCGGCATTGGCAATCGACAGAACACACCGGCATCGATATCAGCAATCGACACACACCGGCATCGATATCAGCAATCGACACACACCGGATCGGCATTCGCCCCCCCCGGTCTACTGCCGTCTATTGCACCTTCGGTCCAGCGTCTTTGTCTTGCGTCGTTCGGCCGTGCGTCCTGTCCGCGACGCTCTGCGGTGGTGCCGGGTCCAGCAGCGGCCTGGGCGGCCGAACGGGGCGCTGGGCAGCGCGGACGGAACAAGGACATGTACGCGTGCCCTGTGCGCAGCATCCCGTGGTATGACCCGCTGCGCGACATTTGCGCCGCCACGTGGCGGGCCGCACCACTGCCACAGGGCCGTGCGGCTGCGAACAACAGCCCAGGCACTGTTGATGGATGGGGAAGAAAAGCGCTGACGACAGAGGATCGCAAGCGCAGAGACGATGCGGGCAGGCAGGCAGGCGCATCGGGTTGGGTGGGATCGATGCCTGCAGCCGACGAGCATCGTTTGGGCGGAAATGTCGCTCGCCCGGCGGCGCTGCGTGACAAACAAGCGCCTGTCCTGCGATGTACTTGGCGTGCTCCGGCGGTGGGTGGTGTGTTGGATTGCTCTTGTGGTGCGGCCGGCGGTGCGGCTGGTGGGATGCATGTCGCTCGACGTGGGGATCGTTCAACAGCACGCCGGCCACCTCCGGCATGCGCATGCGGCCGGCTGTCGTGGAGTGTCTTTCCGTTCGTGCGGACACCACCGCAATCGCACAACCGCAGGACAATCGCAGTGGGACTGCTCGCCCGTGAAACCGCGCATGATACACCGGTACACATCAACATCCGGGCGGGCGGAAGCGAGCGACTGGGAGCGGCCCATTGCATTCCATTTTGCGGTGACAGTCATGCCAGAAAACGACGGGATAGTCCCTACGTTTCGCTGACATCAGAGGCCTGAAGCCTGCCGAACTTCCGTTAGCCCCGGTGGGCTGAGCGATGTGCGACTTTCTCCATCCTGGTTGGCAATCGCTTCGTTTCGTTGGTTTCGGGAGTATCGCCTTGAATACGCCCGGTCGATCTCATGCGGCGACGACCGACTGACATTGATGTCTTGATGTGGGGGTGTGGTGCATTCACTCGACCATATCAACACCGCTGTGACTGCTCGATGTCAGGACCTTCTCAAGTCCTTGGCCTTCCAGACACCGCGGGCACGCTATTTGGTCATGACGGGCAATGGGCGAGTGTGTATTCAGGACCAGAAAAAACAAACAAACCGACAGTCCTGGACAAAACAGGGTGTCCCGTTTCAAAAATGGCTACATAAACGTGGTCGCGGTGAGGGCCGAAGTTCTCTGGATCATGAACAGGTCTGTGAGCATCATCAGGGCAATCATCATCTCGGCGGTCGGGTAACTTCCGCGGTGGCAGGTGTCGACGTCGACCATCATCTCGCACGTGTTCTGGCCAAACGGCAGCTTGAAGGCACCAATGATCGTGGCCGTGCCGACCTGGCGGAGCATCATGTATCGATTTCGGCTGACCTTGTACTCGGCGACTGGTCATAGCGACAGACCCGGGGCGATCGAGAGTGGGCGCATTTAGAACCAGTCCAGTTGGCTTATCCACAGCAAAGTGATCGAAGGAGTGACAGCACAGACAAGGGGGAGAGATGGGGGGAGCGATGCGATATGCGGTGTATGCGTGCAGCGGAAGCGGCATGGGCAACAGAGGCAACAGAGGCAACAGAGGCAACATTTGTTTGGCGCGGGAGTCGTGCACGGGCGGTTGCTTACTGGTGATGAAAAATGGCTCCAGACTATCGACGTGGCTCAACATATACCGGGCACCCTTGAGCTCTGGAGACGATATGCGCTTCTGGATCGTAATGGTGCCCTTCTCGATCCAGCAATCTCGGACCAGCGAGCTGATGATGACCTTTCCAAGATAGGTGGTGCTCTCGGGCGTGATCTGCATGGACAACCAACAGAAAGAAATGAGAATCAGCAGCTGTCTGGCATTCTCAGTGGCGTGCGACCGCCAGTGCGTTGTATTTGGGCTTGCAGCGAGGACTTGCGCCGGAAAGGTCATTGTCCATCGCAGGCTCACCTTGTATTCCAGCTGAGCCAGCTTGGCTTTCTTGTTGTCGACCAACTCGTAGAGACCGACCTCGCGCCCCTGCTGCACTCGACAGATCACGTTGCCATCCGCATCAAAGACGTGGCGTATATGGTGTTTCTTGGAAAGGATCAGCCGGCTGGGCTTGAGGGTGGTGATGGCGGTTGTCAGGGACATGTAGCTGTTCTCGGCCTCGGACATGGCTGGAGACGAGCGCTGGCGGCGGATCATGGGCGAGACCGTGCCACGGAAGAGCAGATGCAGATCGTCCGAGATTCGATGCCGCAGCGTGCGGGCTTGTGTCAATGCAATGGCCGAGCTGCCGGCGGCAGGCCTGGAGGAACCCTCGGGCGATTCTGGCCGCGCCAGAGCTGTGAGGTTGGGGCGGGAGGCCTGGCTTCGGAGCGACGACGACAGGAGCGATGGTTCGGACTGGCTGGCCAGTCGAGACTCGCTACCGATGGACAGGAGGCTCGAGAGGCTCAGGGCAGAGATTTTGGACCGGATCGATCTCAGCGTCCGGGCAGTTGGCGACGCCGAGACCACTGACGGCGGGATGTCGGGCCGGGTGTTGGGTGTTGGGATGGCCATGGCGGTGGCGGCAGCGACGGCGAGGGAGCTCCCCGGCTGGCCGGAGCTCGGGGTTGTCTCGGAGGAGCTTGGAGCCGAGTCGATCGTCGGATCCCAGGTGATTTTGGGCAGGCTCTCGGCGGTTGGAGGTTCGGGTGGCAGGAAGCCGTATACGGGAGCCGACTGGATGGCTTGGTCATAGTCGGGCGGCAGCGGGCTATAGGGCGGGAGTGCTGGGAAGTGGCAGTAAAGGCGGGCATTGGGGTCGCTTCGCAGGACAACATCGATGGACGAGATAAAGTCCTGGAACGAGGCGGACGGGGCTCTCTGGTCGCTGGAGCCGACGACTCCGAGCCAGTGGCTGTGGAAATGGTCCATGGAGGGCGATGGAGAAGCGGATGCGGACGATAGAGACGAGGATGGTTTCGATGGACGAGGCGAGTCGGAGCGGTGGTGCTTGCAGACGGCTGGCGGAGACTGGCCCCGACGGAGGCGAGAAGCAGGGTATATCGACAGGGCAGACGGGGCGGACAGGGAGAAGACAAACCCGAAGGACGGCGACGGCGGATGCGAATAAATCCAGGACCGGGCGGGGTGCGGTTGCAGAAGTGCCTGGGCGGATTGGCCGTTGTGGAACAGGCGGTGGCCGCGGGTTGGGATATGCTGCTGTGGGCTATGGTAACTCGGTTGTGATAACTCGGCTGTGATAGCTCGGTTGTGATAACTCGGTTGCGATAACTCGGTTGCGACAACTTTGAATGCTGTAATGACCATCGGCGCTGTTGCCTCATTAACGACAACGACTTCATCAACGACAGCCCCAGTTGCAACAATCCCCGAAGCGACCCGCCGCTGTCGTTTTTGTGAGCTGAGCCGCCAGAGCCCCGTGTTGTGCGGCCCATGAGGCCACTGTGTCTGTGACGCGCATCAATTGCGCGACATGCATTGAACCGCGTCACGGCACAGCCGCGCCACCAGAGCAGTCCCGAGCCAGAACACGCACAGAAATGCTCTGTCCGCCAGTGTGTCGCCGAATCGGGGACGGGCTCCGCGCACAAGCACTCCACTATCAACTCTTCAGGCCACTCGCGGCTGCTCATCTCGAATATGAATACACGCTGTAGACCAAAGGTGCAGCAAAAGTTGGAATGAATCCGCGGTCGGTTGACGGACGGTGTCAACAACCAGGATCGTCTCTGGCGCAGTTGCTTCAAGCTGCGTAGTTCCCACTTCCAAGAGCGGGTCAGGGACAAGAAGCTGTTCAACTACGAGATCAGCACCGATGGCATTGGATGCACCATCGGCCTCGTCAAGTTTGTGCGTCGAACCGATCGCACCGAGGCCTCCGAGCCTCCTCCGACTGCCGAGCAGCGCATCCAGGCCCACATCGGCAACCCAGACCCCGATCGCACCACTTGGATTGGCATCGATCCTGGAGTCGGCTCCATCTTCACGGCGGTCATCCAAGCACCGGGCCACCAAGACGAGGTGGTCTCATTCTCCAATGGTCACTACCAGCAAATGTGTGGCCATACGTCCAACACCAAGTGGCACAACACCATGAAGTATCGACTCAGCATCGAGACCTGGATGTCGACCACTCCCTCGCCCAAGGTGTCGTCCTCGGAGGCTTTCAAGGTCCATCTCACCCATGTCCTGCGACCGGAGCTGCGAGTGCAGCTCGACTTCCACCTTGGCAAGAAGGCCCGTCACCATCGATTCACAGGCCACAAGAGGCGCCAAGTGGCCGTCGACAGGATGTGCAAGGCCGTCCTGAAGCACGTCCCGATACGGACCGATGTGGTGATCGCCTTTGGCAATGCGTCATGGCGACAAGGCAAGGGCTATGCATCCAGCCCTCGGAGGCAGCGGTTTGCTCGGTACTTTGAGCAATTCGAGCACCACCGACGCCGTCCCACTCACCATCATGGAAGCGTCAAGGTGGCCTCGACGAACGAGTTCAACACCTCGCAAGTGTGCTCCAAGTGCCTGGAGCCAGTTCGGTTGGAAGGACTCGATGCGCCCAGTGTTGCGAATTCCCACTTTGTCAGGAGCTGCAAGAATCCCAGCTGCCGGACAGTGTGGAATCGCGACGTCAATGCGGCGCGCAACATGATCACAGTGTGCAGGTCGATTGTGGAGACCGGAGAACGACTGGTGGTGTTCACTCGGAGGCGGCCAAAGTGATTTGATGTATTTCGTATGGCTTTGCTTGGCGCAAGCACATCACATACTACGCTGTCAATTGCGGCTTTCCCGTTTTCAGGGGCCGATATCAATATTGATAGTGACCACTGCCTGGGTACAGGTTCCACCCGCCGGTAGCGAATCACAGAGCCCCGCTGCTGGCCGTTATGAGCACTCGCTCTGTCTCGGGATGGATGGCTGCGTGTGGTGTGAATCAAGTTCAGCTCTATTAGCGGGATGTGCCTCGTTACTGGGCGCTCATTCGAGGATATAGAAGGATGGCGCATGGCCATGGCAGACGGAATCATGGAAGATTAAACCATGGCAGCCGAGACCACGAGGGATTGGGGGGGGGCCGTGGTGGACACGATCACGGATGATGGGACCCTGGACGATGGGATATGGCGGGTGGTGCTTTGACAGAGAGACTTTGAATGTGAGTTGCTGCGGTGTCTCTGGTTGCGGCTACGGCTGCAGCTTCAGCTACAGAGACCAAGCGAGACGCTCGGGCGAGTTGCCCAAAGCCCGATCAGATCCGCTGGAGCAAAATGCTGCTGACGGCCGCGGCGACAACCGCGAGCAGCGGCCCGTAGACCGACGTCATGGAAAGGCCAGCCGGCGAGGCCACGCGGTTGATCCTGGACGGATCCTTGAACGGCGAATCCAAGGACTTCTTGACCGTGGTGTCGCCCGTCATGTTGGCGTTGGCCACTCCGATGTTGCTGGGCACGCCCTGCACCTGCCCATCCGAATCCATGGGGACGTCGACGCCAAGTCCGCCCTGGGGATCATTGTCGAGTGTGTCGAGCGGCCACTTGGCCACGGGCTGCATCTTGTCGTCATAGCACTGATGGGAAGCGATCACCATACACAGAAGGGCGACGCGAAACGATGTGCAAACTCGACTGTCAGTTGTGGACTCAATACTGGCCCGGTCGAACGCTCGATGCATCCCTGGTTCTGCACCACAGAACATTGCGCGCTTACCTGGATGTCAATGTATTCATAGATTGCGTAGAAGCCGTGCTGGGGATCGGCAATTCCCCAGTTGATCGAGCTGCCGGCCCACTCGGCAACGCCCTGGCTGACCTGGGTGGCATCCCAGACCGAGACCTGGACCAGGGCCGGGGTGTCCGGGAACCAGAATCCACCCGGGGCCGTGGGATCGGCCTGGTCCTTCTTCGCATACGAGCGGCGCAGTTGCTGGTCGACATAGAAGCTGCAGAGACAAATCGTCCGCGACGGCATGGGTCAGTGGCGGGAATGCAGGGCTCCTTTCGGCAGGCGGCTCCTGGATTGATCTGCGTGGCAAAACGGGTCAAGCCTCGCCTAGTACAACTTACTCAATCTCCGTGTCCTTGATCTCAATGCTATAGATGTGGTAATCGCCGCCATCTCCGCTGATCGAGATGGGCACACTGCGGACGCCACTGGGCTGGTTGACCAGGGGTAGATTCCAGGGCGGCAGATGCTCGAACTGATGGTAGAAGACGTTGGTCTCCGGGGCGGTGGGTCGGAGTCCCAGAATTTCAAAATCGAGCTCATCGCCGATATCGGACATGGTGATGAATGTGGTAACGACACCAGGGGTTGTCGAAATGGACTTGAGTCTGGCCGTGACCTTGCCATATCGCATGTATCGTGTGCTCGAGAGCTTTGAGCCGGCTGTCAGCAAGACCCGCGGAGCGTTGGGACAGAGCCAGGCAACATCAGGACATTGTGGCTGGCATCGGATGTCGGACCCCAAATGGCTCACAGTGCGTTCCTTGCCGATGGACTGCATATCAGCAGCGACACCCACCTCCTTGCAAGATACCCTTGGACTTATCCGGAGGCATGAGACTCAGCATGACGCCGCCATTGGCGCCGAACTGACCGTTGTAGCAACAGGAGCGCAGACGGGATTCAAGGACAGGATCGTGCACGAGTTAGAAATGCTGGTGTTGGCACCGGGAAACACCCATCAGGAGAGACATGCCGAGAGACACACACAGTCGCGAATCCAGATGCCTGGCCTTGGCCCTGCTGAGCTGGGCCGTGGTGTGCTGTGACGAGGTCGGCTGACTCAAGGGGCCGTTCTCTGGCTGATGGACCTGGTGGGGCCAGCGCCCGCAAGCCACCCGGAATCTACCACAGCAGAGTCTGCCTCGGTACACAAACTGAACACACGAGTCGATCGACAGGGAGCGGATACTCACGGTGACGTGCTCTTTGGCATAGTCGATGGTCCAGTCGTACTTGGTGTAGTCGAGATAGATCGGGACGCTGTGGCGGTCCTGGCCGCTGGAGGCAGGGGCAGCAATGCGGTTGGTTTCGTTGAAATAATGGCGCTTGGTCAGACAGTTGCCGACCTCGGATGGAATGCCGGCAGACAGCACGGCCTCGAGCGAGACCAGGGCGCCGAGCGCAGATGCCCAAGTTAGCTTCATGGTGCTGAGGGGGAAAGCAGGGAGGGGGCAGACTCGGCTCGGCTCGGTTCGGATGCGGGAGAAGAACAGATCGAAAAGCGGGCAGAGGCGGGGCTCTCATATATAACTTTACGGGACTTGGCGGCGGTGACAGAAGAGGCAGCAAGGCCGCCGGTGGCAGGACGTGCAGAACCAAGGCGGAGCCAAGGCGGGCTGGTGCTGTACATGCGCACGGAATGCATGGGGCGGGGTGACGCGCGGTGAGGCCTGCGCCACAGCATCAGGACAAGGTCGTGCGGGGTCCACGCACGCGCGACACACGCGTCTCCGCCAATCAGCGCGCGGCGCATCCTGCGCAGCGGTGTATCTGTGGCGCGCTGTATGCTCTCTGCGGGCCACTGTGGACACTGTGGATCGATGTGCTGCGCACGGTGTGCTCGTCCGCTTGTCCCTCGTGCTTGCTGCAACACAGCTGCATTCATTGTGCTGACTGTCTGCACTGTGCCAGCTGTCTCCACTGTGCTGACTGTGTACACCTCGGACAGCCCTTCTCGCTCGCTCCTCTGTCCTCGCCGACAGCGCAGAGAGCGCAGCCGTGCTCCCGTGACCCCGCCTTGGTTCTTGAGCGCCTCTGATTCGACAATGCTGCGTTTCCGCCCTCTGCCGCATCACCGTCGCAATCAATCCGCAAGTAGCCATGTCCATCGAGCTTCTGGACGACGAAGACGCCCTGATCCCCGCTGCTGCCAAGGCCCTCACTGAGATCTTTGCACGCTTCGATGTCGACCAGGACGGTGCGCTGAACCTGCAAGAGCTCAACGCCTTTGCGACCGCAACCAACGGCAAACCCGTATGTTCCAGACTCATCGCCCCGGCCCTGCCTCCCCAACCATCTCCCGTCGTCTCTAGCTCTCGCTCGCTCTCTCTCGCTCTCTCTCGCTCTTCCCGTGTCCGTGTCCGGGACAATCTGTCACTCACGATCTTCTTGTCCGCCTTTACGATCTTCTTGTCCGCTCTGTCTGCTGTCGGTGTCTGTCAACGCCGGCCACCCTCCAGTTCGACCAGGAGAGCATCGACGAGATCCAAGAGTATTTCAACTGCACCGACGACGGAGCTCTAACCCTCATCGGCTTCTTCGAGATGTACCAGATGCAGACCCTCTCGGAGCCAGAGGAGGTAGGCATGCTCCTGTACTTGGATCCAAGCCCTGTGCACGGGTTCCGGAACCGTCTCGCCAGCACCGCTGTCGACCGGTCGTTCTGGCTCGTCCGAGATGTATTGCTCTGACAACGACCATGCCCTGACTTCTCTCTCTCCCTCAGACCTGGAAAGACCTGAAGCGCCACGGGTACGACGATAACCTGGTTTTGCGAAAGTAACCTCGCTCAACGATTCCCCAACCCCACCGATCGGACCTTCAGCCATCATCGGATCTCTCGAGCTATATGCAGCAGCACTTTGTTTTGGGGGCCTTCGGCCGTCGCCACCACGCCACCTCCAAGTGAAACGGAATACATAGTCGTTCATTCATCACGCACAGCGACCACACGCAGCGCCTTGGATTATGGACTCGTGACCGCTCAATCGGCAATGTGTTCCCCCACGACCATCAACCATTTGGAGACACATCTGCAACGACGGCATGGACTGGATGGCTGGACACAGCAATCTGGATGGAGGCTCCTCAGCAGCAGTATGCAATGTGCGATACAAATAGAGGGATGTCTCGCCTCCCTTTCTTTTTATTTGCACTGTCGCAGATTCACGGAAAGATGCAGGATCGGTACAGGGCACTAGGCAAGTACAGCAATGTGGGTATGGATGCTTGACCGGAGCGTCCGACAAGTCAGATGGATATGCCAGCCGAGACCGGCCGGTGCGATTGCAGGAACGGGAGGATGGGTCAAGCACAGGCAAACAGATGGACCAAGCACGGGCACGCTGATGGACCAAGCACCAGTGCTCGAAAAGTGGCGGCTCACGGTTGATCGCCCTCATGCATCGCCGTGACGAACCACAGCGGCTCTCGGGGTGAGCCTTGATTGCACGAGTACGGCCGCCAGCAGTCGTTGCTGTGCGGCAGCCGCAGGGACGGCGACGACGAAAGTGGAGACGAAATCGGCGGCGAGAGCGACAGGCTGTCTCGTTTGCTCAGATCGATCCTGCTGCCGCTGCAGGACCGGATCAGTGTGCCTTGCAGGACGATACTCAGGCGGCGGCAGCCCCTCGTGAAGGAGCCCTCGTCGGCAAAGGTGACCCGCTTGGCCTGGAAGCGAGCGAGCCTGGGTTCGCCCGCGTCCGTGTGCTGGAGGTCTTCGGCGCTTGAGCACGCCGGCGAGGACTGACGCAAGAGACTGACGGAGGAGCGGCTGAGCCGGTCGCCAGGACTGGGAATAGGCTGGACGGTGAACTCGGGATGGGCACCCATGTGCTAGTCGGCCAGCTAGTGCTGTGAGTTTGGGGGTCGATGGAGTGGCAAGAACGGGATTCCGAGTGTCGGCGCGAGTTACTGATTGGTCGGAAGCGATGATGGCTGACGGGGCGGATCAACGGCTGTGCCCACGGGCTGAAGAAGAGTGGAGGTGTAAGGGCAGCGGGCCCAGAGCCGGGGGGGTGAGTGATTCTGACGAGATGAGAGTTGCGAGCCTGGCACTGGTCCAGCCGAGGATATTTATACTTGCTTTGGTTGTCGGCGCTCGACGTCTGCTGGGGGTGCCCAGTGCTCATTCCAGAGCATCAACAAACAACCTTCTGCCAAAGGGCCTGCCGCCAGCAAGAATACGGAGACCTGCGGGAAATTTATGAGACGCCGGACGACCAACGAGCATCATCGGGTTCTGCCTGGGTTTGACTGCTATACCTGCGTTGTAGCTCCGTTGTCTCGCCCCTCGTTGGCGCTCCCGAGCAGCTCGGCAAGTCTGCCTTGAGAAGGACGATGGCTTGTCGGAGCCGCAAACAACTGCCTGCCGACGATGCTGTGCCCCCAACACCGACGTTGCGAGAACCCTTGCTCATCGTCAACAGCCCAGCTGTCCGCACGCACGGGCTGGCAAACAGACCCATCCACGATGGCAAGCCCTGGAGTCTGCACACGAACACCTCGGCTGCGGTGTTGGGGATCCAAGTTCCCCGCCAGTTGAACAGTACGGGGCCTCACACCGACAACCCAAACTCACTCCCTCCCCAAGCCGTTTCCCACGGCCGCTGCTCTGCTCGTGGTGGTCGACTTGCATGCCAACACTGCCCACATCCCTTGACTCCTCGATTTGTAATAAGCCTGCCTGGCCGAACGCTGCCCCAGTCTGGCTCTGACTCGGCCCTGGGTGGCTGTGAGCAGCTCTTGCCAGCAGTTTCTGTTCGCAGTTTCTGTCTGCTGCTGCAGCGTTGTGAGTAGCCCTCTGGTCTCGCCCGGCCCTGTTTCAACAGGCATGGTCGGGTTGGTCCATAGCCTCACTCGTGCATCGCCTCATTCGCCTCGCACATCGGCTGAAGTAGCAGGAGGACTGTGTGTGGGCGGAGAAGGAGGATGAGGATTCATGCCGGCCTTATATCAACAACCGTAGCAAGTGGCGAGCCAAGAAAAAACAAACACCCCCTGAAGTTCATCAATCAAACAACTCCCCGACAACCATCGGCCCCAGTGTTGTGAGCAACTCAACCGCTGCCGAGAGAGCTTCGTGCAGAGTTACGGGCAGGCACCACAGGGACTGTGAGTACACATGCACCAGGACCGCATAGGCGATCACGGCAATAGAGTTGAGCAGAAATGCCAACGGCGACCGAGTGATTCTGTGGGTGTGTATGGGAGTGGGGTGGACGGAGTGAGATACCAGCGGCATGTACATCGGTTGTCAGCTGGATACTCTGTCACCCAGAGGCGGCTGGCCCCCCGTTCCAAGGCCAGAGTTCCATTGTGACCAATGCGAAGGCCCTCTCTCGGATTCCGCTACAGTCACCTCTGGATCATACTGACACCATCTCTCGAGGGACGCAAGGGGGAGTGGGAAGATCGGCTCTGTCAACTATGGCTAAGAGGAGCCACCGAAGCTTACCCGCTGATCAGACCGATCGAGAGCTGCACCCCGGTCGAGCACGAGCCGAGGTAGCATAGAATTCCCTCGCGAATGATGCGCATGCTCCTGTTGTTCCTCGGCGCAGCCAGGACGACGTAGAGCGACTGGGCAAGGAGATTGATGGGTGCAGCATGTCGCTTCCGCCGAGACTGTAGTCTACCAAGCTCCAAGATTCTCTGACCGAGACGCGGGCCGGTAGCAGGAGACAGCAACCGACAGAGCTCAACGACATCCCTGAGACCGACCGTCATACCACCTGAGCCAGCAAGTGAGCAAGAGGGATGAGCAAGAGAGATGAGTAAGAGAGATGAGCAAGCTACATTCCCGGATGAGCCGACTATGCGCTGCAGGAGGCAACACCAAGTATATCCGTCGCGGACAAGAGAGTGTTGCTCGAAGACCTCCGCGCGCATACTCCCATACCCCCGGTCAGCGGGTGCCTCATGTTGGCTGCGTCTCCGAGCATCACGACCCCTTGCTGACGCAGCGGCGACGACGAGAGCTGTTGGTTTGGCATGGATCGAATCGTCTGGGCATCGACTGCCGTTGCAAACGAGGGTTGGATCGACAGTGGCAGTTGCGGGAGAATCGACTGTCGCATATACTCCTACAATTATATGCAGAGTAGTAGTCAGGGGTGAGTGGGGTGGATAGAGTGGGTGTGGGATTAGAGGGGGGGCCGATGCGGAGAGACAAACGGGGTTCCAAGCAATATCTGTCGCTAACGAACCTTGATCTCGGCTTGACTCTTGAATCGACGCACACCAACGGGCACATCGACCAGCACGCGCACCTCCCCAGTCGCAATCTGGTACATCAGCACCGTTGAGGGCTCGGCAAGGACAACGTGTCCGTATCCAGGATGCAGCAGCTCGCAGTCCCGCATGACCAGACCGTAAAAGTACGATGGCGTTGCGATAGCGGGCTGGGGGCGGGCGCAGCGTGGGTGGATGTGCTTGCGAAGGCTCGAGAAGCAGCCGTCGGCCACCAGCGTCAGAGTTGCCACGGCCTGCTCGGGCTGCTGCTGCAAATGGAGGTAGCGACGAAAGATGGGAATGAGGATGGGGATTAGCACTTGTCTTGCAACGAGGCACCCGCCTGGCTGGCTGACATGTCGGCTATACCTTTGATCCTGTGCTGGTTCGAGGGGTGAAAGCCACACCGGTGACAGCTGTCCCTGCATGATCCCAGAGAAGTTCCTGGGCCGTTGCCTCGACCATGGTGACACTGGTTGCAGTGGCAGAAGCACATAGTGAGCATGACCCACCAATGGCCCGTCAGCGACACACCAATGACACACCAATGACCCGCCAATGACTCGCCAATGACCCGCCAATGACCCGCCAATGATCTGCCATCCTCTCCAGAGCTATCCTTACTTTGGGCTGCTCCGGGCTGCATCGCGAAGTTTGGCCACGAACTTGCCGTGGTGGAAGCTCTTGCCGCTGGCCAATCTTCCCTCCGATGCGGGGTAGTTGATCCGGATCTGGCGCTTGCCGTCCACCACAACGTATCCTTGTACGTCAACGCCGTCGATGCCTTCGATGCAGTCTGCCATTGAGCGGGCAGTCGGTGGTTGAGTGGGCATCGTCAAGATCGCATGCCTGCAGTCTCGCTGCTGGAATGGAAAGGAACGACAATGCCATGCAGAGCAAGGGCAAAGTCATGTCTCTTGGAGGGCAGCATGACAAGCGGGTACATACCTTCCAGGCCAAGGTCCCGCAGAGCATATACACCTCCGGGTTGCAGAAGCTCGCCAACGATTCTTTCCGGGGTGCTTAGATCTCGCTCTGGTTGTTGTTGTCGTTGGGATGACATTCGAGTCAAGTCAGCTCTCTCGAGATGGACATGTGTGTTGCCACGGAGAGCAAGGACACCGAGGCTTTGTTTGCACTTGAACTTTACCTATCACCAGGATTCTGTATCCTGCTCGTCCGAGCGCCGCGGCTGCAGCCGCCCCGACGACACCGGCACCAACGATGATGATATCAAACTATGAGGCAAGCAGATGTTGATTCAAAGGTTGAGCGTGAGTCCATGGCAACCAGAGAAGAATAGAGAGGCGTGCTCCGCCAGAGAAAACCGTCATGGCATCCACGGCCACGACGGGGGAGACAGTCGAGGAAAGACAGCAATACATGCCTGCAACGATGCCATTGGTTCGGTTGATTCAATCGGTCAGAGCCTTGGGGGAGGGGTTTGGTGCAGGTACGGATGTGCTGTGTTGGGTACTGTGCTGGATACTGTGTTGGGTGCTGTGTTGGGTGCTGTGCTGGGTGCCATCGGCGTTGCCCCGCTATTTATCTGATTTGCCCACTCCCTCGGCCTGCCGGGCTGCGTTCTGTCGTGCTTGATTTGGGGGGAGGGGATGATGCAGTTGTTCAGGAGTTGCTGGAAGGAGATCCTTTGTCTCTGAGACGAAACAAAGGCCAACCAGTGAGCGGCCTCGACACGGCACATCGTTGCAGTTGTCATGCCCACAGCACGCGCCACATCGACGACTGGAAGCGGTCCAATCGCATGGAGCATCATTGGTCGCAAGATGGCGTCTATTTCTTGGCCTGGCGACGGCGCCGATCCCGCACACAGCCGTAGTGTTCGACGGCTTAGATGACGAGTACAGGTCGTGGCCAGAGGCATGGTAAGCAGGTTGCAAGAAAAATCGGCCAGAGACAACGGCAAGACATGAGCGAGCCACAGTCGCAGGTTCGGAAGGGGCCTTCGGAGAGGCAGAATCGTCCAAAAATAAGGGAGAGGGGAGATCAAGACGATGGAGTCAATCACATACATCTAATGCTACATTTACAGAGGAAGGTGGATGAGAGAGTGGGGAGTCGAGGAAAGTCAGGCGGTGGATGAGAGGCCTCGGATCTGGTTCGAGAAGCGAATATAGAGGGCCTCGGCGGCAGGCTTCGCTGGGCAGGCGGACTCCTGTGATAAATTAGAATCCAGCCGCTTCGATGGCCCCCGGCAGCGCAGACGCAGACGCACTTCTCAATCAAACTGGTGCACCAACACCGGCGGACGACAAGCCCAGGTACCGACGGCGAAAGGGTTGGGTCATGGATGTACTTTGGCGTAGTGTTGGGCAGCGACTGGCTCACGCTTGAATCGCTCGAATATCAGCGCCATAGTTCAGCAAAACCCGCACGACTTCCTGGTGGCCGTTTTCGGTTGCCTTCCGGAGGGCTTCGTCGTTGTTTGCATGGACGTTGCTGCCACAGGAGAGAAGCAGTCCGACAACCGCTGCGTGGCCTGCTTGCGCGGCCGAGATCAGACAAACGTGGTTATGGACGGCGACATCGGCCCCGCGGGCAACCAGATGCTTGGCGGCCTTGAAGTGTCCGTTTTCACACGCAAGCCGCAGTGGAAGGTTGTCATAGACGTGAGGATCGGCGCCGTGCTGCAGTAGGAGGGCCACGACTTCGCCATGGCCATTCAGGGACGATGAGCGCAGGGCCAAGTGATCGTGGGCAGCCACGTCTGCGCCGTGGACGAGCAGGAGCTGGACAATGCCGGCGTGTCCGCGGTCACAGGCATGCAGGAGCGGCTTGGGGTGGTCGTGAGCCGGATCGACGAGGCCCAAGCGGATGAGCAGCGACGCAAACTGGGCCGAGCCTCGCTGGTAGCAGAGCTGCCACCAATTCAGCTCGGTGCCCTCGCTGACGGAGCTCCCGAGCCGTTCGGCCAGCGAGAGCGCCAAGTGATCGTATCCGTTCTTGAGAGCAACAGTGACCAGGTGGGCGATGGCGGCAGATGAATACACAAAATAACACAGGAGCAGATCGACGACAGAAACCAGATTGGCGCGGACGGCGGCCTCCATCATGTTGTAGTCGTGGTCGAGGCGGTCGGTGCGCGAGTCCAGCAGGAGCTTGAGGAGCGGATAGCAGTCCAGAGAGATGGTGAAGGGAGCGCCGTTCATGTCATGGGGGTCGGCGCCATGGCGGAGCAGGATCGAGGCGGCCTCGATGGACTTGTTGTAGCACGCTATCCGAAGCAGTTCGTTGCGGTTCCAGAACAAAAACGAGGGCGAGCGGGCCTGCTGTGCGAGATACTCCAGGAGTTGGTGGTTGAGGCTGGCGAGGGCATAGCGAGCGCAGCGAAAGAAGAGGCGCTGGCGGTCGCTGGAGTCGTCTTGGATGGAGTAGAAAAAGAAAGGGGTCTCGAAGATGAAGCGGGCGGCATCGAGCTGGTCGTGGCGGCAGGCAGCAAAGAGCGACTTGCGCCAGGTCGATCGATTGAATTCGACCAGCTCGTTGTGGGAGCACGGAGAGGTTTCCAGAGCCAGTGGCGAGTGTGTCGGGTCCACAAGGGCAATGCTGGGACGGAATCCAGACGGAAGGCACTCGGTGATGGGGTTGGCGAAATGGAAGGGAGATTGGGAGCCCGGTGCGGCGACGAGCGAGGGCACAAAGACCCAGTCCCGGAAGAGACGCAGGATGGAGATGAAGCCGGCGCTGGCAGCCCACTCCAGCGGGGTGGCGTAGAGGCAGATGCAGTTGCGTGATCGGCATGCCTTTCTGTTGTGCTTTTGGTGGTGGCGAGCGCGGAGGGCCCGCTGGTTGCGCAGGATGGCGAGGTTAAGAAGCCCATGCGAGGAATTGTGCAGGATGACGAAGGTGTAGCCGAAGCGACAGGTTGCCGACAGCCGGAGAAGATCGGTAGGCGCGAGGGACGGGATCGAGAGAATGGCAAGCAGAATCTCGTTGGGCAGGGCGAACAGATCACGATGGCGGTGGCAGGCGGGATGCAGGCGGCTGACGGGACGGTTTGTGCTGTGAGACATGCTGAGACATTGCCGGCTTGATATTTGGACCTGTGAGCGATCGAGACCGACTGAGAGGGCGGTCAGCTGGGGTGGGGGGATGTGCCTGGAGTGCGATGGCGATGGCGATGCTGGATCTTGGGATTGGTCTCGGGGTTGATCGGGGAGTGGGTATTGACCGATGACTCTGAGCTCGAACTTGACTGATGTTGAGGCCTGATCTTGAGGTTGGCTGGTGTTGAGGTTGCCTGATCTTGAGGTTGGTTGGTGTTGAGGTTGGCTGTGATCTTGATGGGGTGCAAGCAGGCGATGAAGGGCGAGACAGCGCCAGGCAAGGACACAAAAGCGGTGGGAGCCGGGAGGGATCTCCAGCACACGTGGCCGCGGCCAGTGGCACATGCACGCCAGCCACAAACAAGCCGGCCAAAGAGAGGCCAGCCCGAAACCTACGTTGCACATGCAGTGACGCGCAGCTCCCGTGCCGTTTTCTTCCTGTGCGACCGATGTGCGCCATGTGCCGCAGCAGTGGGGGAGCACTGAAACAGCGTCCCAGGCCGGTGTTGGTGCGCCGTGAATAACGCGGCGGGGACACAAGGGGCACAAGGCTAGACACAGACGCGCACAGGACTCAGGAACAGACAAATCCCGCAGCGGGAATAGACACAGCCGCAAAGTGCTGTGCCAACGCAGCGCGTCACAGGTCACACAGTGTGTGCGGCACGCGTCGGCGGCCAGCACAGCGAGTCCACATAGACAGCATGTGCCGGGGGCAGCACTGCGGTGCAACACACAACAACGTCCTGGCCGGACATGGCCGGTGTGGGGACATTTTTCGGAGGGCTTTCGTTTCCTCAACTGCATCGGTCGTATCAACTGCATCGGTCGTATCAACTGCATCGGTCGTATCAACCGCATCGGTCGTATCAACTGCATCGGTCGTATCAACCGCATCGGCAGTATCAATCGCATCGGCTATCGTTTCCCCCGTAGCGACACTAACAGCACCAACACCAAACGCAGCACCAAACGCAGCACCAAACCCAACACCCTCTGCACAGCCCTGCTGTTCCGCGCCGGCCGCCAGTCTTAAATCTCTGTCCGTGCCGCTCGCCGTCCCGTCTTCCAGCGTTGGCTTCTCCGGCCATCCCTTTCGCTCCGTCGCCGACCTTCGTCTCCTCTGCGCTCTGGCCGTTCGTCGGTCAAGCCACTCTTGCGCTTTCCCGTCCTCCTCGTTTTTACCTCCACTCCGTCCGTCCATCCACCCCGCTCTATCTCTCCCCTCCATCCACCCTCCATCCATCCTCCATCCGCCATCCGCACCCACTGTCCTTGATCGCTGCTCCGCTGGATATCTCTGTCCGAGTCCTCTGCTTCGTAACCCTCGCTGCTTCCTGCTTTTCTCTATACAACCCTTCCACCACCTCTCTCCCTTCTCTCTCTCGCCCTCGCTCTCTCCCTCCCTTTGCCCATGTCGGACCTGCGTCCCCCCAAGACCAGCGACGAGTTCGCTTACCGGGCATTCGGCTTCTGTCGACAAGTCCTCTCCCAAACCAAGCAGCACATCTTGGCCTCGCAATCCCGGTCGGCCGCTGCTCAGCCCTCGGCCTCCATGGCCTCGTCCCAGACCTTAGCCGACTCCAGCCTTGGCGACTTCAACTGCGGCTCCTCCCACTCGAGCAGCCTCCACTCGCCCGACGCCATCGATGAGGACGACCGAGAGAATCCGCTGGGATTCTCCCACATCCAGCCGGCCCTGCCCTCGTCGCTCTCGGCGTTGCTCAACGACATTGAAAACGCCATCGATGTCTGCTCCATCGGCATCTCGCTGCTGCCGCCTCCGTGGACCCAAGCAGCTCGGGATGCGCATCCGTCCAACCCACTCGCCCACAACAACCACAACCACAACCACAACCATCACTCGGACGAAGGCGAGCTGGCCCTGCCGCTACCGCATCACCCCTCCGCTGGAGCTTTGGCTGCCACCCAGCCTTTCCCGAACCCATCTCCCTTGACCCCGCCCCATCAGCTGCATGACCCGCCGCTCGACCCCCGTGTCCTGTCGCAGCTGTCGCAGCTGTCTCCGCTTGGCCCGGTGCACCTTCCGGCTCCCGGAATCGACCAGGCCATGCTGCCCGTGGCAGAGACACGACTCGTCAGGAAGCAACGCAAGGCCATTGCCATTCCCTTCGATGTTCTCGACCGCATCTTCATCCATGTCGTCGGCACCGATGCCACCCAGACCCTCTACAACTGCTGCCTCGTCAGCCACGGCTGGAACGCCGCCGCATCGCCTGCTCTCTGGCGGTTCCCGGAAATCGCCAACGAATCGACCCTCTCTCGTCTCCTCTTCTCCAGCTTCACCAACCGTCGCCAGCCCTCGCTTCTCTATGCCCCCGGCTCCTCCCCCGCCAGCAAGGTCTACTCTCTGACTCAACACATCCGAGTCCTGGACCTCTCCAAGATCGAACTCCAGGAGCCCCAGGACTCGGCCGTGCTGCGGCTCCTTGCCCAAAGCACAAAGAACCTCAAGTGCCTCAAGCTCGCCTCGCCCACGCCGCTGCAATCCACCACCCTCTCCTACATCTTCGACACCTGCAGCAACCTCGAATCCTTCATCTGCCGCCGCACCGTCGTCGAATTCACTGCCCCCAACGTCGACCCGACCTCGCTGACCTCCATCTACGATATCCACCCTACCGACGAGGCCTTCTTTGCCGGCCTGGCCCGTCTGAAAAAGCTGGACTTTTGGGGAATGCGCACCAAGATAGACCACCAGAAGGATCATGCCTTCTTCCGCAAGGTCGGCTCCTACATCGGCCCCAACCTCAAGCAGTTCAACCTCACCGATGTCGAGGATGGCTCCGACGAAGCCATCAGCGGCGCCCTCAGAAACGCCCATTCGCTGGAAAAGCTGTGGCTGCAGCTGAATCGCGGCCTCACAGGCGAGCAGGCCCTGCCCTTCATCGCCGCCAACTGCCCAAAGCTCCAGTTCCTGTCGCTCATGGGCTGCTCCAAGCTGCGTGATATCGGCGTGATCGACATGACCCGGCTCATTGGCCACCATCTGCAAACCCTCTGGCTCGACAGCTCTCCCATCACCGACAGCTCTATGCACGCCATCACCAACCAATGCACTGCCCTCAAGACCCTCTCCATCGCCAAAGCCTTGATTGCGAGCGAAGACACCATCACCCAGTTCATCCTCATCCGCGGTAAGCAGCTCAAGGCCCTGGGTTTGCGCAAGGTCAAGGTCGTCTCCAATGCAACTCTGCAGGAAATTTTGAAGCACTGCCCGCAGCTCGAGGAGCTCGACCTCCGCAGCTGCGAACTCATCAAACGCGAGGAGATCGAGATCTTTGTCCGCCGCATCCAAGTCGGACGGTCACGTTTGAGAAGCCATGCCAGGCTCGCAGCCTCCTCCAACGGCGTGGGCCACCACGCACGCCTTCCGCCCCTCGTCTTTCTCGACATTGACACCCGATGGCCAACCGAGTTCCAGAACGAGATCAAGCGGGCCATTCCTGGCCAGAAGGTGTATCTGCCCGACCATATCTGCAGACGCATTCACAACCACGGCTAAAGCCCATGCCATTGGTGTCTGAACAAGACAATATCCACCATGTGTATGAACAGTCGAGAAGATGCAACAGTGAAGCAAGAGTCAAGGAAGCAGCGAAGGAATTGGCAGCAATCGAGGCAGTTGTAAAGGAACAGAGTTTCCTGCCCCCTTCACCAAACAAGATAGTAACGAATCGGTCACCAAAGAAGACAGAGAGAAGTAACCTCCTCCTCCTCCTCCTCCTCCCCCCCCCGCCTCAAACCGCCCACGCCTCCCTCCCCCTTCCTATTTGAGCAGCTTGAGATTTGCGTTCTATTTGTGTTTCCATCCCTCTCTTCTTTTTTCTTAGTCTTTCGCAGCCTTCACAGACCCAGCCCAGGATTTTGGCTGAACTCACCGAATGATTCATTAGGAAGGGGATCAAATGAGCGTGTTGATCATGAGATACAATGCTCACAGATCGAAACGGGACACTTTGATATCTTTTTTTTTTTTTGAGACCGACTGTTATTTTATTTTTTCTTTTATTTTCTTGTTCTTTTTTCTTCTTCTCTGGATCCTGAATACACACCCACATACGTCACCCTTCATTGCTGGGATGGCCGTCAGGGCACCCTGTTCTGGGCCAAACCGACGCGCTTTCACAGGCAGATCCCGGCGATTCTAATGACCCCAATGATCCCAACGATTCCAATGATCCCAATGATCCGAATAGACCGATGGCCAGCAATATTGGTTGTGTCGCTCGTCGAGCCCATGACGCGGATTATTCGACAGAAAGCACATCGATATTATACAAAGGGAGAGAAACAGGGGAGGGACGAGACAGCGACACACGGCCTGGACAGTGGATGTTGTTAGAGGATATGCTCGAGTTGCCGGCAAAGTCGGAAACCATTCAAGCACGGAATCAGGTCATCAAGGCAAGCACGGGCAGCGTCAAGGGTAACGCGGCTGCATTCAAAGCTGGATCGCCACGGCCCGAAGCAAATTTTACATCCGGATGTGCATGTCGATGGGCCTGATAGCCCCTCGTGGCTCCTGGGGGGAGGGTTCCCTATAGCTTAGATGCAAACGTGACTTGCTCCGACCGCGGTTTAGCGTCAGTCATCGCGCCTTCAACCGAGTCCGTGGGTTCAGTCGACGGTCCCGTCAGCGCAGGGGAGCGTGTCACATCCGACATGACAGAGCCAGCGCCAGGGATCGAGAGCACGCTCTCGAGAACCTGCCAGATACGGTCCGCAAAGACAAAGTCGATCTCCTTCTTGACGTGCGCTGGGATTTCTTCGAGATCGCGGCGGTTGCGCTCAGGCAGCACGATTTTGCGGATGCCGCCGCGATGTGCGGCCAGTACTTTCTCCTTGACTCCGCCCACCGGCAGGACCTGGCCGCGAGCTGTGATCTCGCCCGTCATGGCCGAGCGCTCCGACGCGAGCGACCCTGTGAGCAGAGACACCAGCGCCGTGACGATTGCAATGCCAGCACTGTGAACGTACCGTCATGCCGTGAGCGCGAGCAAGGAAACGAAGGAGCAAAGTGAATCGCCTGTCGGGACACCACCAGAGGTTGGACGCATGCAGACCCGCTCACTTATGTCTGGCTGAAAGCTACCTCCGGCGTTTTCGCTCGACACAAATGATGCGCGCATGCCCAAGCACTGTCGGGATCGCCGCCAGCACAACGCTTTAGCCGCGAGGTGCACGTTGTCGCTCACCTTGGGCCGTCCTTTGGAGTGGCGCCGGCTGGAAAGTGAATATGCACGTCGAGCTGATCGAACTGGATGCTTGAGTCAACCCCAAGCCGAGGTGCATTCGCACGCACCCACGTCAGTGCAAGTGTCGCCGATTCCTTGATAACATCGCCGAGCATGCCTGTGAATAGGCAAGAAATACGTTGCACTGGGTAAGTTAATCCGTTGCGACTTGTCGATGATGGTGCTCTGTCGCGTTTCCAAACCGAACAATAACGCAGTCGACCATCGTGCGGATCGTAGGCACTGCACAAAATGCGAGCTCTTCTATCAAACGAATTCAGGCGAGGGTATGGGAGAAAGAACGCAAAATCGTCATTGTGTGCACATCCATGTACCTGTCAGGATCAGGTTGCCCTTGCCTCTCATCTTTGTTGCTTCCACAAACAACAGGCTGCCGGCACCATCTGATGTCCATGCCAGCCCGGTCGCGACACCGGGGATCGACTTGCGCTCCGCGACTTCTTCAACAAAGATCTCAGACTGCCCAAGCACATTCCGGCATTGTTCGTGACGGCAAAAGAAGAACAGCGTTACTTTGGGGATTCAAGAGCACAAGGCGACCGAGCGCGACCCACATGGCAGCGAGCTCTCCAAACATTCATCAGTACCACTTCACTGATATGGACAGGGATAACGAACTTTCCCAAAGAACTGCTGTTCTCACACGCACAGTTCGAAACTCACTCCCAGAATAGCAAGCACGCGATCGGGGTCGATTCTATGCAGTCCTGGGCCCGTCTGTGATTGCGTTGTCGTTGCGCCTGCAGACCGAGCGCACTCCAGTGCCAACGCTCGACAGACACTGGCAATCTGTCGGTCGAGACCGCGTACTCCGGATTCGCGCGTGTAGCCTGTGGCGATCTTGAAGAGGGCCGGGTCGGTAAAGACTACGTGCTCGGGGACGAGTCCATGGGCCGCGAGCTGCTTTGGGACGAGATGATGTTTGGCGATTGAAACTTTTTCTTCGAAAGTGTACCCTGAGAGTCGAATGACCTCCTGTTGTCAGAAGCGGGAGGGTACACCGGAGGATGTGGATGTCAGTAGCTGCGAGCGAGGCGCTACCAGTGGTCGTGGTTGAGAGTACAGCTATCCAGGCCATGCGCTCGGCGTACCATGCGATCCGCCAACGGCCCTGGAATACTCTCGAATTCGTTGGCCGTGGCTATGAACATCACATTCGACAGGTCGAAGGGCATGTTGAGGTAGTGGTCGGTGAACGTGTGGTTTTGTTCGGGATCAAGCACCTCGAGCAGGGCTGATGATGGGTCGCCCATAAAGCTCTTGCAGAGCTTGTCGACTTCATCTGTTCAGAAGGAGGCGGTCAATAAGGATATGGTTGAATGGCAGATGCACACGGCCGGATGAAGCCCCGAGTGACGATGGCAAGCGAAAGTGCGAGAGTCTGGGGCGGGCGCTCTGTGCTGGTTCGTGTGGACTGGGGGGGGGGAGCATCGAAGCTCGGCCGAAACCACACCACCCTACCAAGCAAGATGACTGGGTTATTGACCCCGCATCGCTTCATCCCCTGAATAATCTTGCCGGGCATGGCGCCCACGTACGTTCGGCGGTGTCCGCGGATCTCGGCTTCGTCGCGAATGCCTCCAAGCGACAGGCGATAAAACTTGCGGCCCAGGGCATCTGCGATGGACTTGCCGAGACTCGTCTTGCCGACGCCAGGGGGACCAACAAAGCAGAGTATCGGGCCCTTGAGGCTATTTTTGAGCTGCCGGACCGCAAGATACTCCACGATGCGTTTCTTGATCGGCACGAGGCCGTGGTGGTCATGGTCCAGGATCGACTGTGCACGCTCGATGCTGAGCTGATCCGGTGTCGAGTGGGCCCACGGGAGGTCGGCCAGCCACTCGAGGTACGACCAGCACACCTGGTACTCGGCCATCGAAGGGCTCATCTTTCTCAGGCGAGCGAGCTCGCGCCTGGACACCTTTTCGGCCTCGGAGGGCAATTGCGCCGCCTCGATCCGCTTGACAAGGTCCTGTAGGTCTTGTGGGCCACTGCCGTCGTCTTCGCCGAGCTCCTTCTTGATTGCCACAAGCTGGAGACAGTGGTTGCGTCATTCAAAGTGCCAGTGACGACGGTATAGAGATCATGTCGCCGCATGAGATCGCCAGAAGTCGCGTTAGAAGTCGAGTTCGTGCGCTTGGCGGATACCACAGATCAAACACATGCAAACCCTGCGCAGCCTGATCTAACATGGACCCTCACAGCCTCGGTGATACTGCGAGACTTACCTGCTGACGCAACAGGAACTCGCGCTGCTGCTTGCCAAGGGTCTGCTCGATCTCAGACCGAACCTTCTGCGATATCGTGGTCTTCTGGATGTGGCGGACCATGTGTCCGAGCACGAGCTTCATGCGTTCCAGGACATTGGTGGTCTGCAGCACCTCGAGCTTCTCGGCATGCGACAGCGGCAGAGCATTTGCGAATATATCAGCGAGGGTTCCAGGCGAGTCTTCCAGGTCAGGATCGATGAGTCGCTCGGGCTTCAGGGCACCCTGGGGCTGAGAAAGTCGTTCGAGGAGCTCTGTTGTGAAACCAGTGACAACGGAGGGTCAAGACGGAGTCCAAATGCTCGCGGATATCGAGATCCGCGATGATGCCTCGGCTGCCCCCTCAGGCAGCCAAAGCAACGGCGACAGTTAGATCACCTCGATTGCCGCCCATGAATGTCAACAAGATTAGCGAGTACTCACGCTTTGCGGTGACAGAGATCTCAGTGCTCAGTTTCTGAAAGTCGCCATAGAGCCGGTCTCCGGGTTTGGGGATATCTGTTCCAGGCCAGCAGCAGAGCCGGACGGTCCAAAGAGGAAGACACATGCTCTTGGATATTAGAATACGATGGGACCCACGCCCCAGCCCAGCCCAGCCCAGCCCAGCCCCGCTGATGATACTCACGGTCGCGAAACAACACTGCCGACGCTTCCAGATGCGGTTTGGTCCGAGTGAACTTTTCGATCTTGATCCTCACAGCGACTTTTAGCCACGACGCGTTCAGCACGATCGAAGCACACCCCGGCCGCCAGCAGTCGCGGGTGCCGATGACGATATGGGTGATGGTACCGACAATGAGGTTAGTGGCGGCAGCGACAAGAGAGTATGGAGCTCCCGCCTCGGCACTCGTAGAACTTCAGAGCCAATAACGGCATCCGTGCCCGCTCCTCTTTCTACAAGATCAGTGATAGCTACAGCGCCGGCGATATCGAGACATACGATCCACTTCCAGACGATGCACGGTGACTGGCTTGCGGTCCAGAAGAGGTGCCGAACGCTTGATGTGCGAGACAACTCGGCCGGCGACACCCCAGTCAAAGAGAGCGGAGGGATCAACCTGTATCGAGCCATCCAGGACGATTTTGAGATCGTTGTTTGTCGACGAGCTCGTCTTGAGGGGTACAAGCCCAACCCATCTCTCTTGCGGATAATCAATCGCTGAGTCTGGGCTGGAGATGCGGCTGCGGCTGCGGCTGCGACTGGGCGAACTCGGCGGCTGGGTCAGAAGCGACCCCAGCAGCGGCTGATCGTCCGGCAGCACAACTGTCAGGACAAGCGAGATGCCAGGCAGGAGAACGCCCCCATTCTGGATCGGGACGATGGGCAGAGCCAGCACCGACATTGGAGGCAGCACAGGCTTGAGAGTCATTGGATGAGCCTTCGGTCTCCCGGCAGGATTGCAGAGAAGCGACGATGGATGAGCAGGGATCGGGATGGATCGGCGGAGGCTCTGCCGGATACGAGATGCAGGTTGAGTTGGACCAGGCCTTGGGTGCTCGGCACAGGAAGGAAGGAAGGAAGGAGGGGAAGAGCAGACACGGGCCACCATCCCACAGACATGTGCTTTCGGAGCTGGGCTGGCTCTGGTCATGCTCTGCCATGCGCTCTGCATGGGCGCCGGCTGCACACAGCCATGGGCATACCGAAGCCGCAATACGACACCCGTGCCGTAGGATGCTGTGATGGGCCGTGGATACATGCAGCCTCGCCCGCAATGCAAGGCGGACCCGAACCACCACGCTGGCGGATGCACCAGCGAGAAGCTCCTCGGTGGATGCGTTCTCGCCCGTGTCGCATGTTCTTGGCAAACTGGGGTCAGGCGGCTCTGCCACGTCCGTCTTGCACCCCCGTCTTGCGTCCCCGTCTTGCGTCCCTCATCCTGCTCGCACCCATCTTAACTCTAACGGCACCGGCACCAGCACTAGCACCATGTTTAGGTGGTTCGAAACCAAGCCCTCTGGCCCGATTTATGACTTGCTCGGTAAGTTTAGCCCCGCATCTGTCTCCACAGCCAGTCCCCGTCTCCATCGAATCCACTCCCGATTGTGCCCTGGTCGTCCTTGCCACCCTACAGCGAATGAAGCTGCGGCTCTTGCCTCTACGCCGATGGCATCTATATCGCGCTGGCGCCAATCGGGCTGGCTTCGTCTGTATTGTCCTCGCATTCCATCGCCAGCATCGACTTGGTTTCTAACGGTTGGGGGCATGTCTGTATATCGATGCACCGGCAATCGCCCTGTCGCTCTTCGCAGCTACGGCCACCGACTCTCGCAATGCTGAAGTCGACTGGGTCCCGGCCTACGCGGTGCTCGAGCAAGTTCAAGAGAGTCCTGAAGGGTATGGCTGGCCTGACCACCCCCCCCCCTCCATCGCATGCAGTCTTGACGCCGCCGCAAACCTCGGCTCTTTCGCCCGGTCGCTCTTTGGACGGCTGTCCTTGATTTGCTCATACATATCGTGTTGGGTATGGGCTGGATATAGACCCAGCTTGGCTGCCAAAGCCATCCGCTTCCTCTTGTTCTCGTCGGACCCAGGTATGTCTCTCGCTGTCATTCTGCGCCATCTTGCTGCTCTCTGAAGCGCAAGGGCGAAGCTGGCTCGTTGCTGAATGAGCTGTCTTGCTTACGGTGGCTTTCTTCTTTCTACAGTGGTGGCAAGCAACACCATCGATGTCCTCAACATGTTCATGACAAACGGGCCACAGCAGCTCAAGCTTGAGTATATCAAGCCCGACTTTCAGAAGAATTACAGCCGATTCATCGACCGACAGGTAAGCGCCTTGGTGTCTATGCGGGATGTTATGCGGGATGCGAGCCAACGGTCCTCATGCATCCATACCTTGTTTCGGCCGATCCTGCTGCGGAACAGGCCTCCAACAGAGAAAATATCTTCAAGCTGCTCTTCTACATCGGCTCTTGGCTCGACAAGCTCGAGGATCCCTTGATGTCCGAGGAGCTTGGCCAGTACTGCAGCAGCCTTGCGAGCAAAGGTGGGTTGTACCATGCTGCCGAGGTGCCTCCTTCGCCTGTGGTCTGGAACGGTTAACAACAGAGGCCACCGCATCGATCGCGTTTTTCGCTCACATTGAATCGGGTTGTGGCTTATTCGCTCGCATTGTGGATTGCGTTGACTGCTGCACCACCAGGAATTCGCATCCCAAGATCGGCCCAGGTAAGGGTCTTGTCGGCAAACTGCTTTCGAAATGATGCGGGCTTCCTTTTTTTTTTTTGCGACAGTGGCTCCAGTCAGCAGTAATGACTGTGTGGCTCTTCTGCTTACTTCGTGCACGATTCATCAGGAGACGGTGTTTGTCACCGAGGGCACTAGCAACATCCCCGATCGATCTAGTTCTGTAAGTCGACAGCGTGCGCTTGTCCATCTCCCCAGGTGTGTCGGGGCCGAAGATACTGGCTCCATGGGTTCCTAACTTGGCAGCCCAAAGATGTACAAAGGGAACTGACAGGGCGGCCTGTCGCGCTATAGATCCAAGTCGATCCGGCTCGTGTCGACCACGATGTCGAAACGACCATGAGCCAAATCCAGGTTTTTGACGAGGCCCTCAACTTTGCGGATCCCGACCAAGATCTCTCAACCAACGAGGTTATACAGGTCAGTTTGTTGATGAACCCGGTGTACGATCCCATTGCCGATACTGGTGCTGGCGCCGGCGCTGGTGTTGATGTGCAATCTGTGGTGAACGAGGATGCTCCATTTCCCCAGATTGGCTTTGCATCATGCCAGCGCGCGCTCATTTAGCCTGCCCCAAACCTCTCCAAAACAATCAACACCAGGAGTTCTACGCGCAATTGGTCAAGTCCCGCGATGATATTGCGAACGTGATTCCGAGAATCATGGATGACACGATTGTCGGTTAGTAAATGCAGGCGACGGGCCGCTGTTGAGACCCTCTGCATGGCAATCAGGGTCGGCAGCCCTCGTTGACAACCCGGCAACTCAATACTGACAAATCTGTCTATACCCGACACTTGGGGGGTGGTCCTGACTGATCAAGCCAAGCTTATCGGCGCCAATGAGGCGATCGCTGGTGCCATCAACCGGTATCAGAATGCTCTGGACCAGCGCAACGTGGAAAAAATGAAGAAGATCTCGGAGCGGGAATACGAGGCCGAGGTGGGCTCTTGCTTGCCTTTGTCAGTTGCACGCTTCCGCCGGTTGGCTCTGCTGAACAGACAAGTGACTTTGATAAGAGCACACACGTGCTCCATACTGTGCTAACTGTGCTAACTCTGCTGTGTATGGGGGTGGTCCAAATGGCAGGCGATTCAGAAGCAGAATGAGATGCGGTAAGTCAGACGGCCGGCTGTCCTGTTGCTCGTGCGTGCGTTTGTTTGGAACTGCAGTTACTGCCGCTAACGAGCTCGGACCTTGTTCTGATGTGCAGAGAGCTGGAACAAGTCTTTGCGCTCGGTGAGTGAATGGACACCACATCCGTGTCAGCAACGGCCATTCCCCGTTTTGGCCCGTCGCTCACCCTGCAACGATGGGCGATGGGCCTATTTTATGGTGTCGTTGATTTTGCCGTTGTGCCAGACATGCACTCGATACTTGCCTATATCACTGCGCTAATTTGCGGTATATTCTGCGGGTCATTCTTGCGCGCCAGATGCTAGCGCTGCCCAAGGCAGCCAAGGAGTTGGAAGCTCGGGTCTAGGAAGCCTCGGCATCGACTTTGGGGCTGGCTCGCTCGGCTTTTCGAGTGCAAGCGAAAACGCTGTCGGTAGCTCGGCTTCCAGCCAGATCAGCCCTTTCGACTCATCGTACGTCTCGGTCACGAAGGAACAGGCCACGGGCACCCCAAGCGGCTTGGGGAGCAGTTCATCGCCGAACACGCGCGACCAGCGGGTGATTGCCGAGGAGTTTGACCTCGTCGAAGAATTCGAGGGTCCGCCGGTGGTATCCGAGAAAATGCTGGGGTAAGCCCGCACAGACTGTGAGCCGCGGATTGCACGGCTGATGGAAACTGCGAGGGCAGATGGAGTAGAGTCAATATCAGTGCATGTCCGTGTGTGCGGCTGCAATCTCTGGGTCAGTGGCAAACGATACTGACGCTCCACACGGCGATGTTTGGCTTGTGCCTTTCAGCAAACGACGTGCCGAGTGAGACCAGCAGCGATACGATCGATCCAAGCCCGCGCCGATAATGCCCGCTTCATGACGAAAGGAGCGGGGAATCCCGTCGCCATTCTGGGTCGCATGGCCATTCTATTTTTTTGATTCGGCACTCATATTTTGTACAAAGCAAACATGTTTTCCTTGGGCCGTCCTTCACGGAGACATTCTCAGTCGTTCAGCGAGGCGCTGCTATTTATGCTGAGAGCTATGTCGATGTGCGAGTCACCAAGAGAATCAAAGAAACCACACTCCCTGCAAGTAGTGGCATTTGGAGAGGCCTTTGGAACGAGGATCAATCACGATGGTGGTGTATTGTCGAGATCGATAGCAGCGTATTCTGGGGGACGGTGAGAATCAGGGCTCGATACAATCAGGTCGTGCGGGTCCAGTGCTCTCGGTGGGGGTCTTTGGTGGCCCGACGCTGCTCTGCCATCGAGCTGGAGCCCCGCTCACTGATGTTGAGCTTCGCGCCGAGAAAGAACGCGCCCAATGCGTTCCAGCGCCAACTGCATGATGCTCCAGTCCTTGGCGAACAGGATCCGGAACCATCCTTCCTCGTCCGCAAAGAAGGCAGCACCGTAGGCGATATAGACACCCTCATCAAGCAGCTCCATCCAAAGCTGGGTTTCTCGCGGGCTTGGCTCATACCGAGCAAATGGACTCGACGGCGTCCACGCCACCCTCGAGCCAGCCCCAGCCTCGCTGGACTCCGGACCGAGCCACTTGGAGAGGTTGACCCATACAAAGAACCCAGCGTTGGCGGGCAGGAATGGGATATGGTGGGACTGCAGAAACCCGGCCACTTTGTCGTACGAGTCCTTGATGCGCAAGTTGCTTTCGTCCAGGAATTGATCGACCCGGGGACGATCGCGAAGGAAATTGGTCCACAGGTGCTGGATGTAGTTGGGCGTCGAAGCAAACGTACCAAAGCAGCCGGCGGCCGCAATGACATCTGGATTCAAGGAGCTGCATCGAAGGTTTGGCGGGTTTAATGAGTGAGCATGAGCATAGAGGGAATTGAGTGATTGCACTCGGCAGTGGCTGGCCAACGGATAGGGGATGGATTGGCTCGACATAGAAATGTTTGTGGATCATATCCGCGAGCGAGGAGTTTGAGACGGTCAAAACGAAGTGATCGGGTCGTTCTTGGCACAGCACGACACACGGAAACCTACATGACTGTGGCCAGACGCATGCCACTGACCCCAAAGTCCTTCGACATGGACCAAATGAGATGCGTGCGCTGGGGATCAGGCAGATCCGACATCGCGTAGACGCTCGTGAAGGGCGGAAGATTGTCGTCTCCTTCGCGGATGGTGAGCGCGTAGACCTCATCCGAGATCACCTCCATGTCGTGGCTCTGAGCAAACAGAAGCATCTCCATCAGCTGCGTTCGGGAATAGGTTTGGCCGAGGGGGTTGTTTGGGTTGCAGATCAGCAAGACCTTGGGCACGATGCCGCGGCCCTTGGACTCGGCGTAGCTTCGCTCGAGATCGGCGGTGGTGATCTGGAAGCCGTTGGATGCGTATGCGGGGACGCGAATCGGGACTGAGTCTGTCCCAACACTGCAGTCGGGGTGGAACCCTCCGTAGTACGGTGCTGGGGAGACAGCGGGTGGGTTGGGCTGGAAGTCAGTCTGTCTGGTGATGTTGCAATGCCGCCTCGCCAAGCACTCGCCGCGGGAACCGAGGCAGAATCTGGACAGCCGCCATTGCACCGACTTACATGGGATCATCACGCCTTCACCGGCATCGCAGAGGATCATACTGAAGACGCTGATGGCGGTCGTGGCGCCGTTTACAATTTTCATGTTGCTGTCGTTGAGCTTGTGGTGGAGATTGAGCTTGCGGTTGAGCAGGTGACTGATTTCCGACCGAAGGGCTCGGGATCCGTTGAACGAGGACCCATCTGTACAGCCGCGGAGGGTGAGGATGCATGAATTGAGAATGGGTTGAGCTGGAAGATGGGTGGGGGCGCATTGGGACCAAAGCAAGCTCGGGAAAGTCGGACCAAGCGAACATGCGCCCAGCGCAGCTGATCACGGATAAATGGGCCCTGAGACTCACAGGTGAGATGCGATGCGTTGATGCCTCCAGCCTGGATCTGTGGCGAGTTGAGCTTTCATGGAAGACATGGGTGGTCCGGATGAATATTAGCTGCGCGAGGGGCGAGCAGATGTGCAGCGCAGGAGGACGGGATGCATGTCCGGGACGCAGCGCATGCTAAAAGATGTACCTCGCTGACCAGGGTCGGGTGCATGACCTCGTTCTCAGCGGTGCCGAGGTTGATGATACCGCCGCGGTTGTGCTCGACATGGAATGGGTTGCGCGAGACCCGCTCGAAGGCAGCGACCAGCAGGTTGGGCGTGTTGACGGCCCGGAGGGCTCTTGCCGAGATGGGCATGGCTGGACAGGGCAAGCGTGGCTGGCGAAGCGAAACCTGGATGGCAGCGGGTTCTGGCTGGCGGATGGAGACGCGGCGCCATGGAGGACAGGGCTGGCGTGGCGCACGCACACACACGTGTCTGTGCTGCGCACACGGGATGCGCAGCGGTCGGAGTCGGAAGCCCCGGCGCGGCACGGCCGGAACGCCCGCTCCTGTGATCGCCCATGGTCTGGACGCGGCGCCGCTGGGAGTGCTGGAGAGCCTTCCCACGGCCGCGGGGCTGTCTTCTGGGCGCATCCGGCCAGGAGAGCGCCTTGTTGCCGGCCAGCATGCCGGGCGGCTGCCGGCCTTTGTGCCCGGTGGCGTGCCGCGGCTGCGTCCGTGTGGGGCGGAGCGGGCCGGGGGTGGTTCGCCGGGGGAGGGCTCGCTTGGGGGTGGTTCGTCTCGGGGACGGGGATGGGGGTGGGCGCCCGTCGGCCGGTGCGCCCCCTCTCGCCGCGGGTATATCTTGCCTCGCCGATGCCCCGTCTGGTCTCGCCAAAGCCGAGACTGCATACCTGCCCTCTCTGCCTCTCCGATCGCCGACCCGCTGCAGCACCAGAGTGCCTCGGGCCCTGACCAGCCGCCCATTCCCACTCCCGATCCTCAGTCGCCGAGCCCTCGAGCTCCTCCCGTTGCCTCGCCGGACCGTCGCGCTTCCATCCCTCTCCGCAAACGCTCTTTCTCTCGTCTCTGACAACTCCCATGCTTTCTCAGCTCGCCAAGATGGCTTTCCCGTCGCGGGGCCTAGCCAACCGCCTTCGCTCGGTGGCCCGGCCGGTGACGATGCGTATGCGCCTCTATCACTACGATAAGGATGTCTACGGGTATCGAACCCCTCGTCCGTTTGCGCTTCCGGATTGTAAGTGCCTCCTCTGGCCTCTCGTTGACTCTTCCGCAACCGGAGATTCCGAGATTGCCTCCCGACTTTGTCTGCGATCGTGCCTGTCCAAGATCTGTGCGGTCTCACTCCAAGCGCCATGCATGGCCAACAGCAACCCGATCCATTTCAGAGTACTAACGCCCTCCCGATACCGTTTGCACTGCCTTTCGTCCGTCATCCCGCAGACTCGCCCTCGGAGCTTGCCAATCGTGTCCAGAATGCAAATTTGCTGCAGCTCGTTCAGGCTTTCCGAGAATATGGTCACCGCAAGGCGCACCTCGATCCGCTGGGGCTCTTGTCGGAAGAGTATGTGCCGTCGCTGCAAGACACCGCGATCGCCTGATTTGTCTTGCTACCTTCATTGCTGAGGCGCTGTCTTTGACATCTCACGAAGCACATTTCACCACCGAGTACTCTCCTCGATCAGCAAGGAGAGCGGCAGTGCCAGGGCGCGAGCCGACGGCACTCTCGAAGTGGTCGCGAACCCGCTTTTTGTTGGATCTCTTTGTTTCGCAATGATGCCAATTCCCTCCCCCACTTCGTTGACAGGTCGGTGCCCGAGCTCGATCCAGCTCGCTACGGCATCCCCGAAACGGGGACCCGATTCTGTCTCGACGGCATCCTCCATGTCGGGCAGTCGAACGACCCCAATATCTCGCGCGAGAGTGCAAGCATCGAGCGTATCTTGGCTCACCTGAAGGCCTCGTACAGCAGCCGCATCGGCTTTGAGTTTTGCCACATTCCAGTAAGTGTCCTGAACAGCAGATATGTGACAACCACGTTCTGCCTTTGCTGGCTATTATAGGCCATCAATCTGCTCAGACTCTCGCTGCCCTCATGGACGCTCTGTGGCTGTTGGGTACATGCGCCTGTGGCTGTTGGGTGCATGCGCCTGTGGCTGTTGGGTGCATGCGCCTGTGGCTGTTGGGTGCATGCGCCTGTGGCTGTTGGGTGCATGCGCTATATTCACTCTGCTCTCCATACCCCTCTCACTCATCCTCGCAGTGCCCAAGCGAGCAGAGATGGTTTGCCCAGTACATTGAATCGTACCAAAAAAAGCAGTTCTCTGATCAAGAAAGGCTCCGCATCTACCAACTCCTCACGAAATCAGAGGTGCGCTTCCTATATCTGCCCGGCGGCAGATGCTCTAGCTGCCTTGATTGATCCGGTTTCCCACAACTCAATCTCAGCACAGTGGTAACCAATCACTCTTTCAACGCTCTCATGGGCTGCCAGGTGTTTGACCGGTTCATGGCCAAAAAGTTCCCCAACGTCAAGCGCTACGGGCTGGAAGGTGCAGAGAGCATGATGATTGTTCTCGATACACTCCTGAGCGACGCATCCAAGGGTATGTCCATCCTTGTGCTGCGCTCCATGGCTCTGCAGACTCGGCAGCAGCGAGGCGAACAAGCTACGTCCACACTACTTCACTGCTGCATTTCTATGCTACCTCGTTTTCATGCCGATTCGAGGCCATCTCATGCTCGCTACTCTGTGTGCTCATGTATTGCACCGCCGAATGACTATGCCGATGCTGCTGCTAATGCCGATATCGTCGGCACCCGCTCTGTTTTGTCCAAATTTCTATAGCCGGCATCGTGGATGCAATCATTTGTATGCCCCACCGCGGTCGTCTGAATCTGCTGACCGACATCCTCCGGTTCCCTCCTGCGGCCCTGTTCCACAAGGTCAAGGGCAACTCTGAGATCCCTGACAACCTCCCCGCCATTGGTGATGTTCTTTCCCATATTGGTAGGTACCTCGCTCCACCAGCTCAGGGACGCTTGTGTCTGTGGATCGCCGAATGTGGGATCGCCGCTGAATTCAATGAAACTCGCTTTGTATTCTCGTGGCGAAACGTCATCAATCCGCACCACCGCAGGAACCTCGGTCGATCTGGACTATCAGGGCGAAGACCCTATCCACGTTTCCTTGGTCCATAACCCGTCGCATCTTGAGGTAAGAGCACAAACACTTATTGGCGCTCTGGCTGGGCTTGACACAAATACTACTAGTTGATCGTCGCATCATGAGGGGATTCCAGGATCTCTCAGTCTCTTTGCTTTTGAGCCAATGACCTCGTCGCTGAATCTCCTCCTCCCTCCCCCACTATCTACTTGTGGTTTTGATTCCCTTGAATAACACATGGTCACCGCATGGGCTACCACTGCTCGTATTTTCCAAACAAGACCGCCAATCCTATTGCTCTTGGCAAGGCTCGAGCACGCCAAATGCATCTCTACGATTCTGGAACCGAAGGACAGACGTGCTCTATCGGCGACCGAGTCTTGTGCGTCCAACTTCACGGCGACAGCGCTTTCACGGGCCAGGGTGTCGTCACCGAGACCCTGGGACTATCGAATCTACCTCACTTTACTGCTGGCGGCTCGGTGCATCTGATTGTCAACAACCAGATCGGATACACCACCCCAGCCATGAACGCCCGCAGTACCATCTACACGTCCGACATTGGCAAAATGATCAACTGCCCCATCATCCATGTCAATGCAGACTTCCCCGAGGTGCGTGATAGATTCCCTGGACGTGAGATAGAGATGATGCAGTCCGCGTGGGTGAAGCGTGGAAGCTTGGCTGTATTGAATAGACAGATGAGCTGTATCTACAGCGGGCTCGGACTGACCTTTAAGTTTATCATTTGCCAATTTTCGATTCGACACCACCACCACCACCACCACCACCACCACCACCACCATCATCATCATCATCATCATCATCATCGTCATCGTCATCGTCATCGTCATCGTCATCGTCATCGTCATCGTCATCGTCATCGTCATCGTCATCGTCATCGTCATCGTCATCGTCATCGTCATCGTCATCGTCATCGTCATCGTCATCGTCATCGTCATCGTCATCGTCATCGTCATCATCATCGTCATCGTCATCGTCATCGTCATCACTACCAAACAGGAAGTTGCCTATGCCACCTCGATTGCACTTGACTACAGAAACAAGTTCAAAAAGGACGTGATCATTGACTTGATTGCCTACCGACGCATGGGCCACAACGAACTTGACGAGCCTGCGTTTACCCAGCCAATAATGTACAAGAACATCCGCGCCAGAAAGAGCGTGCCGATTCTCTATGAGGAGCGCCTGATTGTGAGTTCTCGACTCTCGTCGGGCCTGCATTTCGTTTTGCCCCTGACTGCCGTTATTATTTTGCTTTGCCGTTCCTCCGATATCTCCTGGGTTGCATACTGACTCAAACTGTATCTATGACAGGACAAAGGCGTCATTGGCAGCCGTGCAGAGGTGGATGAGTTCCGACAGAGATATTTTGACGAGCTCGATGCCGATTTGAACCAGAGCTATAACTTCCAGCCAAAGGTAGGCGGCCTTTGGCCAATGTAGCCACGAGCGGCCTTGCAGACGCTCTCTTCTGAAGAATAGGCCAAGTCTTGGATAACCGACTGATTGATGTTGCCCTTCGTACTTACCCAGGCTGATACCCTAGAGGGAAAGTGGAGCAGTATGATCATGCCCACGGAAGCCGTTGTGCAAATCGACACTGGTAGCGTATAACGTACCCTTTTCTCGTGTGTGCCGTGTATGATACACCCCGCATTTGATCGCCAGAGCGGGGCAGGCAGCTATGACGCACACAAGTCCCCGCCACGGTACTTTGACGTTGATGTGGCATATAAGTGTTCAGTTGGTCCGCAAGCATACGCTCATATAGTGTTCCTATCATTCGTGAAGTCGTCGAGCACCAAGATCGTATGGGCCCTACGACTAACTCCCCCGGGCTCTCCTCTTTGCAGGTGTCGATCACGATACTCTCAAGTACATTGGTACACGCTCAGTGACTCTGCCTGATGGCTTTGTGAGTTGACTCACGCCTCGCATTCCACTGTGCTGCTGGGTTAATTCGGCAGGAGTGGGCTTCGGATGAGGAGCAGCAACGCAATTCTGCCGCACGAGTCATCGTTCATCCTCTGGATGATGGAAGAGTCTCTCTATTGCCGGTAGTATCGGCGGGAGAGCGGAGCCGAAATCCCAGTGGCAGTGAATGTGACGTCGCAGACTAAGAAGTGTGAATTTCCACGACTGAAGGTCCCCCATTCAAGACTCAAAAAGTTCCACATCGACCCGAGAATCAAGAACATTGAACAGAGCCAGGGCCTGGACTGGGCCACGGCCGAGGCTCTTGCCTTTGGTAGTCTCCTGATGGAAGGCAAGCACGTGCGTATCTCGGGTCAAGACGTTGGCCGAGGAACCTTCTCGCAGCGCCACGTCATGATGGTGGACCAAGAGACGGAGCGAACCGCCATTCCCCTCAACAAGCTCTCCGACAGCCAAGGGCACATCGAAATTGCAAACTCGTCGCTCTCCGAGTACGCCGTGCTAGGCTTTGAATACGGCGTTTCGTGGGAGACCCCCGACCGCCTGTGCATCTGGGAGGCCCAGTTTGGCGACTTTTTCAACGGCGCCCAGATCGTGATTGATACCTGCCTTGCCAGCGGCGAAACCAAGTGGCTGCGTCAAAGTGGCCTTGTGATGCTCCTTCCTCACGGGTACGATGGAGCAGGTCCCGAGCATTCGAGCTGCCGAATCGAGCGATTCCTGCAGGTATGTAGACCCTGCTGTGAGACGAACGAGCAGGCGACTTTGGTCAACCAAGGGCTGCAGACGAGTGGGCATGGGCAAGAAGTAGCATGTGAGACACTAAGCATTGAGTGGCTTGGTGACAGTTGGATGGGGACTTTGACTATCAAGGCCTCCCCTCCGTTTCCTGCTTCATATTATTGTGTCGTAGCTGGCGACTGTTGGAGCATACCGGTCTTACCGAGGGTGCTTTGGGACCGGCACTGACGCTGTGCCATCCATATCTGAACAGCTCTGCGACCACAAGTACAATGTGTTGGATGACAGCACGCCTGACAATCCCAACATGCATGTCGTCAATGTGACCACTCCAGCACAGTATTTCCACGTCCTCCGCAGACAGGTACGCTGATGCCCGAAAGCCAGACATGATCGTCAAGCGGCTGCTCCTTGATGAGTGTTGATAGGATTTGGATGGGTCTACATGCACAAGTGCTGCTTCCCGGCCCCAAAGGCGCCTACTGGATAGGTGCCGAATTGAATGGATGCGACTGAGCGGTCAGAGTAGCTCCGGGTAGGGCAACGAGCTGGCGCCGATGGTCTTAACCTGGTCGCTGACGGATGACTCGCTAAACTGAATTGCTTGTAGATGGCTCGCAACTTCCGCAAGCCACTGATCGTGGCCGCCCCCAAGATTCTACTGCGGCACCCGGCTGCTGTCTCCAAGCTCCATGAGATGGAGCCCGGAACGACCTTCCAGCCGGTTCTCGATGACCCCACGCTCCCGGATGGCCAGCACGGCGAGGTGAACAAGGTTGTGTTTGTCTCGGGCAAGCTTTACTACGATCTTGTCAAGGAGCGGGCGAGCCGTGGACTCGATAAGAACGTCAGTCTGGTCCGTCTCGAGGAGCTCAATCCTTTCCCAACGGCGCATTTGAAACGCATCGTGGACAAGTACCGCAGCACTGCCACTCAGTGGTTGTGGGTCCAAGAGGAGCCCGAGAATCAGGGCGCGTTTCCGTTTGTTGGACCCCGTCTGGCCCAACTGCTTCCGAACCACATCGTAAGTGACGTTATGTGGGATGGAGGCCTGCACTGGCCGAGGAGCGCGACGAAATCGAGGAAGAGAAGGAACATGGGTGGGAAGATTGATCCCACGAGCGACAAAATGAAGTGACCTTGTCGGCACCGGATGAAGGCAGAGACTGGTATCGAAATGCAGCGTTTATGGGGCACGGCTTTGCTAACGCCCTTTCTGGTGATCACGGCACACCCTCGATAGCTCAAGTACCATGGACGCAAGGCATGCGCCGCCCCTGCCGTGGGTATTTCCTCTCGCCACAAGAAAGAGCAGGAGGAGGTCGTCAAAGGTGCATTCTAGACGTGTTCAGCGGCACTTGGCAAGGACGCGCTTTGGAAGCGCTCCGGCGGTGCTCGTCAATACAGCGTTTCCAAAATGAAACGGGACACCCCGTTTTGAGCCATGCCAGGGTTTTTTTCTGGAACCCGAATACACCCACCCACTCATCGCATTCATGGCCAAACACAGCACCCTCGATTTCCGCATCGCTGCACTGCGGCCGGTGGTGTTCACTCGGAGGCTGCCAAAGTGATCTGTTCTATTTCTTATGGCATAATTAGACGCATGCCATCGCATACTACGCTGACAAATGGGTTGCAGAGTCTACATCCCCTCAGTCTGTTTATGAAGTGATTGATGGATCTGATCTCCACCACTCTCGCACTGGCAAGGTCGCGGAGCAAAGCGCAGCCGTCGTGGTCAGCCGGCCTTGGCGGATCCAATCCAGTGTCCTGCGCGACACGCGACGGCGCGGTGCCTTCCTTTTTGGGCGGCGCAGCCGATGCTGGATGACTGACGATGCGACTTGCTATTTCTTGGGACGCCAGCCGTTCGAGGGAGAGGACGCTGGTGCAAGCCCAGATGCAAGCCCAGATGCAAGTGCGAGCAGGACGGCGACGAACACTGCCCGGCTGCCAGAGACATCATGGCCAGCGCTAGCATCGGTTCGGGAGAGGGGAGCAGAAGCTGGAGCGAATGCCAGAGCAGAAGTCTGGGGTGATGCCAGAACAGAAGCCCGAACAGAAGCCGGAACAGAAGCCGGAACAGAAGCCGGAACAGAAGCCGGAACAGAAGCCAGAGCGGATGCCAAAGCAGATGCCTGAGCACGCTGAATCCAACTCTGTACGGCTTCTGGCTGGAATGTTCATGCAAAGGGGCCAAGGTTGGGCCAAAGGATTCGTCTCGCTCGAAGACAAAGTTGCTCTGCAGAGAAGCGAGTGGGCGAGCGGGTCTTCCCGAAACCGCCTCGATCATCGCAGCGGTCCTGACAGAGCCCAATCGCCCAGCGCCGACCCGGACCTACGTTGGCCTGGACGAATGTTGGCCTGGGCCAATGTCGCCTTTGGCTCAATGTCACCCTGTACAAGCGTCTTTGCCCTCGACCAAGCACAACCAACAGGCCGCGCCCCATTGGCCCCCGCCCCGAGCCCCCGCCTGACCGGCTGGCGGCTCCCGTGGCCCCGCCGCCCTTTCCTCCCATCCTCCGTGCTGGTGTGCCTCCGGCTTCTGCTCGCTGCCTTCCCTGTCTGTTGCTGCTGCCGCCGCCAAGCACCCTGGTTGTGTCTGTCACTCGCTCTGACTGCCCCCCCCCATACGCTCGCCCATGACCGAAACCAAGTACACCTCGCTCTCCGGACGGGTCCGGCTGACCAAGAACTACCAGTCGCTCCTGCTCTTGGCCTGCGTCGTCATCTTTGTGGTTCTCTTTTCCGTTTGTAAGTCTCATGCTTCCTGTTTGCCGGTGCCTCCAGGGCACTGGCGGCCTTGACTTCATGCCGCTTCGACACCAGCGCCCTGTTTCTAACCAGAGCTCGTCTCCTCCCTCTCTCTTCTCCATTGTCTCCTACCTCTTGTTCCGTTGCTGCTGGCCCAATGTCTTGTCCAGTCACTCTTTCCGGAGCAAGCACAGGCTCCTCGGCCGCCCAAGTCACGGCCCCGAAATCTCTGTACGCCGAGACTGGCCCTTATGTGTGCGAACATCACTATACCGCCAAAATTCTGGTCCATGAGCCGCTGGTCATGAGGATCGACAACTTCCTGTCCTATCGCGAGGCCGACCACATTGTCGAGCTGGCTCGCCCACGATTCCAGCGCTCTCCCGTAGCCTCCTCCAACGGCGACAGCGTCCACGAAGCCCGCACCTCGTCAACTGCCTTCCTTGGCAAATCGCATGACGATGTCATCGCTTGCGTCGAGGAGCGTGCGTCGATGCTAACCTCGTTCCCCGTCAATCACATCGAGGTGGGTTGAGCCCTGACCTTCTTCGCAGCTGGAATGAGTGGCCGTTTGCCTTATCTCATGGCTCTTGCATGAAGGAAGTGGTCGCGCAGGGTGTGCCAGTGGATGCAACGATGCTGGTCCCTGACGAGGTTTAAGGAAGGAGCCGAATTGATCTCGGCGATGGCTCGATACGATTCAACCGTAGAACAAACGCTAACCTCTCGTTTGACGTTTGCAACATCCGATAGTCTCTCCAAGTAGTCCACTACGCCAAGGGTCAACGTAAGTGCCCCAGTTATCCCAGGAGAAGATGCCAGTTCGAGTTCCTCCCCCTCCCACTGGCGCTGTTGGTGTCGGTCAGTCGGCCGAATTGGCGATAGTGTGGAGCCTCGACATACCGCACACACAGTCACCATTGTCTAGCAGCAACGGCAGCAACGGCAGCAGTATGGCAATCTCACGTAATCCCTCTTTCAGGCTATCTCCCTCATTACGACTACTTTGCAAAGAGCGACCCGGAGGCATACAAGAAATACACTGCCAACGGCGGCCAACGGGTCATCACCATCTTCGGATACCTGAACGAAATCTCGTCGAACCCGCCGGAGGAGTGGATCGCCGAGAAGGAGAAGGAAGGCGCCAACATCACTGAGCTGATTGCAAAGGGCACCGGTGGCCACACCTTCTTCCCCGAGCTCAAGCTCAGCGTCTACCCCAAGAAGGGCAGCGCCGTTCTGTTCTTCGATATGAACGGCAAGGGCGAGGAGGACCCCATGACCCTCCATGGCGGCATGCCGCCAGAGTGGGGTGAAAAGTTTGGTCTGAACGTCTGGATCCGACAGCGTGAGATTGTCTAGATGCCAGTCTCTCGTCCTCGTTAGTGGGCTCGCTATGCCATTAGTGTTTGCCGTCGTTGAGCAGCTCCACGGCCAAGTTTGAGTATTTGATCCCCTTGATTTTGAAGTCTACCTCTAACCGAAGCGAGACACCCTATTTTGAATCCTGCGTGCCACTTTTACCTGGGTGTGAATACACACCGACCGTGACCAAACAGTGTGCCCAAGAGAACCAGCATTGTGCTCGCCATTCGGAATTCCTGATGCATACAAGGGGGAGGCATCCATCGAGCACTTGGAAACTTGATCTTGGCGTCGAGAAGCCACAGAGCTGTCCAGAGAGCCAAATGTATGTAGCATCTCAAGAGGGTGCTACCCAAACCAACAACAGTTGATAGCTGATGTGAAGGAACGCAACTGGACACTGCCCTGCTTTGTTTGGACGGTGGTCATTGAATGCCCATACAGAATATGTGATCTGGTGACTTCACAAGTGCCCGGTGCAGTTGTGAATCCGAGAAGTCATGAAAGGGGAGAACACCGCGCTGGAGGTACCACTCCGCTGGCGTAAAGCTGGCCACAGAGTTATCGACCCTATTGACCCTCGCGAACCGCTGTGACTGTGGGATGCGCGGAAGCCGTCGTCGATGATGCTCGCGGGTTGGCTGCCACAGATTAAGCCTCCCAGTCCAAGCTGCATTGGCACAGATTCAGACTCAGTGGGAATCCCATCGAGACGCCATGGCTTGCATGGACTGCTGCCGGGGCTCAACCAACAGTCAGAGTCTCAGATGGTATCAGGCGGTCCGGGACCGGACCGCACCGGACAAAGCAAGTATGAACAATGTGCCTGGCAAGCCGAAGGATGATGTCGTGTTGGATTCGCTCCAAGACAAGGGACAGGTTGAATACAAGTCGGTCTTGTGGGAAATGCAGACTATCGGAAGGCATATACGAAGGAGAAACACGTAGTTTTCGGGTGGTTCAGTCGATTATCCGAGCATCTCGAGAGCAATATGTTTGCTCTAAAACAATCAGGGAACTCTCAACACATCACCGTCATCCTTGACCACAATGTGACTGACGTTCAAGAGGAATGGCACTCACTATCGGGATTGGATGCTGGCGTTTGGATGTAATTGGTATCTATCCTGCCGGGCCAGAGAGCTGCGAAAGACAGAGGTGGCCACTGGAAATAGCACTGGAGATGAGGGTGTGCCCCGTTGGATCAAGTACACGATAGTGTGAGAGCTGACCAGGCAAAGCAAATGTGCAAGAGAAGGTATTTAGAATGTGAGGGAAGGAGAGAGAAGTCGAAACGATTGCATCATGCCGTGGGGCTCCCCATTTGATTGTTGGATGACGCTGCAAGCACATATGCAGGAGCTCAATCAGAGTAACATATATGCGAGTGGGTTCCTTTCGGGTGACGACATCCGGTAGACAAAGCGAACGAGCCGAGCAATATAACGGACGGGGACAGATGGGGGCTTGGACGACTCTACTTGGCAGTTTCGGGGACAATCGTTTCTCGCCAATTGATGCTGGTTGCTGGCAAGCCTGGCGCTCATCAAAAGACATCAACACCACAGAAAGCGAGCCGCGTTTCTTACAAACACACAATCGATAAGGTCGACGAAAAAGAACATTGGAGCACGCGCTAACGTGAAATCCCGGCTCGTAGAGCAATTGGTAGATATATTACTCCTGCAGCGGGTCCGAAACACAGGGCACTAACCGCAATCATGGATGTGAGAAGAGAGAGGGGAAAGGGAAGCCAGAGGGCGAACGTCATTTGGGGTGCATTTTTGATCCTTTCGGGAGTCGTGTCGAATGTGGCTGGCCAAGGCATCCCACAGAACCCCTATTACGACAGTCAGAGCGGTGCAGCAGCGAGATGTCGAGGCGACTGGGGCCCGACGGTGACTTGCACGAGCTTGTCGAGTTCGTACCTGTCGCAATCAGCCGTGAGCAAAAAATGGACTGTTCCCTTGCGCGAATACAACATGATCGCCAGAAATTCTTACACCGAGAGTACATCTGGTAAGTACCCGATCATAGAGCCACAACGGAGGGATATACGGAAGATGCCCAAGCGAGGGAATCAATCTAAACCCATACGGGCAGCAAGGTTTTGGGTGAACCTGACAAGAGAGGGGAAGATCTGCGATGCGGAGAACAGAGGGCAAGACCTTGGAACTAATACCAACTTTGGTACAGATTGTGAAGGTCGCTTGGCTATTGGAGGAGACTACAACAATAAGAACGGCTATTCCATCGGAGGCAGGTTGCAAACGTCATATTCAAATATACCTCAAATCGCCCCCGGGTGTTCATCCGGACAGAGCTATTGTGACTGCGATGCGGTTGAAGATTACTGCACAAACGGGGAGAACAACATCTTCCCGGGTTTGATGTATAGCGCTCATGTGGAAGGAAACCTCCAAAGGTACGATTGGTTGGCAGAAAACTAGGGCGAACTGAAAGCGGACCGGCGCTGAGCCGGAGCGGATTGATGCCGCCGACTCCACTACCACCCCATATTTTACGATCATGGGCAGTTTCTGTGGTCAAGGAATTGACCATATCAAATATTATGTACACATCTACTCACCTATCATTAATGTCCACATCCACATCCACATCCACATCCACATCCACATCCACATCCACATCCACATCCACATCCACATCCACATCCACATCCACATCCACATCCACATCCACATCCACATCCACATCCACATCCACATCCACATCCACATCCACATCCACATCCACATCCACATCCATGCGTTTTTCTCTGTGCCACACCTCTACGCTTCATCATCCACTCGACAGCGTTCCGGCGGCAGTCTACAGCGGTCATGTCCTGTGCAACTCTGGAAGGACCAACTGTGAAAGTAGCCCTGGAGACTATGACTCGGACTACAACGTCTTGAACAGTGGGCTTTCCTTCTATGGAAAGGGATGCACCATGATTGTATGTATCCGACGACGAATTTTGCTGTGCATTTTGTGTGCATGGGTGTCAACAAGGGGTGGGGAGGACGTGAATGCCGAGCTGTGGGTGCGCCTGAAGACCCGTGATGTCATCGGCCATCGATTCATTGGATCATCAAGCTATCAGGCCATCTGATCATTGGGCCATGAGTCCATAGAATCGGAAAGCCTCGGTGATGGCCATCACATCCCCATAGCTGGAGCAGTATCACATTGGACTTGGCCAACTCGGCCGGACTTTCGTGTTTCCATCACATAGCGAGAGAATGGCTTTATTATGATCCAGTGACTTGTGGTGGTGCCCTAGTACTTGAGCAATTTCTAACTTGGTTGATGAATCCCGGCCATTATTGCCAACGCTCTTGCCAACGCTCTTGCCAACGCTCTTGCCAACTCGATCATACAGGAAAAATCCGAAACGGTTTGCACAATCGATATCCCTTCGGCAATCGATTACATTACATCGACATCGGTTTACCTTGGATCGCTCTCTCAAAGCTCGCACGTCTCCTACACTCTCGCGTATGGCACCATCACAATTACCTTTGATGCTAGTTTGTGTGTCTCTAGTTCTGTTCATGTCTTGAACATCAAACCCGGAGACATCAAAAACATTCAAAGCTTCGTGTTCGTAAACTACAAGAAATGCTTCAGCAACTCTCAGACTCTGGTGATCAACATTCCTGATACTCAAGCATTGATCTCTAGCCTGAGTGTGGCTCTTGATCTTGATATTGGATGTCAGATCATCTTCAACTTCCACAAGGCAACAAACATCCAGATGACCGGAGTGCAATTCGTCGGAATGATTATGGCACCTGGTGCGGACATCGAGCCATACACGACCTATGGCGCCAGTGGATCGGGTCGAATTGATGGAAACGTTTACTGCAAGAGTTTCCGAGGACCGATCCAAATCAACGTGAATGCCTACTGTGGCTGCATACCGCCCCCGGGCCCACCTCCGTCCACTTCGAGCTCGACCACTCTTTCGACTAGATCGACCACTGTTTCAACTAGATCAACCACTGTTCCAGTCACCTCAACAACAACCACTACCACCACCACTACCTCTAAATCAACCACTACTACCACCACCACTACAACAAAGCCAAGCACCACCACCACCACTACTACTACAACAAAGCCAAGCACCACTACTACTACAACAAAGCCAAGCACCACTACTACTACAACAAAGCCAAGCACCACTACTACTACAACAAAGCCAAGCACCACTACTACTACAACAAAGCCAAGCACCACTACTACTACCACTACTACCACCACTACCACCTCTACCACCTCTACCAAATCAACCACTACCACCACTACCACTACCTCCTCCTCCTCCTCCAAATCAACCACCACCACGACGACCTCCAAGCCAGCCACTACCACTACTACCACTGCCTCTAGGTCATCATCTACTTCAGCCTCAGTCCCAACCCCAACTTCGCCTCCAAACTGCGGAACTCAATGGGGCCCTATTATCACTTGCAAGACCATTTCTCAGTCAACTTGGGTCGTACCTCTCAAAGAATACAACCTCATTACATCCAATTCGTATACTGACTCTACATCAGGTATCATGCCGAGATTTCGTACCGTTACCTTTCTCTTGGTCCTAACGCATGGCTTATTCTTGGTTGACCATGTATCCGCATCATACAGCCTCTCGACTCTACCCATAGTCACCATTCTTTTTCGCTTTTATTTTTGTGCTGTCGTTTTTTCTTCTTCCTCCTCCTCTTCTTCTTCTTCCTCTTCTTCTTCCTCTTCTTCTTCTTGTTCTTTTTCTTTTTCTTCTTTGCATTTATAGATAGTCCCTGGGTGCTTTCGCTATATTATTCAATACTCCTCTCATTACTTTGATGAGGTGCATGGTACCTTTTAATTAGACATCATTTGACTGAATCTCGTTCGATCTGGCTTACTGTAAATCTAACTGAAACACCTCAAATTTGAATCCACAGATTGCGAAGGTCGCTTGGCTATTGGAGGAGACTACAACAATGATCAAGGCTACTCGGTTGGCTACAAGCTTCAGAGCTCGTATAGCCGCATTCCGAAAGTCGCCCCAGGATGTTCAGAGGATTTATCATACTGTGGATGTGATAGTATTGAAGATTATTGCGATGGAAGCAAAGATGGCGGATTCCCTGGACTGAAGTACTCACTCCATGTCGAAGGTGACTTTAAGAGGTACGATTGGTTGGCAGAAAACTAGGGCGAACTGAAAGCGG